ATTAAATGGCAGAAACTCAAGCCGTACGCAAAAATATAGGAAAACTTGTAAAACTACACTGTTGAAAAGCCGGATTGTCTAGATTCACCACATCTACGAACACGCTGGATTAGAATGTCGAGAGAAGAAAACTATTCCCGACTACAAGGCCATCGTTTCGCAACTGCTGGACGCATGTAGAGTTGTTATTAAATAGACTTATTTACAACAAGGGTTGTCTATTGATTGTTGTGTAGTTACGATGAAATCTCGTAACACCTTTGACGAGACTCTAGCTAATGACGCAGTACTCCCAGTAGAATTTAAAATTAAACAAGACGCCTGTTCTGGCGTTAACTCCGGCGCACGTGCCAGTCTTTAATATAGAGCTTCTGAACATAAACAATACAGTTCATATTCGCATTTAGATACCTTGCGAACCTATAAATGTTCGATCGCGAAATTCAGAAGCACATCGTACTTTAAAAAGTGTAGAAGTTCAATTGTTCAAAAATGTAAATAAACCGCATGATACATTCGCTTTGTCTTACACTTTGCCATTGGAATTCGCGCTTATATAGTTATATTAAATCTTCAATCCTGTGCAAACTACGACGTGTCAACGCGCCCATACACGACCACATCATCTTGTTAAACGGCGAAATAGCAGTGATATTATTAAAATAGGACCAGAATCAACATGTATTAGTATATTCTGACCCCAATTCAATCTAAACTTAATCGAACAGCATGAAAACAACGGTTTATTCGTTCCTCTTCATGGAGGAATTGCCGTATCATGCGAGCGAAATCGAATCGCGCATCGGAAAATTAGCCAAAGCTGTACACCACAACTCTTGGGTGATAAGACTAGGACATAATTGTTGACGCCGGCAACACAATTTATTATAGTACACAAGCTAGCCTTTTAAAACTATATAGTTTTTAAAATATTTGTTGAATTTATTGCTTTTTATAAACATTGAACTGTTAGTTTCTGTGGATATTTATCAAAATCGAAACTTTGCCGGTTTTTTTGTATTCAATAATTCAAATATTTTTAATGACGAGTAGGTGTACGGTAAAGTGCAAAATTTCCTATTTTTAATATCTGTGCGTATGTTTTTAGCATGCTCTGATTAGAAATAATAATATATATTTACGTATTATGGTAATAAAGTATTTGTACATTACTTATTTGACATTAGACTTGGATGGCAAGCAAGACCCTCGCCACAGGAGACAGGATGGAGTTTCCTCAACGTATTTGCAAACCAGTTTCCTCAAAAATATTTGCATATTTTTTAAAGTAACTGATTCCTGAAGCCATTGTATATTATACTTTATAGGAATTTGATTATCAAACTGGAGCTAAACTGAGGTATTGGCCGGAAAGTCGTATCAAACAAAGTGAATTATAGGAAAGAGGTGCAGCTAGCTGTTGATTCTTGGGATGACGAAGTCAATTCAACAAGTGACTGAAATACTGGTATTATACAAGAATATTCATGCACCAGTTAATTTTTACCATATGAATGCAAAGAAACTTTTCTTACGAACTGATTATTAGGCTATATACTCAGAAAGGAAAATACATATGTTCTTGTACTGAGCCTTTAGTAATCTTGGTACTTCAAATGTGAAGTTTGTATTTAATTGCTAACCTTTGAATTTGTTTTTAAAATAATATGATTTTTACATCAAACTTTGTGTTGTTTGTTCTTTGTTTCACAATCTCCGGGAAAACACGCGTGTTTTCAAGCGAGATTTAATGCGCGGCCATGTTTGCAGCAAGCTTGTCGCGACAAGCTTGTAACGGCCTTGTTATAACAAGCTTGGAACAGCTCAAGTTCAACAAGCTTGTAGCAAGTTGTTGTCAGACTTGTAGCAAGCTTGTTGGCAACAACCTTGGTACAGCATTGTCACAGCAACCTTGCTACAAGTCTGACAACAACTTGCTACAAGTCCGTCACAACAAGCTTGGGACAAGCGGTGCGAACACAACCTGATATCGGCTTGTTGGAACAAGCTTGCTACAAGTCTGCTGCAGGCTTGTTACAACTTGTGCGTTTTTACGTGTGTAGATAAATACGGTCACATACACGTTTCAAATACTAGAATGTTTCCCGCCATTTCAGACTTGCGACGACGAAAAATAAAAAAAAAAAAAAAACAAAAAAAAAAAAAAAAAAAACAACAAAACAAAACCGAGGCGAATTTTCAACTCCGTCGCTGACGCCGAAGTAACGAGCTCTCAGTTGAAGTTTGATTTGAATTGAATAGCCAAATGTAGCCATTAGATTTTTAGATGGTCTTAAAAATGAGTGCATATTTGAGATATTATCTAGTATTATAATGAGATAACTCTCTTACCTAAAGTTGTCCCTTCAGCATCACCAGTGGCCTTGACGAAATACGACTTAGAATCTATGACATCAAAATATGTCGTTTGAGTCGCTTTTAAGGACTTGTTAGTTGTTATCCGGCATTTGTATTCAAGTTTTATAAAAGCAGTAATTTTGTCGCTTGGGAGTGTGTTGTGTTTCTTAAGAAATTATTCGTCCAAACTGTCTTTTGCTTTGAGAATACGAACCCTTGCATTGCAATTATCATTCAACTATCCTTAATCTGAATAAACATAAAGTGCAGGAATAACGCCCAGTTTATACGTCGCACTTTGGTCGCGTCGAATGCAATTCAAACAATAGATAATTAGATGATATTGAAGCTTAATGAGGTTTCTGATCTCATTATATATTGTTCGAATGACGTCACTGGGCCGACCTTACATGCAACGAGGCAGGCATAACTACAGAAATCGCATGAAAGCAATCTTGTATTTCACCAGTGTGAAGTAATAAAATGGGAGGCAACAATAATCCCACCTAGCCTCCTCCGCAGGCATCTCTTATGTATTTATATTCGGCATTTATATTTGGCTTAGGTTACTAAATCCCACCAAGATGGGCTTGCATGACCGAATAGTTCCTAGCCTGATCCAAATCGCCATTTAACAAGGAACAGGAGCACGCTGTGCTAGCGCTATGGCTATTTGGCCGTGGCAGACTATTGGATAGCCTGCAGCACACATATTTATATATGTATACCCATGCAATACATTTTAAATGCCAAGCATGTTAGTTGTTAGCAGGACACTCGGCTAACACAAAACTCAAGGCTCCTCTTAACGTTCAAGGCAACTCTATTTCTCTCAATTTTTTCTAATCCTTCATTCTAAAGGTCAATCATGTCGTGACGTCGTCACTGTCCCTAGTCCTCTTATGTAAAGTTTTGTCCTCAGTCTCCTCACACTGTCTTTGCTGAATTATCCTTTGCCTTTGGAACTTCATTTTATGCCCGGAAAAACATACTGAATCACCAACAGAACCCAACCTTATGAATCTATTCCATCGTTGATTTCATAAGTAGCTATCATTTCAGAGCTATCATTTAAATTATTTTAAACTTTTACGTACGTACGTGCAAAAATCAGTGGGAAGAAACACTTAGTCTGAAGATGAAAAATTAGCTTGATCACGGTGGGAAGCTTGCCCAGTTGGTAACTCAGAATATTATTCACCACTATCGTAATGTCAACTCATATAGCTACCTGAGTCATAGGGATTATCACTTTTCTTAGCATATTCATTTGCGAACTTAAATATTGTTAGATATTCAGACAGAACATCGCATTTTAAACAGTATAGAAATATAGAAATAACAATCCGTTTGTTTGTAATAATTTCATGTTCAGTAAATCCCTAAATTGAGGTTAGCTTAGGATTAGATTTAGGATTATGATTAGCCGTATAAAGGCGCTAATTATACAAATTCGTGTACTTAGGATTTACCATATGGATTTACTGAGCATTAATTACAACCTCGTACCCAGAATTTTCTCTCTTTTATTTTCTTTCTTTCTGCACAATTGTTATCCTACCTCCTCCGCAGGCGCTAGGAGGCATTTCGGGCGATTTCGGAACATCAATACCCTCGTTTGTTTACATACCGACTTGATTTTTAATTTACTATCTATTAAGTAATTTTTTTTCGAAAACTAATGCAGACTGTGCAGTAATCCGACAGTTCTGCGTGAAGATATGTTTTTCGGGGGAAATTCTTTTGGTAAGACTTTTATAAACTCATTGTCATTTGTCATAACATAAAACTTTACCAGGTCCGTTGTCTGTAATAAACACGTATTTTCCAGTCCCAGACCCACTATTATAAGACCAGAATCGACGTATATCCTGATCGTCAATATTGCAGACTAGAAATTATATAATAAATAATAATTTAATACAAATTATACAATTGACCGTGACGAAAAAGATGGCGGCATGTACATTTTACCAGAATGCATTGCGGGCATAAGGAATGATTGACTGAAAAAAGATGGCTAGAAAAACTCCTAATGACGTGAAATTTTAACACAGCGAAGAAAATAACTTCCTGTTTTGTGCCTGTCCTTTAAAAGACGTCAGTTCGCTTTTTTAAATTATTTATGACCGCAATGCATTCTGGTAAAATGTACATCCGCCATCTTTTTTGTTATGGTCAATTGCATTCGACTTCGAGTCTGAATACCGAATACGTGACTCTATATACAGTATAGGCTATATACGAGACATTCTCTTACCTACATTTGGCTTTTCATAACCAGTCGTGATATATGAAAATATAGAACCTATGATATGAAATGAAATAAATACATGACTGTGCTTGGGTTTTAATAGTTTATCACTCGCGGTCATAACCAAACGAGTGCTGCCTGTGTTGGGAAAACTAATTAGTAATTGTCTAATCTAGGTTTGACTTTCAGTGTAAAGCTGCCTCTTGCCTTTACTGATGGTTATACTAATACGATCCTTCACACTACAACTATTCTGAGGCTAAGCTTGTAAGAGCATGCGTCCTTAACTTCAAAGGGCTTTAATACAGCTGAAGTATAAATATTTCTCCTCCTGGTGAAACCTGCGTCTATACATTGAGCCTTGACTTCAATAACCAAACAGACAAACCTGGTAATCGACTGTTGTTTGCCCCCATGGTCTTATAAAACAAAAAATATTAATCAATTTTCTTGTGAAGAGTATTAACGCTATATAAAAATTAGTTGCATGCAATGACCTGCTCAGTGCTGTTGCCAGTTGCCACATTTCATTGTTTACTCGCTAAAATCTGGTTCTCAAATGTCACCGGGAACTCCGGCAGTCGATGATTGCAATATCGCTATTAAATAATAACTGAACAGCGCACATTTTCTTCCGACTATGAAACAAAGTGTACGTAGCGTATACATTCTTTGCTGCAGGGCACTCGCGGAACTAATGTAGTATAATGAAGAAATAAAGCCTGGTTTTCATATGTCGTGATTTATCGCTGATGTTCCACGTGATCTATTTCTATATATATCAATATATGGATTTTGTGCATCAAAGACAATAGTAAGCGCCAAAGAATTACGGCTCATATCTATGTATTCAAGTTCTGCCTTGTGCCCCCCCCTAACTATCGTGCTTCCTACGCCACTGTTACAAATCCCACTATATCATACAGTAAGGAGTCATAACTGACCATGAGCATTGCATGAACAACTTTTTACTACTTTCATAAAAACACAACAACTGTGAGTCCGAAAAAAGACAGCTTTTATATTTATAATTTCGACTTAATTCATATATGAGTCAATTTACATAAATTAAATTTAGCACAGCAAACATGCAGTTAGCAATGTAATAAATGTATGTCAACTATTCTAATATCTTTATCTACTGACCGTGACCATGGCAATTCACGTGGTCTATGCTTAGAATATTAACTGAAAAAAGAAACTAAATATTAACTTCTAGCATTCAGTACTTACATCTTTAATATTGACTGGCGTCGTCTTGAGAATATGATGCAGCGCGGTGTGGTTCAGGCTGCTCAGTTTAGGCGGTTCAAGTGTCTATTTGTTTATGCGATATAGCTACATTCCTTACATTCCTCTCATAATTTGGGACCAGTTTGGGACACACTGTAGTTAGTGTAGTATGTTGGAATACCGTAATTACGAACCGCAGGAATATTCCTGGATGCAAGGAGCAACAGTGAGCAAGGGGCCTGGTCGGGGTATTTTTCAGGCAGTTGGTCTTACATCAATATTTTTAAAATTGTTTTACTGATTATTGGAAGTGTCTGGATTTATGGTGATTATGAACCAGATTATAACAAACTGATGACCAATTTTTTTGCCATGAAACAGTGTATTTGTTGAGTTTCTGGATCCTGAATGTCGTAAACATGTCGTTAAGCCCCGTACAGACGGGCAGGTTTTCCTTTACAAGTTTTCGTGACCAGTTTACTCAGTGCCTGTGTGTATGACGAACAAGATTTCTTTGACAAGTTTTTCTTGCAAAGTTTTATTTGCTCGTGCATGTGTAGGCGAAAAATTTAACAAATTTTTCTCCACAAGTCTTACGATGAATCGATAATATGAGTATATTTTACGATAATATGAGCCATGATGAAATAAAATGAGTATACGACCGAATCTCAAAACAAACAGAAATGATAAAACTTCAAAAAGCCGCTCGATTGGCTCGAAGATTGTTGCGTTGTTCCCTACAGCGATTCCTTGTCAAGTTTTCCTTAACGGTCGTACACACGAGCATTCTTCTCTGTTGAAAAGCTGTCATGACTAGCTTTTGAACAAGGCTCCTATATATGTTAAATTTGCTGAAGAAAAAATGCGCATAGAAACATATTATCAGGAACAAAAAAAATATTCTTGCACATGCATGCTGTAGTACAACCAGTAAGTCGATGGCGTTCGCTCAACCAAATGAAAAAGTATATTTGACACATACTTTTTTATGCGCTTTTTGTGTTTAATTTCTTTATTGTAAATGGCATTACTTGAAACTGCAGAACTATGGTAAATGTTTTTAAAATAATGGGAATCAATTCAAGTCCCACACTGTAATTATTGTTTTCACTAGTTTATATAGTCTTTAGGTTACATGGCCTAACCACCCGAAATAGCAAGGCAGGGTCAACATGTGCACTTGTGTGTGGAGGGTATGGAGCAGGCTCGTTCCAAATCTTCAATTTCAGATTCCCAACTCTATCACTGCTCAGGTACAAGTAAACTTTTTTCTTTTTCTTTTTTTTCTTCTCATCCGTACCCTCAACTTCAACTTCAGTTTTTTTATTGGATTGAAGTACACAAAATGCTTCATTTGGACTGAACAATTCGATAACTCTAAATAATGTTGCATCTTTAGCCTTTACGGAAAAATAAAATTTGAATAAGAAAATTTATTTTAATAAAATTATTATGAGATAAGAAATAACATAAAATAAGTATAATATAATTTTTTTTATATTATAGATTGCGTGTGTACAGTGTACTGTCACAGAATACCTATCAGAAGAATAACTCTATACTATTTTTGTGTCTAAAATCAGCGCATTTTTAGTATTGGCAGGAGGGTGACTACCTCAAAAAAATGCACTTGCTAAGTGACGAATCATGACGAATCACACTTACGAAAAAAGTACAGCAGTTCTACTTCTGATAGGTATTCTGTGGTACTGTCGTTCCTCATTGGTCAGAAAGCAACGGTTAATTCTCAATATTCGCAATTCACTACGTAATTTCAGCTGCTGACGTGCTTGTGACGTGCATAATTATACTAGCGCAGATACAAAAACAATTATTGGACTCCCTCGTGCCTAGACCTTCGCGCGCCAGTAACTTGAAGTGAAAAGAGCGCGAAAATATAAAACAAACATGACGACATATCGCCACAGAGGAGATATGAACAGAGCTTGAGTTTCACTCTTCCGAGTTTAATAGGGAGCATTAGATTTGCCTACGGCTCCCGCTACCGCTACGAGATTCGTCACATTGACGTGATATTCGTGACACTTCGTACTGACGCCATAGACTCATAGCCGTCGCTTATCTGACTACGGCCGCATTTTAAGGAAACTTCGAAGTCCTCACTACGTGATTTAAAAAGCAATAAAAGTTGAAATTTTCCCGTTTTTTCCAGAAAATAATTTGAGAGAACTGTTTTTCATGACCGTGGCCTTTGATTATGTGTATTTTTCGAAATAGTAGGCGTAAAATTTCCGAAATATTTGAAAGAATAAACATGCATTTTTTATTGTGTTTGCCGTGGTCACAGAGGAGAGATGGATCAATCTCTCCTCTGTGATATCGCACACAACTGCTAATGAAGCATTGCAGCGAAACCTGTGGTAAAACGTTGGTGCGATCACTGTAGCAAAATGTGGGCAATGGTATAGATTTATGCAAACCTATATCACACGTTCAATTAATCGGGAGCATATCCAAGGTTAAAATTCATTTTAATTCAGTGGTTCAAATGATGCTGTAGTTTGTAACTTTGTAAAGTGGTTAATTCTAATGATTGTTGTGATGATGCAAATATTTGTACATAACCTTAATTGGTTATCAATAGTTATGTTAATTTTGTGTATGAACCTTATATAAGAGCAAATGTTTGTTGATAAATGTTATTGAAAATTGTTGAGTGACAATTTATTTACATTTGTGTTATTGACTGGCTGCAAATGTTCATGCATATCATTTTGTTGTAATTGATTGTCTTTTGCGGAAAGAGGAAAGAAAATGTCGTGTAATGTTTTTGCAAGTATGTTTACTTTGTTGACTCAACATTTGACACAAATGGTTGACCGACTATTGTAAATGAAGAGCAGAAGGTGTAATCACTCCATCACTTGTGCCCTCAGGTTTATTGTCTTCAAGACTATATTGAATCAGCTGTACAGGGTGTATAAAAAACAACACTTAAAATTCAAGACTATATTGTATTGTGCTTAAGTGTTGCCTTTTTTATACACTGTATATATTAGGACTTACCCCAACAAATGCGACCACATCTTTTTCTGAAGCAGCAAGGTAGTATTTCTGGTCTTTTTTTTCCAACTGCAGTTGAAACCAATATGGTGGATACATATGCTTTTTTCCATCAGCTTTGAGGAACGTAATTTTAGTTAGATCTAGCAAAGTGCAAAAATAATGTTCAATCATTGCGTATGTTCCGGCATATGGTATGTTCATTGGTCAAGGCCTGTTTACATGAAGCGAGTTAAAGCGAGTAAAAAGCGCATCAGATTGAAGGCTTAACCTGATTAGTCTTTCATTATATGCAGTTTTTACCTCGCCTAGCCGGGATAACTCGCTCCATGTACTGAAACAGTACTGAACAGTACTAAACAATGTGACAATAAGGAAAACAAGGTCTAAATTTACAGTTAAGGGAAATACATTACTAAGATAATATCTCAACTTGAGTAATGTATTTCTCTTTATAAAGGAGATCATTCTCTTACCTTCATTTTCCCCTTCATCATCACCAGTGGCCTCGACGATATACGACGTGCTATTATGATCTATATATAGCATCAAAATATATCGTTATAGTCGTAAGTCGTTTGTTGCTGGGGTTGTTACTGATTGATAATCAAACAGTGGTAGCTTTGTTGTTCGTTTTAATGTGTTGTGTTTTACAGCATGAAACTACTTGATTAATTTAAATTTTAGCCCCTCGTACCCAGGGCTTTCCCTCTTGGAAAATTGTAACCCTGCCTCCTCCGCAGGCGCTAGGGGGCATTTCGGGCGATGTCGGAAATATATTTTGAACGTGAAGATATGTTTTTTTGGGGGAAATTCTTATGGTAAGACATTTATAAACTCATAGTCATCAGTAGCGTAGCCAGCCTGTCGATATGTTCCGTTATGCTAATATTTTAGTGTCACTAACTGGGAAAACAATAAATTTCTAGAGACATGACTAATTATGATAACTCAAAATTTACATAGCGGGACAAAATCGTCAGGCTGGCTACGCCACTACAGGGTGTTTCAAAAAAAAAGCAACCACTTAAATATGCAGGAACATTAATACAGCTCTAAAGCGCAATAGATAAGCACCTCTGGGAATTGAAAATGGCTCTTAATCCTTCATTTAAAATGCTAATAGTAATTTTAGCTGAACTATGGTGCAAACCCGAACAATATTAATATTCTTGCATATTTAAGTGGTTGCGTTTTTTTTTAAACATGAAACTTTATTACATGAAACTTTACCAGGTGGACTTTTGTCTGTAATAATCACGTATTTTCCAATCGCAGAGCCACTATTGTATTTTTCAATCGCAGAGCCACTATTATAAGCCCACAATCGATGTTTATCCTGATCGTCAATAGCGCCGTCTAGAAAATTATATAATAATTTAATACAATTGCATTTGACTTCCGAGTCTGAATACCGAATACGTGACTCTATGTACGAGACATTCTCTTACCAAAATTTCGCGTTTCATAACTAGTCATGATATGTGAACATATAGAACCTATGATATGAAATAAATACATGACTGTGCTTAGTCTTGGGTTTTAATAGTTTATCACTCGCGGTCGTAACCAAACGAGTGCTGGCTGTGTTGGGAAAACTCAACGGGCTTTAATACAGCTGCATGGGGCCGGTTGTATGAAAGCCGGATAGCGCTATCCACCGGATAGTGATTTTCTCAACCGTTCTAAAAATGCTTGAAAAGCGATAAAATTTCAGCTTGGAAGCAACAATTATTAAAGAGAATCCTCGATTTAAGATTTAATCAAAGTTGTAGCAAATAACGAGCGATTTTGAAGCGATTGAAAAAACATTATCCGGTGGATAGCGCTATCCGGCTTTCATACAACCGGAGTCAACCGGAGAATTATAACAACTGCCTAAAATAGACAAAACATTTCTCGACGTTTCGACCTGAGGGCCTTCCTCGGGAGAGTTAGTATGAACTCTCATACTAACTCTTCTGACGAAGGCCCTCAGATCGAAACGTCGAGAAATGTTTTGTCTATTTTAGGCAGTTGTTATACCACATTTGAGGCTATGTTGTTTGAAGATGCTTCCACGCTGCTTCCTGGTAATAATTTAATACAATTGCATTTGACTTCGAGTCTGAATACCGAGTACATGACTCTCTATACGAGACATTCTCTTACCTGGAGTTGGCTTTTCAAGAGTCCTGTTGTATGAATCAATACTGCTGCCGACTAGAAATTATATAATAATTTAATACAATTGCATTTGACTTCGAGTCTGAATACCGAATAACGCGGTGACTCTATATACGAGATATTCTCTTACCTGGAGTTGGCTTTTCAAGAGTCCTGTTATATGAATATACATGACCTATGATAGTGAAATAAATACATGTCTGTGCTTAGCCTTGGGTTTTAATAGTTTACCACGCGGTCATAACCAAACGAGTGCTGCCTGTTTTGGGAAAACTAATTAGTAATTGGCTAATCTATAGGTTTGACTTTCAGTGTAAAGCTGCCTCTTGCCTTTACTGATGGTTATACTAATACGATCCTTCACACTACAACTATTCTAAGACTAAGGTTGTAAGAGCATGCGTCCCTAACTTCAAAAAGGGCTTTAATACAGCTGAAGTATAAATATTTTTCCTCCTGCTGAAACCTGTGTCTATACATTCAGTCTTGACTTATTATAGTTCATTCTGATGGTCAATAGGCCCAATACTGCTGCCGACTAGAAAATTATATAATAATTTAATACAATTGCATTCGATTTCGAGTCTGAATACCGAAAAACGTGACTCTATAGTTTATATTATACGAGACATTCTTTTACCTGGAGTTGGCTTTTCAAGAGTCTTGTTGTATGAATCAATACTGCTGCCGACTAGAAAATTACATAATAATTTAATACAATTGCATTTGACTTCGAGTCTGAATACCGAAAAACGTGACTCTATATTATACGAGACATTCTCTTACCTGGAGTTAGCTTTTCAAGAGTCCTGATATATGAATATACACGACCTATAATATGAAATAAATACATGTCTGTGCTTAGCCTTGAGTTTTAATAGTTTACCACGCAGTCATAACTAAATGAGTGCTGCCTGATTAGTAATTGTCTAATCTAGGTATGACTTTCAGCTGTGTAAAGCTGCCTCTTGCCTTTACTGATGGTTATACGATCCTTCACACTAGAACTATTCTAAGACTAAGCTAGTAAGAGTATGCGTCCTTAACTTCAAAAAGAAGTTTAATACAGCTGAAGTATAAATATTTTTCCTCCTGGTGAAACCTGCGTCTATACATTCAGTCTTGACTTCAATAAACAAACAGACAAACCTGGTAATCGACTGTTGTTTGCTCCCATGGTCTTATAAAACAAAAAATATTAATCAATTTTCTTGTGAAAAGTATTAACGCTATATAAAAATTAGTTGCATGCAATGACCTGCTCAGCGCTGTTGCCAGTTGCCACATTTCATCGTTTACTCGCTAAAACCTGGTTCTCAAATGTCACCGAGAACTCCGGCAGTTGATGATTGCTATATCGCTATTATATAATAACTGATTAGCGCACATTTTCTTCCGACTATGAAACAAAGTGATGCTCCACGTGATCTATTTCTATACAAGGTGTCGAGCAGGGTGTCTCAAAAAAGCGGACGCTATTGAATTCACCTATTGTTAGAATTTGAATGGCATAGCACAATAAGTGCTTCAGAATTTCCCTGAAAAAGGGATGCTGTTGCATGAAATCATTTATTATTTGAAATTTGAATAAGCTGAACAGTGAACTCTGGAGCACTTATACTTGTACAGGGTGTCCCAAAAAAAGTCCCCTCTATTGAAATCAAGCCTTTGTTAGAATCTGATTGCCTTAATATTATGATAAACCCAATTGAAAGCAAGACGCTTTATTTGAATGCCTTAACCTAATAACTATGCTATTTACACACTACTGCGTTGATCATGCATTCAAATCAACAAAGGCTTCATTTCAATAGGGGGGACTTTTTTTTGGGACACCCTGTACTGTAGTGCTATGCCATTCAAATTCTAACAGTAGGTGAATTCAATAGCGTCCGCTTCTTTTGAGACACCCTGCATATGGATTTTATGCACCAAAGACCAACGACAATACAATGACAATAGCAAGCGCCAAATGAACAGACCTTTTTAGCTTGCATGCAAATTAACCATTTCAGATGTTGTGACCATGAAATAGCCAATAAAACTTAACCATTTCAGACCATGTGACTTGAAATGGTTAATTTGCATTCAAACTTAAGTCTGAAAAGGTCTATTACGACTCATATATATGTATTCAAGTTCTGCCTAATCAATTGTGCTCCCTCTTTAACTAGCGAGTTTAAGATGCGCCAAAAATCTTGGAAACTGCTACTTGTGTTAGGAAACCAGTATTACTTTGTTTTACATACGGCTCTGACTTTGTTTATCAAAAGGAGCCGGTCTATAATTTCTCTCACTGGTGCAAATTAGAACAAATTAGAGCAGTATTACTTCACGTTCGCGTGACAGCACTACCATCGTGCTTCCTACGCCACTGTTACAAATCCCACTATATCATACGGTAAAGAGTCAATCGCATGAACAACTTTTTAGAACTTTCATAAAAACACAACAAGGAGTCTATTAGTTTTAAATTAAATTTAGCACAACAAACTGGCAGTTAGCAATCTAATGTATGTCAACTATTCTAATATCCGTTTATCTACTGACCGTGACCATGGCAATTCACGTGGTCTATGCTTAGAATATTAACTGAAAAATAAACTAAATATTAAATTCTAGCATTCAGTACTTACATCTTTAATATTGACTGGCGTCGTCTTGAAATGAAAATGAAAATGCGGTGTGCGGGTGTGGCTAGTGAAATGAAAATAACTGGGACGCTACCTTCTGATCGGAAATTGAAACTAAGTCACCCGCAGTCTTTACAATAAATTAATCAATTGGTTTTAGTCTATAATTAACTTTTTTGTTTAATTAAATAAACATAAACTTATAATATTAAACAATGTCTATCAAGTGTATTTTGCGATGGAATTTTAGCTTTTAGGATAGCCGTTTCGTACAAACACTGTTGTCAAAATTGCACATCGTAATTCGTAAAACAGTTCACCTGGTTGAATTTAAGATTACTTCCATTATAATTCCATAAAAAAACATTTAAAACCAACATTTCCAACATTTCAAATGTTTTTTTCGCTATTAGAATATACTTATTTTTCATCAGTAAAGGCAAAAAAATAACCGCTCACAACTGAGAAGCCTAATGTGTTAGGGTCTCGTTTCTGCTAAGGTTTAAAAAGTACTTTTTTGGAATGGACATTTTCGGTAATTAGATTTACGTCACACTCACAACATTATCGCTTTAAATTTCGAACCACCTTAAATGAGATGGATTTCAAGTTATACTCTCACAAACTATGAGCAAAGATGAAAAACATACTTCTTCAACAAATGCATGAAAAAGAATTTTTCATTTTGACAAATAACTATGGAAATAAGACATAACGCGAGAACGAGGCTCGCGGTCTTGGCCCCTCAACCTTGTTCTCGTGTTATGGTATATTTCTACATTTATTGGTGAAAATAAAAAATCTTTTTCATGCATGTATCAAAAGAAGGATGTTTTGCATCTTTGCACGTGGCTCGTGAGAGTATAACTTGAAATCCGTTTCATTTAAGGTGGTTCTAAATTTAAAACGTTGAGACGTTAAATCTTGTAACGTAATTACCGAAAAGGTCTATATATAGGACCGCACGGATAAGAATATTTCTGGATGCAAGTAGCAACAGTGAGCAAAGGGTCCAAAATGGACTCTTCTTACAAACTGCACATTAGATTAGGCAAACAATCTCCACACCACAGACACCCTGTCATGGACATAAGATTTGATTTAATGCTAAAACTGAGCTATTAAAGGTCAGTAATAAAGTATGTTTAATAAAGTATGCAATTCTGGTCAAGGTGTTTTTCCGCAGGCAGTTGGTCTTATCATCGATATTTTTCAAATTTTCAAAGTGTCTGGATTCATGGTGATTATGAACCAAATTATAACAAATCTGATGATCAATCTTTTTGCCATGAAACAGTGTATTTGTTTAGTTTTTGGATTCTGAATGTCACCTACATTGGTTTGTCTATCACCTTGTTCATCTCATGCAATGGATTGTTCCTGTACAATAGAAGCAAGTAGCGAACGGTTAAATCATGGGGTGTATATAAGTGCAAAATGCGCCGACAAGAATGTTAAATTTGCTGAAGAAAAAATGCGTATAGGCTTAGCGCATTTGTATACGACTCGAACCGAGTGCAGTATTCCTGATTTTTCTAGAGTACAAAATTAATCTTCTCAGGCTTAGAAATTTCATGAGATTTGTCGTCGAAATACCCAGTATACAGTTTTAAAATTTTACATAATTATATGAAGTGGAATAACCACAATAACGAAGAGTCGAAGATCCAATCCTAGCTGCATTTAATGCATATTATGTAAATATAAAAAAATAAAGAAACATATTATCAGGAACAAAAAAAATATTCTTGCATGTGCATGCTGTAGTACAACCAGTAAATCGATGGCGTTCGTTCAACCAAATTGAAAAAGTTTTAAATAATGGGAATCAATTCAAGTCCCACGCTGTAATTATTGTTTTCACTAGTTTATAGTTTGGAACTAAGTTGTAACAGATTTAGCTCTTTCCAAATGGCCTAACAGCCCGAAATAGCAAGGCAGGGTCAACCTCTGCGGTTGTGTCTGGAGGGCCTGGAATAGGTTTGTTCCAAACCTTCAATTTCATATTTCCAGCTCCATCACTGCTCAAGTACAAGTCATCTGTTCCTTGTTTTTTATTGGATTGAAGTACACAAAAAGCACTGTTTGGTTGGAACAATTGCGTAACTTCAAATGATGTTGCATCATCAGTCTTCACACAAAAAATAAAATTTGAATAAGAAAATTTATTTTAATAAAATTAGAATAAGATAAGAAATAACATAAAATAAGAAAATTTATTTTAATTATTTAATTATTTCTGTATAGCCGGGACACAAGGTTGTATAAAAATGTGTTAAAAATAAATCTTGAAATCTTTATTTTGATACTAAGTATAATTTAACCAGGCGAAACATGTAGGTTAAATCCTTCCTTCAAAAAAGTAATGGCTATACCAAAGCTTATTTTGATCTGAACGGCACGACTATACATGGTATAACCGTTATCATTGCAACGCGAAATTCCCAGGTTTAAAATATGTCTAAGATATAATCACTTGTGCCCTCAGGTTTATTGTCTTCAAGACTATATTGAATCAGCTGTACAGGCCAGGGTGTATAAAAAACAACACTTAAGGCTGTTTTCCACTTACGCGTTTTTCATACGCACGTTCACGCACGTCAAAAGTCTAAATCCTTATACATGTTACCTTTGAAAAAACTAAGTGAATAAATCAAAGGAACTTAGTTTTCTTCACACTTTAGTACGAATTAGTTGACCTAGATGTTAAATAATAAAAATTTAAAAGCATTTAAAATTTTTCGTACGTGTACGTGCGTATTTATAAGAAACGCGTAAGTGGAAAGTAGCCGCTTTAATATTCAAGACTATTGTATTGTGCTTAATATAACAATATGATTATATGAATATTGAGTGTTGCCTTTTTTTATACATTCTGTATATATATTAGGACTTACCCCATCAACTGCGACCACATTACTTTCTGAAGCAGCGAGGTAGTATTTCTTATTATTTTTATTGAATTGCAGTTGAAACAGTTGCGGATCCGGTTTTCGTTGTACTTCGTGGAACGTGATGTCGGTTCGAGCTATAGCGAAGTGTAAAAATAGTTAATGATTTTTGTGTGTCTCACTGTCGTGCCATTTCGTTCCTGCATGGGTCAGCTTTAATTATTGTACATGCATTGCAATGATTTATTCACTACCCTGAAGGATTACAGAAGTCATCAGGATAAATTAAGACAATAAGGAAAACGACGTCTAAATTTAAGTCTTATATAGAATAGTTAGGGGAAATACATTACCAGGATAATATCTCAACTTGAGATATTATACCTATACTAATGTATTTCTCTTTATAAAGGAGATCATTCTCTTACGTATAGTTTCCCCTTCAGCATCAGCAGTGGCCGCGACGACATACGAATCAGTAGAATCTATGGCATCAAAATATATCGTTTCAGTCGTTTGCACTAGGGTTGTTACTTGTTACTGACTAATGATCAAACAGTGGTAGCTTTGTTGTTCGTTAATGTGTTGTGTTTTACTGCATGAAACTACTTGATTAATTTAAATTTTAGTGTAAAAAATAAAGCTGATTTTTTCCTGTAGAATACCGCATGCATTGATGCAGGCCTATACCCACACATGCATGCACACACTGAACACGATTACCCAACACGACGCGAATTATCAGTTTTAGAATTCAAATAAATTCAATTCTGTAAGGAAATTTTGAGAACTATGCACACTGGACATGTCCAAATGTGCTACCCTCCAGTAATTGTCAAGAATATCATAACAAGATGAAACAGTTGATTTTGAAAACTGAAGAATTTGCAAATATCACGTCCCGTTGCCGGATCGCGTCCAGTGTGTGACGGGCTTAAAGGCGATTTTCAAATTTCCATTACCGTCCGCTTCACCCGCGCGAGCGAAGCTAAGCGGCTATGAAATCCACTTGGTATAATAAAAAGAATAAAATATTTTTAACATCGCGTATAGCGCAAGCAGAAAGCAATGTATAAAGCTGTGAATGCATGTTATCACATTTTTCATGCTTAATGCATTCAAGTGTGCAGTAATCTGACAGTAATGCCATGCAGTTTGCAGGATCCTTCTCAAACTGAAGTTATTCAAAATTCCTAAGGGCTTGAAATTTTTCAATACAGGCGATAAAAAGAGAGTGGTTTGAAACTCAGGTTGATATTCATGACATAGAAAACCTTACCACGACTAGGCGACGTGTTTGTAATAAACACGTATTTCCCTTTCCCAGATGTACTATTATAAGACCACAATCGACGCACTCCCTTATCATCAATGTTTATACTAGTGTCTGAAACAATATGGTACACAAATTTAATAAAAATGCATTCGAGTCAGAATATGACACTTTATATACACTGGCGGTCAAAAATAACTGCTCAAATGTTGCTATTATCGCATGTATACAGGAATCGTGACAATCTATCTTTTATTGTACACTAGCGGTGGTCGTCACGAAACGTCAGGTTCTTACCGAAACATGTATTTCTTGACTTGTATTCCAAATCCAAAGTAATACTTCCATCTATAATTTATGCAAATATTGTCTGGGGTGGATGTAACAATAAGGAAATTTTTAAGTTATTGCAATATTGGAACGATTGCATTGTATACAGGGGTTTATACATGCAACCGACCCCTGGTTTTCATATGTTGTAATACATCAGCGATGCTCTACGATCTTTTGTCGGCGACCAATAAAATATATTTTCATCGATAAATTAGACAAATAATTATATGCGTAGATGACCACCAATACTAGACATCGCCGATGAATTATACAATAATATGAAGATCTGATATATGTATAGTGATTATAGTTAGTTTGGTCATGACTTGATTATAAAAGTGCACAAACCTCGGCTTTTTTTTCGAGAGGACTTTGCGCCCATGATCTACAAAAAATAAAAATATAGTATTAATTTTCTCGGTAAAAACATATTAACACGATAAAATTAGTCGAGGTTCTCATAATTATGCCTACATTTAAGGCCATGTTACAAGGTGCAATTTTTCTTGCAACTTGCAATGCAATTCTACTTTTGAGAGATGTTTGGGAACAACGAAACTTTTGTGTTTATTAGGTCCAGTCTTCTGTTAGGTTATACGATTGTTTTGTTCGTCTTCGAAGAATGGATTGATAATAATATAAGTTAGTACGACAGATAATTTTGGTATACGCTTCATAAAAATGTCTTTAAAATAGCTGATTCAGTTACTAAATTAGTAAATAAAGGTAAAGAGTTGACAGTTTCTTGTCAAAACATGCCTCTTGTGCGAAATATCTGTAAAATAACAGTTAAATTTCGATTGTTTTATGATAAAATAATTTACCCGCATTTTCTACCATTATCCGCAAGAATTTACCCGCATCCGCGTTTTCTACCATACCTGAAAATTGTTGACCGCATATTATCATAACAAAGTGTTTTTGTTGTCATATGTCAAAACACTTAATATGTACACTCCCTCAGGAAATAGTGAGTTTTGTTGTCCCTCGAGTCTCAGTGTTTACCTCGATATCGTCTCGGGAAACATTCAGACTCTTGGGAAAACAAAACTCACTATTTCCCTCGCGAGCATACATAAAGTGTATAATATTCACGTTCCGCTTGAAAATGATTTTTGTTACGTTCTCCTAACATGAATATATAAAATTCAAAGCTCTTCCGGCATCGTTTTTTGTGGTGAACGCATTAGCATGCAACAATAACTAATCAAATAAGTAATAAAGTACTGAATTCGCTTGTGGGTACACCACGTAATATTTTATACTGCAAAGGCTTTCGGTCCGTTAACCCGGGCCTTCATCAGTGCAATAAGCAAGTGCTATACAAGCTAATTTACTCAGTTATTTGATGTCACAATGCAAACTTACAAGAATATTATTAACAGATGATCAGCCATCATAAAATAGAATTTTTTGAGACAGTGACTAACCAAACTATAGGTCTATAGCCCAACCATAGCTCGCAGTAAAATACACTATTTTCGAGCGAGTGCATACTCAGTGGAGTAACGGACGTAAAGTAGGGTTGGGACAAGAACTAAAGGCCCCCGACCGTTGGGGGCCCATTGATTGCCGTCTATCACAAGGATTCTTAAAGAAAAATGGCGTGTCAGTGTATCGCATAAAACAAATTGTTATGCCAAAGATAGGCCTAGGGTATGAGGTTGATTGCAAAGGAAAATGCAGCAATTATGGCTGAATTTTCTATTCTATTATCCATGTTCTATTACTTCTATAACTAATGAAGTAATATACTAATGTAAATTTACAAGCTTCAGCTCTTAAATTATTTTTCAAGTGAAAACATAACAAACAGCTAGGGCCCTATCTTCGTCCGTTACGCCACTGGGCATACTGACTATATATGCATGTATCTATTTTGTATCTATATATTGATATATTTCTTTACGTATCTATTGATCCGTAGACCAATAACTGCTGAAGAAAAGAAATGAAATGTTAATATTTACTTACATCTGATTTGATTGCGTCCCCCTGAAGGAATGAGATCAACTTGTGAGTAACAAACAGATCAGGTCCGAGTGTCATTTATTTACGCGTCACAGGACGTACATACTTACCATACTTCCATATATAATTATATGACAATAATTATGACTTTATAGCCATATCCCTATTTCTGCTAAGGTTTATGCTTCTAGTTCTAGGAAAAATTACAGTTCTGTTAGATTGTTCTAAGGAAAAAAAATTAGTTGACTTAGTTTTCACCGAAAACCAACGTCCTGCTGACCATTTCAGGAATTCAGGAGATATAAGAAACATAAAAATTCCGAAAAATAAAGCCATCTTTCAGTTTCACTCATATTCGCAATAAATTTCAAGATGGCTTTGTTCTTTCGAATTTCAAAATATTCATGAGAATATTCGATCTTTGTAATCGAATAGAAAGCGGATATCATGCATTAATATTTGCATGGCGGTTGCGAGTTTTTTCATGCATCCTGTATGCTTCAGTTTTGCACTGCAGTTGCATGTATTTCACTCTGGGTATAACGTAAACGATAGACATTCGTTGCTCACTGACTCGCTTTTTTGTGAAATGAGCCATATCTAACCGTAGCGAGATAAGATGATAAATACTTGATAGATAGCGCTCAGGCATGCACCGGATAGTGTATTTTCAATCGTTTCAAATTTGCCCTGTTGTTAGATGTAACTATGATTAAAGCTTGGTATTGCTAAATTGCAGACCCTTTTACAAGCCAACCAGCTCCTACTAGCTGTAATTTGTTTTTTCTTGAGGCATTTATAGATTTCACGGCTATATTATGATAGTACAAATCACAGAGTCACCTTATAAGTGAAAGCGGGAAGTGCCTATATCACTGTGCACGTGGAAGTTCAGCTTAAACTTCCGCTCTATGACTATGTAATGTGACCATCCCTTGTCTACAAAACAGGATGTATAAAAAAGTTAGACACTTCGCAAATGTGGTTTTTCATTACGTTTGAAGCAATTCACGGCCGCATGAGCAGATTTTCAAAGGCTGTTTAGCCTGTTTTGCCCGCGATAGTTAAGCGAATGTAATGGAAAACACGCCGGCTAACATGCTTCTTAGGCGCACGAGTCGTTCGGATAATCTTCTAATAAAGAAGTATAGTTTGAGCTCTTATAGGACACATCATGCACATCGACTTGACATTGATTAATTTTTGTGTTGTTAGTTTTATAAGAAAATAGTAAACTTTAAGTCGTCAAAAAATCACGGATTAAAAGTTTAAAACGCATGTACCGAATTCTCTTGAACTTTGCCTTTGGATCAAAACATATTTCAAATTTTAGGCTTTTAGGCGGAGGTTTATTTCGTAAACTAGGCTGGCGTTTCAAGTTGCATGAAAAGACTGGGAATGACGTCAAGGCAATAATATTCTGGGAATAATATTCATGACATTATGAGAATGATTTCATACAAAATATCAATTCCAGTTAAAATAATTATTTATATCCACGGTTGCCATCCGGGGAATAACCGGCATAAATTTTTCGGGTCTTTTGCTTCTCGTATTAAATGATTCACCTGTCCTTTAACACTTAGTAATGTTCCATCTTCTTCTCCTTCAAGTTTTTGTCTCAACCTAACAAGAACTCGTTCCGCCATTTTGTTTACAGCGGTTTCATCTAAGTTGTTTCGTTGCTCGTTCCCATTATCTAGGACTGTATCTGCACTTGAGACGTTAGATGTGTCCATATCAGGTTTTCGTTGTAATGACATAGCTTTCAAAGGACTCAATGTCCACGCGTACAGAGGATCAAAAAGCAGCACCTTGAATTATGATATTTTTTATTGCCTTGAAATATTTTACTAAAATAATATAACGAGGGGCAGCGTGGCAGCGTCCTCAAACAAATTGACATCAAATGTGGTATAACAACTGCCTAAAATGCACAAAAAAATTCTCAACGCTTCGACATTTAAGGACCTTCGTCAGGAGAGTTAGCTAACATATCTCTCCTGACGAAGGCCTTCAGGTCGAAACTTTTTTTTGTCCATTTTAGGCAGTTGTTATACTACTATATTTGATGCGAAGATGTATCAAAATCTACCAGCTTTAAATATTGATTGATACTTTTAGTTAATTGCTAAATGCTTCTCACTATTTGATCAAATTTCTAACCTGTACTATCGTCAATATTTTCTCTTGTGAACGTCTCATAACGTTTAAGGTTTCTTCAGAGCATCTGCGAAAGACGCCCTCGACTCCAGAGATTCCCATCCCGTCCACCAAGTCGCGAGTCAACCTAAAAGGGACTGTTTCCGGAGTTGGCAACATCTTTCCTTGCTCAAAAGCGACACCTGGGGAGAAAGTGGGAGATCATGTTAAAATTTGATCTGTAAGGATATAAATACAACAGAATATATCAACTATATATAAGGCTATCTTTTGCATATTCTATTTCTTAGTCGACAATATACCTTTGGTGGCACCTTAAGAGCATCGTTCTACGTACCCCCCACCCCCCTGAATATATTTTATCTTCCGGCGCCTTTGACTCCATCAAGCGAAAGAGCCGGTCTTCCGAACTCTTATCCAAGCCCAAAACAGTTAAAAACAGTTTTACTCTTCACAAACCTAAGTCAATATGAATAAGTTCTGCAGTATTGCAATCAATCAGTATGTTTTGGACATGACGATCGCCAAGACCCACAATATAACCAACTAATAAAAATTAAGTAAAAATATTGTTATCAAAAAATAAATAACATAGAACTGATAGACAATCTATACGCAAAGATTTCTAAACAAGATTGTCATAACTTTACACTAGAAACATGAGCTAAAACGAGGAAGGTTCTCGTGGGTGTTCAGCAAATAAAACTATGGCAAGAGTATCGAATTGTAATAAACTGCAGAAATAGTCCTTTAAAGGGATATGTTTATATAACAGAGTAGTTGCTAGTAAATCAAATTAGCTAAAATTATTAGCCCCCTAGCTTGGACATGGCCACGTGAAACAAATATAACAGAAGGTGAAACCAAAATAAAATTAGGCGACTCATCCAATATCGCATATGCATTTTGTCATGTTCAAATATTATTAATACAATCGCTTTCCTATAGAAACAGTCCTATAGAAATATATAAATATGCACCATTCAATCATGCGCCTAGCCCCAACTTCGTGAGCAAAAAGGTGTATAGCCCTACCAAACGTAGGTTAAGACAGAAGATCAAGGTCTATGAAAGTTTAAATCATCACTGCTTAATGCGTTATAAAATATACCTATCGATGCGGTTGCTACACTTCTTGTGTAAGCAAGACGTTTTTCAAACCATAAAGATGGTTCCAAAAATTTTTCAAAGAAAAAATGTCTGAAGACAGGACTGAATCTTGCCATAATTTCCTGAAAGTAGAAATTTTCATTGTTTAGGCATGAATCAGTGTAATATGTATACTACACACTACTAATAATGCAAAGTAAAAGGACATCCTTTCTCCCTCTTTTCTCTACTGATAGAAGGTAAGAAAAGCAGTTACCCCTTTTGCTCCCTGCTGCCCCTCAGTTCCGTTTTCAGGGGGGGGGGGGTTGATATAGAAGGTTTAGTGAAATGCTGAAAGCATGCATGTACCTCTAGCACTAGTGCATATGATGAGCAATTATATCTCAGTTGAATTATCAACTTACCTTATATATCTTATATCGTTTATCGACATCGGTACGATCAACGCTCTACAATCATACGAGTTGTGTTCGTTGTTAAACTGCACGTTCGATGAAATAAAAGTGTAACTGTGTTTTGTAATAACAATATTCATCCTAATATCTCAGCTTCATCAAAGTAGGAAAATAATTTTCGATGCATTTGAAAAATGCGTGTTTATGCAATAGCTTCGAACAGAACAGGGAAAAGAAACCTTGGCAAAGTTGTTTTATAGTTTACAAAATGTTGAAAAGACAACTCAAAGGGTATCGTCCCCTCCATTGCATACATATAATACATAGTACTGCGTTGTTGAAGACCCTAGGCGTGTCTGCTGTTAGTTTATCAAGCTGACATGTCTGCCATACCTGCATTTTCTTTCTACAATCCAACGAAGATAAATCTCGAGGATTGTATCTTTGATGCGCACCAACAGGACTTTTCCCCTGAACTCCGATAAGATAATTTCCCAATGGCATTGTTTGCTCGCACCATTCAACCAAACCGCTACGTTGAGACAAAGGAACAACCTAAATAATAAAATAATAATAATAATCAAATAATTGGAAAGAATTGGCGATATATAAAGTGGGAAGGCTTAATTTGACCTAAGTCGGCCAGAATTAAATATTTATTACGCATTTTAACCTTGTATGTTCGCATTTTCAAATTACGTTTTCTTGTTTCAACGTTCTTCTGAAGCAACGTGTTGACCATTCTAAACACTTGCTGCATTACGGCATCCTGTCTTAAGTCATCTTTACCCTAGAGAATACACACATTTCTTACAGATAACATAATATTTTTTTAGATTTCCTTTAATTATTTTCCCGCGTAGATAAAGTGGGTTAATTTTGGTGTTTTTGAATTTAGGATTTTACTTTTATTAACTGCCTTCGCTTTACACCATCAGAGCCAACACAGAGTAGAATTTTTGGCAAATTTATTCCCCCACATAAACTGAACTTTGGTTCAAATCTTGCAATGGAAATGATATTTTCATAAGAACAACTTGGGTCAATCTGTAAAACCAAAAATCGTAAAGTTAGACGCAGTGTACAGGGAGCATGAGGACCTACTTCCGTTCACCTTTCGTTCAAATTAAATCAAGTGCCACAGGACGCGGAAGGGTTATATTCCTTCACAACATAGGAACTGGTATTTAATGTAGAATGTTTTGCCAAAATAATGTACTTTTTTCCACGTATACACACTTCCCCTACACAAGCGGGTATTTAAAATGCCCATGGTGGATAGTTTCGTGTACGCAAAATGACTTTTTTCTCTCTGTCAGATATTATCAATGACAACTTAAAAATGACCACATCATTACTTACCTGAAGATCAACTGTAGGTAAAGCGACGTTGTTAAGGCAGGCAATGCGTTTTAAGGTCAAATCTGGCAGAGGTATTGGACCTGGAAAAGCATTTGTATGTGTTTGTATGTATTAACTGTATTTGTTTTCTCTGTCTTTATAAATGCGCAGCGATTTTATTTCTGAAACCAGTGACTTGCCTTCCCTAATTTCTTTTGTTAGAGTATTCTAGAGCTTCGTCGTATATAAAATGTGGTTTTCGTAGACAAAAATCACTTGAAAAGTTCCAAAGGTGATAATTGAACTCTTACAAATATTTCTATCAGACAGTTTCATAACAATTTAACTACAGGATTTTACCTGTTTGACTTTTGTATTTAGCCACGTCGTAATACGCCAATTCAATGTAGGCTTCGCTCAGTTTTTCCATCGAGGTGACTGTGGCTTGCTGTGACTTACGTACGTCTTCAATTATCGCAGTAGCTGCCTTTAAACGATCCTGTATAAGGAGAGTTAAAAAGAAGATTTAATGAGTACACCAGGTCACTTCACTGCATGGCAATATTAGACAAGTCAAAATATCCCGGAATGTATCGCTATTTTGTCTATCATTTTCTCCCGACAACCATTCGCCTATTCCCAACCAGGTTTAACATTTAGTAATAATATTTAAAAAATCTTACCTCATCAACGTAACTTTCAGAAGATTGCTGATTGGATCGTTTAGATAATCTCCCGGCTTTCTTTCCTCCACCAGTCAAATATTTACTATCTTTATCGGCGTTAATCAACGCTAATATTATCCAAATCACGTGATGGGGATGGTCCACGGCTGCTTCAATTATCAACTAAAAAGAAATGAAATCATTTTAATATATTGTCAGCACCAATCTGTAATCACGTAATGTTATCGATTATTTAGCATTCATTATGTTTACCTTTCTTAAGACATTTTGAAACAACTCATTTTCCCGCGTCTTAGCGCCAAGTCGCGCTGCTAACTGATACATCAGAGGAAGAAACTTCCTTGATGCTACTGACATTTTCCCAGTGTCTAAAAATACTCCTTCCTATAGAGAGGAAAATAAGTAAAAGTGTAGGTTGGATCAGTCTCGACCCAGCTACTCGTCATAGTAATTAATGAAAGGTTGTCGTAAATGTGGATTTAATGTATCTCCTGAAAACGTTGATATACTATCGGTTACTGTGATATGGTCAGTGATTGAAGTTTAAAATGAGAAGATCGCTGAAGAAGAAAATATTGTGATTTATAGCACGCAACTTATACCTTAACAATCCTGTTTATCGAATCGTCTTCACAATTCTCCATCCACAACGAACAAATTCTGAAAATTTGTAGATCGTGCTTTTCCTAAATGACAAAATGTCTGTAATTTTGTGCGCAATCTCCCCGCCCTAGTCTGGAAAAAATGAGAATCTCTACGAGATGAATAACCAACCAGACGAATGCATGTACTCACCCCAACTTGGAGACATCTAATGTAATTTTTTAAAGCTTTTTGTAAATATTTAAGACGATCTTCTCTCATTTGTGTCAACTCTTGTTCATCAGATTGACTTTGCAAACTTAACTCACGCAAGTAACGACAATTGTCTACTCCGTGTTCTTTAAGATTTGCCACCTCAGACTATTGGTAAAAAAAATGAGTTGTCATAGTTTGAATTTATTAGCTGCATTAACGTCTTAATGAAGATGGTGATTGTCAGATGTCAGTCCAATAGTCAAATAAGTCAACGAACACAATTTTAAACGGAAAATTTCATTAAGCTAAAATTGCAGGTACAGCATATCCAAAACTATGAATTGTACCTTTAATTTATTCATTACTGAACGCTTGTTTTCAAATGCCCAGGACTTCATATAATCCTCAATATTCCTGTACTGACTGTCAGCAAATCGAGCGAGACACAAAAACGCCTATAGAAGAAACAAATAAAAAAAATCGTTTATACACTACTATTCACTGCAGTATTTAGTACGCAATTCCTGTCTTGTGGCAAAATACCAACAAAAATTTAGGGTATTCATTACCAAAGTAAGAATATTTTTACCCTAGAGAAAGTTAGGCTTCACAGCTTCACAGTAACCTCGAATTAACTTGCCTCACTTGAAGACTCCTGTTTTCCACTACACGACATCACAAGGTCAACAGCCTGCACACAAAACGTAGACATAAATTAATTCAGCACGAATACAAAATTTTGATATATTTTCAGGAATATATACGAACCACGGCCATAGGAATATGCATGTACATCGTAAATTAAACGAAATAACTTCATTAAATTACGTTTACCTTTTCTAAATATTTCTCCATAATTGTGTTTGGATTTTCCGAACGTGTCTCGGCCAGCCAACTACCGTAAAGACCTAGTGTTTCAGGGTTATTCTTAAAGTATACAAGAAGACTTTTTAACTGAAATTCTAGTTCATTATCCAAAAACAAAACATGTTAGTACGAAATGTACAGAAATGTACGGAAATGTACGAAGATGTACGGAAATGTACGAAGATGTAGATATCAGGACACCGTCGACAAGCATTAAACTCTTACTTTCACAGCTTTGTTGATTTGTTTCAACTGAAACATGGCCGTTTCATGCTCTCCCTGACACCAAAATACTTTGGCCTCCTCGATCTTCCAAGAGTAACTTGTTGTTATAAAATCTTCGCATGATCTCAGCTCCTTCAATGCCGCTATTGCCCTTTCTGAAAACTGGAAAAGTTGAAATATATTATATTATGATAAACGTCTACTACAAGCATTTTTTCTAAACTAGATATAAAATTTTAATATTCTGCTTCAGTGCCAGCGTTCTCAAAATAATAATTGTTTTAGGTTTAAAATATATATGCATGGCTATTTAATTCCTATTAGAATTCCATGGAAGACTTGGCGCTGTTACAATATGCAATTTTCCTTGCAACTTGCAATGCAATTCTACTCCTGAGGCATCTAAAGTTTCTTATAGCATCAAAATTATAATTGCATTGCGTCATAGTGTCAGCGCCTTTTGATTGAATTTCAGGTAGAGACATTTTGATGTGTTGCATGGATGCGTTTTGCACTTCAGTCTTCAGGGAAAACTTTGTACGTCAAAAAGCACCTGATAAGAACCAGCATGTCTTGCAAGTTTTGATACCATCTCACAATGCTTAACCAATGAAGATAAGAAACATTGTGTCATCCCTACAGCTGTTGAATCATCTCGAGAAAGTAAAAGAAGTTGTTGTAATAGGACAGTCCTAAGCGATAATATTGGCTCCAATAAATAAAATTCATAGAAACTTTCTGGAATATCCATAATCCACTGATCAAGCGAAATACGATAATCATCGTTGCTAAAATAAGTTGGAAAATATTAAAAAATTTAATATATTGGTTAAACAATATCTCGTCCAAATATTGAAGCAATCTTAGATACGTTTTCTTATACTAACTCTCCTGACGAAGGCCCTCAGATCGAAACGTCGAGAAGTGTTTTGTCAATTTTAGGCAGTTGTTATACCACATTTGATGCAATCCTTGATACGAGCTTTCTACAATTTAGTATGTTTCAGGTACATTGTGATTGTGCCTTGATTGAGATTACGACCATATCCACTTCTAATGTTTGGGTATTATTAGACAAATCAAGAACAGGTACTTTTTAAATCATTTAAACAATCATTTATTACGACCACCATATAGGGGATTCATGTAGGTGACAAACGACTTTCTCAGAGCTGTTAAACTATACACTGTCGACTGTCGTCAGCAGTTAACCATTGCAACTTACATAAATTCATCTGCCTGAAAAATTGTTTTACCTGTAACGAATATTTCTCGCTTGCTCGAGCTCTTCCAAACATTGTAACCGTATTATCTGAGGATAAACTTCGCAAAGACTTTCGGTATTTGTCCTACATAATTCTTCGGCAATTTTAAGTCTAGAACGAAAGTAATTACCAAGATATCATTACAGTTGTACGTGTCTTATTTCAACATTTCTTGTTTTTCGTTTTATATGTCATCCAGTTGTCTGCTGGTAGAGGATTTTCATCAAGACAAGAAATATAATTGCACAATTGCTCATATATATATTTATATATATTCATCGCATTAGGGATAACTTGTCTCTTCACTTAACTACCCACCTAAAACCAATCCAGGGATACGTTAAGCGGCAGAAACAAAAGCTAAATAGTGATCATTAATTGTCAACTAATTACCTGCATTCATCAAGTGAAAAATTAAACAACTTTAAATCTTTGTTTCTCAGGGACTGGATGTTATGGTAAACGCACTGATTAAAACCTTCGTTGACAGCTGCAAATCGATCACTAAATATTCGAAAAAATGCAGTTAAGTAAAGACAATTAGCTATTAATATTAAGTACGCGTAAATTGAGACACCAATATTATTATTTATTTTCTTTAATTTGTTAAGATATGGACGTTGCAATTTAAGTATAACAAATATTTTCTTCACCTGACATTCTGATCAATGTCCCAGATTCCATTTCGCCAGGCTGCTTCGTATTGAAGTTCCGCAAACTAAAATATCAAAAAAAACTATTTAAAGAATTCAAACTTCGTGTACAATAATTCTAGCTTTAAGGCAAATCTTCTTATATTTGTATTATGCAACATTGAAACACGTTTCACCTCGGTTTGGTTTTCATATTCCAACCCTTTCAGATATTGGAACGTTATGTGATCAAGCCCAAACGTCTTTAAAGCCTAGTACAAAAGAGATAAAAATATACAGCTGTTGGTGGCAATGAGTATAATAATAGCCGTAATTTTACTACGTAAAAAGCATGGTTAGAAATCAACCCCAGTCCCGACGCGAAATTTTCTCATCAAACAAAATATTCGCGCGATTTTCTTGTTGATTTAATTGTGACGGTCAAAAGGATTCTCCTTGATCGACTTTTCACATAAAAAGAGCCATTTCAGTAAAAATTTTGCTCGAACGTTGAGGCTACGACTTAAACCTAAATTCCGACTTGAATCTATGACGTCACATGAAACGATAGAATACCGAATGTCCGTTACATTGATTTTTTGGGGGAAACGTTACATTGATTTTTGCAGCAGTCTAGAATGAAGACATTTGCAATAAAATCTTGAAAATACCACTGGTTGATAGCTTACCTGAACAGTTCCAACACAAGGCTTGTTATCGGACTGACGACAATACAAGTCGTATGTTCCTATAGCGGAATTAGAACTGAAGTAGTTAGACATAGACAATCAAGTTGTGTGGCAAAAATGTGATAAACACAGATTTATTGAATTTTCCTACTCAGAGCTTTTCCCCAATGTTTCTCCTGTTCGTAAGAATATATTCTGGCTTTGAGATCAGTTGAAACTCCAGATCCATAAAATGCATCAGGTTCACCAATGGAAGAATAAGCTTCAAATAAAATTCTTTGATAATCTGCCTCAGAACCTCCCTCCGTACTTTCACTGCATATCTCCATAGCAACATCCTGGGAGTCTAAACTTGATTCAAGTGAGCGGGAGGACACAGACCTGCAAGTTTCATCATCACTGAATAAATTATGATTAAAGTAATTATACATAATTATTATGCCAGTAATACAACACTAACACACATTTTTTTCATCAAATGAGGTAAACGCCTGAAATTTATAATTCCCCACAAAGTTGTATAATAAACCGTTCTTCCATGAAAGCCCAGTTTGAGTACAACATTTTCTGTTAGGAAAAAAAAAATCTTACTTTTGCATATCTTTCCATATTTCGACATACAATATTGCAGTATAGTAGGCAGAACTTTTCAAAGCAGCCTCTGCTAGCTCTAAATAATTTAAATCTAGCCAAAAATTGCTGTCCCAAGACGTGCCAAATGTCCCAGTCTTGGCAGGTCGCGGTTGTTCCCGCAGATAATTGATCACGTTCAAAATTGAATGAACAGAATCGTCACTTGCTAAAATAGGAACAATTAATTTAAAGTTAACCCAATGACAGGAATTTCAAAGCAGCGCAGATATGTAACTCTGTAACTCAAGATAAAAAAGCTTGATGATTTCATGCAAGTATTTCCGAAAGGTAACTGTGCTTATGAAATGTATTATTAAGAAGGATCATCTTTTTAAATAGTAAAAACTCAGAATGGTTGTGGTCTTGAATAACATCAGTGGGGCCGATAAATCTTCGACTAGCACTAACCCTATGTTGAATTCCATTCATGGATTCATCAATATAAGGGAAGAAAAGTCTTTAGCCAGAAAGGTATTTTTTAATTTTCATATACCTGCATCTAAAGCACCATTTTCATTTTTAGTAATGAGTGGAGTACTGGCTCTACTCTGATTTTTAGACGAGGTCACGTGAGATCGAAACAATCTTTGGATTTGTTCTGACATAAGCTCGCGATATGTTTCATTATGACCGGAGTTCAACAGTATGTCGTGACAAAGATATGGAAAAACCAAGTCAGCAAACGGAGTCTGAAAACAAAAATGAAACAACCAATAATTTGCTTGACTTGTGTCAATAATGTGTGAATTAAGAAGTTTATTTAGACAGGCCAACAAGCTGTGTGACGCGTTTAATGTTAAGATAACTGACAGGTTTAATAGATACCTGATATATATGCATGGAAAACTTGAAAAAATTTTAATATCCTCTTTATACTTCACATCTTTCTTGATACTTTCAAGAATTCTCTGTCCCACCCTACTTCAACGGACTGTAAGCCAGTCTTTATAAACACACTTACATGTACTTGACAGATTGGCGACAAACAGCGAAGTACTTCATCTTTAATGACACCACTATCTATGATTGTTGAAGTTAATGATGATATCCAATCAGAATGGTTGTTGAACGTCTTGGGATTCCAAAGATCACAATCTTTTACGATCGCCAAGAAACTTGGAACTTCTGATTTCCCTTCTTCTTTTTCGGTTTTCTTAAAAGAACAAAATTGACATCACATCAAATTTTGGTTGTTCTTAATTTGCAGTGAATTTTTGAATGAATCATTACCACACATCATATATTTCCCTAGCCTCCTCCGCAGGCATCTCTTATGTATTTATATTAGGCATTTATATTTGGCTTGGGTTGGCTGTGTCGGGGAAGGCAAGGAAAAAAGTGGCAGGCATCTCCAGCAATTTTTTTTTCACTCCCCGATACAGCTAACCCAAGCCAAATATAAATGCCTAATATAAATACATAAGAGATGCCTGCGGAGAAGGCTAATATTTCCCATTTTTTTTTATTTTTAAAACAAACAAGACGCCGTTCTGGCGTTAACTCCGGCGCACGTGCCAGTCTTCAATATAGAGCTTCTGGACATAAACAATACAGTTCGCGTATTGTTTCGCATACATATTCGCATTTAGATGCCTTACGAACCTAAATGTTCGATCGCGAAATTCAGAAGCACATCGCAGTATAGAAGTTCAATTGTTCAAAAATGTAAATAAACCGCATGATACATTCGCTTCGTCTTACAGTTTGCCTTTGGAATTCGCGCTTATATAGTTGTATTAAATCTTCGATCCTGTGCAAACTACGCGACGTGTCAACGCGCCCATACACGACCACATCATCTTGTTAAACGGCGAAATAGCAGCGATATTATTAAAATAGGACCGGGTCTACATGTATTAAATATATTCTTATCCCAATTCAATCTAAACTTAATCGAACAGCATGAAAAGAACGGTCTATTTGTTCCTCTTGGAGGAATTGCCGTATCATGCGAGCGAAATCGAATCGCGCATTGGAAAATTAGCCAAAGCTGTGCACCACAAGTCTTGGGAGATAAGACTGGGACGTAGATAAATACGGTCACATACATGTTTTAAATACTAGTATATTTCGCGCCATTACAGACTTGCGACGACGAAAAATAAAAAAAAAAAACAAAAAAAAAAACAAAACAAAACCGGGGCGAATTTTCAACTCCGTCGCTGACGCCGGAGTAATTAGGAATTTATCATCACAATTGTACGAGATTGAAAATGACACGATCCATAAGGAAACATCTTTCAGTACCTTTTTTCGTTTCGTGGGTTTGAAAGGATCGAGATATCCAAAAAGATGGTCAATTTTTTTTTCTTCGTAACATTTCATCAACATGACAATGCTGGGTTTACTGAGAACGTTTTTTAAACACGAAGCTGCCACAGCGACCTTTTTTATGCTAGAATTTAACAAAGTGTTTCTTATGCAAACAGAATAAATGTATCGCAAAGTACAATGAGATAATGTGGCAAGTTTTTTTAGCATTGAACAAAATAGTCAGCAGAAGGCCACACCGTGATAAGTATATTATATTCTGAATATAACAGTTCAATTTCTGAGCTGTGGCTTAGGTACGACATTCAACTTACTCTCTATCGATAAGGCAATCATTGAGTACGTGAAGAATTCGGCAGTTTCGACAACTATCTTCATCTCCTTTAAAAGCTTGGCATGCTTTGCTATAGCTGTAGTTCTCTATAGCTAAAGAAAATTAATCAATTCTGTACTCTGGATAAAAACAGAGTGTTCTAATTAAGAAATGTTGCCTTTTCAAAAACGTTTTTGTTCAAATTTGAATGCCTGCATCGGCTGCATGGTTATTATACAAAAGTCTCGTTTTTCACTTCTTTTGCAAATCAGCATCAAGCAATTTTTGCACGAATATCATTATCACATAATGTGACATTGAAATTCTAACAGAAGCTAATTTCAAAGTCACTTGAAACACCTTGTGTATCAGCAACTTATTACGTGTAAATTAATATTCTTTTAACATAAAAAAGATCTTTTTTAGAGAAATAACAACTTACAGATTTATACTCAGAGATAATTTACTGAATATACTTGAAATATGTAAATATAATGATCGTACGAACCTTGAGATGTGGAAGGACTTAAAGACGATACGTATACAGTGGGTGACCCAATTTCGGCGACGAGTTTTCCTGCTTCAATTTTCACCTCGTTTGATGAGTTTTTACACAAAAGTAATAAGCGCTTCAATAGTTTTATAGGTAAACCACCAAGTAGTGAATCTGTAAAGAATAGAAATATGTTTCTTTCTCAGATCAGTTTTCTCTTATGCTTTACGCATTCAGAGATGAAACAATAACATTGCATAGCAGTCATGACTCATGACTAAGGTATTGAACTTTATAACGATGTGAAAGCCAAGGTGTATGACGCGTGTATTTATTACCATTGAGACCAGTTTTCATTGCTTCTTGAAGTTCATTTTCATGTCTAAATCTTGAACGTAGAAAACGAAGACCTTCTACACTTGACATGGAGCGACATCGGCCACTCACCGAAAGAAAATGTTCAATTTCCTACAAAAAATGAAAGTTTTTAAAAAAGAGGGTTCTACTTTTCATATGACAAAAGCGATAGTCATGCATAGAACACCATGATCAGTAGTAAAAGTAATGTAGGCCGTAACAAAGAGCTGGTCACTGAATGAACTATAGTTATTAATATATACTGCTTACTGCTGACAAGGTGTCGTTCTTTTTTCGTACAGACCAGTAAGTTTCGTTAAGCATCGCAAACTGAGGTTGATCAGGGAATGGATCAAGACAAGAGATAAAAGATTCCAAACATGATTGGTTATCGACAATCAGGAATTTCAGTAAAGCGATCGCCTTAAAAGAAAAAGAATGAGGTTAGTGCATCTGAAAAACGTTCATAGATATATAGAGGTCCGCATTGATATATATTGTCTTGGATAATCGAACTTTTTAAAAAATGTTTTATTCAAGAGCAACAAGTGGTTGCTTACACGCGGTGGGATCATTACCTTCTTTGATCGGCCATCTTTTGTCAATACAAATGGGATGATTTCATTCACGATGTCAAGAAGATGATGCCCAATTTCCTTGAAAAACCCAAACGTTCTTGGAATTATACAAAGATTGGTCATATCGTATTCAAAGGTCAACATTACGAAAACAAGAACGAGGGCATAACATCTTAACCGATATTTTGTTAGAAAAGAGATAAATTACAACGTATAAACAATATCCATTATTATTATATGGCAAGCGCTTGTTTTGGTTAATTCTGCAATTTGATTGGCTGCTGACAGGTCCGGATTTCCCCGTATTGCCCACGGTCAATACGCAATTCTTATTGCCCTGTGAAAACAAGGCAAAACTCACGGCAAAAACTAACTAATCATTACAATGTCTGCATGAAATATGCCATATAATAAAAAACTTACTAACTTCGACTGTTCGGTCTGTACGGTAAAATATCAAACCTCGGTCTTGGTGTATTGACCTCGCTGTCGCTCGGTCAATACGGCAAGACCTCGATTTGATATTTTACCGTACAGACCTCATTCTCAGTCAGTAAGTTCTTATTATTATCCGCATTCCAATATTTTACAGTTTGTCGTTTTGTTTGTCTTTTCCAGGTTATTTTACAGTGATCCTGGATTATGAGTTTCTACTTATAATTTGAGCACAAAAGAAAACATGCATATACAACAATAGTCTGGTAAAATAATTATTTCAACAAACCTGTGGACAGCAAGATAATGCAACTTTACAAACTTGATAAAGCAAATCACAACTTGCAGTGAATATATCACTGTCGAGTTCAATCTGTATTTCTTCATCACGTATCAAGCCAATAATTCTCAAGACATTTCTTGAATTATGACGTGATATAGTCCTTATTAAGGTGTAAACAATATCTCTGACTACGAATGCCCAGGATCCGGCTAAACCTTGATTTAATTCTTCAAGTAAGAGCAGAACAAACAAACGATACATAGATAGAAATGATCGCCTCTTGTGAAATACGTGAGTCCCTTCCAAATATTCAGACAAACGAAGCAGAATCTTCTGGATATTTTCCTAAGTTGATGTAATGTGAAAACGATAATGGGTGTTATAAATTTTGTCAAATGCTTGTATCTTTGCAGGGTTGCAGCACCTAATTAGCATGTTTCTGAAGAATACAAACATGCAGGAATAGGGCGTCTTTAGTCTCACGATTTTCCGGGATGGTGAATCTTGGAAAAATAACCCTTGTTGGTTAGGTCATTTCAAAGGATGAATGATCTATCATATATACCTTCCTTTTACACAAGATAGACACCAGTGTGTTAGAGCCATCGTGACAATTCGTTAGGTAATCTAATGTTGCATTGATTGCATGGGATGTGAAATGAGGTCTTTCTGTAGGAGGATCGTAATCTCTGCAAAGGAAGAACCTTCTTGGTAAAAATATAGCGTCAATCTGGGGGATGAAATCATGGTCAACATCCACACCAGATGAACCTTAAGTCCCACCTGGAAAAGGTGCTTAGTAAAACAGAACTAACATAAATAAATTACAGAATAAACTATAATTTCATAAATATGTATTTTAAAATCTACCTGATGAATTGAGAAACATCGGATAATTCGCTTGGCGAGTCATGCATTTTTAACAAAAGTTCAACAATCAGTTCATCAAACTTTGCCACCATCAGTTTGTCTGTAACCTGAAATTGTACAAACAAATCAAGTAAGCATACAACCAAATGATTTTCTTTTGTTATTAAATTAAGCATAGGAATTTCACATACATTTTTTTGAAGAATATTTTCAACAAAACTATGAGAATCATAAGCTCTTCGTTTGTCTAATTCCAGTTCTTGACTTGCAGGTTTCTGGCGACTTTGTTCAGCGAATGATGGCACAATGATTGACATTATTTTGCAGAAATCCTGAACAAGAAATTCTGTCCAATCTTCGTCATTCCCAATCTCTTTACCAATTGTTTTCAGTGATTCTGTCTCTTTGAAGCGCCAAATTAAGTGTGGCATAACCAAAGCATGATGCGTCCTGTGGTCGATAAAATCGCTTCTTTGTAATTATAAAAATTGATTGGGTAAAGCAAAAGGTTATATTTTTGCGAACAAAAATTAGCAAAAGTTACTTATATGATCTCAGTATCTGTCTTGTTTAAAACTGACAAAGTTACTACGTGAAATATAACTCTAATTTATGGCAAATAATTCTAAAGTCGTCACGCAATGAAGAAAACCCGCAAAAACAGTTTGACAGTTTTCATACCTTAGGAAATCAGCAAGTGACTTGAATTCTAAAGCTTGAAATGGAAAATCAGCCAATTTGAAACCATGACTTAACCAACTGTCAATAATACGACCAACGTGAGTCTTGATGAAATCACTGAGTGAATCATAGCCAAGAGTTGAACTGATTTGACGAAGAACCTTGAGGAATAAACCATTGACTTTGATTCGATAATTAAAAAAAAAAATTAAACCCTAAAACCATCTAAAATGAGACATTGCTATAACTCATTGCATTACTTTGGTATAATCCCTAATTACTATAAAGTTTGAAAAATATGAAATATGTACCCTGTGAACATCTCTTTATTTATTTAGAAACGAACCTTGGCAACAATTTTATGATCCAACTTCTGTTCCATGGTTGCGTGAAATATCAAACACATAACTTTCGGTTCACACCAGCAACTAACCGTTGCGATTGTTTTAAAAGCTGTTAGAAGACTGGCTGCTCTGTTAACTCTTTCATCTTTAAGCTCATCTTCAGTTAGTTTGGCCTGAAAAAATGATGAAAAAGATCGATGGATATATCTATACTCTAATTCCACTTTGACATGGAGGTCGATACTTTGTGGAAAAAATTTAGTTTCTCTTCAGTTTTCATGACACAATTCGTTTCAAAATATGCCTTCGCAAAACAACGTTTGGTAAGGAGAAAAAAGATTAGATAATTACATAAAAAATTTTAATTTTGGGGGATAAACGTTCATTTTTTTACGTACAATTAATTTCAAAAACCCAAATGACTGTCATCATTACTGCATGAATCCTACCTCTACAAGGGAAGATTTGGCTAAGGAACGGGGGAGAGATGATATCAAATAATTCATCCTGAATTGCAGGTTTCATTGGGACACTCAAGTTTGCGGATTTAAATTTGAGAAATAAAATTCCAATTGCTTCAGCCATGTACATCCTCACTGTATGACTTGGATCAAACAAAAGCTCAGGGAAGAGAAGTGATATATGCACAGACGAATCTAAAATGCAACGCAATATATAAGTTACAGACAAACTATTTTTCGCATTAAATGTCGTTAAAAACTAACCGTTATTGTTGTCTTTAATCTCAAAGAATGCCCAGTTTCTGTCAGGATCAAACTGAAATGTAATATGCACTTGTAACTGTGGGTAACTATATAGAACAAACGCGTCAGTATTCTAGTAAAACGTTCTATATGATTAATGGAGGGAAATATTTTGCGGTTTATAGGTTCGGTTATTTGAGCATATTATAATATGCTACAGAAAACAAGGTAGGACTGCATGTAGCCTGATTAATATTAATATTATTGTAAATTCATAAACAAAGCCATGCAGAGTTCTTACACGAATGAACATATCCATACACTTGGCAATTTGAAGACGTACTAAAAAACAATAGTTAGTCTCTCTGAGGCTCCTACGAAAGAAAAAAGTCTCAAACAATTATATCCTCTATGATTAGTTCAAAAATACGACCTCATATAAAATAATAACGCACCAAAACGCCTTCAAGAGATGCAACGAACGCGCTTGTGCATCCTTCATATCTGCCTCGTCTCTAACTTCTGATCTTCCAAATTGTGTCGCCAACAGAGTCAGTAGACTAAGACCTTCCTTGCAATATTCCTGATCTTTTCTGTGCTTTGAAATAAATGTTCTAAAAAATTTTTATATATAGAATATTATATATAAACTCTATAATGACACAACGCACAGTGTACCATATACAGCATTATAAGGGCGCAGGGTAAATTGTGGTGTTCGATGTGAAGATTAGTTTGGTCAAAATAAGGTCATTCATTCTCCCCAAAGCAGAACACAGCAGGAGTAGGTACATGTATATTCGTGCTACCTATAATTGCATAAGAATTGCATCATTTATAGCGTATAATTCACATTGTTCCTTTTCTTGTACCTACCTCAGATGATGAAGAACAACCAAAACATGTTTGCCTTTAATAGGGGCAGAGCACAGAATGAAAGACGCAGCAAAGAACTGGAGAGAAAAGAACGATGGAATTAAAAAAAATCGAGTTCTATTTACACACTTATAATTTGTTCTGCATGCATGTATATTTTAGAGAGAAAACTCACTAGTTTTGAATGAAATGGCTTTAGAATATCAAAGTCCTAAAAAACAAGATAAAAAGAACAAGATAAGAGAGGTTTAGTTTTTCAATCTATCCCAAGAGCAGAAGTCCATTCTAATTTACAAGAATAAAGTGTTTCGTCGACCTGAAGCATGCAGACGTGTGTATTACGGTTATCTAAAAATCTCCTGCCGAGAAACGTTGAGAGACTAAATAGTTTCATAAAAGAAGTGCTTACTGTAGATTCAAAATATTCAAAAATACGATTCCGCACATTATCTTGGAGATCATGTGATTTATCAACACAGGTACACCAAGAGCATACTATTTTCATGTACGAAACTTTTGATTTTTCATTTTCTGACAAATTTTCTGAAACACATAAAAATACCCGAGGTTAAATGTGGCTGGATAAAGACTTTTCAGTTCAACGAAATAAACATACAAACCTGAGTTCATCTTCTGATCTGCCATTGGAGGCTGGAAGGCTGGCTTTGGAATGCTGTTGTTTACTTCAAAACCATCTGAAGCTTCCTCGTTATCAATAAATGTCCCATCAAATTCATCAAGTACCATGTGTGTCTTGTTCGGTTGCACAGGCTGTAATAAGAATTATACATCACATAAATAGGGACTGAACAAGGTGTTTAACAAGCACAACTTGTTTCCTCGTCAATGATAAGATTTTCCTCTAGAGTTTAATTACATAATAATTGGATAAATTATGATAATCTATTGTAAATAACGATGTAAATCACCTCTCTAGTAATAATTTGCATCATAGATTCAATCATTTCTGTGGGCGTCATAGATCTCACAACTTCCAAAATGTCACGATTGAATTGCTAAATGAAACGAAAACCTTTAATACTTACTTCGTCGAAAAAGGGAAAGATTGAATCAAGCAAGCTTCCGTTCGACATATTTTGACACGTGTGTAAATAGCTGCAATCAAATGTCTTACGTTTGTAGAAGGGCCACACAAAAATAAATCATTTAAGGTGGCAATGAAGGACGCTCCTAAAACTGCTTTTCCTTTCAAGTCGTCTTTTTGACCTAATGACTCTGCCATTCTACTTGAAACAGCATTTAAAACTTTCTGGAAGAAGAAATACAACTATTTAAAACAAAGCTGGAGTGAACGAACTTGTCAGTTATTATAATATCACAATTATACTCCACTATCCCACCACAAGATAACTGCATGGAAACTGAGCATACCAATGCTACCATTCGGAATTAGAAAATGAAGAATATACATCTTAACAATTTTACCTTGGTGGCACGATAAAGAGGACATTCTGTAAGTTCGTTGAAGTTAAAAGCATTTATGTACAGAAATAGTCCTAAAACTTTCGTAGACAAACAGCTGAATCTTGGAAGCAACTCATGTCGTTTTTCAGCAGCTTGCGTTGAGCCATGTGGCGAAGATAATACACTGGACTACACAATAAGATACACATTGTTATACAGAAGAAATGAATATATATCACGAACTACCTTCAAAACAGGAAAAACTACCCTTTAAAATAGATATAAGTTGGCATACTTACTTCACCATCTAAATTTTCTGTTAATTTCTCGGAAATTTCAACCATTCTCTGAACCAAAAAACTCAACAACTCTTTCACAGTATTGTTGTCTGTAGTACTACAAAACGAAAAAACGACGACGTATGAATCGTTGTGATTTAATTTCCTTGTAGTCGAGAAGCACAGTAAAGAAATAAATGGTCGACCACACCCGTGAACAAATAAAGAACAGTAAATGAATAAGGAAGTTAACAAAGTAAAGTGTGGTGCAAAAAAAAGTTGTTGCAAAGAGTATTTTCATCGTGTGGTTGAATTCCTAGAGGAAAACAAACGTCTTCAGGTATATTGAAATCAGTTTTTGATCACCAGCCACTGTACCTTTCTTCAACCAACGTTAAAGGATCCACCAAATTAGTTTCCGTTCTCTATATATAGACACACATAAATTCAAATATCGTATTAAATATTCGAATGCTGATTAAAATATTCACACCTTATTAAACGAAGAAAGAAGGTAAATATTTTCCACTTCTTTAAAACCTTCAGCAAATTTCCCAACACATTTCCTAAAGAAAATATAATAAAATATGAGGATAGAAAACAATAATTCAATTTAAAAATAAAGATTGTGATGAGTGTACTGTGTGTCGAAAACACGAGAGCTTTGATAATAAGCTTCGTATAATGATTATTCACATGCTTGATGTTGACATAACCATAATCAACTCTTGAACCGATCTACTTCTATCATTGGTTCACTTGACGTTGTTTGAACCGAACAACGATAAAACGTACACCTACCTTTCGAAATCCAAAATGTGAGCAAGTCCGCTGGTAGTATGACACACTCGTTGTGTTAGCATGACAAGAACACGAGAGAGCAAACCCAGCGGTAATCTATTAAATAATGAGGGTTGACATTACTGCCAGCAAACGACGACTGACTGAAAACACACGAGCTGGACTAGACCTTGTCTACATGCATGTATACAGTGCATGCAGTTCACGTGATGCATTATGTGCATAATCTTGGTACAGTTGGTGATGCCGAACCTGGACAAAATCCTGGAGTAATGACCTTCCACACTATATCCTTGTTGTTCAATTTTACTGACAGAAGGCAGCAACCATTCAAAGAGTTGATGACGTAATGGGTAGTGAGATAATTCAGAGGCTTGATTGGTGTAATGAAAACGTTCAGGTAACGGCAATGTTACTAAATATCGCCATAGGAAAAGCAAGGAACATCTAAATGAAGAGGAAAATGACAATGTTTATAGGGGTTGACTAGAGTCCACACCGATAATAAGAGCAAAGAACAAACCTATATGCAAGGTGGTGTAAATTGCATTCACAGTAAAAGAAGAAAAAAGCCCTAACCCTAACCCTAATCCTAACCCATACAGACACTGAATTTTTAAACTTTCTCGTCCTACTGGAGCATCTGTCGTGAATAGTCAACGAATGTTACATACTCTGAACTACTACAACCAACATCCGTCAACAGCTTCCAAGGTTCTGTATCAGCATCAACAAGTTTCGTCTTTAAAGAAACAAAAAGGCAATCAATTAAACAAATTGTGCGCAATTGTTTTTTCTCCACACGTATGCGCTTATTCAACATTATTTCTTGGAAAATCGACTTTGGATGTCACAGTATATGCCGGAACTAAATTGATACGTTTCGATACGTTTTGTTGGTTTTATGTACGATTATATTATTATGTGGGTCTTACAACTGTCCCAAATCTCGCAACTGAACTATTGACTGAAATATATACCGACAACATGAAACGCTACTGTCGTTACGTACATACCTGAATAATGCTTTCCAAAAGTTGAAAACTTGCATTTTGTAACCCAGGTGAACTACACGTCCTTAAAGCAGCCAGCCAAACGTTTCTCCACGTTGTTTTTACAGAAATCTCTTCTACACTTGGCCTGGGTTCCAACAACTTAACACAACAAGCCGAAAGATGTTGTAAGCACTCCATGACACCTGATATTATTTCCTGCCTATAAAAAATCCTGATGTTTAAACTTTTATTAAATTTTCTGCTTGTAATTTTCAAAGTTGTTAGTCCCAGGTAAGGTTACAGGTAAAGACTGACGATACAACACGATAAAACACGATACAACACGATACAACACGATACAACACGATACAACGGACGTATAAAAATTAACATCGCCCCTCAAGCTAAAACAGGTATGAATGTTTGGATCCAAAAATTCCACTTTTAGGTTAAGTTTACATCGACTATAAACGACGTTAAATGCCCTACTTCTGTTGAGTATCACATGCAATATTTTTTGGAAAATATTCAAAGACTTAGGGTTCATTACTTCTTGCGTTCAATCTGTAGTTGATGCAACGACGTTAGCAGTGAAAGATATTCTCCATCTGGAAGACAGTTGGGGTATTTTGACAGAAGTTTAGCCGTTATTTGCAACCTGTAGGGAAAATACAAAAGCCATTGAGCATATACTGTAGATCTAACACGAGCCGGAAGAGAAGAGAAGTAAAGTTATCCATGACATGAGGACTGCATGACTTACATTTGTAAAGCAGAGTATCAAATGCCAAACCAGTTCTTCATAGCATATAAATCTTATATATCACAATCATGAAGGTATATTTCTAGCCTTTATTTCTAGCCTTATAGCGCTAATGTTTAAATGCAACACTAACCATCCCAATAAAGCCGACGTCTCTGGACTGTTTGTTAAAGTATCTCTTAAAACATTCCACCCAACTTCTACTTTACGTCGTTTGAACGAGCCAGGACCTGAACAACATCAGACATAACGAAGATACAGATTATGATTCAAGAAAAACAGTATAAACACAAATTTACCTGAAACTACTGGCACTGGTGATTTCTTGGAATGAAACCAAAACAGCTTAAAGAGAAGATATCCAATAAAAAAATAATCCACAAAACGACAGTATTTAGTTATACATGAATATATATACTCATTGGAAAGTGTAATATGCATAGTCTTACTTTAATACATTAACATTAAACTGCAGCATTGTCATACATCATACAGCTCTTGTTATGTTATTGTACCTGGTGCAAGACGTTTGCACTGAGCTCTATCACCGCTTCTGTAAGGCCAGTCAGCGGGCTATAGGAATAAAACAATTCATATTATGTGGAAATTTTATCATTGTTGGAGGTTGATTTGAGGAGGAAGATTTTTATACCCGAAGGTATTTATATCACGGTATAAGCGTTTACCTTTGTTTTATTCTCAGGCTTTCTTGCTTAAGGTCAGCACATATCGTCAAATAAATTTTTTGGAGAAGTTGCTATAGTGAAAAACGTGTATTACAGTTATTATATATTTTGCTGTGTTGTTAACCATAATTGCGTATACGTCTTAAAAACATCATTTATATGGTTCCGCTGACGTCCTTAGTGTGCTTAATACATTTTTCAAATTACCTAATATAAAACCACATAAAACATAGAAGTTTTAAGGAGTCTTAATTTCGAATCGAATGAAGTGCCAAAAATCATAATTGATTTACCCTCACATAAAACATGTTTTTAGTAAAAAATATTCAAACATCATCATTTTTTCAGCCTGCTATCATGCATTCTTTTGTAATTCTCATGAACAAGTGATTTTCACCGATTTTCCAGATGCTAGTTTGTCTTTAAAACATCAACCACCTTGACATGTTCACGACATTTACAATTACTGCATGGAAACGACGCTTATCGTTCAATTATATCGCTGAAAATTTGAAAATGCTTGAAATAAAGTAAAAATTGTAACGCTCCTTTGAATACTCGAGATTTTCAATAAATATGTATTCTTCATAATCTTTTTTTTCTAACATTCATCATGCAAGAACTGGAAATATTTCCATAAAGGAAGTTTACCCTCCATGGTCCATAGTCAACACACAATGCTCCAGCTTTCAGCTCTTCAACACGGGGATGGACCAAAATCACGACATTTATTAATTTTACCAACAAAGGTTTCTAAAAACAAATAATATTCCCACTTTCAAATCCTTTTTAAGCTTTAACGAAACGCAACAAAATTAAACATTCTCATAAAATGCACACCTTGACAGATATATATGGTTTGCCCCAAATCTGCAGAAGCGGTGGTAGAAGATCCTCACCAAGTTGACACAACTGTCCGCGACAATCGACAATCACAGCTTTTGAGAATGTAAGTAACGAGCTGAGAAGATACTCCAAAACTTGAGTATTTGTTTCATTTCTAGATTGTTCAATAAAATATACTCAGCTGAAATATATGCAACGTATTTTTACACTAAATACGTACATAGTACATAAATCTACTTGGCAGATGGCCAAATCGTCCTCTGTTGTAGAGATTACGAACAAGCCTGCTTATCTGTGATGAACGAACGGTCAAACAAGAAAAATCTCTCAACAAAATACAAAAGCAGTCCAAAGCAATGGTCGAGTTCACAGTAACGCACTAACGCTACGCACAAAGTCAGACTATAAACCTGTAGCTATAGATCTATACAAAAATCCGTGATACTAGCTAGGCAATACCTGATATCAGTAAAGGCATTTGTAAAGAACTTAAAAAGTCTATTGGACGACATATCCAGTTGAGTAACAGCAGATGAGATGATCTGGGAAAAAGTCTTGGTTGACAATGAACGTTCACTCGTAGGAGAATTTATGATTCCAGAAACAAGGATGATAAGATCTAAAAAAGGTGATAAATATGGTAAATTTGATTGAAATATTGTTTGTAAAACAACGGAATAACTGAACTTAGGAAGATCTCAGTATAATCCTAATTTACTACAGTATCTTTATTTACAGTACGCTATGGCGCGGGTAAAAAAAACGCTAATATTTCATCTCCACATTTCCTTTTCCGTGGCAAAATATCCGAAAAAAGTAAATAAACAACTTTAATATTGGATAAAACACCTTTCCACATTTCTGATGTAAGTTCACAACAATATGTCCTTGAAGTAAGAATATGTTTTCCAAGAATCTGGAGGTAGTCACCAGTCACGGCTTTATCTTGAGTTTTCAGCATTGTGATGACGTAATGGACAAGTTCTTTGCCATTTAAACGATATTTGTCACCTGGTATAAAACAGTGAAGTAGGACAACTAATATAGTAACAGATGATAAAATCAGACAGAATATATTATATACTCACGTTCATCTGCTGTCTTTATGATGAGCTTTAATAGTAACATCACCTCCTATATACAATATTTATTGATATGTATATACTTAACATAATTATTTTCTACAAAGACACAGAAGAAAATGTGAAGATATGCCTATGTGATGTTACTAAAGCAAGGGAAATGTATGATTGTGGTGAAAATAAAACCAGACCTCAACCGAATCAATTAACAGGGAAAAAAGAACTTATGGTGATCTAGAGTTTTTAGAATTTGAAAACAATTCTTGCCCAACTTTGAAAGGCATTTAATTCAAGCCCTGTTGTTACAATCTTGGGAGTGGAAACTTAGTACATATATACCTGTCGTTTCTTTTCTCTATTATTTGCCACATTTGAAGATGTACTTTGAGAATTTCTTGGCTTCTGGACAAGTAAAACTTCAAGCTCTCTTCTTACATATGTTTGAGTTGCTTTTAAAATGAAGTCCCAGCTAATTACATTTCTTTTCCTTCCATCAGAATTAGCATCAAGCAACTTTAAAATTTCTGTATCCCGTAGCAACAGTTTCAAATTGTCAGCATTTTTCTAAAAAAAGTTTGTTCCAGTCTACTTGACAATTTGTTCTGACTTTTAGAGGATTAATTATAAATAACCTATCCTCAATACAAAAGCCAAACATCCTCAGAAGAACTGAGTTACATTTCCTAGAATCTGCAACATGGCCCAGCTGATCTCCATGGGCCTCGCATATCTGCCCGCAACATAAATATTTATTTCATTTCCATCTAAGAACTGAGCATGCAAGTTTAGAGGGAATCACATCCAAGCAGCATAGGGCACTTGATTTGTTAACCCACTGTGATGAGAAGAAGTTAAAAACAGCTAACTCAAAAATTTGTCGTCAATTTTGTTGCCAGAAAACTGGGGGTATTATTATAGCAAATGGCAACTTGTGCTGAGAATGAAAGGACTACATCCATGTACAAAACCATGCATACAAAGGGACCTGTGTTTATTCCATAGTTTTGTTCTTCTATCTGTTCATGTATTAAACCAGGGTGCATTCCATGTGCAATCTATGCTGAACTTCTGTCAGTGGAATCCTAATCAGCAACCACACTGTCACACTGAGCATTTTCTCCTGCACTTAATACTCTGTATACCAGAAGTGCTGGTAACTGGGGAAAATGTCTACCCCAATAGGCAAACAATTGCAAAGAAAGGATAGCAAACAAATGCCAAGGATTTTCAGCTTTACTAGCCTAATAATATATGCATACTTTGTATACTACATACTACTAACAGGTTGTATAACTGCAACTCACATTTTAAATTATGTCTGATTATGAAAATGCTGTAGTTTAGTCACAGAAATGGCCAATGTGAATTGTCTATTTCCGAGTTAACAACGATTTAAAATTAACCAAAAATTAGTGGATGACTTTGAGGCCAAAGCTCCACCCACGTGAGCAGAATAATTTTATACAATTGCAAACATGAAAACATAATTCAGAGGAATCCGATGAAATAAAAGTAAGGCTCATGTCCTAGGTCGTTTTGGAATAAAAATTAAGTTACATATTGTGATTACCTTTCTTTCTGTTGCTTTATCTGATTCCATGTTCCTACAAACCTGTGCGATTTCAGCTTGAATGGTAGCCATTTTCAACCTTTAATAACTGCTATTCCAGTATATTGTAAAGTTAACAGACATTTATTTACGATCCTTAAAATGTTTTAAATGTTCATGTTTCATCCTTCGAAATATGCGATGTAACCACATTGATGTTTATTGAAAATACAAAGTATTTAAAAGTGAATACAAGAAAGATGAATAATAAAATTCAATGAAAGCAAAATATTCTCATTTCGCGCCATGTCGCGCGAAAATCAAAATTAAATGTTTTAAAATTTGAACTGTAAATAACTGGAGCGCTACCTCCGAATTTCAGGAGTTCAATGGGCGGGCCCAATAGCAGAGATAGCTCCATGGATAGCTAGCTCTCGTGAACAGTGGCTGAAAAGGTGAATTGAAAAAATTTTCGAAATAGTGGAACAATGTAATAAAACTTTATCGCACACAAAAGCTGTCTTCTTGCGCCATTAGGAATGCCTGACTTTGCTAAGGACATATAGCTCTAGTGTGTGCAAAGCCTATGGCTTATATTCACAAGAACGTTCATATTTTCCATCTACTATGTGAATTTTTTTATATGTACTTCATTATTACATTTCCTTATCCAATGAAAAGCCAGTACCTGTCCTGTTTATCTGTTTGTGCGCTTACAGAGGTCTGGCAACAGCCTGGTCAAACCGTATATAGATAGATAAAGCCTTCGGTAGCCGAGGTAAACTAGGCATAGGTAGCTAGCCAGTGTATAGTGTATTATAGATTCGGTAACCTGTGATTGGTGGAGTGTTATAGAGTTGGGCAAGGTAGACTGTCGTACCATTCTGGTAAGATCTGGCACATAATGTACGTACCATCGCCATCAACTATGAATCTGTGATATCCATTGACATCAACTATGAATCTATTATATCAGATATGCACGATCTTGAATACTATAAAACCTCTTTCAATGTCGCAACAAAAAGGTTTTTTCAAGGTGTTGAATGATGATTAAGGCTGAGTAAAACGTAGATTTTATGTTCAAGGCGTTCAGAGCCGATTTTCTTGAACTGTTGATGTAGTCTGTGGTTCAATTTTTCCAATATACTGTGCATTATAGACGAATTATTTGCAATTGAATAGCTTTAGCTAATGCCTTGCATATTGATTATACTCAATGGAGTCAATGCATACAATGTGGTACATAAAGCTGTACGTGGCTTGTTTATATTAAATCATTCATCTTATCAGCACACTCAACCTCGTTGACATCAATAACCATTGAATTATGGTGTCCACTCAAGAAATGTCTAGTGTTTTTTTATTCAATTATTTAACCATGATGTTTACAGTTTACCCCTGGCCCTCGCTGTATACACCAGTATCCAGGGCCTCCAGACTACACACAAATAACTTTTTTGTCTTTCATTTATGATTTATTTACTGTGTCGGTTGTTATTTAAAAAACACACAAACTGTGTCGTTGTTCTCAATTCACATGTGGTATGCAACATTCTTTATCTTCTCCCCATATATGGAACAGAAAAGTCAGAGTTCAAGAATGTCTAGCCTCCTTTTTATCCTCAACTCCATGTGTGCCATATAGTGTAGTAGAAAAGTGGCATTTAAAGCTAGCAATAAAAGAAGTACTGGTGAATATATGAGGAAGTTCCCAACGAGGGTTGACTTAAATAGCGCAAGAAACGGTAAAATAGGGAACGAAAACGTCAGAAATAAGAATAACATAAGAACAGACATGAGTATTATTTACATTCCATTATCAATCCATCAATCAAATCTTTATAAACATGTTGCATGATTATTTCAGTACAACAGAATAGAATTAGACTGCGCGAAGATATCTTGAAAATATTAGTAAAAAATTATTCTCTGTTGACTATTGTCATTTTGTGATTTTTGCCGTGTTCAAATTACACGACTTAAATTGTTTTTTAACGTTGTAATATGTCTTGCGAAGATGATACCACAGGCGGAATACTACGAAGAAACAAAGTAAAACAAACGCAAAGTGATCTCGACCCACTGGCACTAGCTTTAAATAACTTTTATGAAAACCGGGTTCGTTTAGGACTTGAACGAAAAGAAATATGCGAAGACATAGCACAAGCGGTTTCAAATAAGGTATTAAAAAAAATTGAAACTGCGGACAACAGATTTCGAGAAAAAAGTGTTCTTAGCCAAGGAATACCTCACGATGGTTTACAAGCTGAAGAATCAATCCATTTTGATATGTTAGTCCAGTTATCGTTTGGTAAAAGCAGTGCAGTGTTCTTTAGAAAAGATGACGATGGAGGTCTACATGTGCAACCAGAATCAAGTACAATATGGAAGGATTGTTTGTCAAGAAATGGTTTTCTTTCCGCAGACAAAGTAAATAAAATATTGCGTTACTACGTTGGCAAAGCTGTCAAAGTACTCCATCGTTATATCAGAAAAGGTGCAAAAGAAAAACTTCCTAAAAGATTGCGCAGTATTTCTATGAAAGAAGGGACGGAGATCGTGTTAATTGTCAATAAGGATATCACAATCAATTTATTGCCTGCATTTGTTTTGCCCGATTCTCGTGTTGATCCTGCAAGACAAGATTGTCCGAGTTCATCCCACGTCGTATGTCGACCCTTTCTTGACGATTCTTCAATGAAAATGAGGATGATGTGGAAATGGTGTTTCTTCGTTGCTGAAAAGAACCGCATTCGGGCGCTCGGTGGCCCAAGTTGCCGCGTTCAGTTGTTACGAATTCTTACTGAGATGCGTGACACCCACGAAGGACTGCGAGAGCTTTCTTCGTATCACTTGAAACATGTTTTATTTCACGAAACACAACGTTTGAACGATGTGAATCAGTGGGCAAGCAAACACATTTCTGAGCGTTTTAGAGATTTATTAAAACGTTTAGTCGGATTTCTAGAAGAAGGAAATTTGCCCCATTATTTTATGCAACCACCCGACTTTGAAGCAGTCAATTTACTTGAGGGTATTGATAGCGGAACTTTGAAGGAAATGTCCGGGGCTGTTTTGAGGATACTGCAGGACCCTTTAGAAAGTTTAAGTTGTGAAGGAACTGAGCAAAGACAGTCTTTGTGGCCCTGGGAATTGGAACTTTTATCTCCATAGATTTTTTATAGGTTCATGGACCTTAAATTTAAACTGTTAATGACAACCTTTGTATATGCATGGTTTGATATTCCAATACTAACTGAAGTTCTTGTTAAATCACAAAACCACTGTAGCTATAAATAAATAACACATGTTTATCTGACATATTTAGTGTTCTCAATGTATTCGGTAGTATATGGTAAGGACAATTGCAATTATTATAGAACGCTCTGAAGTCTGACGCTCTCAGTTACGGGTTAATTGCAAGAATCGTATAGTTCATTGAATAATATGGCACGGACATACTGCTGTGCAATATTCATATTAAAATATTGGTCAATTCATAGTTATGGTCAAATTCGCCTGTATCAAGCCATAGTCCCCAGGCCTGTTATTGCGCGCCACATAACGTTCACATGACTATCACGCGGATAGTGATTTTTTCAACCGTTCTAAAAATGCTGGGAGTGAAATAAAATTACATCTTTGGAGCTACAATTATCAAAGAGAATCCCCAATTTAAGAATACTATCTAAGTTCAAGTAAAGTTATTCTTTAAAACGGACTGAAAAAACAACTATCCCGTGGATAGCTCTATCCAGTTTTCGTACAACTGCCCCCATGATTATTATTTATACTTTAACAGGTCTTTGGGGCATGCAGAGATTATAGTGAGCCTGTTGATTCCAGAACATATGGTTTTTCCATCCACACCAACCCTATCGTGAATCAAGAAATAATAAGATATAGCACATAGCAAAAATAAATAATTCATTAGGGAATTGCATGTCTTGTAATTGGTCTTGTAAACCTATGCAGTGAACTGAAACAGACTAAGACTACCTAACTTCCAGAAAAGCGTGTGAAAATTCTTGTGTAACTCCGACGATAGAGTTGTCTGTTCTTATCGGCGTAGAAAACTTACCATCCTACCATCAATTTTTTGACTGCAGGTAGCTTTCCATCTATTTTAGTTCAATGCCAGGTTTACAGAACTATGTACATGAAAAAGATACAGTACGTTGCAAGATAACTATTGGAACAGCGTGTGTCATGCAGTCATCAAATTTGGTTTAGCAACTGCCGGAAATACTCAAGAAAACTCTCGACGTTTGACCTATTTATTGGCAGCGAACTACTTACTGGTCTTCGTTACGAGAGGTATTTGTACTGACCTTATCTAAAATAATTTTCAAATCTTCACCTCCGGTATAATGTGGATCAAGTATTAGGAATCTGGAAGGGAAATTTAAGCTTCGTCTTTACACTGCATTTATCAAACAGAACAGTATCAAATTATATCAGATCAGATCTGACTCACTTTATTTCACCGCTTCTGTCATTAAAACTAACACCAAGTATTGTGTGTGCTAAAACACCACCACCTATTATTGAAGCGAAATAAAATGATGTTAACACATTACAACGTTGTAAACGTAATTCATAGGTGCTTCTGCTTGAAGATGAATATAATACTTACTTATTAATGTGAAAATTGTGATTATTTACTTAGTAATGTGAAAATAAGTACAATACATGAAGTACATTCATGTATACTGACGTCATATCATGCTCGTCCTTGCGTATTGCCAGCCTTGACAGACGGGGGGGGGGGGTGGATAATACTTGCCTATCATAACCGGCGTTCCTTGTGTTTGAAAATGATGTATTAATTCTCTTCCTTTATTTTGCAGCTCGGCTCCACTGTTGACCGCCAATATTTTTGAACTTACATCAAGAAAATAGTCTAAACAAAGATGGACTTCAAATGACCCGATCCACTTCTTCGAGCCGATAAATGATGGCTGTTTATCTCCAAGAGCGACTAAGGCTTCCTGTATTGACCGATGGCCTGGTACTGTTTTGTCTGTGTAACCTTGGTAACGAAACCACGAGAAAATTGTTTGTAATGAACGATAAGCACAGCCCCATTTCTAAAAAACAATGAATAAATATGATTATGCACTTCTACAGATTTTCCTAATTACTAGCAATGACGAATCAAAAGTCAAAAGATCAGCCTCCCTGTTAAAATTGTTTTCTCTGTGTATGGACGCAGATGTGGGAGTTTAGGACATATTCTAAACTCAGGAAGTCTGCTGCAACTAACAGCAATTAGGCGTTTTCATTTCAGATGAAACATTTTCTATGAATATTTACGTACATTATCATCAAAGCCATCTTGCATGTAATGATGATAAGAGTAATATCCATCCACCACAGCCACGTGACTCCCATTGCCTAAAAGATAAAATATTAGATAATAAAACCTCTTTCTTATAAACGATCTTTACTGATCATGAAGTTCGTCAGGAGTTGTCTACAGAATATATACCTGCAGGTTTTAATAGGCATTCATGAGGGTTCACAAGATATGACGAATCTACACAAGAAACAATTAAATACAGTAGTTTCTCATAGAGTTAAACGTATACAATTGGATATAGTAAATATTTTTTACCTTTGGCACGATCGTCTTGAAATATGTAGGCATTGTTTGGATGAAGAGTTGGTCTTCGAGCCGGAAGAAGCAACTTCTTCAGAAGGCGAGATCTTTCGTTTTCTAAAAAAAAACACACCAGAGTTGTGAAAACCATTGGTTTCGTATAGACGAATGCATTGGCACACAAATCATATTGCCTTGGCTTGCATTTCAGTTGGCAAAATGTGGTATCAAATGTTTGAATATCAAATAAACTCATAAGATAACAGTGTTTCCCTCCCTCTGCTACCCTGCTTTGGTACTGTTTTACAGTGTGGGTATATAAACGTTGTTTGTTGCAAATGAAAATTGAGAAATAATCGCACACTTTCTACAAAAAATTAGTCCCGAGTGACAACCCAGATAACCACGGTAATTTATGCTTGAAAATATCAACAGAGTTGATTTTTTAACCCGGTTTATGTAAAACCCATGCTCTAGCCTGGGCTATTGTATTACTCTTTTGTTCATTCTAGCCCGCAAAATATACGTAATTTATGCGATAAAGTTATTACAATAGAATGTAGAACTATATATAGCTAAGAATATAAAAAGCAATAAATACCAAAGTGATTTTCATCAAAAATTTGATCGTTACTTTGTTTCCAAGGATAAATACAGCTCGTTATATATGGAAAATTCGGTGTTTTAAAATGAAAAACTTTTGGAATGCAAAATGTCGAATCCTATATATAGAAATAAGAGACAAATTAAAAAAAAAATACCTGAAAAGTACAAAAGCAAATGAATAGAACAATAAATGCACCAATAAAATATGTTGAGGTAACATATGGCAAAGCATATCTACATATACGAGCATTTTAGCGGCGGTGGGTATGATAAATGTGTTAGGCAGAAGTGAATGCCTTTTGCGTACAAAACGAGGTATTTTAAATGCTGCAGGCCAGCAATACATTTACATAATAATACGTAAATAGATTAACAAGTGCGTTTACCTCAGAGAAAGAGTCAAAGCAGGACACGATTCCCTGAAGTTGATCTTTGATTCCACGAACAAATAAACTTTTTAGACTTGAAATACTGGAGTTAATGGCAAGCATGAGGAGAACATCGACCGCTATCGTAAACTTGATGTAATTACATTCTTCTAAACATCATTAAGCAAAAACAGAAAAGTGAGTGTGTTGTACAACCTTGTCCTAGCAGGCAGTTAGTGAAGTCTTTATTGATGCAGATAATGTCAAATGAGACTGAGGGTGTGAGGAGTATAAATAACTACATACAATATTACAAGTGCAAGCCAGTTAAAATGATACAATTTCAATTATGTTCTTTCCCACTAACCATTTCATACAGTGTATATGTCACAGCAATAACCTAAATATGTTTGTTAAACACAGAACTTACATAATATTCTATTCGCTTTTGCAAATATGTTTGCCTAATTTAATGCAAAATCAATATTGGGTGACTTGACAAGATAATAATGTTTGTTGTCTGTAACTTGGCTATAAAGGGGATATATTAGGACCATGATTAAAATATGATATAGGGACTTACGTTTCTGATATAACATAACTGGAGCATGATTATGACATTTTAGAGTATCATCTTTTGATAATGATTTTACTAGTCGGACGTTCAGAACATCCTAAATGTATAAAAAACATTACTGGTATCTCCTCTCTACCACATCATATATATACAGCACTGGACCTGTTAAAATTGCATATTACCTTTAGTTGTGTTTTTAGACGTTGATTATATTTGGCCTTAGAGGCTTCTTCATTCATGATGATGTCATCAAGAATGTCTTGACATTTCTTGCCTGAACTTTGTGTCATTTCTCCACCAATTAATAATCTGCACTCAGGAAGGTAGAATATAGCATCATGTAATTTATTAACAGAATTGAGTGATTTTCTTGCATAAACCAGAAGAAATATCTAAAAGGCAATAAAATTGTCAGCTTTTTATTTAATTAATGTATTCATAAATCACAAAAAATATTGTTTCACAATGTCTATGTTATTTTAATCTAAAATATTTTCTTAATTGACTTACCTACATCACTTGATTTTTCCACTAAAATATCAAACTTATGATGCAATCTTAGTGTCATGTGTTTGGAAATAAACTCATCATTTATATTATTAAAATACACTTTTGATTCTTCAACGGACTTGGATAGCAGATTGTAAACAAATACACTGTCATCTTCCTCCTCTTTTGAGACTGGATCCAAAACCCATAATATCTGTGTGTTGTCAATCAGATCAGACTATAAAAGCACATCATTATCATAATATTGTTATGAAAACTTGTATTGTGGTGCATAGATAGAATCACATAGTCAAAGTTTAATTAAACTCCATGCATTTGAGATAAAATACCTTCATATCTGCCCCTGAAAATATTTCACTAATTGAAGATGAATCAAGAATTGGTTTACTTTGGGACACAAAGCACACACCACAGATCTTTAAACCTGTTTATGAAATATGTAAAAAAAACCAATTATATTTTCCAATTAGTTCCTCTCTCAATTACACCCCAGGTGCACTGGAACCAGTATTTAAACTTTAAAGATCAGTCAGTCTGGAACTGGAACTAAGTCAACACATATTAATGGTTAAACAACTAACTCACTCCAATTAGTACAATAACGGTGTATCGAATTCGAGGTGACCCCATCAGAAATCATGAACTTCCACAAGATCATCAAAGATTATTATTACCTGTAGGTATCAATGTACAAATTTCAGCAACTTCATGAATCCAGTGAGGAAGTCTATTACTAAAACTTTTCTCAGTATTTTTATCATATGTACATCTAATGCAGCCTACAATATCACAAGATCCATCTGTATTATCACCAATCAGAATACCATAGAATTCTTCACTGCTTTGAGCAGTTTCTGCGTAAAGACGCTGAGAAAACAACAAAATATTAAACATATAAGACATAATTTAGTTATAGTTAAAAGTATCTATTTTAACGAGATACCGACCTTTCGTACATTATAATCGATTTTAAAACTTGTTTTACATTCAACGTCAGCGTTTAAATCCGCCATGATTATTCTTTCCAGGGGGGGGAGTCATGATTAGGATACCATTTCATTTCATTGTAAAAAAATTATTTCAACCAAAGTTCATTGCTATCAAGTTAGTTGTATCACGAGGCTCACGATCTGGCAGTATTTGTTCCACTGTGACCAGATATTTTGATAGATTTTGCAGATTTTACATTCACAAACTTGGGGGTTTCGGTATGAATGTAAAGAATGTATCAAACACAGAAAAAAACATCAACCTGATACAGAACCTTGGTCATTCTGAGGCTCATTCATGCAACCTTGGTGAGAATGAATTAGGGCAACACAATATAAATCAGAAAAAATGTACCACTGTTGATAATCAATGTACAGATTTTGGTTTGAACAGAGATGAAGTTGGTGAAAAAGTGAAAAATAAAGCAAAGAAATTTGTAATAAACAGAAGGGTATAAGAAGTCAGGAGCAAAGAAATAGTGACAATTCTCACCAGTGCTCATCGAAGGTTAATAAATCTGACAGCGATAGCTCTTTTGGTCTCAAAACTTTATTTTCACAAAAGAAGAATGATCATAAAAGACAAAGAAGAGGCAAAAAGATTGTGAAACAAATAAAAGAAGATGGCTCATATGGTTTAGAATGGTTGTTTAGTGAAAAACATGTTAATGACAAGAGCAGGAAGCAAACCAGGAGAAAAAGGAGGAAGATGGATTATGATAAAAATAGGCACACAGTGTGCATATGGCCGCTAACTGGAGGGGAAGAGTGGATCGGAGTGGCTAGCTTAGCAGTTAGTTTTGACAGTTTTGAGCTGGGGCGCTACCGGATCAATGCTATCACACGCTTGACTGCATTTAATTTAGTAAGTTTTCCGAGATCGCTCATATGAATTTTTGTGTCCGCCTGCGTCAGGCGACACTATGGAATCGCCTGAGTCTGATTGATACACAAGCACGCAGTGCTTGAGTCTAGTTAAGCAGTACGTGTTCCTACACGTATTTGTGTCCGACCACAAACGAGTCAGCCCAGGCACAATGAAATGCTCGAGAAAGCAATTGAAAGCTTTCTGTGAGTATAATGGTAGTCTGTAGAAGAACACAAATAGCGAAGTCTATGCACTTTTCTCTTCGCAGTTCTTCGCTAATGGCAGCCCCCAACATGTGGCCGGCGTGGTTAAATCGAAATCACACGAGATAAGCGCGCGCGACGCGTGGTACCTCATGACACGCGTGGTGTAACAAACTTCCTCAATAGATATATAATAGCCAGCCAAGAGGTGACAACATCATGGCGGCTTCCATAGGAAGCGGCCATAAAAATGAATCAGAAGATGAGGACTGGAATAAGGTAGTAAAGAATAAAAAGAGAAGACCAAATCATTTTGTTGCCATCCGTGTATTAGATTCTAAGATTCATCTTGCCGCTAAAGAATTTCAAGAAACAGTTTTAAAAGAAAATGAAAAGTTGAAACCAGCATTAATTCCTTTAATCTCACTACACATAACAATGGCTGTGATGCATTTAGATGATCCTTTGATAGAAATTGCAAAAGATTCTTTAGAAATGTGCAAGGAAAAAATAAATGAAGCTCTTGCAGATGTTAATTTTAGATTAACATTTTGTGGGGTTGGAAACTTCAATAATCAAGTAGTTTTTGCAAAGATTCAAGAGAAGGAACAAATTGAATGCTTGAAGACCATTAATAGTGTGATTACTGAAACATTTCAGAAAAATGGGATTTGTCTTAGTAATAAGAGGGAATATAACCCACATTTGACATTGATGAAATTATCAGGAATGAGTTCACTTGGAAAAAGTGGAATAAGGAAAGTGGAAGAAAAAGTTTATGCATCCTCAGTTGATTCATACTTTGGCAATGAAATTGTAAGAAATGTTTATTTGTGTTGCATGCATGGGGATAAGGAAGATGATGGTTTTTATAAATGTCTATCAACAATAACATTTTCTAAAGCCTGAAATGAGTGAATCTAAGAGTGACAAATAATAAAACAATTAAGATTTAAAAAATAAATGTGAGAAATTTGAAAAATCAATGTTGTTGTTAATATGTTGTGAAAGGTAGTCTACAGTTGCATAAAAGTTGTCTGTAGTTGAGTAATTGTGTGGGTTAAGTTTGGTTTTATATGTCAAGTCATTGGTTGTTCCTCTGTGCACAAAAGAAATGAACAGTTGGAATACAAACTTATGTGTGTACTTTGCTTGTTGCCAAAGAAGAAAACGAGGCTAAAAATCCATAGTATTACCAGTGGCTCTTGCAACTATTAAAATTCATTTGTATTACTTTAAAACTGCATTGTTAAATTTAAGCGATATAAATTATTTAATGTACTCCCTTTTAGCAACAAAATATATTTTACAAACACAGAAAAATCTACAGTTGCATTCACGCCTATTACTACAGCAATACAGGTGTATTTTTAACATCCCTATTTTATTCTAAAAGCATGAAATGTTGAAAATTAAATTTTCTAATCGATCGCATCTCTTTATCTCTTTACATCAAATGACTTCCCATACATCTTTGCGGTACGGACAGTTTAGTTGCAATTTTTTCGACCCGAACCACCGACATGGGTTTTACATCCTCACATAAGACTTCCATGTCATGATCCATATTGCCGTTCATTTGTGAATCCACCTGTATTGCGGGTTTATCCTTTGGTGTTGGGAACCCATTTATTAACAACCCTGTTTCATAATCAATGCCGTTGGGCTTCCGTGAAGAACCTGCAATGCGAGCACAATTTAGAAGATATAACATAACAAAAGAGAAACGATTTAACATAACAAAAGACCCCTTGTACACACATGAACTATTTAGGGCGTGATTTATACTCCCTCCAACTTAGCTAGTCCCTTGTCACTTTATAAATTGTATGTCCCAAACTTCGCGTGTTGATAGGAGGCGGCCTGGCGGGCCCGCTTTTTAAAACTTTAATATTTGTTTTTTATTTTCTGTATGAAACTTTTTATACAATGAAAACTATACCACTGCACAATCTTTTCACTTCTCTATTAAAATCGTCCTCGTCATGACTTCTTTTCAGATTTTGTCCACCTGAAGTAAAATATGATTTGAGTACTAACTAGAAATGCACTCTGGTGATGAAAAGGCAGCCTTGGCCTAACATTCGTTATATTTTATAATAAACAAGGCTGAGTTTTAGATAATTGTAGAATGGCAGTAATTAGAAATAAAAAATCAAGATAAACTGTAATGTTACCTGGATAAAAGTTTGTTGTTTGGAATTGAGAGAGATACTGTACGCTGTGTTCAAAACCACACAAGGAAGCAACATCTAGTGGCGTTTGTCCATCTTTATTCATCAAACTAGAAACAGCAAGAAAAAGTAAACTTCACAAGCATGGTAAGTTTCACAAGCATGCTTCTTCAAAGTAGAAGCAAATTACATCAGTGGTAGCAAAATTATACGAATTATAAAGAAGTAAAAAGCATTCTATATCCCAGCCGACAATTTCAAAAAATACAAGACAAAAGTCAAAATCCGAAGATTAACATCTTAAAACCCAAAGTAAAGGTTAACACAAGACAAGGATGAGTTCATGATATTTCGCTTTTACTACAAAATCATCATCAGACTAATAAAATCGAAATATTAGGAACTCATCTGTGTCTTGCGTTAATGCGTTAACCTAAATTTTGGGTTTCAACTTGTTAATCTTCGAATTATAGGAAAGTAAGAATTATCATATTTTAGAAAGTTCATTTCGGGGATGTCATCATTACTATTGGTCATAATATCACAAACAGCTCTCTGCCTAGAAGCCTCGTTTTCGTCATAACGAAAGACGTATTGTGAGGCTGATAGGCTATTAAGCAAACGTTACTTGTCACAATTATTATAGAAGTATAGAGTAACTTGTCATGCACACAAGACATGCTAAAGGTGAGAAAGCCTATAAATAACCGAAAAATCTAATTAGGAATGTCAAATGTCAAAACAGCAAACCTCGACCTGAGGAAGAAACTATTTTCCTCTCGGAGAATTTTTGTAAATAGTACTTTTCACATTAAGAAACACCCCCCCCGCAATGTCCTAAACATTTCCCTCTTTGTTGCTCCGTATTAAATGCGAGTCAACCAGCAAAAAGTTTGGGGTTTTTTGAGGTTCTGCGGGTTTGACTTTTAATTCAATTGACTTATTGGTCTTATTAATTCATCTTTGACCAAACAGCCTAGTTTCTATTCTTAAGCACGGAACCTTAACTGCAAACAATTGACTCTACCGATGTCTACCGATGACTTTTTTACCCAATAACTTTGTTTCGATTTTATAGACAGATAAAGCGAGCCAATTGTCGGTAATCAACGGTATGGTCTATTACACTATTTGTAGTCCTGTTGAGCGCGAAATACGGGTATATAACACAAACACAAGGCTATTAGGTCAAAAATGAATAAACGGAGTTACTGTTTCTACAAGTCCTGGGACACCCACGCCCAATCCTTAGTCCACTTCACTCCAAAGGTAAGAATCCCAGGGAGAAACCCAAGGGCAAGAATCCCAGGGTGTAACATCAAAGGCAAGAGTCCCAGGGTGGACACCGAAGGCAAGAATCCCAGGGAGGACCTACAAGGGCAAGAATCCCAGGGAGGACCTACAAGGGCAAGAATCCCAGGGAGGACACCAAAGGCAAGAATCCCAGGGACCCCCAAGGGCAAAAATCTCTATTCGCTTTTGCAAATATGTTTGCCTAATTTAATGCAAAATCAATATTGGGTGACTTGACAAGATAATAATGTTTGTTGTCTGTAACTTGGCTATAAAGGGGATATATTAGGACCATGATTAAAATATGATATAGGGACTTACGTTTCTGATATAACATAACTGGAGCATGATTATGACATTTTAGAGTATCATCTTTTGATAATGATTTTACTAGTCGGACGTTCAGAACATCCTAAATGTATAAAAAACATTACTGGTATCTCCTCTCTACCACATCATATATATACAGCACTGGACCTGTTAAAATTGCATATTACCTTTAGTTGTGTTTTTAGACGTTGATTATATTTGGCCTTAGAGGCTTCTTCATTCATGATGATGTCATCAAGAATGTCTTGACATTTCTTGCCTGAACTTTGTGTCATTTCTCCACCAATTAATAATCTGCACTCAGGAAGGTAGAATATAGCATCATGTAATTTATTACAGAATTGAGTGATTTTCTTGCATAAACCAGAAGAAATATCTAAAAGGCAATAAAATTGTCAGCTTTTTATTTAATTAATGTATTCATAAATCACAAAAAATATTGTTTCACAATGTCTATGTTATTTTAATCTAAATATTTTCTTAATTGACTTACCTACATCACTTGATTTTTCCACTAAAATATCAAACTTATGATGCAATCTTAGTGTCATGTGTTTGGAAATAAACTCATCATTTATATTATTAAAATACACTTTTGATTCTTCAACGGACTTGGATAGCAGATTGTAAACAAATACACTGTCATCTTCCTCCTCTTTTGAGACTGGATCCAAAACCCATAATATCTGTGTGTTGTCAATCAGATCAGACTATAAAAGCACATCATTATCATAATATTGTTATGAAAACTTGTATTGTGGTGCATAGATAGAATCACATAGTCAAAGTTTAATTAAACTCCATGCATTTGAGATAAAATACCTTCATATCTGCCCCTGAAAATATTTCACTAATTGAAGATGAATCAAGAATTGGTTTACTTTGGGACACAAAGCACACACCACAGATCTTTAAACCTGTTTATGAAATATGTAAAAAAAACCAATTATATTTTCCAATTAGTTCCTCTCTCAATTACACCCCAGGTGCACTGGAACCAGTATTTAAACTTTAAAGATCAGTCAGTCTGGAACTGGAACTAAGTCAACACATATTAATGGTTAAACAACTAACTCACTCCAATTAGTACAATAACGGTGTATCGAATTCGAGGTGACCCCATCAGAAATCATGAACTTCCACAAGATCATCAAAGATTATTATTACCTGTAGGTATCAATGTACAAATTTCAGCAACTTCATGAATCCAGTGAGGAAGTCTATTACTAAAACTTTTCTCAGTATTTTTATCATATGTACATCTAATGCAGCCTACAATATCACAAGATCCATCTGTATTATCACCAATCAGAATACCATAGAATTCTTCACTGCTTTGAGCAGTTTCTGCGTAAAGACGCTGAGAAAACAACAAAATATTAAACATATAAGACATAATTTAGTTATAGTTAAAAGTATCTATTTTAACGAGATACCGACCTTTCGTACATTATAATCGATTTTAAAACTTGTTTTACATTCAACGTCAGCGTTTAAATCCGCCATGATTATTCTTTCCAGGGGGGGGAGTCATGATTAGGATACCATTTCATTTCATTGTAAAAAAATTATTTCAACCAAAGTTCATTGCTATCAAGTTAGTTGTATCACGAGGCTCACGATCTGGCAGTATTTGTTCCACTGTGACCAGATATTTTGATAGATTTTGCAGATTTTACATTCACAAACTTGGGGGTTTCGGTATGAATGTAAAGAATGTATCAAACACAGAAAAAAACATCAACCTGATACAGAACCTTGGTCATTCTGAGGCTCATTCATGCAACCTTGGTGAGAATGAATTAGGGCAACACAATATAAATCAGAAAAAATGTACCACTGTTGATAATCAATGTACAGATTTTGGTTTGAACAGAGATGAAGTTGGTGAAAAAGTGAAAAATAAAGCAAAGAAATTTGTAATAAACAGAAGGGTATAAGAAGTCAGGAGCAAAGAAATAGTGACAATTCTCACCAGTGCTCATCGAAGGTTAATAAATCTGACAGCGATAGCTCTTTTGGTCTCAAAACTTTATTTTCACAAAAGAAGAATGATCATAAAAGACAAAGAAGAGGCAAAAAGATTGTGAAACAAATAAAAGAAGATGGCTCATATGGTTTAGAATGGTTGTTTAGTGAAAAACATGTTAATGACAAGAGCAGGAAGCAAACCAGGAGAAAAAGGAGGAAGATGGATTATGATAAAAATAGGCACACAGTGTGCATATGGCCGCTAACTGGAGGGGAAGAGTGGATCGGAGTGGCTAGCTTAGCAGTTAGTTTTGACAGTTTTGAGCTGGGGCGCTACCGGATCAATGCTATCACACGCTTGACTGCATTTAATTTAGTAAGTTTTCCGAGATCGCTCATATGAATTTTTGTGTCCGCCTGCGTCAGGCGACACTATGGAATCGCCTGAGTCTGATTGATACACAAGCACGCAGTGCTTGAGTCTAGTTAAGCAGTACGTGTTCCTACACGTATTTGTGTCCGACCACAAACGAGTCAGCCCAGGCACAATGAAATGCTCGAGAAAGCAATTGAAAGCTTTCTGTGAGTATAATGGTAGTCTGTAGAAGAACACAAATAGCGAAGTCTATGCACTTTTCTCTTCGCAGTTCTTCGCTAATGGCAGCCCCCAACATGTGGCCGGCGTGGTTAAATCGAAATCACACGAGATAAGCGCGCGCGACGCGTGGTACCTCATGACACGCGTGGTGTAACAAACTTCCTCAATAGATATATATATAGCCAGCCAAGAGGTGACAACATCATGGCGGCTTCCATAGGAAGCGGCCATAAAAATGAATCAGAAGATGAGGACTGGAATAAGGTAGTAAAGAATAAAAAGAGAAGACCAAATCATTTTGTTGCCATCCGTGTATTAGATTCTAAGATTCATCTTGCCGCTAAAGAATTTCAAGAAACAGTTTTAAAAGAAAATGAAAAGTTGAAACCAGCATTAATTCCTTTAATCTCACTACACATAACAATGGCTGTGATGCATTTAGATGATCCTTTGATAGAAATTGCAAAAGATTCTTTAGAAATGTGCAAGGAAAAAATAAATGAAGCTCTTGCAGATGTTAATTTTAGATTAACATTTTGTGGGGTTGGAAACTTCAATAATCAAGTAGTTTTTGCAAAGATTCAAGAGAAGGAACAAATTGAATGCTTGAAGACCATTAATAGTGTGATTACTGAAACATTTCAGAAAAATGGGATTTGTCTTAGTAATAAGAGGGAATATAACCCACATTTGACATTGATGAAATTATCAGGAATGAGTTCACTTGGAAAAAGTGGAATAAGGAAAGTGGAAGAAAAAGTTTATGCATCCTCAGTTGATTCATACTTTGGCAATGAAATTGTAAGAAATGTTTATTTGTGTTGCATGCATGGGGATAAGGAAGATGATGGTTTTTATAAATGTCTATCAACAATAACATTTTCTAACAGCCCTGAAATGAGTGAATCTAAGAGTGACAAATAATAAAACAATTAAGATTTAAAAAATAAATGTGAGAAATTTGAAAAATCAATGTTGTTGTTAATATGTTGTGAAAGGTAGTCTACATTGCATAAAAGTTGTCTGTAGTTGAGTAATTGTGTGGGTTAAGTTTGGTTTTATATGTCAAGTCATTGGTTGTTCCTCTGTGCACAAAAGAAATGAACAGTTGGAATACAAACTTATGTGTGTACTTTGCTTGTTGCCAAAGAAGAAAACGAGGCTAAAAATCCATAGTATTACCAGTGGCTCTTGCAACTATTAAAATTCATTTGTATTACTTTAAAACTGCATTGTTAAATTTAAGCGATATAAATTATTTAATGTACTCCCTTTTAGCAACAAAATATTTTTACAAACACAGAAAAATCTACAGTTGCATTCACGCCTATTACTACAGCAATACAGGTGTATTTTTAACATCCCTATTTTATTCTAAAAGCATGAAATGTTGAAAATTAAATTTTCTAATCGATCGCATCTCTTTATCTCTTTACATCAAATGACTTCCCATACATCTTTGCGGTACGGACAGTTTAGTTGCAATTTTTTCGACCCGAACCACCGACATGGGTTTTACATCCTCACATAAGACTTCCATGTCATGATCCATATTGCCGTTCATTTGTGAATCCACCTGTATTGCGGGTTTATCCTTTGGTGTTGGGAACCCATTTATTAACAACCCTGTTTCATAATCAATGCCGTTGGGCTTCCGTGAAGAACCTGCAATGCGAGCACAATTTAGAAGATATAACATAACAAAAGAGAAACGATTTAACATAACAAAAGACCCCTTGTACACACATGAACTATTTAGGGCGTGATTTATACTCCCTCCAACTTAGCTAGTCCCTTGTCACTTTATAAATTGTATGTCCCAAACTTCGCGTGTTGATAGGAGGCGGCCTGGCGGGCCCGCTTTTTAAAACTTTAATATTTGTTTTTTATTTTCTGTATGAAACTTTTTATACAATGAAAACTATACCACTGCACAATCTTTTCACTTCTCTATTAAAATCGTCCTCGTCATGACTTCTTTTCAGATTTTGTCCACCTGAAGTAAAATATGATTTGAGTACTAACTAGAAATGCACTCTGGTGATGAAAAGGCAGCCTTGGCCTAACATTCGTTATATTTTATAATAAACAAGCTGAGTTTTAGATAATTGTAGAATGGCAGTAATTAGAAATAAAAAATCAAGATAAACTGTAATGTTACCTGGATAAAAGTTTGTTGTTTGGAATTGAGAGAGATACTGTACGCTGTGTTCAAAACCACACAAGGAAGCAACATCTAGTGGCGTTTGTCCATCTTTATTCATCAAACTAGAAACAGCAAGAAAAAAGTAAACTTCACAAGCATGGTAAGTTTCACAAGCATGCTTCTTCAAAGTAGAAGCAAATTACATCAGTGGTAGCAAAATTATACGAATTATAAAAGAAGTAAAAAGCATTCTATATCCCAGCCGACAATTTCAAAAAATACAAGACAAAAGTCAAAATCCGAAGATTAACATCTTAAAACCCAAAGTAAAGGTTAACACAAGACAAGGATGAGTTCATGATATTTCGCTTTTACTACAAAATCATCATCAGACTAATAAAATCGAAATATTAGGAACTCATCTGTGTCTTGCGTTAATGCGTTAACCTAAATTTTGGGTTTCAACTTGTTAATCTTCGAATTATAGGAAAGTAAGAATTATCATATTTTAGAAAGTTCATTTCGGGGATGTCATCATTACTATTGGTCATAATATCACAAACAGCTCTCTGCCTAGAAGCCTCGTTTTCGTCATAACGAAAGACGTATTGTGAGGCTGATAGGCTATTAAGCAAACGTTACTTGTCACAATTATTATAGAAGTATAGAGTAACTTGTCATGCACACAAGACATGCTAAAGGTGAGAAAGCCTATAAATAACCGAAAAATCTAATTAGGAATGTCAAATGTCAAAACAGCAAACCTCGACCTGAGGAAGAAACTATTTTCCTCTCGGAGAATTTTTGTAAATAGTACTTTTCACATTAAGAAACCCCCCCCCGCAATGTCCTAAACATTTCCCTCTTTGTTGCTCCGTATTAAATGCGAGTCAACCAGCAAAAAGTTTGGGGTTTTTTGAGGTTCTGCGGGTTTGACTTTTAATTCAATTGACTTATTGGTCTTATTAATTCATCTTTGACCAAACAGCCTAGTTTCTATTCTTAAGCACGGAACCTTAACTGCAAACAATTGACTCTACCGATGTCTACCGATGACTTTTTTACCCAATAACTTTGTTTCGATTTTATAGACAGATAAAGCGAGCCAATTGTCGGTAATCAACGGTATGGTCTATTACACTATTTGTAGTCCTGTTGAGCGCGAAATACGGGTATATAACACAAACACAAGGCTATTAGGTCAAAAATGAATAAACGGAGTTACTGTTTCTACAAGTCCTGGGACACCCACGCCCAATCCTTAGTCCACTTCACTCCAAAGGTAAGAATCCCAGGGAGAAACCCAAGGGCAAGAATCCCAGGGTGTAACATCAAAGGCAAGAGTCCCAGGGTGGACACCGAAGGCAAGAATCCCAGGGAGGACCTACAAGGGCAAGAATCCCAGGGAGGACCTACAAGGGCAAGAATCCCAGGGAGGACACCAAAGGCAAGAATCCCAGGGACCCCCAAGGGCAAAAATCTCTATTCGCTTTTGCAAATATGTTTGCCTAATTTAATGCAAAATCAATATTGGGTGACTTGACAAGATAATAATGTTTGTTGTCTGTAACTTGGCTATAAAGGGGATATATTAGGACCATGATTAAAATATGATATAGGGACTTACGTTTCTGATATAACATAACTGGAGCATGATTATGACATTTTAGAGTATCATCTTTTGATAATGATTTTACTAGTCGGACGTTCAGAACATCCTAAATGTATAAAAAACATTACTGGTATCTCCTCTCTACCACATCATATATATACAGCACTGGACCTGTTAAAATTGCATATTACCTTTAGTTGTGTTTTTAGACGTTGATTATATTTGGCCTTAGAGGCTTCTTCATTCATGATGATGTCATCAAGAATGTCTTGACATTTCTTGCCTGAACTTTGTGTCATTTCTCCACCAATTAATAATCTGCACTCAGGAAGGTAGAATATAGCATCATGTAATTTATTACAGAATTGAGTGATTTTCTTGCATAAACCAGAAGAAATATCTAAAAGGCAATAAAATTGTCAGCTTTTTATTTAATTAATGTATTCATAAATCACAAAAAATATTGTTTCACAATGTCTATGTTATTTTAATCTAAAATATTTTCTTAATTGACTTACCTACATCACTTGATTTTTCCACTAAAATATCAAACTTATGATGCAATCTTAGTGTCATGTGTTTGGAAATAAACTCATCATTTATATTATTAAAATACACTTTTGATTCTTCAACGGACTTGGATAGCAGATTGTAAACAAATACACTGTCATCTTCCTCCTCTTTTGAGACTGGATCCAAAACCCATAATATCTGTGTGTTGTCAATCAGATCAGACTATAAAAGCACATCATTATCATAATATTGTTATGAAAACTTGTATTGTGGTGCATAGATAGAATCACATAGTCAAAGTTTAATTAAACTCCATGCATTTGAGATAAAATACCTTCATATCTGCCCCTGAAAATATTTCACTAATTGAAGATGAATCAAGAATTGGTTTACTTTGGGACACAAAGCACACACCACAGATCTTTAAACCTGTTTATGAAATATGTAAAAAAAACCAATTATATTTTCCAATTAGTTCCTCTCTCAATTACACCCCAGGTGCACTGGAACCAGTATTTAAACTTTAAAGATCAGTCAGTCTGGAACTGGAACTAAGTCAACACATATTAATGGTTAAACAACTAACTCACTCCAATTAGTACAATAACGGTGTATCGAATTCGAGGTGACCCCATCAGAAATCATGAACTTCCACAAGATCATCAAAGATTATTATTACCTGTAGGTATCAATGTACAAATTTCAGCAACTTCATGAATCCAGTGAGGAAGTCTATTACTAAAACTTTTCTCAGTATTTTTATCATATGTACATCTAATGCAGCCTACAATATCACAAGATCCATCTGTATTATCACCAATCAGAATACCATAGAATTCTTCACTGCTTTGAGCAGTTTCTGCGTAAAGACGCTGAGAAAACAACAAAATATTAAACATATAAGACATAATTTAGTTATAGTTAAAAGTATCTATTTTAACGAGATACCGACCTTTCGTACATTATAATCGATTTTAAAACTTGTTTTACATTCAACGTCAGCGTTTAAATCCGCCATGATTATTCTTTCCAGGGGGGGGAGTCATGATTAGGATACCATTTCATTTCATTGTAAAAAAATTATTTCAACCAAAGTTCATTGCTATCAAGTTAGTTGTATCACGAGGCTCACGATCTGGCAGTATTTGTTCCACTGTGACCAGATATTTTGATAGATTTTGCAGATTTTACATTCACAAACTTGGGGGTTTCGGTATGAATGTAAAGAATGTATCAAACACAGAAAAAAACATCAACCTGATACAGAACCTTGGTCATTCTGAGGCTCATTCATGCAACCTTGGTGAGAATGAATTAGGGCAACACAATATAAATCAGAAAAAATGTACCACTGTTGATAATCAATGTACAGATTTTGGTTTGAACAGAGATGAAGTTGGTGAAAAAGTGAAAAATAAAGCAAAGAAAATTTGTAATAAACAGAAGGGTATAAGAAGTCAGGAGCAAAGAAATAGTGACAATTCTCACCAGTGCTCATCGAAGGTTAATAAATCTGACAGCGATAGCTCTTTTGGTCTCAAAACTTTATTTTCACAAAAGAAGAATGATCATAAAAGACAAAGAAGAGGCAAAAAGATTGTGAAACAAATAAAAGAAGATGGCTCATATGGTTTAGAATGGTTGTTTAGTGAAAAACATGTTAATGACAAGAGCAGGAAGCAAACCAGGAGAAAAAGGAGGAAGATGGATTATGATAAAAATAGGCACACAGTGTGCATATGGCCGCTAACTGGAGGGGAAGAGTGGATCGGAGTGGCTAGCTTAGCAGTTAGTTTTGACAGTTTTGAGCTGGGGCGCTACCGGATCAATGCTATCACACGCTTGACTGCATTTAATTTAGTAAGTTTTCCGAGATCGCTCATATGAATTTTTGTGTCCGCCTGCGTCAGGCGACACTATGGAATCGCCTGAGTCTGATTGATACACAAGCACGCAGTGCTTGAGTCTAGTTAAGCAGTACGTGTTCCTACACGTATTTGTGTCCGACCACAAACGAGTCAGCCCAGGCACAATGAAATGCTCGAGAAAGCAATTGAAAGCTTTCTGTGAGTATAATGGTAGTCTGTAGAAGAACACAAATAGCGAAGTCTATGCACTTTTCTCTTCGCAGTTCTTCGCTAATGGCAGCCCCCAACATGTGGCCGGCGTGGTTAAATCGAAATCACACGAGATAAGCGCGCGCGACGCGTGGTACCTCATGACACGCGTGGTGTAACAAACTTCCTCAATAGATATATATATAGCCAGCCAAGAGGTGACAACATCATGGCGGCTTCCATAGGAAGCGGCCATAAAAATGAATCAGAAGATGAGGACTGGAATAAGGTAGTAAAGAATAAAAAGAGAAGACCAAATCATTTTGTTGCCATCCGTGTATTAGATTCTAAGATTCATCTTGCCGCTAAAGAATTTCAAGAAACAGTTTTAAAAGAAAATGAAAAGTTGAAACCAGCATTAATTCCTTTAATCTCACTACACATAACAATGGCTGTGATGCATTTAGATGATCCTTTGATAGAAATTGCAAAAGATTCTTTAGAAATGTGCAAGGAAAAAATAAATGAAGCTCTTGCAGATGTTAATTTTAGATTAACATTTTGTGGGGTTGGAAACTTCAATAATCAAGTAGTTTTTGCAAAGATTCAAGAGAAGGAACAAATTGAATGCTTGAAGACCATTAATAGTGTGATTACTGAAACATTTCAGAAAAATGGGATTTGTCTTAGTAATAAGAGGGAATATAACCCACATTTGACATTGATGAAATTATCAGGAATGAGTTCACTTGGAAAAAGTGGAATAAGGAAAGTGGAAGAAAAAGTTTATGCATCCTCAGTTGATTCATACTTTGGCAATGAAATTGTAAGAAATGTTTATTTGTGTTGCATGCATGGGGATAAGGAAGATGATGGTTTTTATAAATGTCTATCAACAATAACATTTTCTAACAGCCCTGAAATGAGTGAATCTAAGAGTGACAAATAATAAAACAATTAAGATTTAAAAAATAAATGTGAGAAATTTGAAAAATCAATGTTGTTGTTAATATGTTGTGAAAGGTAGTCTACAGTTGCATAAAAGTTGTCTGTAGTTGAGTAATTGTGTGGGTTAAGTTTGGTTTTATATGTCAAGTCATTGGTTGTTCCTCTGTGCACAAAAGAAATGAACAGTTGGAATACAAACTTATGTGTGTACTTTGCTTGTTGCCAAAGAAGAAAACGAGGCTAAAAATCCATAGTATTACCAGTGGCTCTTGCAACTATTAAAATTCATTTGTATTACTTTAAAACTGCATTGTTAAATTTAAGCGATATAAATTATTTAATGTACTCCCTTTTAGCAACAAAATATATTTTACAAACACAGAAAAATCTACAGTTGCATTCACGCCTATTACTACAGCAATACAGGTGTATTTTTAACATCCCTATTTTATTCTAAAAGCATGAAATGTTGAAAATTAAATTTTCTAATCGATCGCATCTCTTTATCTCTTTACATCAAATGACTTCCCATACATCTTTGCGTACGGACAGTTTAGTTGCAATTTTTTCGACCCGAACCACCGACATGGGTTTTACATCCTCACATAAGACTTCCATGTCATGATCCATATTGCCGTTCATTTGTGAATCCACCTGTATTGCGGGTTTATCCTTTGGTGTTGGGAACCCATTTATTAACAACCCTGTTTCATAATCAATGCCGTTGGGCTTCCGTGAAGAACCTGCAATGCGAGCACAATTTAGAAGATATAACATAACAAAAGAGAAACGATTTAACATAACAAAAGACCCCTTGTACACACATGAACTATTTAGGGCGTGATTTATACTCCCTCCAACTTAGCTAGTCCCTTGTCACTTTATAAATTGTATGTCCCAAACTTCGCGTGTTGATAGGAGGCGGCCTGGCGGGCCCGCTTTTTAAAACTTTAATATTTGTTTTTTATTTTCTGTATGAAACTTTTTATACAATGAAAACTATACCACTGCACAATCTTTTCACTTCTCTATTAAAATCGTCCTCGTCATGACTTCTTTTCAGATTTTGTCCACCTGAAGTAAAATATGATTTGAGTACTAACTAGAAATGCACTCTGGTGATGAAAAGGCAGCCTTGGCCTAACATTCGTTATATTTTATAATAAACAAGCTGAGTTTTAGATAATTGTAGAATGGCAGTAATTAGAAATAAAAAATCAAGATAAACTGTAATGTTACCTGGATAAAAGTTTGTTGTTTGGAATTGAGAGAGATACTGTACGCTGTGTTCAAAACCAACCAAAGGAAGCAACATCTAGTGGCGTTTGTCCATCTTTATTCATCAAACTAGAAACAGCAAGAAAAAAGTAAACTTCACAAGCATGGTAAGTTTCACAAGCATGCTTCTTCAAAGTAGAAGCAAATTACATCAGTGGTAGCAAAATTATACGAATTATAAAAGAAGTAAAAAGCATTCTATATCCCAGCCGACAATTTCAAAAAATACAAGACAAAAGTCAAAATCCGAAGATTAACATCTTAAAACCCAAAGTAAAGGTTAACACAAGACAAGGATGAGTTCATGATATTTCGCTTTTACTACAAAATCATCATCAGACTAATAAAATCGAAATATTAGGAACTCATCTGTGTCTTGCGTTAATGCGTTAACCTAAATTTTGGGTTTCAACTTGTTAATCTTCGAATTATAGGAAAGTAAGAATTATCATATTTTAGAAAGTTCATTTCGGGGATGTCATCATTACTATTGGTCATAATATCACAAACAGCTCTCTGCCTAGAAGCCTCGTTTTCGTCATAACGAAAGACGTATTGTGAGGCTGATAGGCTATTAAGCAAACGTTACTTGTCACAATTATTATAGAAGTATAGAGTAACTTGTCATGCACACAAGACATGCTAAAGGTGAGAAAGCCTATAAATAACCGAAAAATCTAATTAGGAATGTCAAATGTCAAAACAGCAAACCTCGACCTGAGGAAGAAACTATTTTCCTCTCGGAGAATTTTTGTAAATAGTACTTTTCACATTAAGAAACACCCCCCCCCGCAATGTCCTAAACATTTCCCTCTTTGTTGCTCCGTATTAAATGCGAGTCAACCAGCAAAAAGTTTGGGGTTTTTTGAGGTTCTGCGGGTTTGACTTTTAATTCAATTGACTTATTGGTCTTATTAATTCATCTTTGACCAAACAGCCTAGTTTCTATTCTTAAGCACGGAACCTTAACTGCAAACAATGACTCTACCGATGTCTACCGATGACTTTTTTACCCAATAACTTTGTTTCGATTTTATAGACAGATAAAGCGAGCCAATTGTCGGTAATCAACGGTATGGTCTATTACACTATTTGTAGTCCTGTTGAGCGCGAAATACGGGTATATAACACAAACACAAGGCTATTAGGTCAAAAATGAATAAACGGAGTTACTGTTTCTACAAGTCCTGGGACACCCACGCCCAATCCTTAGTCCACTTCACTCCAAAGGTAAGAATCCCAGGGAGAAACCCAAGGGCAAGAATCCCAGGGTGTAACATCAAAGGCAAGAGTCCCAGGGTGGACACCGAAGGCAAGAATCCCAGGGAGGACCTACAAGGGCAAGAATCCCAGGGAGGACCTACAAGGGCAAGAATCCCAGGGAGGACACCAAAGGCAAGAATCCCAGGGACCCCCAAGGGCAAAAATCTCTATTCGCTTTTGCAAATATGTTTGCCTAATTTAATGCAAAATCAATATTGGGTGACTTGACAAGATAATAATGTTTGTTGTCTGTAACTTGGCTATAAAGGGGATATATTAGGACCATGATTAAAATATGATATAGGGACTTACGTTTCTGATATAACATAACTGGAGCATGATTATGACATTTTAGAGTATCATCTTTTGATAATGATTTTACTAGTCGGACGTTCAGAACATCCTAAATGTATAAAAAACATTACTGGTATCTCCTCTCTACCACATCATATATATACAGCACTGGACCTGTTAAAATTGCATATTACCTTTAGTTGTGTTTTTAGACGTTGATTATATTTGGCCTTAGAGGCTTCTTCATTCATGATGATGTCATCAAGAATGTCTTGACATTTCTTGCCTGAACTTTGTGTCATTTCTCCACCAATTAATAATCTGCACTCAGGAAGGTAGAATATAGCATCATGTAATTTATTACAGAATTGAGTGATTTTCTTGCATAAACCAGAAGAAATATCTAAAAGGCAATAAAATTGTCAGCTTTTTATTTAATTAATGTATTCATAAATCACAAAAAATATTGTTTCACAATGTCTATGTTATTTTAATCTAAAATATTTTCTTAATTGACTTACCTACATCACTTGATTTTTCCACTAAAATATCAAACTTATGATGCAATCTTAGTGTCATGTGTTTGGAAATAAACTCATCATTTATATTATTAAAATACACTTTTGATTCTTCAACGGACTTGGATAGCAGATTGTAAACAAATACACTGTCATCTTCCTCCTCTTTTGAGACTGGATCCAAAACCCATAATATCTGTGTGTTGTCAATCAGATCAGACTATAAAAGCACATCATTATCATAATATTGTTATGAAAACTTGTATTGTGGTGCATAGATAGAATCACATAGTCAAAGTTTAATTAAACTCCATGCATTTGAGATAAAATACCTTCATATCTGCCCCTGAAAATATTTCACTAATTGAAGATGAATCAAGAATTGGTTTACTTTGGGACACAAAGCACACACCACAGATCTTTAAACCTGTTTATGAAATATGTAAAAAAAACCAATTATATTTTCCAATTAGTTCCTCTCTCAATTACACCCCAGGTGCACTGGAACCAGTATTTAAACTTTAAAGATCAGTCAGTCTGGAACTGGAACTAAGTCAACACATATTAATGGTTAAACAACTAACTCACTCCAATTAGTACAATAACGGTGTATCGAATTCGAGGTGACCCCATCAGAAATCATGAACTTCCACAAGATCATCAAAGATTATTATTACCTGTAGGTATCAATGTACAAATTTCAGCAACTTCATGAATCCAGTGAGGAAGTCTATTACTAAAACTTTTCTCAGTATTTTTATCATATGTACATCTAATGCAGCCTACAATATCACAAGATCCATCTGTATTATCACCAATCAGAATACCATAGAATTCTTCACTGCTTTGAGCAGTTTCTGCGTAAAGACGCTGAGAAAACAACAAAATATTAAACATATAAGACATAATTTAGTTATAGTTAAAAGTATCTATTTTAACGAGATACCGACCTTTCGTACATTATAATCGATTTTAAAACTTGTTTTACATTCAACGTCAGCGTTTAAATCCGCCATGATTATTCTTTCCAGGGGGGGGAGTCATGATTAGGATACCATTTCATTTCATTGTAAAAAAATTATTTCAACCAAAGTTCATTGCTATCAAGTTAGTTGTATCACGAGGCTCACGATCTGGCAGTATTTGTTCCACTGTGACCAGATATTTTGATAGATTTTGCAGATTTTACATTCACAAACTTGGGGGTTTCGGTATGAATGTAAAGAATGTATCAAACACAGAAAAAAACATCAACCTGATACAGAACCTTGGTCATTCTGAGGCTCATTCATGCAACCTTGGTGAGAATGAATTAGGGCAACACAATATAAATCAGAAAAAATGTACCACTGTTGATAATCAATGTACAGATTTTGGTTTGAACAGAGATGAAGTTGGTGAAAAAGTGAAAAATAAAGCAAAGAAAATTTGTAATAAACAGAAGGGTATAAGAAGTCAGGAGCAAAGAAATAGTGACAATTCTCACCAGTGCTCATCGAAGGTTAATAAATCTGACAGCGATAGCTCTTTTGGTCTCAAAACTTTATTTTCACAAAAGAAGAATGATCATAAAAGACAAAGAAGAGGCAAAAAGATTGTGAAACAAATAAAAGAAGATGGCTCATATGGTTTAGAATGGTTGTTTAGTGAAAAACATGTTAATGACAAGAGCAGGAAGCAAACCAGGAGAAAAAGGAGGAAGATGGATTATGATAAAAATAGGCACACAGTGTGCATATGGCCGCTAACTGGAGGGGAAGAGTGGATCGGAGTGGCTAGCTTAGCAGTTAGTTTTGACAGTTTTGAGCTGGGGCGCTACCGGATCAATGCTATCACACGCTTGACTGCATTTAATTTAGTAAGTTTTCCGAGATCGCTCATATGAATTTTTGTGTCCGCCTGCGTCAGGCGACACTATGGAATCGCCTGAGTCTGATTGATACACAAGCACGCAGTGCTTGAGTCTAGTTAAGCAGTACGTGTTCCTACACGTATTTGTGTCCGACCACAAACGAGTCAGCCCAGGCACAATGAAATGCTCGAGAAAGCAATTGAAAGCTTTCTGTGAGTATAATGGTAGTCTGTAGAAGAACACAAATAGCGAAGTCTATGCACTTTTCTCTTCGCAGTTCTTCGCTAATGGCAGCCCCCAACATGTGGCCGGCGTGGTTAAATCGAAATCACACGAGATAAGCGCGCGCGACGCGTGGTACCTCATGACACGCGTGGTGTAACAAACTTCCTCAATAGATATATATATAGCCAGCCAAGAGGTGACAACATCATGGCGGCTTCCATAGGAAGCGGCCATAAAAATGAATCAGAAGATGAGGACTGGAATAAGGTAGTAAAGAATAAAAAGAGAAGACCAAATCATTTTGTTGCCATCCGTGTATTAGATTCTAAGATTCATCTTGCCGCTAAAGAATTTCAAGAAACAGTTTTAAAAGAAAATGAAAAGTTGAAACCAGCATTAATTCCTTTAATCTCACTACACATAACAATGGCTGTGATGCATTTAGATGATCCTTTGATAGAAATTGCAAAAGATTCTTTAGAAATGTGCAAGGAAAAAATAAATGAAGCTCTTGCAGATGTTAATTTTAGATTAACATTTTGTGGGGTTGGAAACTTCAATAATCAAGTAGTTTTTGCAAAGATTCAAGAGAAGGAACAAATTGAATGCTTGAAGACCATTAATAGTGTGATTACTGAAACATTTCAGAAAAATGGGATTTGTCTTAGTAATAAGAGGGAATATAACCCACATTTGACATTGATGAAATTATCAGGAATGAGTTCACTTGGAAAAAGTGGAATAAGGAAAGTGGAAGAAAAAGTTTATGCATCCTCAGTTGATTCATACTTTGGCAATGAAATTGTAAGAAATGTTTATTTGTGTTGCATGCATGGGGATAAGGAAGATGATGGTTTTTATAAATGTCTATCAACAATAACATTTTCTAACAGCCCTGAAATGAGTGAATCTAAGAGTGACAAATAATAAAACAATTAAGATTTAAAAAATAAATGTGAGAAATTTGAAAAATCAATGTTGTTGTTAATATGTTGTGAAAGGTAGTCTACAGTTGCATAAAAGTTGTCTGTAGTTGAGTAATTGTGTGGGTTAAGTTTGGTTTTATATGTCAAGTCATTGGTTGTTCCTCTGTGCACAAAAGAAATGAACAGTTGGAATACAAACTTATGTGTGTACTTTGCTTGTTGCCAAAGAAGAAAACGAGGCTAAAAATCCATAGTATTACCAGTGGCTCTTGCAACTATTAAAATTCATTTGTATTACTTTAAAACTGCATTGTTAAATTTAAGCGATATAAATTATTTAATGTACTCCCTTTTAGCAACAAAATATATTTTACAAACACAGAAAAATCTACAGTTGCATTCACGCCTATTACTACAGCAATACAGGTGTATTTTTAACATCCCTATTTTATTCTAAAAGCATGAAATGTTGAAAATTAAATTTTCTAATCGATCGCATCTCTTTATCTCTTTACATCAAATGACTTCCCATACATCTTTGCGGTACGGACAGTTTAGTTGCAATTTTTTCGACCCGAACCACCGACATGGGTTTTACATCCTCACATAAGACTTCCATGTCATGATCCATATTGCCGTTCATTTGTGAATCCACCTGTATTGCGGGTTTATCCTTTGGTGTTGGGAACCCATTTATTAACAACCCTGTTGCATAATCAATGCCGTTGGCTCCGTGAAGAACCTGCAATGCGAGCACAATTTAGAAGATATAACATAACAAAAGACAAACGATTTAACATAACAAAAGACCCCTTGTACACACATGAACTATTTAGGGCGTGATTTATACTCCCTCCAACTTAGCTAGTCCCTTGTCACTTATAATTGTATGTCCCAAACTTCGCGTGTTGATAGGAGGCGGCCTGGCGGGCCCGCTTTTTAAAACTTAATATTTGTTTTTTATTTTCTGTATGAACTTTTATACAATGAAAACTATACCATTACACAATCTTTTCACTTCTCTATTAAAACGTCCTCGTCATGACTTCTTCAGATTTTGTCCACCTGAAGTAAAATATGATTTGAGTACTAACTAGAAATGCACTCTGGTGATGAAAAGGCAGCCTTGGCCTAACATTCGTTATATTTTATAATAAACAAGTGAGTTTTAGATAATTGTAGAATGGCAGTAATTAGAAATAAAAAATCAAGATAAATTGTAATGTTACCTGGATAAAAGTTTGTTGTTTGGAATTGAGAGAGATACTGTACGCTGTGTTCAAAACCACACAAGGAAGCAACATCTAGTGGCGTTTGTCCATCTTTATTCATCAAACTAGAAACAGCAAGAAAAAAGTAAACTTCACAAGCATGGTAAGTTTCACAAGCATGCTTCTTCAAAGTAGAAGCAAATTACATCAGTGGTAGCAAAATTATACGAATTATAAAAGAAGTAAAAAGCATTCTATATCCCAGCCGACAATTTCAAAAAATACAAGACAAAAGTCGAAATCCGAAGATTAACATCTTAAAACCCAAAGTAAAGGTTAACACAAGACAAGGATGAGTTCATGATATTTCGCTTTTACTACTACAAAATCATCATCAGACTAATGAAATCGAAATTTTAGGAACTCATCTGTGTCTTGCGTTAACCTAAATTTTGGGTTTCAACTTGTTAATCTTCGAATTATAGGAAAAGTAAGAATTATCATATTTTAGAAAGTTCATTTCGGGGATGTCATCATTACTATTGGTCATAATATCACAAACAGCTCTCTGCCTAGAAGCCTCGTTTTCGTCATAACGAAAGACGTATTGTGAGGCTGATAGGCTATTAAGCAAACGTTACTTGTCACAATTATTATAGAAGTATAGAGTAACTTGTCATGCACACAAGACATGCTAAAGGTGAGAAAGCCTATAAATAACCGAAAAATCTAATTAGGAATGTCAAAACAGCAAACCTCGACCTGAGGAAGAAACTATTTTCCTCTCGGAGAATTTTTGTAAATAGTACTTTTCACATTAAGAAACACCCACCCCCCCCCCCCGCAATTCTGCCTAAACATTTCCTCTTTGTTGCTCCGTATTAAATGCGAGTCAACCAGCAAAAAGTTTGGGGTTTTTTGAGGTTCTGCGGGTTTGACTTTTAATTCAATTGACTTATTGGTCTTATTAATTCATCTTTGACCAAACAGCCTAGTTTCTATTCTTAAGCACGGAACCTTAACTGCAAACAATTGACACTACCGATGTCTACCGATGACTTTTTTACCCAATAACTTTGTTTCGATTTTATAGACAGATAAAGCGAGCCAATTGTCGGTAATCAACGGTATGGTCTATTACACTATTTGTAGTCCTGTTGAGCGCGAAATACGGGTATATAACACAAGGCTATTAGGTCAAAAATGAATAAACGGAGTTACTGTTTCTACAAGTGCTGGGACACCCACGCCCAATCCTTAGTCCACTTCACTCCAAAGGTAAGAATCCCAGGGAGAAACCCAAGGGCAAGAATCCCAGGGTGTAACATCAAAGGCAAGAGTCCCAGGGTGGACACCGAAGGCAAGAATCCCAGGGAGGACCTACAAGGGCAAGAATCCCAGGGAGGACCTACAAGGGCAAGAATCCCAGGGAGGACACCAAAGGCAAGAATCCCAGGGACCCCCAAGGGCAAAAATCTCAGGGAGGACAGCAAAGGCAAGAATCCTAGCGTGGACCCCAAGGGCAAAAATCCCAGGGAGGACAGCAAGGGCAAGAATCCTGGGGAGGACCTACAAGGGCAAGAATCTCAGGGAGGACAGCAAAGGCAAGAATCCTAGGGTGGACCCCAAGGGCAAGAATCTCAGGAAGGACAGCAAAGGCAAGAATCCCAGGGGGATCACCAAGGGCAATAATCCCAGGGAGGACACCAAAGGCAAAAATCCCATTAAGGAATCCAGATTCAATGAATAAGGCTATATTATCGCAAAGCTTAGCATCCTGTAACGGAGTTCCAATAAAAAAAATTCATAAATCACTTGTCGTGTTCAGGGTGGAGCCTAATTTTGGTAAGGTTGGGGTGCATTTGAAAAATACGTATTACCAAATGACGAACATTTGAAAACACAAGGACGAAAAGCCGAACAAGGTTCAAACTATAATTTGGCGCATTTTTGCTTCCTAAGACCTAAGCCAAAGTAGCGTGTCTAAAATATAATATCAGTACAACCAGAATTGAAAAAATGTACTAAAAAATCAAACTTGTTCAACTCCGAAAGTGATATACGAACATTTAAACAACTAATATATGAAAACCATTACTATCGTAATATGTAAGATCTGTAATAGTAAAAACTTGAGACGTAGGGCATTTGATTATGTACTTACCTGGACAGTCCTGCAATCTTGCAGTGATAATGAACCGTGACAGACGCAAACACCGTCTATTTCCACGCAAATTTAAGCGTAATGCATGTGATGGCCAAAGAAAATTAAACTCCCCCACGCCATTTTTCGTGACGACGATTTGCTTGGAAATAAACAGTGTCAGTGACCGTTCATTTTCAGTGCAAGAGAGAATACATATTATACCACATGCAATGCCGTATCTTATTTTATATCTTTTTAAATCCTATTAAGTATTAAACATGCACAAACATCGAGAATTAGTTGAGTTTCCTCAGTATCTTTAGCTGTTATTACGCTTATTAGAAGCGCGGTTTTTGAAACAGGCCGGAACACTAAAAGTCGTGTTAAGATTTATACATTGGTAATCGTGATAATTACTTGGTTATTTTGTACAAAATTATATATCCCATGTAAAATTATAAAATTAATAAAGAACATAACATTTCTATTAAAGCTAGAATCCAGCATTCGCAAAGACGCAAACGTCAAGCACCTCTGCTTTGGTTAGCTTTTCTGCGTGTAATCCAAGCACAATGATATGTATTTAGGTATAGTAGGATATAAGGGACATTCGTAATGCCTAACAACAGTTTTAGGCAAGAATATGAAGTAAAACTACACTTTTATTGTAAGTGCTTTCAGATGATATTTGATCAAAACCAAGCTAGCATTAACAATCCATAAAGCAAGTTTTATAAAGGTTCAAACGGGATTCAGTATCCAGCTTAGTATGACATGTATTAGAAGTAAGAGGGGAATAAAATAAATAAACATCTCAAATCATGTACAATAGGCATAAGGTTATCATGAAATATGCCATCAGAATTCAGAAGAGAATTGATATATAATGAAGTTAGAACATGGTAGTTCCTGAATCATGATGCAAACACAGACTCTATACGAGTCTTATTACTGACTACCTTCTTTCCATCGAATTGCCTTGAATGAACTCCCATTTTCTAATACAAGTTGTTCATGTTAGTCTGCAAGTCACACCAAACAAAGCTCCAACATAGCTAATCACCGCAATTCACAAACAAAATGATCCTGTATATTATAACAGTTTATATTCATAATATATGGTAAAAAACAATAAACACCAAAATGATAAGGACATAAATCGAAAATTAAAGGAATATTTAGAGAAGTGGTCTTGTCAATTTTAATTTAATCTATGTGAGCTGTCATTGGTCTCTGTATTGATAAATGGATTGAGGTTTTGCATAATCACTTGACTAAAAATCAAAATTCTTCAATGGAGAACAAATAAAACTGGCTGCTTAATCTTTCTTGAAAGTCTTCAATCTCTTCAATGACAAGTATTCGAAAAAAATATCAAAAAAAAAGGACTGAAAGTTTGGTTTGGAAATGTTTCGTTTTGGGAACAGGTATATTTTTCATTACTTTTCAACTTAGAATACCTAATGCTATGTTTGACCATGCACACAGTAGGGTTGCTTTTTGCATGGATAACTTGTCTTTTAAAGGACATTGGCAACGAAAATTTTTATTCCCTATTACGACAAAGTTTGGTCAGTTAACACTGGATATGAAATTATTTTTTTACAGAACTCCTTTGCTCAGGAGTTATTTGCAGCTAAACATGTAACAATTTATCACTTATTCCGCCATCTTTGATGAAATCCGTAAAAAATTATCTATGGGTCACATGACTTGTTGTGACGTCATTGGCTGGGTTAAAACAAACAGCAATATATCTTTATACGGCGCTTGGCTGGCTTTTTAGAAATTTTAGTATTGTGATGGAAAAAATTCACGAAAACCAAGTAGACGAAGTCTTGCCTTACCAATTTGAGCCAGAAACGGGGGCAGAAACAAGTGATTTGAGTGATGAAAGCGATTCGGAACGAGGTAGTGTTTTGTCTTCGTCTGAGGATGAAGTCGATAACAATTTCGAAATAGCGAACGCGTGGCGTCTGGAAACTTTAAGTTGGTGCAAATGTGGTCGATGTGCATTGTCAGCGAAAACTATTGAGTGTTTTTGTTGCCATGAAAAAGCAGTTGAGTATGGCGAGTATGAAGTTTTACTTGATGAAACAGAAGCACAGGGCGAAAAGTGTTTGACGTTACATCCGGACTTTCGAGACAACATGTTGTCCAAAGGCGTGCTGAAGATAGATGTTTGTCGCTATCTCGAAGAAAATTGGCCTTTAGACGATGGGGATTTGGAAAAGATTCACAAGCTCTACCGTCTAGTCTCATACCAACGATGCTCACGCTGGATTTTCCAGATATTGGGGAAAAAGAGGCGCAGACCGTTTCCTGCCTGTGTATATGCAAGCATACGAGACTGCTTTGCTTCGCCGGATGGTCTCTATACGCATTTTAAATATGCCAAAACATCAAAGAGGTAATATTTTAATTTGCTATATTCAAGTTAAATGGAACTAACTAACCCCTGTGAAATAATCCTCTCTGCCTATGTGCATTCTGTGCATGTATTTATATTCACATAAATTTATAGAGCATGTAAACTCCATAATGTGAACAAACACTTTGATTTCATTTGGAATTGCTTTATTTGCAAATATAGCAGTAAAACATATAGCTGTGGCACCCAAAGCAGACCTGGTGTGTAGAACAGACTTTACATGGTCTAAAATTTGTTTCATTCTCGATTTATACATTTTGCTACTTTACATTTACATTTGCTGTCACAGATCACTTCCAATGCCCGGCAATCACACTTTCTAGTAGCACATTTTCCTTTACAAGCACAAGGCTTATTATTTCTTCTCTTCACTTATAGGTAAAGCTGGTGTGCTAAACCTTGATTTTCTGCTGGCCACAACATGCTCCTTTGATGGTCTCTCCCTTTCTGCCAAATACTTTTCAACTAGAGATTGTGGTTCAGCAGGTAGCATATCATTTGCATAAACTCTAGCTTTCTTCAGTGAAGGATACTGGCTTCTCATCTCAATGACTTTGTTTAATATCAAGTGTATATATTCTGTTAAATCAGATGTTAAAAGTTTCTTAATTTATATATTGGATTGGATAATGGTATGTTAGGTGAACCTAAAAATATGGTGTCAATACTTACTATAGGTTGGCTTTTCCTTTAAAGGTTTTGGAACTGCTTTCTCCCCTTTGAAGGCTTTTGGATAAGAAATTGCCCATCTTAACTTTCCATCAGCAGTTGTTGCTTGCTTCCTATTGCTGTTCTCATTGTAGTGCAAGTTTGAGCAGTACAATCTAAATATTATAAGAAAATGATGAGCAGCTACATATAATATTATGCAATACTTGGGTAAAATATACAAAGTTTAAAAAAATTAACCTTGCACTCAGGGAATGATAAGAGTGATAGGTATTCTTTGAAGCAAACAAGTTATCTAAAGCATGTTTGGCCTCCAAGCCTGATGTTTGGTGATACTTAGATAACTTGCGGATTGCAGCAATAAGTCGAGGCCTAGTTACCATTTCTTCTAACTTTTTGTAAGCTGCTGAGCCTGTAATGAATAAAATATTATATAATATACATTGCCAACATGGATTTAATTATATTTTTTATTTAGCCTTACTAACCTTTTTTAAGCCAATCTCTTTCAACTGGTCCATGAAGACATTCAACAAAGATGCTGTGCTCAGCATGTTGATGAATGTTGACAATGTGATTGAGAATGCTGAGCCATTTCTCTACTCTTTCATCTTCGGTTTCACTCGAGTCAGCAACCCAGTAAATATGATTAATAATTGACTGAAAAGTATAAAATAAAGAGTGAATGAGATTGGCAATAATATTTTAAAATTGTACACTTACACAAATCAATATATTTTTTATCCAATATTATGTATGTTTAAAATCTGTTTGATTTATTACTAACCCCAATCCAAGGCTTAATCTTCTTAAATTTTTCTTCTTCGCAACTTTAGTCAGTTTCTTTTTTTCACCTTCAAATGATAAAAAAATAATTGTAAATAAAAACTACTTATAGTATATAATTAATTACACTGTATATAATAATATAATAAAGTATATAATTAATTGCAAGATATAGTCTGAATATTGTTGGTTTGGGGGATCACATAAAGTGGATCACATGAATTACTTTTGAAAGTGAATCATATACATATATATATATATATATATATATATATATATATAATATATATATATATATATATATATATATAATATATATATATATATATATTTATATATATATATATATATATATATAAATATATTATATATATATATAATATATAATATTATACCTTTTGCCACATGCCATACATCATAGGAGTGTTCCACCTCTGGTTTCTCGTTAGCCATATACGTAGATACTTGAACGTGCCGATCTGTTACTAGTTTTTCTACTTCAATTCTGTTATCCTCCAGGTATTTCAGCTGTCGTTTTAGTGATTCAAGTTCCATTGCATTGGAGTTTTTTACTTCTGTAGACTGTCAAATATAAAGAATTGTTAAATACAATAATTGTCAAATGTCAATAGAATTTCTGTATTTGAAAATGCCCTATTTTAGTACAATTACTGCAAGTTTAGGACTACCTTGATTACTTGGGTATCCAATACAACATTTTTTCCTACGTCAAGCGTACTTCCTGAACCAAATAGGCCACTGTGACCTGGACTGTCAACACGCATATCAGATGCTACCACAATTTTTTGACCTTCAATTTCACGCAACCTTGCAGACTGTTCCTCTTGCCAAACTTTATAAACCGCGGGAATTACATAATTCTTTAATATATTTGACAACTCCCGTTGCTGCAAGTTAGGAATATTTAACGCATTGAAAAGTCGAAGAACTTTCGACGATTCCATGCCTGTTGCAAGAATGCCAGATGCCAACAGCAAATGGAATGCTGGCATCTTGGACAGGGATGGAGCAGTTGACCACTCAAAGGAATGTTCAGACTGAATGGAACACGTGATGCCAATTCTGCATGATGAGCCAATTTTACTTTCTATGGTCAAAACACATTTTTCACCACATTGAATACATTTACCGAAAACATCCAGAATTGCTTCTTCGAAGACGATAAATTTCATTTGTTCTTGGGGGGGTTTTCCATCTGTTAGTACTTTGCGTTTTTCAAAATCCATGTCCTCTTCGCTGCTTTCTTCGCTTTCAGTTGGTGATGTGTCAGTTGGAATTGCCAAGTCACTGTGCAATGTGACTGCTTCTTCACTCGAACTGCCACTCTTGACGCTCTCAAGGTCAACCTCTGTTACTAAATTTCTCGTCGAATCTACTGTGATAGCCGTAACACTGTCTACCGGTTGCGCATCCGAACTGTGTAAAGGCAAAGTTGTCGAATACCCCTGTAGGCAAGTCATGTCTGATATCATTACTGTCTGTGTCCCGGCCGATCTTGTCGCTCTTGGTGTTTGAAAAAAATTGAAGCTGATGTCATTTGTGTTTGCGTTTTAACTGATCTTGTTGCTGTTTTCCTTTTTGACGTCTGTGTATACTTTTCTTTTGAGTTTGTGAACAGTATTTCAGTCTCGAACATCTCACTCGTTTTGCTTGTCCCAGGCTGATTTGGCAATTCCTCATATGGCTCCAAACTTGGCACGCTTTGACTTTCTAGTCCTTCAAATTCGTTTTCACTTGAAGATTCTTTTCTTTCTACTTCGCCGGTATTTATAAGATCATCGATTGCCTTCAGATATTGAAAAGTAATGGTTGTTTAGAATAAAAATTTTTATGAATGTTTGTACGCCACCTATATATTGCTTACACTACAAGGCCCACGTGTAAAATATATACATACGCTTTGAAGCGAAAATTGTTACCTTTTTTCGTCGTCTTTTCTCCGTATGCGTCCTTGTTTTGCTGGAGCTTGTCGTAGTTTCGGGCAATGCTTTATTTAGTGTTGGCACGGCATCGCTCTTCAAACGTATTCGAAACGCTTCCTTGCACTCTATTCGCTCCAGAAATTGCGGCGAATGCCCTGCTTCGTAGGCGTCTTCGGCAAAATGAAGCGAACAGATTCTACTGTTGGCTAATGGATTGAAATTTTTGCGTTTGCAAAATTCAACCCAAACCTTTCTCCTCCTTTGCTGCGGTCCTGATTTCCCACTTGGAAACCGAAAAAAATGTACACCGCTCGTGTTTTTTTTAAAGTCACTTTTACAACCGTATACCGGACAATACATGTTGGCCCCTTCGCATTGCCAGCAAGAATGAGCATACGCTTGCATTGCACGGCTATTGTTGGAAAAAATGCTGTTTTACTACCTTTCAACGCCTGTGCAGATAATTATCGTTTCTTTATCAGACCACGCCAAAGCGGAAGAACGTTAAAAAATATCAAAGGTGTATCCGGATGAATTGATATTAAATTTACTCATTTCCCGCCACTAAAGGCCCACACAAGACCGCAAACGATTTGGCAACGAAGCTAATAAATTTTATCCTTTCATGATATTCTTGCAGATTACTCAATGATAGTAAATTTTGACTGCTCTGGCATACATACCTTCCAAAATTTGCGTTCGGAATTCAATTTAGCTGCCACAGAAAAGTGAAAACTAAAAATTCGCGGTGCCTTGGTGCATCGCGCCCGGTGTAAGGCTCACACAAACAGGATGCGATTTGGCAAGGCGACGATAATGCATTGCTTTGATGTCTATAGATTCCACGTTTTGCTGCCAGAATTTTATTTATTTGCTTCTAAAAACTGAAAATTCGCGCCGTGATGCCGTTGCATCGATGCCGTTCGGTCTGTTTTGACCTGTATGCTTCTATACTATTGACATGGTGTGATTTTCAAAATTAGTGGCCAAAGAAACCCGGTCCACAAATATGTTATACGTCTGGCTTGACTTTCCGTATAATCGCGCTCTATAATAGTATGGGAGCAGCACAAATAGACAAGTTTATTGCAACAATTGTTGAAAACATATCCGCATATTTACTTTTTGTATTATTAGTTAATTGTATTTGCTAGGTACCGCGAACAACTACCGTAAAGACAGTGTTGTGTTGTATATATGCTAGGTATATATGTGTATATGTTGGCCTTAACCCAGCCAATGACGTCAGAAATGTAATCATGCATAAATTAGCATACGCGTTTATTTTCAAGATGGCGGACAAAACATAAATAGGCTTCAACTTTATTGTAACATTTCTCAACAACTAAATGCGATAGGCAAGTAAAAATACGAAATTAAGTATTCCTTAGGTATGGTTAACACAGACTAGCAATAAAAATTTTCGTTGCCAATGTCCTTTAATGCAGAATAAAAAAACTACATCGCAGCTACATCACAGCTACAAGCAGGTTGCTACTAGTCTGCAGAATGCAGACTTACCATTCTAATAAAATCAAAATATCACAAACTCAAACTTGTTATGCTTTGAACAATACTTTAGTTTCAAAATGCAAATCTTCAGATCATATGCATATTTTTTGAAATGGCTATAGAACCAACTTCTTTTTCAAGGCTGTTGAAAAAAATAACTAACTTTTAAAGCAAAGAAAGCATTGTTTATATTGGACAATTAATATAAGCAGCCAGACTAATGCTGTTATTGTCAATTTTTTCACAAATTGAAGATTTGAGATTTAGTCGCGATGATGAAAAACCCCAAAATTGTTTTGAGGGTGCATTTAACCACACCACCATCAATTATTCTTCCTTTTATTTTCAAAAAAAAAAATATTGCACAATAAGATAGATTTATTTATTCTCCTATACTTTGATAGGCTGAGAAACATCAATTCCACTGACTATCACCAGTTGAGCAATAAAAACACTGAAAAATAGTGAAGTTTTCAAATGAAGAATGTACATGAACCTTGGTAAATATTTCTCTAGCATATAGTTGGTAGAAAAATTTCTGCTCAAGAGTTTCATTCAAAATAGAATTTTTTTTAAAAATCATATACTAAGATCCGAGTATAATAAGATAACAGCACTAGCATATTGCCTCACGAAATGAAGAGCACTGACATAAAATGATAAAAATATGAAATAATTCAGTTTGAACAATTTTAGGAAATGTGTTTGAGTAAGATAATCACCTTTCAATGCTATTAACAGTCAAAAATATTTTTTAAGAACTCTTAGAAATTACAAGAGGACTTTTTATCAGACATGTCAGTCAAGAAACTACACATTTCTAATTTAATTTTTGAATAAATGGTACAAAATGGCTAATTATTCAATTCACTACCTGTGTTAGTTTGAAAAGATCAACATAGCACGAAAATGCAGCAATGCATTTAAAAGAATATTTTTGTTCAATCTTTGTTCAAAATAAGGTGTTTAATTCCTCAGAAAACATGCACACAAGTTCAGTTTTCCAAGGTTTTCAACTGATATTTGAAGATTTTTTAAAGACCTTTCAAGATGTTTTAGCATCCAATCATATTGATATTATTGAATTTTTAATATAATTCAGTCCAAAAGGCTACAGTACACTTACTTCAGTGAAAAGCTATTGCCATTTTTCTTGTGTTTTTATTGGGAAAACCTGATGACTTACAACTTCTTAATGTGTAATGAATAAGAACCAGGAGCTTTTAAAAATTAAGCATATAATCCTGCGAAAGCAACCATAATCTTGTAAAATTTTGATATAATAAAAAGTAAGAAGACATACCACATGTATGCATTGTGTGAATGCAATATTGCCAGACAGTCATTGCTACCACTACGAGCAGCATGGTGGACAACAGTATCACCATTATCATCCTAAAATGTACACTTTGTTTGTTACAAGAAACCCCTATCAAAAGCCACATTTATTTTCAAATAAAAAAAATTCAATCATTTCAAAAAATTAAGAAATCTTTTGTAATAGATGTGTGCATGTGAAAGAAGGATGATCAGCCTTCTATCTGCAGACTGCAGCCTTAGTGGGAGAGAAAACAAAGTATAGTGCTTCAAAGCATGAATATGTTGTGGCTGCCATATTGATGAAAACATTTACAATAATACAATATATATACAATTAGATAAGATTTATATAAAACAGCTTATGTACTAGAGTTCTTTTCACTTATAGGCATAGGATTAATAAAGTTATGCTGAACACAAACCTGTTTATTTGGATCAGCACCTGCTTGCAATAACCACAATAACATGTGGGGATGACCAGCAAACGCAGCAACGTGGGCTGGTGATCTTTTATAACGACACTCACATTGGTCCACATTCAAACCACAACTTAACAATCGACGCAAACACTCAACCTAAACGTTTTAAAGGACTGGTTTGTAAGGTCCATACTGATAAATTTATACCGAAGCGTGCAAGGACATAATAATGACTTCGCGTGTTAGGTCATTTAATACAGTTATTATGAAATTATGTAAATACAAATGGGAAAATCCTATAATACTGATTGTTGAATATCCTGTAATATTATTGTAATTTTGTTTATTATATTTAAACAAGTTTTTATTTTAATAACCGAACAACGCCTCATATAGCAAGATGCTTCTATACCAGGAATCTTATAGTACAGAAGCGCATTTTTCCAAGAAGTCATAAAGTCAGGAAGACTTATACAAGAATTGTACACTAAACTAACACTTTCTGCAACAAAAAGAGAACGCTTACTTTTCCATGGTATGCCGCCCAATGTGCAGGAGTCCAACCCAGGTACGTATCACATTCGCAAATACGATGAAATAATTCAAGTCTATCAGCGAGACTTGTGTTTATCAAAACACCTAAAGCAGAGCTATCTCCGTCACGACATGCTTGATGTAAGGCGGGAAGTGAAAAAACGCCAAAAGATCCCATTTCTTGCCGAGAAAACAGAACTTACACTTGATAAATCACTGTATCAAGCAGTCATAGACACATGAGGTATAATTTTTAACGTTGAACACGAACATGAGCAGAACAGTTGAATAAAAAGGAAGAGCAACTATACTGAAGATAGAAGCGAGTCAAAAGCAAAGTGAAATGAACAAACAACATAAATTACATAATGAACATGTAATGTTCTTGCAATCTCAACCAATAGGAATCCTGTACGATGACAATTACGAACAATATCACGAGCGATTTCGACCAATCAAATCTCACAATGAACCGTTTCATACGGGATCTTTGTGTGGGCGCTTTAAAATTTTCAAATAAATAATTGATTGTTTCTTACAGTAAGAGCGACTAGCCGTCTACTTGAAAGTATACAAGGTTGTGTGGTTTTTTTGAGATTTGCCTTCGCTATCTTCAAGAATAAAAAGCTTAAAATGACTAGTGTCCGAAATTTCTGTGGTGCTGAAGGTGTTGAACGTAATACATCGAGGTAAATATGAGATTTCATGCTGGATGGAACGCTTTGTCGGCAGTTGACTTTTGATCCATTTGAGCGGGAATTTAATATCTGTACTTGTCTCTATCGATCGAAAATACTTTAGTGACATTCAAAAGTTGTCTAAATGTTTGAAAACGTGTTTGTGATATTTCTCCTATTACTTTCATGAGTGTATTGAAATAACAGGGATGTTATTTTGGTTTCGTTTTCTGATTAGAAATGCATTTCACGAAACCGGTGTTACAGAACAGCAAGCACTAAACGAACCTAAACATGTAACAAACTCATCAACTGACAGTACTTGTATAAACAGCTACATTATTTTTTGAGTATCAAATCAAAAAAGCTTTTTGTATAAAAAACGTTGAAACTTGTATGATCTAGTGTTTACGATGGGGAAAATGTTTTACAGAAACAAATTGTCATAAATTAATAAGTTTTACATTATTCATATTCAGGGTTGTAATAAAGATATGTACGAATATTAAACTATTTTTTACATCATCTGTCGAATAAATTCGTTGATAAAAAGCTCATTGCAAAATAATTAAATTTATGCTCCTATTTACCATATAAAGATATTTATATAGTCTTTGTTAAATTTTTCATCCACAACATGAATGATGAATCTTCCTAGATGCAAACTGTGTGTAGTTGCAGTAGCCTAAAATCCTTCATAAAATTTTTAGTTCAATTAAAAAACTACATTTTAGTTAAATTGTTCCTGTGCACAGATTGTCTTGTCAGACTCTTGTGACATAATCATTCCTGATATTGATGATTGTCTGCAATCATTGTAATTATCATAAATGTTACTTTTTCCTAAATCAAATATTGTGAAACCAATTGACAAAAGCAATAGCTTCAATTTTAATACTGTTGATGAAGAAACCATGTTTCGCTCACAATTAATACATAACATATCATTGGGCGAAATCCAAGTTCGAATTTTGACCCATGTGAGAAAGGTTCTCAACCAAAATTGATTGTATTTAGAGTACTGGCTCCTCCTGGTGGAAAAAGCAATATCAACCTGTTTGGCGATGACCAGTCAAGCCACACAGCCGCACGACAACAGTCACATGTTTTTGAAAGTGCTGAAGCAAACGTGAAGGTTAACCCTTGTCAAGCTAAGCGTCAGGAATCTCATATTTTTGACAAACCAACTAATGAGCCAGCAATGGTGCACACTAGTTCAAAAGTACTGAAAGCCCCAGGTGGTGGTTCTTCAATCACATTTGGCTAACTTATTAGGCTAAATCAGTACTAATTATATATTTATTTATCTTAACATTTTATGGCCTTATTAGCACAGAATTCTGCATGCTTTTTAAAAATAGACTGAATTGAATGGTATGAAGCAACTTTCAATGTTGAGCATATGAGATGAACAAATGTTGCCATATATTTTACCTATGTATAAAGTTTCAATTCGGTATTGAGGTAGAAGCTTGTACCGTAGTAGTAGAGTAGCAAGTGTAAAAGTAATCAAAGTATCGCAGTTTATGTCAATAGTAAACAACATTTTAAAGTGTTTCTTGTATATATAGTAGATTTAAGTGTGATCAACACTTATGTACTGATCATGATAATTTGCTTGTTAATTGTAGTTCTGTGTCAGTATCTTACACTTAAGCCCAAAGCATTTCTTAACACTGGATAGGCCTTTAAACACTGTTTGTGTCGAGGGCCATCCCATTGATTTATGTTTCTCCTTCCTCTGCCTCATGACTAAAAAATAATTTGTCAGACCACATGGCCAAACCTAAAAGCAAGGCTTTAGTGTAAATTCATCAATGCCATCACACTTGTCACATTGACAAAATACTGAAATAGGACAAAAAGCAAAACAAATGTCTGATAACAGTGAAGAGGTTGTCAACAATCAATAGCATGGTTGACCTGAACCCAGATTCAAACTTCACATGTAGATACAAATAGTTAAATCACATGTAAATTGAAGGGATGATGACATCTATTCAATGATTTACAAGCAAATGATACTGGAAATGAGGGACTTGCAAGTGTTATTCTCAAATGTAATAATGCAGAGATTTATCCTTGTCATGGAGAATGCAAAATTTCTGCAGCGGAGCCAAGTCAGAACAAACGGATATAGAAAGTTTCTTAGTTCAATCCAATGCCCCTCTGAAAGTTATCAATTTTATATACATTTTGTAAGATTTTTAGTCTCTTCTGAATCAAGTAAAAAAAATCTAGATGGTTTTTTTGCTTTTATATAGCTTTGGCAAGTTAAATAAAACTTTTTTCAATAATTTTCATCCAACTGGTCTGACAGATTATCCATGTTAGGTAACTGCTGAAACATATTCCAGTTATGCAGTAAATGTACAACTAAGAATATCCTCACTTGAAATCTCTTTATAGCATCAGTAAACAGCAAGGGACAGCAATCTATAAACCAGGCCATTCTTGCAACCATCTCTGAATGTTATCCAAGTTTCTTTCCATTTCCTCTGGTGTATTACTAACACACTCGTGAACAATGTCTGTTGAATAACTTTCTCTTGCTTCCTCAAGAATACTTTGAAAAATCTCACATTCAACATTTTCTTGAATTTTTTTCTCTGAATACTCCCTAAGAGAAAGATATGCCTCTTAGTAACTGTGCATAATGAGGTAACTATGGCAATAAGAATTTGCAATTGTATTTAATAAATGTTGCTGCACACCTTTTCTCTAATCTGTTGTACAGAACAGTATTATCTGTCCTTAAAACAAACACTATATCAAACCATCGTTCAGGAAAGAACTCACAAGCATGATAATCAATTATGTTTCCACCTTCACCCATTATATCTTCTAGCTCATCCAAAACCTAATAGAGAGTAGGATGAAATACTGTTTACCATTTGATTCAACTGGGTGCAGTAGTAAGGAACATTGGTAAAAAAATGCTCCACTAACTCATAATAGCAACCTATCGCTATCAATAAGAAGCAAAATGTACCATTGAACACAGTGACAGTCACATGTAGCATTATTCTATAGAATGATGCATCTGTTGAATTGTCAGCTATTAAATAGGAAAATGAAGAGCATGAGATTAAAGGTTCAAGGGCATCTTACTTAGCTAATGTGATACAACTTAAATCCTTTTCATATAAGGGGCACTGATGTCAAATAAATTATAAACCTTACACGATCTTCATCAATCACATGGCAATCTCTTTCCTCGTCCCAACCCTCATAAAAATTGTTTTCTTTCGCTAAGTCTCCAACATTCACATAATTCATTTCTGTTCTTTTCGATAATTCCATTCCCAGAACCGTTTTTCCTGTCCCTGGTGTTCCAGTGATTAAAATATTAGGTTTTCTCCATCCCCTAGCAGCCGCCATGTTGGTCGAATTTTTTTATTAGCTATTTAGCCTGCGAATAGGTCCAATTATTAGTTATTACCGTATTCTCTCTATTTAACGCCCTCCCCCTCCAAAAAACCGCCAAAACACTCCTACTTCTTTCCCAGTTCTGTCAGTTACACAAGACATCTTCATCCTTCCGAGTCCGACCTTCCCCGTCCGACCTTCCCCGTCCGACCTTCCCCGTCGACTTCGTTATAATAAATGAACTCAGACACTCGCGTTTTTAACAGTTCATGTTATAATGTACAGTGCAAATAGAAAAATACACCCTGTGTATAAAAAACGTGACCTTATAACTCCCAGAGGCCTGCGATCTTTAGTTATTGAATAGAAGCGAACATATATGAATAGTAAGTGTGGTAGGGGGTTTTCTTATTCAATGTATTACATCAAATAACAGCAAAGCTTGTTCGTATATAGGTAGGTACCAACACGTTCCTACCCAAAATTTACCACAAACTTTACCACGGATCCAATCCTAAGGCAACGACATTCCTGCATGCCTTCAATTACAAAGCAACCATAAAACTCTTATGCATAATGCGTTGCCATTCAACGAAAGAAATAAAATACTAAAGGCAATAATAAAATAACTATGGCTAGCGAAATAATAAGCCCCAATATGAGCTGATGAATTTGCTTCTTTATATCTGCAAGAGGGTTCTGAAAGTTGTTTATCTAAAAAATATGAAAATAAAAATGACGTGTCTATATCCTTCAAATTCAACTGTTTGTTTGATTGGGGTATCTTTATTAGACCTTTTAAAATCCGTTAATAATCTTGTCAACATTCTTCACAAACTTTTCCTTTTAGGGCTATCCCCAGGATCCTCTCGCGCTTATTCTAATCCTGGGACCAGTTGTTCAAAAGACGTTTAACTTAACCCAGGGTTAACGCAAATCTTTAATTACATCTTTTTCATCGCTTGTTTAAAAAAGTTGAATATCTTTTCCATTAGTATTTTCTGGTTCAATAGAAGTGATATTTTCTAAAGTTTTAAAACGAACAGTGGTTCAGAAGCACATAAACTAAAACACTGGATTAAAATTTAACCCAGTTAACGATAACCTAGCTTTGAACAACTGGCCCCTGGGCACTATAAAATCATTAAAAGAACAAACCTTTGTTTGTAGTTCAATAATTTGTTTTTGTAACTTTAAGTTCATTTCTACCGCGTCATCAATTGTTTTTGGCCTCTTTTCTAAACCGTCTACATCCAATACCCGACAGTTTAACCTAAACAGAAGATCATAATTAGTATGACAAACGCAGGTGTTCAAAAGTTAGACATGCATTATATCTGTGATTATATTCACCTGTATTCCCTCATAGATGATCTTGGAATGGCTTTCCATAGCTCAGAAATATCAGTCTCACTCGTAATTTCGTCAGGAGGATGCTCAGCGTATAAAATAAGAAATTTATCTTTGTTCCATTGATGCTTTTCTTGACTTCCCTCAGCTAAAATAACACATTATATATAATTATACCAGAACTAAATGAGATGCACACAGTCTTATCGACGTTTTTCCTCGGGTCCCAGTTAATTCTGTATTATTTCTTCGACACTACATGCGGTTCTATACAACGTGTATTTGCTGACGGAGTAAATTGCGCTTGGATTAAAACGTCTAAAAGCTTACCAACAATTCAGCATTCATTTACATGCATTTATTATGCGTTTTAGGCATGGAAGGAATTTGAAATGATTCTCATGCCAGACCTAACTATCCAGCTGCAAAGAAAGTACCTTTAATGTCACACAACGCCATATTAATTACGAATCAATATACAATGCATCACTGGGAAGCTGCGAAGAAGATATTGAGAAATTAAATTACCTCTCTTAAGAAGAAGCAAGACTGTTATTACTTCTTGTGCACCAGGCTTAACTGCTCCAAGACGTGGTTTAACACGAAAGTTTGCAGCAGAGTTAGTTTTGATCTTTTTACATAAAAGTTATGAATAAAATTATTATGTTAATTCGTAAGCACAATCGTTCATAAATATCACATAGTATACATGCACGTGCGAAGGGCCGCTGAAAATTTAGATTTCTTTTCTTAGAATATTGAACTAATCTCTTACCTTAAATATAATTCCGTTCTGAGAATTATTCTCGAGCTTTATTGCTCCTTGAATCTCACTTGAACCTACGATTTCTTGGAATAAGATTTCTTCTTTCGGGCTAGACAAGAGATTATCGACATGAAATCACTTTATTTTATAAAATAACATGTATATAACGCGTGTTCTGATTGGTTGAAGTCCGTGTTTGGATCAGGCCATCCAAACACGGAAATTTCGCGGGAATTTAAAAACAAGTTTATTACGGTATGTTATTTTATAAAACAATTACTTAATGGTTTCCGTGTTTGGATGATCTGATCCAAACACTTGGGAATGTTGCTCGAGTTAAGAAAAATTCGCAAAACACTGAACACTCGCTTTCGGCTCGTGTTTCGCGCGCTTTTCTTAACTCTCGCAACATTCCCGGAAACCATTAAGTAATTGTTACTGTAATTCCAAGGTTTGAGGGTGAAAGTCTGAGGTCGAATGTCTGAGTATGAATGTCTGAGTATGAATGTCTGAGTATGAATGTCTGAATGTCTGACCTTGATTATATGACCTTGATTAACTCGTTGACTCAAATAATGTGCAAATCCTACTGAGCGGCCCCTAACGTATAACATCATTTCTTTAACCAGCATGCATGAGGAATGAAAGAGGACATTTTTTACGTCATATATCATCATGCTAATCACCTGACAGTGAGTTCACCCGGGATTTCCTCGTCCATTGGAGGAATATCTTCACTGGATGAATCCTGTTCAAGGTTTTGATCGTGACGACGACGCTAAAAGAGAAACGTTTTTGCATGAGTTTACACGAAAAAGGACGCCGTTGCATTCATACTTTATAAAGTTGTATCAAAACGCATGCATAAAAGAATGTATACATGATAAATATATGAAAACCAGTATGAGATGAAGAATTATAAAGATATTGTTTTCGTAACATATCCTACATTTCTGAGTTGAGATCCCTTTGCTCCCATGCTCTAGAAACAAGAATGAAACATAAGGCGCTGGAATCCAGTGCAAATCATAACAGGGTCTGAACTAATGATATGAAAATCACAACTCTATATAAACTACCTGCTTCACACATTTAAACAAAGTCACATAATGCATCATAATCCACCCAGGAAAATAAAAAACACATGTACGAAATCCATAAACACAGCCACAGGATTATCAAACAGAAATAAAAATATATCTCAATATCCAAGGATAGATATTTTTATAAACAGTGGGTCAAACCTAACTATAAACGCCGTCTTGTGGTTGCCACGTTACAAGGTCAACCACCTGTTACATGAAGCGAAACTTCACGCAAAATTGAGGAATTTCATATATATATACATCACTATTTAACGGAAATGTTATTATATAATTATTTCACACAGACAAATTTATTTTGAATGGAAACATTTAAAAGGAAACTACATGCCCATGCAAGAACATTCCCAATATAATTAATGCTAATAAACGCCTATATTTTAAGCCGTTTTTCTATAGCTACCACGCAAATACCACTCTTAAAAACCCAAGTTTATAATTTATCATAAATTATTTCTAATTTTGCATGGCAGAACAAAACAATAATGTTTTCAAAGTGGAGACTCGAGTTTAGTCGTTCATTAAATGAATCAAAGTCATTCATTTTTAAAATGTGTTATAAACTAAAAATCCATTCATGGCGTACTGATTATAAACGCCCTTTTCAACGTTCTATCGGCTCGAAGAGCTAAGATCATAAAACTGAAAAGATCGCGTGCATGTTCCTATGAAGCTGCATGAGAATTCTTTAAAAGTTTAACCTTTGTTTGAGTATATTCGATATTTCATCTAAAATTAAATCTTGTTTATAATGATAATAATCAGATCTCGTAAATAAATTATTTAATTCTTACTTCTGAAGTTAAACGTGTAATTTCTTGCGATGATTCCTCGGGACTAATTGATCCAATTCTCTCTTCATGGTCGATAGCGTCTTGGAAGGGACCGTGGCTGTCCATATCTCCACCAACTTCACCAACCCTGCGGAAAATATCGAACGTTTTGGAACAGAATTTTTGCATACCAACTCAGTAGTGGGGGGACAACTTCAATATTTTTCAAGAGCAGAACATTATAAGTTTGACTGGAACTTACGATGGATCAAAAGGATTTTGAGTTCCATTTTCCGGAGGGTATTTGTAGGTATAGTTATCCTATATGAGAGCGAAATGAAATACACAATAGTTTATTCAGATTACTTGCAGAGAGGAGGAAAAACTTTTTTATCTTCAATTTTTCTTTCAAATGGGAGCAAGAATTTCCAGACTAAGATGCTCTTCGCCTGGGCTCCCACACGGTTGAATACTGAAATAGTCAAAACGTTTAGAAATATTGCTTTCTTACTGCCATAAATATACCCTGGCACACACCTCCACTCAAAAAATTGTTGATAAGGTGGGTTTATTTTCGGTGAACCATGCATTATAAATGAAGTAAGACTGTAAAGGGGAGGAGGGGACGTTAATATTTATTACCTTTTGAAAAATATGTGGCAAGACAGCAAAGATAAAACTGAGTTCAGATCATGTGGATTGTAGTTTTTACAATTAAATTACTCTCCCTCGAATTCTTTGATATGATAGTTGATTCAAACTCCATGACCTTGTTCATTATTTAAACGTTTATCATTATAACTTAGCATCAAATGTGGTATAACAACTTCCTAAAATAGACAAAAACTTCTCGACGTCTCGACCTGAGGGCCTTTATCAGGTGAGTTAGTATGACTAACTCTCCCTCCTGACGAAGGCCCTCAGGTCGAAACGTCGAGAGGTGTTTTGTCTATTTTAGGCAGTTGTTATACCACATTTGATGCTAAGTTGTTTGAAGACGCTGCCACGCTGCTCCCTGGTTTTATCGTTTATCATTATGCATGCATATTGGTCTCCATGGCAGCCCAATTGAAACAATATGTTTAGCAGATCTCATGATAGCAGAAGTGATAATTCGAAAAATATTTGTCCTTTCAAACGCAGAGAGATCACATATTGTAAATACATACCGTTCCTCCTAGTGAAGTAAGAAGTTTCGACTTATCAACATAAGTAAGGAGTTGAGCCTTGTCGACAAATCTATAAATATCAATTAAAAAATTAAATATTTGCAGTAGAAGAATTTAATATTGAAGAAAGAAATAATAATATTTCCTGCATACTTTGAAGGTAAAACTGAAATCATGTTATAAACACAACACGAGTTATGTAAGATGAAGTATACAATGCCAAGAACTAAGAACTCACTTAAACTTAGGTGACGTAGCCGGCCCAAGCCACTGCTGTATATTCCTCCAAGCAGCTAAAAAACAGCAACGAACAAGATTGATAATATCATGACTGGATCATTTAAACTACATAATGCTAAGAGCCTATTTTAAGTGCTTCAACTGGTTGAAATTAATAAATGAAGGGAGGAAAACTTTTGTTCTAGGCTCGCGAGCCAGCATGCATGTATATACGTACAAGAAACACGCCATGAAACATCCACGACCAGAAATGAGTCTAAATTTAAACAAATACAATTAAAACAATTTTAATCGAAAAATGCAAAAGCAATTGTGCGCATACTCGCGGTCTATCGAAATTTTTTCATAATGCTTACCGAGTAAATTAGGGTAGTAAATGTTGAATAAATCAACGACAAACTTGAAGAAGTTCAAATCCTGCGTGAAATGAAATATTTTGTTAGCAGATGGGACATTTTTTCAAATATTCAAATTATAGCGAGAATTTTTCATCCAGTTTTTAAGATAGGTATTTCAGTTCGACCCATTTTTTCTGGCCGTCTAGAACATTTCTAGAACATTTCTAGAACATTTCTAGAACATTTCTAGAACATTTGTATTTTGTAGGATGGTTTTTAGGATGGCATAAAATCATGTCCAACTCAGTTTTAATCTCTGCAAGTGCATGAACCATCTCCAATCAATGCTTCTTCCTGTGTCTTTAAGTATTATATGTTCAACTATTCTAGGGTCTGCGGTAGTCTCGATTACTTTAGATGAAATAAAATAAATAAAAATCATACTATATGGTCCAATTTCGCATCGTGATGATCACAAATAACCAAAATTTGCTTTCCAAAATTTTTTTGGTTCTGAATAAATTAAAAAAATAATGGCGTCAGCTTCCATACACACATATCCAGGTAATATTTCATTCATATTTTAGCCAATCAGCACTCAGGAAGTTTGTCGAAATCAATCCTGCAGTATTTAATCGATTATATAATCTGTTATTCTTAATACCTTTGTGATATGTTTATTTCTATAAACTATTTCCCAGACAAAATTTGAAACCGAAATAAAGTGTATTGCATTTTAACCAAGAAATGGATTTCTATTTTACAACTAGCTACAGCCATTTCCCGCCATTTTAGACCATGTATAGATAACTACTATATATAAAAATCAAAAGTCTCAAACCTGTTTTTCCAAAAGATACGCAAACAGTTTTTCCAGCACTTCTTCCTTCTTTTTATCTTTTTTATACTTATAATTATTACCCTGAAATATCACTAAAAGAAAGTTTATTTATTTTAGTATTATCTTAATGCCCACGAACGCATAACCACACCACTTCCTCCCTATACTTCTTTCTCCCCATGCATGCATCATTTCATTTATTTCTGCATGGGCGAGGAGTAAGATGATAGCAGTTTAAAATCATCTAATAAAGCATGCATGTAACTGTCATGTAATGCCAACAAAGAAGTCGGAATAAAATTCGCGTACACCTAGCTACGAGATATGCACTTACATATAGGATTTTTTCTTTTATCAACATTGTGATAGAATAAGATTCCTTCTGCCAGAACTTCTTTCACAGTGTTTTCTTCGAACCAATCTTCTTGAATGTCTTAAACGATTCAATAATCAACAATTCACGGCCAACTGCAACTCGTTAAGCTAAACAGTGAATAAAGTCTATAATGTGCACGTTCCATCTCAATTAGAAGAAACGATAGAAGAAAAAGATATTACGTTTTACTAGGACACTACCATACCACTATAGGACAATTATACACATTGCAACTGATTAAAACGTTGTTATTTACTAACGTATTCTCGTCAGCCAATCACAATATCTAATACCTTTTCCAGGCAAATAAATTCGCCCATAATAACGCCCACATTTGTGAATACTAGTAAGGCCCGTTTAATACTGTCAATAACTAATTTGAAAGTTTTTAAAAATTTGCCGGAAAAATCTAAGAAACTACAACAACGATTAACAATGAGCTACTGTATTTCTTTCCTTGCTTTCTACCTCGGATTCCATACGTTTTTCGCCATTCCAAGGATTCTTTCTAAAGAAAATTAAAACCAACAACTTTCAATACCTTTCAAATTTTTACACTCAATAAACAACGTACAGGTATTTTGCCATTCAGATTACTACCATAGCTTTATAAGCTTTCTCCAGATCTCCTTGTCTTGACTGTATAAATAAGCGAAGATAAGTCTCTCCTTCCGAATCATTTCTCCTCAATATTTGCAAATCTCGATCATCAAATTTCGTCAAATCACGATCACTTGCTGAAACGAAATGATAGACTAAATAAATGACAGAGGTTTTGAACACACGCCTTGGAAAGCGGCGACAGTTGAAGATTAATTTTCAATTCCTATCCAGGTGGTAAGGGGGGGGGGGGTTAGGGTCGGCCTCGTTTAAAAGGGGAAAAGGCTCTAATTGTCATTCTGAAATCAGTGTTGACGCATCTGGCAACAGATCGTTTACCATCATCTTTAATAACATAACGATGACCATCACCAAACCTTGTTTTTAAACATTTTCAAGTTGTTTCACGCTATTCTGGGTTTTTAATGAAAAAACCGGGTTAGAAATTCTACGTGATAGTAGATGACATTGAGTCCTATAATCCGAGTCGATAAAATTTTACAAATGTCCTAAACAGGACGAAAAAAGACGACACAGAAATCTTCATTTCCGCTGCAAATCCCAATGAAAAACGCCCTGGTTTCCACCAGTCAAACGACCCATCTTTGCATGTGATGTTAGTCAAAACACACGTGTTTACAGATAATTTCATAAAATTTTTTGAACGTTGCAACGTTGCATTTTTATTGATGTTTGGAAAACACAAACCGGAAGATTGAAAAATTCAGAGCTGACAAAGACATTGTAAAGAATTGCTAACTTAATTGAGAAGATTGTGCTTAAATATGAGAATTTGCTTTGGAAGATTCATACAATTTATCATGGAGTTTTCCAGAAGGTTGCAGGGGCATAAAGACAATGGTTAATCACTTTGCATGCTACGGTACATTTAATTTTCTGTCTTAGCTTATCTATTCTCCTTGACAGGCCAGTACGAGCTGTGCAAGAGGGCTGACTATGAAACTCAGATGTATAATAATTTTTTGTTAGCTAAAATTCTCTTAGCCCTGATTTAATATGAATAAGAGGACCAGGCTAAGCAAACACAAGTGAACAACATGAAAGTCTAGTTTTGATAAATCCTTGGTGATGTAACTGCCCTAATAATTCCTGCTGGAACATTATGTTAAGAGAAAAAAACTCCTTTTATATAAAATACAGATATGCATACACAATCTCCAACTTTTTTATTTAGAACAAGAACACAGAGTAAAATGGTGTTGACTCAGTATTGAGTAGTATGTGTTTATTATAGAACTATTAAAGGTGTATATTAAAGGTGACTGGCTAGCTACAGTAATATTGCTTGGTAGTATCTTTGTATTAAAAAATACATTTATTGAAATCTAATCAGAGTTCTCAGAGGTGTGACATATGTGTTACCCTGGGATTGACAAACCTGACCAACTCAGTAATTTAATTGTAACATGTTGTAATCAACATATAAATACAACCTTTCAATAAATACTTCATTTGGCCCATTTTTGCTTCTATGACTCAAGAACCAATTGCATTGCCAAAAATTTACTTGTGATGTAATTATAGTTTTGCCTGGTTGAGGGAATGCCTGTGTTTTAATTGTTCATATCTGTTGTTGCATAAAATTATCCATACCGACAACCCCCATCTGAACCAGGCTTTATACAGAAGTTTATAGTATATAGTCTAGAGAGGATGAATTGCATTTAAACTCTTTCTAAACTCCTAAACTAAACTTTAGTCAGAAAAAAAAATTTCCTTCGACTGATCGACGATGGTTACATGTCCGGGAAGTTGGGAAGTGGGAACCATGTACAAATATTCAATTATTATTGTTCCTGCCCTACCATTATTATCAAATCGTCCTTTCAGCGATGCTGCTAACGCTTTCTCGATCTCTTCTTGCACTGTTTTCAAATTGGACATCTTTCTATACGACCAAAACCAATTGGACAAACGTATAACTGCTCACATGATTTCCGCATGTTCATTTACTTGGAAACCAGGTTTTCCATCTCGAGTCGATGATTCTTGAGTGTCGAATTATAGTAAAATTTAATAATTTTATAAAACCAAGTAACCAATATCAATAACCGCTGTCCGGTTATAACTTTTGAATGGAAGATCATTACCGCTCATTACGAATTCATTACGGTGGTGATTAGGGTTGTGATTAGAGTGATTGGAAGCTAATCATTCAATTAGATATTTTTAAGAAAAAATTAAGATGAAAAGAAAAAGACCAGAGGAAGGACAAAACATTCTTATTCAATTTTGGAACTGTCAGCTACTTAAAGATCACAAGATAATAAAAGATGATCTTTGGGTACGAGATGGTTGCATTCTAGACCCTCATGCCCTCTTTTTTGATGAAAATGTTGCTGCTGATGTTAAGGTTGATTGCAAAGGATTGTTGATTGCCCCAGGATATATTGATGTTCAGATTAATGGTAATATATATTGGGATATATAATAATGGTAAAATAGGTGTGGAGGGGCCCCTAACTAGCAGAGTAGCAGTCTGGCTGAATCCCTGGACTCTGGTAGTTATTTGATAAATCCAAATGTGCAAACACTGGTGTTTATTATATTTATGGAGGTAAATAATAATAAAAAGATTTGATATTTTTTAGGTGGGTTTGGTGTAGATTTTTCATCAGATATAGAAAGCATAGAGACAGGCATAAAATCAGTGTGTAATAAATTACTTCAGTATGGTGTCACATCATTCTGTCCAACTATTGTTACTTCTTCCAAGGAAACATACCATCAGGTTTGATTGAATTTTATTACTGCAGTTGTGACCATGGTTTCACTGAATATTATACAAATAATGAATTTAATATTCTTGTCTCTTAGCTTCTTCCTAGAATTTCAAAAATCTCAAAAAACACACATGCAGGTGCAACAATTCTCGGCAAGTAATTTTAAACACACTTCCTTTAATTTCTACATGTAGCACATATTATCCCTTGATCCCTGTCAAACATGGAGTTAAGCTATGACACTTCCTAAACTTGCTCCTTCCACCTAATGGAAACTGCTCAGTATTACATTTCATTCAAAAGACTTTGTTTTGCCTTGGTACCTGCTCTGGTAAACCTATGCCAATCACCTTTTTAGTGTTTCGCCACGTTAAGCTTTCACCACGTATTCATCAAAAGGGTTATTTTTTTCAATACAGGTTTACATTTAGAAGGTCCTTTTATCAGCAAAGAAAAAAAAGGAGCGCACAAAGAAGTGTTTATTGAAGCCCTTGGTCCTCAAGGAATAAACAAAATGAATGAGCATTATGGTAGTTTAGATTCTGTCAGAATTGTAACTCTTGCACCTGAGCAACCATATGCTATGGAGGCGATTAAAGATTTATCCAAGAAAGGGATTGCTGTATCTATAGGTTAGACTGGAATATACGCTACGGTATTATTACGTAATTTATCGATACTTGTTATTGACTGGATCGTCTTGTATTGTGTGTGTCAGTTAGAGAGCTCGCGTCGGAATATCGTCGGAACGTCGTCGGACGGTATTTAACAATCAGGCACTTTTGACTTTTATTTTTCAGGTCATACCTTAGCTAGTTTGGATACCGCAGAAGAAGCCGCCAGATGTGGAGCGAGGTTTATTACACATTTATTTAATGCAATGTTACCGGTAATGTAATAATGATTCAAATATTTATGTAAATAATCTAATGTGGATCCACTAGTGATAAATTGCTGGTTACACTAGAAAATAAACACTGAACTTCATTAGTGTTTCAGTTCTACTTTCAGTAGTAAATTATCAGTCGACCAGCGCAACGATTACCACTGCTAGCGTGAAATTGTTTCTACCTGGTCTGATGCACCGCAATTGCGTTGCTAAATTTTGTTCAAATATTGTCTTTACGTGATGTTTAGTTTCACCACCGTGACCCCGGTATTGTTGGTTTATTGACAAGTGATAATATTCCAGAACCGATTTATTTTGGTATTATTGCTGACGGCATTCATACGCACCCAACTGCTTTACGCATTGCTCACAGAAGTCATCCAAACGGTACAAGTTCTCGTTTCGTTGTTGAATTACATAAACAAATAACATGGTCATGGTCATGGACAATGGACAGTAGTACTATAAAAATTTAGGAATCTCTCTGAGAAAAAAATTGTCATACAAGTCACAATTGACTTTATCGAAGGATAAATTATATTTACTTATGCTTAACACTAATGCCTGCATATAGACACTTTACAGCGTTTAGATATTTCCTATGGAGAATATGTTTGGTTGGTCGTTAGCACAGAACAAAGTCAGACTTTACGGAGAGAGTGTCCACTAAGCAGTGCCCCCGTCATGTTCTGGCAAAAAAGCCTGCTATTGCATGTAATGATAGATTGGCCGGCGATGATTTGAGAATTGAATATTCACTTGTTTTTTAAGGTTTAGTTCTGGTGTCTGATGCTATTGCTGCATTAGGATTGCCTTCTGGTAAACATTGTTTGGGCACAGTTGAAGTGGAGATACATGATAACATGGCGACTGTAGCAGGATTAAAAACTTTAGCGGGAAGGTAAGAAGCATGAATATGAATGTTAGTTTTTTTTTCACCGATGTTAATAGCATTCGTTTGAAAATCCCTCGTTTTATACTAGAACTTCAGTCAAACAGGTGCATATTAAATTTCAGGTAATTTTCCAGGTAAAATATTTCGTTTAATCATATTATATTTGGTCTTTTTTCACAAAGCATTGCGTCATTGGATTATTGTGTCCGTCAGTTCAAAAAGTTTGCAGGTAATTCCTAGTCCTAATTTTACAGTTTTTTTTAAGAACTTCATTCGTTGCAAACGTTGTTTGCGTTGTAAGAACTGACAGTATACGCGTCGTAAAATTTCTAAAAAATTCAATTTAAAGACATTTATTTTATTAATACATATATTTACTCTGAACAATATATTTTTGCAGGTTGCAGTTGTGTCGAAGCTTTGGAGGCCGCTTCTTTACATCCAGCGCAACTTCTCAAAATATCAGATCACAAAGGAACATTAAATTACGGGGCAGATGCCGATATTATAATTTTAAACGATGACTTAGAAATACAAGCAACTTTAATTGCTGGCAATTTAGTTTGGCTGAACAATTCAAGTACAGTTGCCCAAGAAATATTCGCAGATTACGATCAAAAAATGACGTGAAGTTTATTTTTGCACTGCATGTGTAAGCCTCACTTGCACAGTTACACTCAATTTATCGGCACGGCTAAAATGAGTACCTGTACGGCTGTACTGGGCCAACTGGTAACCAAGCTGAATGCTAAACAAAATGGGCATGATGCAGGTAACAATTTCAGCCCTGCCAATCAATCGAGTGCGACGTATTCCTTATTTTCCTGCTGCACAAGACAGCATTATTAAAGTATTTTATATTTCATAATTATTTAATAATAATACTACCAATTATCCTACTTATACTGCTTTATCCTAGAGCAGCTTACTATCAAAGTTTATTATCTGGCTAAATGTTTGTAGACCAATTAAATTACCGCATTTAGTAAAACCCGAGCCAACGTTCGTATTATTTTTAGCAAAATTTAAATGAACTGTCAGCAAGGGTCTCGCTGTGGGAGAGATAATTTTAATAAACAATGCAGATATCAAGCTGCTTGTATTGTTCCATTTGAAGTTAGCCAGCATTAACAGATCCATTGCATTCTTGACATAAAACATAAAATAATTGTATACCGTATATAATCATCTTATAGTTCTAGAATTTATAAAAAGAATTTATAAAATAATGCATTGTTAAATGATGTTATCGCAGTTGTCATTATTCAAAGTATCTGAATACATTATTCTGCAATTGACTTTTTGTTCAGTGACTTTTATATTGAAACATTACGCACTTTCACTTACCGGTTAACTAACTTTTAAATAGTGTTAACCATTATTATTAATTTTACCCTACAAAAGTCATGGTGCATACAAATTCTTCGATTATCTGTTTTCCCTTTCGTTTTCAAATTGCTCCTAAGACCTCATGTGTCTATTTGATGGATGCTTTGGACAACATCCTTTGTTCAGTTAATGGTGATTCTTTTGTCAAGTCACAATGGTCCCCCAACTGTCAAAAGTGTAGCAATATTATGAATGGATTTTTAGCTATATACTCAATCGTACAGTGCCTCCGCAATGGCGTGTTCAAGTTTATCACGAAAAGTGATTTTTTTTCTTCCCCTATCTTCTATCACTAGTTACTTTGACAGAAGCGAGTACCACCGTTTATTTTGCTGGTATGTTTCCATCTTGGCCAAACAAAGCCAGAGTTCCTGGGTTTGTGTTGGATGCTGGTACAAGACTCGCCTTAGATCACATCAATAATGACTCCTCAATTCTGTCAGGGTACACCCTCGATATGGTCACAGGAGACAGCAAGGTCAGATTACATTTTAGTAAATATGTTACTGTTGTGATTATTGGCAATTCAGTAATTTTGTACGAAATTTATCGAAGTTTATATTACACATAATGGTTGAGCCTGGTGTTTAGATATTATAATCTAATGCATGATTGCGGGTTGTCCGTTAGTAAAGTTAGTAATTTTCTTGTGTGCACGAGTTCTGATTTTTTATACCCCAGGCATATTGTTCCATAACTGCATTGATAAGTGAGCAAAAGGATCAATTATCACTTAAACTAGATTAGTCGCTTATTTTAGGAAAGAACTTAACAGAGACTAGAATCTTCAATAAACAGAAATAGCACATTAGTATAACTAGTTTGGAATGTTAGAAATGTGAACGGAATGTATACAATATGGATTTCGAGCTTTGTAACAGCATGAAATGCACGTTCCTGACCTTTACGAATCTATGCCCCAAAGAAAGTTTCCCACAGAGATAATAAACCCATAATGTTTTATCTACAACAGTAAGGGCACTTTTGCTCAATCATGCAATTTATTACTTCGTCAATTAGTGAAAGGATAAAATATATATACTCGATATATTTTCATCTTGATTAAATGACGCGGCTAACATATTAACAATTACCATCGTATATCCTTGTAAGTCACGAAGCAGCTTCTTCAAGTATAAGAATTGTTTCGGCCCTGACAGGGAGTCACTCAACTTTGCATGAATGTGCATAATAGTTTCATAGTGATAGTTCAAACACTCTGTACAACGTACCAGGTTTGGTATTTATGAGCTTGTTTAAGATTTTAATTACCAGACACACAAACAAGATAATTCGTGATGAAGAGGTTATAATAATTAATTTCTATCGATGTAGTGTGATCCTAAAGTAGCCTTCAACTCTTTGGTGAAACTTCTTGCAAACCCTCCCAACATCTTGGCACTGTATGGTGCTGCATGTTCTGATGCAACTCAAACATTGGCTGAGATGACAGCCTTCGCTAACGTTGCTCAGGTGAGAACAACTTCATCTACTGGTTTACCAAACTATCCTCATTTGCAGAGGCCAATATCACAGCTCTCAGTGCAAAGAAAAACGAAATTCTCGTTCATTTCTTTCTTCAGGTATCTCATACATCCACCAGCCTGAGTTTATCCACTGCCAACGAATTTCCCTCATTATACAGAGTTATTCCAACTGACTTTCCTGCAATCCAAGCAAGTATAGCATTGGTAAAAATGTTTAAGTGGTCAAGAGTGGCCATAATTGGAGAAAAGACTGCATCTGGATTGGTATGTAAATTAAACTGATGATTGAACACAAAATTCAGAGACACAACATGAACTGCGACGAAGCATGCTATACAATGGCATCAGTTAAGACTGAGGAAGAATTCACAATGAGTTTAACTAATCATTAGACTATTTTACATGATGTAAGTCTATTGGTTGATATTTATTGATCCTCTATCATATGTTATCTTTGAACGTAATAAATATCAAATGCTTTCTGTTCAGTTGGAATCAGCTTACGAAGTAGTTGTCAGAGATATGGTAAGAAATGGAGTTGATGTTGAATGGAGTAGAATCATCAACACTGACGACGTTGAGAAGAGTATTATTGAAATCAAGGTCTGTCTTCAAAATTTTTTTTGCTGAGACTAAGTATTAGGTATAGATGGTGACGCTAGCACTGGGGTATAAAGAAAGTTATGGCAATATTTACTGAGTGAAGAGAAAGCATTGAATGTGATTCCATGATTTGTCTTTGTTGTGTACATAGTTTGATAAATTGTCGCATGCTCAATCAACTGAATGAAATAATTTCTTAATTCAATTATTTTCTTTATTTCACAGAAAAAAAAAATACATCAAACACAATAAACTTGTACATTTTCAGTGTATTTTTCACCTGTGGACATTTCCCTCTCTCCTTTATTTTTAGAAAAAAGATATTCGTATTATTATCGCTGCCGTTAGTGCAACATTTGGTAAAAAATTAATGTCTCAGGTAATGAAAAGGCAATTAAGTAGTTCACTTTTTAGTTTTTCACAAGATTGAACTATATATCCGTGACTTGAAGCCCAAATTAAAGTTTGCAGTTTTATGCTACGGACCCCGTTTTCATGCACGAGTCGAAGTTTATTATTGATGTTCATGATCGTAGCGTATAAAGAAAACTACGAAAATCTGAAAACTTCTCCGTTGTGAAAATCTCAACAGGGCAACTAACGTACCCGTCAAAATATATCAACGTTTTATAATGTTTCTTTAAGGCCTACGTATCTGGTTTGTACAGTCCTGAATATGTCTGGATTTGGTTAGAAACTTATCCAGCAACATGGTGGCACGATACTAACACAACTCAAAATGAAACTGTGAAAACTGTTGTGCAATACTCGTTTAGTTTTGGTGATAACATAAATATTCAAGACAGAACAACTAATACTATTTCAGGACGAGTGAGTATGATATTTATTCAATACAACGTTTTGAGGGTTACCCCGTCGAAAAGAGATAAAGATGCGTTAATGATTTTAATCCAATTACTATTAAAATTTTTTTTTTCTCAATAGACTCCGAATGAAGTCTGGACAGAATATCTTCAAAGACTGGGAATGTCTTTTGTTCCTCCGTTAGCGGCGTATTCTTACGATGGAGCATGGTTTCTTGCAAAAGCTCTTGATAATGTCGTTAGAAGTCATGGAATAAAACTGGAAGATATTACAACTGGAAATGAAACATTTTATGAACTTCTCATCTCCAGTTTAAGTTCTGTCACTTTCACTGGAATAACGGTACGTCATTCAGTATATACTAAAATTAATATGAAATCGTTTGAACCCATCTCAAGCTTATTGATGCCGCAGGTGTTGTTGTTTAAATGCATTTTTTGCTTGAATAATTCCCTTGCTCCATTGTGCTGGATTATTGATGCAGGTATTATACCTTTTAAACAAGAAAATATAATTATATCTGCAATTACACGTAAAATATGTTTGTTAAAACCTTTCATTTTAGGGTTCAATTCAAGTATATAGCAAAGATTATAGAGAAAGACTGGACGGCCCTGCTCATATTTTTCAATATGATCAAGGTATGTAATTTGTCCGGATTTTAGATTATGCTCAATGCTGCATGTCGTAAAATTCCCCTATGTGTATTGATTTGTATATATATCTCTATTGAAAAATTAAGCAGCAAGTTGGTATAAAATACTTTTCTAAATAATTTTCTGTATATTTGACGCTAAAATAGTTGTGGCCTGAATAGATTGTACGCAATTTTTTGCCATAGTTATACAGGCAGCATGTATGCATGCCATGGTCGGTAACTGTAGATACTGTGCATGCATACAGGGCCGCCCAGAGAAATTGTGGGGCCCGCGGCTAAATTTTTTTCTGACGTCATGGTTTTAAATATATGCGAGGCATAAAGTACTTCAAAGCGTTCTGCAAAAGTTTTACAAAAAAATTTTTTTTGTCCTTGCGTATTCGATCATTGTCGAGCCTGCCGGAAGATGGCGTATTTGACAATGGTCGGGTGTACCGGAAAACGGCGTATTCGACCATGGTCGAGTGTACCGGAAAATGGCCTATTTTACCATGGTCAAGTCTACCCGAAAAATGGCGTATTCGCGATCATGCTTGAGTCGGCCGGAAAATGGCGTATTCGACCATGGTCGAGTTCCCCGGAAAATGGCGTATTCGACCACGGTCGAGTTCGCCGGAAATACGACCATGGGGATATTCGTCGGAAAATGGCAAATACGACCATGGTCATATTCGCCGGAAAATGGCAAATACGACCATGGTCATATTTGTCGGAAAATGGCAAATACGACCATAGTCATATTCGCCACCAAACGGCAAATATACGACTATGGTTATATTCGCCGGGAAATGGCAAATATACGACCACAGTCGAGTTTGCCGGAAAATGACGAATTCGACCATGGTCAAGTCGGCCGAAAAATGGCGAATTCGACCAAGGTCGAGTTTGCCGTTTTCGGGTACACTCGAAACAGAAAACGCGCCCAACATTTTTTAAGGTGCTTTAATTTTAGGATCTCTATCAATGATCTCGACAGGTCAAAGGCATTTCGCTGTTCTATAACCATCTGTATGCATGCATGCATGGTCCAAAATTAGTTGAAATACGTCTCAGTGCGTAGGTTGATAATTGGGTGTCAATATTACTTATATTACTTATATTCTAGATGGAAATGCTATTGAAGTGATGATGTACGACGTCTTTAATAATGTTACAACTAAAGTTGGAAAAGGACATTTATGGACAAGTGCGTGCGTTTTTACATGTAGGCTGTCTAAACAGAAATGTCCATATCCAAACTAATAGCTCTTTGCAAATAAGTTCTAAATTTAAAGGTCATGATTATAGAAAAGGGAAACATAGAACATGCATATACGATTGTTCAAAACATTTAGAATTTTTTTTACTTTCTATATATAGACGATCAAGCTATACCGAAGGACCGAAAACCTACAACTATATATTTTGCTGGTATGTTTCCATCTTTGCCAAACAAAGCAAGAGTTCCTGGGTTTGTGTTGGATGCTGGTACAAGACTCGCCTTAGATCACATCAATAATGACTCCTCAATTCTGTCAGGCTACACTCTCGATATTGTCACAGGAGACAGTAAGGTCAGACCTTTGCCAATACTCCAGTTTAAGAATACTGTATACATGCAGTGTCGGTAGTCTAAATATATATGGTGACAGTGACAGTCAAATCTGAAACTCACATTGAACACTTCAGAAGATCTTTCTATAATTCGAAATGTCGAGAACCGTTTTTGTAAATTTTCATACGCCCTTCAAAAACTTTTCTCATAAGCGGATATTTCACAAACTGTTTGTTTGCTATACTTGGTTGTCAACTGTGTTTTCTCATGCTGCATGTTAAGGCTTTTTTGCATCTACCAAGTTAAACACGTTAGCTGACTAATGCTTGATACTCAGTCTTTTCAATTATTTGTTCAAACATTTACTTGTAGTGTGATCCTAAAGTAGCCTTCAACTCTTTGGTAAAACTTCTTGCAAACCCTCCCAACATCTTGGCACTGTATGGTGCTGCATGTTCTGATGCAACTCAAACATTGGCTGGGATGACAGCCTTCGCTAACGTTGCTCAGGTGAGAACAACTTCATCTACTATCAATATCACAGGCCAATATCACAGCTTACAGTGCAAAGAAAAACACAATTCTCGTCCATTTCTTTCTTCAGGTATCTCATACATCCACCAGCCTGAGTTTATCCAATGCCAACGAATTTCCCTCATTATACAGAGTTATTCCAACTGACTTTCCTGCAATCCAAGCAAGTATAGCATTGGTAAAAATGTTTAATTGGTCAAGAGTGGCCATAATTGGAGAGAAGACCGCAACTGGATTGGTATGTGTGCGTAGCAGATAAAATCATTCTTTTTCTGACGTTGGTAAGGCAATTGTCGTGAGACAACCTGCAATCATTACATGGATGTGTAGAAGATCTGATCTGTAACTTTGATGTTTACTAATAAGCCATGTTTATCTTGAATATCATCAGCAGGAAATCCTTAAATAGATCAATATAAATAACTAGCGAATGTTTACATCGAAGGCGTTTAGACATGTCTTTGAAATATTAAATGCTTTCCGTTCAGTTGGAATCAGCTTACGAAGTAGTTGTCAGAGATATGGCAAGAAATGAAATTGATGTTGAATGGAATAAAGTCATTAATGCTGAACAAATTGAACAGAGTATTACTGAAATTAAGGTTTGTAAGTTTGAGTTGAACTCGAAATCGAACGGTGCGGTTCTACATGCCTTTGATGTATGTTTGCCATTTCATTTTTCAGAAACACTTACCGTGTCTAAAGGCTAGTTTCCACTCAGGAAAATTCTCCTTTGGATCGGGTAGGACAGGACCTTTGTATAAACGCCGCCTGAGAACTCACCGACAAAGGAAATTTTCCTGTCCGTTCAGATCCAAAGGAGATTTTCCCTGAGGGGAAACTAGCCTTAACAGCGTAACTAGAGGTGGTTTAACTAGGTTTTTAATAAAACTTCTGCGTTTTTAGAAGAAAAATATTCGCATCGTTATAACAGCTGTGAGTTCAGACTTTGGAAAAAAGTTAATGTCCCAGGTAGATAACAATAACTGCAGTGATGACAGATATTGCATGGAGTGGCAATGATTTTTCATCATTTTCATGAGTTAAATTAAAGCTTAATTAACCCTCAGCTATGACCATATAATCGTTTTAGGCGTATGTTTCAAGATTATACAGTCCTGAATATGTTTGGATTTGGTTAGAAACGTATCCAGCAACATGGTGGCACGATACCAACACAACTCAAAATGAAACTATGAAAACTGTTGTGCAATACTCGTTTAGTTTTGGTGATAACATAAATATTCAAGACAGAACAACTAATACTATTTCAGGACGAGTAAGTATGATATTTATTCCTTATTTTACGGTTGCATGAGAGAAGAAAAGGCAATGACTTGCCTCCAATGAAGACGCCTTCAATAAAACATCCTGCACGTTTCAATTTCTATTTAATAGACTCCGAATGAAGTCTGGACAGAATATCTTCAAAGACTGGGAATGTCTTTTGTTCCTCCATTAGCGGCGTATTCTTACGATGGAGCATGGTTTCTTGCAAAAGCTCTTGATAATGTCGTAAGAAATCATGGAATAAAACTGGAAGATATTACAACTGGGAATGAAACATTTTATGAACTTCTCATCTCCAGTTTAAGTTCTGTCACTTTCACTGGAATAACGGTACGTATACTGGTATTATATAATTTCATGGTATTTTGTAATTAGATGTTTGAGTAAATTTATATCAAAGGTTTTATACACACTGCTGCCTTATATTGACCACTTGGTATGCAAAACGTCCGTATGCAGACAGAGTATACTTGCAAGTTAATAACTCATACGTTAAAAATTTTCCTTTTCTAGGGTTCAATTCAAGTATACAGCAAAGATTATAGAGAAAGACTGGACGGTCCTGCTCATATCTTTCAATATGATCAAGGTAAGCGGGAAAATTTTACATTATTCTTTCCTCATTCATCCTATATAGAATATAGAATATAGAATATCGAAAACAATTTTTTTATTTTAGATGGAAATGCTATTGAAGTGATGATGTATGATGTTATAAATAATGTCACTACACTGAAATTTGGGCATGGCCATTTATGGAAAGGTTATTGAAATTTTGAAATATTCTTATCAGATATTATAACCAATAGTTCGTAGAGATGCAGCCATTCTCAAAGACGAAGAGAATGTCGCCATGTTGGATGATATCAGGGTAGTCCTAAGTCTTGATCCATTATGTTTGCAATATTATTTCGCAATTTACCATAACATTTATACTGGCAAAGTATCCAACCTGGCGACGATCACGTGGCTTGCAGATGCACAGGCTAATAGAATACTTCTTTCGAACCTGTTTTTCAAACAGATTATAAAAATTATCATAATATTTCATTCTTAAATTGTATAGGCAATGATACCATACCGAGTGATCGAGAACCTGGGATAACGATTATTTATGAAGCTCAGGAAATGAAGGAGTGGATTTTCATTCTTCTAACAGCTCTTTGTGTTCTTAGCATTTTCTTTTCGTTCGTTTTTATTTCATCTCAGTGTTGGAGGTCAGTCCAAAATGATTGTTTACGATATTTGTGATAGTCTAACAGTCAAACACATGCAGAAAGGTGCCCGCGTATTAAAACTAACTAACCAGCTCGCTCTGAGCTCTATTGAACCTTCTAATGTGATGAAAATGCTTTCAATTTTATTTTATTTGGATCAGTAGTACTCGAAGCTTTTTGTGATGACTGAAATTTAGATGAGTTAAGAGACTTTAGCGAAGTGCACTGTTATTCATGTGTTTGAATCACAATAGTAAATAATATGATAGAAGATGAAGATACCAAAATTGAAGTGAGGCAGGATAATAACAAGAACCAGGCTGGTGAGATGCAATACAGGTAATTCCAATAATAAATTTTGTTGCTGAAAATAGGAATTTTGGAAAGCATGCCGCTAGTTTGAACATCGTCATTGCAACGGGCAGCATATGCCTTTGTATTTCTGGCATCCTTTATGGACTTCGTGTCATGGATAAGCTGGACGATTACGATGAAACAAAAAAGACATGTTTGGTAAATATACTGTATATAAATTCCAAAATGACTGATTTCTATGATTTTAAAATTTTACTGGAGTGGAACGCTTTATTTTTCTAAACGGACGTTCGATAAAGCGCTTGATAATTGGTTAGAGCACGACCCTGAATTCATTGAAGGCTGCTTTGAATCCTCTCGTAGGATTGATGACCTGGCACACTTGCTTTTTGTGATAACGAGACAACAGGAAAGTTACATCATTAATTTGTAAATATTATTTTAGGGTCAACTAGGACTGACGTCTGTTGGTCTTTCTCTTCTTCTTGGTGCAATCATCTCAAAATTACTTTTGATCCGTTGCAAAGACGTATCTGTGGTAAAATATGTCTTCGTTGGCAAATTTTGTTTTAATCCTTAACTAAGAACTAATAAGTAAATATTTTCCTAGAAACGTACTTCTTGCTGTGGTGTGGTTCTCCTGTGCATAGCAATCGACGTTGTTTTGATTATTTTATGGTTTCAAAAGAATTCTCCAAAACCAATCAAGATTTTTTATCAAGAAGAAAAGTCTGTAAGTCCATGTCTTTAGTATATTTTGCCAAACAGATATACGGCGAGAGAAACATTCAGTAATCATTTGGTAAGTTCATTTTGACGTGGTTGTCATACGTGAGATTTCTATTGAAGTGAAACTGTCGAAAACTAATACCAGACTTGTGGAGAGGTATCTGTTAGACATTGCACGGGTTATATGAATTATGAATGAAAAGCAATAACTTATAGTCGACGACGTATTATTTTCACTCCTGGTTTTCATATTTTCATCATAGTATTTTCTAATTTGCTAGGTTACGTCAGGTGGTTTGGTTGAAACAGTTCCTTACAATGAATTTTGTTCTGAGACCAAATATCCTGATTGGGAAATAACTGTGTATATATTTCACAGTGTTCAAGCTTTTCTTCTAATTATAGTTGCTATAGCAACTACAGGGAAATCTGATGATGGTAGTTTTACTAGGTAACGTTATAGCTATTTGTTTTTTAGAATGTATATCACACTCTGTCAACCATACTCAAGGTGACAGGAACGCACTGATTGATTTTTTAACTTCGACTGCAGGCTGAGTGCTTCGTTCAGTTCTCTATTGGTTCTTGGTGTTATTTTATCTGATGTTCCTGATCGAGATTACGTTTCCAGTTTACGTAATAGCTACATCATCTTTACCTCCGTCGTTTGCGCCTGCACGTTAATCATCATCTTCTGCTCGTTTTTGGAGGTCAGTTTACTAGTCTGTTGTGTATTTTAAACCTTTAAAAACCATTAAAAATCATATCCCCAAGATAAAAATATAATCCTTCCAGGAGAAGTATACTTAACGAAATTTTAATTACTGTATGTACAGAAACGCCGTGATTCATCAAACTCCTCCACATCTCCACAAAACCGCGTGGAATTGACGAAAATGAGCTCAAGAGGCTAGTCATATAAACCTGCTGATCTGAAAGGTATATAATGTAATGAATCCTATAAACATATGCATATGGCATCTGCTTTAAAATAAAACGTAATATTGCATTATTGCATGGTTAATAAATTGACAACATCTAACTTTAAGTCTATTATATAGGCTGGAATGTGAATATATAGCAAATGGTATGGTAATAACACTGGATAAAGTTTGGAACTAATCCTCCACTGGTAGTGAAAGCTATACCATGGGACATTTTATATGTTATATAAACTCTGTACCTGTATCTTATAACAGATAACAACATTGTTTCAATGGTGTGTCGAATTAATTTCACAATTAAGCACAAATTGTAGTTAGGGTTAGGGTTAGTGTGTGCAACTGGGATTTTGTAAAGTAAATCAATATGAGTATTTATCACCAAATTGACCAGACTACTGCATCACTAGTTTTCATGAATTAAGTCTCTAAATGACATAATCTTTCCCACAAATAAAAGGTTATTATTGATGTTTACAAGATCCTGCTCAGCAGAGATTCCATGAAACGCAAGACTCTGAGACTCTGGCATGATGACATATTTCAACACCTCACAATCATCTCACGCTTTGTTGAATCTCGGCTAAGCGGGATCATCTAAACAGCCCCTTAGTAATTATACTAAAATAATTTTTTAATTAATTATAATAATTATTGATAAATAATTATTCGTTTATCAAGCAATATCACCTCGTCTTTGGGGGGTAATTGCTGAATAATAAATTTCTTAAGAATTCTTAGCTCTGATATCATTGTATATTGTTTTCATGAAACATTCGTCATGGTATCGTTTTCCATTGTGCCACCGCCACTTTCCTGAATATCCTTGTTGGAGTTTTTCAACAATCACATTACAACATAAACTACATCTTGGCCCAGCTTCACGCTCATAACATTCTTCATGGTATCGTCTGCCTTCATAAGTAACCCATCTTCCTGACAGACGCTTGTTTGGCCAAGGAATAAGAGCAAAACAGCAGTGATCACATTTTGGACCTCGAGATTTGACGTAACATTCATAATGATAGCTCTGGAATTTCAAAATTAACTTTTAAGTTTTGATTAAACAAATCTTTCTCAATTGATCACAAAACAGCAAGGGATTTCATTAAAACATTTTTAATTTAAAAATCATCACCATCGTTTTTTATTTTTGGCAGTAAAGAAAATTATTGCATTGAGAAAATTAAGTACAGTAACGTTGAAGCATGCGTTATTTCACTTATTTGCGTACGTTGGTATTTAATTATTAAATTTATGCATAGCATAGCGTAGTTTTCAAACAGTGGCCGTCCTAGTTTTATGTATCGTAACTTAACTCTAACCTTAATTCCATCTTTAACTAGATCACCAGATCTTTTCTTCTCTGAATCTTCTTTTATCGGATCAAAACATGTAGAGCAACGTATCTCCTCACGAAATTGTGAGGATGAAACAACATTTTGACTGTCCGGCAGTAGAATCTTGTCAAATATTTCGTGCTTTTCATACAGCAAAGGATAAGGTGGAGGAAGATCATTTGAGGGAAATATCTCGTCGTAGCTTGGCGGAGGTATATTCTCTGTTAAATGAATATCTTTTTCGCTCACTGATTTCGCCATTTTAATTCTTCTGCTGCAGCTGCAAATTCGCACTTCCTGTCATTTTAATTCAGAATTCCACAAATTCAACAAAAGTCCACAAATTCCTCACAATTCCGAGCGATACAAATTACGATTAGAAATTTTAGTAAATGTGTTTTTGGTTTGGTATTCATACCAATTTATTTTTTAGGTATAATAGCCAAATTTCGTCTGTTCATTTAATCATTTTTGTATTATTTTATTTTGTGAGTGATTAAGACATAGATGGAAATATGAATTCCTTACAAATGCTCATCGATTTCCATGTTTAAAAAGTTAAAATATGACTAATGTAAGTGAACTCAAATATCCCTTTACGCAATTCATTCTCTTCCTTTAGTGGAGAAGTTGCGCGATGGCGGCAGATCAGATTTTATCAAGCAGCTATTTTAAATACAGCGATGAACGTCAACTCATAGACGAAGACGAAGATATTTGGTTAGAAGATGTGGATGATGATAGAGCCGAGATTTCTCTGAAGCATGTTCATTTCGTTACCGATGCCACTTTGAGTTCATGGAAGGAGCAAGATGCTGCAGCGTACTATTCCAACACTAGTATGGGGTAAATATTGAGTATCCCAATCTTGTACCAGGAAACTGTAAGCTTCGGGTAATTCGGGGTTGTATTTCACTGCTAGTAAGCAGGATGAATCAATGTCATGACTAAACAAATATTGATCGCAGACTTAAATCAATCAAACAAACGAACTCTTCGAGACCAGGGTTTTTACCACATTTCCATGGGTCGAATGCTATCAGAACCGTGGGTAATGAGATGATAAGCCTTGACAATCCTCTTATCCTCATTATCAACTCGTTATCTCTTGTTTAATTGCATTTGCTGCAGTTATAAATCTGAACTAGGCCTTTTATAAAACGTAAACAAATTCAAAATCAGTAATGGCATAGCATTACAATTATTGCATCATCGGCTTATATAAAAACCAATAAAGACAGATTTAGATCGAGGACGCGGTCGTCAAACATCGCAGACGTTAAAATAGCTACCTCCTCCGCAGGTCCTTTTCCGGGCAAATATGGCAGGCGCACCGCGCCATAAAATAGCGCCGCACACCGCGCACATCTCGCAATTTTCACATCAGTCTTGACGTCCGCGTTCTTTGACCCAAGACCCAGGGACTCTAGAACCTAGAACCTGGAGCTGCATGGGCTTGGGCCTAGGGGTGTAGGCGTTGCCTACACATTTTCAAAGAACTTTGAAACTAAAGAGTGTCGACCAAACGAAAGATTCTTTGAAATTTGCTTTTTAGATTAGTAAACACATTACACATTAACCCATGTTCCACGGCAACTTTTCGACGATGAAAAGCTAGTGGTGTCGGACCAAATGTGCGACCTGAAGCCCGCATGTTGTGTTTCTTGGGGTTTACGGTTATTGACATTTCAAAAAAACGTAGTAATCGCTATGTTTCATGCGCAATTGACTTTGTTCTCCAGAGGCAGAGGGTAAAACGTGTGTGTATGATCCGTGTTGACGAGGCGATCAAACAACTTTAAATTTTGTCCGGCACAGTTTTGTCTTCACAACACTCAGGATTACTTAAGCCCTGGATGACGGCACGGTTGAAATTGTTACCCGTACCCAATTTTACCCGTGATTTTAACTGTGTTCGTTGAAAATTTCTTAAATAGAGCAAAAGTAAATTAACTTCTTCCACTTCAAAAGACTAATTTTTCTCGCTAATTTTGTGGCGTTGCGCTCTCTTAATTGGTGAATAGGAAAAAGTGAAAAAGAATTTTATGAAGTATTATTCACAAAGGGCCGGATAGTCAGGGCTTGTTCTTCAGACACAAGGAAATATTATCCTATCTACTCTAGCTATTGCGGGTATCTTGTTCATGAAGTCGCTTTCCTCAATAACAATACGACGAGTAATCTGTATTTTATAGGAAACTTAAACTGCAAGTAAAACGTTTCGTGGAAAACTTTGCTGTTAGGTTAGTATTTTCCCGAATTTCTAAGTACTTGCCTTACTGAAATGGTAAAGAAACTCTTCCTTTTCTGCCCAACAATGTAAATAATCTTGCATGCAGCGCATGATTTTTTTTAAATTTTTTACGTACAGAATGTTCTTTCACCGGAATGCCTGCCTACTCTGTATATAGTCAATGATCATGCACACACTCAAGTTTCGTATTTGATTCTTTGTTTTAGAATAATCAGTTTATTATTGGTATTTGTTGACTTGGTTCTGGTCATTGCCGACCTCGCCACTCCAAACAAGTCAAATCAGGTTTAGTGAAACAAATGATAATTTTAGATTTGCAAGTGTCAGTTTTCTAACATCATTCATGCCATGTAAAGAACAGTTAATAAAAGCTACAATATTAATTAATAGCGGCACTTTTTGCTCGATTATAATGCGAAATCCAAACAAATGCGATCTTGAAAATAAATACCTAGGCAGGGTTAACGGACAGAAGCCTTAGCTTCGCTATAGCTACTGTCGTGGAATATATACAAATAAACTGTTAACAGTTGATTTGAGTAGGGCGTGATCATGAGTCTTTCTAATGTATTCAAGGAGTTTAAATTGTAATGTTGAGGGTAGTGATCACTCATTGACTCTCTACACTAACTCACGTTAAATTTAAGTGGACGTTTTGTCACAGTTCATGATAGTTGTATTCAGATGTTTAGAGATCAGACAACATAAATAAAAACAATCTATCTTCTTTAGGCTCATATAGCAGTCCAAGCAATGACAATGATGATTGTTTCACTATTTTTGCTAGAAATTTCTTTAAGGATATTTTCCTCTGGGTACGAATTATAATAAGTCTTATACAACTTTTTTACGATTGTTATCATCATTTGCTAACCCGTGTACGAAATACTCGCTGACGAGGAATATGCGACTTATTTCATATACTATGCACTTCTATATGATTTTTAGAAAATTATTTTTTAAAAAGTGGCTGGAGGTTTTTGATCTTGTCATAATTTTGATCTCATTTGTTGTAACAATCGTTTACCTGTCGATAACATTTCAACATAACAGTTATGCCAAGTAAGTATAGAATCAAACTGACGTATATGTAATGATATTTCTGTATAGAAATAATAATAAGTAAAGTAACCCAAAACTAGCTGAGAGCCTGAGATAGAGGTGGATCATTTCATTTTCAGACTTATCATTATTGGTCGTCTTGTGAGAGTTCTCTTATTTTTCCGTATTGTTGCTGATAAACAACAGTTTGAAAGAGCGTCCCGGAGGATGGTAAGAGACCTTCCATTCTGCATGCGTATGCATGGTGACACGTGGGTGTGTTAAACACGATATGTGCATGACAACTATATACTGCAATTTCTGTAAAAAGTCTAATATAAATCTAATATGCAACATGCTCTATTTAATCTATTGTTTTTGTGTTCATATCGATCTATTCGTCAATTTGCAGGTTTCTCAGAATAAGAGGAGGTACAGAAAAGACGGCTTCGATCTAGACTTAACATACGTCACAGGTATAGTAAATATGAATGTAACTTAATGACAATTGCAGGATAAGGAAAGGTTACAAGTTACAACCCTAGCAATAGTTGATAGTTTCCATTTTGCAATTGCTTCCTACATTTCTAGAAAATGTTATAGCGATGTCGTTTCCATCGTCCGGAAAATATAAGTTGTACAGAAATCCTATTTCAGTAAGATTTGTTTTATTATCTACGTGCATGCATGTGCTAGTCTTACAATGGTATTTTGTGCTCATTGATCGTTGAACTTAGAAGTTGACAAGTTGTGTTTCCATGACTGATTCGAAGGAGTCAATGTCTTTGTGATCCTCAATGAGGGGATTTGCTAGATTTCGAAGACATGTACATCTGTATTTATGACAATCATGCGATTATCTTAGCTGAAGTTTTGTAATGTTGTTGAACCATACAGTATGTCGTGGTTGAACTAATTAAATGATATTTCAAACCTAGGAGGTGTCGCGATTTTTTGAGACAAAACATCCTGGTCACTATAAAATCTATAATTTGTGCAGTAAGTCCTAATTGTTCTAACTTGTCTAAACGACCATGTTTTGCAACCAGTAAGAATGATACCAAATTTCGTTGGCTCGTTGCCTGTCTTTTGTTTATAGGTGAAAGAGGATATGATCATTCCATGTTCAAAGATCAAGTGTATCGCTTGAAAATTGATGATCATAATGTTCCAAAATTAAGGTTAATCTTCTTCTATTACTTATTTCTGTGAAATGTTCTTGTATGAATTTTACTGAATTGGATGAAGTGCACTAGCTTGATTGCAAGCTTGCATCCCGTTTTAGACAATTAGTGGAATTTTGCAACGACGTTAGACAATGGTTAAATTCTGATCCCGAAAATATTGTGGCTATGCATTGCAAAGGTGGAAAAGGTGCATTGCATTGTTTTTTTAAATTGATTTATACACTAAGAAGAAGAAACAGAATGACTGTATTTTTTTGCATGCATTCTGACATTGTAATTTTTTGTTCCGCAATAGGACGAACTGGAACTGCAATTTGTACTTGGCTTCTGGCCTGTGGAAAATTTAGAGTGTCCCAGGTACTTATAACGGAATATATTACAGATATACACACAATTATGACTGACTTATTGAAGAAATGTATGACATAATTTTCAGGAAAGTTTAGAATACTTTGGTAAACGTCGTACTGATCTAACTGTGGGGAAAACATTCCAAGGTGTTGAAACTCCAAGCCAGGTACGTTACACATGGCATGGTTGTTGGCGACATTTTTCTGCATGCCCATATGAGAGATCGCATGCATTGTATATTCTGACTGTTCATGTGTTATAGAGTCGTTTTGTTGGATATATGGAGAAAATAATATACGATTTGAACTGGAATGTACCAGAAGCTATTCCAAGAAAAATTTCTCACATAATAATTGAAGGCATTAAGAGTACGTTTGTTATTATAGAAATATTTTTATATAAAAAGACATATATGAAATTCGGAATTGCCAATTTTCATAACGCAACATTATATTGAACAAGTCTTGTACATTCATAGGTGTTGGAAATGGTAACGGCAGTGACTTACGTTTACAAATAATAATTGATGGCCAAGTTACTTTGGAAAGACCGGTAAACGACAAGTTGGGGCAAAAGGTATCAACGGTATAATATTGGAGATTTTTAAATTTTGCATTGAGCTAGTGTATTAACTTTATTTCACCTTCACACCCAGTTCGTTTCCTGTAGGCAGTGTAGGGCCTCGATCTTTCATAAAAGTCGCGCGACTTCAATACAACATAAACCAGTTTTACCTTTTGCAAGTTGGAACATCATTCATAGTTTTGTGTTTTCATTTAGGAGGACTTGAATGATGCATTGGACAAACTAACAATATCTTTGGGAGAAGAATCACCTGTCATTACAGGGGAGACAAAGATAATGTTCTTTTCATCAAATAAGGTTTGTCCTCGTGATTTAGTAAATGAACAGTGGTTTAGTTTTCCTACAATTTCGAGATACTTTAAATAGTCTTATTTGAATATAAATACCATCATTATGGCTAGTAAAGAGTGCATAAATTGCTATTGTTGCGCTGTCTGGATTATTTATAAAGAAAACCCTTTGGAATTATATAAAAAAAATGAAAAAAGAAAAAGTCGTAAAAGGCGAACTAACCAGCGAGTTAAGTTAGGAATAATGAATGACTCTAACGAGAATTTGGGGACAATTAAATACTTTTTAAAGGCAATGCACTGGTGCGTGGTGGCGTGTCAAAGTGACATTAGATAATGCCACGTATACGAGGTTTATGAAAATGAAAAACCAAGTCTGTTTTTAAGCGAAATATCTCATGCATGTAAATAAGAGAGTGTTATAGGTCTCATGTCTGTGCTGGCGGAATACATCAAGAAGAATACACTCAATTCTTTTACTGTTTCAGAATGTTCCTGTTGGCTATGACAATTGTGCTTTTTACTTCTGGTTCCACACAGGATTTATACAGGAAGACAGGTAAACCAATAATAAAAGTAATTGTGTGAGATAGGATTTACATCCATCTCAAAGTGTTTTCGTTTCTTTTCAGTTTACTGCTGACAAGAAACGAGTTGGATAATCCCCACAAAAAGAAAACCTGGAAATCTTTCCTCTCCAATTTTTCTGTCAAATTGAAATTTTCACATTAACAAATCACTCCGAATAATTTCACATTCACAATTTAAATTTTGATAATGTGTAAATAATTGTTGTAAAACTCTATATAAACAAAAATAAGTGTAAATAAATAAATTATTATTATGATTCAAACTGTTGATTAATAAAACAATTTAATGAATATTAAATAGGGTAAACAGTTCTTTTTTCCTAACAATGATGAACAATGTTTAAAAGCTCAGTAATGGCTATGGCAATGATGGCACCCACTGAAACCATAGGGACGGGGGGGGGTAAAATGCCTGGGTCTTTGTGTGCATAATTTGGTTAGGGTTGTGATAAAGCTAGCGCATGTCAAATTATTGATGTAAGAAAATACTTCGAATTTTTCCTGCTATATTTCTTGAATTATGAAATACTAACATAAATTAATAATTAAATCAGTTGATGTTAAATCTATCCACTGATCTGGATAAAAACACTGCAGTGGGATGATGTGAGTTCGAGTACTTTTCCCAGCTGTTTTGAATAAATATGCAGGTCAAAGGTCAGATTTTCACTATTAGAACATGTATAGTAATTGAACAAACTACAAGAAATTGGAAACACCATTTATTTTGTGTTTTATAAAATGTTTGTCTTGAATTTCAAAATTTTAGGATATTAGTAGTAACTCCTAAGCTTGAATACAGGTATGCCATTATTTTTTACTTAAAAAAATTATTTACACATAATTTATTTATATCTCTCCCAAACAAGCATAAACACAATTTTTTTTTCACCAGGTGCATGAAAAAATCATGCAATTGTAAAATCTATTTCTTCGGAGACAATTTTTTTGTTACGAATGCTAATTACCCCTCCTGGCCAACCCAGAGTTCCCGAGAGTGTACTTGTAATAGTTATATATCTGTTTTATTTGTTGCTGGCTAAAGAGCAACAATGTCCATGCAAATCCTTTTCTGCTTCAATAAGTAGCAACAATAGCTTGAAGAAAACAGGAGTTGGATTGCACCTATACTGTGTATATTCAACTGCTATTTTGCTTATTTTCCACTATATGATTTGATTTGAATTGCTTCAAGCCCAACTTGTTTAGCTCGTTCAGATGATGCCTTCACTGCTTCCATAAGTGCACCTCGGAATCTGGCCCTTTCTAATGCAAATATACCTGCAATTGTTGATCCACCTGCTGAACAGACATTGTCTTTTAGTTCGCCAGGATGTTGTTTTGTTTCTAAAACCATCTTAGCAGCACCAGAGACTGCTCTTGCAGCAAGCTGAATAGCATCTTGTCGATTCACGCCAGCCTCTACAGCACCATCAGCAAGTGCTTCAATAGCCAAATACATATATGCAGGTCCACCTCCAACCAATCCTGTCATAACGTCCATCAACCCTTCCGGAGTTTCAAAACAATATCCTACTGATGAAAATAAGTACATCATCGTTTCATAATCTTCTTCTTCCATAAACCGACCCTGACAAAATGCTGTGGCTCCTTCACGATATTCAACAGCAAGGTTTGTCATCATTCTCGCAACTCGGGATCGACCTGGTAGTTCATTTTGTATTGAACGTAAAGTTACCCCAGCCGCTGGAGAAATAATTAAATGATCTCGTGTTACCAATGGAGCTATTTCTCGTACAACGGAGTGTAGAGTTTGCGGTTTAACAGCGAGAATAATGACAGAGTTATCTTTAACAACGGCTTTATTGTCTGTGGTAACAGGGCAACCAATGTCTCGAAAGGCTTCGATATCACGTTCTGTGGGTGCGCTAGCTATAACATCTTTGGCTGTCACAATCCCTGCTCGTATAAACCCCATAGTTAATACACGAGCGAGCTTTCCTGCGCCAACAAAACCGACTTTATTTACGCTCATCACGATAGAAGTTTTAATACGACCCTCTGAACCTAAATCTCTAACCGATAGAATGACGAAATAATGATACACGTGTACTTATAGAGGAACTTCATATTATCATAACAAAATATCTTTGTGTTTATTAGCCAATCACCGTCGAGTTTATAAATAGCAAGGTTTTCTCGGTCACACCAGGTCACGACTGCTGTTACAATTATTGTATGCATAGAACGTAAAGAATTCAAAGCGATACCATAAATTTGCCAGCGTGCCACTGCAATAACAAATGTACGTATCACGTTCTCTTATGCAAATGTTGATGAGGATTGTGTGAAGAGACACCGCGGTAATTGGTGAAATTGAAAAATACTTAGCCGCAATTCTCAATACTTAGGCTTCAAACTTGATGAGAAAAAGATTTATAAATATTCAAGAAAATATGTCTTTTGGATAGCGCTATCTGGCTTTCCGGTGTACCTGGTCATTTATGAGAAAGACAAGAAAGTATTGCACGAAATGTAGCGATCATTGTTTGCAAATTATTTTTTCGATCACGTTCTTTTCTTCCCTGCCGTGGCGGCCTTTCAAAATCTCCCCATAAGGTAGTGGTGGGTTTAATTAAAGAACGTGATGGAAAATGTACCTTTGTACGTTGCACGAAATTACTGCTCATAAATGTATGGCTTTCCGAGACAACACATTAAGTATTGGAAAACAAGGTTTTACCGTTAACATCAAATAGGGTGTAACAAAAACACTTCTTAACCTACCGCCTTCGCTATATACAGGACTGAAAATCGAGATTATACCTATTCCCGACTCGAATTTTTCGGTAATTTGCAAATCGTACTTAAAAACACGACATATCTCGCCTAAATATTGATCACGGTGCCGTATGATACAGTTAAATTGAAGTTAGTACCAAATAATTTATTTGAAAGCAAGACCAAATTATATGGAAAATCTTTCGTTACACCTTATTCCCTCTCTCTAAGCATACCGAAATATAATTCAATTTGCATAATTTGACTAAAGTATAGACTTGTTAGTTGTCAGCGAAGCATAATTTGACTAAATATAGACTTGTTAGTTGTCAACGAAACACAGGGTTACTCACGTATACCATACTCCTGATCACGTTTGTTTTATGGTGTATCTGCATGATTTTATTTCTCTATTGTTTTATTATACTCTCTTCGAATACCATAAACCTGTACCACCGAACTTTGCTATAACATGTTCGAATATACCATATAACAATACCAACGACCTTTACTATGATAGTAGCGACGTTTGCCTGAATGATCATAGGCTCGAGATACTCATCGAATAGGATTGTCGAATTTTACGGGTTGCAATTCGGAATAAAAAGTGAACTTATAAGCAGTGGCGTAGCCAGCCTGACGATTTAGTCAAGCTATGCAAATTTTATCTATTATCACTATTCATTTCTTTAGAAATTCATGTTTTCACAGTCAATGAACACCAAAATATTAGCATAGCAGGACTAAATTGTCGGGCTGGTAACGCAACTGGACATTGGTTACTCACAGTCACAGACGAGACTAAATAAAATATATAAAACGGAAACAAAGACAGACCGTGTTTATACCAAAGTGTGTTTCGTAGCGCCGGTGTCCCAGGAAATTTGGCCCCCCCAAAATTTGGCCCCCCCGGGCCATATTTCCTAGGAAATTTGGCCCCCCTGGGGGTCATATTTCCTAGGAAATATGGCCCCCCTTTCGGAAATTTGGCCCCCTCGAAAACATATACTTTATTACCATGAGTTCGAGAATCGCGAAACTTCTAAAAGCAAGATCGTAAATGTTTGTTTGTATTCATACTTGCTTCATTTATTTGTGTAAAAGCTTTTCATCTCGGCGAAGAGCTAAGACGAATATTGTTAATATGCACGTGGCTAACTTCTAGGATTATCATAACATTACTTGGGGCTTTAATCGAGAAATGAATAAATAAGTGGTAATTTCCTAAAACAACCTTTCCTATGTATGTATAACCGCTAAGCCTATAAATTTATAGCCTTTATAAGGTCGCCAAATTAAGAATTTCTGGGAAGGACAAATCACGTATTTCACAGTTCGGAAATTTGGTCCCCCTCGATAACATACTTTATACTCTCAATATATATATATAAAATATATATAGTTTTGAAAATCGCGAACTTTTGACTCAATATTCAACAAGTTTCTGAACCTAATATGAAATTCGTCAGAATAACAACCACACTTTAGCAAGCGATGACATCATGCGTTGGCGAAAGTGTTAATGTGCATGCGGCTAACATTTAGGGAGTAATTAATACAAACTTGCATAAAAACGTTTAAAAACAATCGGCAAACACAAAAACAAGGTTACATGCACCATACAAAATCCGTCAATGCTGTTTGTAAGTTGTAACTCAAACAAGAGTACAGCTAGATAGACTTCTAGATAGACAATCGGCAAACACAAAAACAAGGTTACATGCACCATACAAAATCCGTCAATGCTGTTTGTAAGTTGTAACTCAAACAAGAGTACAGCTAGATAGACTTTTATACACTTAAAACTTTTATACACTTAACGGTTCTCTAGCTCTAAAATGGTAAGCTAAACTATGTTTTTTAGAGGGGGGCCAAATTTCCGAAGGGGGGGCCAAGTTTCCTAGGATATTTGGCCCGGGGGGGCCATATTTTCTAGGAAATTTGGCCCGGGGGGGCCAAATTTTCGGGGGGCCAAATTTCCTGTGACACCGGATAAATATGAACCTCCTTGTCAAATTCATCAAACTGAAATTGAAAATATAAGTTACATAAGTCACACAAATCAATTAAGGAATGGGCACACGCATGAAGAGCAGACGAAGCGATAGACAACAACTTAAAGACAAGAGTTTAACACGCCACGTTGGATGTTAACATCTTTTAACAACCCATCATTTCAATCTAAACCAGCTAATACATTTAAACATTTACTAACTTTTACTTCAGGTTGGTAAAGCATTTTTAAAGAGTTCAAACACAGCTTTCTCCGTCCTTTTCTAACGATACTTCGGCATCGTAGCCACATGGAATTTGGCGAAGTAAAGAACTGGGGTTTCGAATTTGCCTCCCAAATTTCTCCTGAACTCCTTAGATTCCTATTGGTCAAATCTTTCCAACCGCGATTAACTGATTGATCATGCACAATTTTAAAATGATGCCGGCGACTCCTTCACAGGGGAAAGATTGAGAGATCCAAGCCCGTTTTTTACACACTTAATTATCCGAAACACCCGCCCGCCGTAATACAGGGTTTTTAAAAAAAAACGCCACCACTTAAATATGCAAGACATCAATACAGCTCTAAAGCACAATAGATAAGCACCTCTGAAAATTGAAAATGGCTCTTAATCCTTCATTTAAAATGCTAAAAGTCATTTTAGCTGAACTGTGGTGCAAACCCGAACAATATTAATATTTTTGCATATTTAAGTGGCTGCGTTTTTCAGTTTTAGACACCCTGTACATGCTTGCTACGGCGTTGATTTCTTGTTTATACATATATGTAAATAGCACTGAATGATCGCATTTTAATGATAGCAAAGTGTAAAAAACGATTTACCCGATTGTAAATGTTATTTGTTAGTACTGGTTTGCCCAGCAACTTTGCATGGGGACCACCTTCGACAGCACAAAAAACCATAAAATTGCAAATAATAGTATAAAAACAATCCATACAGTGAGACTATGTACCAACAGGAACCAGCAACTATATATTTACCATTTCAATGGTTCAACAAAGTGGGATTAATAAACTATTTGATTAGTATACATTAACTTATGACATGAAGTTTACAAAAATCTGGAGCGCCGCTGTGCAAGTGCATTGCGTGTGCAAGTCAAAGTCATATTAGAGAGATTAAGATACCCTGGATTACTTACACTTGTATATATATATAAAATACTTTTTCCAATATTTTTTTTCAGGATATTTATCAACTTCTTTCCTGTCAGCCTAGAGTATTTTCGTCAGTTGCTAGTTACTTAAAATTACTAGTGCCGGACTGTAGGTATATCACCGTTTACCACGCTAGCTTAAGATCTCTAATATGAGAAAATATTCCAGTAATCTTCACATGTGCAAGTTCAGATACTTGAACAACTATTAATTTTAGTTAATTAATCTGTTAAACTTTACAGATATCTCAGTGGAGGTTAATATTATTGATATATATAATAGCAGTATGCCCACTCTACTTTACTATTCATTGTGAATACATTTAAAATACTTTACATTTACTTGTACTTTTGTGGTAACAAATCATTTGCCGCGCTTAATGCAGCCTAATATCGCTACATTCGCGCACAAATGTTGTGGTTAGTTATGTGCCTGACTAATTATGTTAAATTATTAGACGAATGTGTAATGTTTAGCAGGCTACGTACGGAATTATATAAAAGGTATATATATTATGTCTTTCATAAGTACAAGCGATTTTTAATCTTTTTTCACTTGCAGTTCGGATGCAGAATTGTCAGTTTCGTCAAAAATTTTTTAGCCGGAAAAATTAATTGAAACGCCAAACAACATTTCGACAATCTACTTTGCTATCAATTTTCTATACAGTACGACGAAGTTTTAAAAACCTCTAACAGTAATTCTCAATCCATCATCACTACTTCGCCAAATCAATCAAAGTATTTTTCTACTCAGAATAAATTAATCCCAGGTTTTTCCAGGATCTATGTTTGGCAAAACTGACATTCTTGACGGTATAGTTCTTGCTAATGCTCCTGTTGAAAGATTATAATTTTAATCTAACATAATCGATCAAGAATCCTCGTTTTTCTTCCCTTCCATTTGTTTGAAATTCTAACCACATGTTATTCCCAGTGCTCTGTATTTTTCTTCCAGTCTGTGTACCGCACAATCGCGCAATCTCTGGCGCTGTTTCATCAGATCCGTCGGTAACTCTCAGGAAATCAAAAAGACAACCATTGTCTTCTAACTCGAACGTTTCGAGCTTTATTTCAATTACATACCCTTTCTTAGCAGCCAAATGCCATTTACAACTTGCGTTAGCGGGATAAGGTTTATTGAGATTGTAGTCAGCATGGGAGTATATTAATTGTTCACCTTTATCAGCATGTAGACGTCCTCCACACACTAAGTAAATTTTAGAAATTCATAATTGTTGAGTTGATCAAGTTATCCATAATGGACCGATTGCATATTAGACAAAAGTGTTTTAATTAAACAGCAAAATTTATCAGTACAGCTGAAATGAAAATATATAGTAGAATTGTAAGGAACGTATGAAAGATCGTCTCTCGTCGTCAGAATGTCGGATAAGCTCAAACATCTTGATGATGAACGAGAAAGCTTGGCTGCATGCCAAAACAAAGAGTTGTGAAACCTCTGCTATAGTCACCTGTTTGCAGGGATGTAGGTTTGTCATCAATTACGACGAGGTTCTCAAATCACGCTGCATGAAACACATTATTACGTTATATAGATATTTTACTGAATGCTTACCAGTTTCATAGACAGCTTTGAATCCCTTCTCAACATGAGTCTTGTCAGTTTGGAAGTGTATTTCCATCTTATTTAACCTAGAAATTTGCACTTTTCTTTCCTCTCTTGTGATTGTACCGCAGAGTCTGTTCTCCCTTTCTTCATATCCCGTATCAACAAGCACATAGTCATATTCACATTTCCGATCTTTCTCTAGACTGAATGCCTGATAAAGAAATGAAATTTTGTAGCATAACTGTGCATGTCAAAGAAAATGACGGTTCAATTTGGTCAACACTGTCCATTATCAAACATGCTTAAGATATAACTTGTTTGATATATAACTCACTTTAAACGTTAATTTGACTCGATGTCCAGGAGTGACAACAATATTCCATCTTATATTTAGCGAAGAATTATAAAAGTTTGGATAGTTGGGTGACATTATTGTTCCAGTTGAACTATCGAGCACTGGATTCTTCCCATCTGAAGCAAACGAAAACATGTCAGGAATAAAAACGATAGGAACAATAGAGGTTTATTTTTCAAAACTCGACGTTTAATTGGGTGTCACAATTTCATATCGTATTTTATAGCTGCCAGAAAGTGTAAGTGATACCTTTATGAACTTCGACACACTGAAGTTTATCCTCATGCAAGATAAAACCGGAGCGACATGTGCACATATATCCACCGATAAAATTGAGACAATCATGTTGACATCCTCCATTTTGCTCTTGACACTCATCCTTATCTAAAAAAAACAAATGCTTGTGACGTTACAAATACTTTTTGCCGTGTGCAATAAAATAAATCTTCATTTCTTCAGAGTAAGAAGTGAGTCATGACGCTATATAAATACAACTAATCACAACTAAAAACAACTAAACACAAGGCAAGTAATCAAATTAATAAGGAGGGTTTTAAAGAAAGATTGGAAAAGCAGGTAAAGAAGTGTGCCGTGAAAAGGCCGTCATTCATCCAGTATGAAGAAGCTTCAAAGTCTTGAACCGAAGCTGTATCATGCATAGTCCTTTTCTCGATTTAATGCTACAAAATTGTTATCTAATCTTTGGTTATCTAATTTTCCTCTAACTAATCATATACTGGCATATAATTATCGCTAGACTAAAATGACATAGTGATTCTGTACCTGTATAATATTCGGCTTCAAAACCTTTCTTAGACCTGGAATTGTCAGAGACAAATTCAATATCCATTTCATTAGTAGTTGACACCATCACTCCTGGATTTTTGTCACCACATAACCTTGTCGTGTTCTTCTTGTTTTTCACCACAAGATAATCATATTCACAACCCTATACACGAAACAATTGATACGTAATTCGAATAAACAGACAAGAAGCGAACAAAATTGCAAGCAAGTTACCCCTTCACTTTCTTCCAACTCAAATTCTTTAAAACTTAGTTTTATTTGATGTAAAGGGGGCGCTCTAATGGACCAAATACATTTCTTGTTGTCCGGATAACTGTCTGGATAACTTGGACTCGTTATTGTTCCATTACTATCTTTTAATTCACCACCACATTTAGCTACAAACAAAAAGATTACATAAAAAAGAGAACATAAAAGCTTTTGATACCTAGTGGCAATTAGCATCGTGTATAAATTGTCCCTAATTATAATTGGACCCAGTCCTTGGTTTTTCCACGTGCCGATTGCTCAAAGTATCGATTGAGTTCATATTTATATCATATACAAATATATTCTTTCATCAAGCAATTAAACTGCAATATTTCAACTCGGTAGAAAAGTCATGTCTTCCACAACACATTTACTACACATTTATCCCCCGTGAAAAAATACGAAGAATACTTTACGTTCACAATTCTTTGCATCAGAGTGAAGCTCGTAACCTTCCATACAATAACATTCATAACTTCCTATGGTGTTGCGACAATTATGCTCACAACCACCATTATTTTCTTCACATTCGTCAACCTCTACATAAGAATAACAAATATAAAATAATTACAGTAGAAAATTTATGTAAACTGGATTGATTATTACCATGCATGAAGCCTAAAATAGAATAGAGTAGAATGTCAATTCCAGGTTCAGGCATTTGCACATTTCTCATGATCATTAAAGAAAGAGATCCGTGTCTTGCTTAGTGGTCCTGCACTGCTTTTTAGAATTTAGATCATGATATAAATTATTTTCCAGCTGCTTATTATAGCTATGTAAATTATTTTATGGTGACCTACCACTAAAGAAATTCAATACAAATCCCCCGCTATCCACGGAATTATCAGATTCGAACCTAATAAGTGCCGTGTTGCTTGATGTATTCATGTCTTTCGGGAGAATATTTCCACAAAGTCTTGTCAATAACTTAGATTCATCAAGGCCATCATAAATTGATAAAGCATCGAAACTGCACCCTGTCGCTTCTTCAACCTCAAAACTACCGAAAGTTATTCCAACTCTTGTACCCTACAAATTGACATATTGCATGTAAAAATTTATGGAAATAAACACATTTATTATTTATTTAAAAGAATTCACAGCCAGTGATTGGGTAATAGCCATGTGTGAAATCGTCATGTCCAACGTGTGACGTCATAACGTGTGATACGACTTTTTTCTTGCACGCTATTACGTCATAACGTGTGATAAATACTCGTATCCCCCCCCCGTTATGACGCTACGACGTCACACCAATGGCGAAGACAACGTCCCAAAGGAACGGGAATGTGAAATCAACACACACTTCAAATGAAATTATACACACTTCAAATTCAAGCCGGATAGAATAAGAGATTCAAGATAGATTTTTCATAGAAAAATGAGTCAACTATAGGTCCTCCGGCAGGAATCGAACCTACGCTTTTGCGATGCAGGTGCAATGTCTATTGCCACTGAGTTTGAAGTGTGTATAATGCCACTCCAAATTAAGATCCTTTAAAACCTTAGTTTGTCGTTATCCACGATAACCACAAACTTCGCGTTGATAATTCTTCATATCATGTTCAACCTCATTCAATAAGTGTTAAATATATAGGTGTTCGTAAAGACATCAAATTTTCTCTGTTGAAATTCCTTTTTCAGTGTGCTTTCTTATAAGTCAACGACAAAATTGAAAGCAGAAACAGCTTAAAATTGTTACAAGAAGCACGTGGAACGCTTCCGGTGGGTGAGAATTCCTGTGAGTGTTCGAATAGACCTTAAGCATAATGACGTATCAAAACGTCACGCCTGCAGGGAATTCTGGTTTTCGTAGTAACGGCGAAAAATTTAAACTTCAAAATTTTCCGCCGTGACTACTAAGACCAGAATTCCCTGCAGGTGTCACGGCTTATTACGTCATTATGCATAAGGTCTATTATCGTTAACTTATTAAATATGACCTGGATGAGTAGAATGAAACAACAGATAATTTCAGATGATAATTATAAACCTCTTAGAATTTATTCAGATCAAATATAGCTTTAACGTAAATTTAGTAACGAAATAATACCAAAAAATAAACGAAAATAAACTCTACTCACCTCTTTAACAATAACCTTCCAGTTACATTTTTTATTGTATTTGTACGACGAAGGGTAATTTGGTGACTGGATTTCGCCTTTGTCAAGTTTCATAACACCACCACAAGCAGCTGGAAATGACAGAAATACAATTATATCATGATTCTGCTTTTGTCTCAACTGCTTCATAATGGTCTGCAGTTGCTGTTTCTAGACTTTGTTACCTTTATAGCTGAATAAAAATCCTTTTCCAGGTAGTCCTTGTGATATCCTCTTTTTTATCATTTTCACCAACAATCTGTTTCCAGTTGATCTTATTTTCATCGGTGGTCTATTGCTTCCGCAGTATTTACCAATTAATGTAGAGTTAGGCCCATAACCATCTCGTATTTCAACATAATCATTTTCGCAATTTCTGCTTGATCTTAAATCAAATTCTTTAATAGTCAACTCAATCACTTCTCCAGGATTGGTTGAAACTCTCCATTCACATGTATACGGTTTTAGATCTATAAATGGATAGCCGGGGCTGTAAATTGTTCCTTTAGCTTTCTGCAATGTTCCACCACATTCTAAACAACAGGAAAAGGGAAATTGTGAAAAAGTGAAAAACAATGGACGACTTGCTTTAAACTAAATTTTGATTGAAATAACTCCTTTTCTGCCATTTTTCTTTCTTAAAAAAATATTTGAAAAATATTAACTCTACAGGTTTCTGATTCACTCACTTGGACAATGGTACATTTTATTAACTTGGACCACATCTCCTTCGCTCAACTGTCTGCGTTGGCCAATATTAGCCAGCAAACTCTTCGAAATATTAACTTTTGGAATTATAACATTTGATGAGGACTTGGAAAATAGATTAAGAGAATAATGCATTATACTCCCAAAATCATATTTCTCCCCAAGAGAATCCACTTCGTTTTCTCCCAAGATAGCATAATTCTTCTTTTTATCTGCAATATTAAGTGATTTCAGGTAAGGTTGGATTTCCACTGGCAGAGAAATAGTTCGCTAGCGAAATATTTGCACATTTCCCTTTGTATTCAAATATAGTAAGCCAGTATATTTGGCTTTTTTACCTTCCAGAATATTTTTTTCAACAATTTTCACATATTTATCCCGATCTGGGCGTGTATGTTCATGCCAAAAACCAACAACATGTCCAAGTTCGTGAACTACAACTCCAAAATTGTCACAATCTCTACCAATTGAAACACCTTGTTTACCCATGCCTTTTCTGCCCACAAACGAACAGCAACTAGACAAATATTCGTCAAGAAAATACAATATTCGTTGTGAAATAGAACGTGGATAAAACTATGAATTATTTACTATTTGCCATGTCATAATCACCGTTGCAATCTTCTCATAATCTTATGTATTGTTCAAGCTTTTGGTAATTGTATGCTTATATTTAGGGATTTTCGAAAGGTAATAACATATGATAGTTTCGTTATTAAGGAAATTAAAAATAGTCTGAATGAAGAAGGACAGTCTATCGTCACTAAGAGGCAAGACTTACCCACAATGTCCTTTTTCTATGAAGATATAATCTTTCTCTGTGGTATGTTCGACAAACGTTAAACAAGATTTGTTTTCCCAATGTCTCATTGCTTTTAACATCACCGCCTTTTGATCAGCTAAAACAACAATGATATTTTACCAGTAAATTGATAATAAACATAGTCCATAATTACATAATTATACATCATGATTAACACAATGTTAGGAAACAGAGAAGGCCTCCTATAGATCTCTTTTCTCAAAACGAGAATGAGATTTACTGCGGCATTTTTTATTTTAGATGTGTAGATACGTTGAGGGTAAGTTTCAGATATATTTCTTTGCTATTTTGAGTTTTCTGCCCATTCGTTTGAGAGCGGTTGATATTCCAATATGCAAACAGACCTGTTGTATGTATACATTAGGAAAAATCTGCTTCACTCGTTTCTCTTCGGAAAACAGTTCCCAGTATATGCTTAAACAAATTTTGATAACTGAGCCTATCATTATTTGGAGTTAAGATAAAGGAGAAAAGTATATTGTATGCCTTATACATAGAGTGGCGCTGTGCCATGCCATGCTGATGTATTTTTATAACCAATGTAGGTCAATAAATCAGATTACCCATGAACCACTCCATATATTGGCTATCAGACATACATGCACGAAATATAATTTTTTTGCAGAATCAATTTCCAAGAAAGGAAGAAACTATGCAGGTGTAGAGCACGTGCTGCATACATATGTATCTATTACCTTGGGATGGTTTTATAGCTAAATTTGATTCGGAAAATATAACACAATAATCTTTATTTACACTAGAAATATAAATGGATGACTCTGAAGTGGAGGTACTTCAAAACTATATGTGAAATGTTTGAATTGTATGCAGTTTTAAATACCATACATAAGCCCCGTTTACACTACACTCAATTTATTGGCACGATACGGTTAAAATTGGTAGCCATACCAACTTTTATTCGCGTGCTTAGAACGGGTGTAGGGCTATAATATAGCTGCATTTCAACCAATTACTCCAAGTATATAAGATCAAAGTTGCAAGGTTTAAAAGATGTTGGTATGGAATTAAAGTGAAACGATAACTTTATAAAGTTTACTGTTTACAAATTTAAGCCATCGAAAATTCGAGAGTATATCTCATGGCATTTAACAAAGACGCTTTTGAATCTACAGAGCGTGAAGGACATGGACGTTTTATCGTGATTGACATGTATATTTTAATAATTTTATATGTGCAGTCAAATTTTGTTGCGATATTTGCAACAAAAGAATTAGAGGGCATGCAGTGTGTCCCTCTCATTGAAAATCGCATCTTCTGATCTTTATAACGTTGAGAAACGTAATGTTCTTTGACCATGCAAACATTGTCATCTTTGACATCAATGTTTTAGCAGATTTAATCTTGGAATTGATGTTTTCGTATAAAAAAATCCTGTAAGCTAGTTTTCATTGAAGAATGGGTCATTGTTAATTTTGGAACATTGCATGATTCATTGTTCCTATTCAACTTAAAACGAAAGGCTAAAATTCCTCTGGCTATAAACATAAAACATCTTGAAGTTTGAGAGCCATTATGTTTCATTTGTAATAGCTATAAATACAACTGAAAGATTATAATTATATGACTTCGATTTTGGCGAGTATAATATGTGCAAAAATGAGAACATAAAACGTATTATAGAGCTAATTGACTCAAAGTAATCTTATTTACATGACGTAGGTAATAATGATTAAAGCTTTGACCTATCAGAAAAGAATATGGTACCCTGTTAAGTTTTTTTAAAAAGCACGACATAATCAATGCCAAAATGCAAAACAAAATAAGCCAAACGTTTTTTCCTATATTTGAAAAGAATAACTGCTGAAAAAACAATTTGACGATGGTTGAAAAAGTTGACACTGGATGGATAATATAAACTTACACCAGTTGTAAGAAATAAAATGTTGTATATTTATTAGAGAGTTGCATAGCCCTGGGCATGACATAGTCAAACCAATGAGGAAGTTTTATAGTTACTTAGAAATTTTATAGCAATGCTAAGAAACATTTTTGGCGAACTGTCAACAACTTGATCTCTGATCCAGCTGCCGCAAGACAGCGAAAATTCATCGTTTGAAACAAAAAAATTATTTGTAATTGTATAGTTTTGCAACTAAAATTATAGTAATTAGCACTTATACATAAAACGCATGTCTTTTAACGCTTCAATAACATCGACTATCTGATTGTCCTTGCCCTTGGTAATCATTCACACAAACATCCTGCGATAAAAATAACATTTATAAACGTAATGTGTTATTTCACGTGTATTCTCTCCACATAACTTGCACTTCATCATGTTCAATATTAGTACCGATGCGAAGTATGAAGTATAAAAGACTTAAACTTGGTATTTCTTTGGCTTTTAAAGTCGTGTGATGCAAGTTGAAAAAGACAGATTCTTGGATCTTTAAGACTCCAGTGTCAAACAGAAATTCTTAAGATGCTATATCTTTAAGCTGCATATTTATAAAATTATGAAGATTTCGCAAGTATTTCGCAATTGCTTCGTGAAGAAATGTTACCTTGGTTGGTGGTTGCCAGGGAAGTTGCCCACCTTCCGTAAACACACCGCAGTTTTGATTTGCCTAACATTATTTTCTCTCTCCTCAGGTAGATATGAACGTGAAAGTTAGTAATTGATATGCTTGTTTTTCCTACTCTGTTTTGGAAGATTTTCCTTGCCAATACTTTGTATTTGTATATTGCTATATGGCAAGAATGTTTCCATGTTTATTGGCACGATTTCAATGTTTGAAATATTAGTTACCTGCATGCGTGCATGCATGAAACATAAACTCTATCTTATAGACAAAAACTTTTATAAAAAAGATCGGATGTAAAAGGATATAGCATTCATTCCTATCAATTGAACTAATGTTCATATAACCTTCATAGTTTTTTTCTTAACCCCCTCTCTATAAATCACGATTAAATTTACTTCAGTCACGACGTAGGTACAAAAATGAAGAACAACATATATAGAATTTCAAACAACAAAAGTGTTATAGCTTTTGAGGAGGTTAAATTTCATTCCAGAGGATATTTCGAACCAAATTTACTTCCTTCAATATATATTGCAAATATTAATAAACGATTATGTTTCATTAAAGTGTTCAGATCTAGTATAGTTGCATTTCATTAAAACCAAGTAGATTATTTACTATGATATAAAATCCATATAGCTACTGCCATTAAATGAATACAGTAAAATTCAAAATATCTGATTTTGTGATTAAGATGTGCTCAACAAACAATTGAGAATAGCCAAGAAAAGGACAGATATTTTTTCTTGCGTTAAAACAACGCCACATTATATGTGCACAACATGGGCTGTGCATACATTACGAAAGTGGATCATTAGTAATTCACTTAATAAGTAGTGAAGTGCGAGAGATGATGTATACAACTGCGTGATGTTCACCTGTCATCGGTTAAATTTGCAATAATGTATGTCTTTCAAAGATCTTTGGAATATGAGACTGCACAAGTGCCAGATTATCTCCTCTTAAAGAGGGATAAATCCTCTACAGTAGAAATGTTTTACCATTCACATCACACACTAAAAACATTCACACTTTCTACATATACACGAGTATAGCTGTCGGAAGATCACAAAAAAACTCCGAATTATCCAAAGCTTAGGAAAACCTAGAACCTAAAAATATGACTGAGCCAATTATACACTTTCGAACCTTGTCCCCTTGTCCTATATATGTTTTACATAGAAATATATTATTTACAGCCTCTCTTTCATCACTGCCGTCTTAAATATAAAAGAATACGCGATATATATAAACACATGTTTGCTAGTCAACATAATATAGGCAGTTCTAGTATAACAACTTTCGCAGTTAAAATATTTGTAATCTTTCAGGTTTTTGCTACTAATATTTATAAAGAAAATCAATTTTAGGTGATCGAAATATCGGATGTCGTTGATTCGTGTATATTTGCATAAATTGCGGCACCCTATTCAATTACCACAATGATATTGCCTTCGTAAGTAGATAATGATAACAGACTATTTACCCATCCATAATTGATTGTAATATGCAAAGATTTCTGGATTTATCTGAAACATAAGCGCATCGCATGTTGTGAGTATAATTACGACTTAATACGTTAACGCGGCAGCATTGTACTTTAACCTAATACATATGAAACAAAACTTTAGCTTATCAATTAACGTCAAAGCAAGGAAGATATCATACAATAAGGAAAGATTACTTGTCGATAAGGGTAGACAAAAATTTAATCAGAACTATCAGAAATGCGATAAGAAATCAAACGACATAAACATTCTCCCACGGTCAAATCACAGCTTTGTGAAACGGCAGAAAATCAGGCTCAGCTTGCAAGCTGTTTGTAATATAGAACGATATTCTACACTAGTGGTAAGATTATAATACATAGTAGAAACATACTGTAGAAACATACCCCAGACTATGGAATTTAATCATTTATATACAGAATTGACATACAATACATTGCGCGCAAATTCTGCGTTTTCAAGCAAGAAGACTAACATAGCATATCTTCCCTGACCTCTTGTCATGTTATTTCCTATATTTTGGCACAAGATATCGTTAGCACGCGCCGAAATACAAAGCAAAAAGCGCAGAAAATGTAAATCCAACTTGAAGCGTATATGACATGTTGCGCTGCGGAGTAATCTTTGAAAACACAAACAATATTTGCGCATTTACTCCGTTTATAATTTCATAACGTTATAATTTAGAAGCTTTAGCGCAAATTATTCATGTCAGTGTAACATTGTAAACAACGTATTTAAAGAAAGAACGTGTGCAGACATTGTTTCAGAAGTATACTTGACTTGTCGCAGATTCAGTCTGGCCAGCTTTTCAGCGACTGTTTACCTTAAACAAATTCGCAAAGTCTTTTATGCACGTTCACGCTTGATGGACGCTTTTTTGTGTAAAACAACACGTGCAATCGTTTGTCGAAGGTTTAGTTAAAGTGTATCCGCCTCTTTGTTTTTCCAGACACTAATCAAGCAATCACAACTTTATTTCATCTATTAACTTGTAGACACGAATTCCTTTGTTATATACAGGAAAAGCATCTCACGTTATATTTCATACAGTGCGTTTACCGTCTGCGTTGATTTTTCTTCGTGGTGATGGTTGTATAGCGAGGATATCAAGCAATATACAGTAAATTATATAAAAGACGACCATGATACAATATTGATTATAGTGAATTACGTCCAGACGTTAATGATATACGTGCAGACACGATTTAGGCTTTTTGACGATTCATTATTATATCGTGTGTTGTGGACACAGAGATCTTACTATAAATAAATGTGAACCATCCTACCTCTGAAGACGTTATCAATCTCATACGGAATAATACCATGAATCCAACGACGAGATTGCAGCGACGTGGCCGCTCTTCTTGTTCTTTTCAAACGCAATAATTCGTACTTTGTTATGGCTATGTCGCCATTGATAAAAGCAGCTGAAAGAAATGAAAATAAAGTGAATGGTGTTAGAAGAAGCAATGTTCGAGACATGTATCTTGCTGTGAAATGACGGAGTAGCCTGGAGAAAAAGTTGAGATAAAATTTTGAAAAAACTCCCAGAGTTTACAAGAAACCAACCTGCTTTGCAAGGGTCGTAATCATCTTCCCCCGATAATGCTGGACTTGTCATAGAAATAAGCGCAAGTAATGCGCAATTAATGAATATTACAAAGTTCATAGTTATTGTTGTCTGTATTGTCTACGTTCAAACGAAGGATGATAGCAGGACGTGGCGCGGTGTAAATGTAAACCTTCAAACTCAACGGGCGTGTTCGACACAACTTTAACCCTGACGATCGTCTTCTGGTGTAATGTTACGCTCTGTTATTACTCCGAGCTTTAAATACGATACCACATGTTATTACAAGCAACGTCAATGATTTTATATTTTGATCACGTGCACGGAAAGAACTTTTTAAAACCACAATTATATCCACTTCAGTCGAGCGCTTAATTGGTTTGAAGAGAGAAATATGTCATATTATCCTTACCACGTTCGAAGAACATGCATACCAACCCATAGGAATATTCTACAATAATGATATTCTTTCTGAAAATATCCTACAAGACATGTGCTTCACCAAGTGGAATTTTCACGTTCTACGTCCTACCTCAAGTTGTAGTAACTTCGTCGTCGTCTTTGTGACAAAAATGCGATTACTAGCAATCATGCAAGATTGATTGACGGTCTCGTTGAAAACGAAGTTTAAACATAATAGTATTTTATTTAAAGAGATTTCCCTTTTTTTTCGCTGATTTCAATGTTTTCGTTTTTAACTTTTGTTTGCTCTCCTGTTTTGGCGCTATGGAATATTCTTGGCTCTGGTGATTGTATTGTTGACACTCTGTGTTAAATATGAATATTGATGAAGGAAATTAGCATTTCAGCTTGCATTGAGACTTTTAAGGAATCTTTCAGCAGTTCCATTGTAAAAATGGAATAAATGATGTAATAGTAAAGTGTTAAATACCCAGCTAAAAATTGTATGTCTGTGCAACTTTACACTTGAATATAGTTGATATTTAAATAGATTTCTTTTGAGGCTCAATTTACGCCCATATAAAGTAAAAGTTTACAGTTAAGACGTTTTCAGTAGAGTGGTGAAGCAAGCACGCACGCAATATTTTGTTGGGTGGGGGGTATATTCATATATTCATTGCTATATTCCTAGATCGTAGCCAGAACAATCAAATCACTCGCATGTCCGAGATTTTATGTTGCATGCATGGCGAGTCTGGTTTATCCAAGTACTATATAATCTATTTATCAACCGCAATATGAAAGACAGGACAGTTGAAATTGGACGTTCTTCATGGCAGAATTATCTTTTCATAACAGCCGTCTGATAAAAACGTTCTTGGTCAACACTGTCTGTTCACAAGGGCAAGAATGTTAAATATGAAAAACCCGATGCACTAATATCACGCTGTTTTAATCCTTCAGCTTCGTAAAATGTAGTCATTTGCATGATCAATTTGCCTTATACCAATAGACTGTGGCAATATCATTCACATTAACCATTGAAACAATCCGTTAGAAGACTTTCAATGTCTTGCGGGTAGTAGTGGCTAATACCCCTCTTACCATGAATACCCCTACCCTTACCGTAATACCCCTCTTACCATGAACGTGAATGAGAAAAAACATGTGAATACGACGGTTAATACTGCAGTATGCCGACATTTCATTCAACTTTATAAAAAAACCTTGAGTGTCCTCCTTCAATAAACTTATCTGCGATAACATTTAGTTATATTTACCTTTGCAAGAACCAGTTTTAATTTAACCGATTTTTAACTTATATATGTGAGATTCTGTATTATAGATCTCCAGAATACAGAAAAATGTTTGACTGGAAAGGCCTTTAATTCCAGAGTATGTTCGCAGTTTTCTGCAAGTTTGTCTGACCTCGTAACACACTGAGGTTATGCAAATATACAAATACTATTGTAATGAACTAACCATATTTTTCCTGCCTGCGTTTGCAATCCTTCGTGACATTAAATGTATGCATTTAAAAAGTTATGATTATTACTTAATGAAGTCTATGATGATGAACATCTGGTTTACGTTTTTGCCCCTCTCCAACAAACAGAAATTTACACACGCGATGAATATCATTGGAATCAATCAGTAAAATCATATACTCTCTCACGAAAATCTAATGTTAAAGCTATAAAACTGTCGACCGATCCATTCCTGCCCTCAACTATAAAAGCAAAAAAAATATGTTTATGTAAGCTATCGAATCATGCAAGTAAATGTGATATATCTCATTTCTGCTGAAGTTTTTGAGATGAAATCAGTTAATTCCATAGCTTACTGGCGCTGTGCCTATTTTTAGCTGTGTACATGTGTACATGCATATTTGTTTTTGGATTCAACTATTTTCCCGTACAAGGGAACCCTGAGGCGGTGTTAGTTTGTTTTAGTTCTAGTACAGGAAATCGTAACCACAATTAAATAAATTAATCATCATAGTATGTTCATATAAAATTAGTACACATAATATGGAGGAATGATAAACAGAACTAAAACTAGTCTAATAACAAATTTAATCTCTCTGAAGCATCTTATACGCCTTTGTTTTTTAGTAGGACTTTTTGAATGTTACTTTTTTAGAGATTTTTTTTCTAAAGCGAATACGTCTGAATTTGATATGGATTTAAAGTCACAATACGAGAGTTATTTTTTAGGGGGGGAGGAAGAATATTCGGATGCAAATTGAAATCAAATTTATCAGGATTATTACCAATCAAATCTAAAAATTATTCGGAGCAATCGTCTCGAGTCACGACCTCTTTTTGAGAGTTTTTCTAAATTAGCCGTGTAGTTTATATAGCAAATACAATGCACTGAATGCAGATGTAAAGTGTTGTACTGCTTGTAGGATATGCAATTAGATTCAAAACGATTCTGTCTGATAAACATTTCCTGTAACAATTTTGCTTATATTTTTGGATTATGGTTATTTACGTCATATTTACGTGTTTAAAAGCTATCGTCTAAACACTGTGAAATATTGATTGACACTGATCACTGCAAGGCAATCACGCATTTTAATTGCCTATAATCTGTATATTAATACTTCAGTCTGATTTTTCAAATCTAATTATTGAATATTGTCATACTAAAATAAATGAGAATCAATATTTACATTTCATAAATATTCAGCCGTCAATATCCTAACTTAGGAAGAGTATAAACTTGATGTTTAGCCATAGTGTTCATCTTGCCAAGAAATAACCCAGCTGAGAAGCCATACTACGTTATAGTTACTCACTGCACCGAATTTCCAGCCTGTTCTTGCCTGCGTTCCTTGTAATTCATTTCTCAGTGCAAGTTAAATCCTAAATTTTCGACTTTTTTGGCATCTCTAGCAACATCTTGCACTTACTCTTATTACGAAACTGTTTTCCGTGTTTTCATCTAATTAAAATCAAAACAAAAGTATTTTATTGAAAGAAAACCCTCGCAGCGAGCTTGCGATTTTTGGACATGGCGATGAGTGAAAAAGAGTCTGTTGGGTTAGATCAACACCGTTTAATTCATGCATGCAACTATTTCACGCTATACCTCTAATGAAAACTATATTTCCTCAGCTCCTCATTGGCTCAATGTTTAATTTCATCAATGTTTTAACTTTATACAAGAACAGTTTATTGTTCAGCTTCCTTTCTGAATGAAGCCATGTAATATCCAAGTATTTTTGCTTCATGTTTGTTGATAATGTTATTTAGAAACTTCAATGGAAATACTGAAAGTACGATACCTAGGGATTAGGTAGACACTTTCACCGCGCGCTTTATATTGGGTAATATGGATTCGAGCCATAAAACTTTGCCAAACAGACCAATGTGAAGTTGTAATTGTTGCTAACTAGAATGTTGCAAAATACAGCTATTAAGTCGACTAAGTTTCATCACTGATACTTAAGCTATAGATGCACAGCGGTATATGGCCATATAAAGAATATTTATATTATAAACGCTGAAATATATCTATTTAGAGTTCGCAGGTAGGTAATTACTGTTGGTAATTAAAATAACGTAGTGCACTTTAAAATGACAACTGAAATAGCAACCCTTGCCAAAATTTTCACTCTGTTTTCACGTTCAGTTATTAGCGAAGATTATACTTTCCAACAAACACCTGCGTACGACGACGCTAAGTGTATTTAAAAAATGCAAGTACTGAAAAAAGCAAACTTCACTTATCGCTGATAAACCACGTTTTAGTGTGAATACAAAACACATTTTTTTAGTAAATAATGCATTCGTCCATTCATTCATCCGTCCATTTGTCTTTGACCGCCTACATTTGAACTCGTCACAGAAGAGGTCAAGTCGACCGTATTATTTTGGGCAAGATGCGTTCTGAATTTGTTTACTAGTAACAAAACAAAACATTGTCCGCTTCGGTCGATATCAAGCTAAGACATCGTGTGCTCGTGTGCATTTAAGAAAATTCGTCTTTTTAAACAATGATGCTTTTGGGTAGACGCTGAAGAGATTTTGAGTTTTTATCCCTATTTCCTCTCACGTACATCAAGTTGTTTACAAGAAAATATTCAACAAGGTACTCTTGAAACCGCAGACGGCGCAAAATTGACCATATTTGCATGTACATTCTTTGCCGCCATTTTTTTTGTATGATCAGCGATATTATACATCCGGTGATAGCTCCGATACAACCGATGAAATCTACCTTACTGCTGCACAGCGCGTTTTACATGCAGAGTTGAATGATTAAACAAGCTGTTAAATATCTTTGAATGTCTTTCGCCTTTTAGAAAACAAAACGACTCTTGGGGTGTGATTACGGTATATATAACAAAGAGCTTGACGAAAAATTGTGTCCACCAAATTCTACCCAAATTATGAAAATTATCAAGCATCAACATTAGCTTACAGTCTTATTCATCTTATTCATTGTATGCCATAAAAGCACTGCCATAAAACGGCTATCCGTCATCGTGATAAAATTTTAATAGCGTACAGGAAATTAAACTATCATTGTGAGCAACATGTGTAAAAAATATTGTTCCTTTTGGCTCGTGCATGTCAATGTGGGCTGCTCAAACGCAAATTGTCTTGAAGACTTGAGGGATCAATTCAAACTATGACGTCTGCATGTCTACTTCCTTGTTTCACAACTATATCTTGCTAAAGACTGACTCGTCTGCACAGCGTCAGCCAACTTAAGTACGCATACGGCATATGTTTGTCTAGAGAAGAGTGAAAAAACAAACATTCGTGCAGCTATATAATTGTTGTGCTTCGTATAAATGAACCTTTGAAAATAATCCTGGGTCCACTACATAATTTGCATTGTACAGGCTACCGCATTTCTGATTATACATACAATACTTTGTTTAAGAAACGGTCTTTTCATCATATTGTAGTATTAGTATAGTATTTATTTCGGTGGTAAAGTTTCCTTTTGAAGTTCATGTCTGTAATTTTTATCAACTCCCTATCGAATGTGACATATATCCTCTATATTCTAATCTATATGTCTGTACAAACTGGCATTACCATAGCATTACCAATTGAACATGAAAAAAATGGCAGCGTGCATGTGTTTCAGATTACACAAATCACACATCAATGCATAATCTTGAAAAAGAATGAGAAAAAAAACCTATTAATATGAATCCTTAACATAATGACCAGACAAAAAATTTAATCAGTTTTAACTTTCTGTGCGTGGTTTTATAGCGTTGTGGTAGAAGACAAGCATTTGCTTGCCGATATTTTCGTTGTTTCATTAAACAAGTTGTTACACATTCATGCATGCAGTAGAAGCCTGCATGGCTTGCTGTCTCAACGGTTAACATGCAAATAAGTTATGCCTCATTCATTTTTTCAGTTTACAACCCCACGACAAACTAAAACTAAACAATAGGATTTAAAACTTAATTCTCTAAAGGTACAAGTATGTAATAAACGGGTTATCTTATGAGGAGCTTTGATTGATAATAGCAGTCTTGTTGCCCTCAGGATGATATCATGAGTTACCTGGGGATATAAAATTCATACCGTACGTCACGATGAATTATATAGATGTATTAAACTCGTATCCAGGGCTGTAGTATATAAAATAACGATTACCGATCGACTCGTTTGGTATTTCTGGCAAGGTTATCGTAGCGCCAATTTTCGTTGACTTGTCGCTCTTGCATGGTGAGAACTAGGAGTGTATGGAGATTTGTCGACTTTGACACTAGATTCCGCGAGTGTTATAATCTACCTCTTCCGTATCAACAAATGAAAACGTTTTCTATCTCTCCGCACAAGACTTTAACTTGTTTATTTCTTTTAAAAGTAAACTTGTAATAGTCATAACAAATTGCCTGTTGATAAAGTCGGCAAATTTCAAAGTGTCTGTTAGACGTTTTAGCTTTCAAGCGCGCAATGCGTGACGGTAGTTGATTATCAAGCAACTTTGAGTTGCAATATCGCTTTGCTTAGAAGCGATTTTGTTTGTAAGAAAACTTTGCCAATTCTTTTTGCTCCTTTATTAAACTAAATCGCTCCTAATCATAGCGAAATCACAACTCAAATTGACTTGAATGGGCAGCTGTGAACTGAGTTCATATGAAAATTTTAAGAATTGACAGAACATAAGCAGATCATGCACGCTTTTATTAACTACCCTTTTTGCACGACTTTATATTACTTATTGAAAAAAAAAACAATCTTCCTTGAAATAATTCTTTTATCCTGATTTCACAAGAGAATACCACATTTCTAAGTTTAACCACCAAAGAGGTTGACATCAGCCAAACGCATAGTCAAAGATGTATACATTTAGGACGATATGGCAAATTTATAGTACAACAAAAAAACAATGAAAATGCACAGTTATCACACAGTTATCATACAGTTATACACCATCTTTGTTCTTTTAGCATAAATATATTTTCTACTGGAAGACTACGAGGTATATATATAACAACACACAAATATTTCTTCAACCTAAGACGACCTATATCGGCATAATAAGGTTTATTACCATGCAGCACAGGTGTATGCGTGTGGTGATTAAAATGATAATACGGCTGTAAGTTAATTTTATTGTTTGACAGTTTGACCCCATAAATACATCAGTACTCTATATGTATTCATTTCAATCAATGTTTAAAGTTAACAATAGATTTAAACTATATATAAATATAGTTCCTGTACTTAATTCTATCTACTCACGATGTTTGGTCGCTGGAATTTCGTTATATGATCGGAAATATGTGTAACTGACAACAGTATATAAGATTGACGTCATTCATCTCATTTTGATATTTTTTACTTAGCCTTGACTTTTCTGTGACTGCATCGGATCACTTGTGCAAGTGATTTGTTTAATATGAAGACGACAAGTTGATCGATTCATATGTTAACTGACATACAGAGAAAGCATAATTTGTCACGGAAAGATCAGAAACCAATCTTCAAGTTATGAAGATGAAAGATATAAGCACGTGAATTTCCTAATTTGTCTGAAATGAAAAGCTTTTGGCAATTCAACATGCATACGCAGTATATATAAAAATTAGTGAGTTAAACAAAAGTGGGTTTTTCTGCCATTATTGTGCCATACATGCAGGCCCATACTCGTTTCGTTTGAACCACCGCGCGGTTAGAAGAACCACTCAGAAGTAAATTGGATGAAATAAGGCATTTGGCAAAACAGAACATCTTAGATATACGAATACGATCAGGAAACATGTAGTGCATTTTGAAAAAAGCATTCGTCACAGGTCAAGTACTTTGCCCTGTGTACCCGAGATGCTCTGTTTCGCTCAAATTAATATATTTTGTATCAACTTCAACTGTATAGTTGACAGTTACAACACTACGATGGCAGTATCACTTTGATAACTTTTCAAATGATGGCAGTACAACAATTGTAGGACCATCCTTCCTTATGAAAGCAAGGGCAGAAAGATCACAGATGCCGCCGATCCCGTGCACACTTCGATATAGATCTTTATTTGTACACTAATAACTATTTACTCAAAATTGTTTCCTATATTAATTGAATTCACCGCAAATACTAAGTAAAAGTGCTCAAGTTGTTCCTGCATGGTTGATGAAACAATGTTGTGCTGCAGGCCTCGAAAATGTTGCTACATGCAGGCTTTAACACTAGTTGCTTCAACTTGATAAAAACCAATGTTCGCGAGGTGCAGAATAACATTGTCTCATGAACCGCTGGGAACAACTTAAGGTGGGCCTCGGGTACTACGAATTAGGATCATAGAGAGTGTCCCAGACTGTGAGTTAAAATTTTGTAAATAATACGTGCATACAACATAATCGTTAAAATTTCTATCTAGAACTTATCTATGTTTGTTGGCAATGATCAAACACGAAACAGCAGGTGAATGTTTATATCTGAGCAATGATGTAATAAGTACCAGTTTTGTTTAATAACTGTATCAAGAGATCTCACTGAGCCATACCAAGGATTTTGTAAATAAAACTCGTCGAAGTTAATATGGATTAAGTTCTCTAGGAGATAGATATGATGTCTAATCAGCGTTTTACGTTAGGGAAAAGGACATACACAGTCACATTTATCCTCTCATTACTTTTATTAGTTTGTATAGTACGGGTATTTACTGGAAGCAAGAAAGATACAAAATACGATGATCTTATAACGACTGGCGGTGCTATACGACGTTCACTTTCTTTTAGTATTCCTTCTGACAAAACAACAGTTTGTGAAAGTCAAGAATGCAAAGACATTGCAAAATACGTCAAGAGATCAATGAACACTTCAGTAGATCCTTGCTCTGATTTTTATCAATTTACCTGTGGCGGTTGGATCAAAAAGCATCCCATCCCGAAAACGTCCTCTACTTTTTCGACATTTGCGAAGCTCAACAGCCATGTCGAGAAAGCATTGAGGAAAATTATTGAAGACAAAACTGGAAAGCATGACAATGAATACAGTGAAAAGGCCAAAACCTTTTACAAGTCCTGTATGGATTTAAAAAGTATCGATACACTCGGTGCGCAACCTTTGATAGATTTAATTCGTGACGTTGGTTCATGTAAGTTATTTGATAATGAACATTGGGATGAAAAGAATTGGGATTTACAAGAAACCTTGCTGAAAGTTCAGAAAAAATATGCATCCGCTGGGGGTCCATTGTTCTCCATTCACGTTAGTAACGACCCTAGGAACAACCAAAAACATATTTTGGAGGTAAGTTATTTCAATTTTGTTTATTGCCAATATATTAGTGAATGCACTGATCTATATGATTCGGGACGCAATTACAGTCAAAAAGTATTCAGATGCAAAATATAATTACATATTGCAAGGCCAAATATAATATTATAATAATAATATTCATAATGTGGAGTAACAGTTCTTTTAGTTTCTTAGTAACTGTGAAGATCAGAAATAAATATTATAATATTCAATCGGCTTTGTTCAACCGTGAAATCTGACTGCACAATTTTAACGCATTGTTTAACTATATACATGCATGAATGGTGAATATCTGTTATTATGAAGATAAGATATATTTTCCAATCAACTGCTAGATATAGTTCGCACTTCTTTGAAAAATGACATGCGCCAAATTAAATGCAAACTTATACTGACTATGCTGTGTCTATTTATTGCATATCAATCCACTTACAAATCATTCGAATTAATCAATTGAATGCCTATACTTGAAAATGCTCTTGACTTTTAGATCAACTTCGCATAACAACTCAGCGGCCTAGCCTAAAATAGACAAAAACACTTCTCGACGTTTCGAAGCAACTCTCGGCCAGACGAAGGTGTTTTTTTCTATTTTATATGCCTATATTGTTATATCACATTTGATGTGAAGACGCTAGCTGCCCTGCACGCTGCTCTCCGGGTATTTTTGATGATCATATGACAATCAGATTCTTGTAGTTAGGTACGGCGAGATGCATTGCGTTTTATAATAAGTTATTAAGTATTTTATTCATATATCATTCAATAAATTATATGATATTTATAAACATATAAAGATTTCAAATCTTTGTGCCAGTTAATAACCGAAACAAATTTAAGAATTTGAAGAATGATCTTGGAAATCATAGTCATAAAAGAATCATATCTTTCATCATCTTTACATATAGTCTTATCTTTGAAGTAAATCTCTCTTGTTATTTTTATTTATTTAATTAAAAGTCAGTTAGTTTTATTATAGAGGTTTCGTAAACAAAGTTACAAGAACAAATAGAATTCTTACCCGTGATATGGCGTAAAAACGTGGATCATCTATGTTATAATGCAAATGTGCTTATCGTATAGCAAGGGGGAATTTCAGATAAGCGTTTTAAACCATTTTTGGAGATACCTGTCATTTTGATATTTTCTGTATCATAGAGAATTAAAACAAAGAGAATAATTTGTCTGGTTTTAATCAAATTATTTCCATATGTTCTTAGTCAGAAACGTGGGAACATGATTTCATGTGGAGTTAATGAGAGACTAACCACGCCTTCATTAAATATTTGCCCCATGCATTGAATTAACCTCAAGTAAATTTTTCCAGATCCGAGCTTATGTGCATGACATAATTTCATTTCCTCTATAGTAAAGTTTCAATTTAAGTTCTTGTCATTTGATGTTAAAACATTCTAAACCCACCATGCAATTACATGGACAAATGTATTTTTATATTTCTTTTTAAGTTCGTATTTTTTTGAAAACAGAAAAAGAAGGCCCACTAAATATTCGACGCCTAAAAAACGTGGTCTTAAAATCTTTTGATTCGTTGGAAAAATTAACATGGTTGCTATATCTATGAATGACATTATTTTAAAATATATCAATATGTTTAAACATTTGACATAAATCTACAACTTAATTAAATTTGTTTCTCCAAATTTGTGCATAAATTTCTAAAGTTTAGAGTAACGTGTGTTGTTACGATTGAAACTATATGTTTCAATCGTTATCTAAATTGGCAAATATATGGTAGGTAATCTGTCAACATGACGAGGAAAACTGTAAAACACATATTCAATAGACAGCTTCCTGAATTTTCTCTTTGCCATAGACTTTGGCAATGAAGACTACATTCCAGTAACATGTCAATACTCAATAGTTTACATTGCCCGTCTCATTTTCAAACTATTGTTTTTTGTTCTGCAACAAACTCAGGAAGTATTGTTTGGACAAAATCAACACGTTCATTTGGCCAAAGTCATAATATTAAGAATTATAAAGGAGCACAATATTAAGAATTATAAAGCACGACGTTTGCTGTTATGAGGCGAAGGCAAAAACGGGTAAAATATTGAAGAGGGAATTCTTTCAAAGCCGCCTTTGTATCATATGGTGTTACCCCAATGAGGAATGCAATTGTTTGTCAGTAATCAAGAAACAAGCATATTAAACAATACACATACATCAATGCATGTTTACGAGTATATTCCTTCTCAATCATTCAGTCTCGGCACGTGCAGGAGCATTTGGGATATCGTTTATCGAAGGTGAGACGTTCATACTTTATATGATCTTTGCCACGCTCTTTGTCGGATTAAAGATGAAAGAAGGCCGACATTGATTTGTTTCCCAAAAAGTTCTTAAAATATATATTTTTCTTACAGCAAGACACTTTTCACACCGCGCATGCGGATCCTTGTCTTCGTTTTTTTTAATGGATTTTACGAAGTTCTCCACAGAAAGATTGGAATTTTCTTTTTGTCACTCATCTTCAATAATTGACATTATATTGTCGCCGTTTATTGCTTCAGACGGATGACGTTGACAATTAATGTCGTCCCGCGTTTTTCCAGGCACGACATGCATTTTTTATCAAATAATCTGCACGAAATACATGCACGTAGACGAGTTTTTTTTGCCAAATTCTTGCCTTGAGGTATTTATTACCTGCATGCATATTATAGACCGAAAAATATGAAAAAATATTTAAGGTTTCTTCAAAATATTCACGTTATTGACGTTAGCTACACATAAACAAAAATATAAACATATATGCATGTTGACGTTTATTTAATTACAGACTCTCTCTATATGTATATAGCTCAGTATCGAAGTATACTTGCCTAATAAGGAAATGGTATGAAAATTTTTCTGTTCAAGAAATACAATCAACTTGTTCTTAGTTATAAAATAATAATAGTAAATAATAATTTGAGTAGTCTTGAAGAAGACAACTCATTACGCGATGAAGTCAAAACTCTCTTACCATGGCCAGACATACATTGACAATTATTCGACTGTCATCTTATATGAATGCTGCCTGTCTAATTCTTGAAATTTTTGGCCGAACTGAACAAAGTTAGAATATTTCGTTTCCGAAGTTAATAGGTTTTCTTGTATGAATCGTGAACTATTTTGCGTTATTTTTGCCACTATACCTAGGGTAAACAAGCACGGGCGTTATATGTATGCATGTCAGGCGCGTGTTCACACACCTTCAGCAGGTTAGATCATGTCGCGTGTGGGTGAAGAATGCAAAATATGTTTGAATGTTGGCGTGAAGTTTAACACATAGGAAATGCGGCTTCAAGTATCAATAGCTATATATACACACTTGACATTAATTGTTTGGTGTTAATGTTCATATTTCCTGTAAAGTTATTTTACTAAAACCTAAGTAGCGACTAGCGTGATGTTGAAAAAATAATAGCTACTGGTGCTTGAAAATGTCTTTTAGCACAGGCAACGTAATTATTTTATGAGGCTCAAAAAGAATATTATCACAAGTGAAAGACATGTTGAAAAGAGAAGAATACTTAGGCTTGAAAATGTCTTTTAGCACTGCATGAAAAAAACTCAACTCATTTTTCAAAAAAATTAGGTTAAAAAAAATTCATGATTTTCTTGATTCCTATATCTAGTTATGTTTAAGTAATGTAAGCTAATTTAAAAAAGGTTATCCTCAACAAACTATAGTATAGGGCGCAAATTCCAACCTTATATATAGTTACGCTGCATCGCGGCATTTCAATATATTTCAAGATAACAATCTCGTACACTGAAAGATGATAAAAAAATCGAAATTTACTGTTTATTTAAGGTAAGAACGGGTAAGAATGATGAGCTTGTGTTTAATTGGCAAAAGATCGCGGCTGGAAGGAAATTCATGCGGGAAACGGGGAATAGGCATGCGTCTGAAGTAAGGTCATTGGGTCAAAAATGAATAAACATGAAGTGTGGTTAATTGGAATCTGGAAAAGTAAATTTGTTACCAGCAAAAGTTTGTATTCTCGCCAAAATCGAGCTGAAGGCGAGGTTGAAGTCTATAGAGGAACTGTTTTCGGCTTTCCTGCTTATCATGCATACATCAACGACAATGCTTTGATATCTATAGATCTGAGAAATTGAATGTGGTTAATCCTATTTTTACAGCAATTGCGCGACAATACTTTAACTCTACAAATCTCATTAGCACACCAGTTTAAACAAACTTGTATTCAACGGAAAGATTATTTTCGGTTCAAGCAAACGATGACATATGCGCACGAAACATTCATGCATGTGCGGACAAATCGCTTTATTTCGCATTTCTAATTACTGCATATAATTAAAAAAGCTTGCTTTATTCTATGGTTTTTCATTTTAAATAAGATAATAGTTGAATATATTAGAATTTAGAAGTTCGAGAATGCAGTTGCATTACGAATGATATAATTAGCTATAACTGCATGTACTTGATGCATGGTCTGCGTCCTTACGATCGCGTTGAAATGTCTTTACGAACAACTTAATGATTGTGTTTATTTGCGACAGGAAATAATTCACCTCTTTTAAACTATCAAAGCTCTTAATGGATGTACTTACGAATTGTCGTTCTTCAATGTAAACATCTTGCACAGATTTATAAACGAAAATATCCTGTGTTAATATTGTTGATCATGAGTTATTTTTTGCACATTTGCACAACACCAATTAAGGTTTTGTTTGGAATATCCAGAGCTGCAAGCATCATAGCAGCTGTTAGATTCCTTTATTAAAACTTCAGCTGTATAATCGCGCTAAAACTCAAGATCATTCAAGTAGGGATTTATGTGTAATTATATTCTTAAATGAGTCTATTTTTAAAAGTAATTAAATTCAATGTAACATGTCAGCAATGTTCGAGTTGCTTCATGAGCATTTGTGCTTGAAAATAACTTGATTAAATTACTGTTTTATTAAAAATTAAGTGCATGGCCATCTAAATTTAGGTGGCAATTCTTTCTTCTGCATCTTTACATAATAACAGGACGATTCTGAAATATAATAGCTACCAACATAGGTTTCATAAAATGAATTATTTATCCAACCGAAAATAAATGCATGCATGCAGTATCTCAAACTATATCCAACTATAAGGCTAAGGCGTGAATATATGTTTCATATACGATTTAATTTTGGTTGCCTCATCTTGGAGAGGCCACAGATCGGATACATTAGAGCAGAAACCCTCCAGAATTTCGTGCAAGGAAAATGTATGCCTTTTCAAAGTGGTTATACCCTTCTGTTCTGAAATGAATTAAATCACTCTTTTTCATTTTATGCTCTTGAGTATATTACCATTCGTAAAGACGCTTCAAAGACGCTTCTGGGGTTTATCAAGTCGATAAAAGTTTCAGCTAATCTTCACGCATGCCTCGTGATGGGAAATAATTGATAATTTCTTCTCATTTAGATAGATCAGGCTGGTCCCAGTCTATCGAGAGAAGTCTATTTTGATAACAAAAAGGTAAACTGACGTTTTGTTAATATTTTGGTCTGGGTTTTGTGAAAACTATACTGAGCCTCGTTAAATTATCTAACAATAGAATTGTTATTGCTGCTTGAATTCCTCTAATAAATGGATATATACATATACTGCACGTCGCTTGAACTAGTCAGATTTACTTTTAGATCATCAAAGCATACACAGAATTTATAACTGATGTCGCTGTAGCGTTGGGAGCAAAACAGAAAGATGCCGAAACACAAGCAAAAGAGCTGGTTGATTTTGAGAAAAAACTGGCTAAGGTAGAAAAGTAGAGTATAATAATATTATCATCCCGTCATTGTTTGGCGATTACCATGCATAACCCTTCTCAATGCTATATCATTTAAAGTATAGTTATTTCTTATAAACTGCATGCGCAGTTATGAAAATAAAAAATGTATTCTATCTATCATAGCATGCAGAAATAACTAATGATAATATACAGGCAGATCATCTGCACGTCATATGTGTTTTTGCATGTCCACTATGACGAAGAAAATGACCATGACGATTTAAATTTTAGATTAGTGTTCCAAGCGCTGATAAAACAGACACTTGGTTTAAACAAATGACGATGAAGGAACTCGGTCATGAATTACCACAGGTTTGAATTTCTTTTCATCAAAGCATTTTCTGGGATTTTTGAAACTTTACATGCTATGCTACTTTACATGTAACAAAGCAGGATTATATTCTGACCAAAACTACCCCCGCTGCATGGCTACACTTACATTGTCCAACTTAATGTTTAGTTTCCGTGGAGAAAATATGTACAAGAAATCTTCAGTCATACAAATATTTCTGACGATGAGCCAGTTATTGTTCCAGCTCTTCCTTATCTAAAAAAATTCGGAGACATCACTAAACATACGTCGAAATCGTGAGTATTTATATGCAACATAATAATTTTGTTGAATGAATGCTATTTATTTGAGATGACAGGGAAAATACTCCGGAATATTCCAAAATTATTATGTAAATCAATTACCTACACTTTCCTTATAAAATTACCAGATTTATACCTGTGTATAATACTGATATAGTCTGATAGTAAATCTATAACTCAGTAAAGTAAAATCCTAAAAGGATTGGAAACTTGTGTTGTTAGCATTCTCTCCAACTACGTTGTCTGGAACGTGATTCAAGACGAGATTCCGAATCTTTCCAAGAAATTTCGTGACATTCGTAATAATTACAAGAACAAAGTGATGGGATCTCGTGGTCAAAAAAGAAGATGGAAAATATGTGTTTCGATGACTGATGACTTTCTAGGCGATGTTATTGGTGAAATTTATAGCAGGAAGCATTTTGATAAGGAAAAGAAAACTCTAGTATGTTGAATTTATACCTTCATCGGCTTCATATGCACAACCTAGCTACTCCACTTCTTTACAAGATCAAAACGGTCTCAACTATAAATACCGTAATTAACATGACTTATTTTGAATACAGTTAAACCGTCATAAGCCACAAGATTATCACTAAATATGTATCTTTTTATACAGGCGGAAAAAATGATAGTAAATATACGTGCTGCGTTTCAACAAAATGTTGATAGTCTTAAATGGATGGATGAGTCAACAATTGATGCCGTGCAAGATAAAGTAATGAAATAAACTAAAATAATTCCTGCGCTGACGCTGTAATAATTGATCATGTCTCACAATGTTTCATGCACAAACGATTTACAGTAAAAAATTATTTTCAACGCAGGGTGCTTCTAAACCAATTAATTTAATTTGGCATACGTTCATTTGTATCGTTTATTAATTTTTATTATAAAAATTGTTCAGTGCTGTATCATCGGCTGTTTCTGGCATTCTGCATAGAATCTAAACTCTAATAACCAGAAACTTGTGAAGAAAGAATGCACCAATTTTAATGTGTGCGATTTATTAAACTGCGTTCAATGGTTTTCACGACGTTGAACTGTAGTTAAATATAGTATATGATGTAATACATACTTGGATACAATCCCGTTTTCCATCGAATACAGTACACGTATGTTCATAACTTACGCAACCATTGGTTTAGCTAAATTTATTTCGCTATATAGGCCCATGCAATGCGTGATCAGGTTGGCTATCCCAATTACTATGATGATAAGAAGAAATTTATGAAAAGATTTAAAAAATATCAAAAGGTGTGTTGGCTATATTTTGTTTTGTTTGTTTTTTACTTGACATGCTTTCTGATGATAAGAGTGTGCTTTCCATTACAAAGTCAGGGTGAAGTGGTAGTAGTAGTAGTAATTCCGTCCAATAAAAAGGTTTCACCATCAGCACCACTGCAATATTTATCAAAAAAGCTCATTTTCAGTGCTTATTGATGCATATAAATTTTGTCCTGTTTATTGAATGGATGGTAGAACATCTTAAATTGTTATCTTCAGGTGATATTTAAAGCAAATACTTTATTTGCAAACAAGTTGGCGTTATTAAAGATGTCACATCAAAGAATGTTGAAAAAACTTAGGAAACCTGTGGATAAAGAGGAGTAAGATCGGAACATTTCTTAATCAAAATATTTGAACTAAAATAGGAACAAATGTTTAGGAATATCTAATTTACTTTTAGGTGGCCGTTAGATCCACAAACCATCAACGCTATGTACAGTTTTAATGAAAACCAAATGGGTAAATATTGATATTTGCATGTTTATATTATATGCATTAAATATACAAGCCTGAGAATGAATTACTTCAAATCTTAAAGGGTTCCGTTCTGCCTTTTGAAGGATGGTTTTAAGGTCTGTTCACGCATTAAATGAATTACATAACAAATAAAATAAATCAGTTATTGAATAAAGCAGTACTGAATTTGCCTTTAGCGGTTTTTCTGCCCATTACATACATTGCAAGTCAACAGACTAAAAAGCAACCATCAAAAATTAGTTAAATTCCACAAAATTGGATTGTGTAGCAATGACATCACTACCAGTAAAAAAATTAGCATAGAAAGAATAAATTGATTGTCTAACTCAATGTTTATATTTTTTAGATGTTTGTATGCGCAATAAAATCTTATTATAACACGATTATCTGTATTTTAGTAATTCCTGCTGGAATATTACAACCGCCTTTTTTCCATGGCGTCAAAGCTCCTAGGTAGAAATGATAATATATTTCTATTATTCATTTGTTCATTTGTGATGATCTCAACTGTCTAGCTATTACCAACTTAGACATTCATCTTTTCATGTTTCATTTATAGAGCAATGGTATATGGAGCTATTGGTGCCATTCTTGGCCACGAATTAACACATGGATTCGATAATACTGGTAAGTTACATATCCTAGGTTAATCATGCAGGTAAAGTTTAAAATTTGCGTATTATGAATATCGTAATAAAATAATTGTATTTTTATAATATTACTCAATAGGACGAAAATTCAATAAACACGGTGAACTAACGAAAAACTGGTGGAGTTCAGATGCTTTGAAACATTTTAAAAAAAGATCTGATTGCATTGAAAAACAATACAGTAATTATAAGGTTCGAGGAAAATATAAGGTAGGATTCAAAGATGGTGTATTCCTATAATGTCTCTTATACATGACTAGAAATGCTGAAGTTGTTCCTGATTCATGAAAACAACTTAGACTAAACATTATTGTGCTGGTATCTTTCTTCTATAGTTGAATGGAAAACTCACTTTAGGTGAAAACATCGCTGACAATGGTGGTTTCAGAGCTTCGCAAAAAGTATGTTCTCATTGTTTTCGATAATTTGTAAAAATTGCACGCCCCTTGAACGAAGGAAGTATTGATAGGTTCTTTTCATAATATAGTTATTTTTCTATAACCCAATTAACATTTCCATTTAATGTATTTACTTTGTTTGTAGGCGTATAAAACTTGGTTGATTGATCACAAAGAAAAAGTTCTACCTGGGCTGAAGTATACCAATGAACAATTATTCTATATTTCATTTGCGCAGGTAGAAATCTAAAAATATTATTTCAACTGCATGAATTAATCGTGGGCCAAAGTTGAGTTCAAAAATGTCAGGTCACGGTGTATCAGTTAATGATTTTAAAACCGAGTAGAGCTTGCAACCAAATGTAAGATGATTTTGATGTATTAAAATGAGTCATTAATGAAGAAGACTTTATGATAGCCGGGATTAAGCTACGCTTTGTTGAATCCGAGTAACTGGGCTAATGACATGTAAACAGTCTTAGCTGATAAATAGGCTTAGCTAATATTAAATTCATAGCATGAAGATGGCGAAAAATCGTCTGTTTGATCGCGAAGCGTTTTTCACGCATGCATCAACAGTGAAAACGTTTGGAAATACTGTTTTATTCTAAACGATTAGACTACTTCTTCTCGACTTCTATGATACGACACTTGATTCAGGCTTCACTCTCCTACGTCTTGATAATAATCCGCTCAGAGCAATTTTATCGTTACTCATCATGTGAATGGTTTTCAGGCATATTGCAGTAATAGTCGACCAACACAAGATTACTTGGCAACTCTGACTGATCCACACTCCGATGAAACCTTAAGGTAACTTATACTAAGTCATACATGAAGTAATGTAGAAAATTGATCGGCGCACTGGCCTCACCATCCATTATGAAAACTGTATTGTGATATATCATATACAGTGTATGGTGCCCTGACAAAACAACAACATCGATCACCCTACAAATCTACAAAGAACTTGTAGGCAATTAAAAAAATGCAGAAAATATTCTTAGCTGCAGAGTATTTGTAAACTGGTTTAACATTTTCTTTCAAAGCATGGTGAATATCGCTGCAAGAGATTTATTTATCAAGATAATGTTATACAGGCCGCGCTCTACAACGTTGTTTATTTTACCTCGAAATACTTTTAGACCAAATTTTGTAGCTTGTTTCGTGCTTCCATAGGTTCAGCATGTTCTTTAAAATAACTTATTTATTTAAAACGACTCACAGCTTTCACTTCCAGCAAACAACACAGCCGCCATTTTAAAAAACCCGCTCTGTGTTGTTGCACAATAATCTGAGTCGCTCGGACCAATCAGTGGCCAGAATTTTTGATGATCACATTTGTAATTATACCACAAATTAATTAGTCATTCCATGCAGTCTGAAATAAAATGCCATTATTTTGCCTTATTTTTATATCTGCTTTGTTGATCGGATTCTATATCTTTTAATAAAGGGTGAAGGGAGTCTTGTCAAATTCAAAAGAATTTGCGCGTGCATTTAAATGTCCTTTGGGAAGTCCAATGAATCCTAAAACAAAATGCGCAGTTTGGATCAATGATGATATAGTCAAAGATGAAACAAAGACTCATAAGAAATTACAACCCAAGAAGAAGAAGGAAAGAGATGAGAAAAAATTCAAAGCTGAAAAAACCACTTCTAACAATGTTAAGGCAGAGGCAGGGAAAGCGAAAAAAAAAAAGGAAAATATATCCGAACATCCCAAACAAAAGACTAAACACTAAAACTTTAGGATGTTAATATGTTCTTTTTTTGAATCGCTATGATCTTGAGATCTTGTTTATAGTTTGTTTATACTGATATCATTATTTGCAAAATACATAGTAATATCAGTATACATGTACATACTAAAGAAAACCGAATAGACCTTTCTTATAATGACGTCAAACGCAGAAAGTCTGATGATACACGGAATTTGATTGGCTCCACAAAACCACAGTATAAAGACATAATATATAGACAGTATGTCTATATACTGTGACAAAACTATCGAGCTAATCAAACTTCGTGTAAGATCAGACTTTCCGCGTTTGGCGACATTATGAAAAAGGTCTATTGCGCTTCAGTCAAGAGGCAATGCGTTTCGTTGAGTCAGAGTTTCCATTAGATGAATCATTCCAATAATTAGTTTAAACCACTACTTTATCCAATTTCGAAAGTCTTGAAAGTAAATTAGTAATAAGTACAAGTCTCTTGTTGAAGAGCCGACGCAAAGTAAGTTTATTTACGGTTATATAATCTTGTTCCACATTACCCTTTTTGCGTTCCTTCGTGGTTTTTTTAAAAAAGAAATTTTCAAGCTTTCAACATTTGAAAAAAAGGTAAATTATTGACTGATGTTTTGTCAACGGATCTTTTAATAACGCGGAAATTATTTACGAGTCATAAATGGTCAAAATCTAAAAGGTTAATATTTAGGCATACCAATATGCATCAGTCTAATGTTCTAGCAGTTTGACTTGATGTATAGACTAAATTATACTGTTTTTTGTAGATTATTCACATTGTAATAATTATGTATAATAATATGGATAATTTGCTTGTCCACATGCATCATCGATACATTACATAGCCATGAGTAAATTCAACTATCCTTTCATAGTTTGGTTCAATACAATATTAAGTAGATTAAATTAATCCAAAAATGATCAGAGGAGTGCCCGCGGGTATATGATTTATCAAAGAAAATTTGTCTGTTTAGAAAAGGTGTGACTAGTTAGTTATATTTTGTTAATAGTTAATTCATGTCAGTAAAATGTCATTAAAAAATCTTTAGAAAACGTCAATAATTCAAATTCTAATTAATCAATGGAACTGTGCAAGAGGCAAGGGCGGTAATCCTGCCCCACGTTGCATGTGCATGTATGAAGAGCGTCAATTCCTCTCTGATACCTGGCTAAGTCGATCTCCATGTGCTATTTAAATATGATTGGTCCAGTTGTCAATATAATAGCAATGAATCTGGCAAAACATGCACCTTTATGACCTATACAATAAAATTGATTTCATCTTTACTATACATCATTAATTGTATACGATTGCGGTTTACTCTTGCCTTTAAACCACCCTATATAAATTTTAATCCAAATATAATCCTACATACTAATCCTACACTTAGCCCGTAATTCTAACCTCGATCCGTCGATGCCTTAACTATATCTAATTCTGAACACTAGCTGTAGAGTAAAAAATATGGGAATTTGTTTCAGTTTTTGTTTTTTATATGCCATAATTTTTGTCACTTATTCATTTTATGCCTTCCAGTCATCACCCGGGACTCATTTCTTCATTGCTGTGAAATGTTCATCACTTAGCCATGGAATATCCGCCGTCAGACTCAGTTCATTCATTATTTCCAACATTCTTCTAAAATGATATGTTTCGTTCACCAAACTTCACACTTTTTCTTTGGATTCATTGGCGATCCAGCTTTGCAGTTAAATGCCTTTGAAAATGGGCTAGAATTTGATAACGTTCCAATAACCCTGCATGAAAAAGAAATGCAATCATGCCATGCACTACGGCCACTACCATGTACGTATAAGCTTTAAAAACAGATGCATTTTGAAATCTAAAGATAAAACAGTGTATCATTTTAATAAGTCGTTGGAGTTTCCATTAAGCCACAAAGAATATTTCTGTAAATAAAACCTTTGAACTGTGTACCTGAAACGTGGTGGAGCATGTACTTCGCTCAAGGCTGATATATATTCAGTTTTTGGATTCGAAACACCACAGTATTCCTTAAGTAATATATCAAAGAAGTGTATTTAGTATTGACCGTTCTATTTACTTTTTTTGGGGGGGGGGATTCTAGTTGAAATTTCCATTGCCATTGGATTTGAATTCTTGTAGGAAATCAATCTATCTTGCACTTTTGATGTAATGGTGAAATGATGACTGCACTGGTGTTTTCTTGTGTATAATATAAACAGTAATGTATATTCAATGCCAACGTTATTTTACCTGGGCGTAACCTATGAAGAATAGCTGTTCATTATTGAAAGGAACGCCAGGAAGAGATCTCTCAACACCATTTTCCTTCAACCAATTTTTATACGCCTTAAAAAAATCATTTTGCTGAGGATATGGCGACAATCAACGTGTTAATATATACTTTGTACGAGGCAAAAATGATATTTTTCAAATATATTTTTTCGCCAAAATTTTATACAAATTTTAGTGGTGAAATATTTAACTATATATATTGTGGCCTTCTGCGACATGCAGGGATCTTTGCCACACAAACAACGTCTTCAACAAACGGTTAACGACCAGGAAAAAATTGACCCATATCCAAGACGCCCCTCTACAATGTGTTCAACGTCTTTCGTGCAAGAAGTTTTTATATGAGAATGTGGTGGCACATGCAAGTGTATTGTTTTCAAAGCTTGCTTTATTTCATTAAATAAACTATAAGGCAAAAAAAGAAAACAGACGAGAGGCTCTCGTTTTTACACAAAGCTACACAATGCAGAGAAATTGAGAATTGGAAAGAGTGTGAGAGAAATGCGAGCGGATATGAATGAAACAACGTCTTTTGTACGGTCAGTCGGTCACGGCTTGTTCATGAACATATTTCTTTTGCCAATTATTGTGACAACGAGCAACTCTCAAATATGTCAGCTGCATGATACTTTGCACTTATACACTGATGTCGGTATCTTTGTTTCTGTCAATAGTATTATTTCATCAGATTTATAATTGGAACACTTGAAAAATAGAAAAATATATCCTATCAGTGGCTCAAGGGCATGCACGCATTTTGTACGCAAGTAGCATATTTTTCCGACAAAGAAATTCAAATATGTTCAGATTGATCCTTAATTATATTTCACATAAAACACTTATGCGATGTTTCTTTACGTTATTGCCTTCAGCACTAAATCTCTCTTCAATATGCATACATCAGTTCTCTTTAGTCTTTACACCAAAGTAACGACAGGGACATGAGAGTAAAGGGACGGAAGCAGAATTCTTTACAAACGAATAAAGAAAAGAACCTTTGAATGCACAGACTGAAACCAGAAAAAGAACTTTTGAATTTGCATAAAACTATGTCCAGAATGTATTTGATTTCTAATGTCTGTCATACTGAACATTCCGTTATAACGAACGGCGTTAATGAGATGATCATCTTTATTGGATTACTTCGTTAATTAACGAAGTTAAGATTCTAATCGCTCTCGAACTCTTTACTCGAAATGATTACTTTTATTATGTCAGAATTTAGACGGTGACTGATGACAATTCCTGTTTGATAACATTAAGATTTCAAAAAACCCGTTGCATGACTAGTTTGTATGACTTATTGTTAGTAAATGTGATTAAAATGTTTTTTCAAAATCCGGAAATTACGGGAACCACTAAATATTTTAAATAATATCATTTAGAAGAGTAAAACTCATTAAAATCTTATAAATCTATCAAAATTCAAAACTTAATTGCCAGACAGAAACTTTAATGGGTATTTCATTCTTACGTACTGTGACGGAGAATGCTTTACGTTTGTTTCTCAAAAATCAGAAACAAAGAACAGGAATTTTATCACTGCAAATATTATAAGAGTTTGTAAATCACCGTGTATTCCTTCAGGCAGTTTGATAGGAACATTTTTATGCAACCGACTTTGATGTTAATTTGTATTGATTAGCAAATTATCCAGTGGATTATCACATAGTTGAAGGTATTAAATCTCATGCAGGGTATATTTTAGAAATTAGAATATAGACTATCCATCACTGAGTTTGTTGTGTATATCAAATATCCTAATCTAGTTTTCGTGCATGGCGTTCTAAGCAGATGAATCATTCATCCTAAGTGACGTCAGATCTATCATTTCCACAAAAGCTTTTTTGGAAATTCACGAAATGTTTTTGGCTAGGATCAACTAGTAAGCTCTAAATAAGCGGCTGGAGGGAGGGAAATAATTCGACGTAACGTAATTAACGTAATTAATAATTTTTGTGGCATAACAACAACTTAGAAGGTTTTAAGCTTAGTTTACGTGCTAACTCGGAGTGAATACATTGCGCTACAGAATTACATTAATGCGACGTTCATCTGATCTCAATACAACATGCTACATGTGTAATGATTAAATATTGGTCATTTGGCTGGTCGTAAAACAAACTCTTATTCATAATTTACAAACTTACATAGTATGACAGTTTTGTTCCTCCGTTATCTGCAATATTTTCACCCAAAGTGATTTTCCCATTGAGCTTAAATGTAAAACAAATATTTAAAAACGTAGACGGAAATACATTACAACTCGTAACTATGTCATAGTTTTACTCATGTTTTAAACCAGTTCCTAAATATTCTTATCCCAATTATCAACCGCTATTCCCATGACCCCTGCGACTCTTGCTCGAAGACACTCTGCATTCTGTCCCCTAGCAACCATAATGCATGCAACACATCACGTTAACACGTCGTTTAAAAAACCCTCACCGGATATTTACTTTGAATCTTGTATTTTGAATATTGTTTCTCAATGCATTTTGCTCTTTTATCAAATTCTTTAAGTGCCGATGCTTGCCACCATTCACTAATAATATTTCCATTCTTGTCGAAACGACGACCTTGAGTCCAAGTTATAAACTTTAGTAAACCACTGCTTTGTTTGAGTAAAACATATACTGACTTATGAAAGGAATTCTTGTAAAGCACTAAGTTGAATATTCTTAATGAATTATTCACCATATTGGCGTAATAGAAATAACGTTGCTAACTATTCAGGTTGTCTGAAGACATGGTAATGATGGTACAGAATACAGTCACCCCCAAATATTTTCCCAGGGTCTATACGAATTCACTGGCTAAGCCACTTACCAGTATTGTCAAAACCATGAGTTAGTTCGTGACCAATTATTGATCCTATTGCTCCGTAAGTTAGGGATCTATATCATTTGTAAAAAAATGTAAGTAGGGCCTTCCAGGCTTCTAACACCTTCCTTAGTACGCGATCATTAATATATATGCAGGAACTCCTGATGTCACGGCATTCATGGGAATATAAAACGCGCTAGGTATTAGGCTGGGGCCTTCCAAGAGAGTTTTGAGGCCTGGGGAAAAAATAGATAGCGTTTAATTTTCTTTATTCGTATGGCGCTCTATCTTCGCCCCCTCTTTTGCTCATTCGAGAGGCCCTGGATATCACGTGAAATATAATAGTCAAAAAAAATAAGACATGAAGTCATGAACATACCTGGGAACGTTTCCAGTGTAGTAAAATGGTGGTCTTAAAATTCCTGCAGGGATAACTACAGAAATATTTCGTGAAAAATAAGATTTATAGAAGAGAAAAAGATAGATATAGCATTAGAAAAATGATCCAAATTTTTACCTATCTCGTTTTCATAAAATTGATACATTGCATTGATAGTTTGTGGAAACATCGGCCATCTGTAATCAAGAAAGTAAAACTTCTCAAGCAGATAAAAAACTTCTCCGGAAACACAAGAAAGCATCTACGTACTTTTCTGCATCGACGGTTTTTCGTAGTTTTGCAAACAAGCGTTTTCTCACCCACTTGTCAACATTCACATTATTCCAAAAAAATCTTTTTGGATCAACTTCAAGCTATAAATCATAATTTTAGACGCTAGTTCGAGTAAAGATATAAAGTACAAAATTCTACCCGAAGATATCAACAACCCTCTTGTGATGCAACTTACTGATTTAAATCTCTTTCTAAGAGACCGTGGATTCTTTATATATGGAGCATATCCTACTTTACTAAAAACAGCATTTGCCTGCAGAAAAGGAAATGTTTAGACATTAAGACAGTTGTGGTACTTAAAAGGATTAATTATACATTACTTGTGCTTGTACATATATAAAAATCAGTATTTGTCGCCGTCTATGTTTAAAGCTTTTCTTAAAGGGCGGGAACCGAAAGAACTTTTCAAAGCTATAGAAAAGAAAAATTTGCGAGGAGTATGTCTATCTATGACATTATAAATTATTGAAGAAAATTTGTAAAGATTCCATTCAATTTGATTTGAAATTCTGTTAAGACAATTCTGTAATAAACGTGAAGTGCCCTCACTCGCAATAAATCAAACAAAATATAAAAGATAATTCATACCTTGTCCAAAATACCTTCAGTAGTTTTATTGTCAATCCAGTCATGATTTGTCACTCTACGTTTAAATACGTCCAAAATTTTACCAATCATTACCATAGTCTGAAAGAAATGTCAAGTCAAATTTAAGTTCTGGATTCTCCAGATAGGTAAACAATATCAGAAGAAATATTACTTACTGTATTGACTCTTGAATCATCAAAATATTTTTTAATGTACAAACTTCCAATTGGCACTCCCATGTTGTCATTAGTGATACTGGTACATGTCCTCCAGCGATCTTCGACGTCTTTCACTCCAGTTATTTTATTATTAAAGTCAGAGCGAGCTTTACGGAATGGTCGTGATAAAAGACCAACTTTCTCTCTCACCATTTGCCAAGTTATGTAGTTTGATAACAACCTTGATAATAAGAAGTCCTGTTAGTATAACGGACACACGTAATAGGGAAAGATCTCCAGGCAACCTCGCAAGCCAGGGTTTTCAATTTATGCACTCCAAACAGGTATTGAAGACACCGCGCTTGCTGGACTGCTTTTAAGTAATTTGGGACAATAAATATATTATATATTATTGAAGTCGTGAAAACTTTTTTCTGGCCCTGGGAAACTGAAAATACATTTAGTAAACCAGTGTTGTTTTCTACATTGCATGATCTAGTGGAAAACCAACTGCTTTGCACGGACCTATTCATATATAGCTAGACAGTTGTAAAGGTATGTGTTTAAATGTGAAAGGAAATTGAGTACATACGGATCAATGCTATGCAAGTAAGCAGTCTTGACTAAAGAATTTGTTGCAGTTAAATCTCGTTCCTTTAGTTTTCCCGGCATTTTGTAATAAAGATCGCCATAGGCTCTTCGAAATCGTTCCGAAAGAAGATTTACTTTTGTACGGATCATTTGCCATACCAAATAGTTTGAAAGTATTCTGAAATAGAGAGAAAAGATTCCCGTTGAAAGGGAACTGTTTCTTCTATATAATGATGCAAAAATAATTTGCTTATTTAATTAGAATCATCAGATCGCGATCGAATAAATTTTTAAATCAGAATTATAAAACATGGTGTAAAGGAAAGGAACTTGATCAATCCAAAAGTATCACTATTTTATCAATATTTCAGAGGAAAACCCTTTAAACTTTATGAGAAAGCAAAAACATTATTAGTGTTTTGTTTCTATGCATGGCTCACGTGCAAAAATATGCATAGGCAAGATAATAGCATTACATCCAGGCCACAACTAATTCTTGCTGTAATGTTGGCTTACTTTTTGCGAGTGTGTTTGATAATCTTTGCAATGTTCCGGAGATATTTAGGCGAGGTGGCCAAAACAACATCTGTCTTGCTAACGTGGGCATCAGGAAAGATATACTTTAAATGCTGTAGCCATGGGAACTAAAATGCAATAATAGGTGTCACAAAGGTATGGTTAGTGCATGGTTTAAATGGTTAAACCTTACTAGTTTTATCTGGAGCTATAATATCACCTGTGGTACTCGATGGATAAGCTCTTTTATCTTCATCCTACGATAAAGCCCTTCAGCTTTATCCTCCGCAGACGCAGTGATCTGAAACAAGATCATATAAGATAAGTTACGCTTTAAAACCTAGAGAAATTGCATTGAGGTAAGTGGGAAATGTCATAGAACAGGATTACAGTGTGTAGTGTGTATGTGGTGAAATGAAAGGACGGAGTGAGATGCTCAAAATTGCCAAAAGTTTAAACAAGGAATCATAGATAGAAGTCATCCAATTACAGTAAAATGAAGTATGATGATGTATGATGCATGCATTAGACACAGAACAGAAGGACTGCAAACCCACTGCAGTCTCGGCAGCAACGTATACAGCAGAGCAAACTAGCAGAGCTCCTCACTGATTGCAAGTGGTGAAGAAAGCTAAAACCTAAGGCTATCATGAACGGAGCACATGCTGACATGTAGCGTGATTTATACAACACACTTATGATGAAGTGTTTACAGTTTTGTTGTTTGCATGTTGTAAAACGTTTTTCTCTCGAATTACTAGTATCGTTTTTATATATTTGTGTAGTTTTTAGTGATTTACCTAAAACATGCGTTTAGATACTTACATATGCAAGGTTCGTTTCAAATTTCATCACTTGTTTCATTTGAAGTTTAGCAACCTCAGGTTTTGCTCCAAGAAGAACGGCAACTTTTGCCATGTAGTCTTCATATATCTTCACCATCTTCAATATTATATATAAACATAGTGAAAATGAAATGAGTAGAAAATAAATTAATAAAAAAACATTCAATGAATATCTTGGATTATTCATCAAGCTTAGTTCGAAATTTCCTACCTCGGGGTGCTTAAAATATATTTCTCTTTGCAAGCTTAGTCCAGACTGTTCAATCTAAATACAAATATATAAGTATATAATACAGTATAGGTGATCGCTTAATAGCTTCGGAAAAACAATGGTGGTGAAAATTATCAAAACTGCAAAATTTTACCTTTATTAAATGTCTAGTTGAATTCAAATGATCATTGGTTACTTCAACAGAAAAGAAAGGCGAAGCGGGATAGTAAAGTTTTTGAATGTGTTTCAGAACTTTATAAATATTCCACCGCCTTGCCTGCCATTTCTTCTTTCCTGCAACAGCCCAAGAACCAATGCTTTCGATGAAATTAAGCATCGGTAATGCCCCTAATCTTTCAATCTCTTCCACATCCATGCATGATTTATAAAAATGCTTTGCTTTCCTGACAGATGCTTGTTCTATAGTTCGTGAACCAATCTTGATATTGTCCTCAAGCAATCCTCTTAACTCTCTCTCAATGTGATGAGAAAGTTTTGAAAACGTGTTGAAGTCATTATAACTCTTAGGAAGTGGATTATGTTTTTTCCAGTTCCCACAAGCGAAGTTGTAAAAATCTTCACATGGATTAATGTCCATGTTTAGAGAACCACGGATGTGTTTCGCAACGTCAAGACATTCTGGTGACCGACAAACCGAAGATTTCGTTTCCCGGTGATGCTCCAGTGGTTTACGAGATATTTCTCGACGTTTCACCGAAGTATTATTATCCGAGTCCGTTGTTTCCTCGTATCTTTCTGTATGCAAATCATAATAATTTCTACCAGCAATATATAAGAGTACAGCCATTGCGGCAAAGGTCATGAGGACAGGCCCAATACAAGCCGCTCTTGGGGCCGACATATTTCTTCTTCACCGATCAAACTTCTCAGGCACACTTCATCAGATTAGGAAAAAAAGAAAACGCCTCGGGTTTCAAGTTTATAATGAAGACTCAGAAGACAAGAAACTTGATTCGTGACTTGATTTGAAATTTGTGTTTAACAACTAGTTACTTCGTGTTCATTAGAGCGTGAAAACTAAAATATAAACACCTGTTAAAAGTCTCACTTGTGAAATGAGTTTTGACCTGGTTTTAATATACGTCGCATCTCAGTCGAAGCAGTATTAAAATTCCTTGCTTATTCTCTAAAAAATTTAACCCCCCGGGCCTAGCAATTCGGTCATTTGAGGTAAGAATAAGTAAATATAACGGGACATCTTAGGAAATATGAGATTAATTGTGTAACCAAGTAAAACTATTAAAAACCTTGCAAATTATCGCAGCATCCAATGAACGAATTAGCATAAAATGCGTTTCAGAAATGATGCAAACTGCAAAAATGAACAAAATTGAAGCTAGAATTCCTAGATTGGAATTACAGAGAAAACGGGACAATATGTTAAGTACAATATTTAAATATTATCGCAAACCGTTTTATACAAAAGCGGTTTTTGTCTTAAAATAATCATAGGAATATAATTTATTTTCATCCATACTTTTCACACTTCGGCTAAATCATAGTATATTTAATGAAATCTTTAATGTTTTGTTCTTACGATTCTGTTTTCCTCTATTTCTATGTTCACACTCTGTTGAAACTAGCATTGATCTCAGAATGGCACACAGAAACTGTTCATTTGACAGTTTAAAATGCAATTGACATTCATGCAGCTCATGTACATCGTAAATACTATATACTAAGATTCTTTGTATCTTGACAATATTCTACCAAGATTTATTGTTATTTTTGTTCTAAGAACGACTGTCCACCATCTTTACTTGCCATTTTCACGTGAAATTCTTTCATAGTACTTTCTAGAGCTTGCTTGTTTCCAGAGAAGTACGCCGTGGTGGCATTATGAAATAAGAGTAGTTGTCTTTGCATTACCTTAACCTGAAATATAAAGATGAACTGATGAATAAAAATGACGTGGTATGAAACTGAAGTGTGTGGTATTTGTTGTATCATATGAAAGGTGCAAGGGGTGGTAGAGCTAGGGGGTGGGGTGCAAGATACAATTGGCAATATCACTATAGTAAGGGAAGTGGGGTGTAAGACACAAGTGGCAAGATCACTATAGTAAGGGAAGTGGGGTGTAAGACACAAGTGGCAAGATCACTATAGTAAGGGAAGTGGGGTGCAAGTTGCACATGACATTTTTAAAAAAAATAAAATAAACCCTAAGCATAGGTTAGTAAGTGTTTACTAAAATGTCTACCTTATTTTCTTCTAAGAACTTTAACTTTATAGTGAGGTCATTTCTAACTCGATCATATCTTTCTTTTTGCTTCTCAAATTCCTTTTTTGCTTCTTCAGCTTTAAATGATGCAGCAGAGGATGTTGGGGTTGTCTGGGTGTAATATTGATGATCAGCTCGGTAGGCATCAAACTCCACTCGAACCGTGTCATATGCCTTTACTGTTGCCATTGTATCTTCAATTGTTTTAGAGCATAATGTCTGCAGATTAGCTGTGAAGAAATTTAATGCTCCAAGTAAAACATCACCATTCCGTGCCAGGGTTTTCTGAGTCTCAGCATTATAGTTGAACTCGTCATGAAGATCTGGGGTCTTCAATCCAAGATCACTAAAAGCATCACCAAGACTCCGTTGAGTTAATAGCATAGCTGAAAACTGCTGAGTCAGTTGTTTTGCAAGACGTAAAATGTTCTGGTACTTTTTCTGTGTCTCTTTGAGGACTGCTACTTGACTTTCCAATTCTTCATCCACTGTTCTTGATCCTTTACCAAATTTTTCAGACAGCAATTGTCTAGTGCATTTATATGTTGATATGCTCCACTTCTTGAAGTTATCCATTTTCGCTGTAGTGTTGGACTGAACAACAGTTCCTTTACCCTCACCTATCAAGTTACTACTGCTGGAGCTATTTCGTGCATCTGGATAACTGTTGTACTGGGGACCTGGGAAATTTTTCATTAAAATTAGGTTATTTTCAGCTCAACATAAAAATTATGACAAAAATTTTATTGATTTTGATTGAAATTTACAATTTCAAAGTACCAAGAGAAAACTATTAGGAGCATCCTGCATTAAAAACCCTGTCCTATACAATTACCCATCAAAAATGGACAAAAGATATTCCCAAATGTATCAGGTTACAGCAATTCGGTAAAAACAACATGCCATTCAAGAAATCTCTCAGTGCAAAAACTGCAAATGAATTAAATATATGTACAAGTGTACACCTTGATTTGAATTAATACATATTTTAATCATGTGATGGTCACATTCTATAACAGTCCTCATCTACTATACAAAACTATGAACATTAGCCAGTAGCAGCAAAGTCAAAGGGTGCATATTAAACCAAGGACATTAGTGCTTTTTTATGACTTTATAATTCAATATAGCTCGTTTCGAATGTGAAATTCCGATTCAAAGACCTTATAAACAAAGACCGAATTCTTTCAAATCCAAACTTTGATGTTACTCTAAACAGTTTTATAGCTTACACAGCAAATATTACATTACCTAAATTAAACACGATAGTCAAAACTAGATATTAAAGTGACTATCCCGCTTCACATAAAAAATTTAAAATAAATTCAGGCAATTATTTATACCTCTATTTGTATCATGAACTGACGAACTTTCCTGCAAATCTGTTGCAACTCTCAACATATCTTCCATTCTGGTAATTGTAGGACTATCTGATAAATCTATAGTAGCAGTACCATCTGAATAATCGCCATTTAAAGCCGTTTCTCGTACTAAACTATCATCATCAACTGTGCTTACACGTTGAACAGAAGCCATTCTACACGACCACGACTCACAATTAGTGACGTGCTCACATCCGGGACATATACAATGACGTAATAATTTTGAATCATATAAAATGATTTTTAAATCATAATTAAATGGTCTTTGGTATTTAATAGTTTTTAATTTAGCTTAGTGCATAGTTTATATAATAGCATTGAATCGTTGAGTTATATGCTATTCATTATATTCTATATAAATTACGCGACATAATGCGACATACTTATTACTTACTGCGCGCGCGGTCAAAAAAGATGAAACTAGACTGATAGTTTTTGATTCATTAAAACCTGATTGTTAGAATCCTATGGCTAACTGCGCACACGTCATCCAACGGTAAGAAAATAAGAATGCATATATATATAAGGAAACCATGGTAATTAAGAGTAAAAAAAACAATTCACGATATTTGAAAAAGAGGGTATATATAGACCTAAGACAACAACTCATTCCTCAGTGTCAGATGTCTAGCCTCCGTCATGTGATTCTGGGGCAATGGTTTTGCCAGTGTTACTATCCATGAAGAACGTTTGTGAGAGTCAGCTTATATTCAAACGCAGGAATTGCATTGTATTATACCGCGATTAAATTGTAATAACCAAATCTTTTAAACTGTTCTGACCCTCTTTCCCACTTCAAAGTTCAAAACCAACATATAACACACAATTAATGTAGAACACACACTTTTTTAATTAAAACTAACGAAGGAAATGCACAATAAAATAATCGACAAGTGATGCAGTTTTTGCTATAGTCTAGTGCTAATTTATTTCAGCGACAACAAATGAAATTTCTGTACTGACCTCTGTATGGCTGAAATTTCTTTAGTATTGGCACCACGTCAGTATTTGCCACAGTCTTATTCCCCATAAAATATTTTAAGCTTTTTCAGAATTGACAACAAGTACTAACCAAATTTGCAATAAATTTGAATATCAGTATCTTTGTGGTATAAAGTTACTTTGTTTAGCCGTCACCTGTCTATCTTCAAAGCAGACAACACAAAAGATATCTTCCCGATACCTGCAATAGTTCTGGTTGCGGCAGATATAAAATGAGGTCTACTATAGCACTATAGTAACTATACGTCAGGTACAATAAAAGATAACGGTATGCTCATATTTTCAAAAGTCAATGCAAGTTACAGGACAACTATCTTTCGCTAGAGAGCGCAAATTATATTTCTATTTTTCAGCTAGGAAATTCAGCAGAAAGATGGATAGTGAAAACACCTTTTTAAAACACACTTTAACAGCTCATACGTGGAAAAACTTTTCAGTTGTCATACCTACATGACAATGAAGCTCGCATTTTTGCTGTTCTCTTTGCCAATCCCTAACTTGATGGAAAATACGGAAATGTTTCTTATCTCTCAGCTCACTGAAAAACATACATGTCTTGACAGAAATGAATGTGAGCTTGTAGACCGAATATACATTTTATGTATTCTAATAATATAGATGACGAGGTACATTTCTTATTATCCTGTTTAATTTGCAACAAAAACCCTTCACTGACAACCAGTTCTTAGTACTTCTCTTATGATGAACAATGTCGGCGAGATATAAAAATATATTACGACAAAATATTTCTCCAACTTTATAATATGATTCAGTATACATACACCACTATTTACAATTTCTTATGACTATTATTTATATAATTGAAATCCTGCAGGCTCCAAAGGCCTCGTTTATGAGTGCATGATATATCGATACTCATCTTTCCACGCAAGAAATGAGAAGCATTTGGATAACAGAGCATCATGAAAACAAAACCATTGGATTCGTTTATGTCGATGTTTTTTATCGAGGGTCGGTTTTAGATGGAAGCCATATTGGCAAACGTTACACTTATCATAATAGATTAACTCAGTCAATGAATTCCGTTTGAAAAAAGTAGAGAAACGCATTCTATATATTGAATTCTTTCACCTGCATAAACTTTGAAAAAGAAGCTACACTGATTATAAATTCTTATATTATTTAGCGCACTTTTTGGGTGCGTCAACCAGTACAATAAACAACGAGGGTTCTCGGATCCAAGTTAGCCTCTACAGCAAGCAATTTTAGTGCATATTTCAACCCTGGGTATATTACTATTAGGCTCTTGCAATATGGCGAATCTTACACACCATCATGAGTGGAAAAGCTGTATATTCAACTGAATGCTAGATATCCAGGGAGTCTATGACCTTTCTAAAATGACAGACAAAACTGTGAGCATCTCAGCTTGTTGGTATGCCTTTGAGTATTTTAATTTTCCATCTAAAATGGCGGACGACTGCATTTACGAACTATATATAAGGTTAGTTGCAGCACCTCATAGGATTACTGGAATGTCAAAGATCATGTCTAATTTATTTACAAATAGAGAGCCCTTCAGTGCATGTTATATATAATTATTTTTCCGTGCTATCTTTATACTGTCTAAATATGTTAACTACACTAGCATTTCCCACCCATTCTCATTCGAATGTGTCAGCGTAATCTTCTCCTAACATTTCTTTAAGTCTTCTAAGAATCAGCCCAAACGCTGGTCGTTGTTCGGCTTCCTAGAGTCAAAACAACTTTTTGTCAACCTGCATATCTAAAATGGAACTTATATGCTTCTACGAGCAGTGCACTCAATTTATTGCAAAGCCCATTGGTTTGGATACAGAAATTACATTTCTTATGCTATTCATATTAAACATAAGTAAAAAAATATTTACCTGGCACCAACATGATTGCATTACCCTATAAATATCTTTTGGACATTTCTCTGGTTGTCTTAACCGCTCGCCTGACATGATCTAAAAATTTGATCAAAACAGTGGATCTTAATTTTTATATTGATATATGGATTCTAGAGGATAATCAGGCAATGTGGAATATATCATTCGCACCATAACATTATATTAACTAAACCAACACTGAACTACACCAAGTATTGTTCCTCAGTTCTCACAACGGTTGACAAGGCGGTAGAGGTCAACTCTAAAGAGCTGAGTCGTGTACAAAGAAGATAATAATACTATTCAATATAAACGTTGACTTGAAATATTCCAACTTACAAAATTAACCACTTGAGAGTTACCCATGGCAGCATAAGGCGAGCTACCGGCGCTGAACACTTCCCACATCAAAACACCTAAACATTAATGGAGTGGCTGGTGAATATAACCACGTAAACTTCTTACTTTTTCATTCGTGGAAACAGAATACGCGAAGTATTGATTCTCACAAGTGGAAGTGTACTGAAAGTGTATCTTACCGTATGCCCAGATATCAGACTTGCTACTAAATTTACTGTACATAATAACTTCTGGAGCTGCCCATTTTATTGGAAACTTTGTTCCTTCTGAAGCCGTGTATTCATCGTCAATAACAAACCTTCAACGAAATAAGATGTAAAAGACGTGGTGATAAGATAGAAGTGATCGTAAATAAACTCTCGATCATAGGAAACGCACCTGGAAAGGCCAAAATCACAAACTTTAACCAAACGATTTGCGCCAACGAGACAATTTCTTGCAGCCTATAAACAAACAAATACAAGGATTTAGTCATATTAATTACAAGAACCAAACCAGGATAAAACAATCGTAGAGAAGATGGTTATATACTACACGCATAACACACTGACCCAACAAACAAGGATCAAACTTACCAGGTCTCTGTGAATAAAATTTTTACTTTCCAAGTACGCCATTGCAGACGCGACGTGAATAACCATCTCGGCTGTCACAGTAATTTTACGAAGCACCATTTCCCGATTCTTTCGCAAATAATTTAGAAGACAACCTTAAAATAATTTGTTCTGAATCGTTAATTGCTTCACGAAATTTTTAGCATGAATGAGGTTTAACTTCTCTAATACGTCTCACTGAGAAAAGTGGTTAATTTCTGACAACCCTTAAAAACACATTGATTATATCGCTCATTCTTATAATTATTACGCCTAATCTATATCGAAACTATTTGCTTTTTAATGCTGGATATCACTTAAGCTGAACGGGTCGACTTCAACCAGTAATTTCCTGGTTCGATTTCCTGGTTCCTCAACCAGTAATTTCCTGGTTCAATTTCCTGGTTCCTCGACAAACAGTAAGTCTTATATTCTCTTACCATTTGGAACAAACTCGGTCACAATATAGATTGGTGTCTGACTACAAATTCCATAAAGCTGGACGAGATTTGGATGATGGAAAAGTCTAGATTATAGGAATAAAATTATGTTAAACAAGCACAATAAAAGTCTCTTATGTACTAAAAGGTTAAAACGTCTTTATTTATTAAAGAAGATAGAGAAAACCTGGAAACTAGGATGTCCCAGAGGTATGCTAGCTAAGACTCTGAACTGCCCTCCCCCCCTGCCCCGACAATATTTCAAATACTGCTTGTTCGTTGAACTGTCAAATTAAGAATTATAATTACTTCATAACTTTAGCTTCCTCAATAAAATCTTGCTCGGACATTGTACTTGGTTTCATCATCTTCACTGCCACTTCAATTGAGTCTTTCCATAAACCACGCAACACACGCTAACGGAGAACAAAACACTTAATAAATAAAATATTTATATCTGCATGCTTCATCTGCATGCTTCATCCTACACGAAGTTTAATTGGCTCGTTAGATTTGCGGAGCCAATCAAACTTCGCGTAGCATCAGGCTTTCTGCGTTTGACGTCATTATGAGAAAGGTCTATGTCTGCTGTGGAGTTCCCTCATCTGCTTACCCCAAACTGTCCGGTTCCAATTTCACTGCCAAGGTGAATTTCTGAACGATTAATTTCCCATTTGTCTGCAAAACGTTATCAAATATCATAAACAGTCATCATTTGCTGTTTTAAAGGCATTTCCTAATTTAGAATTTCGCATTACGGTTGCAATCACTCTCTCAAGTCTCAATCACAGTACTTGGCTTGCACTGTGATAATGCTATCCTGAGTTACCCACCAGACAAGCTAAAATATTAACTTGACCACGAGCTTTGGTTTACAATTATTAGTTGAAATAATGAATAATTACCGTGTGCTAATCCCACCGTGGGAGGACTGTTATCTGACGCTGGTGGTTGTCTCAACCTTGTCACAAGTCCTTGAAAAACAATCATAATTCATATTCAGCTACTGCATTTACTGAATAAAGTAATAAACAGCAACAATTTATTTGCCTTGCAATGAAACACGCCCTTTATTCTTTACCCTTCCAACCAGGTGTGTGTTACACACTGTGTCAAGGTCGTGAGTGGAAAATCTCACAGGTAATCCAATGCAACAACTTAGAGCAGGAAAATTTTTAAAGAGACGCTATGGACAAAAATTTTATCTTCTAGGGTGTCGAAACTAGAAAAAAGTTTAGATAAAAACACCTGCGTCTTACCCAAATTTTCCCGAAAATATTAATTCATTACTGAGTAACATTTGTAATGAACTGAAGATAGAGAAGGAAGAGACAGAAGAAAGATTGCCTGGTGATCATCCAGTAATTTCTTAAGAACTATTGTAACAATTGACCTGTGAATACCTCCACTGTTTAATTTATGGTATTCGATGAGCTCTGGGATTGTTGGAAAACTGTGTCTTGCTGATATTTTATAGAAGTTGTTTTCGTCTTGTTTGATATGATAATGTTTCACACTGTCACCATGTCTTCTCAATGTAAATAACAAGAAATAAGAGAAAGATAAGAGAAGATGGAGGAATGACGAAGAAAACTTTGTACTCTACTTAATACTCACAAAACGGACAGAGTGTACAGGCCTTCTTTACTTGAGTTTCGGACAATAAAACAACCCTCTTTTCCCTTTCAAAATACAAAAGTAGTGAGTTTACCCCAACCGACTAACATACAGTTATTTACAATTAAAGGGTTTAAAGGGTCTTAATTTCGAGTGGAATAAAAAGGGAAAATGAGTCAACTATAGGTCCTCCAAACAGGAATCGAACCAACGCTTTTGCGATGCCGGTGCACTGGTCTTGCCAGTGAGCGATAATTATCGCATCGCAAAAGCGTAGGTTCGATTCCTACCGGAGGACCGATAGTTGATTCATTTTCCCATCAACTGTTCCTGGCTTGAATTTGAAGTGTGTATAATTCCACTCGAAATTAAGACCCTTTAAACCCTAGAATTTACGTGCATTGAGTGAAGTGCCAAAAATCTCAGTTAATTACAATGGTCTGAAAATTATATGAAAAACAACGAAGAGAATAGATTTACCTCTTTAATTAACATGTCTTCAGCAACATGCCTCATGATATCACCAAAATACCAACTAAACAAAGCAGAATGTTCATACTGTGGTATATATATAGTACACAGTCTGTATCTGACAAAAATCAATAAACAAAAAACATTAAAATGGAAACCTACACTTCAGTTCCTAATCCTTCTTTTGGACGAACATAATTAACTGGGATATAACCTTTTCTCCTACAGCAGAACAAAGTAGACCATTTTTTATTTACATAATAATTTTGCCTGGTTTGACAATGGAGTAAAAGGAAATCACTCTTACCCGTATCTGTCTTTTGCAAGACACCAATGTTCCCCTTCACATTTCAAAATTGTAAATTCATCTCCCTTGAATATGATTTAAGTGAATATATGTTTAATTTTTATAATCTTGTTTCCTCACAAGGATTCTATTTTGAATTCTGTGGTAGAGATGAACAACAGATTGGTTCTTTAGTAGCATTTGTCTATCAAATGAATACAATCTACTCTACTAAAATCACATACAGCTTACCTTTTCAAAACTGAGGTCATCACTTTCCTGCCCTTTGAAACTGTATAAAGCTACAACATTTGGACCCTAAAAATACATAAAACGATGTAAATAAGCCTGTTGCAAATACCTTTAATAAATAGAGAAAAAAACATTTAATAAAAACCTCCTTTCCCACAGGACGTCCTGGTAATGGTGGTAGTGGTTTATCTGCAAAATTATTTCCTAAATGAATAGAAACAGTAAAAACATGATTTCAGCCAGATAAGTCCAGGAATGCTGTTATGAATACAACTTATGCAGTTATGAATTTTGCAAAGGCAACAGAGGATTTCCATAAAAGGAAAATTATTGCATATTGGGAATTTTCACCAATCATAGTTGCAAGTTGTTGTTGGCTGTTTAATTGATTTCTTAATGATGATTCAAATTCATAATGAATAGTTGACAATGTGAATTCATACTGATTGCACCATATACAACAATTTAATTTTTTCACACTTCTTTATAAAGACTGAAAGGCCAATGGCATTGCATTGTTGCCCCCCTTCACCCAAACATAAAAAACATACTATTTCAAATGGCTACATTGAATGGCTTCCGGTACAGGTTAAGTACCGTATGATCCAAATTTCCTTACCTTTTTTCTCCAATGAAATAAATGTTTCTCTGCAACCAGGAACTGGTTTGTCAGGTTTATTACAACATGTCCATAGATTGTTCACATATGCTCCAGAATGGAAATATGACAGCAGAAACTTGTTCTTTCGACATTCTGTATTTAACATGATAATATCAAATTCTTTACTCTGTACTCATGAAAGTGGTTAATACCAGTACTTCAAATATGTTCTATTCATGTGGTATAACAACTGTGTAAAAGACAAAAACATCTCATCAACATTGATAGTTGTTGAGAAGTGCTTTTGTCTATTTTAGGCAGTTATTGTAGCACATTTGATGCACAGTTATCTGAAGACACTGTCACGCTGTTCCTTGGTTGTATATTGGAGCATCTTATTACAGTTTAGTGTTCACTGCAAGGCAAAGAGTGTGGGCATTCGCTCCATAGTTTTTAGTCTGGAGAGCTGAACCAGAGTCATAGGCCTGAAGTTAAGAGACTTATATATAATAAAATTTTATTACCATCTTGAATTGCAGCAATCCATTCAGATTTCTGTTGTTCATTATTTGCAATAATGTATAGAATATATTCATGATAAACCACCTACATAAACATATTCAAAAATGGAATGTAAATATGTAACATGTTGTCAATATGCAAGCCATATCACATCTTCATACAAAAAGGGATGGAATGGAAACTTAAAAACAAACATTGTAGCACACAACTTGCTTTGGTAATTATTTGCACAAAATTGGATTTATGCACATAATCATGACCATAGAAAGCTGTGCATATTTGTTCCTGGTTTATGAAAGATTACTTACGATAAGTGTTGATAAGCATTCAAATATTTATAGCCATGTTGTACTATAAAAGATAGTACCTAAAATTGTAAATACCTGAAAGCAATGAGCTTTATCAAATGCGTTATCATCAACAGCTTCAACTGCTTTCACTTTGATAAGTTCAACTGTACCCTTCATTTTGCCACGTTTCTATAAAATATTTCAAGTATATATGTAGTACCAATTCGAGTTGTGTTGAGCAACAAGAAAAACATAATAGAAAAAAGGGATAGAGGGACCAATACTGGTACTCATTTTAAAAAAGTACTCAACAACCAATGAACCAGTTAATGGCAAATTCATGTGGTATGTATCCATAGGGATTGATGTTAATTGTAGAAAACTGTAGGAAACTCTGTTAATTACTAATTCCTTTGAATATCACCTGTTCTAAGCTAATGTACACATTCCAATCTTTGAATAACGATAATGTTACTAATTTAGAAAAACTGTGAGGTCAAGCATTAGAGTAGGTCTGTTCTGCATGCCAACACACTGCAGTACAGAAATTAGACCTAATGATTCTTAACTATACATCTAAACTATACATGCATCCCTAAATTCCCAATATTATGAAGACTGGAGTGAAGAGGAAATTAACAAACAGTTTAATTATAAACGAAGCCTGTTGCATCAAAATACAATTAAGATTACCTCTTTAGTGCCTTCATAGTACTGTAGTTGCTTAGGTGTTAATACAAACACGCGTTCTTTGTAATTAACAGCGGTCAAAATCTTCTTTTTCCCTTGCGAACGTTTCAACATCAAATCGATTTTAATTTCTCTGTCATCCCCGCTCTCAAAATATGGCATATTGATGGTAGATTAGGACATCGTTCTGTTACCACATCACTGATTTTCATATATCTTGGTCATATATCCAAAACATAGTTTTTATAAAACATGCAGTAAGAAATATTTCCAGAATTATTCTTCTAAGGAATATCCATTGAAATATGAAATATTGTCTCAGACTCTAATGGAGTTTACGGAAGTGTGAATTTCGCCGACGCGTCCGGGAAGCGAAGCGGGCATGCAGGTTAAAACGTTTTGAGAACAACCATCCACCATGTAAAACATCAGCATTTAATTTGAAAATTTGTATAATTATTTCAAATCCTTTTTTTAAGGACAGAAATTTTAAAAAGGTGTTCTGAGTTTCTATTATCCTTAATTTCACTAATCAAGTTTCAGAAAACGATATTTTTAGGACCCCCATGGCTCGCACCTTTTGCCACCCTCACATCTAGGCCAAGTGACTCGACTTAATCTTTTGTGTGATAATCGCCCCCTTTATTTCAGAGATTGTTTCACAGCATGGTACCAACATACCGAAAATTTCTTTTTCGTTATTACTGTAGTTAGGAATTTTTTAGGAGTTTCACTTTGAAGTTTGAACTGACCAATGAACGTAGCGAGAATGAGGATATGATATGACTCCCCAATCAATTTGCAATGTCAAAAGTTGGTCAAATGCTTTGTTATTGGTCAAAGTTCGAGTGGATTCGTCAAGTTATTCGTCATGTAATGCTTATAATATAATTCAATTTCTGATTTCTAAATAAATTTTAACAGTGATTGAAAGTGAAATAACAACATCTTGAACGTTAGTATGACTGTACATAATCTCAAAACCCGTACGACTTACAGTTCTTGCTTTCCCTTCACAGGTTCTTGAAAATTAGATGAAAAATATCGTTTTTTAAAAGTAAACACTAAATCTGTAGTAAATGTTTTTACATCTTGTAAAACGTCAGAGACTTTTTTGCTTGCCGTCTCTAAATAAGGGCTCAACGTCTTCTTTGTTTGTTTAAAACTGGAGTTGATTTGATCAAATGCTGGCTTGGCGTACTCTAAGGCTTTATCTTCATAGAATGAAACATCTATTGTTCTTCCAGTGTATTTAGTATATCCAGTTGCAGCAAGACCAAGAATGCTCATTACAAGTAAAACTAAGAGAATGTTCAATGCCAAACCTAAACCAGGTAATCTACAGTTATAAAAAATGAAATTAAACTACGTTAAATATATCCTTTATCTCCAGATAATACAGTTGTTCAGGACAGTCAGTGAACAGTATAGTTTTAAATAGTAGCTCAATCAGTAACTGCCAAACTTTTCAAATTGACTAAATACTTTCAAACATTAACTGGTGAAAGATCGTCTGCAAGCAGAGGAAATTAAAGCTTGGAAACTAGATTGATAAAATGTGTATAATTTTTGTAATTGTGTTTGGCAAAAATTACAGGGATAAAACTAGACAATAATTGTTGTGTGGAATCATAGAGGAGATATCGGGATATATACCAAGCAGAATAAACATACCTCCTTTCACCTGCTTCTGCGTATCCATAAAAATACTTATATCTTGCGTATAGGTAGATCAAACCTATTATTGATGGTATAGCTGGGGCAAAAGGAAGAAAAATGTAAGTGAATAATTCTAATGCAAATGATAACACTTCACAACATCATTCAGTACAGAGCCAGAGGGAACTTAAATATGATACCATGATGTAGGAATATGGAGCTTATCCAGAGCAAAGTAATAAAAATTGGATAAAATTCCAGTGTGTTTTGCCTAAAAACAAATGAAAAAACACTCATTGCGTTTATTTTATGGAATACGTTGTTTGTCGTGTTGGATTCGTGGGTTCCTGCCAAAATGAAGAAACTGCATCATGTATGGCAGCAACCTCCTCAAGATGAGAATATTATTTGAATACATCCTAAGATATAAACACCGCAGTGCCTGGAATCCAAATAAAAGAATGACAGCTATAAAAACGAACTTACTGAGCTCGAAAAATTCTGGTAAAATTTGGGTCACCATCAGTCTTTGGTACGGGGATCTACAATTTTAATTTTTAAGTTATTAATTTTTGTATAATAAATATGCAAAGAAAAATTTTGACGGCTGTGTTGTTTATGTAAATACCCTGCATACATTGCGCTTTGTTGGGACTGACTCGATAATTCAACGTCAACGGAAAAGCGGAGGCAACTGATAGACGTCATCAGAGCCTGAGGCAATCAACGTCAACGGAAAACCCGAGAAGGCAGCTACGCTATTGTTTGCACAAATTAAAATAGTTGTTTATAGTTTTATCAAAATAGATTTGAATACTGGCACGCATTTCGTCCAAAAGACGTGTACATGCATACGTATTTAATTAAAATACCCACATACAGTAGGTACTTATAGTAATGACGATTGGATATACTCGCTTGCTCGTTGGAATACAATAACCGGTATCTATAATATATATGCCGATCTTTTTGCTAATAAAGCAATGTACATTGGTTTTAAAATTTCCTAATCACCAAAAGAATTTTCTTAAAAAGCTCACAATCTACGTGTAAAGGCACAGTGTATGTGGTATACCATATTAGCTGTGCCTTGACACGTAACGCCATTAGTTGTACGAATCTTTGAACAATGAACAAGGCGTACGGTAGTCAGGAACTACGTAAAAAATGACTACACAAGATTTCTCGTCTGACTAACGGGTGTAGTTCAACGTTGTTTGTTCCGCAACTGATTATTCTTAACTGATTATTCCATTAACCTGACGATTTTGCATGACCCCCTGATGCATGAGGGTGGTCCATGCGTTGGCCAATGATCAGAAAGACCTGACCGATGGTACCATGCATAACGCATGATTATCACGCATGATGCTACATCTAAATTGAACCAATTCCTATAAATTCAATTGGTATTTCTAAATTTTAATACAAGATTAATAAAGATGAAAGACCTCCAACCTAGCTGCCACAACATTTTATCTTACACACTTGTGATTGACAAATCATGCTGGGAAGTCTTGTTTCAGGCGTAGATATAAGAAGCATTATAAAAAATTAAAAATATACCCTGTACTTTCCTCTTGCTTCGCCGACTCTCCTGGTAAAACGAGCTGTTTAAAATCATTAATGATTGACTGTCAATGTCATCCATACATAAACAGTAAATGCAAAAGAATGGCATGCGTGTTGTCACACTGTCTGTTGATTCAACCCTGAATTAGCGCGATCCCGCATACTTCACTAAATCAAGACGTCTAGTAAATTTAGTTTGGCGAGGCCTGACTAGATGTACTACAACTTTAAATCTCTAACCATACAAAGACTCAACTTCATTCCATTAAATATGGTCAGATTTATTGCTATTTATTTATATAAATATGAAACCTAGGCTCAGTAGAAGCAGGGCAATTTATTATTACGTTAACAGCTTGTGTATGTTTATAATGTTTGTAATGTTAATCTCAGTTGAAAGTTACGAAATATTTCAGTGCAACTGAATAACGCGATTTTAAACAAGAAATGGTATTTGTCTTACCAAGCTGAAGAGCGCCAATAAGGCTTACTATGGCAGGATAGAAGATGTTTTCTCGACTCAGTACATCGGTCATGATGAAATAGTTCTTACATCGAGACCTTTCGAGATCGATATCGTGATTATACTTGGCCTCAACATCATTGGAATTTTTCTCGGTAGGCGGTGCATAGTTTAAATGTAAACATAGTCATTTGAGGTTTAATATTACATCTTTGCCAAACTGACCAAGTTGATTCTTAAAAGGTTTTTCATGTTTAAAAATTGTACACGGATCTACAGTATGACTATAAGTTATAGGACCTATAAAGTTCGAAGTGATAAAATATAATTGCATGAATTCAAATTTGACTGAAATATGTCAAGTTATATTAACAACCAGTCATTAAATGTATTAATCTTTTTTACCTCTTCAAAGAGCCGGTATATATGCAATATAACATAAAGAAACCCTTTTATTGTTTTGAATTTTGATATTTCACAAGAAAACGGGGCTGCCATTATCGAACCTACATATTGTTCAGACAAGACTATTGATAGAAAGTTTAAAAACACCGGCAATGAATTTGGCATGGCCATGGGGTCTATATTTTCACAGGACTAAACACTTTGTTTGTTTTCAAGTAATAAAAAAGTTATTGAAGTTTTAATACTTTCTCGTAATAATTTGTTCGATAATAGTTGTTTTAAGTCCATAAAATTTTACTGAAAATATTCGTTGTTATATTCTTTTTAAACTGCAGTAGATAAAACAATGTGAGATATATTTTAAAGAACTGTATTCAATGATAGAAATGAATTGTACTTGGATTTCTCGTGTAAAAAACTACGAGTTTGGCCGGGCATTAGAGCTGATTGAATCTCAAAGACTAGCCTTCTCATGCACTGTAGAGATATTTTGATTATATACAAACTTTATTATATACAGGGTATTTCAAAAAAGGCTTTTTTTGAACTTACACAAGTTACTACAGTGATTGAAAGAAGCAATTAACATCATGTTTAAATACAGTAGCTATGTGAGCACACTTGACAAGCACACGTAATAAAGAATTTCGGCTAACCTTAGTTTAAAACTGTCTAATAATTTCAAAGTAGAAATTTATAGTGGCCTTGTGGTTGGGTGTCACAGTGTTCATGCAAGCTAACATGGTAAAAATTGCCGCCCGGGGAATGATTTCATTCCATACTTTGCTGTGTGCTCCACTACGTCATTTGTTACGTCATTTGTGACGTCAGTTGTTACGTCATTTGTCATCATTATTCTCATTTTGTTGCGTTTCTTTTCCCGTAGCTTCCAGTTCAGCATCCAGTCTTTCCTTAGCGCGAACCACCTTCATTATAAACACGATTTATATAATCAGTAACTATGTCCCCCAGGCCCGGACTTTACAGTAAAACAAATGGAATGTTCTGCTATGACTGAGGCCAACAGTATGCTAAACACGTTTCAGACGTCGAACTTTTCATGTGTCTAAGTTATCTTGAAAATGAGTTTTAAATAACTTTGTTTGTCGCTTTCTGCTTACCATCATAGCTCACAATAATAATATAAAGCTACAGTCAAGTACATCGTGTACTGCAGAATTTTACAGTCCAGACGTTGGTTTCCACCCAGGAGTTCAGAATACGTGGATACAATACGGTCAATACGTATGTTACAAAGCAAGATTATCCCTCAAAAACAATACAACATAAAACGTACCTTTGACTGTATATAAAACGACCCTCCACCAGACTTTTCATTTACTTTAAACAAATGATCATAACTCTAAACAGAAAATAATAAAATACATCAAGATTAATTAAGATGAATCGCCACTCTCGACCAATCAAAATCTGTGAACTGCGATGACTTGTGAACAATATTGAGATGTCGACGAAGTGCATTTAATATTTAATATCTATTTGATCTTATCTATTCTTATATGCAGCGCAGCATATCTTTTCCACAATTTCCTTCGTTCCAGAACTGAATAAACTGAACTTCTCCTAATTATTACAACTTCAAATCCCATCCATCATTTGATTAGTGTATATCAACGCAGTTATAGCTCTTTACGTTAGACGTGATGTATATAGGTAACTATACAATGATTACAACATCCACTCACTTTAGTAATTGCTTCTTTGTCAATTGTTTCCACATTTAGAATTTGTTTGGCTTCCTCTAATGATATTCCCATCATGCTGTTTGTTGTGGCTCGTTTCGCTCCTTCTTTTGCAGTTTTGGCTGCACTTTGAGCAGCTTGTCCTCCTGAACAATTTTAAATGATAAACATTACATGTGCATTGTTTAAGGAATGTTTCTTTTTTTGTGAAAACATCCAACTACTAAATTTTCACTACAATATCATATCACCACCGAGAACCATAATTTCTCCCAAATTGTACTTGAAATATTACATCTCTCAATTCTGACAGTCGACCAAAAATGAAGGAAAAGGTATGGATATATATTTTACAGAATATGACAATGTGATGTTAATTGTAGGAAAAGGATGAAAAGGTGATCATTGGTATTGTGTCTCCCTTCATTAGTGGTTTTATTCTCACTTTTTGGGCACAAAACATAAAGCCATAGTATTGAGCTAACAGTGCTAGCAGGGCCATTGCTATGAGGGAGGTGTGGGGGTGTGATTCCCCTTAAAAACTAGTTGTTGGCAAATGACCATCACAGGACCTTTCGTTACTGTTTAGTTTTTTGACATTGTAACTAGTCTAAACCCAACATTTATCATTGAGTCCCAGCATTTTCATCAATATACAGGTAAAGTAAAGATGTCAATTTTCAAAAATTTAATTATGTGTAATAATGTAGTCAATTTAGAAAAAACCACACCGATTGATCACACCCGTTTTGTTGGCATATCGGATATTCACCCCCCCCCCCCCACTTAAACTGCTTAGCGACAGCCCTGGCTATTTGAACACTTGGATTTATTTCAAATATGTAGCCTATTGGAATTCCTATTCTCACTGTCACCACATTAATCACTTTTAATTGGAAGTAAAGTATACCATGTACAAAACATACTTTATACTGTATAACATAACCCACAATGCATTTTGATTCAAGATAAGGTTGCCATACTAATAACAATCTGCTAGCTTAGTTACCATTTTTTGGCAATGCCAGGGTTTAAGAGGATTAACCCATAACCTAAACCCTAAGTATTAACTAGTTAGTGTTGGTATAATTGAGGTTGGGATCAGAAATGACGTCAGGTGTCAGCCACAAGGCACATCCATGATTGTCAAATTGTTTCATGTTATCAAGGGGATATCATATCACACAACACTTTCCTTGCTGCGACCGCTCTAATATACTTTATGATTTTTCTTAGTTTTTTACTAACTTTGAAATTCCTGTCTCAATGCTTGAGTAAAAGCTCGTGCTACCACTTGTCCACCCAGGACGATTATTTGTGCTATAAACCTCGCCTAAATAAGATATGAAAATTGAGTAAAGAATATTAAATAAGTAAAGCATCAAATCATCTTACCATTTAAATATGTTTTGTCAGTAAAACATGACTTTGCTAAGATTAATTCCGCCTGATCGGGAAACGTTTTTTCACAATTTCTTACGAAATCACACTGACGAAATACGTTGTAAGATAGCGCAATACTTCATGTAAATCAGAGGTTGATATCGCGGGCCAATGTTCCAATTTCCAAACATTCGAATCATTATTCATTACGTGTAATAATAAAACAGAAAAATATTTAAAATGAGCAAGATAAAATTCACTAAAGAAGATCTGAAAAATAAATTGGAGGGGAATGTACTTGATTTAAGTATGTCTGATCTTTCTAAAGTACCAGTACGAGAGTTGGTAAGTTCTCCAATACTATTTAATAGTTTTTATGAAATAAATCGTATTATTAAATAGAAATTATTTAAATATAATATAATTCTTATTATTTTATCTTTCTAGGCAGCATTGCCAAAAGCCACCTCGCTTGATTTATCATCTAATATACTAACAACCTTACCTGTAAGTGTCTCAGCCTAAATCCAGGACAAATGACAAAGGTCTCTAAATTACTCTAATTGGGTCAGGATTCAGGAGATACAAATTCAGTGAATTAAAAATTTATTTGCCTTCTGAGTTGTAATTCACTGAATTAGTATCTCATGCTGTGGTGTAGCCAGCATCGGTAATTAGGGGGGGCATTCATATATTCATGTTAACAAGACAATTGATTTGAAAAGAAATTAATCCTGCATATTACAAATATATGAATATGGTCCCCCCCCAATTATTGTGCTGGCTACGCCACTGATGAAAATACTTATCTAAAAATACTGATTTATAAATGTTGTCCTTAATTCTATGTAAGTGTGCTTCATCATGTCCTGCAAATTGTTGTTAGGATCCATCCTTAATCATCGACATGACTTTGTTGACCTATCAATTTGAATAATGTAGTTCTCCTCAACTAATCAGTGAAGGTTCCTGCGGTTAGACAGAATATGATTTCAAAGAAGCACAGGTTAATACTACTCTATTTTCTTATTTTTTCACAGGCAACATTCTCAATGTTAACCCATTTAACCACATTAGACCTAAGCCAAAATACATTAACTGAATTGCCAGATGAATTTGGTCAGTTAGTTAACCTGTGGAGACTTGATTTATACAGCAATAAACTGACAGAAATGCCAGTGAGTTGTGTGCACCTTAAAAGATTAAAATGGCTTGATTTGAAAGAAAATCCAATCCAAGCATTGTTACCAAAAGTGGTTGGAGACTGCCTCAATGATGAAGAGTGTAAACGCTGTGCTGCTAACGTAAGTGTATTTACAAAATGTTGCAAATATCAAACATGTGATTCTTAATGTTTACAAATTGTCATCAAGATAAAATCTATTCTACTTTGCATCTAGATGATTGCACATCTCAAAATGATAAATTCTGAACAGGAAAGGAAAAGACAGAAAAAGTTGAAAGTAGAAAGAGAAATTGAAAAAGGTATTTCCTTAACTTTTCTTCAGGAAAACTCCAAATAATTTCTCTTCATTGTAGTACTGTATATGTAATTAATTGATAATGTATTATTTTATTCAAAACTTGCTTGATTGTGTCATGTTCTACCGTTTCTTAATTAAATATAAATAAAGGTGGAACAAAAAATTGTGAACATGAGATTTCAGAAGAAAACAAAGTATCCATATACAGAACAAGTCAATGATAATAACCTTTTTGGTGACAATAGAGAGTTCTTAATATTCCTTGGTGTTCAATGCTCATCTAACAGGATATTTTCTCACCTTGACTCCTCAATGGTCAATTAACATCATTCACTTGGCAATTTTTTAAAACTTTTTTAAACAATTTTTTGTGACGGGTGCTGATGTAGTGCTGATGTAACTGTGATAAGGATGTGGGTTAGGAAATTGGGCAAATTGCTGAATTAAACACAAGGTCAGAAATCTTCTTAAATTGACGATCAGTTTAGTTTGACAAGAGCGTAATAGACAGCTTTCTTTGTGGTAAATATGCTGTGAGTTGTTAGATGGGTTTGGACTGCTAGGGGACATAGATCACATGGTCTTGATCTGTTCGTGTCAATAGGCTTGAATGAACGAGAAATATCATGGAGAAAACAGGGAATGTTGTGTTCTGTTCGACTGTTCCACGCAATAGTTAACTCTTCAACTAGGTTGTTCATTTGAGACTGATGGGTATGCCGACGTTTAGAAATTGAGGGTGTTAAGTTTGCAGAGGGGAAGATGGCATCATAGTGTCGTTTTTAATTACCTTATAACTGATAGATTCACAAAAACGGCAATGTAATGACATTTTCGTTGGTGATCTTGTCTGAGTGAGGTGGTAGGTCGTGCCGTGTGTTCAATGCTTTCGAATGGGTTTTCATTGTCGAGTCAGGCGAGGTTGAGGTTTTTACAACGATAATCTTAAGCAGCCTGTGAAGTACCTCCTAGCATCCTTCTTATCGATCAAAATGATGCAGCAGAATAAGCTAAGAATCGTCGTACAAAATTAACCCTACTATTGAGTTGTATCTACAGTCGTATCTGCTCATTTTAGAAAAAAAGATTATCGAGGAAGCTGAAGCAGCCAAAGAACGAGAATTAAAAAGAAGGCAAAAAATGTTGCAAAAACAAGAACGTAGAGCAGCCTATGAGGCGATGGAAAAACTAAAGAAATCATCAGCTGAAGAAGCTGAGAGAAAGATAAAGGGTAAAAATATTTTTGCAAGTTTAAAGTTTTGTCAATAAACATACTAGATGTATTTCAGGTTTTCGCCGTAAATGAACACCAAAATAGTAGCTTCACTTCTGTTATACTTTCGCCCTCCCAAAACGCAACTCAGATTGTCCTCAGTTCTATCCGACAAAATGATAATTTTTATTTGATGTACACGGTGCTTTTTACTGTCCTTGGTTATGAGAATAAATAACGTACCATATTTTTGTTTTAGAAGAAAAATCTGTCAACGATGAACGCGTTTCACAGAACGGAAATAAGCAATCAGGTAAGATGGCCTTGCAATGACTAACCTACTTCTCATACAGAAATCTAGAGTCGTTGAGATAGTCGTTAAGTAAAAATATGTTGTGCGCTGTCTCTAAAAATTTTGAACAGTTGTGGTTTAATCCTTGACCTGTTTATATATTCTGGAATAAACCCTACGTTAAGATATATATCTGCTCTTTTATATATTGTCTAGAAACATCCCGCTGTTCTTTTACATTCATCGTTTCTCTTATTGGATTAATATTTGGAATAACTGCTCTATTTTTATACTGCAATAACAATGACTGTATTCCTACTAAATTGAAGCAGATGTTATAGTATATATAAAATAATGATGATTGTAAATTGTCAAATAATAAATATGAACAAATTCAAAATTAAAGTTGGTGTGATGTTACCATTGCTTGTTACAAAAAAAATTAAGAAAATAAAAATGCGTGATGTCCTCAGCAAACCTTTCTTACGTCAATGTGTGTGAATAGTCTTCTCTCGTATTTATATGACATTATAAAGTTAGCAATACAGCCAATACTAAAGTTAACAGTCAACACAGATAGAGAGCAGCTCTACTAATAATTGGAAAACGCATTTGTCTCTACAAAAGCTCAAACATGACAAGTAAAAATAATTATCATGAAGTGTTAATAAGACAGTATCTTTCATTATGATTGGACGATAAAGGATTAAAGTTTATACAAAGTTTTTTTGTTGTAACTTAGTGACAGGTTATTTTTGTAAACAAAATGCTGTGGAAAGTGTGACTCCGGCTGATGTGGAGCAAGTTTGAGGCATCAGTGAAAAACATAAAACTATCGAAAGAAAATCGTGCTTCAAGCAAAATGACGATCAAGGAAAACGAATGAATAAATCACATTCAAGATAAAATATTTGAGGTAAAGATATATAATAACACGTCATGAACCGGCATACAAGAGTTTGACAAGCATGTTTGTCATACTGATAATAATACCTTGGTATATATTACTTTTATAGAAGCGAATTTAATATGCTAAGAGGCTAAGCACGTTGAGAACATACTTAACAGATGTCATCGACTAGCAAATAAGTTGTTTTCATAGCTTAGCTTGTATTAATAATATAAATAGGTGAATATCTTGATCACCCGGCTATATTTTCCTAATCCTGACTTGATGCGACAACGATTTCTCCTACGCGGTAAATTTTCCCAGGGTCTGTCAAAGTTTGCCTTTGGAATGAAATTCGGAGCGGTTACTTTTGTACTCTGAGATGCAACAATTTGCGTTTATCGTTTAAGGGAGAATATTTCAGCAATCAAAAGCATAGTTATTGAAATGTCCCTCGTTATGCTGTTATTAAAATTTAAAAGCGTAAAAATATGGGGAAACTATGCTTATCCATCCAACGCCATTTAATGTTGTTGGATTATTAAAAAACCTGAATTAAAAACAATATCAGGTAAACAATTTCTGGCGTTCACAAATTAACGCGTTATTGGAGTCGCTACGTTGTTGCATTCACAGGTATCAAGCACTTTTTTGCATGATATTTGCATATTTTATCGCATGAATAAATATTCACACAACCAGTATTGATTTTCAGTTTGACTGCAAGAAACCTCGAATGACGCCTGAAATAAAACCACAGCTACGTTTTCCTAAGGAATTAGGAACACAAACCAAACTTGACTGAAGAGGATAGTCATTAAGTAATTCGAAATTCCCAACAATATTGAACTAAACCGTTTTCTGATCGTTAAAGATTTTTGAAGTTTGAATTATGTTGATAAGAACTAAACATATTTACTTGTAAGTTTGCCGGCAAGAAGTTTTTTTGTCAAGAATTCCTGCAATACATCATGCATGATATTGTCCTGTTAGACTGAGGTCGAGTCTTCGCTCAATTCATTTTAACGTGTTGTTGAACAAGATCTTAATGATGGAGCGAGCCCGGTGGGTGTGCCGCTGTTAATATCATAAATATATATCATTTTCTATATACGTTATATTAGCTTGAAACCGGAGCAAAGGGTGACCATGGGTTCAGCACCAAGCAAACTTTTCAGACGTAAAAAGAAATCAGGATCTACGATTAATTCTGATGAAGTAAGAAACGTTACAACAAGATTTGATTTCTTCCATTGAACTTCCCCTTAACCATTATTCAAGTTTCCCAGGCAGTCAAATGAATTTTAGATTTTCTTGTTTTAGAAAAGTCAATCAGTCTCTGAAGATCCAGTAGACGTCACAGAAGAAAGTGAGAAAGAGGATGAAGAGAATGAAGTACAAGAAGAAGACGTAGAACAAGATGAAGCACAAGAAGAAGAGGAACAAGAGGAAGAAGAAGAGGAAAGAGAAGGAAAGAAGAGGAAGAACAAGAAGAGGAAGAACAAGAAGAGGAAGAACAAGATGAAGAAGAAAAGGAACTAGAGGACGAGGACGAACGGGTAAATTGTATTAAAAAAGTTAAAGAAACCATTAACGAGTCAATAGTAGTTATTGACATTGATATTGTAGTTATTTCACAGTCTTTTATCTCTCTTGTTTGGCAGTTTTGAGCAGCAATTCATTTTGAATATTCTAAATTTATATAGTAACATTCATACGATACAGAATAATATCAAATGACGTTGTCGTGGTGTTTTGGACCAGAATGAATAAATTATGTGTATATCATATCATATTGCAGTATACTATTACTTAATTATCATGCTTATTTACTGACAGGATTCAGAAAACGAAAAGGAAGTGAACGAAGAAAGTGAAAAAGAAGAAGAAATGGAAGATGATGGTGAACCTGAAGAAGAATACGAAACTTGGGATGGAAAGAAAGTAAAAGTGGAATATTCGGGCACTAAACTGAAGGCATTACGAGGGAACATGAATATTGAATATCCTGAGAAGACGCAGATTGTCCGGATATTTACAAGCTCAACGTTTACAGGTTTACAACGTTTATAGCTCAATATTTAGGTTTTCAATGTTTATATCATTATGTTAATTAAGGCTTAGAGACTATAGTGTGTGTTTTGTTCACAAATAAACGCAAGCGCTGGCCATACAACGAACGAGAAATTTCAATATTGCACGAGACCGTCCGCGAGGACGAGTGCAATATTGACATTTTGAACAAAACACAAACATAAAGTCTCTAACACTTTTAATATACAATCTGCCTTCATTGATTGCTGCATTGAAGATCCAAGCCTCTTTGCAGGCTGTCACTTTTGAATAAACCATGATTTTCATGGGTTATTGCGAATAAATTATGATTCCCATGATATGTCACCTGGCAACAAGAAACCACGTGATTGATTTTGACCCATCGCGTGGCCTGATATACAATGTTCCTGCATTGGCTCGAAATTTCAATATTATATGGTCAGCGCGTGCGTTTATTTGTGAAGAAAACACTCACAACAGTCTCTAGCCCTTAAGTATACCCGTACCATGTTAGATTTTAAAAATAGGAATTTACAATCTTAGAAAGTTTTTTCTAACTTGGTATAACTTTTTGTAATCCCCGAGCGGTGCGGAGCGCCGTTCGAGGCCACTAGTTCCGCCTGGAGATTAGGAATTACACCCGGGTGTTGTGACCAGAACATACAGGAATACAAAGTTGTCCAAATTCTAAGTCATGGACCTTGGACGTTCAATGGTCATGGAATACTTGTCACTATAAGGAATCACCCCTGTATATCCCTGATAGTATTAAGTCATGACTCATGTACTCATTCCGTGCCATTTTTCTTCAACTAGATACATCGGTTGAACGCAATACTCTGATGGAAACTGTGTATCCCAAACTGAAAATATTTTGCCAGAAAAAAGGTTTTGAATTTCAAGTGGTAGATATGAGATGGGGTGTGCGAGATGAGGCTACAGATGATCATATGACCACAGAGTTATGTATGAAAGAGCTTTATGCATGTCAGAAGGTATCCACTGGCCCAAACTTCATAGTAAGTATGCAGTTAGAACAACATGTACGCGGTATGACTAGTAGATACTAGAAAATAGAAGTTACAATATTTTATTCTTCGATAAGATATTTTCAATTAATAATTTTAATCAATTAATTTAGACGTTCCTGGGTCAAAAATATGGCTACCGACCGTTTCCAGCTAAGATTGAGGAAAACGAATTCCAGCAACTCATAGGTGCAGTTGATGGTGATGAAGATCGTGCGACCTTACAGCGATGGTTTAGGTTGGATAGTAATGCAGTTCCAAGAGAATATATTTTACAACCAGTGACGTCTATACTGCCAAATTATCGTAATGAGTCAAATCAGGAACTGAGAAAGGCAGCATCGAGCGAGTGGTGGACTTGTTTTGAAAGAATGCAAATGGCGTTACGAAAAGCTGCAATGAAAACTCTGGGAAAGAATGAGCAACAGAAATATGTCATGTCAGGTATAGTACACTGATGACATAAATGATATTTCGTAGACAAGCTCGTGCAGGCAGGCAGGCAGGCGCACCACTTTCCTCCTTACAGGCCTTTGTAGATGTAACTGATGATTGCAATTCCAGAATATCTCATTTATCAAATGATATACAACAGACGAAATGATTCCTATAGCAAACTGCGTCACAAACTGTTTATATATTTTATATATTTTAGTTACTGAAGATGAAATTCGTCGAGGTATAATCACAGCGACCGAACCTGAAAAACATTGCTTCTGGTTTAAGAGAGTTATATCCGACCTGAACGAAAATATTGCAGATAAGAAGGCAGGTTCATTCATTGATAAAGTTTGGGGCCAATCCTCCGCGGACAAAGAAGCACAAGAATATTTGAACACTTTGAGAGAAGTCGATCTTCCAAAAGTTTTGCCTAAGAAGAACACAAATACGTATAATGTAAAGTGGAGTACACAAGGTATCGACCCCAAACATGAACAGTCTCACGATCAATACATAAAGAATCTTTGTCAAGACTTCCACTCTGTTCTTACAAAGATGATTGAAGAAGGTATCGCAGAGAAATTAAGCAAGGAAAGGAGTAACGACGAAGAAATATTTGATGAAGTTTTCCAACATGGTATATTTTGCCAAAAGAAATGCAAGTCCTTTCATGGAAGAGAACCATTCCTTGAAGATATAAGAAATGAAATTGAGAATGGTTCGACAACGGTTATTCTCCATGGGGAGTCTGGTTGCGGAAAAACATCAGTTATGGCGAAACTGGCATCTTCGGTGAAGAAATGGATTGGGGATCCAAAAGCAACGTTGATTTTACGATTTATTGGAACAACAGCCAATTCCTTTGCAATAAGAGACCTACTAAAGAGCATTTGCGTTCAACTTTATAAAGCAACTGGTCATCAGATAGAAGATATGCCAGATGTAAGTCAACTAAATCAAAGATTTTTCATCTTTTTTTCCACAAATGTCATTACTATTCTAGTTTACTCTTCTTACATACCTCTAACAAACGAAATGAATGAAGACCCATACATTATTTTCCTAATGCGTTTAGGATTTAAAATCGTTGAAAGAATATCTAAACACGTGCTTGGAACTCGCGGCTGACAAACATCCAGTCATACTTATCTTGGATTCTTTGGATCAATTATCTGGAGATGACGGTGGACTTCAATTAGAATGGCTACCGAAAACATTACCTAGTAATGTTTACATGATTTTATCCACGCTACCTGAAGAACAATATCTTTGCCTACCAAAACTCAAGGTTAGTTAATGATCATTAGCATCGTTTGTACTGGATAAGTAAGTAAAAATTCTTCAAAGCAAATAAAGAATAAGTGTAAAACTGGTGTGAATACATGCAAAAGATGATTTAGATTTTAGTTCAACCGACTGGCGCTTGACCTTACATGACTCTTATATGCGGTTGTTACAATAATTACGACTGGAATGAGTTTAAACTGCAGCCACTTAAATTTCGTTCGGATTTTATTTCTAATGGTCCTTAAAATGAGAAAACGTTGATACATGGATACAGTACATGTATCAGAAAGCAATAGTTCCTCTTATCATTCTATTTTTAGATGCATTTTCCGGCAAATGTTTTCAAAGGTGTTCCTAAGATGAACAAAGAGGAAGCTGGAGGTATTCTAGATAAGTGGCTCGGAGATGCAAAACGTTCACTAACATCTCAACAACGTCAAACTGTCTTAGATACTTTCAACAAATGTCCATTGCCATTATTCTTAAAGCTTTCATTTGATGAAGCTTGTCGATGGAAGTCTTATACCCCTGAGGGTGAAACGAAGCTACCGTCAACGATACGTGAGATTATTCATTCGTTGTTTGATCGTCTTGAAAGGATCCACGGCAAGATGCTAGTTAGCCATGCTTTGGCTTATATTTCTGCCAGTAAAAATGGATTGACTGAATCTGAGTTAGAAGATTTACTATCACTTGATGACGATGTCCTAAATGATGTTTATCAATATTGGACACCACCTGTACGTCGTCTACCGCCATTAATATGGCTCCGAGTGAGGTCCGATCTTGGAGATTATCTCGTCGAACGAGGCTCAGACGGTGCACGTGTTAGTTTCTGGTATCATCGTCAGTTTATCGAAGTTTCACGTGAACGTTATCTCGAAGAGCATGACTCGGTTAAAGTTCATTTCAATATTGCGGAATATTTCCAAGGCCTATGGTCAGATGGGAAGAAGAAACCATTCGTTAACAAACAAGGTGAACATCTTGAAATGGATCGTCTTGTTGCTCAACAACCGTTGATGTATGATGTGAACGAGGACTCTGTTGTTTTCAACAAACGAAAACTGGGAGAGCTCCCTTATCATTTACTCAAGAGTAACCAATTGACCGAGTTAAAAGAGGCGGTGTTATGTAACTATGAATTCCTCTTGGCAAAACTTCGAGCTCTGTCGTGTAGTTTGCTGATGGACGATTTCAGAATGGCTGTCAATGTGTACCCAGAGGATGAAGAGCTCCAGTTGCTTTATGACACGATCAGTTTGAGTGTAAACGCATTGACGTTGGAACCAAGACAACTGTCGTCTCAACTGATTGGACGATTGTTCAACATGCAAGATGATGACTCGTCAAATCCTTCCATATACAAACTCCTTCAACAACTTCGCTCTTCCTCACCTGTTCCCTATTTTGTTCCACATGCAAAGTGTCTAACATCTTCTGGTGGTCCGTTACTACACGCAATTGCAGAGCATGATGAGTCATATATTGATTCCATATGTCTTTCACATGACAACGCAGATATGCTGACAGTCATACGAGGAGACGAGGGCTTAGAAGTTCGAATATTCAACGTTCGTGCTGGTCTATTAGAACGAAAACTGATTTTGACCGAACCTGTTCCACAAGTGTATACCGTTTGGCATACAATCATGAGCCGCCATGATAAACAAAAACTTGTTATGGTTGGTGGAAGACATCTCTTAATATTCCATTTGAAAAGTGCCGAGATGATTCATCAGATCGAGGCTTTAGGTGAAAACCATGAGTTTAATCAAACAAGTGATGGAATACCTCCTGTAGCCCTTGGTAATGGCGATCATAGCCTTGCTTCTTTCACCGATGAAGGAATTAAAGTCTGGAACATGGAAACAGGAAAGTTAGAATTTAAAGTGTCCGTAAAAGGTGTGGACACTAAAGAAAGCATGGGTGCTTTAGATGCCAGTCGAGACTACGTAGCTTATTGCAAGAAAGGATCAACAGATGTCACAGTGATCAGTATTACTAGCGGCAAAGTTATACATACTATTAAGTCTTCTGTTGAGAAAAGTTCCGGGGCATATGTGAAATTCATCAAGTTGACTGACCAGGGAAAGCTTCTGATTATGTCAAGTAATTCGACCGAATTGAAAGTCTATGATGCGACGTCAGGTAAACTCTTGCAAAATGTCGCTGGTTTCAACGCTAATACGACCATAAAGGAGCTGCTCGTTACTAATGATGGTAAGAAATTAATCTGTCAAGATAAATTCGACATAGCGATATGGGATATGGAATCATGGAAATGTCGAAAAGTTCTCAGCGACATGGCAAACTATCATTCCCACAACCTGAAGACAAACGATGGGAGAATATTTGTTCATGCAAATGTCACAGATCGTATTGTTCGTGTTTACGATGCCTCTAAGGATGACGGCAAGGAAACTAAGGCAGATACCGATTCGACAAACCAGTGGTCGATTAACCAGATAAACGCATTATACCCCAGTGTGGATAATCGCCATTTTATAACAATCGGATCAACCAATATGGGGTCTGAGATAAGTATCTGGGATGTGAATCAGGGAAAACAAGTTCGTGTTTTCAAGAAACTGATGTTTTACCCGAGTGTTCTAAGAATGGCGTCTCCAACACTTGGTGTTGCTTATATCTACAACGAAAAAATGAATCATTACGCAGTCGTTGATTTCGCCGAAGGTAAAGTCGTACGGCAACTTGAGGGAAAAGCTTGCAAGAGGATGTATATGATGGACCTCCTGGATGAAGAAAGGATGGTGTCCTTCACAAGAGGTCGACGTCATCTCAAAGATTTGGAATATTGTAAGCGGTAAGATCGTCCAGAAAATCAAACTTGGCCAGAAGCATCGTCTGGAAGCATTTCTACTGAGCGGCAACAAAAAGATCATGGTGGTTGCACAGATTGGAACATACAGCGAAGAAATGAAAGACAAGACCATACCCTTCATTGTTTATGATTTTTCCACGGGAATACAACACGAAATTCGGGAGAACGAGGAACAACTGAAACTGGAAAGTGCAGGATGGTACGTCAATGGATGTATCTCACACACTGGTCGATACATGGTAACAGTGCATGAATACACCAGTGCTGTACTCTGGAATGTAACCGCAGGGAAAAAATTACATTCATTAACAAGCGAGCAACTAGCTGGAGCTATTTACTCAAGCATGATTCTTGAAGACAAAAACATTGTGCTGACGTCCTTTGCTGGCTCGAAAAACGGAGTGTTCATATGGGATATCAAGAGTGGAAGTTGCGTTAAAGAAATTACTACAGTCGCACAGGTGAATGAAATCAAACATAGTGTTGATTACAGTTTGGTGTTCTGGAAAGATATGCAAGGTCCTAATTTCTATGTCCATGAACTAGAAAGTGGCAAAAACATTGCGGCCTTCACATCTGATCAACCGATAGCGCCTCAAGTGTTTAACGTTATTAATGACCGTGTTGTGACTGGATCTACAGGCTCGATTGATCCTGTCATCTTTCATCTACGTCATGGTAATGAATCACGTGCTACGGAGGACGAGCGTTCAATCTTTGAAGATGGTAGTGATGTGAACAAGACGCTTACGTATGATCCAAATATCTTGCCATCAGATCCACGGAACATTGATGATGATAAAGACGATGATAAAGGACAGGCTTGTTAAATGCATGCATGGCATCTCTTAGAATACACCCTGATTTGATACTTGATTCAATGACACTTAATTCATGATTGTTCATAGTACTTCAAGATGACACTTGTTAATAATATTTCAATAATACAATAACGATCTTAGAAACAGCCGCGGTTAAAAGAAAGACCATGGAAAGTCATCGTCGTGGGCATGTCAGGAATCCTTGATATGAACTGGTATTACTATATTTGGTTGTATAACAACTTTTATTTCAAATAATTACATGTTTTCAGTAAAAAAATGTACATGTCATGTAATCAATTTGTATTTTATAGCTATATCCTCTTGACATTTAGAAAGTACTAATCCTAAAAGTCAACATTTCTGCATGATTGTCCCAGACTATAACTATATAACTAGTCAATATAGTGATAAACATATATAGATCATGTACAGTTTTAACGTATTTCCAATTAAATTATACACAAAGACAAGTCGTTGTGGCTATTTTAACCGGCATTTAGTATTATCAGACTTGTTTTGCGCTTCAGTAAAGAAATTAAGCTACGCATAGTTTGGCTCACCAAATACCTTTTGCTAGTAGCTTCTTAATTTCTTAATCTTTAAATAGATCTTCAACAAAAACCTTTCATACTACAATAATTGTTTGTATGAGTAATGCAAAGAATGTTTAATATTTTGAGTTTGGATGGTCTTCCGATGACTTCTTCCTGGCGTTCCATGTGTCGACCGGTGGTCTAGGTTTCAAGGCTGTTTAGCTTAAAATACTAGGAAAATCGATTTACCAAGATCATAAGACAGAACCGCCTCTTCCGTTCGTGCGTTTAACCACGATATAGGAGTTACGGCGGACTACCACTAGCCCTGTACATGCCCTTTTACAACTCGTATGTAGAGTGTTGGATTAAGGAAAATATTTATATCATGAAAGCATTCGCTTTAACGCACGCCAATCTTCCCATCACAAAAACGGCCTAAGACTATAATGATTCACGTGGAAGGGGATCCTTGGATCGTGTGAAGAGGGCGTCAAACAATGAACTAGACAAAATGTTGAAAACGATGCTCGTGTGCACACAGCAAAAACACGCAGTTATGACATGCGGTACGTCAAAACACCTCACGTGACTTCTGAACGAACGTAAATAAGGTATTTCGGTTTCAGCCAGTTGATTGTTGTAATTAATTAACACACCTATAACTATATATATAACTATATAGAAACTTGTCTTTTACTGGTATTGCCTCCTACTTGTTGCTTTATAGGAACATATCTATAAGAGTTTCTTACAAAATCTTTTAGAACCCAATACCACGATATGCCGATGGTATATAATTATAGGATACAACATTTGAATATACTTCAAAAAAGAATTTCTTTCATAAAACATATATAGCGTATAATTATTCAGTTTTATGTAGATTACGTAAATAAAGAGCCTCCTAAAACATCGACATTGCATTGCATGAATAACATCACGTATACATATATGCGAAGACCTATATAACATGCGAACACCAGCTCTCTCATAAACAAACTCAAGCATCCGAGCTGGACATTTCATTCACGCAACATTTTCAAAATGCCACAGATCTTAGCTAGCCTATATAAACAGAAGAATAAAGGGGTGAACAATAACTGTGAATGGAATGATGAACTAGTGTATGACAGAATGCTTTCCTTTATTTCTAACAGAAGTAAAACTGATTTAATAAAACAGAAAAAGGAGGACAGCGGAATGGAGATCTCTTTTGAAACGAAAAGTTGCGAGAACAAACTAGTACATGTAGATGAACATTCTGAATTCAAAGACGTCAATAAAATCATAGACTTCGATGTCAGACAGAAATGTTCGATTTCTGATAAATGCATGCTTACGAAAGAAGTAGCAAATGAACAATTCTGCGATTTACTTCGTAATGACAATAACTTTGGTTTTCAATGTCGACAATGGTTAGAAACATCAGAAAGAGATTTGTTTTTGAACGCTGCATTCGTCGCCCAATCTTCAAGAAAAAGAAAAGAAACACTCGATCGTAGTAATTTATGTTTTCACTGGCTAAATATTGCAGAAACCGAACTTTTCTTAAACACTGCGTTTGAAGCTAAATCATCGAGGAGACGACACACGCCGCATTAACATGCAGTAAACATACTTGGTATGGAAATGATGGAGGATATACTACAGTCTGTACAGATTATTATATTGCCATTATTTAGATCTTTAAAAGGAATAAAATGTTTGTAAAATATAATGTCTCATCGACCCTTAATTATAGGCCTTGACTTGTAAATATAATTAGAACAAAGCATATAGTTAGTGGGTTTTGTTTGCTCTAGTTCTTTATCATATAACTGATACAGCTTTACACACAAACTAAATCTATTATTGTGATAATATTTTTTGAGTTCGGGTGAGTTTGTTAGATGAGGAACATTTGAAACAGGAATTTTATAAATGCGTATCAATATGGAGAAATTAATGGCAAATAGTATAATATTCTTCTCGTCTAATATAAAACAGAACAAAGAACTTTCATTCTAAAGTATTTATATTTATAATTATATAACCGCAACTTAAAAAAACAATAACAATAAAGTTATCTCTATGCCTGATGTCATTTTAACTGAGTATATATATATATATATACAGAAGTGGTAGCTTACATCGTAAACGCGTCACAGAATAAGCACGTCATTGTGCCATAACGCAATCTTTAGTCAATAATATACGTCAACGTCAGTTCCTAGGCGCAAGGCCAAGCACACGTTCACAAATTGACTTTTGTCCAATGCCACACTTCATTCGAGTGGTTAAAATAGGTAGTGAACATGCAAATTTACAACACAACACTCAAACAGGAATAACGCAAATCGTTAAACGCTTGATCATGTGCGATGTCAATGGCCCTAAAGCTGAGTTTTCCGTTGTCAATACTATAGGAAGTTCAAGCTTCGTGTTCAGACGATCAACGAAGCACAAACTTAATGAAAAGAAAATGAACGTACTGCATGCTTTGAAACATAAAACGTAGAGATTAGACTGACTGAAATATTTAAAGTTTTAGATCAGTGAAAATTTGCAAACCGCAGATTTAAATTTTGAAAGTTTAAATGAAGGTTGAAATTCAAGGTTTCAACCATGCACTAAAGTGTGTTTTTACGTAACCTATTTACCTGAGCGTTTTATCATTTCAATGTTGTCTCAACGTATGACTAACGTTGATGAGCCGTTTATTTACAATATTATGACCTTGCCAAAGCGGTTAAAATATAATTAGGTTGAAAAACCTAAACTTAGTTATGCACTACGTTAACGGATAATAAACCAGTGTTTTATGCGCGGTAGCTTGTCCCGGCAAAGGCGAACAAAACATAATTTCATTAACAAAACGATTTAAAATGTTGTAGTGAAACGAAGTAAAACTCAAATGAAACTTTATTACATCGTCTTTCTGTTCTGTGAATGTTTAATCCACTTGCAGTACGGCTACGCCAACGGCCTTTCTCTTTGCTTGTGGTTCTCCCGTTTCTGACGAAGTTGTTGCGGCAGACTCTGGCTTCACCATACCTCGCAACTTGTTTAATTCATCCAACTGTCGTTGAACAGGAGCAAACTTTCTGTCGTACCAGGCTCTTGTTTTCTCGATCAGCACATACGCATGTCGACCAACACCAGCGGTTGTTGCTGTCGCAGTGTAAGATGAAGTATCACCTGGCCGTGCCCAGCTTCCACCAAAATAACTGTTGGCAAACTTTCGAGCTTGAGCGATTCCAGTGAACGCTTGATATTTCATGGTCTGATTTGGACCTCTCAAAAATGTTTGAACTTGGGGGTGATTATTAAAAACGGCATCATCTTGATTCCAGGTGAACGGTGGAATTCCGCTTTTCTCCACATCCTCTAACTGAGAAATCCTGATATTCAAAAGTTGATTCCAGAATTGGTTGCCACCCAACTTTTCTTTTTCTAGAAGGCGTATCAGATTCTGTAAAAGGGAACTCGTGTGCGATTGCTGGCAGTGCTTCAAGATAGCGTTAGTAAACTTTGTAAGAATCTCGAAATTGTCAATGGCAAACAAAAGGGAAGCAATTCTTTCAATTCTGCTCGCGCCAACAGATTCGAGTTGTTTATTTCGAGCATCATCTTCAACTTTCTGAGCTAAACATGTGACCATAGCAATGAAACAATCATCTTTCTGCAGAACTTTCTTCACATTTCTTTGAAAAAGCGACTTAAGATACTCTGCCCAATTTCCATATTGAGAAACAGGGCTTAGATCAAACAATTTCTTAATTGCTTCAGAGATGGAAGGCCAACCAAGAGTGGTGGTAAGCTCGAGAAGGGGCGGAATAAGATGATTATCACAGAGACAATACAGACTTGACGTTCTTAATAAGAAAAAAAACAACAACATAAGAAGGTCAATTAAAATGCTATAACATCTATCTGTGGAATATTAGCAATAGTGTATTCATTTATCAAGCGCGCGATTTTGTTTAAAAAATAGGCATGCGGAAGATTTTCGCTAATAGTTGTACAGTTTCTTCAAAAAACACAAAGACGTTCACTTTATGCTAAAATCAAGTTAGCAAAATGACACAAGTTAAAAATAGTAGATTTAAGCAAGGCTGAATAACATGAAAAAGGAAAAATGATATTAATAATGAAATTCTACTTACTTTGATTCAGGGACTTTTCCCATAACATCGGTAATGAAGATTCTTGACAACATCACAGCATTCGTACGAAGATCAGTGAGCGTCTTCAGCATTGAATGCACTGCTCGGAATGACAATGAAACTTTCTCGGAAATTGCGTAGTCAATTATCATCTTTAAATCTGACATAACTTTCTGATATGCAGAAGATGAAGGATTCTTTTTCTCGACACTCTTCAACTGATTTGACACCCAATCTACAGCCGCTTGGTATCCATTCAACTTGCATCTAAGGATAATCTCATTATCTTTCTGCCAAGCAAAGATAGCGTAGTTGTTGTACCAATACGTCTGTGTGGCGCCTTCATTACCAGTAGGACCAGTATTTTCTTCGTCATCTGGTTCTCCCCAAAGTCGTTGAATGGCATCTTTCAAAGGCAAATGTCGTGGTTTTTGGAGGTTCACCACATCATTTTCGATATCTAGTTCAATATCTTTAAATACTTCAATTTTGGCAACTTTGCCATCAAATTGAAACCAATTTTCGATACTGACTTCCTCCTCTTCGTCGCCATTTGGCTCGAATCCGCCTGACCAGGAATTTTCATCCCAGAAATCACCAAACTGTTGAAGCTCTCGTTTCACTTCAGCAATATAGAAGTTGAATTGCTGTTCTTTAGGTAAAAGTTCGTTTGCTTGTTGCAAAGCTCTTGCCACAACTTCATCAGGTCCTTTTAGTGCATCAATTCCACTACCAGACAAACCATGTTCGCTGTACTTATGAGAGAGAAACCACGCAAAAAGGTTCCTACTACCAGTGCAGATTTGTGGTAAAATCTTGGCAACATTTTGCACTATAGCTTTACCAGTATCAGCAGATGGTGGGGTACCACCTGCTGTCCAACATAGGGAATAGACTAAAGCTAGTCTATACCCACTGACTATCTTGCTTACCTCATGCTCACAATCTGAATAGTGGGCAGCATATTTACAACAGTATGAAGAGCGTTCTCCGTCCATTTTAACAACTTTTTCATCTCCTGCATGTCGGACTGTAATCTTACCACCTTCAAACTTTGATGGTAATTGGAGAACCATGGTAGCAAACATTCCATTTTCCTTTTCAGTATCTCTATGAGCTTTGAAATGTCCACCTTTCTCATACAAGAGGACTTTATACAGTTTAGCTTTAACTGCCTTCTTGTCACAGCCAAGGTTCTTCTTTGCAGAGGAAACAACATTTTCAACACCAGTAAGAAAATGATCATTTTTTATCGTAATTTGCTTTGGATCCAGTTGCCATGTTTTTCTTACAGTTTCGTCAACCAATGTTTGATCACCTAAGCCAAATGGAGCTTTCTTTGCGACTTCAATGATCTTTTGTGCTTGTTCATCTTGCACTGGAAGTGAGATATGTCCAACATTCTCAATAACCAAGCCAGGTAAGCATAACTCAGGCAAAAATCCACTACAAGCAAAATCGCCTGATGCATCTTTTAAGTCATTCAGCAATTTATACAGTTGCTACATTAAGCAAGGTAAAACAGTATGTCATTGTAATTTAAATTAATATAGTTCAATAGTAGTTTATACCCTGTGAATGTAGAAAGTATGTATTGCACAACCAAGATATATTAGGTGTATATTTGACGTCTTCTATTTATTTACTAGTTTTTTAAATATTGGGTGTGCAATTTGATAAAATTTGATAATGATATTTGCACACCTTCCCATCGGGAAACCCGATGATTTTAAATAACAAAATGAAATTTGAGAAAGCCGATATGTGTAAGTGGCATAAGAAATTTAAGAGCTTAGAATTTGTACTATTTAAATTAAGAATTGTAGAATATAAAAATTTGGGCAGAATGCAAAACAGTGGTGAATGCAGTCATATGTGGAATTCAAATGAATAATTATTGAGATTAATTAATATTATAATAGCCAGGTGCACAAAATGTATATTTATTTAATGAGGTATTAAATATGTTGACAAAAAGGAAATTTTGTCACACCCAACTTTGTTTGGTATTACAAAACTTTGATAGATGATAAAGAGGATAGCAAATTTTACCTTCACTTAATAAGCAACTGCTTAATTTTTTTTAAACACCTAGAATAACGGGCATTTAGGGCTAAAACTTTTGAAGGCTAAAAGAGCTAGTAATTGGCACTTATTTCCTATTAACTTGAGATAATTCAATACATCTTACCTCCATTCGACCAAATAAATCTATCTGGAACTAGCATACACCTCCAGGTGAACCTTCAATAAAACGAGAAGATATGAATATTCAAAATATATTTACATATAAAATTCCTTCGCAATTTGCAAATATTTTGATATAATTAACACTCAGCTTTTGTGAGCATAGTGCTGCTTAGTTACTTACGTCTCAATAACTAAGTAAACAGCGCTGGATTTTTGTTAAAACGATGGCAACTATTGAGAACCTTGAGAACAAAATACTGAAAATACAAATACCATGCTTTCAGAGAGAACGCTAGTTGGCGGGAACCGAGCAAAATGTTGGTCAGATTAGAGGTCTGGGTTTGGAGTGTTCCATCATATATGGTTTCATGGGGAGGGCCGAGGGGGGAAGGGTATTCATGCATGATTAAGCTGGTTCTAGGGTGGGGATAATTGTTTCTACTAGGGAATGGGATACCGTCCAACGGGGAAAACAGACATCAATATTCGGTAAGGGAACGCAGGGGGTTTCTTTCATATTGTTTGGTAACTCGTTTTCAGTTTACGACAATGTTTGACAATGTTATTTCCTCTTCTTAATGCGGAAAACCACTGACCTATGCGACCTGAATCTGCTCGTTCATATTACAAAAAAACTAGCCCTAATGACTAAATGACGAGGAATTGCCGCGACACTGATGAAGACACAGATTGACAGACACCCTCGGCCTGTTACTGTGCGGTGCCTACAACCATTTTTTAATTATTTGAATTTTTTATATTTTTTCAAACAATGGCAAAATGCAAAAGTCTTTTTTTGTCAAAACACAACCAAATACTCTGCAATCATCACCATTCAGTGATAACTTCATAACACGATATTGTAAAAGGACATTCGTCCATGGGCTGACAGGGTTGTGAAACTGAGATTCCCTGATCCTCTTGGCAAAACCACCAATGGCAATGGCAACGTGATTAATTCTGTGGTGGGTCAAAACTTTTGTTTTTTCAGAGTTAGAGTTAGGCGGAGCGCAGTCTTATCTTATCAAAAAAGCACGAAAAAGAAAAGTAGACATTCTTCGTTTTTGGCCTGTCATAGGCACTGGTCATAGGCTACCAGATTTTTGCCCGGGCGCAAATAACCGCACGGAGTTAAAGACCCTCGCTGATTCCCAGGGATAATTTTGTGCATTTTTAAAACATTTTATGATAAACACCATTGTAGAAGAAGGATAATTTCTGCGATATCACATATATGCCATATTCATCACTCTAAAACACCAGAGGGTATGTATAGAGAAAATTTAGGCTAAAAATCTAATTATTATTCAATTGATTTATACAATTCACTTAATCGTATACTTATATTGTAATCAACTTCATAAATATAATACCAAAACTCCAAAGGTTTATGATTAATTTTTCTAGAAAAAGCCCCTATTTTTTCATGAATTTTGTCTAAAGACCCGTTGAGTCATAGTGTTTAAATGACGCCAACAATAACATTGTAAATTGCAATTCCGTGAAACAGTGTGGGGTTATACAGGTCAGATAAAGACTTGAAACAAAGTTAAATTTGATCCAACATCTTAAACAGTTTGTTCAAATGAGGTTGACAATTGCACAGAAATACGAGAGGGATAAACAAAGTGATTGTTGCAAAATTAACCTATTTTTGGAAGACAATAGAGGCTTTGCAATTGGCATGTGACCAATTTCTAAAATCGTAAAGTGAAACATATAAAGTTGGATACATGTTCAATAGATATATATTGTATTTCCTTAATTTTCCACATGCATTCTTACCCAAGTTGATACAATTCATCTTTTGTGATTTTAAGGCAGTTAAGATGTTTTGAACTGCTGATACCAGCATTATTTTGAGTTACCACTATGAGCTTTAATATATATAAATATAAATAAATTTGTTTATATAATATTTGTGTCATTTTAGGTAACTAAAAATGGCTGCATTAAAAGCTCAGTATATATAAATTTTACTGCTTAAGTACACAACTCTTTTTCCTATCAAACTGTATGTACCTTGTACACATTTTCAAAATATAAATTAAACTCTGTAAAAGTATTTGTGTATTATCTTTAATGTTGGCAGGAATACTTTTTTTGAAAAATTGGTCATGTGAATCTTTAAATCCTCTGGGAAGCATTCCATATGTTGAGATAAATTCCATAGACATGTCATGATGAAATGATTGAAGATGTGATGAAATGCTTTAAGATATAGAACACGCAGTGTGTGTGAATGAATTTATGCAACAAAATTGTGTGAAGTTTGACTAAAATGCATCCATTTGATAAATAGGACTCTAATAAATTAATGTTGTTATGAAATAAAACCCTATGCAAAATATTTCTTGCCTTATGTATGAGAATAATATTATTTGACTAATATTCTACAGCAATACCTATGTTTCATTTTCAGATAATAATAGTAAGAATATTTGCCATGGATGATACGAAAGATGACAAGAAGGATCTACGTGATATTATACAAGACCGGTGTGCAAGTGATGCCTCTGAATTGATGTTAACTGGAACTGCAAAATGTCATGATACTGAAACTCCTGAGTTATCTGTTCATGAAACTAGTGAGCAACATCTTTCTACAAGTGAAACCCCAGAATTAACTGTACATAGGACAAGTGAATCACCTCCATTGTCAGTTGATAGAATTTTTCAGTCGAGAGGTCATATCATGCATACTGAAGATCTTGTTCAATGTTCTACTGCTGTGATATTTAGTGATAATAATGTCATTCATTCATCACCATCATCACAATCAAACACTCTTGTTTTGACATCTGTTTTTAACAACACACCTATTCTGGCAGTAGGTGATCCATCTAAAACAGATGTCTCAATTATCACCAAGGTGAACCCTTCAGATTTGTTGCTTCCTAAGTCCAACAATGATCATGATGATGATCTTGCAAACAATGGACCAGTTCTTGTTAGTTCACAGAGTCAAACCACATTATTAATTCCAAGTTATTATCATGAAAATGATCATTTGATTCAAGTATCTCCTAACAGTGAACCATTGTACCAAAATAGCTCCAGTTCCACTTTATATGGCCATCTTGCTCAAGTTCATACATGTCAATGGCAGGTTTGTGAAGAACAGTTTCTTACTGTGGAAGAACTGGTTGACCATATAAACAATACCCATGTACTAACAAGTAAAGAATCTTGTGAATATTCATGTCAATGGAAGAACTGTGTAAGACAGGGCAAGGGATTTAATGCAAGATATAAACTATTAATACATTTAAGAACACACACTGGTGAACGACCACATGCATGTCACTTTGAACAATGTGATAAAAGATTTTCACGCCTGGAAAACTTGAAGATACATTGCAGAACACACACTGGAGAAAAGCCTTATGTTTGCCCTTTTGAAGGTTGTGAGAAACGTTATTCAAACTCAAGTGATAGATTTAAACATACTCGCACACATATTGAGAGCAAACCATATCGCTGTAAGGTTGATGGGTGTTTTAAACAATATACAGATCCTAGTTCCTTAAGAAAACATCTTAAAGCTCATAAATTGTAAACACTTCATGTAAGACTTTAAGCAAACTATTTAGGGAGATCATTTTTCATATATTACGTCTTTTTAATGTTATTTACATCTATACGGTATTTATCATATTTTTTAAGATGTTTTGTAAATAAGTATTATGTAAATTTGATGATTTCAATACGCCACAGGCCTCAGAAAATATATAACTTTGAACTGGCTTTCTCACTTCCAAACTCCATGCCAGCATAGTAAAATAAACCGGGCCTAAATTAACTATTTCTTTTAGACTTAAAAGTAGGACTACCATTACCTTCCGTGTTCTGTTCAGGTATTGCCAGGAATCCAGTACCATGCTATTAGCTGAACAAATTGCCTGTTCATGTTTTATCCGAATACGGGTCAAACGTTGTAACATTTCTTGGTAGAATTAAAATCTATTGCTCAGTTGATTCCATTCCTTGTCTCATTTGGAGTATCAAGTTGGATTGTATTTGAATGATTGGATTCAGTTTCTTTATGACATTCAATTCTATCCACTTCATAGACATTCATTCATTTTGTTCAGTGAGCATTCGAACTAATGACTATCAAATATGAAACTAAAAGTAATTATGACCACAAGAAAAATTAGAGGCGGGGCAGAAATCGGACAAATGTTAGTAACATTCCAGGAAAAGCGAAGAAGAAAGTAAATAATTCATTATATTAATAATTAAATAATAATTAAACATCTTATTAACAAATATTTATCTTAAAATGGTAAAACGGAAATTTTTTATACTTCATCATATGTAATAATTCACAGTATCTCCAGATCAACATGGCGTACTTCTGGATTTTTATTCTGCAAAAGAAAACAACAGTTTTGATACTTCTACACGCGATTGATTACCTGACTTGTGTGTGCCCAGGCGCCTTGTGTTTTAGAGAACACACGTGCACTCGCCTTAATATTCCTCTCAATTCTATCAACTTCTTGACCCAAAGTATCAATAATTTGTTCCCCATGATCCATTAGAAACCGTTCAAGTTCCTCAGGCGTCTGAATATCCCGCACTTCCTAATGAAGAAGATGCCAAACTATTAGTCCTATTGGTCCCACATAAATTAATCTAGAAAATCATTTCTTACATAATTGCGCCAGCAAAGCATAAAGAAAAAGTTGTCATGAATTTTCATTCTTAGCTGGGGAGTCCTATTGAGCAATTTCATACATTACAATGTTTGTTAAACGCTTCCATTTTTTGCTCTGGAAATTTTCGTGCCGTCTTCGCGAAGGGTACTGCTTGCGTTAAGTACTGTATCGTACTACAGGACGATGTACCTTTAGTAATTGAGTGGTCTCTTTTCTGCTTAAATGTCGTCTAGTTATTTCTCTGCCATCAAAATTGATTTCAGCTTTGAATCTCACCGTATCTGCGCCTGAATGTGGCCATAAAATATATATTAAACATTATTAACCCAAAAGACGCATATGGAGTATACTGTCCCCAGTGGCGTATTCATATATTCGTGATACGCAGGATTAATTTCTTTTCAAACAATTGTCTTCAGTCAGTCAGTTAACATGAATATATGAATATCGCTCCCCCCCCCCAATTATCGATGCTGGCTACGCCGCTGACTGTCCCTAATACACACAGAAAAAAAAGACAAATCTGGCTCATGTAGATACTTCTGAGGCGTTTAAAAATCGTGAATAGCTCTATCTATGCAGCCAACCGGCCTCTGAGATATCCAAGATAGTGAATTGAGAGTAAACAGATATTCAGTAGTGAAAACTACTTTTTTTCACTTCCAGTGCTTGGGTTCTTTTGTCCCATTCTTACACAGGAGCAAAAGTATAAAACTAGGCAAGTAAGTTAAATAGTGAAGTAGGTATGGCTACTACCTAACTCCGTTGCTTTCACGTCATGAATAGATCTATAAGAAAACTATATATATGAAAAATATTCCTGATGAATTGCAGATCAAAATCTTTTTTTTTTTAAATTACCTGACCATTATATCTTGTTCTAAAACGTTCATAATTTGCTTCAAACGATCTTCTGGTATTGATCTGAGATTCATAAGTATAATAAAGTCAATCATCGAAAATCTTAAAAACGAAATTATATGCAAACAGCCGGGAAATTTGTTGCCGTGAAGCAGGGCTATTGCTGCCACACGCGATGTTTTAGAAAAATTCGAAATAACGTTCTGTAAGTTAGAACAAATTAGACCTCGAAACAGTCGAAAAAAGAATCTGACTTTATAAATCATGTAGCTAGTCATTTTAATGAATATATTACAAAATTCCTCAATAGCTATTTAAATATTAACCTTATAACGAAATATATTCAAGTTCATGTACGTTAGTACAATAATAAATGTCGCATTCATACCTGCCAACTAAAAAATCAGCGTTTCGTCTTATTAAAAATATCGCGACGGCACCCAATAGTCCTGAAACAAATGAGGTGAAATGATTATGAGAACAAGAACACGTGGGTAGGTAGAAATATCACAAAAAAATAGGATTTAAGCGCGAAGAGTGAGATCTGCAATCAGAATACCTCCAATAGCAATAGACCCAACAGCATCATAAACAACATTTCCAGTGTACGAGGTAAGTCCTAAACACGATGCTGCTATTAACAAACCAGTTACAGCTGCTCCATCTTCAGCTAACACTGCAACAGCACTTGGATCACGACCACGAACAACTACATTAAATTCATAAACACTTTATACAGTCAACCAACTATACATTCATCAACCACGTACCCAAGGCTTTCTCGTAGGGGGAGGAAAAGGCCCTGGAAAAGGCTGCCCACGGGGCACAATTTTTTGGAGTATTCGGTCAACCCAATACCTTCTCCTCACCCCTACGAGAAGGCCCTGGGTACGAGGTTGTACATTCATATATATCACGATCCTAATGGAAATGTTTGATATTTCATTTTTAAATCCTAGAAATACGTAGAATACTCGGTGAGATCCGAGCCTTTATTGACACAGCTAGGGAGTGTGTGTGGGGTAGAAATATTAGCTTTCACTTTGTTGAAATAACCCAGGTATATTTAGAGATCAGTGGAATGGAATAAATGTATAAAAAAGAGAAGCATGTTGTATCTCCAAAAGGCGCAAACTCAGCATGCATAAAACTCACCATAATCAGAAAACGAAACACCAGCCTCTCTTGCGCTCATGGAGACTTGATTGACAGCCATAACAAACGTCGCTAAAAACATTGCATATATTCTTTGTGTTAGCGTCCGATAAATTCACGCCCAAGATGCAACTGTTTTGTAATAACTCGGTCTCATACCTCCCTCTGCCAGAAGAGAGCCAAACAAAACAGAAAGTGCCTAATATAAAGATAACGGTCAGATATTGATAGTCAGTGACTATGAAATTAAAAATGCATGAAATTTAACCATTGTGTCAAAACAACGACTTGTTTGTCTTGAAATGAAAAGCACTTACCAAGGGTAGTGAGGCAAGAACAGGAGGATTAAATAAATCACTAATACCATGATATACTGAAACACCAGAACCAAGGAAAAATATCCCAACGCCACTGATTAAAGAATAAACATATCGCGCCCGTGACCACCCATATCTATAGAAAAACACTGATCATTGACGTTACAGGATATAAACGTGCATCGCAGCGACTTTGAATATAATTTTATTACATCTTCTGTAACGATATAAAATTGTCTCTTTTTGGAAGTTGTTATTTCCATGTATAGAAGAAGTGTACGGTCAGCTACAGTATTTCAATCTTCTACTCAATGTAACCTTTACTTACGGGTGATCGACAGAGGGAGCTTTAATGGACTGCAGAATACCAAACGCCAGTAAACACTGAAAACGTAAAATGCCCTGTCAATATGACATGAATTGTATCCGTACGAACGTGAGCAGTACTTGTTCATTTCAGTCTTCTTGTATATCAAGAGTCGTAATAATTATGATGCGACGACTTACCTGGTTTGCAAAATCAGCTAATGAATGAACAGCCTCTGACAACATGCTGGCAGAACCTGTGTACAAATATGCTCCAAATTTAAACACCATCACTGTAAAATTGCTAAAATAAACAAAACTACATATTAAACAAATTAATAATGTGGCAAATTATCGCCACTATGAGAAGTGTCTTTAAACAATGCAGTTATAATTCATTTTAAATTTGAAGAATTACATATTTAAGCGTACCTTATAATAGCATAAGTTACAACTCGTGCAGAACCTTTGAGAAAGTTTACTCTTTCGGTATGACCACCGTAAACCTCAAAGAAACATTTTTAATCGTAGAAATATCAGGCAAAAAAGATACGTATACATCAAATGATGAATGTTATACAATTATTCTGTAGAGATGAAACGTGCCTTTACTTCATTAGCAATGGGTAAAGGAACAAATATATAGACTTTCAATGAATATATACGCTCCTGGAAACTACATACGACGGGGGTGGAAACGAAACAAACATAAAACTGTACACCATGGAGTGTACATATTGAATAAAGGTAAACTGACTATTTTAATAACCTTCTTATCAGCATCAATTTTCGTTTGATCTTTTATAGTTTTCTTTAAATGGCCGATCAAACCACTGAAATCTAAGAATAGATCATTTGATCCAACATGAAGGTGACAGGTTCACTGTGAGTTTATTGACAGGATTGGGTAATTTGGGTTGTTTAAAGCCAAGTTAAAAAGCCTGTAACTCTATTTTGTTAATACATTATTGATTATTGCGTTAGAAATCGGTTACAAAAGTTTGGGGAAATTTCTTTCAAACCTCAAAACCCGATAAGCTGTTTCAATGTCAGTAGCTAGATTAGGATTGCGCAAAAAACAGCAAAACAATCACTAATCTTTAACCAATGAATATTAAACTTAAAGTATCTTCTGTCATAAGGATAAATTAAAGATATACGAAGGTTTTGGGTATCCAATGGATTGCACAATGCAACAAAGATTGATTATCATGCAATTAAGCTTGAATCTAAGTGGAGAATGTGCCTTAATGCGATACGTACGAGAACACTATGACTTCATAGGTCTAGACTCAAGGTGTGTCAGTACCTCGTCTGTATGTTTCATCCGCTTCAAGTTGCTTCTGTCTTTCACGATGTTTGTGTTTGATACTTGCTATGCTACCATGTTTTTCAATTGCTCTATAAATGTTATTGCATGCACAGTGTTATTACATGTCTTTTGTGATGTCTTTGCTTTGGTGGTCCATTGCTCCACCAACACTCACAAGAACAAAATAATTGGGCATGGAGATAGATCACCTTGGACCATGACTGAAGAATTATTTTTCATCTCTCAAAACAGCCCCACTTATCATGCCTGCTGGGGTCAAGTTGGCTTCACCACAGAGAAGACAGCAAAGAGGGGGCATGTGATTCTTTATTAAATGGTGATGTAATGCCAAAAATGTAGATAAGGGTAAATTATAGATTATTATATAAATTGGGGCATTTCACCCAATCAAGATAAAATATGAAAGAGTTCACAGTTAATAGGAAAGTGAGAAGAAATAATAAAATACTTGTAAGCTTTTCAATTTCTTCACCTTTTCTTTACTTGAGATTTCAAGTAACAATATGTAGGAAGTTCAACCTCTGAACTATACGCATTTCGAACTGTGATTTTCTGAAGACCTTCAAGATCACTATAGAAACGAGAGAGGTTTGAAAATTAAACCATACAAGTATAAAATGCTATATTTACAGGCAGAGAAGCAAAAGTAATATTCACAATATGGCAGATCTAGCATAAGTCAAAATAAATTACTACAGCATAATTTTAAATTCAAATTAAGCACCTAAAAAAAGCACCCAGGGAGAAAACAAGTTGTCCTTACCTTTGGTTGAGAATATAATCATTAATGGCCCTTGTTTCAGTCACATATGTGTTTTCATCATGAGCAGCATTATAGTCAACCTTACTAAGCTGAATGTCTACATTTGAGAAGAAAACACCTGCAATTCAACTATGTACCTCATGTAGTAGTGTATCAGGTGAGGTTCAATGATAGAAATCAATGAAACATCCTTTTCTATAAATGTTCTTGCATATGGGAATTCAAATTATAGAGCAATAATCACAGTAAAACAGTAACTAAAGCAGAGCAATGTGGATTTTGTCAGGAAAATATTGTAATACCATTCTTTTTCTTTGAAATGTCATCACTTGACATTTGTTGACAGCAGGATGTTGACAAAATCCTTCGAGGGTTTAAATTCTTTAGAATTGCTCTAAGACTTTTATGACAACCTGTAATGATGTATTTTATAGAGATTAGTTGAAACAAACTATATTGAGTTATGATGGAAACCATGCGTCCTGACTTCAAATTTCTCATACAAGTTGCTATTGAGATGTTGTTTGATAATAGTATATGGGATCATGCATTCTAATTTAATGTATAGTTTAATGCATGCTATAAAGCCTATAATTATTATTGTTTATTTTATTAATGTTATATATTTCAAAACTGAAAGGTTATCTTAACTATTATTGCTGACATCAGCAATTTCTATGACCAATTGTTAACTTGGAGAATAATCATGAAATGAAAAAGTGGAAACAATATTTAAAGGCTCTCAAAAACCTTACAACAAAACTGTACTCAACACCATAAAGCCAAATAAAGTTAGCTGTAAAATCTAGACAATATTTCATTCAAATGACTGAATGGTGGTCATTCATGAATCCACAAACGACAAACCTGCACAAAGATGAAGTTTTCTGAAATTTTCGAAACATTTCTTCGACATCATTGCATTCTTATCATGGGTTTGCAAAAGTTCTCTTCTCACGCTACAAAATAAGTTGTAAGATAATCGATTCATTATTTTTTCAAGATCAAACATCAAATACTGTGCACAATATCTTTTTAAAATTTCATGATTTTTTTCACTTTGTCTTATACTTCATGTAATTTGAGTGTAAATGATGAAAGAAAGGGAAGTCCTGGGCCTGGGACGACTGTCATGTGACCGCATGTGACTTTCTTATTTTCCAATTCACGCGAATTAAGTGGCATTCTCGCCCAATTTTTTTCAATAAAACTTGGTGGGTTTTCTAGTTTATTTCATTTCAAAATGTCGTCTGCAAATGATCCGACTAAACCACCCTATGTGCATTTTTTTGGAGTAATGGGAGCGACTGCAGCTATGGTTTTTAGTGGTAAGTCTAAAGGTTCTCTTCAGGACTGTAAACGTCGCCATCTTTGTTGGCTAAATGAAGAATGTCATATTTAGCTTTAGGAGCTGCTTATGGCACGGCGAAAAGCGGCACAGGAATCGCTGCTATGAGTGTGATGAGACCTGAACTGATTATGAAATCTGTTATCCCAGTCGTAATGGCCGGTATTCTTGGGATTTATGGCTTGGTGGTTGGAGCTTTGATCGGAAATGGAAGTGAGTAGACACTAGACACGCTTCACGTCATATTTAATTTGATGGATTTTTCAGCAGTTTCAACGTGTATATATCTGTTTTATTTGGCCTTTTTGATTGAAATAACTTGACAACAATGCTACTACCTTTTTTAAATCCAATATTGTACATATTTATATAAGTTAGATGTCACGTATTTCATAACATCGATATCAGTATAAAAGTCGTCAGGGACGTTGTATAGATCATCAACTGAGTTTCATTTGAGTACTGTGCATTTTATACTTCAACTAGTTTTCTCTTTTCACTTTGCAAATCAATACAATTATTGTGAAATGAATTATTGAAATGAAGTCTTGCCAGAGTTTTGGATGATAATTGGATTAGATCTTATGAAATAATACTTTTCCAAACTTTACTATGATGTACTTGTTATGTAAAACTTGTTACATATACTTACTTTTTCTTTTCTAGTGGATGCAAGCTACACATTATATAAGTAAGTATGGTCATGTCTCCATAAATCAAATTATTTCAGCCTCATCCAGGGCATAGTGCATAATATATCACATATAGTGGGTTCTAAATATATATATAGGGATATGTGTATTCAAAAATCATCCGGTGTCTTTCCCCACTGTTTGCCCTGTATTTGAGCTATTCGACCCTCTAAATTGTTTCACTTTTGCTTTGGCAAAATCTGGCAGTTTTGCCAACAGAGGTAAAAACATTATATTCTTCAGAATTTGCTGCGGCTAATACAGAGGCAAGTTACAAGGACTGGTTGTGTTTATAGGCTATGGGTTTATAAACAAATGTTAATATATTTGTATAGGAGCTTCTTGGATTTAGGAGCTGGCTTGAGTGTTGGTCTCAGTGGGCTTGCTGCAGGTTTTGCTATTGGTATTGTTGGTGATGCAGGTGTACGTGGTTCTGCACAACAACCACGTCTCTTTGTTGGAATGATCCTTATCCTGATTTTTGCTGAAGTTTTGGGGCTTTATGGTTTAATTGTTGCTCTTATATTACACACAAAATCATAAACTTCTAACTATCATAACATTATTTTATTTTCAACATCTGTACTAAAACCAAGTCATACCATTATCAATCAGCAACAGCGTCCGGAATTGTAATTTCTGGCTTAAATTCTCGCTAGTTTGCAATAAGGCAAATCAAATGTGCGTAAATTGTTGCTGTATTTAATTTCCACTCTTAATTATATTGTGTAGCTTACTGCATTAATAAAAATGTGAATATTGAATGAAGACTGTCAATTTTAAGTTCATTTAGAGCAATAAAAATTATTGTTGCAAAACATCATTGTTCTAATTTAATGTTTTTGGGTTTGGTTGCTGTCTTGACCCTGATTATCCAGTGTTTAGGAAGAGAAGGAATAAGGACTAAATATGAAATTACTTGCAGCATCTTTAGACAACTTCACATTAAATGTGCTTCAACAACCACTTCTTGATGTTTCAAGCTAAGAGCCTTCTGCAGGGGGTTAAGTGTCATACTAAATCTCCTAAAAAGGCCCTCCAGGGAGAAACACCACAAAGGGTCCATTTTAATCAGTTGTTATACCTTATTTGATGCGTGCAGTATTTAGCATAGTCACAAAACAGAAGATACAACAAAGATCTGTTGAAAATAGCCAGGAAATGTTTTACATTATTGCCGACTTGCGGTTAAAACTTAAAACTTTAGTTCCAAGTTTCTAAAATTTAGGCTGTATCCTCTGATAGGGCAGAATTGTTGTACTATCCTCTGATTGAAAGGACTTACATATGATGCACATTACCAAATCAAATCCATCCAAACAGATCCATCGTTTTTTTCAGTTGACATCTAAAACCTTAGCTAACAAGGAGTTCAAACGTGCCACCATTGGACGAGGATCATCGATCAGCCCGGCAGATATTAATCCATTGTCATACAACTAAGAAAAAGTGAAAAACTGAATCCAAAAATACAAACCAAAAATAATTTTTAAGAAAAAAGATAACGCGGTGAAGCAAAAATTGGATGAAACAATCATCCGGACTTTTGCGCTGGATTAAAAATGAAGTTTGGGATTATCAAAAATTTCGAAATGTCGTCACGTTTCATTTTGATTTGAGTCGCAGGATTGCGCGAAGTGTTTAAAAATCCTTATTATAATTTTATTAAACCAGGAAAAACATGGGTTACCTGCTCAGCAACAAGTTTTGCAACCTTTGGATCCGAGTCCATGATCTCATGGAGCTTTTTAATGACGTCATGACTAAAAACAGGAAGGTTTTCAAAAGAATCAGAAACCGCACAAAAAATTGACCTCTTAATAGTTCATTTTTCGACTATATTTCGTACGGCATTAAAAATGACGAAGGCGATGAATAGGGACAATATTATTCTACCTTTGTCTATGATCTTAGTATGGAGACGAAATATTCGGACTCAAAATATTTCAGATTTTCTTTGCTTTTTGTTTGATCTTTTAGTTTAGTTTTTTAGTTTTGTAAATTGGCCTTTTTGCTGCGACTTTAGAGTTTAGGTGTAATTTTCTTCATATAAACTAGCAAAGTAAATGATGTTACCTTGGATTTATTTCCATTGTTGGTTGCAGTACATCAAACTTCATATTTTCTAATTGTTCAGCATGAGGAGCTGATTTTATTATCTTTAACCAACGTCTGGCAGCCGCCATATCAGCCACTGTGATCATTACGGGATGATTTGTCAAACGGTGAGATACCTAAAGAAACATACTCAGTCATTCTCGTTTATATTCCTACGACTCAATTGAAACTAGAATTAGCCATAATCGCAACAGCTCTGTTAGTAAATGAGATTGCTTGGATTTTTTTTATATATACTCTATATACTTTTTAAGTGAGCTGTAAAATATCGACACGAGGAACAAACCGTAAGTTGCAAGTTTTATCGACCATGAGTTAAATACCTTGACACTTGCGACTTTTTGTTTCCCAAATAAATTTTCCATCCATTTTGCAAGTTGATCAGAATTTTCTTTTGATAAACGTTCACCCTCTGAAATGGTGATGCATACGAGAGGTTTAACTTGGGCGTCGCGATTATTCCTAAGCGTATACTTTTCTCTTTGCAACGCTTTCATAGTAACTATCTTTTACAAACAAAAACATTCCTCTTTATGGGATGAAACACATTTAACTGTAGTCGTGAATAGACCATTGTATAAACTAATCCTTACTATCACATACAAAGTCATAGATAATAGATAATCTCGCCTCAAAAAATACCACCACACATGCAGACACAAGATTACAATAAAACCCCGATACCTGCAGTATCGCCGCTAGTTTCGTCAACTTCTTGACTGGTGGACAAATACGTTTCTGCTGATGTCACAGTTCTACCATCAAACTTTTTTAATTGATGTAAAACCATTTCATCGTTATCGTCGTAGGTAAACAAAACCTAGGAATTAGGGTGGATTAACTTTTTAAACATTGTAGATTTATTCACTGATATTTTGGTAAAATTCTCGCGCGCATACACGATACCCACCTCAACGTCATTTTTCTTTAAAGCTTCAAAGTATGGTGAGGTTTCTGCAAGTTCCCGACTAAAGAAAATAGTGTAAATGTTTAAAGCACAGAGCATGTGTTTGACATGTGGTCGAAAGTTTAAGTTTTTTGATGATGAAAATTGCCATAGAACTCACAGAGTATGGAACTCACAGAGAATTTTATGGGACCCACAGAGGATGGAACCCAGAAGGTGTCGAACCCACAGAGGATGGAACAGGGTATGAAACAAACAGTTTAAGAACCCACATGGTAAATTATGGGACCCACAGAGGATGGAACAGGGTATGAAACAAACAGTTTAAGAACCCAGATGGTAGATTATAGGACCCACACAGGATGGAACAGGGTATGAAACAAACAGTTTAAGAACCCACATGGTAGATTATGGGACCCACAGAGGATGGAACCCAGAGTATTTAAAAGTATAATCATGCACGTATCAGGACTGCTACATTATTATGCTAAACGTTGTAACATTACTAATGGTAGCGGGGTTTTTTTAAATCATAAAATATATAAAAATCATAAGAACCTGGGTGCACAGATGTAATAAATTGACTTTTGAATCGGTTTCATCCGGGATACGTAATGCTCCAACGAAATTAGATCTCCAGCCTTTTCATTGGACGATTCAAAACGCAACAATTTTGCAACATCTTCTTTCAAATGTTCGTCATTTGTGACCACAACACCCTCTCGGAGGAAAATGCCATATTCTTTAAAAAATTCTTCGTATTTAACTCTATCTTTACGAGCTTGTTCTTGAAGAAACTTTATTAACCGTCTTGTCAAAACATCTTTCAATCTTTGAATTAAAGCGCTGTCTTGAAGCATTTCCCGACTCAGATTGAGCGGAATATCTTCACTATCGACGACACCACGAACAAATCTTAACCATTCAGGTAACAACTTATCAGACTTCGTCTGTATGACCACGCGACGACTAAACAGACTAACCCCAGTCTCCATGCGACCAATACCGTACAACTCTGGTACACGCTCGGGAATGTAAAATATACTGCGGATGTTTAATGGTGCATCCGCTTTGAAGTGCAAATGATATCGAGGTTTATCGAATGCGTTTGAAATAAACCGGTAAAATTCCTGAAAATAATATATCACAATTTTATAAAAAAAATTCTTTCATGCTAGTCTTGACGTCACGAGGACACTGCATGCAGAAATATATCATTCTAGTTATCTCATAATTTTATTTTTCCGAATGGAAGGAGGGCAACCGGCTGGGGATGTTCGTCGAAGGAAGCAGCAGCACAAAGCAAGAGAAAAGATAATAAAAAAACACAAAAAATTTCCGCTAAATGATGTGATCAAAATAAACTCTAGTCACCACGATGCTTGATGATTGAAAAGTTTTGTGCATCGTCTTTCTCAGATTAATATTCATGGCAAATACCTCTACCTTGGCTCTATTCGTAGCCAGCGGGACGATTTTTTTGAAAGTCATTGAACAAAGGAATATTTGATTTTTTTGGACGTCATTGAAAATAGAAATTCTACCAATTTACCATTCCGGAATAAAGCGCTCTCAGTTAAACCACGCACAATTTTGGGGGAATTGGTACGGATGAAATTTTAAATTCCGTACTGAACCTAAAATCGTGCGGGGCTTAGCGCAGTCGGGTTGGCTGCACAAGTTTCCCACCTTGCTGTTCTTAGTTGCAGGGTACAAATGGATTTCAGTTTGATTAAAAAAAGACCCCGAATTTTTATACCTCGTGTTGCTCTTCAGTAACATGTTTTGGATCAAGAGTCCACAAAGGCTGAAAGAACAACAACAAATACAAAGCAATTACAATCATTTATAACCATCTACTATCACGAAAGACCCAAACTTGAACCTACCTCGACAGTATTTATGCAAACACCGTTAAGAAATATCGGAAATCCTACAAAGTTGCTGTACTTTTTAATAATCTCTGAAAGAAAAGAAGCAGAGAATAGCAGCTGAAATCTGTTATTTGTAATTTTACTGTCTTGAATTTAAATATATTGAATTAAAAACGCACTAATTTTTGTTTCGTTTTTGAATTAAAATGTAGTGCATCAATAGGCACAAACATGATTCCCTTTTAATAAAAATGCGTACAGTGTACAATATGTACAAGTTATATAAATTTAATATAGCTACCTTCCACTTCAGTCTTCAATGAAAATCGTCTGCAATCATTTTTCAAATGAACAATAATTTTTGTTCCTCTTGCAACACCTTCAGCTTCGGCAATTTCATAACTTCCAGTTCTAGTGAAGTGTGTGAAAGATATAAAACAATTTTTAATGCAATTACCATCTGCTTGTCTCGATCACTGCAGGCAAATAAGATGTAAACACAATCTATACATCAACTCACCCATCAGATGACCACAAATATCCCTTACTATCTGGCAAATATGACTTTGTATAAACATCAACTTTATTCGCGACCATGAAAGCAGAATAAAATCCAACTCCAAACTGACCAATAATATTTTCAGCACTACTTGCTGAACTGTCGCCTTGCTGAAGTCTTTGAACAAAAGCTTTAGAACCTGAACGAGCGATTGTTCCTAAATTTTCAATTAATTCTTCTTTAGTCATTCCTGTTCCATGATCTTGCAAAATGAAGGTTCCAGTCTCTTCATTTGTAGCTAAATGAATCTCTAAACTTTGTTCTTTCTCTGTCATCTCAGCCCCAGTTAAAAATAAATGTCTGAGTTTTTCCATTGCATCAGATGAATTTGAAACAAGTTCACGAATAAACACCTAGAAGTATCATGAAATTTTGACCTTGTTAGAAAAAATGGAACAAAGAAAAAACAAGAACAATAAAGATGTCACATTTCTAAAACACTAAACTTACTTCTTTCTCAGAATAAAGAGATCGGGCAACAATATCCAACAATTGTTGAGTCTCCGCTTGAAAACTGTGCTTATCTCTTGGTCCTTTAGACAGAAATAAACCACAATTAGGCTTTAGTTTGTTAAAAGGTAAGCCATGTATGTACACTAGTCGACATGCAGCTTGATATTAAAAATTTCTAGTGTGACTTTCTGTACAGTATTAACCTTATTACTGGGGATGCAGCAATCTTCATAGCAATATACAATATTATAAAGTAATGTGTTTTACAAACCTGAAACTGACTCAGTTTCCTGAATGACATGTATAAAATCCTGGTCCTCATCCACACCATTTTGGGCTTCAGGCTAAAATACAAGGTAAAAATATGTCAAGCCAGTTATATGTAAATAACTGTTTTTATTGTTAATGTTCAGAGTTGGGATGCCATTGATGGCTTAGAAGACTACCTTAAAATGAAGATCATGCACTTATTGAACATTCATCAAGGGCATTTATCTACCTGTATTGGCTCTTCAGAGGAAGTTGATGAATATCTCACTGTTGGACAAAATACTCCTATTGTTATTTCTAATATAAGAAAGACAAAGTATATAAAGTGCAGATTTACGAACATTATAACAAGAAGCTAACTTTTCATCTTTGATGTGAATCATTTTTGAAGCAAATAAAATACGATATGGAATTGCATGATTATGACCATTTGCACCATTATGCAGCCTCAAGGAGATGTATAGAGCTACTGTGCAGGTGAAGAGTGTCAGATTTTGAAATGAGGGAACTCCAACACATTGTTCATTTAGGAAAGTCTGCCGTGCCCGTCAATACACAATGTCACAAGTCTCTGTTCACAAACTATCAACAAGAAATGACTATTCTGCTTATTGAAAGATTTTGTGGTTGTTACATGATTGTCAATACAAGATTGTAACAATGTTACATCACAGATGTACCATAGACTTTTTGTCACAACAAGACACTCAGGGGCAATATGTTGCTATTGTTCCGTATGTACTTGATGTAAACTTGGGCAACAGCGTATAGTCCATATACCTGGCAAGTGTTTCAGCAAATATTTATTTGTGTTTCTGCTGTGTCTCTCAAGACCTGGCCCAGAGGCCTGGCAGCACATGCACAAGAAACTGAAGAAAGTGGGTGAACTAATTCATCTCTGGCTCTAAAATATTGATTTTTTTCTCTTTCTGACTCTTTCACCCTTCCTACAAATCGTATAAACTATTTATCTCAGTAATAAAATTTCTGAGCTATTATATAGCGTTCTGCCATCAAATAACTATCAATTTACCTTTGTGTCTGTGATTTTCAAATATTGCCACATAAGGTCTGCACATGGAAACACCACGTGTTAAACACATTCTGGAAGCCAGCCGAGGGAAAGCTTTTACCTGATGCAATCTACTCATTTTTCCAGTTTTTCCAGTATATCTAAATCTACTTTCTTGTCGGGATGAAAATTTATTAAAAAGATAAACTAATATATACAATATTGCTTTAATAACTTGCGTTGTATTTCCCTTTGCACATTTTCGACATTTTCAACCGTGAGATGGTTTGGAACCTGGAACGAACCGTGCTCGAGGTGCGTGGATAGTTCGTGGAAATCGCGTGGAGAAGTTTTGTCGTGCAGAACAACACGATTTATAAATACTGTATCTGTCTGTCATCTGTGACTGTATATATTTATGCCGAAGAATTGTTCATCGTTATGGCATTAAATAAACTCGGTATTAATGCTGTTGATGTAAAAGACAAAAGAGTTTTGATAAGGTAAGCTTGGGCTTTACGTAATCATTTGAAGATTGACGTGCATTCGTGTAGACTGTACATGTAGACTGTTGAGGCACAGAGGCAGTAGACCTAGATACTATTTTTAAAGAAAATAAACCTGACACATAAGACTCCCTCAAACCAAAAGGTATTGTTGTGATCAGTTTAAGAGTTAGCTATTAATATTAAAAAAATTTAGCGTGAACTGGAGTTGGTAGGTCTTCAACCTGCCGAACCTAGCACAGGGGGGGGGGGGTGCTTGTATAAGCAATGGAGAATGCTCTATGATATCTTGGTTCATCTCATTCTAGTAATATAGGACAGTACATTTAGATGAACATAGAAGCAAGAGTAGAAAACTGGCAGTGTATATACCTAGTGCAATTACTTGCAGACTTTCATGCAATATGACCATGCAACTTTCATGTTATGAGAGGTGGTTCTGAATGGGTGTGGCACCATAAAAGAAAGGCAATATAATTCTGCTAACTTGGATGCTTAAATAGCTATAAGAAACATTTCACGCAAACACTTCCAAAGTGTGTATTTTGGAATTTTAAAATTATAATTGGTATCATATTTGAACAATAATCTACATTCAGTCTTCTCTACTTCTATACTGCAATAGTCACCATTTTAGACCATGTTATACATAACAATTTTAACAGAGTTGACTTCAATGTTCCATTAAAGGAAAAAGAAATAACAAATAATCAAAGGTTAGTCAATCACATTGTTAATAATCTCGTTAAGTTTCATTCGATCAGTCCCAGTGCTCTTTCATACAGAATGTGTATATCAGACAGCAAAAATTTATTAGGATGAGCGTTCCAAAAGATTTATTAACATCATTCCAGAATAGTTGCAGCTCTGCCAACAATACAATATTGTTTGGAAAATGGGGCAAACAATGTTGTACTAATGAGTCATCTTGGAAGACCTGATGGTTTAGTGAATGATAAATATTCACTTTCTCCTGTTGCTCAAGAATTAAGAAAACTACTTGAACGGTATGAACATTTATATCTGTTTTCATGTGCATATAGTTGCAATTTGCTCACAAATATTTTACATTCTTAAACTAGAGAAGTGCAATTTTTGTCAGACTGTGTTGGTTCTGAAGTAGAGGCTACATGTGCCAACCCCACAAAAGGTTTGCATGTAGTTCAATAAGAATATTCAGTCATTGTTATAAATGCTTATGAGTTAGTTTTACCAGAAGGTAATTACTCCTGTGTGTTTTTTCCCACGTTTTATTGCTGCTACGACTCTATAAAACATGTACAATAACTATATTGATATATATACCTATATAACATAGATCATTCGTGTTGTTTAACGTCAGGTGCTGTTATTCTTCTTGAGAACTTACGTTTTCATGTGGAGGAAGAAGGAAAAGGTGTTGACAAGGATGGAAAAAAAGTAAAAAAATCAGCCTTTTAATTTTAGTTTATATTTGCGAGCGAATCACGGATAAACTAAACCGTGTTTGCTATCACTAATCGCTCCATCATTCATTGTTACCCTATATACATTTCCTGTCCAAACGGTTCGTCTTTCCTTGTCCAAAGGGTTCAATTAACAAATGGCAAATCATATTTAGCGTTTGAAACTTCGTTCCTCCGGTGGATTAAGCATTTTACTGGACCTATTCTAACGAGCCAGAGGTACACAGTTCTGATGTACCACCACCTTCAACCTCTCTCACTACCCGTTTCATCAAATGGAAATAAGTTATCCTATATCAGGAAACTATTGTACTGACACAATCACTTTAAGGCTTGACATATTTTGACGCCTTGAAAACATTTTAACAGCGTGACTAACATTATCGTTCTATTTCAATGCATGCAATAATTATTTTGTTATAATTATTGTCTATTGAATCGTCGGCAAAGTCGTTCCCATAAAGTGGAAAAAAGTAACCCATACGCTTGGGTATAGTTTCTATACCTCAATGCATAGATAAAGGGATTAGCAATCGAGTTTATACCAACCAACTCCATTATGATGATGCGAGCAGAGTTCGAGAGATGATATCCTGACGTTTCAAGCGTCGCTGCGACAATACATGGAACAAAACTACACATCAGCACGGCAAAAATTACGGCAAATGTTTTTACATCTTTTAATCCCATTGCAAAATGATGTAACCAAGTCATCGTATTGTTAGTGGATTGTCCTGGGTCCTGACTCTGACAGTGGCTCAACATTAAAGACCTTTCTTTGTTTTTGTACTCGGACGATCCGGAACATTTTGTAGTTGAGAATTGCTATTAAACAAATGAAAACTGACAACAATGTGACATTCACCCACAAGGATGCTCTTGGAAACTCGCACCATTTTGAGTCCTTGTCTTTCTTCATGCAAATATATATTATTGGAAACTGAGCAAACGCAATCAACCAAATAGAAATGAGAACAATAGAAGTTCTTCGTGGTTTCACAATAAGTGGATATTTCATTGGTTTTGCTATGAATACATATCTGTCGAATGTCATCAATAAAAGAATTGACATTGAAAGAAATAAAGAAACATAAAATGCAGAACCCAATATCTTGCATAGTTGTGCATCGAATCTCACTTTATGTAGAGAAAAATGGACAATTTTTATAGGGTAAATTGTCAAACAAACAAGAAGATCAGCTAATGCAAGGTTTGCTAGCAACCAGCTGCTCGGGGTCTTGTCGCGGTTCAAAAATTTGTTATAAATAATGACAGCCATGTTTCCCAACGCTCCAACAAGTAGGAAGATGAGACTAAATACCAGTATTTCATATCTCTGAGATGATTCGCTTGAAATTGTTGAGTTTTGTGAAGTCATTGTGTTCTTTGTTGATATATGAGTTTTTTAAGGCTCCATTCATTGCTTGTATTGAAAACATCTGGTGACACTTAAAGCGAGACTTGAGGCATATATTTACGTTTAAAGCGTTGTGTAGATTTGAAGCATTAATATTCATTTAAGAAATATTGGAAAATTCTGTGAAAGTATGAAAATCATTACAAAAAAGTTTAATAAAAAACCCCGTGGTATAAAAGTAAGGATGAAAGTGTCGCCTGATCTAAATCATCTAATATCTTATACACTATTAGCGAACTCACGAAAATTTGTCACTGTAAATGTAACCAATCACAAGTTTATTAAAATAAATAATAGTCACTTTTTTATTGTGCATGTCGAGTTTACACTAATGTTGAGGTATCAGTTTGTGCATGGGCGCACCAATACGAACTGAAATATATTGACTCGTGGTGAATAATTATTTACGTTTATTGTAATTTGATGAAAGCCTCAGGAAAGGGGACGAACTTGTCAAAATCAGTGTGAATCTCAAGTATTCTAAATAAAACATGCAAACAGAACATAAATTAAGCCTAGTTTATAGAACTACATATAGTTTATCGATCTGAAACTAAATCTTACGTCGCCTCCTGCACAAGCATACAGTAATCTCGCAACTTTCGTGCTTATTCAGGTGAAAGCCAGCGATGAAGACATAAAGAAATTTCGCGAGTCACTTTCTAAACTTGGAGATATTTATGTCAATGATGCGTTTGGAACAGCTCATAGAGCTCACAGGTGATAAAATCATGACATCTTGGCATACGGGGATAGTGCAGATAATTAAAAAATGATCTTGTGAGATTTTATTCTTATTCATGTAGTTCAATGGTTGGAGTGAACTTGCCTCAAAAAGCAGCTGGTTTCTTACTAAAGAAAGAACTGACATATTTTGCAAAAGCGCTGGAATCACCAGTTAGACCTTTCTTAGCCATATTAGGAGGGTATGTCTTGGGACAACTGCAATGTATTATTTCCTGAATTGTGAATACCGTGCAATGTTTAATGAAAAACTAATTAAAGATACAATTTATTAGCCCAGTTTCCTCCAGGTATGAAATGTGGACGACAAACACGTATGCATTAAGGCTTTGTTTTTTCTTAGCGCTAAAGTAAAAGACAAAATTCAATTGATTGAAAATATGTTGGATAAAGTGAATGTGATGATTATTGCTGGTGGAATGGCTTTTACTTTTGCGAAAATTCTGCACAATATGACGGTAAAGTGAAGCTTTTTACTCGCCAGGACTTGTTGGTAATAGTATAAAGTCGTTTGGTTAATTTTTACACTACCCGAGATTTTTTAGTTGTTTCGTTTCATTATAGATTGGAAACTCATTATACGATGAAGAAGGTTCAAAAATTGTTCAAAAATTAGTGGATAAAGCGAAAGCAAATGGCGTTGAGTTTCATATTCCAGTTGACTTCAAAACTGGAGATAAATTTACAGCTGATGCTGCTGTTGGAGACGCTACATTGGAGTCGGGTATTCCTGATGGTTGGATGGGACTTGATATTGGACCAAAAACTATCGAGAAATTTACTAAAGATGTCATCCTCCAAAGTAAGACTATCGTTTGGAACGGTCCGCCAGGGGTGTTTGAATTTGATAATTTTGCAACTGGAACAAAGGCGCTTATGGATGCTGTTGTTGAAGTTACTAAGACTGGAGCAACAACTATTATTGGTGAGATTGATTAGGATGTTTTGAAGTGTTTCTCGTCGTCGACGTCCGAAGCAGTATATTAAATATGATCTGTCTCTAGGAGGAGGAGATACTGCCACGTGTGCTGCTAAATATGGTACTGAAAATCTTGTGAGTCACGTAAGCACTGGTGGTGGAGCAAGCCTTGAGTTGTTGGAGGGTAAACGAACATTATTAAATTATTCCATCTTTCGCGTGGGAATGAAAGTACCTGTCTAGAGTTGTCTAGTTTATATCATATATTTGTCTTAATACTTTAGCAACGATGAACCCAACCAACCGTAATAGCACTACGTGATGGACAAATGTCATATGCTTATATTCTCTTTTAGGAAAAATCTTGCCTGGTGTTGCTGCTCTTTCAGAGGCTTGATTCTCTTTGTTTTTCAATATTCTTGTTGCCATCGTTGATGAAATAAATCAATCCTCTATACATCTATACAAAAGTTGTGGCGTGTATCACTGAATCGTCTTTTAAGTATCTAATTTCACACATCAATATTGTTTAATCTGGCCTATTTACCTTTTGGTATGTATTAATCCGTGAATAGTAGATATTACGATACATCTTTTAATGTTTAACAGGTTCCAAAAAGTACAAAATAAATTGTAACTAAATTGTGTGTCTAGTTGTATTCTTTATCTGATAAGTATCCAATACAATGGCATGACCTCCACAAATACATGAAAATTTATGCAAACACATATGTAACCGCGATGTCGCGAAGTGGTTGCTCACCCGCCAAGGTGGAAATCTTTCCGTGTGTCAAACTAAAGTATAGACTATATGGTCTCTGTGTGTTTTCTGTGTATCAAACTGGAGTATAGACACTAATAGACTATATGGACTATATGGTCTCTGTGTGTCAAAATGGGGTATATGAACTATATGGACTATATGGTCTGTGTGTTCTCTATGTGTCAAACTGGAGTATAGACACTAATAGACTATATGGACTATATGGTCTCTGAGTCCGTGTGTCTAAATGGGGTATATGAACTATATGGACCATATGGTATCTGTGTGTTCTCTATGTGTCAAACTGGAGTATAGACTATATAGTCTGTGTGTTCTCTGTGTGTCAAACTAAAGTATAGACTATATGGTCTCTGTGTGTTCTCTGCATGCGTGTCGAAGCCGATTTTACTCAAGCCCGTTTAGCTTAAACGGTGGATAAGTTCAAAATAGAAAGCAAGTCTGACGTTTTATTCAGCAAGCGAATTAAGTAACAGTTTACAACTCATATTCAGTGTATAATACATGTTTATAATATTCAAGTTGACTCATTCAACTTCAACAGAGTTGTAGGAGTGTTACAACCGGCCCCTGGTGAGGAAGCATAGACTATATGAAATACATAAACGTTTATCATTTTTATGGCGGGTCAGATAAAACGATGTTTTTAAATCCCCTTAAACCATGGGTATGTCATCAACCGTCCCACTGCCGCCGTCATGCAATGCGCCAAACGGCAGGTTTTGAGTTTTTTGACCAGGGTTTCCCGTCTTGTTCGCTAGCAGCGGCAGCAATTAATGCCATAAAGTTCATCCTTTGTCTTGAAGCTCAGACTATAGGGCGCGGAAGCCAATAGACAGGAACTTATAAATGCGGCATTAAACTGCTAAGCTCGAAGTTAAAGGACAACCTTTTCTTGAGCTGTGTATCACGCAGTTCGTAAATTGTATTTGGGTGAATATAAAATAACTATAAAATAATAAATATATAAATTTGTGGGGGAATAATTTTGGCTTCATCACATGACACGAATGCTGTTGACGAATGCGAAGGCTAAGGGTACGTCATGCTAAATGCTTTATTATTGTACTTGAAGTTTATACTTTCGAATATCTTATGTTGAGTAAAAATTAGTTAATTACACGCTTGTAACATGTACAGAGTAAAAATTAGTTAATTACCCGCTACAACGCACTTTCAGATTTTGAAATCTGAGAAATGTTGGTATTGGTGACGGTGAGACAACAAATTCTGATCAAATCATTAATTAAAAGAGTTTACAACTTTAGACTAGTCACTATTGATTACAAAAGTCTATCTGACCACGCATGTCTATATCTATAACTATAAGCTTTTAGCTCAGTCCTATTTTATCAAAGAGATAATGTTCGTAGAATGAATGCACATGCAGAGTTGTTTTAGTATTGCTTTAATTCATTTGACTGTGGCGGTGGATAGGCTGCTGCTTGCGGTTGATAAGGTGGTGGTTGTTGGCTTGGATACCCTTGAGGGTTCTCGAAATACATTGGTTGTGCTTGTTGTACAGGGTATTGCTGATGCTGCTGCTGTTGGGTTGAGATGACTGTAGTTCCCGCAGTATTAACAGGTTGCGTGACAACAACACCGCGACCACGGCGGGAACCTGACGCTGCTGCAGCACAGCAACAGCAAAAGATGGCAATTCCAACGGGTATAACGACGACAACAATAACACTGATAACAATTACTGCGACAATCCAACCAGCAAGATTACAAACCGAGGAACATGTGCCGTCCGAATCACAACATTCACCCGTTGCACAGTCGGAATTTGAAGAACAAGACTCATCAAGGCAATTACTTTTGCATTTTCCTACGAAGCCCGCCTTTTTGCAGCAGTAATCGTCGGAATATAACCAAATTTATCTTCACAATCCGATTGGAAGTACAGCCAACTTGGTAAAAGAAGCCATAAAGAGCAAAAAATATAAGGCAAAGAACCGCAGTATTCTTTATACCCGCCATTCTGTTGCGAATTTCTAACAGGAATGTGCGGTGACACGAATGTTGACATTGCGTAGGTTGCTACCTGCTTATTCTGATTGGCTACATAATATCATGTGTTAACTGGGTGGGCCAATTATTTGATTTGTTGCCAAACATTTATAATACCTCGCAGTTTCACTTTCATTTTCCCAGTCTTTGTGATTCTCCTTTCTTTCATTTCTCCAGTCTTTTCAATTGTGAGAATTCGACCATAGCGGATTCCCTTAGCGGCCACAATTGAAAAGAATTTCAAATTAAACAAACTGGATTTCATATATAAAATTCTTGAGATTTTGCATGGAAACTAAAATACAGTGTACATTTATCTGTTTATATATCTTCGTCACTGCAAAGCTTCGGTCCGTCATCCCATCAGTGCAATTAAAAATTTTAGACTGATCCAAAAGGCAATGGTCTAAATAGTGCATGATTTTACAATTTTATTAATTCTCCTAGGCTACAAAATGGTAATTACCGGAAATGATCGCCATAGATTGAAACGTGTTCAAATAAAGGTTTAATAATAATAATTCTTTTTTGAACGTACTAAACCCGTAACAATAAAACACGACTGAGAATTTGATCACAGCCATGCAGAATATAACAGCAAATATTAAAAGTTTTTTTGTTGCATATCTTTTACAGACGACTCTCTCGTGAAGAAGTTCTAATTTCTCCTTCTTAACTCCTTGACCTTGTGGTCTAACACTTGTGCATATCGTTGATTCACCATGTAAGCAGTATGCGGTGACGTGAACGAGTACCACAAACCAATTTCGCGCTTTTTCTTTTCTATGCACTCACTCTGAAACAAGCGCCGCTGTCGAATAAGCACAAAATAATAATGCTGAAATAATACAAATATCAACAAAGTCCATGCAGTTCGAATATACATTTATTGGTTTCTTTATATATAGCAAAAATAACTTCTATTTCGTGTTGACACACAATTTATCTCGATTAAAGTGCACAATCATTAAAGCGGTTAAATTAAAGTGGTTCAACTGATAGCAGCCTTAATAAACATGCTATGAGTATCTTACTATTTGTTTTGTTCAATTTCAGGAACGCGGGACAATAAAGACAGCCCCGGTCAAATATCAAATAATCTTTGCCCCGGTATTATTACTTATTACTATCTTCAGGTGATTGCGCGTGAAGAGTTACTATTTCATGTTATATCGTGCGTTTAACATAGACTACATTTAACATACAAAAGTAATTTATATATCTAAAAATGATCAATTCGCACTTTAGCAATGTAGTTATTGGGATAACTTTAATCGAATATCTTATTGTTTATTATGCATTTAAACTATGGTCTATGGAACACGGATTTAACGGATTCTCTAAGGTAAAAGACGTAATGTTATTTAGATGGAAGAGACGTAAGGATGGTGAACGGGCGGTTGAAAGCATCGAACTTGTTCCAAGGAACTTTCACTTGACTTCAAATATTTATTGAGAGAGGCAAATATTTGTTGATTCAAAACTTTTACGTTCCTTGCTTTCTCCACGAGACGTTTTAGACTCTATAAATACGCAAACGACAGTAAATTCAAAAACTATTCTGCGGTTTATAATGGCACTTCATGTGTACGGGCTATATCTTCACTAAGGCAATAATATGCCATTCAGTAAAGGAATATTAATAAAACTTTACTTCATATTAAACTTGTTTAATTCGTTAAAAAAACTCACCACTCCTCCAACTGTTTCATCTCTGGGATCAACGTCATAAACCTTCACAATATGTGAACAAAAATCTAGTGCTTCAAATCTTTTTTGTTGACTCAGCAATACGACGAATGAACAACCGGCCCAGTAAAGACCCTCACCAAACAATTGCCTAGAAATCGTTGTTTAGTTTTAATTTCACATGTTGAAGACATTCAAGATTTTAAAAAAATCATTCACCAAAAATATACCATAAACCAAGAATAACGGCACATACTCAACAGAATATTCATTCTGTCCAATGGGTTGACAGATAATGAATAATATAGCACTCCATAAAGAATGAAAATCTTTACATTCCTCAACTGTCATGACGCCATTTTGAGGTATTGATGTCTGCCATACTTCATCGTGAAGAAATGATTGAATTCTCTTTAACATCACTTCAACTAACGATAAACCACAACATAATCTTTCCTTTGTAAGAAGTTCCCCCTCTTGAGCAATGTTCAGTTGCTGCAAAATAACTATACAGTTACAAAGCATGACACTTTAGACATCTAAGCCCCCCCAAAAACAATAAAAATACAATTGTGGAAACGTCTTTACGATGTTCTAGTCAATCATAATCTTGCTGTTATTATATCTGGTATTTCTAAAAATTATCTCGCACAAAAAATTGATGGTTCATATTCCATGGTTCAGCATATACTCGTCAGTATATGCTTTCTGCCACTCATGCAAGCATTTACAAAATATTAATTCCATACTTCTTTAGTGCCCAATTTGGATATCAAGGAAACGACTTGAAATGGTGCATATTGTTGTTCAAGTTTCTTCATTTTACTCTCCAACTTTTCACCCTCTGAAATAACGAGTCATTATAAGCAAATGCTCTCTCACCGACCACTGTTAACCAATCATGCACTGTTGAATTGCAATGGTTTTTCGAGTCAGTTTATCAGCTGCATGAGTTTATCAACTGCATGATAAGAAATCTATTAAAGTGGAATTGCATGTTACAGTAATAAAAACATACCTTGAAGATATGGTCTTGGTATAATACCCTGGAATGGGGCAGCTTGCAGTAAATCAAGGACTTCGTCGATTGACTAGATTAGAGTAATTATTAAAGTGGTAAAATCGTTAGCAATACAAAATTACCTACAAACGGATGATTTAATCTGGTACCCAGTAAAACCACTATATGTACTTCTTTGTCATGTTCCAAGAAAGACCCTGGGTACGAGGTTGCGCAGTACTTCATTAAACTGCTAATGTAAAGAATAAACAAATCTTGTATGTTTTATATATACGTAGATACAGTGTATATCACTACAATCATTCACTACGGTAACTTCTGAAATGATCGTGTACTGCAATTGTATATCAAAATATTAATGGTAGACCCCACAGGTTTTCAATATTCTATTCACGCCTATGTCACCACGATTAAGATCCGACTAATTCAGACTCACCATGCTCTGTTCAATTAAAATAATAAACAAAACTCCGTTTCCAATTTCTCGGAATGCTTGAAAGACATCAGTTCTTAGATAACTGTACTGGACTAGGGGCTCCAAATGGGCGTGGTAATATTCCAAGACGGCTGAAAGAAACACGTTCGCATTTTATAACAGTTAATTAAAAAAATAACGATGTCACGAACTAAGTGTGTTAAGACGATCAGAATCATACTGTACCTTTTGATCCATATTCATATCGCGGTAAACCACACTTCTTTGGTAGACCTTGTATCAACTCAACGATGTATTGTTTCAATTGACCTTGTACCTACACCGAGTTAAATTTAAGTTAAGAATTGGGGTAAAGCAACAAAACATTCAAGTCAGCTAGATTCAAAGTAAAACTGATCGCTATACGTACTGTATTCCCCTATGATGCATTGCATGTCTTTGGTCTAGTTTTTACTCGCGATGGCTCAAAATGGCGCAACTTTTATTATTATTACTCACCAAACTTTTGATAACTTTGAGCAACTCTTCAATAACAACAGCTATCCCTTGATAACCCAAAAGTCTTGTCATTGATTCAAAATGTGCAGGGCCAACAAAGCTGTTATACAATGCATTAATGCTGGCAAATGCTGCATTCTGAGCCTAAAACAAATCAAATAAAAACAGAACCGTTGTCCAGATATTTTTCTTATTTTATACAAACACGTAACCGACATACAGTATATATATATATATATAGTCCAGTATAATCACCAAATTTAAATCTAACTGTAATAGTGTACCTTGGTGCCAAAGAAATAATGATGCGCCGCTTTGGGAGGATTCTCTCGTTGTACTTCTTCGACAAACGATAACGGCGTTTTAACAAACCTGATAAAATATACAGTAATCTTTCAGAAAGACTGATTTTTATTTCACTGGACATACAAGGAAAATTTCCGGAATTAAAGGACAAACAACGTTTTGGTTGAACGGAATAAATTTACTTCATTATGAAGTTACGACTGCATGTGCCGTACAATATTAGAACGTTTTTCATTTTTCGTGCGTGCATTATTGTGCGGGGAATTCAACTGTTTAACTGGACTAATAAAGTAAACCACAACTATTTGACGTACCTGTTTGTTGCTGAGTTATAACAGTAGTTTGGAAGAAAATCAAAATTTAACTCCCAGAAAACATGAAGAGTTGTTCTACCATAAGGAGCAGAAACACAATGATTTACTTCCTTCAACATCGCGTCGTATGGTATGAGTGTCATGTACTTCGACAATAACTTGTGTGTTTGGTGGATAACATCTAATAAGTTCTCCAGTTCCTGAAATACAGCATGATATATATACCACACATATTGAATCATCAGAGAAATGGTGTAAAATGAATCATGCACATTTTCTGCAAAACAAGATCATGATCAGAAATATAACACCAACAAGAAAACGTTGCATTTTCTTCTGATTTTATGCCCATTGACTGACTGTGTTGTGCGTTCTGTACAATTCATCCCATAATGACGAACACATTGAGATGTTTTCACTATACAATTAACTTTGATTTTAAAATTCTTATCTTCTACTGATGCGTGCGATAAGCCGTTCTAAAACGTCAACTCACCACAATTCCACATAAACTTCCACTTTCAAACCTCGCGATAGCACAGTCCATAGATTTCAACATGGCGGTGTTGATACGTTGCGTAAGCAGACGATTCAGATCAATTGAACGTCCAAGTAACTTTATAAAACGAAAATTTTGCTAGTTTCATCACGTGTAAGTGTAAAACACAAAATGTTCATTATTAGAACGATATTCTAGTAACGTAATATCGCAATGATACCAAAGGCCAGAAAGATAAACAGAGCACATCATAAAATGTTTTTTTTAGGAAACGAAGATCACCATTTACGAATATCACTATTTTGTTCGTCACGGTCAAGGAAAACAACAAAAACAGTTCTTACTTGTACATGGCGTTGTTTCAACAAAGTTTCATACAAATTCGAGGGAGGAGCATTTATCTTCCCAAGTTTTTGTGTTGAACACTCTGAGACAAATTTCTTTGCAAGGATCATGCTGTGGTAATAAAGAAAATAGGGGAAAAAATGAAATCAGGAACAGAAAGAAAAATATCCTCTCGTCCTTTTATACATATGGAAAAATAATTCAATAATTTTGTGGTTCTAGGTATATAATACCTTAAACTTATGAGACAAACATGCCTGAAACCATTGGATGATTTAATCAGCGATTGTTTATTAAATTAAGTCACAACTTATCTTGTGCAAGCCGCGACTTACGTTTTCTTTTATTAACATTGATGTTTATAGTGTTTACCTGCAAGCCTGAGCCTTAAAATAGGCAAAAATATGTTCACTCAGTTTGTACACAAATTGATCAAAACACAAGTTGACCTAAATGAAGGATGATTTGTTTATTAATACATAAAAAGAACAGGGAAATAAACAACAGCGAGTATTAATAATATATAAAACATGCAACAGCAGAAAAAATACATAACTTTGTCTGTTGTGAAGAAATTTTCAACAACAATAAACACTGACCTCCGCTTCAATTTCGTCGTATAAATATTGTTTCTTAAACTTCGACTGCGCATACTCTCCACTGTCATTATACAAATCCAAAGGATACAATACATACCTTGAGAAAAACGAATGATTAGAAATTGTATGTAATATGTAGTTGAGCAGCAAAGATGTTTAAGTACATTGGTACATACAATCATACCAACCATCTAACCATTAAAATGAAATCACTAATGTGCATGTTTGCGTTATGTTTCTAAAAGTGAAATAAACTGCACGGGCCCAACTATTTATTTATTTTATTTATTTCTTTATTTAGCAAATTTTACGTATACATGTAAACATATAAACCTAGGCTAGTGACAACAGGGTTATAGTACCCTAGCTAAGGTCACTAACTTTTACAACACACGGACGTTACAGATATATTTCAGGAGCTATATATGTAAGTTCACACAAATTATTACTGCACTTACTCCATCATACTGGGCTCTTGACTGTCCAAAATATGTTCCGTCAAAATCCATGGCATTGACATCTCAATTGGAAACTAAAAACATGAATTTAATTGAGATTTCATGTATACTCAAGATACTGGAATGTTCATAGTCAAGTTTATAATCATGTAGCGCCTGCCAGCAATGTTCATACATTTATGAGGACGACTAGAAAGAATTACGATAAAAACATTCAAATATAGCGTTTGCCAGAACACTGACTACACACACAACACTATAGGGCTGCCAATAAACTAAAAAGGAAACCTTTAATTTTGCCCTTTCGACTTTATTACCTGTATTCGTTTACCCATAGTAAGTTCCAAGAAAAACTCCCTAAACCACAATTGTGAAAGATCACAACATTCTCGTAATGTTTCACTGAAATGTAACAAATGACGGAAAAAGAAAGACAATTTCAGGAACTGTTCAATTGCTTCAACTGTTTCCTTCTCTAATTCTTTGCGCATGCTCTTCTTGCCAGCTTTCTCAGAAATAAGCGACTCGAGTGTAGTTCGCACCATGTAAAGCTAAACGATGGAAAATAATGATCAGTATTCAGTAAATACTTGTAAAGATAAGTTGACTTGTATTCCTGAAAATCGTGTCAGAATTGATAGAATGATATGGTATAAAATGCTACAGTACATGTGATTGCCATACAGTGAGAATTTATACGTTTTCCGTCAGTTATCTCACTAATGAAATAAGCAGCAATATGCAGCAATAATTGTTAGTCTACATGATCTTCACATATACCTTGATATGATTTTTGTATACCTGAGTACTTGAAGGTCCCACATCTCTGTCTGGCAAGGTGACCTGGTAGCCAGTTTTGGAATCTTTCTCGCCTTTCAGAATTGGATCTTCGCGTTTTTTCCTGATGTCACTCGCAAAATCTGAACCCGTGTCTCGTATTGTCATAAGGACTCTAGAATCATGAAACTCTTATTTTAATACAGGTTCTCATCTCAACCAAGAGCAATTGAAACTCTTATTCTCTCTTCTTGCTTATAGATTCGTATTCTGTTAATTATCCATCAAAATGTTTTGACTGCATTTGTGAGCAATACTGCCTGCCTGCGCTTACTGTATATGTATAGCTACGTTCTATACACACATTTCAGTCGTGAAAGTCCAGATAATTCGAAAGCCAAACCGCTCTGGAAAAACAGCAAACAACTCACGTTTTAACAAGCGTTGCTTGTTTTTTCTTGATCACTTTCCTCAGAGGTTCTCTTAATGTGATCTGAATAAACTTCTGTAAATCATTGTGAATAGAATGTCTGATTGCTTCACAAAACACAATCTCCAACTTCAGCATCAACACGTATAAACCTTTGATGAAAGCAATGACCTAGATAAGGAAGATAATGAAGAATTTTTATATTTTTATATCATTCACATACGGCACATTGTAGCTATATGTGAGAAACACGACTTTGTTTTGTGTAAAACGTTTACTGCATTGCATCGCCATGGAACTAAATGAACAACATACCTCTACCAAGGCATATTTTTCCTCACTGGTGTAATTGTACCTTGTTGCCTAAGTAGTTTAGAAAATAAAAATTGAAATAAATAAGAATGATGGCGAGGTTTTTCTCAGTGCTTCAATTGTACGACATTTTAGTGAATTCTTTGAATTATATTTTTGAGCAGAGAGAAAGATGCGTGGACGTCACTTTAAGCTGTTCATTTACATCATAAATACACAGTACAGGAGTTCTGCGGGAGAAGAGTCTTTACCCTTTCATAATCTTCAGCTTGTTCAGGACAATGTGGGTTAGCATACTTGTCGGTAGGATGGATCAACTTCCATGAATACTGAAAATAAAAGAAATATGTGGATCATCAGAGTTTTCGAAATCACTTTGTAAGAATGTTTAACATCCTCTCATTCACTTTCGCAATTATCAAAATGTCTTGGTTTATCCTGACATGAATTTTTACTAACCAGTTCCATTAATTGCGTATTCCAGCTTGATAACAACTGTAAACCACGCAAAGCAAGTTTTCGCAACTCAAGATGCTGGCTGGCATTTCTTGGCGCTGTGCTTGATGTGATCATCTAAAATACATAAAAACTGTCTATAATTACCTTGTGTGGGTTTGCATGCATGCTCATGGTTGGTAAAAAACAAAGTTAAAATAAACGAGGGAATGCAAAACAGAAAACCTGTTCTTCCCCTGAACATATTGATCAGGAATCTTCAATCGTGTTATTTTTCGTAATTTTTTTCGTCATCTAAGTAATTAGTTTTACTCGTAAACGTGGTAGCGTCGAACTACTAACAATTTTGTACTTTCCTAAACCATTTGTGCGCCTGACACTAACACTACCATGTACAATACTTATACGTTATTTTATCCTTAACAGCCGAGACTGAATGGCTTGAACTAGGCTGGAAATAATCGTACAGTATTTGTGATAGTAATCATAGACACCAATTCAATATTTACTTTTAAAAAAGGCCGATCATATAAGGTCTCTTATTATTATTATCTACATGTACCTCGTTGTTATAACGCGCCAGTTCACTAATATAATGCAAATGTTCTTCACGTATTGTGTCCATCTTGGAAAGCAGATTATATTGAGAAATGATCTTTTCTTCAGCATTTCCTCCAGCGCAAGTCCATTTATCAGCATCAGCCTTGAAGTTTGGACACATTTTTACATAACTCACGAGTTCAATCTGCATATCACCAAAGAGAGGAACCACAGGTAGTTGCTATGGAAAAACATTAACAATTAATGAACAGAATAAACTGCAAAAGAACTGTTGTAAAGGTTTAGATGGAAACCAGGAAACAAGTACACAGAGTATGATAATGAAAGGACAGCCAATATTGGCAAAATGCTGATGAAGATTGTTTACCTTGAAAAATTTATCAATTTTTGCAATATTTATACGTTTCTTTTGATCAAGTTTTGCAATTTGTGTGACATTGCCATCCATGAGAAACAAACTAAAGCCAATCACCTGGGGAATGAAACATCACAGTTAATTTTCTTTGGTTGTGCCTCTATTTATTTCCTTTGGTTGTCGATGTCAAATTCATTAATTATTCAATTTAAATTGTTGAATTGTTAGATATATATACTGTAATGTAGGAACAGTGCTTCAACATACCTTGAGTAACATATGTTTATCCTTGGGTAGTAAATACATATTTTGTTCATAAAGCTTACAACACAAGTTGACAACATCAGATAAGAGTTCGTCAAATCCTGGAATTTTTTCTAAACCATCTTTAAGAATATCTCTGATCTTGTTCTTCGTTGCCAGAAATAAAGACAACTTCTGGGATAATTCGATGGCAGCGGCATCCACTGTACCGCGTTTAAGAAAGCCATTAGCTCTAAAATGAAATTAGGCTATGATAATGAGCTGGTTTCTTTAAAGTATTGTGCTGTGAAACTATATATACAAATAACATTAAATGTAGTATAACAACTGCGTAAATAGACAAAACATTTCTCCACGTTCCGACCTGAAGGCCTTCGTCAGGAGAGTTAACAAACTATAATATACTATATAATGTACTATAATTTGTTCACTTTAATTCAGATTATGTCATTTGAAAGGTTACCTCTTAAAACAGGAGTAGTCGTTATTGATACAAGCCTTCATATCTTTGAGAGCATCCAATACAGCAAACATATTTAGAACTTTACCCATGGTCAACAAATATGTCTCAGAAATGAAATCTTTTCTTCTCTCAGGATGGCATAATGTTTTTACTTCTTGACAAAATCTTGAAACAGCATTCTCAGCAAAGTCCATAAAGGTTTTCAATTTATTGATTTCAGGTTCAACAACACTAACAGTTTTCTCATAAATTTCAACTCTGTTAGGTTGGTCATCACTTTTCACCTAAAGATGGTTGATGATTTGGACATATTGTTAAATCACGAACTCTTTAGACTTAAACTAAAACATTTTTGAAGCATTGCTATAATCTTAGTGAATATACATACTGATGGGATTGCTCGAGAACAACATCTCCAAGTATAAAGCATCACAGCATATGATTCGCCTTGTTCAAGCATTTCATTCTGAAATACATAACACAGTAAGAATTTTTGAATGTTAGAACCCTGCAAATATGAACAATTTTAACAAACTAAAGATTTTGCCTTAGTATCAGCCTATATGATTTTGATCATGTACCTGGGTAACATTGATTTATTAGCATTGTTCAACGTGAATGGTTTAAAAAGGTTATCAAATCCTTTAAAAATAATTTCCTATGATTTATGACTATAAACTATATGACTATAGTTTAATAAAATACAAACCTTAATCTGAGATAATTTAATGTACTGATATTCTTTAAGTATATTAAAACTTCATACTAAACAAAGCTACAATAATCCTTTTGAATTTTGAATACAGTATGAATATTTGATGCAATATTTATATTAATTATAAGAATGACATTATTTATAGACTTAATATTCATTACAATCATGTACATATTTATATTAGTTTAGGTTTAAGACTTACGACAACTTCTATAAACTTTATGTTTAATCTGATTGAATCAACCTGTAGGAAAAGTAAATTAAAATATAATGATTTTCAAAATGCTTAAAAAAATTACTTACTTATTAACTTGGCAATTATCAAATGCCAGCAGTATTAGACATCACACAACAGTTGTATTAAAGTGGTTAGTTGTTTGGGAAAAGAATGTCCACTCATTAAATTTAAGAAATTTAAGAAGTTGAGATATTCAATATTCATTAAATTATTAGCCATGTCACAGACAACCCAGACAAATCTACACTGTCAAACATTTTTGAGGGAAAAATTGTACGTTTCTATATTTTGATCCTATTGAGCCACCTTAATATTGCTTTTGATTAGACTATCTGCAAGTGTGTTTGCAGAGTTTGCAAGTTCCTAATTGTCTGGAAATCAAATGAAGTACACATAAAGATGCAAAAAATTTATCAACCCAAATAATCTTGCACACCCCAAAAGAATTCACTGGAAAGAAACATCAACTATGTGTAAACCACAAAGAGATTGATAATAAAGTTTAACTTCCTTACTCAGAGGTCTAGTAACTCTAACACCTCAATATGTACCATTGTCATACATATCAGGGTAGGAATTTGGAAATTTACAAGTATTTATTAAATCGCTGGATATTGTTTACTATTGAGAAGTTGGAATTTTCAATTTTGGTGTTTGACATTTAAAAGTTATGACATAATAATTAACAACAAAATACGAATGAACAGTCAATTAAAAAAACGGTCAAACTGTTAATATTTCGAGCAAGAATATCACATGTGTCACAAAGAAGACTAGTAACGATGAAAATAAACTCTTTTATCAAAATAGAATAGAATATAACTGGAACTTACTAGACCTCGGTGCATCGCGGCTTCCTCTAAATATTTGCTGTTACATGTGATAAATGCCTCGCTGTCTTCAAAATTTGTGTCAAAGTTAGGATTATATGTGAGTGAGGCAGCTGGTGCCTCAATAACTGGCTGTTCATCACACAAAGCTAAATCATCGAGTAAATTAACATTCTTTAAGGCTTCGTCAAGAGAGTTTGTCGCATCCATTTTGATTTTGGGTTGGTTCCCTGCCCACAATGCATTCGTTCCTGCGGTTGTGTTGTTTGCGGATTGCGGAATACAGGGTACGGAACGTTTTGAGAACTTCGATTTTGACGTCACTTATACCAGCTGACATAATACAGCTGTTTTAAAATGTTCACTAGTGTGGCGTTTCCTACAACCTACTTAATCCAGGGTCGTCAAGATATTTTTTATGACCTTGAGCGTGAATATATACTAATGGAAGAATGTAATTTTCAGCCGGTAACTTTCAACCATAGCTAATTATTGGTTATTTTTCGCTATTATATTGATATGAGAAAGTTTAACTCCTCATCCGACCATGCTACGTCAAAGTGAAATCGATTTTGACTCGTTATAGATGAATAATGCATTGTGACAATCTAAATTCGATTTCGTTTGAAGTTTAAGTGGTAACTAACAACGTAACTAACAACGTGGCAGATTCTTCAAATAACTTCAAGTTTGAGTTGTTGTTCAGCACTGCCTGTCAGTAATTTTTTATTTTTCAGCTGAACTAAAATTTTGCACAGAGCGAGTCTGATTCGAAGGCTGGTATACAACTCCTACTATAAGAATCGTTATCAATGTTAAACAATGCCACTAACGAGTCTATACATTATTATATGAGAATAGATTTATCAACCGTAACAACCCTATTTCTATTGTTTTAAAGCACAAAACGACACAGGAGTTGTCCTTATTTAACACACGATAAAATAACATATTTATTCTATGAACTTTTCTGTTTACATATTATAAAGATAAATTCTATTTTACAATGTTTTATTTTTGGAAAAGGTTTTTCTAAACAATATTCACATTTTAAAATTTCCTAGGAATGTCTGAAGAGACATGAACATTAGTTGATATTTCATCATCATCGTTGTTTATTTGAGGTTTAGAAGGATGATAATCTTGTTTTCCTGTTCGCAGCCCGCTGAGATAACGTTGTTTTGTTGTTCGATTACAAACAGTTGCCGCGCAACATACACAACAACACACAAGGGTAAGTAAGATGAAAGCAAGAACGGAAAGTACGCCAATAACGACATTCTTCAAGTTATTGTCAATAAAATCCTTGAAATCATTCGGCTTCGTTTGTTTTTCAATGTCATAGCTATTCATCGATTGTACTTCTTGTGCATTTGCAGATGGAATTGGAGGTGATGTGGATTCCAATGTCTTGGATGAATTCTCAGCATATCCGTTCATAACTGACATTGATATTCCTCTATTTGAACGATGGTGTGATCCCAACACCGTTGTTTCAGAAGTAATCAAAGCAATCAAAGAAAAAATATACAGTTCGTAGACAACCATTTTAAGGCAATCTTAATCAAACAGCCAAGTAAACTGAAGAGTGTTCAATCCGAAGTGCAAAACGAGTATCGACATAAGGGCAGTTTTCCAGCAGTCGGTATTTTGCACTCCCCCGCATGGTCTTCGCGCTTTCATGCAGAACTAATGTAAGGAAAACAAAGAAAAATTCCGCTTCCCGCACAAAAATCGTCTACAAGAAAACAGGCATTCACAAGCACATAAACATAAGCCAAGACAAAACAAAAGAAATTTCAAAAGAATATATTTTCTGCTTTGACTTTTTTTGCATATATTTATGTCGAAATATTTTGGACATGCTATACAGGGTGTATAAAAAAAAGCGCAACCACTTAATATTCATGAATATCCTCTTTGTTCTACAACACAAAAGACGTTTGGCCCCTGGAATGCGAAAAAGCTTGTAATCATATTCTAGCGGCACAATCGTCGGTAAACAAAGTCGGGTGGGTAAACCAACGAGCTGAATTGAAAGTATCTAACGAGTAAAATTTTATTTACAATTTATTTTACAAGGTCGACAGTTAGCATTCAAGTTATCATGCACGACAGTAAAAACTCGTTGTTCGGTTGTTAGCTGCACCATTATTAGTTTAGCTGATTTGACTATTAGCAGTTGAACTGTACGATTAGAAGCCATTTTAAAATCCCAGGGGCATAAAATCTATTGAGCTTATGAGCAATATGAATTTTAGAATATTCAGTAGTGGTTGCGTTTTTTTTTATACACCCTGTATGATACACCCAGTGTCGCCCTTAAAGGCTTAATGCTGGTTTACATATTACATAAATCGTCGTAATTCGTTGTTATGCGAAATCCCACAGTCATATGAAAACCGAATTACGACAAATTACAACAAATACAACGCGAATTAGGAAAACAAGCATTACGGGCGTCGTTACACTATGCAACTTTCCTTGCAAATTACAAGTTGACAAAAACGAACATTTCTTACGATCTGCTAACGTTTTCTTATCATTTCGAACACTCTAATTAACATCACTCAAAATTATAATTGCACTGCAAGTTTCAAAGAAAATTGCATAATGTATCAGCGCCTTTAAAAATGTTCTCTCAAAAAATGGCGCTCTTTTGTTTTTTTTAAAAAGAAAAACCTTGTGAAATTTGCGTCTACAAACCGGAACCTAACAGCAAAATATACAATGTCGAATTTCAAATTCAGGCTCTGTGCACACGCGGTAACGTTTTCGAGCGTTTTCACATTCGTTTTCACGTTAGGTTTTCATGTCAAAACGCAAACACCGTCAGTGTCAACAGAAGCTAACTTAACATATTAAGAAATAAGAATACTTTCCTTGGGTCGTGTGGACGATTTTGAAAACGCCCAAAAACGACGTTCGTGTGCAAATAAATCGTTTAATCCCTAAACCAATCGTTTAAACGGTAAATGGAACAGCAATGACTTGGGTTGGGTCTTCTTATGGGTAAAGCCTCGTTGGCATTGACAGTGGACCATGGTGGATAATGGCCTCGATCTAAATTACAACTGCCATTAATTTCAGGCATGAATTTGAAGGTGTTACTCAAACAGTGATGTTCAAATAACTTCCATAATAATTCAAAATCCTCCATCGTCCATCATAGCGACATTTGTTGAAATAAGATTATTTAATTCATCACTTTCCTGTCTTTTAAACTTTGATGTTTCCAGAATAAACTGAAGGTTATATCGGTTACTATCGCAACTAAAGAAAAAAAATGTTGAGATTAATCCAATTTGTTTATGCATTGTTTATTAACAACATGTCATGCGCAGTGCAGATAACGCGCAATACGTAAAGAGTTGGGTGCAAAAACAAGGAAAATTGTATAAATAACGGTTAATTAAAAATATTAGAATGACACAGCGCTAGTAGCATTAAGATAGACGTGTCCCTTCAGATCATCATGCTGTTTGGGATAATTTATTGACAAGCAATTACTGTTTGAATGCAAAGTTACATTACATTACACTGTCCGTGAAAAACTTACATATTCCCAAGATATTTTTGATGTCTTGTCATATTTTTCTGCAATGTTCGTAATAATGGCATTATTTCTCCAGCTCGTTGCTTTAGTTTTGGGCCGTGACAACTCAACAAATGATAAGACCACAGTAAATAAAAGTGTAAATGTTTAGATATTTCAATTTGGCTCGCAACAAATAGTAACAGTTTATCCACGTAAACATCGTTGAGATTCTGCACCACAAGTTGAACTAAAATAATGAAATTTCGTATTTATTTATAAGTCCTTTTAGTGTGTGAAGGAATTTAGATCAACGAATAAAAAGATATAAGAACTAAGAAGGTTGCATATGCACCCAATATATACCAGTTTAGAAAGTTGATGGAAAATAAAAGGTAATAATAGTAATATGTATTAATCTTCTTATAAAACAAAAGGCATAAAACTCAACGTGTCCTCTTGCGTGTAGACAACTCAGAAACATCGTCATTCTTCTATATTGCGAATGAAAATATGATAGATACGAATATACTCACTGTCCTCTGACGGAATACTCTCAATTACATGAAGAATTAAATCTTGTTCGTTCAATCTGAAACTCAACATCAAAGCCTTGGCAAACTCCTTGTTGTTTAAAACTTTTTTTATACTTTTCGGTGTTACATCCATAGCTAGATCATAAGGATCAAATACCATGGCAACATCTAGTGAATACGTTAGCAATCCCTCAGTCGTGGCAGCTGACCAAGCACGGCCTAAAATATTTTCAATTTTATTTACCACCTCAGGCAATAATTGCAGAAACATGGTTCAAAGGCTTATGGTTATAGTAGCATGTTTCCATCTTACCTGTCGGTGAAAATCGAACGCATTTCACTCTAATTTCAGGTTTAACTCTTCTTGAACTCATATTATCTGGGTAAAAGAACAAATTTATTCGCATTTTTGTAACAAAACCCAGGGATTGCAGTCACACGAATGAAACGTACTGTGAACAATGTTACAATTGTATAAACTGAATTAAGGTACTTACCCTTACGAAGGCCAGGAAGTCTTTTTCCATCGTTTTCATCATCACTGTCATCAATAAGATCCAGTGGTCCAGCGTCAGTCATCTGACTACTATTTAGAAATTCCTACAATCACAATCGTGTATTAATGAACAAGTTGGCAATTAAGGTGAAATTCCTTTAGTAGGCGGATGGCGTGTAAAATTCGAGACAAACCAACGGCGTGATATAAAAATATACGAAAGCTTCGTTCCTTACCATTACTTAAGGAAGCATTGAATGTGTATTAAAATAATTTAAAGTATGGTTTAAAACATCGCATCAATGCAGGATCCGCCCCTGCTCACGACGAATCAGCATGCATCGCGTAATTCTATCGCCTTTAAATGGCATCAAATATGTCGGGCAAATATAACCCGATGACTGTGAGATAACCGTCATGCAGTTACCGTTCCTGCGTCAAAGATCTGTATAACTTTATATTCAGTGATTTTGGTACCTGCATAGCATCGAATGATCGATTGCGAGATATTTCAAATCTTTTCATCAAAATCTAAAATCATATTCAAATGGTAACAGAAAAATTAAGCTGTTGATGATCTACACATGAGCACCTTTTTCCGTTATTCAGAGTTTCAAAAGGTTTATACGTCGGCAGAAAAACAAAAAATATAATCTGAACAGAAAAGATAACTAACCTGCTGTTCTACGTTATAAATACAAATAAATTTGGATTTCCCTCCTGCCAACAAACACGTCCCATCAGCTGTGTAACACAAACTTGTATAACACCTGAAGAAAAATCATATTGAGTTTTGTTTATTAAAAATAAAACAGTTGATATTGTTGATTTTAACGACATACTTGGAAGCTGAAGACGTTTTAGCGGTCATTCTATCGCTGGATTTTCTTCCTCCGCCTAAATCATGGCGACCTTCTATGGAGTGCGACTGAAGAGCCGTTGAAATGTTCCAGAATGCCAGTTGACCATCCAATGTTGCGACAGCCACCTCATTTCCATCTGGTCTTACACATAGTGCAATAACTGATGAAAAACAAACATATTTATGAGTGAATGAATAGACCTTTACCCTTCTAGCTTTCAAGCGCGCAATGCGTGACAGTAGTTGATCAAGTTTAATTAACAAAAAAGCAAAAAGAATCGGCAAACTTTTCTTACAAACAAAATCGCTTCAAAGCAAGCGATATCGCAACTCAAAGTTGCTTAATAATCAACTACCGTCATGCAATAAGGAAACAGAATTTCCGAATTATAAATAATCTACCGTCTGAATTTAAAAGAAGCGTCTCTCGGGCGATTCTGCTGGAGTAAACATCCCAAATTTTAACTGTCTTATCCCACGAGCCGGAAAGAAGAACTGGATGCGATGAACTGAAGCAAAGACTGGAAACTGGAGCTTCATGTCCAGCTATTACCTAAAGAAAAAAAACATCATCGTTACCCTAGCAGGCAATATCCGACAGTTCTAAAAGCTCATCAATACTCCGAAGTCGGAATATCGATCTACTTTTCGGCTCACGACAGCCACTCGATCAGAGAGGAAATGATATATCAAATCGGAGGATATATGTTTTCAGATATTCAGTGAAAACCATGTGTGTACTAATGGTTCATTCTAGCCAACAAAATATATTTTGTTGATGCAAAATACCTCAAGTAAACGTCCTGTTTGCATTGACCAAAGAAATATTTCAAATGTATCTAGAGACCCTGCACAGATGACTTCACCGCTATTATCGACCGCCAAACAAGAGAATTGAGCTGGGCGAGGCGACGCAAAAGTTCGGAAATTTCTGTATCTAAATGGATGATGGAAATGCATCTTAATAAAGTCTTTATATTACTCCATTTCCTTAAGGTAAAAATATCTTGACAAGATGAGTGGTTGACACGTGTTACAGCATGCCATTCAAACACGGCTCCCGCACAGACGCTTGTATGACAAGAGTCAAACGTCTTACACGTCAAACGTCTTTCGATACAGATGTAATACACACACACACATGCCAGTTTTCGTCAGTATTTATACTCTTACGATGTTGCACGGATAAATGATACTATGTATAGAGAAAAGGATGTCAAGAGACCGACTCATCATCGGGCCTTCAATATCACTTCACGCGAGATCACGCAATCGCGGTACTTGTTTTACAAAAATATCTTTGCGTATATGCATTTTGAAGATAACGAACCTATTCAAATCAAAAGCACGAACTGTACCATCAAGAGAAGAGCTAAGAACAACTTGGCCATTAGATATAAAATTAACACCAGTAACTCCAGCAGTGTGTTCATGAAATGTTACAAAACAAAAGCCCGAAGATGTATTCCACACTTTTACCTAGTAAAAGTTTAAATTAAAATATTAACAATGATATTAGAAGCTTTCAGATATATCAAACTTCTAAGTAATGGTGATTTTATCGGACAAAATATAAATTTTGTTCGTCTTAATGGTTAAATGAAGGTGTTAAAGTAACTTGCAGACTTTGTGTATTTAGTCTGGCCCGCAATCAGCTAAAGTACTACCTAGCTTTTACAAACCTGACGTTCAAACATGAACATACCTTGCCATCGTCTCCTCCAGTTACAATTAGTTGTCCATCAGGGGAATACGAGAGAACATTCATATCATAAAAATGGCCTTGTTGCTTAAGAATGTACGACTCACTTTGCCATTCCCAAACCAATAGTTGCCCAACTGACGAGCAACCAAACGCTAACCATTCACCACTCATGTTTACTGCAACAGTTGAAACAGATTTCTGAGAAATACTAGGGAAAGAAAAAAAATATATTTGCACTGTTTTATTGTTTGTTTGCAACTGTCTTCTGTCTCGTACACGCAAATGTTGAAATCGTTATTAACGATTACTGACGTTATTAACGCTGCTTGGCAGAATTTAGATTCTGTATCATACTATCGTTGAATATGTATTCGCTGCGGTGTTACGTGAAATAATATAAAATATAAAAACTTTTCTGATCTTGTACTTGCATGCATAAGAAATACAGCCTTGGCTGAAAATAAAAGCGAAAGATCTCCTCTTATATAGTGATGCGTGCACACATGCAAAATAATAAATCTCAATTCACCTTTGCAAGCTTTGAATGTTCCCTTTCTCATGAAATATATGTAGAAAAATATGTAACTTGCGGTTCGAAGGAACAGTTTTTTGAACATGTTTTTGCATGCAGGGTCAATATTTATCATATATGATATTTAGTCGTAAAAGATTCAACGTCAGATTTAGAGTTCGTTGATTTACCTTAACGTGTGAATTAAATTAAATTCTGGAAGCTCATGAAGTGCAAATATCCCAGACGAGAATCCAGCAATCATAATTTTGTTTTTCTTATGAAGAACACAACAAGTTAATTCAGTATTATCTTGGTTATAGAAGTGTCTAGAGGATGAGAAAAAAACTTGTAAAAACATGGTGATCTCCACTCACTCACCACTCTTTCATATATCCAGAGTTTTGCCGGGTTGCAAATCAAGATACGAAAGGGATGAAATTTATTTAAACAAAGTTCACATCCCGATTACATCATTCATGCTGATATATTGTTGTTAAATTAGATCAAATATTTGTCTGTGGAACAAAATATTTTTTGACAATTCTATACTTGCATGGCTCTCATTATCGTCAATATAGCTGCTAACTATACGATATGACTTACTTGAATTCTCTTTTCCATCTGACATCGATTTCTCTTTCTGAATAGTAAAAAACACTACAGTTAACTAATTAGCAAACGGATTGGCATTTGGCATGCTTTATATGGTAAATAACTTACTACCACCACAAGTGCCAGCTGATAAGTCTATTTTTAGTCGCTCGTTTTGAAACTATGCATCCGTTACGAAGTCGGAACGGGGCATAAGAAGTCTAAATACATTGATTGAAAGCACCTATAACTATAAGCAACTTAACCATGTAGTTGCATTCTAAGTGGAACTGAAATATTGATGAACGAAAAAACCTTGTGTGCAACCTCGAAAGTAATCTAATTGTTTCAGTAAACAATATAGTATTAAAATAATTGTTTTCAAAGGTTTTGACCATCAATTCGTGAATAACGTCCTAAGAATTCGCGAGGAGAGCTTTACTAACTTACGAGGAGAGATTAACTGATTTAACTAGCTAGCAAGTAGCATAGCTAATTATGCATCAATGAGGCTCCACACATTTTCACAATAAAGAATGTAATATTGACCTGCGAGGAACCCACATACCTGAATCTTCATCAATAATATTCTTATCCTTCATCACAATATCATCGATATTTTTACTACACGACCAAGTAAATAACGCACCATCTTTACTGACTGTAAAAATCTTTGTCATTGTTAAGAACTCTCTCAGTAAACAAGATTCTTATCAAAAGTGCGTTATTACAGGAATGTTAGATGAAATTGATGAAAGATATCCCAGGTTTGCAATCAAAAATCGCTTTTTTTTGTTATACTATATTTTCTATAAAAGATACTTTTAGAGAATCCTCTTCGAAGAAACAATTCACTATGGAATTTCTATGTCCTGTTAAAGTCACAGGAATGAAACCAATAACGGGATCAATTGAAAAAACACGAGCAGTCATATCGTTAGACCCTACAACCAAAAATCTGAAATAAAATGATAAAACAACACGTCACTTATGCATGACGTTCTTTACTAAGTAACCGATGACGCACGTGAAACACATGCGGTCTTGACGTAAATATTAAACAATATGCACATTCTCGCAATGTCACACGACCGAGAAAAAAATCAACGAGGATAATGAACACCCCTCCCCCCCCCTCCAGTATAGCATAAACAAACTATGAAAAACCCTCCCAAAGAGGGTAAGTTTCAACAAATACTCGGGAGTGAAACAATCAGTTACTTGGAGCCCAGAGAATGGACTTTTTCACGAGCGGATTTGGACCCTTGCGTATTTGGATCACACGAGGATTTTTACATAGACTGAAAACTCGATTGAAACTTGTATTTAACCTTTTAGACCCTTTAAGCACGCCCTGACAAGTTGAATTTATAAATTTATAATTGTAGAATTTATAAAGCTAATTGATTATATTCCTAGCATCCTCAGCTCTAGTATCCTTACAAACAACGGGTTCAAATATAACCCAGCAAGGGTTACGAGCGTTCTTATATTTTATAAGTTGAATTGTATTGACTGCAAGTGTTTCATATTGATGTACCTGGAATTTGATGACCAGTCAACTGAAACAGTATCATCATATTGTCCTGTGTATGTTCTGTGAAGGGTAAAAGGAGAAAAGTCCTTCGTGTGCCCCGGTGCGAACCATACTTGCATTTGCATCCCAACTGTGGCTGCAAAGAATCTAAAAGTTAAAAAAAAAGATATGATAAGATAACGTAATTGTCTATTTGAATTGAATGATCGAATTTTTTCAACTTTACTGAATTATTATGGCCTGTAACCACTCAAGATTATTCTATAATGCTCTTGGAAAGAGTTTTTGCGCAAAGTTGCGCAATCGCGCAAAGTTTGTCGCTCCAAATACTACGAGGGCAGAGTTCAACACCTTAAGGAATGTTCCCGAACCGGATGGTGGAACGAAGTAAAGAGATTAGGCGGCATTGCTAACTCCTCTGGAAAAAGAGACAATTTGCTCAAGTCCAACCACCTTCCAGAAGGAATTAGAGATCTCACACCGAATGACCTGGTAAATCATATTAATAACACTTTTCTGACACCTACTAACAGATTTGAACCAGTAATCCATTTCGAGATGACGATGACGAGGATGAAAGAAATGAGTTACTAGTAGTATCGGAATTGTCAACCTTCCACAAGTTACCTGCGGTCAATCCAACGAAAGCAGAGGGGCCGGACGGAATTCCGGGCTGGCTGTTCTCTCCCGCCCTTTTGGCAGGACCCGTCGTAGAAATCATCAATACCTCTTACCCCGAGAGACGCCAGACATACTCCCTGTTCCAAAACAAAAACTGGTCAAAGACGTAAACAAACACCTCCGCCCAATCTCCTTACATCAATTATATCAAAGATAGCTGAAGATAATGTCGTTCAGGGGTACGTCAAACCGGCTGTGTTAAAGAAAATCGACCAACGACAATTCGGAACCATTCCTAATTCGCACACCACACATTCACTTATAAGCATGACTCACAACTCGTACGTTAATACTGATGGCAACGGCGCCACGGCCAGAGTCGTTTTGTTAGACTTTCGAAAGGCTTTCGACTTGATCGACCATAACATTTTGGTGCAAAAATGTTTGTCGTCGACATATGACCTCCTAAAACGGGTTTTGTGCTGGATTGTGGATTACCTGATGGACCGGAAGCAACGAGTGAAATAGCGAGACTGCCTTTCTGAGTGCCGTTCTGTGCTGGCCGGAGTCCCTCACGGGACAAAGTTAGGTCCCTCGCTGTACTTAATCATCATAAATGACCTTGATACAACTGCTGACATACGTGGACGATACCTCAATTTCGGAATTAGAGGAAAAGGGCCAGGTGAGTAATGTTCAAGATGTTGCGAATGACCTATCCCAGACAATCAATCAGCGAGAGTTTTGAGCTAAATGAATCTAAACGTAAGGAGTTGAGGATCATCACTTAGAGGTGGTAACGAGTGTAAAGGTGCTAGGACTGAATATCAGCAGTGACTTAAAATGGAACATACATATATGATATAATGGAACTAGTTAAGAAAGTTAACTCTGGACTGTATTTTCTGAAATAACTAAAGAGAGTATCAGTTGCACAAATAGAGTTGACTCTATTTTACGTCACTTGTATTCGTTTTATTCTCGAATATGCATGTTCAGTATTTCACCATAGCCTACCAACATACATGAGTGACAACTTGGAGAAACTGCAGAGATGTGTGTTGAGAATTACCTATCCAGATATACATTACAGTCAAGCTCTCTCTTACCTTCCATCAGGGCTAAATTTCAAATCATGAACTTTTGTTTTAAAATTAAAATGATGAAGAACAGCCAAGCTTTGTAGACTGAACAAAATACTTTTGCCATCTGTAAATAATAGAATATAAGATTAGGCTGCATAAAACACATTCATTGAGATTTTTCGGGGGAATATTGGAACATCTGAGAGATGATTGAGGTATCCTATTTTTAGATGCTTTTGAGAGTCAAAAACTATATGGTGCATGAGTGCAGTAGGTCTAACATTCTAGACTCTAGTATTCTTGGTCAAGCAAAATGGGTTTTGGAATCCATTGTCTACAACAAAATACCTTCATCAATTGCTAGAATAAGACTATCATCAGGCGATGTTGCGATGCAAGTAATATCTTTTCCATTCTCAAAAGGTAGGGTCAAAGATGTATTGCTAGAGGAAATGTATGTAACAAATTTATTTTCATACGTCTTGCTGCTTAGACATAGTGCAGGTCTGTTTGCCTAACTGAAGATTGTGATCAAATAAGAGCAAGTCAACTGGGAGAAAGAGTCAGACAACTGCCATCAACCGCAACCTCTACAAATCTGTGTTATCATACTCAATCAAACACAGCAGTGATAGAAAAACTTTTAACTACGTGCAAATGTTAAACAACATTGCCACATTGTATTTAATCAAGATACTGAGGCGGGGGGACAATTGCACATTAATGCACTTCCCCTGGCCCAGAGAATATTCAGGGGCCGCTTGGAATCTGAAGGGGTCCCCCATGAAAAACACAATCTTTATAATTTAGTAGAATCGAACTGGGTGCATGTGTCACAACAACGTGAAGACAAATGAGATACCTTTTTAAATCAAAAACTGTCACTCGATTGCCAACAGGACTCAAAACCCGATCACCATGGGAGGAAAATATAATATTTCCTTGTTTGTACACTGTTCCAATGAGATTGGAGAACTAAAATATAGACCGTTGGATGAATTATATCATTATCTACAGTATTTACAAATATATTTTTTACCTTGTAAGAGAATTTCATTTTTAACTAAACGTTTTTCTTTGTGAAGCTTGGTTTATTTACCATCATTATTCAAAATTTAGTACTAGTTTACTTGCTCACTGAAATTTTCCCACGTGGGGCGCAGAAGTAGGTACGCATGCGTATCAACATCTCCCAGTAGATTCTAGAGCAATCTGGAATCTAGTCCTCCTCAAGTCCTTTTTCATCTTATTGCCTGCATTAATGTAGTGTCAAAACGTAGAATTGTAAAATAGAGCTGTCGGAAATATGCCCATGGAAGCTACGAACTGTTCTATGAAGAAATTAAAACTACATGTCAACAATAGTTACAATACAGCCTGGACTTCGACGAAACTATTATTTTTTATCGTAGATAAATTTTCTTTTTTTAACGTTGGCCAATTATATCATAGGCAGCCCAGCAAACAATGTTGGTTATACAACATATTGTAATTTAATTTTAATGTGCTTGGGTCAAAAAAATTATAATTTTGTGAAGTGTATTCTTGTTTTCCCATAAAAACAAATGCATTGCTGAATCCTTCGTTAATGCCGCTTTAAAATCCTATACAGACCAGTCATAACATGCAATTATTAGGAGAAATAGTATGGTAGCAACAAATTTTACGTGTAAAATTTTCCTTTCAGAATATAAACATTGAAGTTTGAGACGCGCACCGGAAATCCGATAGAATTTCATGCTCAAATTACCAAAGCTAATTACTATTCTTTTTTTAGCCAATCACAGGCAAAGTAGAAAAGGCCTGCTGCAATGTCGACATGCAATACCACACACTCTATCGTAGTAAACAGCTTTATAATAAACCTCAATAAATTTCGTTTCATTGTATTTAATGTTTATTTAGAGTGCGTTTTGATACATTTAATGGCATATAGCAACATTGGAATGTATCAAAATGCTTAGACTAATGGGAAGCTTCCAATGAAATGTAACAAATACTTGATAAATGTGGCCATTTTTGCATGTCGACGTATATATGGACTTCCGATGTACATATAAAAATGCCTTCTTTTAGGATACGTTTTACTGAATTGTTCTATGAGGAAAATAGGTTTATGAAACGTTTAAATCATGAAATTGAACAACAACAATATATTCACTAACGTATTTAAGCAAATAAAGAATTTAAACATAAGACCAGCCGTGGAATACAAATGTTTACGAGCTTAGAAATCGTAATTATGCAGAAGGAAGTCTGTTTTGATTTGAAGCTCTTGTGACGTCACAACACGGCTTGGGCGAAGAGAAGAGTTTTATATGTAGGACGTACAACAGATGAACAATATTAGAAACGTTTGCGTGGCTTGGTTGCTTTTAGACTTTAACAAATAATCATTCACGGCATCCTATGATTGTGATACGATTAGGGTGCCTAGTTTGTTAAAATCTACTGATTTGTTCCACCAAGAAATGAGCGAAGCGCCCCCGAACACGCCAAAGCGGCAAGCGATTGTGGAACGGCAAGCGATTGTGGAACGTTTGAGACAACGAATCGATTGCTTTCGAAAACGTCACGATAGCTGTCAGGCTCGACTTGAAGAAACCCAACCATCGCGCGAATTAAAACAGATACAAGAAAGCCGGATTTTACAGTCGAAAATTTTGGAAAATAAAGTAAAGATGAATGCTAAAATTCGTCCGGAGCAAATAAGTAATAAGCTAGCGAAACAAGAGGAAACTGTTCCGGAGAAGACTACGACCAACAATACTGGATTGCAGGTACTGTACTCACTATACTTGCTGCTTCTAAATTACAACCTAATTACGACCAAGTAGACTTTATATTCACTTTAAATCTCTTGTTAAAGATTAATTTTCTTCACTGCATTTCGCACATGTTTCATAGAACATCAAGATAAATTCACCGCATCTTATATTTAACTTTCTCGAATAAATATTTTAGGCAAATGCGAAAAGAAAATTCCAAGGGTCGCAGATTGACAGCGAAAGGCAAAACGAAGATATGTCAAACCCCGTCCCACAGAAATATGCTCGTTTTGAAAACCAAAACGATGTTCATTGTAACGTAAAGCCGAGCTTTAATACAGCTGAGGAGTCCGAGCCTCCGTTATCGTCCAATAACATGCCTTATAGTGCGGTAAATGGACATGCTGCGGACTTTGTTAAAACTGAAGATCATGCTAATACAAGTTCAACGTATAATACTTCTTGCGACAATTTAGAGCGAACAATCTCGCGAGCTTCACAACAATATAATGCCGCTGCAGAGTATGCTACACCGACATTTACAAGCCGTGGTCAACCAAGCGAGAAATCTAGAGCGCCTGAATTCACGGGAACTTTTAAACAAGAAAATGGTTTACTTAGTCCAAGTAACGATACCTCTACACCTAATGGCTTATTACCAGCTAGACCAAAAAATGACGATGATTTCCGATTATTAACGGACACTGAAGGTAATAATACAAGTACTAGTAAAGAGGACGACCTCGAAAATCAACTTAGTCAGTTCGAACGCGTTCTACAAGGGATTAAGAGTCGAGACGAGAGTTCTAATGACACTGAATTATCCAATGACATTCCAAAAACTTTGCGACCACCACAAAGTCAATCTGTAGGAAATGGCATAACTGAGAGTCCAGATATAAAAATTAACAATAATCAATTAAACTTTCCAAATGACAGTACAGCACAGCTATCGACCTCTTCAGCTCAACAATATGGCATATCACGTTCAACAGCACAAGTACTACAACAATTTGTAATGGCCCAACAAAATGAGAGAATTGCTAGTAAAGTTCGTTTTGATCGAAATATGTTTCTGAATCCTCAAGGAGTTGGGGAGCAAAATAACCCTCGATTAGCAGCAACACAAAGAGCAAGTAATTTCCCTGTACGGCAGCGTGTTTATCAGCAACTACAACAACGAAAAAGCTTGCAACAAATGCAGCAAAAGAAAATTGCTGGAGCAACCCCCCAACAACTGCAGGCAAGAAATCCTGTGATCAATCCATTAGTTGGAAACACAGCTTATCAAATGCATCCTAAAGTCAGATACTCAGGCATAGCACCAAATACACAACAAAGTGTTTCTTCTTTCACACATGCAGCTGGCAGAATTCATCAGAATTTAATGCAACCACTACGACAGCCTGTAAGTTTACAAACACAAGCTCAAGTACCAGGTCAAATGGCAAATCTCCCCCGTCACCAAATCAATATGCTTGCACAACAACAGCAGCAACAACAACAAAAACTTGCATTCCAACAACAAATGGCAAGCCGTTTGCCATCATATTCACAAGCACAGGCACAGCATTTAGCAAGGTCATCCTCTGTTATGGACATTAGGCAAAAATTTTCAGGTGGTGTACCTTCAACACACGTGAGTCAGTACAACTCTGTGCATCAACAGGCAAATCGAGCACAACAACCATTATCTCACTTGCCACATTATAACCCTCCGGGCTATGGTAATCAATCTGGTCCAGCAGCACGACCTGTTCAGGTATCTTATAGTGGTGATTACCCTGGTTACCAACACCCATATCAATATGGTGTTAACCAGGAGAATAAACTTCATTCATCCTATCAAAGGCATGCAAGTATGGATGATAATATAGTGGCCAACAGGTTTCATAACCCTGAAATGAACCAAAGAAGCAACTTTCCTTTTCAACGAAGTAGTAGTTTACCTCCTGGACATGCTGCTGCTGGTAACAATATTTTCAATCAAACATCACCACCAGTTGTTCGACTTGGTCAAAATGAACCAAACTTGCCTGACATGAACAATAATGGTAATGATCATCAAGAGATGGCGGCACGTGCTCACCCACAAGCCCCTCTTACACATATGAAACAACATCTTGGGCAACAACCTAATAACCTGGGCATAAATCAAGAACTGTACCAAGGTAATAATATGTCACTGGCTCAAAATAGACAACAGCCGTCTAATAATTTACAGACTCCGCTATCAAACTCCTTTTCTAACCTTCTCGACATGAAGTCTAATTCTGAGACATCACTATTTCCATTCCTTGGTCAAGACCTTGGTGGGGGCACAACAGACAGTTCAGATTTTGATTCATTGTTAAAAAGTCCACCTTCCGACTTTGACTTGCTTAATATGCTAGAAGAGCCTCAGAAAGCATTGCAATAATCTGTAAAATATATACAAATAAATTTCATAACCATTTCTTACAGAACAGGTATGTATGAAATATTTCATAGAATCACTGTACTATAAATAGCATTTTAATCTAAGTTATTATTTTAGTCAAAGTTAAATAGTAAAATTAATTTTGGCTCATTGTTGGTCAACAATTTCAAAGACATAATTTCTAGAACAGAAATTGTATAATATATGTGTCAATATAGCTGGTAGTGTGCAAATAATTATGTAATGTAAAGTTGCTATATTTCTGTAAAGAATTAGTTAAAATTTGCTGTTAAAACAGTATGATTTTCTAATAGTAAACCAATTCTAACAAAAAAAATTGTAGCCAGCAGTCAGTTGTAAAGCCTGATATGTTATTATTGGGTAAGACTTATATTTCTCAGACTGAAATTTGGTTGAATCTCATTAGGATTCTGATGTGTATGATATTAAATGGAGACAAATTACATTTGAAGACCAAGACCTAGGATGTAGACAGTTGGACCATGCAAGCATATTTCATAATTGTTGACTTGCTTGCCTTTAGTGGCATATATTAGTGGTGAGCAACATCTTAAAATGAGTGACAACATCTTAAAATGCCATTTTTCAAGAAGTTAGTTAAAGGGTCAGACTATGGGTGTGTGTATTAGTGGGGGGAACTACCTACTTTATTAAAGTCGAGCTTTGGGAGCGCCTTTTTATATTTCACAGAGATTTTATATTTATACATGCATGCGCTTACAAATACAGTTTTTTTCGATCATTCCTACAGGAGCTATTTGACGCCTGTAACGTGAAGTAGTTTCAGGGCCATTTATTTTAACTCCCCTTTGCTAAAAAACACGTCAGCAATGCACTCCTGCCCGCCTTGGGTCAAACGAAGAATCTTGAAACGCTGAAGTTCTCTTTGTGCTTCTCAGCCAGTCAGTCAACCATACCGCGCTATTTTTACTAGGAAGCTGCGTGCACTTGGCAAGGCTATATTACGCATTCGTATTCTTTTGAACTTTATGAAAAGTAATAAAATAAAGTATGCAGCTTTGATCTTAATGAGATTATTGTAACCCCGAGGTCATATTGAGGGTATCGTTTTTTTTACAATTTCTGAAACCTGGTATAAAATTAAACAAATTGAGTTATTTGGTAAACGCAGTATTTTAGTTATCAAACAAAAAGCCCACAGTTGCAAGAATGACAGTACCGACTCCGAGCATGTTTAACTTCCTTTAAATAATTTTGTTCCTCTAGTTGACGTCATCACGTGACGGTGCATTAGATACAGCCCTGAAAGTGGAATACAAAAGTTCCTTTGAATGATTGCAATTTACGACACATATTAAAACAAAGAAATCTTTTCTTTCAACATACTATTTTAAGTTTGTGAGTTTAACGCACAGAAACAGCAATCCGTAGGAGGGAAGAAACTACCCCTCCCTCCCTTCTACATCCTTAACAACGCCATTGGAAGTTTGGGCAATGCTGAGCAGGAAGGCCCGATCACCCAATCCTTGACGTTTTCGATCTTTTTGAGAGCAGTTGTTAGACGAACGATTCAGGATCACCAGCCGACCACTTTTTACTATTTCCAAATATTTTGGAATAAATTCGTGTTCGTATTTGTTTAAACTCCAACATCTGAAAGAAATGATCGGGGCGGACAGAGTAATAGGTGTAATGCAACACATTGAAGCATATATTGTATTGGCATTTTTGAAAGGAGAGAAAAGGGATGTGTTCAAATGAAATGGAAGGGTGTGAGACTGTGGAATGTATCCCGTATTTTTTTAATTAGTTCAATATTACTGTGATAATATTAAACGTTTACCGAGAAAGAGTGTTTTAGTGTCACACCCCCGCATATATCTGTATGTGTAGAAAATAATAAATCCGAAAGACCCTCATGTTAGTAATTAAGCTAAAAAAAACACACATATAGATATAAGCCTTGAATGGTTAGTTTTTCAACCGTTGCCGAGCGTTGACGTAAATGTAGTTGAAAAGCAGTAGAAAGAAAGTAGTTCAAAAGCATGGAGTAAAAAATAATAAAGACAAGCTATACTTAATCTGGGTTTTATGAAACTACGGCCGACTTTAAAGCGAAGACTTATCTAAATGAAAAATGGGAATAAATGCACTAAATAAAGTAATCCGCGAAACGCAAACGCTGACAACCTTTTTGAGTGGAGTCGGGCTCGTATTTACCAACAAGTTCTTGGATTTCAATCAATCCTTGTCACGTTGTGTTTCTTTGTTATTTGTTTATTGTTTGTTTATTGTTTGTCAGTTGTGAGAAGGTTTCCGAGAAGAAACTTAGAATGGGTCGTACATCAAAAGACAAGCGTGATATTTACTATAGACGTGCAAAGGAAGAAGGTTGGAGGGCTCGTAGTGCATTCAAATTAATCCAGATTGATAAAAGTTTTAACTTATTTGAAGGAGTGCGTAAAGTAGTTGATTTATGTGCTGCACCAGGCAGTTGGAGCCAAGTATTGAGTAGAAAGTTAGTTAAAGATGAGGAGAATCAGACTAAGATTGTGGCAGTTGATCTTCAGGCTATGGCACCACTACCTGGGGTTATTCAGATACAGGGTGATATTACTAAGGTAATATATCAGATTAATATAGGCTAAATAAATAAATAGTGTAACTAGGGGTCTTAATCAAAAACCTTTTGGTTGTGTCTAGTAGGCCCCTAGCCCTAGATAAAAGCATGTACATATAATAATAATAAAAAAATTCATAATGGGCGAAATAAATAAATAAAAAAGAATTATAAATAAATTGTGTTAATCAGTGTCATAATAGACCCTTTGCACATGATGTCACATTAGGCATCTGGAGGAGAAACTTTGCCTTGTTAATTGCTTTTGACCTTCATCACTTGCATAATGATTATTTTTAGTGAAGCAAGGAAACATATGAGGACAACTTTTAATGATTATGAAGTCAGTGCAATGGGTCTATAGATTAAGATCAACATAATAGATTAAGTTGCCTATTGCAGCATTTTTCTTAAATTAGAATCCTGGATAAGGAACTTTCTTGCATTTTTCTCAAAGATCTGCCATGGTCTGCATTTTTCTTGAGATCTAGACTTTTTGAGTAAACCTAGTAAACTATAATAATTGGCAGATTTTAAAAAAAGCCGATTATCAACTGATTTTTTAGCAAAACCGATTAATCGGCACAATGCAATCTCTTTTTTCAACCATCTGCTATATACATTTTCTATGTTATACAGTGTTTGCACATTTTTAGAAAATTTTTACATTGATAAATCCAACATATGAATTACAGTGCTTTTGTCAAAAGCTCTACTTTAATTACTTTTGATTTGCAATTAGTTGTGCATGCCATATCATCATATTGTACACCCATGAAGTACACTTGTCTCTGTTGTATATGTTCCCAGATACTGAGATTGTGTTCTTCCAATTCCAGCTTGAACAATGTCTGACATATTTCCCTCTGTTATTATATGAAGTTTCTTAATGCTTTTTTAGGTTTCAACAGCAAATGAAATAATAAGTCATTTTGAAGGTGAACATGCAGATCTTGTTGTATGTGATGGTGCACCAGATGTGACAGGGTTGCATGATATTGATGAATACATTCAGGGACAATTATTACTTGCTGCCTTGAATATCACTACTCATATCCTCAAACCAAATGGAACATTTGTTGCTAAAATATTCAGAGGAAAAGACGTTGATTTGTTGTATTGTCAGTTAAAGATTTTCTTTCCTGAAGTAACCATTGCCAAGCCAAGTAGTAGCCGTAATTCAAGTATAGAGTCATTTATTGTGTGCAAAAATTATAGCCCTCCCGAAGGCTATAAACCCAACATGTCCAATCCTTTACTGGACAGTTCACAGGATCCTGCTTTTGACAGGTATATCATTTGCTTTTGTTTAAACTCTTTTTAAAACAGTTAACACTATTATTGGTGCACAAGATACCGTATCTGAGAGGATTGTGGCAAAATGGCAAAATCTAGTATTTGGCTGGATATTCTAATGAAGGCTCATGCCTTACTCTAAGATTTGCTCAAACGAAAAGACGCAAATATTTCACTGGCAAGCTATTTAGCCTAACAGACGTACAGGTTACCCCGAGTTTCATCTCTCGTTAGAATATATAACGTAAAAGTTTTGATTATTTTCTTACAGACTTAAAGGTGTAAATCGCGTTATTGTTCCTTTCTTGGCATGCGGTGATCTCAGTGCGTATGATTCTGATAAAACGTATAATGTGGACGAGAGAGATGACTATGTTCCATTACCTCCAGTACAAGGACCAATCAATCCGCCGTATCAAACCGCATGTTATCTGAAGAAAAATAATTTACTAGCGACGCAGAAAACTGAAACTAACATTTCACAAGAGGGTGAACACAACCGCAACAGACGAGACGATCATTTTCCACGAGAGACCGATGATTAAAGATGATTTTATTTCACAAAAGCCAAGGGGATGTTAGTATTAATTACGCTACTTTAGTTATTTTGTTGCTTGTTCAGCGAAACAACATTTTAATATAATCATTTTCTTAGTTACTGTATTTAAGTCTCTGAAATTATTTATTTCTATTTTTACATGGCTAGCACGAAATCTTCAAACAACTGCCTATGACAACTGCCTATCACGAGCGGATCCAAACTGATGTCGACTCAATATTCAGTAAAAATAAATATTTAAAAAATAGTCAAAATTTCACAAACACAAAAAATTAAATACGAAATTGGCGTAAATTAGGAATAGTTTAAATTAAAAAGGGAAATGCCCAGGGAACGAGGTTGCTAAATTAAGACACGATAAAAAATAGTGATGGTCTAATATACCTGAATATTCCAGAATTCGACCTTGGTATATGGTCGAGTATACTCCAGTATATTCAAGAATACCGTTTTTTGGCCGGTACTATTCAACCATAGTCGAGTGTACCGTTTTTTGGTACATTCGACCATGGTCGAGTGTATCGTTTTTTGGTACATTCAGTCATAGTCGAGTATATCTTTTTTTTGGTACATTCGACCATCGTCGAGTATACCGTTTTTTTTGTACCATATAGACCTTTTCAGCTTGCATGAAAATAAACCATTTCAGATGTTGTGAGTTGTGACCATGGAAATGATGGAATAGCCAATGAAACTTAACCATTTCAGACCATGTGATTGAAATGGTTCAATTTGCATTCAAGCTAAAAAGGTCTATTCCTGTATATTCGACCATAACCGAAAAATGGTATACTCGTCGACCATGGTCGTCTAGTCCAAAGTCTATACTTTATAGTTATAAAACTCGCCAATATTTTAAGTTAAAAGTAGTTGAATCCTAGTTTCATGTCTAATACGCAATACTGTCACTAACTATAAGTTAACTATTTAAGTCAACTATAAGTTATACATGGTCGACTGACATTTCAGTTCAAAGTTTAAAGATTCATTCTTACCATTCTTTAATACGTCGGCCTTCGGCTTGCATCGTGAAATGACGGAAATGGACGTAAAACAGAATAACGTCACAGTTGTTGTTTGTGCTGTTCATTTTATATTTCATGCTGAAATAAATTTTAAAATTTTACTTATTAAAAACACCATGTGATTCTATTTGATATTATATAAATGGCGGATCGTAAGACAGATGTTGCTCATACGCTAGCCGATGCCTTACAGAAAATAGAAAATATATTGTCTGATGATCGAAATCAGGCCCATTATTTAGCAGAAGATATTCTTCATCCCAATGACAATGACAACCCAGATGATTTGACTCTGAGAATTCGCAATTATGCCGTTGAGCTTGGCTCGTGTGTTGAACGATTAGATAAAAATTTTGACAGTAAAATAAATATTCCTAGAGACACCATTAATACTTTGGCAAAATGGCTACAGCGGTTTGAGGTAAGAATAAATAACAACCGGTTTAATTGATAATGCTGGTTTAATAAGGTGCAAAAACAAATGACATTTGATTCCTGATTACATAAAAGTTCATTGCATGATATTCATTCCAATGACAGCCAACACAGCTATCCCATGAAGAAAGAAAACCCCAAGTATTGAATGATGATACCTCTGCAGAACTGCTCAAGTGTCGTAAAAAAATTAAACTTCTTGAAAACGAGAAGGATTCACTTTTGTTGCAAGTCAGTGTACTAACTGATCAAGTTGAAGTGCAAGGTGAGAAGATGAGAGAGCTGGAGTTCTTAAGAGATGAACTACAAATTAAACTGGTAGACTTGGAGGAGACAGTGAATGAGGTATCCATATAAACTGCTCTGGTAGTATCTTGATATTCATATCAATATAAGATAACATTATATTGGTATTGAAATGATAATAAACAATTATCAGTTGCCAATGCTACTGATATTTGTTCATATATAACCCTCATGACAGGAAAGGGCAAAATTGTACTTATTAAAAATTCACAATAGTTGATGTTGCAACATTTCATTGAGATCAATATCTCACAGAGTTGTTTTAATACAGTCAACAAATATGTTTAAATTGGGTAATTTTCAATGAATTGGGTTTTCAGGTTAAAAATCCATTAAGATCAAGATCAGCGGAATAAATTGAATATAATATTAACAAATTGCAATAAAATTATTGTATTTATCAGGTTAAAAGAGAAAAGGATTTAAAAGTCATGATCAATAAAAATGGCACAAATGATGAAACATGGATATTAAAGGTAGTTAATTGTCCTTGTAGAAAATGTTTATCATGCTGGGTCAATCCTACCTTATTATTGTGCAGTTTTCAGGGTATTTATTTCATAGGCAGCTTTAAAAACTGTAACAATATTTGATTCATGGACAGCTTTTAGCATCATGATTGATAACATAGTTCTCTGGCTCTAATATTTGTAGGATTAGAACTTTACATCATTCTCTAACATAATATTGAATTTTTCTGGTAAGGAGAAGGAAATGGCAGATGAAATAGCAAAAAGAGATTTGGAAATTGAGGACTTAAGAACTCATCTGGAAACTTTGCTTGATGAAGAAGAGAGAGAGAAACGACTTTCTTGGAATAGCGAATGTGAGTTATGTAGTTGCTGAGACTTTTTCAAACACAAATTTATATTTTCTAACTTCTTTTTCCGCGTACTGTAGCAGGAAACAATATGAGTATGAAAACACAACTAAGAGAAAAAGGTATTATAAAATAACATGTATATAACATATGTTCTGATTGGTTGAAGCCCGTGTTTGGATCAGACCATCCAAACACGGAAATTTTAACACCACCTTTTTGTTATTTTATAAAACAATTACTTCATGGTTGCCCATGTTTGGATGGCCTGATATAAACACTTGTTTGAATGTTGTTTGAGTTAGCAAAAGCTCACAAAATTACGCTTTTTCGTTTTTGCTTTCTTGTGTTTCCAGCGCTTTTCTTAAATCTTGCAACATTCCCAAGTGTTCGGATCAGCATGCAAACATGAAAGCCATTAAGTAAATGTTTATTCCATAGATGATTTCTTTGTTAAATTATAAACCATCTTATGATGATAACATTCACAACTTACGTTATCCTTGTCATTCAGCATCAGAAGTGAGCAGACTGAAAATAAAGCTGGAAAAACTAACAGAAATACTGTCAACTAAAGAAAATCAGATAGAGGATTTGGAGAGACAACTACATGTAAATACCTCAAAATCAAGTGTAAGTTAATTTCATATTAATTGTGTTGTTGACTTCATTATGAGAAAGGTCTATTATTGATATCACATTTTATAGAATGAAGATGCAAGAAGTGATACATGCAGTGTCAATAGCTCAGTCACAAGTGATGCCTTCACAGAACAAAATAAGAAAGATGATGCTAAAGATGTTTTTTCAAATCAAAAATCATTGAATGCTGTTGAGAATGGTCAAGATGAAATACCAGGGGAGGCAACGTGTATATTGCTCAATAACAATGCAGGCAAATATCTTCTCAGAAAACTATATGACCTTTAGTTCAAAGTGCAACTCTAGTGGCAGAACTTTTATGGATTTTCTTCAAATATTTAGAAGCACGTCGTGCACTGGAAATGAAATCAAGTCCAGCAAAGAAGACAGAACAACCAGTAAATAATCTTCAAACTCCGCTAAAGAGAGATGGTAAAACAAGGTCATCATTTGGTAAAGGTTTCCTAAAGTTTAAGAGAACTCGGAGCTTCAGCGAACCAAACTTATGTGAGAAGGATTTGATTAAAATTCTGATTTGATCGCTTTTTTACGCGACAGACTTTGTTAAACAACAGCAAATATATTTCACCTTTAGCTCCTACTGAACAAAGTTCGACCGAAGGATATAACAATAAGGTATTCAATATATCTGACTCACTCGTCTTGGTAAAAGTAACTACGTAGTTTATACTATCTACGCTGAATTACTTAGAAGCTAAAATGAAGTTTTTACCCACTATCTGCATGTTATACCTGGACGTTTCAAAGGAAAATTTATTGGAAAGAATTTTAGAATGCTGTAAAAATACCTTTTTCTAAACGTGAACATGCAGCGCTTTGTGCATGTCAGCTTTACACAAAATGATTTCTTGGCTGCAAAAAATAGGGTCATGTTCAAAATGATAGAGTCTCAAACACCTGACATTGAATGATTATTAGCTAGAAAATGTGTAAACACATCAATAATTTAACGTATGTAACTGCTATTAATATGTGTAATCAAGACCATTTACCAATCAATGATCTTCCGAGATAATCTGTTTATAAATAGGAAATTGTTTTTCCAGGGTACCGAAAATCATAATAACCACAACGACAAGAACAAAAAGAAAAATATAGTGGGCAAAGTATTTGGGAAGTAAGTGTTTTTCTGCCATAGATTTCTTAAAGAAAAAAAGTGCGTGGTGATTTTCCGACATAAAATATGTTGTTTTAGTTTATTAATTAGCCTTAATGATTGTCCTGCCGTTACGGGCTGTAAAACAAAGAAATTTATTGTTTATATACAGAAAAGTACAGAAGTTATAATTTCCCGGGAAAGGTCCTTTAGACACCCTTCTTACCAATGTCGCGGGTAGGACGATGCATAGCGGGCAATACAACTAAGCAACGTTATGTTGCAAGACACGGCCTTCCATATTTAGGCTGAGAGTTAAGAAAGCTTCATCATTGCTTATCCAATATTTCACTCGTGTTTTTGTTACAGACTGCGTCGTTCTAATTCGCAAGGATTAGAATCAGCAATGAAAAACAATGATACAGTAAACCAAAGAAAGTACGTTACTTTCTGATCCATGCGTGCATGTGCATATTATTTTTTTATTCATCTTGTATGCGCTTAAATGATCAATCAATCTTCGTATATTTTTAGACTCCATTCTGATGTTCCGTTTTCATCTTGGAATACAAATATGGTAATAAGTTGGTTAGAAGATGAAGGTTTAGGACAGTATTCTGACGTTTGTTCATGTTATATCACGTCCGGTGATGATCTCGTCAAGATGACATCGGCAGACCTGGAGAAAGTTTTGGGAATGAAGAAGATGTTGCATCGAAAGAAACTCCATTTAGCGTTGCAGGTAGTGATCATTATTCACTCACGTTGTTTTTTACTAACCTTTTTCTAGGACACGCAATAAGACAAGTGCGAAACAAACATTAATATATAAAATGTATATAAAAATGTATATGTATGAAAATCGTAAATGGCGACTCGGCTGGGGCGGAAATGCTGCGAAGACGTCTTTTCTGCATTCGACATTAATGCATGTCATGGTGAATTTTAGGCTGTCACAGAAGTCCAAGAAGACGTGATGGAACAGTTGGATAACAACTGGGTCTTAGGTTGGTTGTATCATTTTACAGTATATTCCATGTCTTCACGTCCCTGATCTATATACGGTGAGATTTTATACGGGAATATGCCTAATAACTTTGGTGTTTCTAGATTGGTTGGAAGATATTGGACTTCCTCAGTACAAAGATTCATTTCGTGACAATATTGTTGATGGTAGAATGCTGAATTATTTGACCGTGGTAAGCATAATAACTACAATGACATTTTTATTTTTCCTAAATAAATGGATGATATAATATACTGAAGACTTTTCATTAGTAGTTTTTGCATTCAATGCCAGCCTGGTACGATAGCCACATACTCTTGCCTTACGGGAAAGGGAAGCCCTAAGGGATACCTTTGAACCATAAGGGACACCCTTGAACCATAAGGAACACCGAGGAGAAAATGAACCCGTATTGTCAACTGAGTATCCATTCGTAACTTTATGTTATTTCAGAATGACGTACTCCAGCTCAAAGTATATAGCACGTTTCATCAATACAGTCTGAGAAGAGCTATCCAATGTTTAAGGTTTGTAAATCACGTTCTATTCACATTTTAGATTAGTTTCTGTGCTTTGCCCAATGTTTATGTTCCACCAGGCGTTAGAAAAAATATAGGTAACCCTGCAACCGGTCGGCTTTTCCACGGTAAACAGGAGCAACTATTGTTTTTTGTTAAAATAACTGCAATATTTTTTCATTTAGAGTGCATAATTTTCATCCCAATTATTTAAAAAAGTCACCAATTGATGAAGTACGTATTTTGTCTGATCTTGTAGCTAAGAATTATAGATCTTAGCATGCAAAGAACCTACAAATATATCGATTTTTTCTAGTCATGGCAGCAAGGTGCTCATGTGGTACTTTGGACAAATCATCGTGTTATAGAATGGTTAAGACAAGCTGACTTGTCAGAGTATGCCACGAACCTACGGGGCAGCGGCGTTCATGGATCACTAATGGTAGGGTACAATGTACATTTAACATATCTGTCTTTTTATTTGCCTTTCCAGTCGTTTTTAAAATATTGGAACTGGAAGGATCTTTTAAAATATCCCACTTACTGTACAGAACTAAACTTTTAAATCTTGTAATAATCGCATTCAAGCATATGCAACCTCTCGAATATTTCTTCAATTTTCCAAACTAATTGTGTAGATATTGGAGCCAAAGTTCACAGCAGAAAGTATGGCAACAATCCTGTCTATACCGGCTGGCAAGAAACTACTCCGACGTCATTTAGCGACGCATTTTGAATCGTTAATTGGTCCAGCTTGTATGAAGTTGAAAGAAAAAGCCTCAGCAAATGGTCTTGCTCCAATATTACCAGGCGAGAAACACAAGGTATGGGAGTGATGTTTAATAATAACAATAGTAATAACTACACCAAAGATGTTTTTCTCATTTAATTCATCCATTTTAAAGTCATGTCAAATTTGCAATTGGCCATCTTGGTCGAGTGTGATAAAAGTTTATATTTATGTTTAAGCCTTGTTCTCATATATGTCGTAATTCATCGGCGATGTTCTACGATCCATTGTCAGTGACCAATTAAGTATTTAATTCTTTTCGATAGTCCAAACATTTTATGCATCAAAAACCACCGACAATAGACATTGCTGATGAATGGAGATATATGAGAGCCAGACCTATAATTGTTACGATTTTAAAGAAATAGCTACTATATATACACAGCGTGCAAATAAGTATAAATTTGTACCTATAAGTACATATAAGTTGCTTCTATATGGTTTTCCAACTGAGAAAGCGTGATCTCTGCATTTTTCATGTTTTTAAAATCATATTTTGGTAGTATACATATTCTTCCATTGCACAACCATTGCACTCTTTACACGATTTCTGACATGAGGAAAATGTTATTTAATGCAAACACTACTATACCAGGATTTAAAATGGCGAGGGCTTGTAGTAATTAACCCTTTTGTTTTGCTTAATGAAGACGAAATTTCTCAACTTATTGGAGAAAATACGTATTCTCGTATGAACTCGTTTGCTGTATCGTGGTTGTTTGTGTATTTAAATTTGATCCATACAGTACGTTCGTTATCTAATAAATTATTTTGAAAAGGGACAGTCTATTTTGGTATTAGCTATATAAAACAAGTAATAAATGTTTTCATTCGTTACATTTTACCTAAGCTTTTGTTTCAACCTAAAGTCATGTCACATGCACTCAGGTAATCATTAAAAACGTTCAAAAAATGCATTGCCCTTTCAGACCAGAAAATTGTCTATTGGTGGAATGCGAAAACGAACAAAATCTGAAGCTGAATACGAGGAGTATGTTTGCCCCATGGATACCGAAGTCCCAGCACCTTTGCAGAAAATATTCTCACCAAGACAAAGAAAAAATGAGAATGTTCAACAGGGTCTGTTACCCAATCAAAAGGCTAGAGGGGACGAGCAGGTTTGTTGATGATAAATAAGTTGTGTAGTAATACGTTGTGGTTTTGTCTATGCCAGGAGTGTCAGAACAACAGTTATTGTTCAAGGTCACGAGTTAAGCCGAGTAACCTGCGAACTCTAATTTACGCTATTTTTTGCTAAGATACGGTTAATTAAGATAGAAAACTGACTTCGTATTAAAGAATAAATGCAAGATTTTTCTCTTATAATATGTTAAATTGTTTCATATTGCTCTATGCATGGGGTATAGATTTTTTTATAGAATCGGTGTGTTCAAAACGTAGCATATTACAACGTATAGGAAAACTAGAAATGGCAGTCGCAATATTTACAAAATGACTGACAAAATGAGCCCCAAATAACATTCAAAACCATAATAGGAATTATGGCTGGTTTGACAGAGTAGTACTTCATGTTTCCATGTTATAATACTCAAGTATAACCGAAAACATTTTCCACAAATGGCGGTCAATTATGTTAAAAAGACTTCCATTGTTTCACTATCAGGGTTTGTAAAAGTAACACTTGTGTTTTAGGGCGATGATGAATTAACCAAATCGCTTGGAACATTTTCAAAAGAACTGAATTCCCTGACGGTGAATATCAGATTAATTTATATTATTGCCTAGATAATCTCCCATCCAAATTATCTTTATACTAGAAGAAACTGCTACCTATGAGTGTTTGTTCTTTCTTGGAAATGTTCACATCCTGAGGAGGGGTAAAAAGTCTGCATGTTCTCTTAGTCAAATATATAGCAACAAAGAGATATCGACGTTTTTGCTCATATCGTAGATTTCTGGTTTCGTACTGCGTTTATAGCATTGGATAATTACACGCAGTTGCTAAGCTATTTTCCTTTTCCTTCTTTAGGATATGTTAGGTCATGATGATGCAAGTGAAAGATGATACTACGCTATATATATACAGATACACAAAACTTCAAAATCAAACGTTCATTGTAATTTAATGTAAATTTTGTAAGATAGCATCAACTTTAGCACAACTGAAATACACCAGGCCTGTAATTAGCAACGTTTAATCTCAGTATCTCCTTTTCCAGACGTCCAGCCACCACTGTCACTTTAGAACTCCCTAGGCCTGAACCCTAGGTTGGGAAACTCGCTTCTGCTCGCAACTATTTGACTCTGACCAAGAATAAAAAGAACTTCATGTGGGAATCTACTCGATGCAGTGTACCAAAGCAAGCAATTTTTCTTTCCATTCATGAATTTAATTTTCCGCATTATAATTGTGATTTATTAAGATCCATGCCCAACAAATTTGCTGTGTTAACAATAGTCATCTTTTGAACGCTTCCCGTTTTGCGCGGGAACAACGGACCTCACAAATTGAATTCGTCGTTCCCCGCCACAATTTTCGCCATGGATTGACGACATCTTTCAGGATACAAGATATGCATGAGAAAAACAGAACAACAGACAAAATATAAATTATAAGCTGGAGAAAAAAATAACTGCAGAAAAAGGTTCCAGTAAATCTTATGGTGACACAAAAGTCACATTTGGTAATAGGGAAGGACTACACACAAGGAAATCTCTTATTCTAAAGGTCAACTAAAGGACAACTATATAAAGCACAACTAAAGGACAACGAAATGTCAACGAAAGGACAACCAAAGGACAACTAACTCTCCTGACGAAGGCCCTCGGGTCGAAACGTCGAGAAGTGTTTTGTTTATTTTAAGCAATTGTTATACTACATTTGATCATTTTGATGCCAACTATATAAAGGACAAAGAAAGGACAACTAAAAGACAACTAAAGGACAACGAAAGGAACACACGAATCTCCTTTCTAGACTCTAGTGTTTCCCACCACCCACCACTAATTCTTCTCGGTACCAGATTCGTTGCCACTGGCCAAATCGGTCGATGGTTGGTACCTGAAAGACATCACAGTGTAGAGACAATGAAGTACTTCAAGGGATTAATGTAGTCTCGCAGGCTCATATCTGGTAATGGCGGTGTTTCATGATGAAATTGAAATAGAAGATTTCGAATATGATGAAGATAATGAAACGTATACCTATCCTTGTCCATGTGGAGATCAGTTTGAGATAACCAAGGTTTGTCTTAATACGTTGTATTACAGCAGCATCATCATGATTTAGTCTAAATCGCAGCCGTGTCAGAGGGAACGCAAAGTGAAGTTTAAATGTACAAATTTTCATGTACTAAGGAACAACTTGAAAATGGGGAAGATGTTGCCGTTTGCCCAAGCTGTTCATTAATCGTCAAAGTAATATACGATTTGGTAAGTTAAATTTTTATTCCACCGACTACAGTGTGATTTACAAGTGCTTTGTTGATATCAAATTACAGTCTAAAAGGGTATTCTTTTTCTTCTTGTTAGAATTATTAATGTAGCTTACATATACTGGGTATATATTTTGATGAACTGATTACCTTAAAGGTAATCAATTCATCAAAATATATACCCAGTATATGTAAGCTACATTAATTAACCATAGTAGACTTTAATAATTAGCCATATTTGATAGACTCAGTGAAACTGTGACAGAACAGACAGGTATCATTTAACACACACATTTTTGTGTAGAGATAAAATAAAAAAAGGAACAGTCGAAGTCAGATACTATAAAAGTGTAGATCACTAGCATATTGTTGGTATAATAAAAGTAAAGTATTGAAGTAAATTGTGATTAATACTGGTGTGTGCAATGATATTTCAAGAACCTGTGGCCGCAAGGCTAACATATATACCTTTTTTCATTCAGTGGTGTACAATGTAGTTGACCAAAAAAGTTATCTTTTATTGTCTTTCACAACATCATGTCTGCCAGAACCCACTTCTGGCTATAATGCTAGCTGCCCTTTTATGTTTGGCTTACATAAAGTTATTAGCACCTGTTTTGACCAAATAAACAGGGGTTCAGAAGTCAATCAGTTTGAAAGATCATTATAATATAAGAATTTATAATATTTTAAATGTAAATTGTTTCATCAAAAGACATTTTTATTTTCATTTTAGGAAGACTTTATGCAAACTGAAACAGTCAAATGTGCAACAAATATATTGGAAAAGGTTTGACAAATATCGCCGACTTTTAAAAACAATTATTTAACAATGTCAGCACATATCACAGAAATTTATCTACCGCAACCACCAGTGACAAAAAGTGCACAATCTGTACCATGTGCAAATTGTGAGCCTTAGTGCAACTTTGCACAAAGCAAGGCCCTATCAAGTTGTCAGTTTAGTTGGACTAGACATGGATTTGAATTGATTTGTGTGATTGAACAAGCTTAGATTTATGCCTTCTTGACTTCGCAAGATCTATATGCCTGGGTCTATTAGATTGTATTCATGTACAAATCTTTTTCGTAATTATAAGAAGTGTATTTCTCTTCCAAACCAATTCTGTGGTTGTCCATCGCACAGCTACGCTACCATTACTGGTCATTGTATATCAATCCGGTACTTCAATATGTACCACAGGTGCAGTTTGTTTGGGTAATTCTCTCTGCAGAGATGTTCGTTTATGAGTTATCAATTCTTCACTTATCGCCTCAGTGATGAAACTTTCTGGGAATTTGTAAGAAGTATTGCCATATTCTTGTAAACATGGAATCATACCAAGAAGGTATTCACAGAAATCTTTTCGAATACCAAACCACCCTAAAAGTAGAAAATTGTGACAAATATAAATTGTAAATGAATGGAAACAGAAATTTTATTGGCAACAAGCTGTTTGGCATCATTGTTGGTGACGTAAAAACAAGGAAAACCTTGACTTCATACATTTTGAGGAGGGATTTTGTTTGAACATTTTTATCCAATTTATTATGTAAATATTTACAGAAAAATCATATTGTTAGATACTTACAATGGTTGCCACCTTTGTTACAAAATGAAGTTGTTAACAATGTTAGTAATCCCATCTGAAGGGGAATCATAATTTTTACAAACAGTTCATCACTTGATCCATCAAGACGATTCACTAATAAAATCTACACCAAAGAAACACACAGGCATTGTAATTGTTGTATCTCTCAGATGCATCAGCTAACACCCCCTTCTTACCGCTAATATACTATTGGAGTAAATTATCATTTTATAATTAGATGAAACATACTAACTTAACATTTTACAAAATTGAATGTGTCACATGAAACATATAACATCATCCTAGTTATGAAACATCTAGCTTACCTCGAAAACCAACAGTGGAACAACTAAGGTTAAAGAAACAATCACAATAGTTATGTGACTTTGTTTTTGTGCTGGAGAAACAATATCAGATCTAAGAAACAACAGTGACCAGATGACATAATAAACAACCAGTAAACATAACAATGTCATCACTATCCATACAGGAATGAATACAACCTAAACAAGTAAATAATCATTCAGTATTTTCTAGCACATGTTTTATATATGTAAATGGCAAACCATCAGTTCAACCCCTTCTCATCCTGTATGGTAAAACACTCAAGAAAAATACACTCATTGGTAAAGGTCTTTAGCTTGCAAAAGCATTACAGCCTAGTATTGACAGTTATGACCTGTTTTTTGACCATAGCTGAGAAGATGTTTACTCACCACCCATGACCATGTAACAACATTGTCTAGTTTTAAGGACAAGAAAATAAACTGTAGAATGTTAACTGCAAAAATCATTTCAAACTAAAAAGAACGAAAGTAATTCATGATAAATTTTGTGTGAATACACATGCAGTCAAAACAGATGATAAGATGTTGAACATGATTTGAAAAATTAATTAAATTATCAAACCATGTTATATCAGTGGCGGATCTAGGGGTGTGCAGAGTAAATTACTACAGCTTCAAATTGGAATCACATTAACTGAATTAATTAAATATTCTTTTTAAATGTATAACCAATAGTGTTGTTATTAAGGTGCTTTGAATTTAAAATTAAGCTGCACACCCCTAGATTCACCACTGTTTTTTGTGTTGGCTTGAAGAAATTCTAAGTTTTATTGCTGCCAATTTTAATTTTTGGTGGAATATTTGATGGAAAACAATAGAGAGGTGAGAGATTATATACATATTGCAGTTCCTGGTTTGCTGGTGGCATCCAGGAATTCTTCCTTATGGCAATGGCAAGGTTTGGGACAACAAAAATTTTAACAATTATCTTAGAAAGCTTGTTTTAGTGTTACAATTAGCCTTGTTTTAGTGCTGCAATTTATTTCCCCATTTATTGGTCAAAATTTGCATGTGGCTTGATAATGAGACCTAGAAATCCATTTCATTTAATTAAGAGTTCTAAATTTATAATGATGTTGTGACATAATTATTGAAAGGGTTTATTACAAAGGCCTTATCCAGTGGGCCTGATATGAGAAAGTTGTCAACTGATCCTACCTCAACTGAACGATCATGTCTTAACTCCCAAATACAGAACATAACAGACAAAGGACATATAATGTATATGGGAGTAAATGCAAGAATCCAACTGTACTTCTTTTCATTTATATTATTGCACAACAATATTTCAAACAGTAGAAGTAAGATATGAATTATCAAGGACAAGATCATGGCTTTAAATTCTGCATTTCCGTCGCCATCTTGCCTAGGAGGGAAAACGGTAGAGAAAAATGTCACATGAATTATTAAATTATTAAGATATAGATGTTTTTATTTTTACTAGTAGACTTGCCAGGTGCCTACATGGTGCATGTTGTTATAGGGTTGTGTCATAACTGTCATTCCCTAGCTCTTGTAAAACAAAAATTATAATAAATTAATAGTACCGATATTGTGGATTTGTTAGCCAAACATAAATCCCAAAAGTTCCACCAGTTAGGGCAATAAACTTCCATAGCCATATTGGAAAGAAAACTGCCCAGTAACTCCAATGAATTGTTCCATCAAGACGTAGAGCAAGAAGAACAGAGAACAATATCAATAGGAAGAACAACAAAAATTTGCTAAAAATATAACAAAGACACACTATCATTATGATATTCTTGGTACCTTGTCTTTTAATGATTTGATGAGGGATATCAAATATAATCTTTGGCAAAACAAAATGCGGAAAAATTAGAGGGTGGTCACGCAAGGCATAATACCAGGGTAATTTCAAGATTTAGACTCAGGCTACTCTGGCTTTGGAATTCTTTTGGAATATAGGAATAAAAGGGTGCATTCTCTGTTGAGATTCATGCAATATCAAGATTCCAGAGTATATATGTTTATGGTATGTCTAGATATTTGGTAGCCAGTACTTTTAAGACATTGTTTTAATTCAGTACAACACTATATAAAATGGTAAAAAAATCTTCCCTTTGAGGAAATAAAAATTTTTGTTGTCAATGTCCTTTTAGCTTTTAAATTTTGATAAGTTCACTAGCCTGCTCTGGCAGGCTGAAATGAATAAGTGAAGGAAGGGAAGGAAATCAATCAGTCATGTTGAAAGATGAAAGCTACCTAGCTCTTACTACACTAAACTACACTATTAATTTTGGTCAAAACAATACAGTCTCATATGCTGCCTGAATGTGACTAAGGAGTAAGGAATTTTAGCCTTCATTATTATCAATGTGTTTTGGCACATTTTAAGTATGATTATTGAAAATACAAACTAATTAGAAAAGTAAACAGAATCTTCGATATCATAACGTTTCTTTTACTGTATACAGATGATAATATTGATTTATAGAGATCATAATAATGACCATCGTGTTGCCAATTTTTCGGCGATTTCGATCAAAAATTAGCCTTGCAAATTTTAAAATACTGATACCTCGGATTAAATTCTTGAAACAAGGTTCTCAAGTTCATTTTACTTCGTAAATAAAATTATCACCCATAACAAAACCCATTATTTTATAGCTATACGTTTCTGGAGTCTGAAATAAGACTGAAGTTTCTCATAAAACATTGTTGAATGTCGAAAATCAACGAAATTATGTTAATTTATGTAAACATTCTTCACACGCGTGCATCGTGCAATCATATCTAATTATCCATGGCTTCTTGTCCCAGTTTAAATTCAATCAATACCCGTCTGTTTGGACCGGAAAGTTAGACCATACTATGATTGGAACGATCAATTTTCCACAATCACGTTACAGCCTTCCTTTGCTTCACTAGTACTAGATCAGTAAATGGTCGCGTTTTCGTTTTTTACGCACGTACACGCACAGAAAATTTTAAATGCTTCTAAATTTTTATTTTTTTATCTAGGTAAACAAAGGCTTTTCATTGTACGTGCGCATGAAAAGGAAAGCAGCCTCTCTAAACACGTACTTGCCCTGTAAAAATATTTCCGGTAAACTGTCAATCAACCGCTGAACTAGGGGTGTGGTGGTGGGCGAGGGATCACGAGACTTATGATGCCAATGTAATCCAGTGAAATATAGAGTCCAGTGTCTCTAAGAATACTTTATAAGGTAATAATCACATGACGTATGGAAAAAACAACAACACAATTTACAGGGCAGAAACAGTTTTAGAAATACCGCGAAAACGTGAACGTTATCAAATAAATAACAGAAGAGAAAAACCAAAAAAGGTAGGGAAAATGTTGCTAAAGATTGAATTTTCATGTTCCATCAAATTACGTGCTACCAATTGATGTATTTATCGTTTAAATTCGCGAGGCTTCGCGCGTCAGATATAAACGACGTACATACCTTCGCGAAATTCTGTTTTTTAAATGTTTTGAAATAGTGTGACTGAATTTCCACTATATTGCCCTATGTTTAGTGCACGAAGATCAATTTTTATGATGTATAATAATCTGCCGAAAATAAGAATGAAATGATTTAGAGAGAGACCTAAATATATTTTCTTAGTTTCGACAGCACAACGCTGCACTTTACTATTTTTTATATGCCTTGAATATTTACAATCATGTGAAAGTACTAAGTTGTAATTCGATACCCTGAAATCCATTGATTTGTTGGTGATCTGTTTCACCTTTCACCACTTATAATATATAGTTTTAGTAAATAGAAAAGTTTGAACAGCTTTTCTTCCTGATTGAAAATAGAAAATAGAGAATGTTCCAAGTACGCAGTCAAATATACAAATTATGAAATATGTAAATGCTTTGCCCAATATTTAAATTGCGTGTTACCAATTTTGACTGCGACATAAGTCTGGAGATTACGGTTAAGTACTTTTTCATGCAATAGGAATATCTTTATGTTGGAGTGTTTAAAAGTTTCTTAGATTTTTGAAGCAAAATAATTTTACTCTATTTATAACTTACTACAGTATAAATTATTTAAACAGGCTGTATCCATTTATTTTGAACGTAACGTGTCAGCTAATAGTTTCTACTTGTTTTTAGTTTAAAAAAAATGGCATCAGCTTCGCAATCTTGCCATACAACACCTAAAATTCCCCAAGTCAGTGAAGTACCGCAGGTATGATTATGCACAACTGTTTTAGTCTGATAAACTATTTACAATACAAATGGAAAGTAGGTGTATTATGCATTAAATATTTAGCATGCCACAAGGTTTTAATGCCAAGCATGCAAAAACTTTTAGAAAGTTCATAGATTTGTATGGTATTTTAATAATTATTTGTGTTTCTGGCTTAATGTTTAGTGTCTAACATTACGTTTCACTTATATGGACATGATGAGTTTTAAATATTGTTAGAATATAGGTTTTGAGTATAGGTGTAGTTGTAGTTGTAGGAGGTTACAGATGTATAATTTTTTTCTTTGCATTCATCAGCGTGGTTCTGTCATTGGTGCTATTAAGAAAGCAGTATTTGTTATTGGAACTGCATTGATTTTGTTTGGAACAGTTCGAAACACCATTACATGGCAAGTATTTCCTGGCGTTGCATTAGTTTTAATGTAAAACAAGATTTATAATACTTATGACAAGTATTTTCTGACATTTCTATAAAAATCAACACATTACAAATACTAGCTACCAGGCTTGTGATTGAGCTTTTTAAATTTTTAAATAAATCAATGAAATTGGGTTGTATGTAATTTTGCTAAATAGTCTGTTTAAATATAGTGAAAGTGTCTATGTTCTCAGACCTAATTAGATCTTTTACTCTGGTTAGGTATTTTGAATTAATATGGGGATCATCAAAAGATTTTTGGCAAAGTAAATGGCAAGCGATTCATGATATGGTTGGTGGTGATGAAGTATTGTTGTCCATCGTTGGTATGTATATAACACTGAACTCTCTATAAATCAGTACCGTCAGAGCAGCAGTAAAATCGTTGTTGAGTCAGAAACTAGTATACTGGTAAAATGCAACCCTTTTGGCCCAAGAGTTTTCTCATGAAACAACTTCTATCCTAAATTATTCTATAGGGACAAATTTGATTGGAATTTTGGTTTACTGGATTGGAGGTGCATTTTTCTGCTTGGTCGACTTAACTGGAAGACCAGCGTGGGTCTTAAGATACAAGATTCAGGATGCCAAACAAGTTCCGGTAAGAAAAATTAATGAGCTAGTACATGTAAAATATTTTTTTCAAATTTAAGAGTGTTTGCCAGTTAGGTAGTTAAAACTAAAGTGTTTGGTAGCTTATTTCACAGAACTGAAGATATTTATATGCACCTTTCTACTACCATTATAATTTAGTAAACAAAATAAATATAATTATAATAACTTGTAGGTACACCACGTAAGTATTAAATACTGCAAAGCTTTCGGTCCGTTAACCCGGACCTTCATCAGTGCAATTACTTGAATACACGTTTGCGCGTCACTTAAATATCATGTTAGTCGTGATTAGTTTGCTCGCGCTATTAATTAAACGGTTTCATTTAATTAAGTTCTAATTAATGCGCGCGCCCTAGACAAGTATCTCGTAAAATGAGAGAATCTATTGAAATTTATAAACATCAAACTATCGTCCAAGAGGGAAAGCCACTTAATAGTACGTGGCGTGCTCTTTTCGGTGTCTCTTAGTCAAATACTTGTCTAGGGCGCGCGCATTAATTAGAACTTAATTAAATGAAACCGTTTAATTAATAGCGCGAGCAAACTAATCACGACTAACATGATATTTAAGTGACGCGCAAACGTGTATTCAAGTAATTGCACTGATGAAGGTCCGGGTTAACAGACCGAAAGCTTTGCAGTATTTAATACTTACGTGGTGTACCTACAAGTTATTATAATTACTAAAGTCGCCATGCAATCATACAAGAAAATTATAAAATAAATATAGTTTAGCAATTGTCAATATGTTGTTTGAGTTTATATCAACTTAGTCATTGGGCATTAATAATGATTTGTAACAAATTAAAATATAGCTGACCACCGACACTGCTTTTGTATGTTCCATCCCAATTAAGCTGAATTGAATAGTTTCAGTCAGAGAGTTGTGTCTGTTTTATTACAAAGAGAAAAAATGCATGCATACATGCAGAAGAATGACAGTAACAGGGTAAATTCAGTGTCAGTGCTTGAAATTATCCTATGAACAAATAAAGCAGCAAGCCTACAATATATAATCTGTCCTGGTAGTAATTATTGTATCATTATCAAGTATTTCTTACCAAGTCTTAACTTTGCAGGTTGACAAAAGAAAATTTGCAAAAGCAGTTCTTCTTGTGCTATTCAATCAGACAATTGCCATTCCATTTTCCGCCTGTTTTTACTATCTCTACAAATGGCGTGGTTGTGCTTTTGGTCGTGAACTACCCAGTTTTCATTGGGTGCTTTTTGAAATTGGCATGTTCACTTTGGTTGAAGAATTCCTATTTTATTACGCACACAGGTAGGTCATGAACCTCATCATGGATAAGGTAAATTTAGCAGTGTTAAATCTAAGCTACCCCATTGTTTTAAGAAGAACCAGTGCACATTTTGAGATGTTCATTTTATCTTGTTAAAGTTATTGCAAAATTATATTTGTTGAAGCCTGGAAACATTTTCTCAAGAGTTGCAATATCCTCTAGGTGTCTTCATCATCCCCGTATTTACAAGTATATCCACAAGATTCACCATGAATGGACAGCTCCAATCAGTATCACCGCAGTTTATGCTCATCCGATTGAACATCTTGTTTCGAATGTTTTCCCTGTTCTGATGGGTCCATTGGTCATGGGCTCTCATATTGCCACCAGTTGGTTGTGGTTTTCCCTGGCTATTTTAACAACTCTTGTGTCACACTGTGGCTACCATCTGCCATTACTACCATCTCCAGAGGCCCACGATTACCACCATCAGAAGTATGTATAATTGCGGTTATATATCAACCCTCTTAGGACACTTGTAATTTTAAAACAATTTGTTGTTTTATGCATTATTTACTGCGTTGTATTAATAATGTTTCATGATCATTTCTCAGATTTAACCAGAACTTTGGTGTTCTTGGTGTCCTTGATTGGCTTCACGGGACTGACGCCATCTTCCGCCAATCACGTGCTTATGATCGTCACGTGTATTTCTTCAATGCAACTTCCATGAAGGAATTGTATCCCGATGATTCTGGCAAAGGATGTAAGAAAAACTAAATATTAATAAAGCATATTGACTCTTATTATTGCTGAACGTGCTTAATTTGTGAAGCAACCAGTTCATATTTATCCAAAAGGGAAAATATATCTATGTATATAGTGTTGTATCTTAGTAAAGGGCCTGCGTATCGAAAGATCGTTGTAATATATCCGAATGAATACAAGCGTGCTTATAGGAGTAGATGATGTTTCACTGTGTGTAAGGAAATTTCAAGCAAATATTTTTATTTATTTAAAGCAAAGTATGTGATTGTGTTCGACTAGCATCACTAAACATGCACTTGTACATGCATACAGTCTTTCTCAATCATGATGCGGTGCTCATGCTGATGTCCACCATGACATGCACATCGCAAAGAAACTACTCTCACTTTGTCTTGAATGACCGGGATCCATCAACATCTGCAGGATGTTTGCAATCGCGGGAGCGCATCAGAAAACCATTTTTTTCTTTGCAACCGGGTATTTGATAAAATGAGAAGATTGTCGATCAGGACAGCGTTCTGTATCGTTGAGAACGAAATTAAAAGAGAAGTGTTCTTCCTGGCTATCTGTTGTTCCCCAAAGCATAGGCAGCCCGGTCAATGCGGGTACCGCGTACTATCTTATGGCCAAAGGCATAGTCAAGCAACTAAGAGAATCAAAATTCATAAAAAATACTCTTTACCTCTTCACCTGTGTATGCGTCTGACGTCTGTGAAGTCGTACTTGTGCACCAGTGGCAGTGCATGCTGTTTTAGTAAAATTATCTGGACGAAAGCCAGATTGTTGTTCAAATGTGGTATAACAACTGCCTAAAATAGACAAAACACTTCTCGACGTTTAACTCTTCTGAAGACGGCCCTCGGGTCGAAACGTCGAGAAGAGTTTTGTCTATTTTAGGCAGTTGTTATACCACATTTGAATGATTTGATGCTAAGTTGTTTGAAGACGCTGCCACGCTGTTTCCTGGTTATATTAGATTGTTGTGCACATATATATTTCATTTTCATTTATACATAACTGATTTGGTCGCAAATTAACTAAAATTTTTGCAAGCGCAGGTGTATCACGTATACAGTATACATAGGTCTATAGTTCCTGCATAACTGACTCCCCTTTACCGTACCGTATACTCAATTTTTTTTCGGATATAACTTGACAAATTTCTATACATGGCTATGGTTTGGTATGTATATGTGTTCACATTAAGTCATTAAATGTTTTTCTTATAATATTACAATATACAAAGAGCAAGTGACCCAAAAAAAGCGTTCCGAGAGATGGAACCAAGAAAGAATTGTCTGCTATTATAAACGAAGTGATTTATTTAATATAAATAAGAATTATGAATTAGGAAATAAACTGATTTTAGGGTCGCATTTAAGTAATGATTCACAAAATGTACGTGGTATCTTTTAAAAATACGCCATGAAGAAAATATCTCATAAAGAGGTTGTGGCATATGAAAGTAAGTCAACGAAGTACTATGTTGTAAAGTTTGGACGTAATGAAAAAATAAAATGACGTTTGGATAGCATATCACATTAACATTAAATAACAAAGCACATGGTGTCAACAAAACAGATCACCTACAGTAAGACGGTCAGTGTTCCATAATTCTTATTAAACATTCCTTATTCCTATGACCACGCCCTTGTCATTCTCACATTTCGTGTTTTCCCCGTTTACTTTAAACTGAATTATTTGAAGGAGGTATTATTGATCCATGTGATTTCATGAGGTTACGATAATAGTGATGTTTATATATTCCTCTCATCACGACTGCTATGGTACACGATAACAGAGTAAGTGATAGAAAAAATATTCCAGCAATGGTTAACGCGTTGTGCGAGAAATCTTGAAAACGTGTTTGAGTGATCAGAGATATTCCAATAACTGCAAATACAGCAGTACAACATACAGCACAGGCTGATAAAAGACAGTATTTTATTGTCGAAGGTTTTGAAATATTGCCACTCATTCCAAGCGACTTTATTTCTTCGCTCATTTTTCCTGAATTCCTGAATTTTGCAGCAATTTTCAAATGATGGAATGGACGGATGAAATAATGGAATATTTACATCCAATCGTTTTAACGTGAAATAAGCGTCTGGCATCGCTTCCCAATCAAAGATTAACGAAAACTCAAAGAAGATTGGAACACGTGCAAAGACATTAATCCTAATGCTTTCAGTAATCCTCTTCCAAATAGCAATAATAAAATCTCACAATGACCTCCCTTATCTCACTGCAAGGTTTACGAGCAAATCATTCTCTCAATATCATGCAGGGAACCATATTGAACAATTAAATAAAGTGAATATTGACAATGTATTTTTTAATTTAAATCCTAAAATTAAGATTGACTACATTGCAGAGTATTTTGTCTAGCTGTTTCTATTTCTCATAGACACAACATGCGTTGTTGGCCTCCCAGTCAACTAGTTCCTCATCTTTGAACCACAACTTGATCTCACGAGCAGCAGTTTCAACAGAATCACTGCCATGGATAATATTCCTATGAAATAATAACCATTAATAAAAATATTTTGTTCTGGAAATTGTAAATTCAAAATTTGCAGTAGTCTTTTTTGTGCAAACAGGACAATCATCACTGATTCAGTAATATATACTAACCTTCCTATGTCAATGCAGTAATCACCACGGATTGACCCAGGCATGGACTTAGCCTAAGAACATAAAATTTGTATAAAAATGCTAACAGTCATAGCAGCTAATAAGGAGAGTCATGGAAATTGTAGGTAGAAATTTTTGACAAGCAAGCTGTGCTTAGTATCCCTATCTTCTACACTTACTGGATCAGTCTCACCAAGCATTTGACGTGCTGTTTTTACCACACCTTTACCTTCCCATACCTAAAACATAAATTAGGATTTAAGTTTCAAATAGTGACCATTCTCTGACATTAGACGCTTTCTCTTCACATAATAATTATAAGTGTGTATATAATAGCACATAATAATTAAAGTGTGAATTCTTTTTTTCTTTTAACCACTTAGAGCTTACCATAGGTACAACTGGTCCAGATGAAATGAACTTTACTAACCCATCAAAGAATGGCTTTGAACTCAACTCTGCATAATGTTTTTCCAGAAGTTCTTTATCAGCCTAACAAAGAATTAAAATGCTAGATATATTGATTTAATAAATTATATTATAATGCAGATTCCAACATGGCAATAATATCTGAAATTTTACTAAAATCTTTTACTGAAATTACATCCAGCTGTTCCTGGTATGATCATTTCCCAGCTTTCTGCACATATTTCAAATATATATGGTAATATATAGAGATTCATTATGGAAATTAATGCAGCCAATTAAATGACAGTACATCTGTGATTTATTAATTGTAACTATTAACATTTGTACAATATATAACTTGTTCAAATCTTATGCTGAATAAAAATGCAGTTAACGTAAGCATGCAATCAATGATATTAAAAACTTATTACAAAGTTTCAGCATATTTGCACCTTCATAAATTTCATAGCGACCAATTTAAATCCTTTTTGTTCGAATCGTTGAATAATGGGAGCAATTAATCCTCGACTAACACCATCTGGCTTAACCATTATGAAAGACCTTTCGGAAGACATGGTATAAAGTATAGAGATTACTCGTTTGAAAAAAAACCACGTTGTTTTTCGACAAGAAAAGACACTCAACGCAACTCAACTCAACGCTGTGAGAACTAAAAAGGAAATGTGGCAAATCACGGGCACGTTTTATAATATTTCATAACTCGATGTTTCCACAATGATGGTATATTCATCCATGATTTAAATGAATTAGATTTGAAGTAAAGTGGAAAGAAAATATTATCCAATCAAGTTTCGAGAACGAGGAGTTCCAATATGGCGGACGAAGAGGATGAAAACAAAATCTGCTTTCAGGAAATCCAATTTTTCCCCATCGTCTCTCAAACTAACGTTTATGGCCTATCTACATATTATGAAAGTAAAAATAAATGTAGTAAAGTGTTGTTAGCCTGTCTTAAAGGCAATATTTTGTGTATATCTTCACCTCAGAGTGGTGGACCTAGTTCTATAACATCTGCAAATGTACCGCTTAAGAACTTACAAGGTAGAGACTAGAGACAAGAGACTAGAGATGAATACGACAAAATATATGATATCTTATTTGTGACTATATAGGTTCATTTCTTATTATCTAAACTGTTTAGGTGCAGATATTGTTTCTATCGATGCATTTAATTCTTCCAATGGTTTGCACTTTGGCATCACATTTTTAAAGGTACATCATATTGACATTGTGTCCCATAAATCATATGATATATACTTTAATTAAGTATTGCATGGTGAACTTTATGAATGTTAACTTGATTTTAGGATAGTCATTCAAACTTTCAGAGGCAGTATTTCAACATTTACTATGGGAAAGGCTCAGAATTGGACACATGCAAGCTTGAGTCTATTGCAGGTTAGCAATTATATCGCAAATATATTGCAGGTTAGCATCATATGAGTGTGTTATAAAAGATTCATGTGAACAAGCATAGCTGTAGAGTCTAGTATTTTTTGTTTGTTTTTTTGATGAAATCTTTTAGACAGCTGTCAAACAATAGAACTGGATTTTGTACCATTTCAGCTTATCCATGCCCGCCAGTAAGTATATAGTATGTAATACTTCAAAAATTTATATTGTGAAGTGTATATGGAGTACGTTCTTAATAAGAATAGTTCAACTAATATGTAGGTCAGATGATAATGAAAAAGATGAAAATGTATTTCTATTAAGTGGTAGTGATGGAAAAATACATCTTTATGAAAAAGTAAGAGATCTTTACCAAATTTCCTCTGAGAAAATTTGATTGATGGTACTGTATATAAAAAATAATTACATTGATATACATTTCTGTTAAGTAATCCCTGTACGTTTTGTTTAGAGTTTTTGTAAGCTAGTGTGCAGGTGGGAAGGAAAAATGTGATCATGTACACATTGATTTTCAGGCTTCCATAAATCAGGAATTTAGAGAACAGAAGGTGGAAGACTATTTCCCAGAATTCCAAAATCTCCCTAACAAGTAAGAAAATAAATGATATCTATATTCAGAGTGACTAGACTTTTTAATCACCCTACATTTGTTTTGCAAAAGCTTTAGTCTGACCTTGTCTGCCAATTTAAATATTACTTTAATTCCTTTTTGAATGTGTGTTGTCAGTGTTATCTGGATGGATGTTTATTATGATGGTGACAGGAGACGCCTTAGTTGCTTTGCTTGTCAAAATGGTTTTCTCAAAATGGTTGTTGTCAAGAAAAATGGTTTGTATTTTGTGGTTTTGGTTTGTTTTTATTTGGTTTGGTTTGTCTGAGTGCAAACACAGCTAGTCCAGTAGTTTAGATCAGCATATTCAACTACTGCTTGTTAGCAAAATATACAGTCCTAAATAAGTACTTGTTTTGTTTTTAAGTGGTCATAAAAGAGTGGTCTTCTATGCATGATGGTCCAGTATCATCTGTGAAAATTTTTACTTTTGAAGCACAGCAATGCAAAATATCCAATGAACTGAGAGGTACTGATCGACTTTTACCCAAACATTTTAATATCCAAATTAAATTTTCAATTGTCTATCTTTTAGACAAAATTAGAGCATTTACCATTTCTCTTTTATATATCACAGAAGTCCTTGAACTACCTGAAGAAAATGAAGTTGCAGAAACAGCAAACAGCGAAATTCATGTTTTAGTGACATGTGTAATTGAACCATCGGTCATATACGAGTGAGTAATAATGGTACACCAAATATATTGAAGTTTTAAATTACCATAAAAGCACTTTTTTATGGACAAAAACTTATTTTGTGATACATATTAATTATGAGGTTCGATGCACCTGGCAATAAGTGTCTGCGGGGCGCCGTAAAAATAGGCGGGAAAAAGCGCATGTGTTACTGTGATCAACATCGTTGCTTAGATTTTCGTTATTAATATGTCTTTTTACAATATTTAAACCGTTTGTTTTGATGTGTATATGGGCATTATGGGCATTATGGGGATATTTAACTTCATGTGTATATCGTTCTCTACACTGTCACTGGATCATCATCATGACTTTTGTTATATTTTAGAGATGTTTTAAATAACGGTTTATCAAAACTTTCTATTCTTCCTGATTCTGATAAGTATGATTGTGTTGTTTGCTCACATATCTCTGATGTTGACTGGGACGGCAACAATGAAATATTACTAGGAACGTTTGGACAGGTACTTGCAGTAAAATAATGCAATATATTCCTGCTTTATAAAAAACGGCGAAAATATCTATACGAGAATTAGGCGACAAATAAAAACTACTCAATTATTTAGGAATTAATGGTGTACAAGCTTACAAAAGAATATAACGAGAATCGTAAGAGAAGATTACAAGCTACACTTTGTTGGAAAAAGAGCTTTGCCCAACCGTTATACGCTATTGATTACGTTGATTTGACAAACGATGGTGTTCGAGAATTAATTGTAGCTTCATCAAAAGGACTTCACGTGTTACAGGTTAGTGACATTATTTTACATAACATTGAAAGTACCTGAACAGCTTCAGTTTAAATATTACACTTCAGTGCACAAATTTAACTGATATATACTGAATCCTGCTGACCTGCTCCCTATTCTCTTAATCAAACGGTGAAATATTCTTTTCTCAACAGCACATGTTCACTGACATAAGAAAACGATTCCAGAATGAGTTTCGGCTGCGTGATAAAGAGGCTGAAGCAGACGATTCTTCTGAAAATTAAAAATACATTGTTTTTAAGATGCACCCAGGTCAAGAATTGTGATTCGTCCAAATTTTTAGTTTAATATGCATGTCACTTCAGCAAAAATCGCAATGGGGAATGTTGTCGATGAAAAAATATTTGCATAAACTAGCTAGCTTATCGACATTACTCCATTAGGTCAGATTACAGGCCTAGGTATAGAGAGGTTACGCTTAAATCTATTTTATGAAATTGTTGAAAACGAAAAACATAAACGGAATCCTATATTTTAGACATGGTATATGTATATAGCTTAAATGCCTATTTTTAAATTTTGTATATATAATAATTTTTTATAATTTCTTGTATACCAAGTTAAATATACGATAATAATTAATAATAATAAACTTTAATAATAAACTTTAATTACTGATAGATTTGACAATATTTATCGATCCATCTGGAAAAGGACGGTGCATATTTTGTATGACACCGCAAACATTTTCACTGTAGACGCGTAAGTATGAAATATAATAATTTAAAACTACTTTTATAGATATTGTATGCACTAGCACCAGTGACTAGCACACAAAATAATCGGTGTACAATTTGTACCAGTTATGGACCCTACTCTGGACTTTCTGGAATTTTTCTTATTCACCCTGGTACCATGGCATACTTTGCTGCGTGTTATTAATTAACACGGTATGATGGTGACACACTTGTGACAGACTGAATGGAATTGCCGACGATGTGGAGACGCAAATTTTTCAACTATTCTGCTGAGCGCCTTGTAAGACATATATGTATAAATATATGAACATCTATATCTAAAATGTGCAGCACCATCTGCCCTAAGTACACGTGGTACTTTCTCATGGTATATAAGGTCAGTGGGATAATAATTTCGCCGACATTTTTTGCTTTCATTGAAGATGCGAATCGGGTGTATGTGAGAAAACAATATGGCGTCCAAACGGCCAGAAAATCGTGGTCCTCCAGAACTGTTTTATAACGAAGATGAGGCAAGAAAGTACACTTGTAACTCAAGAATGATTGAAATTCAAGTATCTCTCGCTGAAAGGGCTTTAGAATTGCTTGGTATGAACGATGATGAACCTAGATTGCTGCTTGATATAGGTTGTGGTTCTGGCCTCAGCGGTGAAGTTTTATCTGAAGCAGGACATTATTGGGTTGGATTTGATATCAGTAAAGCCATGTTAAATGTTGCTAAAGAAAGACAAGTTGATGGTGATATAATTTTACACGATGCTGGTCAAAATCTGCCATTTCGTCCAGGATCCTTTGAAGGATGTATATCTGTATCTGCTCTGCAATGGCTCTGCACCTCTAACAAAAAGGAAGATAATCCTGTACGTCGCCTCCACACCTTCTTTTCATCATTATATGCGTGTTTATCTCGTGGTAGCAAGGCAGTGTTTCAGTTTTATCCAGAGAATCCACAACAAATGGAACTGGTGACAGCTCAGGCAATGAAGGCTGGTTTCACTGGCGGTATTGTCGTTGATTATCCTAACAGTTCTAAAGCAAAGAAAATCTTCTTATGTCTTTTTACTGGTGGTAACTCAGCTACTTTACCCGAGGGTCTTGGACAAGATGTAGTTGGAAGAGTAAGCAATGAAGTTCAATTCTCCAGCAAGCGAGCAAGACTAGCAAAGCCACAATGGGGAAAAGCACCAAAGAAAAGCAAAGAATGGATTGAATTAAAGAAAGATAGAAGACGCCGTCAGGGCAAAGAAACGAGACATGAGTCAAAGTATACTGGACGAAAACGTCGACCTGTGTTTTAAATGATTTCAAAGTCATTGTACAATATATACATGGAAATTTAGCCTCATTTGTTTATGACTGAAATAAAATTTACGAAGACAAATTAATTTTGTTCTTGAGCATATTTGGTCGGTTTTTCGAAAATCGAAAAAATTAATCAAAATTTGCAAAATCGTAAAGGGCCAAAAGGTACCCTTACCATTTTGGCCAAAATTGACGATTTTCGAAAATTTTCCAAAATCTCTTAATATCCCGAAAATGGCTTCAAATATTTACTAAGACAAACTAATTTTGTTCTTGAGGATATTTGGTAGGTTTTTCAAAAATTGAAAAATTTATCAAAATCCTAAAGGGCCAAAGTACCCTTAGCATTTTGGGCAAAATTGACGATTTTTGAAAATTTTCAAAAATGTCTTAATATGCTGAAAATGGCTTTTAATATTTACTAAGACAAATTTATTTCGCCCTTGAGCATATTCGGTAGGTTTTTCGAAAATTGAAAAATTCATCAAAATTGGCCAAAATCGTAAAGGGCCAAAGATACTCTTACCATTTTTGCCAAAATTGATGATTTTCGAAAATATTCAAAAATGTCTTAATGTGCTGAAAATGGCTTCAAATATTTACTAAGACAAATTAATTTTGTTCTTGAGCATATTTGGTAGGTTTTTCGAAAATTGAAAAATTCATCAAAATTGGCAAAATCGTAAAGGGCCAAAAGGTACCCTAAGCATTTAGGCCAAAATTGACGATTTTCGAAAATTTTCAAAAATGTCTTAAGACGTTGGTCTCTATTTATAGTCCAAAGGTTCAAATATTAGATTAGCGTATTTTATATTCCACGAACGGGCTAGACGAAGCGGCGACGAACAGTCTTGAAATAAATATTCAATATCTGTATAACTGGATATTTGCTTCAATTGCAATTTCAGATGTAATCTACGAGACTATCACGGAGGTGCATGCTTGTTACCTCAAGACTATACGCGTTATACACATTGAAATACATTCTCAATTTTTGTACTTTTTTCTTTTAAACCTATTTTGAAATGCATTGTTAACTTTTGTACTTTACTTTTACCTCTTTTCATTAAAAATACAAAACAATCGCACCGTAACCATTAGCTTCACTTGCGCCGCATATAACTAACTTATGGAAAAATAGTGCTCTAGGGCACAGGCGTGCTTTAAGTTGTGTGCGTTTTAGACGAGAGAGTCAATCATGAACATTAAAATGAACTCATTGAGATTGTTATTTCATTTGAGATCCTACCAAAAAGGTATTAAGTAATATAAAAAAGTGTAGCCTTTCACCGCAGGTTGTGGTCTTCTGGTTAAAGCAGTGCTCTCCGAGTTTAAAGGCGGAAAACTTTTCGAAAAGGGTTAGGTCAAATAAAGAACAATAGGCTTTCGACAAATGACGCGGTGGTCTAGTGGTTAAGACCGTGATCTCTCTATCCCGGGACAAGGGTTCAAGTCCTGGCAATGCAAAAAAATTGGCCTTGAAAATTTCGGTATGATTTGTAAGCTTGAAAAAGCTAAGACTCTCAGCTTTCAGGAAGGCTGTAAATTTGAAAGAAATTGGAAGTAAAAAAAAATTGAGAAACATTTGAACAATTTTCGCTTCATAAAAGTACGTGGAAATTGACAAACAAATGCAAGTCAAAAAATATTGAAAAACATTTGTCTCTTGAAAAAATTCAAAATTAGAAAATGTCCGACTAAAACTTTAAAAAAAGTTGAAAAATTTCCCGCCTTTAATGCTAATGTTTACTTACCTTAATAATTTTTTTTCACGAAAATTTGACAGGGTGATTTTCTCGAGACTGAAAAAATTTACTTTTTTTCACTTTTTTGAAATTCTCTTAGATTTTTTTTTTGACGAAGAAGTATTTTGTCTTGGGCTACCTGTGTTGGTCCTGACACAGGTAGCCCAAGACCAACACAGGTAGCCCAAGACAAAATACTTCTTCGTCAAAAAAAAATCTAAGAGAATTTCAAAAAAGTGAAAAAAAGTAAATTTTTTCAGTCTCGAGAAAATCACCTGGTCAAATTTTCGTGAAAAAAAATTATTAAGGTACGTAAACATTAGCATTAAAGGCGGGAAATTTTTCAACTTTTTTTAAAGTTTTAAGATTCAAGAGACAATTGCAAATGTTTTTAAACATTTTTTGACTTGCATTTTTTTGTCAATTTCCACGTACTTTTATGAAGCGAAAATTGTTCAAATGTTTCTCAATTTTTTTTTTACTTCCAATTTCATTCAAATTTACAGCCTTCCTGAAAGGCTGAGAGTCTTAACTTTTTCAAGCTTACAAATCATGCCGAAATTTTCAAGACTATTTTTTTTGCATTGCCAGGACTTGAACTCTAGTCCCGGGATTGAGAGATCACGGTCTTAACCACTAGACCACCGCGTCATTTGTCGAAAGTTTATTGTTCTTTATTTGACCTAACCCTTTTCGAAAAGTTTTCCGCCTTTAAACTCGGAGAGCACTGCTTTAACCAGAAGACCACAACCTGCGGTGAAAGGCTACACTTTTTTATATTGCTTAATGTGCTGAAAATGGCTACAAATATTTACTAAGACAAATTTATTTCGTCCTTGAGCATATTTGGTAGGCTTTTCGAAAATTGAAAAATTCATCAAAATCGGCCAAAATCATAATGGGCCAAAGGTACCCTTATCATTTTGGCCAAAATTGACGATTTTCGAAAATTTTCAAAAATGTCTTAATATGCTGAAAATGGATTCAAATATTTACTAAAAACTCAGTAAAATTTGAAGTGTTTTAAAAATTGCAAAACACTAGAATATTTGTGAAAAATTTGAAAATCTAAAAAATTTAAAAACACATTAGTAAAATGTGAAAAATTTGAAAATATTTGAGCACACATCAAAATTGATTTTAAAAAACACCACAATATATGTTTGAAATTTTCAAAAAACTCATATTTGGACACCAGAAAAAAATTTGACAGAAAAATAAAATTGGACAAAAGAAAAAAATTTAAACGAAAAAAACTTTTACTGGAAAAATTATTTGGACACGAGGAAAAAATTTGGACGCGATAAAAAAATGAAGCGAAAAAAAATTTGACTGGAAAAAAAATTCGACACGAGAAAAAAGATTTTGACAGAAAAAAAAATTGACAGGAAAAAAATTAGGACACAAGAAAAATTATAAAAAAACACCGAGCATATGAGAAAAATTTGAAAATTGCAAAAACACTAGTATATTTGTCAAAAATTTAAGAAATTACTAGAAAAATGTGAAAATATTTGAGTACATTGATTTTATTCTACAAAATTGATTTAAAAAAAACACCACGATATACGTAAAAAATTTTCAAATTGAAACATTTTGACACGAAAAAAGAATTGACAGGAAAATAAATTTGGAGAGAAGATAAAATTGGTAAATAAAACACCAGCATATTGTGAAAAATTTGAAAATTGTAAAAAGCACTAGTATATTTGTCAAAAATTTAAAAAGTTTCAAAATACTTGAGTGCATGTCAAAATTTTTAAAAATTTAAATATTTTAAAAATGTTAAAAACCCTAGTATATGTATTTAAAAAAATTGAAAATCTTAAAAATTTGAAAAGTTCTAAAATATTTGAGAACATGAGAGCAAATATGTGAAAAAGTGTAAAGATTTACCCACTTGACCAATCTGACCACGTTCTGGAACACGCTTTGTTCCAACTACTGCCGACCTATCAATTTTTTGGTCCAACGTAAGCGAAAATAGCTTTGCGAAGTGTAAAGCTAAAGTTCGTGCTTGTCTTTAACGAAAAAAATTCTTTAGAACCAGGGTGGCGCCATCATTATATATACATTTACATATGTATAGAAGATAAATTTATGTACATCATTACATAATGTTTATAGACATTTTAATACATGCATGGTTTATTACGTCCTTCCTATAATTTTCAGAGCAATATAAATCCTGCCTCATCTGTCTAGAACACAAAACTGTGGAGAATCAAGTTAGAACTGATGGAGCTCTATAATGTGATATTGCTTGATGAGCAGGCGTACGATGTAATAGTTTAAGTTTCATACAATCCATATTATTATTATTACTGCTGTCATTCTTTAAAATTTCAACATTGTTGTTATTCGCCTAACACGAAATGAAAAATAATATATATTTAGAGTGCAACATTAATTACTGTAACCCATATTAATAAATACGTGAAAAAACAAAAATCCACAACGTAACGATCAAATATATTTCTTATACCAGTTGCAAAGAAGCGAGGAAATATCGACAGACTTCCCATGGTTCCTGGAGAAAAAAAAAGGGAATTCCATGAAACATCTAGAAACTATAAATGCAAAATATATTATTTTTTAATGTCACCTGAGCAAAGTGAAATTTGGATTTGAAAACGTTCATATTTAACGTTAAAGGCCGACACAGACCGGGCGCGAAGCGGCAACGCAGCGCGAATTTTCAGTTTTCAGAAGCATATAAATTAAATTCTGGGATCAAAATTTGGAATCTATGGACGCTAGAGCAATCAAAATTTATTATTTTAATGCAATCTACAAGAAAATTTTGATAATTTAAAATTTATTTGCTTTTGAAAAATATAAAACGTTGAAAATTCGAGCCGCGTTGCCAATTCGCGTCATGTCTGTGTGGGCCTTAACATACATCTATTAGCGATCGCTAACATATTTCTTTTTTTTCTTATAGTTTTGTCTTTAAACTGCTGAAATCATGCGAGCTACAGAATATGTAACATTGACGAACCTGACTTGGAACAACTTCGTCAAATGATTTCAATGGCATATCTTATATATCAAAACAAAATAAGCAACGTCAGTGACAGGCAGAAAAGCTGATTACTATATATTCAAGGGAGACGGCAAAAAAGAAGCTTCTTGTACTTTTCATGAAGTAATTCTTACCTTCAAAACTTGCAAGCAATTTTTCGCCATATTTATGAATATCATATGGACGATGGGTATCCTAATAATCATAGAAGAATTATAATATTTAACTTATTTTTGCTACTATGATCACGTTCGGCGCTTGTAAGAAAAATAAATTCAAACCAAATGCATGAAAACTCAGTGAATATATACCTCATCTTCCAGTTTTGGCACGACTTTTCTCTCCCAGTCCTTTACTCTTTTTGATAAATCAGTTTCTTGAACATAAGTTTGAGCTTGTACAAGAAAACCTTGCTAAAATTATTCAAGTGTTGAGATTATTATATATTCAGGTTCCAAGTGTAAAAATAAAAATCATATCATCCAGCTTATCATGCAACTAATAGAAGGGACAGATATCATACATACCACATATTTCTGAACTAGTTCTTCGTAACTGGATACCACTAATTCATCGGATTCTTGCAGCTCTAAAATAAATTCTTCTATTTATTATTATAATACAATCATTGTTTTAGTTTCATTATATGTATTATATTAATGCTAAAAGATGGATATCTGTTCTTAGGCAATGTGTTAAAAAGTAGAACGAAGAATATAAGGAAAAAATCAGCCTTGAAATACATTTTCACTTTTTGAAATTCGAATAACCTTCGCGAAAACTCTTGTAGTTGGCGATAAAACCTCGGACAATCACTGCATTATGAGTGGGAAAAAAGGAAAAAGCCTGTTGAAAATGTTATCAAAATATATCGAATTCTAGACTATATCTGTAGCAAATCGTTAATTCCCTAATAGCACACTTGCAGGGTCACCTGCAGTACGTACCCATAGGTTGTACACATTCTGCTTGTTCATCGTCAAAGTTGTTATTGAAAGCACCATCGTCATCATTGTCATAGTCATCCACCCCGGCGTTATCATCTTGAAAGAAAAACAGATAATTGAATACACAATAAAACCAGTCTACGTTAGAGAATGAGTTACAATACTGGCTGGAAGAAAGCACGAACGGGTGCATTGCATGCTAGTGCATCAGAAACGTCTTACTTATGAGTGATAAGTTTTCTGAAAGAATACAAAATTTTAAAGTTTCGGGCAAAGCCTCTTCCTTCAGAAGCTAATATACAATATGCTTGTATTAAACCGAGCCATATTGCATAATCTACATATATTTTCAAAAAATATTTTGACAGGGTTATTTTCTTACCAAAACCGTTTTCATTGTTGTTGTATTCGTCAATTTCCTCCGCTGATGGTTCCAACCTTATTTGATCCTCAAAAAGACCCAAGCTAGCCTAAAACATATTTGTTTCACATACAGTAAGGCTACAAGATACCACCATTATTACGTTTCAGAAAACAAATAAACTTTTCCTTTTCCGGATCGGACTTCAGTTGTGTATACGGTGCACGAAGGAGAACAATTATCTATTAACTTTACTGCTTACATGCAGTACAATGATGACACAGCACGGAACAGAACAATATATGTTTACTATCTGGGTTATTGAACATTCACAAAAATGATGTTATCATGTTAAAATCATACAAAGAACGCTGATACATGATCACAACAACACATATGATATGAAAGTAAGAAAACTGACCATTGCTTTGCGGTGTTTTCGTTCCAAGATTTGTCGTCGTCTGAACTCGTTCCAGTAGATGTATTCGAATTCTGGCAGAAATTGTAAAATAAACGCACCAAGGAATTAAGAAATGCGGCGTCAAATGCGAACTATGAATTTATGAGAACAAAATTTTGATACGTCATTATATCAGCTGCTGTTCACTGCTCATGATAAAATGTAAATTATATCTGGCTCTAAATATTACCATGTTTTTTTCTAATATTAGCAAGTTCAAATTTAGCTACGAATTACATCGTTACAAACGAGAAAACTAGACTAATCAAATAATAGAAGGTTCATCAAATTTATCAATTAATCGTCCAGTTATTTGAGAGATCTGCTGAGTGAATGTTCACATTTTTTAGGTCCCTAAAGTTCTATAGATATAAAGAAATATTTCACAAGGTTACCATGATAAGTGAGAGTCTTCAGAGGATTTTTTGGTAATTTCTTTACTTGTGAATGATCTATATCGATGATATAAGTACATAGAAACAAGTTAAGGTGCTTAAGATACACAAAATCACGCGCTATTATACATTGATATATCTGTCTGATTGTTGTCCTATATTCAATCTCCTTTCATCAAATTTATTTCTCCAACATTTTGACATTACTTGACCGCATTCAGTTCACATTTCCGTCCAAAAACATAATGAACGTCAATAATCATTGTTCAAAACTTCATCGCTCTCTACTATAAATTGCATGATCGACCATTGCCAACAGAAAGAAGCATGAAATGAAATTAAGACTCGATTTTTTAAATCGCAGACAGTGGCAGCTGGTTTTTGGTGGTGCCAGTCTTCGTGTTAAATAAATTACTATACGAGAGTTAATAGTTTATCTACTCACATGCTATTCGACAGAATTCAGCAATAGGAATTAACTTGTTATTCATTGTGATATCTTCTTGAGATTTTCGTTTCCGTTTCTTTGCGGAGACTTTGTCATTTCTAACAGACGGAGGTATCTTAAATGGTCGTCCTTAAAGAAAAAATGATAACACGAATGCACTCCACGATAACTCATGCACCACAGATCCAGATAACCCATGCATCATGCATGTGAATCTTTTCGTTCAAATTTTATTAAACAATCAATGAACCACTCCTCGTAACAAGGAACTGGTATACGGTTTTCGCCGCCTCCAGCGCTAGGGAGCCCGTTGGATCTCCTACATCGTCAGTTAATTGCAGACACTATATTAGATGGTAACGAGCGGGAAAACACCGTCCTAACTATCGCAAAACTGCAGCTATTTTCTGGTTAAAAATTCAGACGAGATAAACACGTCTCACAACGTGGTTAGTTAGTTGCATTGCAAAGTTATTAGAACAATTTGGACAATACCTTGTCTGAATGGCTTTTCAGTTCCACCAGTTGGGTCGTGAGGATCTAACGTATCCCAGGGATCCTGTATTTTAGAATACGAACAAATGTTATTTTTCTTGTTTCACGCATATTGCATGAAAGTATCATCATTTTCATATCGTTGAAATATCAGTTTTCGATTTTCCCACTATATACAGTACGCGTAACTATATTATTTAGTGTCAATACGAGCAAAGATCAACTTTGAAACAAATCTGCAAATTTTCCTATGTATACAATGTAGATTAAATAATCTATCCTATGTCTTATACCTTCTGTTTCACAGCGTTCTGTGTTTTTTGATCAAATTTCCTCTCGCGTAATTGCACGTCCCGGTCACGTGATGATGCATTTCTTTTTACATCTTCAACTCCAAGTGTTGAAAAAGGAAGATCATCAAAATCATCATCTGGACTGTCACACAACATATTGTTTCCCAAATCTCCTTGCTCTTCAATTCCATCACAAACATCTGCAATGAAACTGACTTTATTGCGGAATATATACAAGCCTTGTTTCTTTCGAACATGTATAAATATTTTTGCGGTAAAATGTCTCGAAGAACGTGAGGGGAGAATGTTGAGAAAACAACGTCGTGTCAATGTATGGTGATGCAGATACAAAATTGCGAAAACGAAACCTTCAGAGTAAAGTTCATTCTTGCCTTGTATTTCAGGTTGACTTTCAATATTTCCTTGTAATATGACATTATCTACCAAGAGAATGTAGTTAATATAGTGATATATACGCATGCACAAAGGAAAACACTGTATGAAATTACCCTGAGAAAATGCACTTGGGGAGTTGCGTTGGAATGCTTTATTACTTTGTAAACAATGCAAGCTTGACATATCAAGAAGTAAAGCTCCAGAACCCAAATGGATTGAGCATGTGTTCATCTGAAAAAAATTTCATAGTTGAAAATTTAAAATATTAGCTTGCTTTCCTATACAGCTATAATATTGGGAAAAACCTAATTTTATATGAACTGTTATTTAGAACTATAGAACTGTTATTTACAATCAAACTTCAGACTGGGTTACAATATGTTTCACTGCCTTACTTTGAAGTCATTTCTGTTTCCCATAACTTCACCAGTGAGACTAAAAGTATAAACAGATGTAAAATGGTAAATTCTCCTTGAAAGAATACAAAAATATAGGTGTCGATTGACATAATTTACTTTACTTCATATTAATTTGTGAATTTCAACAGCACAAAACTACTTCTCTCCTCATCTAAACCTAAATTACACATGTTGACTTAATTACCTCATAAGTGCAGATCCTTTCTTGGAGTCATCAAATGTTATAAGTGTAACTGGTGTTCTTGGTATTAACTGTGGGGCCTTTAAAAAATCATTATTAGAATTGCAAGAAAACATTGCTAACACTACATGTGTAAACAACAAAAGTTTTGCAATAACTTACTTCCAACTGTACAGATTTTTCTTTCAAATCAATATTCTTTGCTTCTTTAATATCATCCAATAGTAAGAACTAGCATTGAATGTTTGGTTAAATAAGGATATAATTGGTTGTATAATATAATAAGGTGGGAAATAAATAAAGAATGTTGAACATCAGAAAGTTGCACTTTAAGTTGCAAACTGACTTTCTTACCTCTTGTTGTTCATGAGATGACACATCCTTATCCTGTCCTTGATCATCTACGGATGGTGCTTGCAGGAGTTGTCTTGTTAATATATAACATAAGCAGGTTACATTAAGTGCAATATACTGAATATTTCAAACTAAAAATCACTGACAAATAAACTTAAAGAACAGTTAGCTTAGGCAAGTTTACCTTTTACTAGCAATCATATCAAGAGTTTGATAAACCAAACTGTATAAATACTCAACCTGAATATTAAAAAAATCAACAAAACTACACTTGTAAATACACAGATACAACCAAGAGAAATGTGTGACAAAAAGTTTTGGAACAGACTGCACTTTCCCTAACTTAAGTTGAATGTTTAATTTCGTGCATTAACATAGTAATATCAATTTTACATACCTTTTTACTATAAATACATGCTGATCCTTGTATTAGCAAAGCTGCCTCAGCAAAATTCATTACAGTTTGACCACCATCAAATGAAATTTTAATCTGTTCCATCTAGCAACAAATGAAACAATTGCTGCAAAGATTGACAGAATCTCTTACACTAATAATTTGAAACAGGTTTGAAAGTGGATGCTATAATTTAGGAGGTGTGTGATGAACCTATAATTCATTCTGTCTGAGGGATTGCTGATCTAAAAGCAAAATATGGAACTTGCACGCACACAATTGCTACATATTCTATCTGTTGATATAAAGAATGTCACAATTTAGAAACAACCCTACAAGGCTTTTCTTACACTTGCCATGAAGTTTGGTTCTGAACTGTGTTTGTTTATTACTGATTCCGAATTCATGACAAAATGGTTTAATTTTGTTGCTCCCTGGCAGGTTTATGATTGCTTGACTTCGAGACAAAAAGGCAAGCACTACAATTCTGGCAAGAAAATGCAGGAAACAACTTTCTACCATTCTTATACGCTCTGCAAGCCCAGCAAAACGACCTAAAATACTTTGTTTATGACAAATACCTCGTTTAGATACTCCTCGAGTTCTGCGGCAATGTTTACCTCCCAGTTTTTAAACAAATCACGAATTGGTTTCAATAAATATCCATATCGAGATTGAACTTCATTTAAGATTTCGCCTCCTTCTGATGGCATATTTAGCGTCAAAATTAGTGTAGAAAAGCAAAGAAAATCACAGTAAAAGCTAAAAAAATTACTCAAATTATCAACTCAGCTTTAGAATATTACTTTAGTAAGTTAGTAACTCCCGCCTTTTTTTGAGAGCCCACAGTGCAGATGACCGAGTACTTCAAGTTATCATTTTTTACGGGGGGATTGTTTCTTGTTACGGGAAAAAGGATACCTACGGGTATAAACATATATTTGTAGGGCATTTCTTTCAGCGTTTCGTTTTTACAGTATACTTCACCGCAACTTCATCTAACCTTGTTTGAGAGGTATTTTAGGGTCCTGTATAGATGAAATTTTAAGTTCGTCGGAGTGGCCTGGCCGCCCTCCTGGGTAACAATGGGGGATATGCTTAGCCTTCTTGTATTGTTACGTAGAAGTTTTGAGCCTTTTCCACCAATAAATGGTAAAGTAAGGCCTGTTTCATGCGTCACACTATCGTCGAATTTAACTCAGACGAATTTAATTGAACGAATTAAATACGACGGTAGAGCGTCGTATGAAACGAATTAAATTCGTATATAAATTAAATTCGTCCAAGACGTTGTATCCGTCATGGTCTGTCATACAACGTTTTGGACGAATTTAATTCCATTACACGAATTTAATTCGTTTCATACGACGCTCTACCGTCGTATTTAATTCGCTCAATTAAATTCGTCTCAGTTAAGTTCGGCGATAGTGCGACGTATGAAACAACCCTAAGTCTGAGATCCCACGATTACAAAATTAGGGTTCCTTATTACTGCAATGATTACAAAATGTACATCTATTCACCGTCATCTTGTACACATACAGCAGTTATCGTATAATAGAGAAATTTCCTGGTGAGGAACGTTCAGACAACAGTCACAATGCCTAAACGTTCCTGCTTCTACCATTTATCGATTATTATATCTCCTTTAAATTGAATAGACTATCCACATTTAAAATGAAAGACAACGGAACATCTGAATTTTTCAACACAAAAACTTAAGAACTTATGTGTTAACAGATGCTCCAACCTAACTCTACATTAAGAATATCTTCGCCAGGAAATCGAAAGATGGCACATTGGCAGGATTAATCACTCGAGTACTTTTTCTATCAAACGCTGTCATATTTTGCATGGTTCTCTTTTCACAACAGTTTTTTCTTCAGGTGCACGTGTCTTAGTGAATTCGGGTCAAATCTTCAACCAGTTTCACCAAGTCCTCTACAGTCGCTTGCCTTTTCATATTTTCTTCTTGAATCTAAAGAACGTGTAAGCAAGTTTAACCACGATGACACTTCGAGCGTTTCATTGTCCTAATTCAATGCACCCTTCTAACCCCTATGGTCCAGCAGGAAATTCACTCCACACATTGTATTCCCGCCCTGAATTCAAATACCTGAAGATTTGAAGCTACTTCATCCATTTGTGCTCGCGGAAGATCCAAAAAGCTTTCTATTAAATCCCCATCAATAAAACCTCTGGATTCTTCTATTTTACGCTCGGTAGAGAATGATCTCCAACTGTGATTATATGTCAAGAAAAATAATGAAAACCAAAGGAAGTTGGAGACACGCACTTTGTCAGAATTTACATCTTTACCGAGTGGACTTTGGCAACACTTTCTCTCCCAATAATCTCATAACACGCTCACAAAAAGGATACAAACTATGATCTATTTTTCCAACACTTTTTATCACTTTGTTCATCTGTGCTTGTAATTGAGTAAGAAATTCATATAAATCTTGAGATATTTGTCCGATGATGCCTAAAAGTAAAAATGTGTTTCTAATATCATCTACGAAATAACGAGTCGAAATAAGGGGAAAATCATCCCAGACAATGGACGACAAGTTATACAGCAGCAGAGCGTAATAAGCTAACATATGTATAAATATTTACCAATTGCTCCTGTAACAGAACCATACAAAACAGTTCCTTGAAATGGATTGGATGTTTCTCCAAGATGTTCCATCACCAACGACCCTGAACATAAAAAACATCATCTTTAGCAGAGTTAAAATTCATATTTGGCATGGATTTGATTAAGATCAGGTAGATTATTTTATTTACACAAAAAATTCCATCTAGAGGTTCAAAGGAATTGTATATAGTAAACGTACCGTGTCTAAAGACATTAACACTTTCTCCCAGATGATATTTACCAATATCTTGTAATGTTGTACGATCATCTTCCGCTGTTGAACTGTCTTTTTGAACGGTAAATAAATTAAAGGAATTTTCACTCCCAAGAAATGTTTCATCATCTAGTATCTCTATAGCCATCATCCAGTTAGGATTGTAATCTAATGCAATCTGCAAGCGAAACATAAAATTTTTCATTTCTTAAAACATGATGAGGTAGCTGAATGTAAATCTTATGGATGGGGAGAGCTTATTCTGATTGATAATAAAAATGGTTGAATTGGAAAAATTCATGTCAAATGCCAATTTTGTTTCCTCGGTTTTTGTCAATACCTCTTCTAGAGATCCTTCAACAGGCTTATAAAGCAATAGTTTCACAGACCGCATTAAATCACCAACCTAAAAAAAACGAGATCGTTGTATAATTTCACACATTACAATACAACTGTAATTATTATACTACTTACACTGCAATTAAAGAACATCTAGAAAAACTTACCAATATAAAATCACCTTTACATTTGATGTAAAGTGCAAGAACAGTATCATGATAACTACATTCCACCTTCAGTTCACCATCGCTAGTCCATTCAAAGACACTCACCTAAATTGTAAAATATGTGTGCACTTAAACAGTACAACACTTTTCTAACAATTGCTACCACTCTAATAGGCTTTTGATTTCTTAACACGTTGTCTGGTTCAAAATATTTCTTATTTACGAGATCTCAGCTGCCATGTACTGCACAGATGCAAATTACGTTAATATTATAAAAACGTTGTAAATTATAATGCTCAATCCTGGTGAAGCTATATCAATAGTTATTATTGATATTAAAATAACATTTTTCTTATTTACTACACAATTCTATACAACTGCACTAAACATGATGAAAAATTGATCTTACTGTGCTGTTGATACCAGCCACAATTTTGCCATTAAATTCTACCAAGGAATAAACAGACCCCTTCACTTCTTTTTCAGCCACTTGTGTTAGTTTTCCTATTGTGATCATGAAAGATGAAAATTCAGCCGCGCGTCAAATTTTAATCTCCTAAAATGCTTAAACTAAAATGATATTTTATGCTATTTTATAAAAACAACAAGAAACCCGAGAACTGCATTCTATTTTTTAATTTTAATTTTTCTATCCTTTAATAATGACTAATATTTAGCGACATTTAAGATGCTGGAATAAAATACGACATTTAAGATGCTGGAATAAAATGTGAAAAGAACAAGAAAATGTTCAGTCTTCTGGCCCAGTGGTTTTGAAAAACTAACGCCTGTATCAAAGTCCTGTAAAATATCTCACCATCTTCAAGATGAAATAAAATTAATCGACCACTCTTCGGCTCAGCATCCTCGGGACGGACGAATGCAGTTCCAACACAATAATACTGATGTGAACCCTTTGTAAGTTTACACGAGATAAGACTGACAGGACATTCCATTTCCTTGAGATGATGAGCATGGGTGACTGATGAAAACATTGCAAAAAGGAGTAATTCAGTATGAACTATAAAACAGTAACCACTCTAAGAAAATGTTTTATTTCACCTTCAAATGTATGTTGATCGACAATAAGAAAACTTCCACATTCCACATCATTGCCAAATGTTATTCCATCAGGTAAGGCAGTGCTATTGCTTGTTATAGCTCCAATATTCTTGGTAATATTCTGTGCAGTGAGACTGGCACTCTTTCTCACAGGACGTGATTCGCTGCTGTATAAATCTTGGAGTTCTGTTCTTGTCGTTGCAACACCAAAACTCTGAGTTGTCTCCTGGTAAGCTATACGACTGAAAAGAAACTTACTGCATGGTTATGCGTTCATTGCCTTGTCAGAAGATATGTGGTAAATAATTATAGTTTTAATATCGGGGGCTTCATTATATATTAATTTGTATGTGTTGGTTTCACTAAACGCATTTAGATTTTTTTGAGATATCATCATATCAACATTCCAGGTGAAAATGAAACTCCCAGTATATGAAACTTAGACGATGAGAATATTTCGTCACTGGCAGTGTACTGAACTTACCGCGGTGACTCAGCAAGAGGAACAGTTCTGATGTGCAGTTTTTGAATCTCGTCAATTGTTCCAATTGTCAAAGAATTTGCATTTGATAGCGCCAAACTAAAGCAAACATAGAAAATTATACTAAAACGAATGAGAAATAATTATCTTGATCAAAATACTGCGCACCTTTGAGGATATCCTTGAGTATTTAGAGGACACATACATCCCACTTCCTAATTAAGAAATTAGATATTTTAACGAGTGAGGCAGTCCATCAATAATCTTTCAAATGTTTGATCTCAGCAGCGAGGGTTCCTTTAGAAATGATTAGATTTGAATCTTTACAACGTGCTCTAGTGAATTGTAAACTTTGCAGTACATTCTTTACACAGGCATTCCTGGATGTTTATTAGTTTAATATTATACTTTGGAACTTACCTTCAGATTTACATTGGAAAAGACAAGTTTATGGTTGCTAGAATATATTACAGTTGGTCGATCAGAGCAAGCAAAAACATTAACAGTTGAAAGAGAACGGAAAGTCTTGAGAGCTGCAGGTTGAGTACCAAGAGTGATTTTCCTTTTCTCTGATAAAAAACCTGTCATAAGATCAGAAATCATCAACAACACTTAGAACAGATTTCGACCGTGGCTAAACATAAAACTTCACAGCTATATTTTTAGACATATGTATCATTATCAAATCATTAAAGAAAAGGATTTCAAAAAATGCAAAATCTGGGCTTTACAGTACCATTTAAAAAATATACCTGTGCTGTTCATGATGAAGTAGAAGAAAGTTCCATCACCAAGTGCACAAAGAAGATATTTAACACCTTCAAACATCGCCATTAATACAGATCGAGGGATGATCTCTATAAAATACAATACATACAGTAACTTAAAAGTTGTGCTTATACAGTTGAAAATGTAATTTCGAATTTTGAGGAATATAGTACAGTATATAAATGTAGCAACTTATTTAATACACTCATTTAATAATTACGTCATGCATGCACGTGTATGGCCTGCAAGCTCACATGAATCGCCAACTATATGTAGCTAATCACGATTATGAACATATTTTAACCTCCACCCAAGTTTTCAATGCAGAGCTGATCCATGCTTGGTAACTGGAGTACTCGTAATGATATATCAGTCCACAAACCAACCACGACCAACGTAGATTTTTCTTCAGCAGCCTCTACAATAAAGAACCAATTCTTCTACATTGAAAACGCATGTACCTGCATTTACTATATTCGAAACAATAAATTTTGATTGTGATATATACCTGGTAAAGATATGTCTAAGCAAGCGACTTCGTGTTCTAAAATGGTAGTGCTGTAGAGATGACAAAATATTCATTGAAAGGGCATTTTTAAAATATTTGAAAGGTGGAAAAAAATACATATTATTCAAGAAATGTGAGTGAAATAACATTTTAGAGATACTAGGAAATGGTGTCCAAAAACGACATGGAAAATGAATTCAAAATATTGGTAAATATGTAAAAGAGATGCAAAGAGATGTAGGTAAAAGTACCAAATTTGAACAATATTTTCATCTTGAAACTCAAGGTAAAACAAATCTTTTCCAACTGCTGCCACAATCTGCTTCTTGTTACAGGAGACAACGCTGATTGTCTTGCTTTTGGGAGGTCGCCACTCACTATAAAGACAGAAGAATGAATAAGCGGGTGAATATCCTCCCAAAAAATTGCGTTCAACAACAATATTGCTTATGCAAAAAAGAAAATTCGCGTTTGATATAAATATACGACTACTTACGAGACAAGTTTCAAGGTGTCACAGTTCACCAAACGAATAGAGCTTGATGTTACCTAAGAAAATAAAAAATAGGATAAAAACAGACTGACACGATTTATGAAGGTATATTCGACCTTGGTATGGTCAAAGTATGGACACCCCTCAGAGGTGCTGCAGTATAGTTAAAAATATCTCATCAGTCAGCCAAAATGATGGAAAACTAGGTAACGCATTATGCTGTGCTTTATACCTGGACAATTTTCTTGCCACAAACATTTCCACTGTAATATGTTTGTTCATCGTCGACAAATCCATCGATCTCTGTTTCCTCTACTTCCTCGCCAGTAAGAGTTAAAATTCTACAAAAAATACACTCATTCTAAGCTGAATCACTCTTTCAACACCGTAAATGGTATTATGTAGCTATCACACTGGAATTGAGCGTAAAACGACGGAATCATAGTTTTCATACCGTGTTTCACCCACAAAGGACAACACTAACGTATCATCGTACTCCGAATCCGGTTCAGATATTTTTAACGCCCATATACCTACGAGACATGATTTTTGACATTATGATGAGTTATTTAATACACAAGAACGATCGAGGCAATATAAATAATAATAAAACAATGATTACCCATAATTCCAGGAAGGTCGACCGTTGCATTTTCATGAATACCAATTCCATTTCTAATAATTTTCAACGAACCCTCTTTACTAGCTCCAGAACATGTCACCAGCTTTTTTAAAGATAGATGTAAATATTTAGCGTGTTAACAAGGATTAGACAACGAGAGATAACGGAGAGAAATTAGTTAAAGATAACTAAACATATCTAATACACGTTTGAGGGTATCATTTTGAAGAGTGTCTGCACAAGAACCACAAGTAAAAATTGTGTAAAAAGCACATTTGAAATAATCCAATACTGATTAACTATAGTAAGATAATGACACTCCAACAACAGTAATGGTGGGCACTCCAACTATAGTACGAGAACAACATTTAAACTACAGTAATGGACTAATGGTAGGACACTCCAACTAGAATAAGAGTAAACTCTCTATCATATCTACACAACAAAAACCAGATCATTATAAATTTAAAAAAGGAGAAAAACTTTAAATATAACTATATGTACCTGTCCTTGACCCTGTCTCTCCAAATCAACAACAACCATGTCTACAATTGGCCCAAGATTTGTGAATGATTCCATCACTTGCACATAGCTACCATGTTTGTCAGCTTTTGTACTCAACTGGGAACAAGTTAAAACAGACTTACAATATGGTGGTATGTAGGTATTCAGATAAACCTTTTTCTAAACTACATATTCACCCCACACATGGCTCATATTGGTTTTGCTACATGAGCAACCAAAACAAGGTTTTTTGCATCTCAAAATAATATCATGTTAGTAAAAAGGTTGTCTCTACTGTACCTTGACTAACTGTGAGTCTCCTAAAGCGGATCCCACAAAAACAACACCATTATCCAAGTATGCCAAACAATGAGGTATGGAAACCTGAATATGACAGGTTGACATACTGTAGAACATTTAATAACTCTAGAAATCAACATTTGATGTATTATCACCTCATGCTACCAAATTAACCTTCCAAAAATACCTCCCCCAAAGCTTCCAACTTCAAATCTTTAATTTCCACATTTCCATCAACTTCATGTTGTTCTAACAGCAACATAAACAACATTCCTTCAAGATCTCCCAGCAAATATCGTGAGCCATTTGGATCAATTTGACCATAACACGTGGCTGTACTTTGCTGAAGATCATCAAATATATCATCAAAAACCACAAAATATTTTTCTCAATAATCAATTATATCTTGCATCATTAAGCTATACTTTTATATTTACAAAATTTTAGTTGAATTACTCACTCTCAAGGCTGCAGGAGCTATAGCATGATATTGACGACCATTGTGATATGTTATTGACTCTTGCCCAATAATGATCACACCGCCAAGAGGTTTGGGAACTGAAGATAAGAAACAAATCCAAAATATTATGATTGCCTTATAGTACCTGTGGTATGACTGATAGTCACCAGGGGTTAACAATTAAAAATTATTCATATCTATATAATAGTCTTATAGTCTAGTAGAAGAAAACAAAGATGACATCAGTATTTTTGAAACTACAATAATCAAATTGTTAGTTGTTACGCAACACAATACCTGCTATAAGCATAAATGCCTCAACTTCAATATTTTCCTGCTGCCAAGGAATGTTAGAAAATTCTTTGTCTTTTAATGATATTTCGTTAGTTTTAACATGACGGCCATGAGGGTCCTGAAATAAAACAACATCCAATGAATCATGAATCTTGAGCAATGAATCTTTGTGTTAGAAATCACCAATCTACTTGTAACCTACTTATAAAGCAAACATAACATGATATAATATTTCAAACCTGATATATAAATGCTATGGTAGGATTAGCACATCCATGGAGGAATTTTATATCAGACACTTCTAGTTCTTCAAATCTAAAAGATCAAAAAATATTTTTTAACCAAGGATTCCGCTAAATAACCTACATATCATATGTCATAAACATTGAAAGAGCATATTTAAAATTGCCTTGCCCAAAATTGCATTGCATAATGACAAATATTACCTACAAGACACAGCTGATATTTAGCAAGGGAGAGGGTGATAAAAATCTTATATGCAGTAATGCCCTCCCCTGTTTGACATAATAGTTCCTTCCTATTGTTCCCATGGGTGGTAGTAAGGGGGGGTGGCAGGGAATGGGGGGTGGCAGGGGAGAGAGGGCTAAAGCCTAAAATGTTGCATTTCATCAAATTGCATTTAAAAGAATGTTACCATACCAATGAGAAGTACCTTATATTAAAAGCCTTCAATTCTTTTGATGAGTCAAGTTCCAGTAAAATAACTTTGAAGAGACCATCATAAAGACGTAAGCCTATAATCCGACATTCCGGATCTATGATTGCCATCACTCCTGTGTCAGATGGCCTGCCAATTTTGTCCTGGAATAACCAGAGAAAAATATGATTGAAAGCAATGAAATGCATATATATATAATTTAAAATATTAGCTAGGGGTCATTCTTAGGGCTTCTCAGTGCTAAGTGAGTGTGTAGATTTACATAAATACGCAAAATTTTGTACCTGCATAGTACATGAAAAATCTGAAATTATCTATGCTGAAAACCTTTTAACTATGGTTGTACCTGAACATCACCATATGCCCTAGTTATAATATCCCCTGGTCCAGCATTATAACTCAAAATAAACACTCTGTATCTGCATGTTAAAATAAACAGCAGATCTTGTGATTCACCCTATAAACAAATAAATTTATTAAAAACATTACAACAATAAACATGACATTTCAGTTTGGGAAAAATAGGTAAATTGATTTATGAAATAACATGTATATAACATGTGTTCTGATTGGTTGAAGCCCGTGTTTGGATCAGGCCGTCCAAACACGGAAATTTTGCAGGAATTTAAAAAAAAATTATTACGGTTTGTTATTTTATAAAACAATTACTGATGATCTGATCCAAACACTTGGGAATGTTGCTCACCTTCGGCTCATGTTTTGCGCGCTTTTCTTAACTCTCCCAACATTCCCGCGTGTTTGGATCAGGCCATCCAAACACGGAAACCATTAAGTAATTGTTAAATGATTTGAAATATGATTAATTTAGTAACTATGATTCTGTTATTTGTGATGATAATTATATTAACTAATATTGTGGAGATGAGTCATGCAAACATCACTCTTGGGATCATTCACCCAATATAGCATTCATTTTTTAAATATTTGTTGTGGCTGAGGAGAATGGAAATCACATGCCTTGAGATATTTTCAAACAATGCCATTGTCCCCCAAAACCTATAAATCATTCATTGGGTTTATGGCGGTCAATTGAAATATTATTGCAATGTTATACTAAAGACAATTTCCAAAATAGAATGTCTGAAATTGCTATTGGCGCTGAACGAAAATTACTAACCTTTGGACGAAATAAATGCATACATGCTATCTTGCCATATATTCCAACGTCAAGCAGAGGTCTTAAACCTTCTGCGGTTACAAGATGGATTTCAAGACGTGTATTTTTTGCAATAATTAGATTGAGGTCTTTCTCGCCTGTAAAATGTCCGACGACTGCAGCAGATACCGCAGTGGGTTTCTGAGCTGTAACAACGTAATTAAACGCCATGATCACACATTTCTCATCATTTTATAAACATGATCATGAATAACGTGATGATTCCAATACAGAAGAAAATATGGTTGATTCCCGCGTGAGGGTTGAAGCGCTTTCTGAGTCCGCGACAGTTTTTGTCAGGGATACTTTGTGTTAAACACGTGATAGAGTACATTGGACAACGCGCTCCATGCTCTAGAAAGTCACACGAGTTAAGCTTTCAGTGAATACAAATCCAGCTGATCTTTGCAAGGCTGAGCACTCTACTCTCTTGTAGAGTGATGAGTCGCCTTGATACTCCTTCACCACACTTTAACCCAATTTGAGTTCATCTCATTCGAGTAACATTGGAGTATTTCGAGTTTTAGTGAGCTTCTATAACGTTTTCACCTGCATTTGGTAAAGACAGTCGAGCAAGTCCATAATGCAGATAAGGGCGCTGCTATACACTTTGACACATTCACAAACATTAGCCATAAACACTTGCTATATGTATACACAGTTTAATTAGGAAGAATAATGAAACAATTCGTAAATCTACCTTTACACAAAAAACCTCTGAGAGGACGGTAGTCTTTACATCAATTACATGGATTATCTCATTTTCGCGGGTATTCGCGGATATCGTATAAAGGTGAGGGTCTTAATTTACATTTTTCTTGAGGTGTATGGCCTTGGCATCGGTCCTTTAAAAGACACTCTTTGTTGTGAGTTAAGAGCAGCTAACCCATGACTGAATCTTTGAGACGGAGAACTAAAATTCGTCGAAGACGAAGGGACAACGCGAATAGTTCCACCGTTTTTGCTTGTTCCGGCCTAAAATTAGTAAATAAAGCGAACACGTATCGTAAATCTTGTTTTCAGCGATGTAACGGATTGTAATGGGGGGGGGGGGGGGGGTATTGGGCAGGAGGATTCAAGATTGTAGTGCCATGCAGTATGCTGATTGCAGTATTGCAGTTACCTTAGATATTGGTGAAGAAGAGGTTTGCTTTGACGAGTTCGCGTTTTTGTCAGGACATCTGGATTGTGATCTTGACTGGGCATTCGATATCATCCCATCATTCCCTGCGATTGTCACACGTGATTGACCAGCATTAGGATGTAGGGAATGATCAGTTGGTAGCGAGTATGGTAGAGTTTCACTACTACCAGGTTTCAATAAACTAAACATGTTAATAAAAATAACAATTATGAGAAGGATGGTGTATAGTATATTTTAGGGATTTTTTTTTCAGCAAAACTGTTTTCCATATGTAAAATCCTGACTGAACAAAACACTATATGTTATTTTAATTATCTGCGTTGTGAAACACTTTTCGGGACGCCAATATATAGCTTTTGTTCCGTTTTAAACCAACCCTACCTTCTATTCAGGTCATCATACTGTAGACTCTCTCCTTCCTCTTCACGGCTGGAAACTGGTTTAGGAATCCCGAATGGAAACGCGGCCGTCGTCCACGCAACAGCCTGCAGAGAATCAAACACTAGTTTATAGTCTTCCACAATCTACAGTTTCTGTTTTGCGTATGACGCTAACAAGAAGACAACACAAATATTAGAAGACCGACCTGCCCATTTGGTTTGCAAAGAATCGTGGTACATTCTGGTCCAGTTCCCCATTTATGTTGATCTTTCCACAAGAAATCGGACGGAGGATTGTGAGGTACCAAGCTTACCGCTGACCACACCTGAACGATGAACAAACTTAATACAAAATATTTTTACATATACCTAAGGTCAATCTCAAATATCTAAGGTCATTTAATGAGTAAATATACAGGTTCTCGCCCCTGCTTCTTACGCCGTACCGTTACATGCGAGTTTGCTTTGAGTTTAGTTCGTGGTGGAAATCTGAAGACTGTCACTGGACTTCCAGAAATATTTTGTTGAATCATAAAGCCACCAATTTCTTCATCCTATGAATTAAGGTGAAAATCATGATGAAACGAAAAAATCGTTTAATTACACATCGTTGAAAAAAAGAAAGAAGCCGTCTCCTCAAATAACTTTTCTTTAAATATGGATGCAACTGCTGTATATTTTATTTTGGGAAACAGGTAGTTTCCTACTAGCTCTGTAATGTTCTTCGTCTTGTAGCCGTTAAGGGTGAAATACAGATTTCATTTTACCTCATAGACGTAAGTGTTAAATAGCAATGCAACTATATCTCGAACATTACATATTTACCATAAAATTATCACTTTTGTAAGTTTACTCACTTGAAATGTTGAACTGTTAAACAGACGAACATATTTCCCTGAAGGATTCACTTCTAAGATTTTTACGTGGCCAGTATGACTAGAATTACCAAAAATGGACGAACGTTTATTTACAGCTAACCTCGAGCGGTAATATAAAATTGCACTTTCACCAAAAATTTACGTGGTGGATTTCTAATGATCTGAACTATATTTGCAGAGAGAAAGTTGAAAGATAAAGTAAACTTTGCATTGCTACTTGTTAGGTATAGGTTGAGAATATATAGTGTCATTCAAGTTGCTGATCAAATATTCAATTAATGAGAATATTTCAATAAAGAAAAACACAATTCCAGTGGATGTTACTTGTATTATACTGTATAACACAAAAACATGCGGGTATACCGCCTGCCATGCAGGCTGAGGGTTTACCCGCATTGTTTACATGCGCGTATCATGCTAAATAAATATCTCAGGTGAAAGGCTTTACGTCATTTCGTGCATCACGTTTAGCATAATTATGTTTTTATAATTGTTCATCGATTCTTTATACACTTTTTAAATGAGTAAATTTAGTGCTAATTAGGGTAAATATAAGTTTAAATTACATTTAAATACAATTCTATTATAATAGACACACATATACATGCACTTTTACGTAAAATTGTTATATATATAAATATGCAATATTTAAAAAAAATCGGCAGCAAAAATTAATGTGCAACTTATGTGATAAATTAAGTCTTAAAATTCGTTCTGGTTATTTGAATGATTTTACGGCAAAGGAGAAGTGAGTGTTCGCGGGTGAATACGTCGTATACGAGCAGGACGATATGAAACACCTTTCACATATGGCGACCTCAAGAAAGAAAATAAATAGATAAGTCTCTTCATTTGATTCGATTTTATTGGCAGAAAACTCAAACTAAAACCTTAGTTTAACCAATGATACAGTGATGGTTTTATCGAGCATAACTTTATTTTTATTTTAGGTTTTTTAATATGTGTAAAGCCCTTCACCACATGAGATGAATTCCGAGAAAAAGAGAAAAAAGAGACTGAAAAAAGCCTGTTCTCTTACCTGGAGGTCGGAGAATAGTAATCAACATAGTTTGGAATGTACGACATACTGGAAGACAAAGGGAAAGACGTAGTGATTGGTCGAACAAGAGAAGCTGTTGTGGATGAAAAGTTTCCTGAAATTAAATTAACGCAATGTAAAAATTAATGTGAAAATGTAGTCCGGAATTCTTTAATAGCGAACATGGTGTATTTTTTTAAATTTATTTGATTTTTTTTTAAGAGCAGGCAAAATTAATTACAAAGGTCGATACTCTACAATCGTGATTTAATTCAAGACTAATTCATTGTATACCTGGAGATGTTTTTGGCCTCAGTTTCTGTTTCACTTTTGTTTCTTTGGCCATGTGAACATCCGGGAGACTAGTGGCATTTCTTGTCAAAGTACTGGTAACGACTGGCTTTGGTGACAGCGAAGATGGTAAAATGGTTGAACGGTAGGATTTCAGAGGAACTTTGTTGGATAAAGACAATGAAAGCCTAAAAAACATTATTAGTAAAGTATTACGGTATCACTAATATATATATTGACGTTTAATGGTTAATATAAATAGACGTTTTTACTTCTAATTTTTTACCTTTTTTCTTCCGCCTCCAGTAGGGCAGTAAGTGATCCAAGTTCAAGGTCGATTGGAGTATGCATACTGTAGGCTAAACCCAGCTCTCTTATCTTCGCCATCAATGTTTGTTGCACTTCTCTTAACTTCGCTTCAAGACTTTTAATTGTGTTTGCTGCTTGCTGACGTTCCATTTCAAGATCTTGAATTAAGCCTCGATTTTGACCATCCAAAGTTTGACACTTAATGAAAATAAATATTCCAATCAATAATAGATGTTTAATCAATTTGTCTGATCATACAGTTCCCGTGAATCTACAGCGTAGAACAGCGTACAACGCGGATTGACGATGAAGACGGGGATTAAAAGCTCGCTGAAGTAATTTTGTGCAATTACAAGGCTTGACATGCAGTTTATGTTAATTAGATGCAAACACTCGCAGCGAGCTTGCGAGTTGATTTTGCGGTGAGTGGAAAAGAGCCTTCATTAAACAGAGAAAAGATGTTTGGCACAAAAAACAACTAAGATGCCAAAACAAAGAGAGGACATTTAAAAGACTAGTAAGTTAGAAAGGCGAATAGCAGAAAGAGTGAAAGAAGCACACGCGTCACACGATGATAAAAAACTGAGGGTGGCAACTACGTCTAAGGCCAGGAACGGCAAACTACCCGAAATATTGCCTCACCTTAGATTCCAGACCGATACATTTTGTATTCAATTGTTCTAAGGCAGCTTTCAGTTTAATATTTTCTTCAATTGCCTCGGTAAAATTTCGAGTTTCATTGTCCAACTGTGTCTGCATTTGAGTCATCTTTATTAAGGACAATGATAACACAAACATTAGCGCCTTTTGTAAAAAAACACAAGCGTTTATTACCTTTCAAAATTGTAGGTAAATCTAGTCCAAGAATTAGATATTTAACTCGACAGCATGATCTGGCACGGCATATAGTTTTTGTCAGACCCTATAACACTAGTACAACTGAAAAAAACAAGGTGAACGTACATGTGATTGATAGGAACACTCAGACTCGTGTTTATATCTTCTCAACTGTTCATCAGAACGAAGCTTGAGCTGAGCCAACATGGACGAAAGATTTTCATCAACGATATTGTGTTCATGCAATCTCTCATCAGCAAGGAGCAATGCTCTTTCCAACTCAGCCAAACGATAACGGTAGTCTTGCAACTCCTTTACAAATTATAGAAAAATACCTTGCTATTACTATCATTCCTATATGATATGGTAGATAAACAACCATTCAAGACCCCATATACCCCATACCTTCTGATGAACCTCCGAATCAAACTTAAGTTTATCTCTCAAACTTTGAACGGTTGCCTCCAAGTTAGCTCTTGCAGCACTTTCATTGTCTAAATCATGTTGTGTTTTTATCAAATTATTAGCGACATTATGTCGATCACGTTTTGTATCTTCATGTGAGTTCATTTGCTGTGTTGTTGTGACTCTTGCTTCTTGAAGCTGAACTTCTTTCTCTGCCAAACTGCGATAGGCGTCGGCAAGCTCATTTTCCGCCTTATTACGCAAGTTTCGTTCTTCTGAGAGTCTGGAATAAACGACTGAATTCAGTTTCATGATAAACCGGCATATCATTGCTGGAGCCATACCATTTATATTAAGCATGAATGAAGGGGATTAATTCATTCATTTTGTATTGTATGATTCAGATACGTGCGTAAAGTCGACAAATTGTGAAAATTGAGAACCGCGGCATCTCAGCAGGCACATTTCACATCTACAGAGTCAGAGTATTCAGTAACTGACATGCACAAAACTTCTCTCTTCCGCCAGCACAAGAAATCGTCAATATCTTAACAGCTGAAAGTAAACGGAAGGTGCATGATTGGCAACGTGTCGGGCCAGGTAATTAAAAAAATCTATTATTCACCAGTTCTGTCGGTCCGAATAGGGAAATATTTCCCTCAGTCTCTAAAACGTCCCTTGGTCTTTGGCCTCAGGCTGTTGAAATATTTCCCTATAGGGACCTCCAATCTAGTAAATAACATATAATATAATATAATATATATAATATAAATAATATAAAATGTAATATATATATATATATAATGTAATATAAATATAATGTAATATAATATATATATATATACATGTATATATATATATTATAAGTCTGCAATAGTGCAATAATAGTATAACAGTTTGCAAAGTTAATTTGGTACATCCCTTATTAAAATTTAGTATAAATTTAGAATAAAATCATTTCAAATGCGATTGGTTCATGCGTAGTCACATGACTTTAAATAAATGCAATGTTTCCCGCCAAGGAAACAAGTGAAAAATTGTTGCCTGCTTCATGTCATAACAAAGCAAAGTGTTTCTTTTTTAAATGAAATTGTTGTGTAACATATATGTTTTTGTTCCAATATAACAAAACACTTAATGTGCACTACCTCGAGAAATAGTGAGTTTTTCTTCGAGTCTCAACATTCAGACTTTCAGGAAAACAAAACTCACTATTTCCCTCTGGAGCATACATTAAGTGTATAATATACATACATTCTTAAAGATGCAAAATATTTATGAAACTGCTGTGATACATAATATTGCATATTTATGTATATTGCATATTTATGTATATTGCAGTTTTACCTGTCAATAATTGTGGTGAGAAAATTTACATATTGCAAAACAAACAGGATTTTACTATATCAACATAGTCTGATAGTAACTATATGGTTGCCAAGGAGAGCAATTTTATACAATTTGAATTATATACATCATTTCACTTTGTCCATACTGTATGATAGTGCAGTTGATTATAGAATAAATCTATTAAAAAAAATGATATGATATTATATCTCTTTAACGTAATTTGATCTGAGCTCAGCGACAATATATCTCTTTTTTGTTGTATCTGCTCCATATAAACATTTTTTTAAGCCTCTTAACTGATATAGACATTCTCTAGACATATTATTCACATATATTTTGCTTCAAGTTGCCGGACTCAGGGGGCAACATCAACATTATTACAACAGTTTATACACCAGTTTAATACACGGTCAGTACACTAGTTATCGAATGAGACATTGCCCCATATTATATCAGTAATCACGAGTTAGTAGTAACAAAAATTTGATAAAATATATTGCAGCTGGCAATGATATCGTTTTGAATACATTATTGTGGAACAACAAAACTTTATCTGTCTATAGCCGTATATAGGCTGAAGTTGTAAAACGCAAGATATAATTGGGATATCAAACCTTTGGTTAACATCAGCTAACTGAGCAGCATTTTTTGCTGCCATCATTTGATACGAACTTCTTTCTCGTCCAGTATCTTCCAACTGATTCCTCAGTTTTTCTAACTGACGCTCGTACATTGCTTTCAAAGAAATAACTTCATCTTCCAAGATTTTCGTAGAGTTAACAAAATTTATATTATCCATGTGAATGCTCTGTTCTCTCATCTGTCTTACGCGTGATAAATAAGCTGCAAAACGGTCTGTGAGATTATTTAACGCATCTTTTTCTAATCTCTGGGTAACTAATGGAGTCATAGAATGGCTGGAAAGCATTGTTGTAGCAGACATCGTGAAGCACAGCCAGTAATAAAACTCAATCTCTTGGACTTTTTAGTCTTTTCTCATAGTCAACCTTCAACTTATACACAACAAAAAACGTGGTTAATAATACACATATCACCATAACAACAACAGGGTTATAATTAGATACTTTGATTGGATGTTAGGTGATGTATTATTTAATAAGCTTATCATTGTGTCAGCAGGTGGGTCCTGGGTCCCATAGAATAATAAAGACGAATATCGTGACTATTGCAACAAAACAAGTTTATTTTTGCCATTACTGGTTGCCAAATTTGCTTTATAAAGCATCTGTGGTCAACATGGGCCGCCAGCAATATGTTCAACCGATTTATTTGCATACTGCTGTCTTCATTACAACGATGAAGTAGCAATAGAGAGAAACGTGGAACTTTTGTTCTTCTGGCATTCCATATTTTCATAGTCTTATAGAAAGAAAATTCCCTAATTGTGAAACTCTGTCACTCATTACTGATCTATATTTTAAACCCTGAAATAACCAAATAGTAAAACAAGAATTAAATTTTGAAATAAGTTGCACAAGAAAAGTGAACGAAAACGAGGATAATGCTCGGATTCTCACACACAGCATGTCACACATTCATCCAAGGCCGGGACATTTGCTGGATGAAAAAACAACAGAAATTACATTCCATATTTCATGTTATCTCAACCTTATGACGTCACATTTATATTAGAGTAGACAGCCTGCGCAGATAAAATTCCAAACTAGGATTTATTCTCAAACTAACACGGACGATTTGTCATCTTCAAGACCAAAAGTCAAGCATATAATCTCTTTTCTTGTTAACATTTCTTTCTTCTCATTACTACCAATAATAATATCTCTGTCACGTCTTGGTTTTTCATTGATATCCTTGTCAAAGACTTCGTTCGCTTGGGTACGAGTAGTGTATATTCTTTGTGTCTGACATTCATCGTTGGCCCCATGCTCAGTTCTAGTATAGTTATCATCAACATAATAATCATTTGTGAATTTATTTTTGGTTAGTCTGGGAGAGCAAGGCTTTCTTCTAAAATTCGTCTGCTCTTCCGGGTTTATTTCATATTTATTCATTCTCCAGTTCAGAATGTCGAGTGATGATTGAAGTTCTTGAAGTTTATAATCATACATTTTCACTCGATTATAATTTTCCTCTAGCTCTGCAAGCAATGTTTCCTTTGTTATTTTCTCGGTATAAAAACTTGTATTCTGCTGCTTTGAAAGGTTTTTAATTGTAGTGGACTGTTTCTTGAGAAGAATACCCATTCTTGTTATTTGATTCTCGACTATCTCATCTTCAGATAGGCCATCTTCAACATCAGTGTTTTCATAAATTTCGATGGTTGAATCAAGGAGACCGAGCATTTTAGACAGTTCCTCTATTCTGCTATCATATAATATTTCAAGTCTAGACTGGCATGAGATATGACCGTTCTTGTTCATGTTGCCATTACTGATGTTATTTGAGCTGTCACTTTGCTTTGCAAACAATTTGTCAAGTTTGTACTCCCAAGCATTAACCTCAAAGGAATGCGCTATTTGATTCACAGGAGGTTTAATCAGTAGCTGTATCACTTCATCACATGTCGTCTGCTCATTTACATCACACAAATATTCTTTGTCGTTTAGCCATATTCCTAATTGATTCGTCATGCCTGTTGTAGTTTTCTGTTTGACTTTGACTATCCAATATTCAAAAGGTAAACGACAACCGCAAAGATAGGTTTTGGATATTCAACACGAGATAGTGTCATGTTGGAATACAACAAAGATAATCGATAAAACAACTGCTACGCCTGCGAGACAATATCGAAGGTCGTTGAAACATATTGTTTTATAAACGTTTTGTAAATCAGATTCATTTTAATTCTAGCGTATTTTCCCGTTTCCCTCGCTGAGTTCTGCTACTGAACATTGTAAAAAATCAACACATATTGTCTTTTCCAATACTTGTATTTAATATTGGCCAACGTATTCACAGTCACTGCATTTTGAAAGTGTAACTTGAGCTGCTTTTAAGGATTAAGCGCTACGAAATCTGCCAATTATTGCTCTAGTCTACAATTTTATGAAATCGTTCAATATTCAACCAACTTTTAATAAAAGTAAGAATCGGCCTCCTTCTTAACGCAGAGCAATACAAGTGTATAACCTAAGACATTTAGACATTAAAAAATTCTAAACGATTGTATCCGACTTCGTAACAACAGCACCTTAGCAACGCTTACACATGCAATATACAAACATGCTTTACATAGTGCAGTCCTTTGGCATAAATCACATTAGCAAAATGGAAATCGGTTATGGTTTGTTCTTTTCTTGCATAAATAGCCAAATATGCAACCTCGCAGGCGAGTGTTTTCCCTTAGGCTCAGCAGAGGTTGACGATTTTTAAGGACAGCCTCGGGAGGAGTTTTAGGAACTTCTAACGTAACTTGTGATGACTGATAAGACAGTGATGAGTGAAACCACATCTCGTCTCTATACTCTTGTTATATCTTGGCTTTCACGCACTCATCGCAAAAACCAACACGCAAAGCTCGCTGCGAGTAATTTCGTGACTTTCGTCCCATCACAAAATAAGACACAATGCTTGACAACTTATGACAAAATAGACGCCAACAATTCGCAGCGAGCTTCGAGTTCGAGATAATTTTAGCGATTAGTGGAAAACAGCCTGGCTTTATTTTTCGGACTCGATCGTCTTGACTATTATTTTTAAGTTCCCAATGGCAATGCCAAGCAGTTTCACCTTTTTCTAAATTTAATGTATTATTCCAAAGATGCTTTCCCTAGCCAATTTTTGCATTTTATATATTTAGATCATAATTAATAAAAATTGCTGCCCCTTCATCCCAATTCACGTAAATTGAACACCGTAAGTATGTCTGTATATATTAACTAATAAACTCTAAAATACTGTCAAGCCAATTTAAAGAACTTCTAATTTTGGTCATAGCAAAGGAGTTGCAGGCGTGGTCATTATCGCTGGTTATTGTCGACCAATCAGAATATTCTTCCCATTTAGTGTTATCAAGTTGGAAACCCGTAGTTCCCGCAGGAAAGTGCAACTGCAAAAAGTCTTTCAGCGTTTTATATCGTAACACTGTAGGAAACTTTAGAAACTTCTGTAACTTTCTCAAACATATTGGACAAAGAAACATCGGCTGATTTTGAGCCTCGGATATATTTTTACTTTCATTCATTAGACAAGAAAAGAACGTACAATGATGTAGCCCCAGGAGATGGCAAACTTCGTGAGTCAAGACCTAAAATAATAGAGAAAAAACAAACTTGAGCAAAAAGAGTTGCCCATGAAATTATTGGCGTTTAAACGGGATTGATCAGCTTTAGCCAGTTTCAACGATGGGTAGTATATCCGCTATTCTAGGGAACTTTTTCCAAGCCTGTCAGCGTAAGACCGCAAAACGAGGCTTAGCAGAGTTGCACATAATCAAACATTTCACAACTATCTAACCTTAATTAATCTCCAGACAACTTTATCATTAGCAATTGTACAGCTCCAATGTAAGCAAACATCATCATGGACTGTTGATAAACAAGAAATGTCACCACTCAAAAAAGTCTCATTTGGGTTCTGTGAGTTCCATATATTCTGACCTCTTGTGACATTATTCTCAACATTTTGCTTTTCAACATCAGCATAATGAGCAAAACTGATCACAGCACAGCCAGTGTCAAAGCATGCTTCACCCAAAACAAAATTGAGTTCTGCACAAGGATATAAGTCTAATGAAGACCATCCAATTACGCAGAATGCATCATTTGGTCTGAACTCTTTCAAGGAAGTGAGAATATCTTAAAAAAGGATAAAATAATTATATTTCATTCATGTAGTCTAATTATCTCATTAATAGTGGTCAATCCAGGGAGGATAGGCAGAATAAATTACTTACACTAATTTGCCATCACATTTGTATATCTTTATTCAAAATTATTCTCTGAAAATCAATTACCAATATAGTGTTTTCATTAAGGTATTTTGAGTTAATTTAAAAATAAGCTTCATAATTTATTCCACCTGAACCTAGAATCACTACTGACCCTGAACAAAATTGATGCCGAAGGTTATTTTACATTTTATTCAGTTATGCACACACTTTGCACATGCAGTTTCTAGTCTTGGCGGTACCTGAAGGGCGTAAAGACCTAGGCAGATATTACTTTATTATTTTGATTGAAAGTCTTTTTGTGATAAATGTAATTGTCATATACATACCAGTAACTAAAACCTGTTTTCTATTAGTCTTTTCATGAACTCTCGTTGTAAGACCAAGATTGTTGATATCATGAAATGGTAGAAGCTTAACTTCCATGCCATAGAAGAATAAAGATGTAAACTTTACCACAAATTCAAACAAGTTTGAACAATGTTTTGGTGTTCCATTTTGTTGGTATTCTTTCACCATGCTATCAATAGTTCCTTTTTCATTCACAGTACCCAGTGGCAAAATGTACACAATTCTATTCTTGAATCGTTTCCTTTTTTGTAAACTATGCAGTTTTTGAATGTCCATCATGACTTTCCACTGTGGATATGTCTGGCTGAGTGGTTCATTATTTTTACCATCTCTCCCACATGGTGGTTTATTAGTGCCAACTTCCTTCTCAAATTGTCCTTCATTCTCATGAACAATGCCAACAAATGGATGGAAAAGTATCCGGCCTGTCTCTTCTTTATGTTGACTAGAACAAAAATTCATGCTAAGAGCAAAAAGCTGTTGTATTTGGGTCGGAAATTTTTTCAGTTTTCCAACTAAGGCCTTCTGTTGAATAACCATGTTTTTTCATTTGTTTTATCTCCACTTATTCCACCTGTGATTCCACTGGCATAAGTTAGTTTTGTCACTTTTGTGGGGCCGGTGCTTTCACAAAATTCTTTAAATTTCCTCGTCATTCCTAAAATGATTTATTAGCCTCGTTAACCAAGGTAAAGTAGTGAACTGGCTGCAAAGTCAGCTGTGTGGGACCAGCTAAAAGTAAAGTTATGAAGTAGAGAGTTACCTCGAAGAACTTTGATTTTCGTGAGTTATGTTCGGGCCTTCGGGCCATACCATTTCCACGCCCATTTCCGACCACGCTAAACTATTGACACTCCTTCCTATCACTAATGTGGAATCATGTTGGATGAACGCACTTTAGTCTTATAATTGATATTTTGGAAACTTGTAGTTTGGATTTCAAACGGAAGAAATTGCTGTTAACTGTCATGTAAAACATTGATCCGGTGCCGGGTTGGAGTCGTTGGACTGTGGTTGGACGCAGTCGCACGAAAATACTGAAGATTTTACTATTAAATGTTCTACAACTTCCTAAAATTTTACTTAAATAAGGTATTAAAAAACTAAAAAAAAGTCAGTTTTTATGTTCGATATCTGGAGAAAAAAAAACAAGCCAATTTCAAACGTGATCTGGATAATTTGACGATTGGCTTATTAGATTATAGAAGTTGTTTCAGGTGGTTGAGCTGCGGTTATTCAATGGCAGGTACCTTGAGAAATCAAACGCTCATTATGTATGCATATACTAAGTTAGTATATACTAAGTATTCATTGTATAATTTCTCCGGACACAAGAACATAATTCATTCGGATGCGATGATCTTGGTAGCCAATCCTTGGAGAACAACAATCTACGTTTCCAGCTTGTAAGCAGCGAGAGATGGTGCATGGATAGGATATGGATGGGATAGCATTGGAATTCTTCTACGATGTTGTTGCTGAATGCATATTAAGCGCTGAAAGTGTATTTAGATAACAACGAAGAGTGTTTGGAAAAATCTTATACTTTTATGGTAAAAAAGGTCCTCTCCGTCTTGGGCCAGAGCCAATAGGGCAATAAGTCCAGTTAGAACTTTCATTACCAAGTCATCAAACATGTGTTTCAACTTTCAATTGTGTACATGATGGGAGTATATATGATTCGAACTGTGGCGCCTCTGAGATGCCAAACGAGCAATGCGTCCTTCTCGAGGTCTTAAAGTTTTCAACACTATGGAATATTTATTTATATCTACGTCTGTTAATTTGCTAATTGTTCTAACTCATTTTCTTTTCCTGAAAACAACTAATGCAGTACTTCACTTTCAACTCATTGAGTCTGGACATAATAATCCTGTGGATATTAAACGACAAGAATTGTACGTTGCACAGGGAGTTGATGTGAAAGTAATATGCATGTATTCTTCAAATGAAGGTTTCAACAACAACTGCAGTTCAAAACTATTTTGGCAATGGAATGAAAGACGCTTCGAAAACCGCAGCAAGTCAATCAGTCAATGTTTATCTATCTTGCATATTGACGAGGTCCAGTGGAAAGGAAAACAAACATTCGTCTGTATATATGAAGGTTATATAAACAACAGAAGAGAGCAAAGTGAAAATAGAAGCCTGGACATAATCTCTGGTAGGAAGCCAAGAAACACTTCACAAATCTCAATCCAATGGATAGAAGATGAGTTGGAAATTGCGTGGATACCAAATGAAGATAATAATTCAATAACAGAAACCAAGTACACTGTCGAGTACTTTACACTACCAAAAAAAGACCAGAATGCAAAAACTATCTTACCAGGCTTTTGTGACTTTTCCCTGTTAATAACAAATTGCAGCCGAAGGAAAGAATTTCACTGTAAAACGTCGTTTCCAGCACGATTAAAAACAACCTACAATGTTCAACTTGTTGCTGAAAACAAATTCGGAATGATAGCAAGTGAACATATGAAAGTGAGTATTCCAGTTTCTCAGCAAGGAATGATGGTTAAACCTGTCAAGAATCTCAAAGTATTTTTAACCAATTCCGGTGTGGAAATAAATTGGAGCGAGGGTCTGCATTATTTAGAAAGCAAGAAAGTTTGGTACAGATGTCAAGGAAGCGCAATTATTTATAAAAATTTTACAAAGAGTAATATTTTTGAAATTTCAAAAAATAATTTACCAGTTTTTACGTTCTGTTTGTTTTGTGTAAGCAGACAAATATATCATGGTGGTCAATATTCATGCGACCAATGCAAAACTATAAGAACTGCAGAAGACATACCACAAGGCTTCCCCCAATTGATGTCATGTCAAAATAATTCTTGTCCTTTTGCTCGATTTGGTATCTTCAAAAATGTTACAATTTCATGGCGACTGCCAAGCAAGCGGTTATGGAATGGACAAATAAATCGTCAGTTGATATTTTACTATGAAGAAAATAAGCGGGAACTTAGAAATATCACCATTAGAGACAGTTATGTTACACAGTGGACATTGAAACTATCTGTTAAGAAAAGCTATCATGTTTTTATGGTCATATGTACAAATGCGGGATGTGGCGGGAAAAGTAATGTTATCCATATCCCAGGCTTATTATCATCAACTGAAACTGAATTTCAGTTTCTCTCAAATACAGGACTTATTGTTGGACTTACTCTCGGTATTCTTATGCTGTGTTTTACTTGTATATTTGTTTTCCTTTATATAAAACGTCACGCTGTAGAGATGCTTCCGCCTCTTCAAGAACCTGAGAATGTCCCCGAAGAAGAATCAAATCAACCTTCAGCATTACTTGAAGCTGAATACGACCATTTGGAGTACAGAAATAGCGCAAAATTATAAACAACATCATCTATTTATCATTTTATGACGAGCATTGGACGAGTTTATGAAGTCACCCTGTTTAAGACCTTTTTGCCTGCCGGTCCAAAGCACCATAAGCACGCTAACTAAATCGTCAATTTTGCCTCATGGTTAATGTTTCAGTATTCAGCATTTAACTCTTAGGGACTAATAAACAGGACTACTAAACATACATGCAGAACCAGAACTTTGTAATTCTCCTTTATTGAAGGAATGAGTATGAATACGTTGGAACTAAGGATGTGCAACTAAAAAAACATTGCTAAGGAAACACTTTAGATATTTATTCTTGATTTAGTAATAATTGTTACCGAACTTGCAACAGCAGTTGCAAACATTTAGCATTAGCGAGTTGCTAGTATGATATACCATACCGTATTTAGATTTATAAATGATATTGGAAGGGAGTATAAATAACATAATGCAATTATTATTATAAGAAAAAAATAAATCTATTATTTACCAGTTTAGTCAGTCCGTATAGGGAAATATTTCCCTTGGTCTCAAAACGGTAAATAACATATATTTATTTGCAGATGTGCAAATTTGCCGCGCTGATGGGAAAAAGACTGGGTCTGGGGTGAGTTATTACCATAACTTTATTACTCTTCATCATCTTTATCATCATTTTTTTTATCATCTTCGTGTTTTTTGCTTTTTGAAAACTTTTTCTTGTGTTTCTTTCCTTTTTTATCTTCTGGGGGATTTATATCTTCTAGGTTAGAAAAAAAAAGAAAAACATAAGGGCATTGGCTCTTGACAAAACAAGGGCCCGCCCGGGAATTGAACCCGGGACCTCTCGCACCCTAAGCGAGAATCATACCACTAGACCAGCGGGCCACAGCCGGCAGTTAGCTCAAATTTGCGTTTATCATTCATAGCAACAATAAACTATATATGGCTATATCACTGATTTCACTGATTAGTCGTTAGCCACTTAGCCTATTTCCCGGCCATTGAGATGAATGGTTCAAAATTTAATGGGTCCAGATTTTGAAGTAGTTTGCACCCGACGTGAACAGTTAAATTAACTTACTGTCGTGATCGGGTATTGGACGATGAGAATATAGTACACCAGTATGTCCTTTGTTGGCAGAACCAGGGGTTATTTGTTGTCCAGCCGTTTGTTGAGGTTGTTGACCATACTGTTGTTGACCATACTGTTGTTGATCATACTGTTGATGACCATATTGTTGTTGACCATTCTGAGTATCAAATCCTGATGGACCATAAGCTTGTTGGTTACCTGTAGTTCCTTGTACAGGCTGTTGAGCCGCTTGTGAAACATATTGGCGCCCTTGTGATTTAGCTTCAGCTGAATCTTTAGAATTAGATTTCTCAGAATGCGATGGAAAACCTTGAAAAGTTAAACCGATTTTAAATTTGACGTTCTTTTCTTAACAGCTGTTCAGTGTTGCCTGACTAACTAGTTACCACGAGTTTGTCGGGCAATGCCTATTTATTTATTTATTTATTTACTCATTCATGCCTCATGGCATGCATTCCAATTTTTATCGAGGATCGAGTCAGAACCGTCTTTTTTACGTCTTTAGAAGGGTTGGCTCGAAGGGATCGCCAAATTATTCATATAGGACATCTTTGAAAAATGTCAAAATTTTGGCCCCACAATCCCCCCAACCTTTGTTCTCTCATCATTTTACTACAACTAGTCCTACCAAGTGGTCAACTGAGCCAATTGCAAATCGATTTGAAATTTCGTAAAAAAGTTCTTGCTTATCCATGACCATGAACTTTTAGTTGTGTTTTCTGTAGTGTTTTGGCACTGCCAGAGACAGAGAGACTGAATTACTACCGTCGATAAAGAAGTATTGTTATTTGTCTTATTTAAAATTTAACCTTGACACAAAGAAAGAATAAGCACCAACAAAATCAATCTCTTCATCATTCCGCAATGTTTCTGATCGCTACAAAAAAAATTATTATCAGTATTGAACTATGCTTGGACTAATAAACAAATAAATAAACAAGTCTTAATAGAAGTTAAGAGTCTAATGGTCTTTTCACACGATGCAATTTTGTCGGTGCCAATTCACTTCTGATGGGTGTTTTATAGTCTTTTGACTTGCAATATACATGAACAGCAAATAATCAACTAAAGCCCATGCAGACAGCAGAGCGATAAAGTACTGCTTTATCATTAACAAACTACATTCCATACATCAGAAGTGAATTGGATACCGACAAAGTTGGATCGTGTGAATGGACCTTAATATTCTTAATTCAACGTCATCATGATCCACTGGCGGTGTGGGAAGGGCATTGTTAGAACATCAATGTTTAGAATAAAATATACTAACTAGTAAAGTGATAACTACTATCAATGAATAAATTAAGTATACCCACCTTTTGGAGTATAAAATTGTGTTGAGATTTAGCCAATTTTCTAAAAGTAAAACTGTTTGATATTTTCGAGCAAAATCACTCAGGCGTACCTTCACTTTGCTGTTTGTTATGTCGTGTTTAGCCCATTGGTTTAGCCACCTGCAATTGCAATCTTCAAGTCGATAATTATTTCTGCGACACTGGTTTAACTTGCGAAACTAACAAACGTATCATTGTTATTAAACATCTTAACCTTTATATAGTAAAGCAGTTTATGATGATGTAGAAAATTAAATCTCGCCTTTTTCTAGACTAAAACGAAATAATCTCTACATGAACTGATTGGTGATGTAACCGTGGGTCAGATTTCTCCTGTCCCCGAAGAAATACTTGTTATAATGTTATTATATTTAAGAATTCTACAGAACTGATAAAGATTTTAGGAAATATTTTCCATTCAAACTAGTATAGGCAAATTATTTTCCATATAATGAAAATTACGTATGACACTGACAAATATAAACTTTTTAAGATCATTGTAGGTGCTTATTTTTAAAAAGGAAAGCTATAATTGAATGGTCAAATGATACAATCAATCATCATTAGGTTATTAATCTTACAATGATATATAGTAAGCTTATGGTTTCCGCGGTTGCAGAGAAATACTTCGGGTAGCTAAATATTTGCCATTTTTTTATTGAGAAAAGTCAAGTTGAACTAGTTATTTATGCTGTTAAAATTCAAAAGAAAATGCGCAAATATTTCGCTAACGAACAATTAATCTGCAAGTGAAAATTGGAAATACAGCCAGAAAGATAAGATTCCGCCTCGTTTTGGTTTTCAATTAATATCGTTATTGAGATTTTGCGCTAAGTTAATACTGTAAAGTAATGCCTTTTTATCATTTTTTCCCTCCCCTTCCGAGTTTTTTATACTTTGGAATTCGCGCAGATAAAAATAAATAAATAATAACCCATCTATATAACAGTAAAAAACCATGACCACTATTCTGTTGGTCAACTGTACATGTTAAAACCTGTGTTTTGTTGTCTCAAATACGACTTCGTCAGCTTATTATTGCTCTACACATTTTACGCACAATCACTTAGGTATAAAATTTTAAAAGCGCTAGAATTTTTTATCAAAATTAATAATAACCATCATATTAATAATAATTGTGCATAAACATTTGCCAATGCCAATTAAATGAAATCGTTGAGTCAATGTTGCTAACTAACAAACATTTTAATACAATTCACGACAAAGGAATACTTGGAAAAGAAGTTTTCTATCTATTTTTCACATGTGCTCAAAATAATTTCAATTCATAAAATGTTTGTGATATTATACAATTTTACAATGGAAATTATTTCCCGTATGTCGTTTTTGATATATTGACTTCCTAACAATGAAATATTGATTTCATTCCTACACACAAGTCACAAATCATGTTCTCCAGATGTCAAGAATTAAGCCAACTCTGTTCAACTATTGCATTTACTTTTTTTTCATATTCACGTCTGTTCTCCTGATAAAGTTGAGCAGCTAAACTGTTCGCAGGACTGTTTGGGTTGGGTTCGTCTAGTAAAGACTAAAAATAACACCATTACTATAGACTGACTCATATGGCTAATTTATGTTTTAACTTTTTATAAAGACATTTTTTTTAATGTAATATCTTTTATATAATTTTATTATATGGCAGAAAATTATATTTTGCAATAAATTTATTTTGATACATCGGACCCTTCAGAAATTTCTTGGTCTAACAGTCAGTTACCTGTATTGATGTGAGTATTGCTGACACATCATATGTAGGACTCCATCTGTTCTGTAAAATATCTAGACAAATACCACCATCTGCATAAACTAAAATAAAAAAATGCATTCAGATTATATGGTCAACCATTGCAGAACTAAACTTTACACAATGAATTCTCATGATTGACATGGTTTATATACAGTTAGCTTTGAAATAAAGCAAATGAAAGTGAAGAACTCTAATGGCTGCCAAGCAAACTCTGCCAAACCTTCTTAGAAGCAGAACCAGTGCAAGGCTGGTGAGGTTTATTGTGATATTTGTTGATCATTGACATTTGCTAGTCACCAACTCGCATTTTAATTTTGGAGTAAAAAAGGCTTGCAACAGACATGTTATAAACAGAGTTAGAGCTCGCTATGTTGGGCATGTCACAAACAAGATAGTTTACTCGAGCAAAGGCCAGTTAATTTGGTACATTCTGTCATGAGTGTCATGCACAGTTGTAATCATTACAAGCAGAAAACAGAACAGAATAGCAGTACCTAAAATCAAAATTGGTTATTTACTACAATTCCTGCTGGTAACAGATCTTCCTTCTACTCACCATTGGGATGAAACATCCTGGACAAAAATCTAACCGTTGGTGGTTTGTTGGGATATTCTTCTGTAAATTCTATTTGAAGTTTGAATGTACCTCAAAGAAAACAATATAAACAAAAGTTGGACGAATTACAACCTATATTGTAACGTAATTTCAAAGATTGGTAAACAATACAATGCCTTGCTAACTACTACCTACCATCCTCGAAAGGAGTATCTTGTGGTCTAGAAATAAAAATATCTTTAGTTCATTCAGAATACGGTGGTAAATTTAACATTTGGAATAATTCGTCAGCAACTTTTTGGTTTTTAACATACCATAAATTTTACTTACCCAAAAATAACAGCATTCCATATCATAATATTATTTTCTGATGGGGCGCCACTAATTCCCGCCGGAGGATCTTCTTGTAACCTAAAATCAATCGAAAGATGAAAGATTTTACTTAGTAACTTAGATATAAACAAACATGGCCGCCATCAAAACATAACAAATATGTACGAGAACGAAAGTACGTAATATATCCAGATTTGGTACGAATGACTAGCAGAAATTCTCAGTAACTCAAACAGAAACCTTTTGAAATCCCTCATTAATCGTCTTCTGGCGGGAGTAGACATTTTCTCCCAATTATTGAACTGCTTTCTCCGTCTTCCTCTGTGAAATTCTTCTTGGTCTTAAATGACGTATTTATTCATTTCCAGGCCTCTTACTGCTAGGCTCGGTTGCATGAGATAATTGCATACTATGATAATTGCTGCATTGGATTGGAATGTCGTCTTTCGTATTCCGGCTTCACCATCACGTGGTTAATTAATTTACATTGTAATTGCTAAATTAACTCAGTCTCCAACCACCCGGAAAATCATGTGGTCAGCCGACACCATAGTGACTCGTTGTCAATTGTCATTGTCTTTAGTAGACATTCTTTTACAGGTTCAATATCTTGCCACTACTATCTTCAAGAACTATATTTCACTAAACTGACAGTTAAGGCAGTTATAACAAGAAATACACACACATTGTCGCATATAATATAAAATAAAATCACACATTTCATTTTCACAATTTATAACAGGATAATTTCTACAAAAACTAATGATTGTGTAATGATTGGGAATGTAGAAGATTAATCACACTGTTTACCATTTTAGATATTATTCATTCAATGTTTTCTACTCGTGTTTGGTTTGTAGACCTCATTTCATCCTCCAAAAATAGACTATACAAAGGTTCGCTTCTATTTATATATTCTGCAACTCAAGCAATTCAAGGCTCACACTATAAAATATCTGACTAAGATTTAATTTTTAGCTTTGCTGGATTGTGTCATAGCTTGAAGCAATATAATACAGAAGTTTATTTCATTTATTACATGGATTATTTCGTTTTCACATTGCTTTAAGTTCATCAAGCAAAGCATTAGCTTCGTCTTTGTCCTCCTTTTCCTTCTTATTTAAAGCTCCAGCAAGAAAATCAGCTCCCGGCATTTTAATAGCTCCAGGAGGAGGTTTTTTCACCGGCGAGTTATCCTCTTTCTCTTCCTCTTTGACATTTTTCATTGCTTCTTCTTTTAACATCTCTTGAACTGGAATATTTGTTCGCGTCCCTGAACGTTGCAACGAAGCAGGAGCTTGTCGTGCTAAAACATAAACAAGTTTAGTTGAGGTTAGCTAAATTAATCAGACACTCACAAATAATCGTGTGAGATATAGACATGGATAAAATGAATGAAAACGAAACAAACCAACGAAAAATCATGTGATGAATTGGAGAGTTATTTATGGTGTACAATATCAACATGCAAAGTAACAAGAATAAAGTTCAGTTCTCATATGTTGAAAAAGATAATCACTGGTTAAATTTTTGGTATTGGATTGATTTGAAGCGTGCCTTGTTTCTAATCTTACCTCGTCTCTCTTTCTTTTTTCTTGCAGGTCTTGAAGGATCTCTGAAAGCACTTCCCGTCTTCAAGGCTTCCATCAGCCCATCGAGAACACCTTCTTGATTCTCTGATGATATATCTACGATATTTTTACTTCTGTTAGCTTTCTCTGCCTCCATTCTCTTCTTCCTCTCTTTCTCCATTTCCTGTAAAATTATCAAACGTAAGAAAGCCTGTAACAACAAGGCTGCAAGATAACTTACAGCTTAGACTGCAAAGACTGTGAGTTAGCCTGCAAAGACTGACATCTAGTCCGCAAAATCTGACAGTAAGCCAGGGGAACTTAAAGCTATATATTGCAAAACCTAACAGCAAAGTTTGACAGCTAGCCTGCTAAGCCTGACAGAAAGCCTGAAAAGACTTACAGCTCGTTCTTTTGCCTTCCTCTCTTTCTCTTCTCGTTCTTTTCTTTTGACATTATCTTTCTTAGCATTTTCATATTGTTGTAAAAATGAACTTAAATCCCCAAAGAAATCTTCTAGTTGTGTTTTCTTTAGATCAAAGCAATAAAAATCTCCTAATTCTTTGAACATATTAGTCATATTGTTAAACATTTCTACCAACAATTCGCACTGATCTTTTGCTTGATTGTAAAATTCCGACATGACTTCTTTAAATTTATCTTCTGGGTCATTTGCTTCTCCCGAGTTCTCTAATTCCCGCTCTAATTTTGATAAATTTCCTTCCATTAACTTCGTGGCTTTCTGCAGGACATCCTGGGAGACTGGATAAAAACAATTATGTTGTTCCAGCACTTCGAGTACAACATGTAAGTTAAAACTTGAAATTGAGTTGAAATGAAAAAAGGAATATCTACAAATGGCTGAAGCAAAAACTTTCTAAAGAATCGAAATAACCTTCTTCTTTTGAAAATACCTCTTGCCGCTGCTTCGACGTGATTGATTTCTGTCTCAAAACCAGCAACATCTGGATAGTTAGATGATATCACTTCTTCCAAGAAATGCAAAAGAGTAAGTTTGCCATCAACTGACTTGGTCGAACTTAACTAAACCAGAATAATGTAAGAACTATTTCATAACGTCAAAACGTAAAACGTATACGGGTGTGCATCAGAATTAGAGCGATGGAGATTATGGATGGGATAGTCATTTTTAGGCCATGAAAACGGGCACTACAGTTTTTTAGGCCATGAAAAATTTTCCAGCCAACAAAGCAGCAATTTCTGCATCCTTATACCTTGGTTAAAAACGCCATTTCAAATCCAATCGTTTGTTCATTCTTTGAGCCAGCATTCATATAATTTCCCACCATCAAAACAACCTTAATTACATGATATATCGGTATTTAAATTGCAAAAAAATACGTTCACTCATAGGGAAAACAACAACGAAAACATTCTCATCATCGCTGGTTTGAAAATCACCTCTAAGAACTTGGAAAACTTTTGACTTGTCCTCACTTCCCGGCATGCGGCAGTAGCATTTACAATATTCTAGAACAAGACACACTAGTTTTAAATTTCAGGTTTGGGCAGGCTAAATAGATCATTAGTTTGCAAAATATTTGCGACCATTGTACACTGAAGTGAACATGATATGACGTTATATGGTTCAACTTACAGGTTTAATATCCTGAACATCTTCAGGAAATTTTTTCTTGACTAATAACAATTTCAACCGAGATTCCAGTTTTTTTACGCTGCTCATCTGAGAAAACAACAACAAGTTGATAAATTTTGGAACAGATTAAGTATTTTATCTTCCCGTCAGGAGGTTCAAGTCCAGTAGTAAAATATTAAAAATTGCAATCTTACAGTGCACGCAAACTGCTCAGCTTCACTTAGTTCATCGTACTTATCTTTCATACCACCCAGTTTCTTTAACTACAATAATTTAAAATATACTTTAAAATATTGAATAATTTTGGCTTCACATAAGTGATGAATGTAACACAAAATCCCCACTGACCTCAGCTGCACTAGGAAGATATCGCAGCAATGCTTCAATAGCACTCTCCTTCAGGTTCTCATCACAATTTAAGATCATCTTTCTGAAATTTTCGAAAGATGTTTTCTGCGAACCCAAAAATATGGCTGAAAAAAAAGCATAACTGCTCATTTATTGTATATGGCTTTTAGCAGGGACTAAAACGAAAACAACAATTATCTGACGACTAAGGAGCTGTTCACATGATCCTGCTTGGCAGAGATGAAACAAAGCGAGAAATATAATGATCCTGATTATAGCAAGTGCTGGTTTGGTTTCATTTCAATACCCCAGCTCCCCAAGTCATCTCACCCTCGCGTGAAGAGAAAATGTTTTTCAAACTTACATAAGTTTTGTGCACTTTTTGGATCGAGAACTTTTAAATCCCTGGTTTTCTTTTTGCTGCTTTTAGCTGGAGTGTTTCCAGCATCATCTTTATCCTTGGTTTTTGGTGTAAAAACTTTGGCAGCAAAAGTTTTTGATAAAGCTTCAAATACTTCATTTTTTTCAAACTTATCTTCTTTTGCTTTCGCCCAAAATGAATTTTCTTTTATATTCTGGTTTTTGATCTACATGGAAAAATATATTTACAAAAATCTGCAAATTGTCGTAAAAATCTGTAAAATCATCAATACCTTGGTCCAGTTAGCTCTTTTAGTTTGAATCTCAGGTTTATACTTCTTTTTCGGTTCAACTCCTGGTGGCAACTGAGGACCTCTGTTGAACATAGGCATACCTGGAGGTGGTGGAGGGCCAGCACCAGGGGGAGGTGGCGGTCCTCCACCAGGCGGTGGAGGAGGAGGAGGAACTCCACCAGGGGGAGGCGGAGGAGGAGGAACTCCACCAGGGAGCGGTGGTGGTGGTGGTACACCACCTGGAGGCGGCGGTGGGGGAGGAACTCCACCGGGAGGAGGTGGAGGAGCTGGTATTCCGCCAGGAGGAGGAGGTGGAGGAGGTACTCCACCAGGAGGCGGAGGTGGTGGTGGTACTCCACCAGGAGGTGGGGGAGGGGGAGGAACACCTCCAGGTGCTGGAGGTTGTGGTACTCCGGGTGCTAAACATAATGGAAAAAATGTTAAAGAATATGATAACGAACTACATTGTGTTTTCCATTTCGCGAATACGAGCAAAAACGAGCGTGATAGGAATGACTTCTTTATCATTTTTTAGTATTTTGTTTAAAATAACTCCTAAATTATAAAAAAATTGAGTAGTAAGGAAGCTATTTAATTGATTATATTAGTACCGTTATTAAAATCTGAAGATGGAATCAAGGTGTTAGTACATGATGGTATATTGTTTTCAGGCGGATTAACGGAAGGAACTGACATCAATTTAGCTTTCTGAATTGGCGGGCACTCCATATGTGCCACCGAGGTCATCATTACAAGTTCTTCATCTGATGAAATTGATGGTTTAACACTGAGTTTTGACCGGGATCTATCTAGAGATTGTGTGGAGTTGTGCGATGACTGTGAAGGGATTGAGGAGAGTGACGTAATGTCTAGGTCATAAAGCGAGGAAGAAGTAAAGGATTGGGGACGAGAACTCAAGTTTGAATGTGTTGCATCTTGAGATAAATTTTCAGTCGAAGATTGTCTCAGCATGCTTGAGAATGGTGACGATAATGTGTCTAAGAATTTCTTCATATTGACTGAAAAGTAGAGTTTAAGTATGGTTAAAGTTTAAAAATTAAAATATTTTAAGGCGATACATTTTATTTATGTTGTTTACTTGGTTAGAATGTCAACACCTATAATTTAGTTTTAGATGACTAACGCCTGTATTCAAAAAGCTCACTCACACTCAAACTCATTGAGTGGGAAATCTTAATCTTCTCATAACGTTTCAATGGCGGTATTTCCAGACGAATAGGGGCTTGATTTTCAGTGATTTACTTTATATCTTTCTATCTATTCAGAAAAAACTTTCTCATTGATCAGCATTAACAAAATATTTATGTCATACTCAATGAGTGTGAGTGTGAGTGAGCTTTTTGAATACAGGCGTAAATGTTTATTTTATTTCAACGGGTTTAGTTATCCTCATTTTTATTACATAAAATGCTTTAGTTCAATGGACTGAATATTTGGTTATGGAAGAAGAATATGGGCAGGCTCGTAGTCGTAGCGAGTTTCTACTGGATTGATATACCTGGACTAGGCTACTAGCGCTCTTTTTTTGAACAGTTATTTGCACAATTGAATGTCAAATATACACTACATGAGCTGTAGAAACATTTGCGTGATTTAACCTGAAAACAACTGATAATGCAATAAAAAACATACCACTAGATGCTGGAGCTGCAACTACCACTGGAGGTCTCTAAAATTTAAAGCAACGATGTTACAACGATAACTATTTACTGCGATATAATCAAAATCACCTCACTCACATACCGCTTTTAATTCTGCGTTTTCTTTTTCAAGACCAGCAACTTTCTTTTCCAGATTACTTGTGGCTAAATTAAATTTTGCCTCAGTTTCTTGACGTAGAGTTGTCTCCAACTCAAGCTGTAAAAACACTTACAAAATCAGCTGACAAATCTTACAATACCACGCAGTAATACTTAAAAACATTAGGCTTGTATTATTGATACGCGAGAAAACTGAACCTTAGTCTCGAGTGAAGTTGCTTTATCCATATATTCAATCAACTTTGCTTTATTCACCATGTTATCTGAGAAGAAATATGACATGATTTACTCTTTAATTGCGCGCTATTTCAAACCAGGAAATAAATCTATCAGAATTATTATTGTGAACAATATTTAAATGTGACTGACCTATTAGGCTTTCGACATCAATTTGAAATCTCTTCGTTGCAAAATCTGGATCGACGCCACTTTTATGAAGCACAATCTGACTAACACATTCTTCAATTAGATTAAAATATTGTGTCCTATATGAAACGATACGCATTTCAGATTCACCGCCAAATAGACATAATTATCAACATAAAATAAAAAATCAGCAAAATTATTTCCATTGCGTTGCTTATTTCAATTCTTTAGTTCACGATCAGAGCTGGCAAATGAAATAAACACCTTACCTCGCATAAACATCATCTCGGATGAGAAGTAAATGTTGTAAGATTGAGATGAAAGCATTCTCGGAAACACTGTCTTTTGTTATGCTGGTCAACATCTGAAATAATTCCGATGGCTCTCTAAAAACTTGTTAAGGCTGACAAAAACACATACCCTTGAATGCCAAGATCGCGATAAAAAACACCGAGTGAAATTGCGTGAACTACAGCAATAACGTGAAATTTTGATATAGTCAACTTTTGTGTCCACTTCGCAAAGCCAGGGTCGGATTCCCTGTGCGATGTCTGTCCTTCAAACGGCGTCAAAACGGTTTTAAAAACAATTACAGACAGCACGTATCTCATGTATACCTGGCATGTTCCACGCAAAGTTTATGTCTTGATCATGACAAATGTGTTTAAAAAAATATTCTGGTTGAACGTGAAAGGATACTCAAAATTGACTTGAATATCTGTCAATCTGTGAGACAGTTCAAGAAAGTCATCTTCTTTATGTTCCTCAAAAATGTCCAGTTGTACATTGAGCTCATCATTACCAACGTCACGAAGATCCTAGAAAAATATGTCATTGTTAACTACAGTCCATCAACGTCTTGGAAACTTTATTTCTAGATTCAATATTAACATAATTTATTATCCAGAAATAAACATTTAGAGCACAATATTGTACCTTTAGGACTTCGGTTAATCCACCACGTAAAAATTCATTTCTCAAATGAAGTCTGAAATCTAAATCATCTGGCTTGCTGACGAGAGCATTTATGAACTGAACACAAGCAACCTAAACAAGAGTAAAATTCAGTTAACGATTGAAAGTTTGAATTAAAAGAGAATTCAAAAAGTTTTTATGAAATTTTAAGAGGATGATGCAGGTCACGTGATAGATCATACGTGAATATAAAGTTTTCAATGTTTAAACCCCCAAAATGTCAGTTATTTAGCATAATTACATTAGTTTGACTGTTTCACGAGAATGGATTATCATGACGTTGAGAGTTTTATCATTGAATCACAACATTCAGTAAAATATACCTTAAGTTGAACACTATCACTGTCCTTCAGAGCGAACAAAACTTTAAAAAATCTTCCTCGCTTCTCGTTTTCTTCACTTTCACCATATATAGTCATTACTTGAAGTGCTTTGGAATGACTAGAGAAAATAATGATAAGAAAAATCGAAATTGACAGGACATCCATATTATTAATTGTTGAAGTGAAAGCTACAGAAATGTAAAGAAATGGATTATGGACACTTACTCAACTAAACAAAGAGCGGCCATAAGTTTAACAACATCAGTCATCATGCTCGGATCTTCAGGATACATTGACTTTGCAATTAACAGCAGACCATCTTCACTTTTCATCATCAAGTTCAAACCAAACTAAGAATGAGAAGACTCTTGCAATAATGCATTGTAATAAAATGGTATACACACTACTCTTGTGATTTCATTTAGGATGTCGGGGTGAGGTAATATTTCTTTACATATTACTAGGACGGACCATACCAAACAATTGTGTAGCATTATTTGGTTAAAAACTATTATGCACCAAAAGGACATACATTGTTATTCATAAAAGCTTTCAAGCACTTGATAATTTCATGCTGAATTTTATGATGAATTGGACCAGTTCTAAAGAAAAACAATAAGTGTGAAAAACTAACAATAACGAATAACCCAAGGATAAAATGGACAACATTTATTACTTATTTGCAAGTTGCAAGGTACCATCGCCGTACCTAGACACAATATAAATGAATAAACATATTCGTTCTAACTGTCTATTTCGCTTTTATTTCTTTTTTACGTATACGAGTTTTCAAAAAAATATGTAGAGCAGAAGAACTGATTATGTGAATATATGCAAAAATAACGTGACATACACTGTTAATCGTAGTTAACTTAGCTATACACGACTCTGACTGGCCAATTCTGTCCTTAAATACAGTTAAAAGTTAACTAGTCTTTTAGGAGTGGGAAACCTGAATATGGCAAGTGGGATCTCAAGTCAAACATGCACTTATCCTGGATAATCAGGGCAATTAACTTAACAGGCTTTAATTTTATCAAAACTTACTTTACTCTATGTTCTCTGAGGTGCTTTAACAACAAATTCATTCCCGTCTCTCCAAAAGCCTGGATCCATCTAAGAAATGATATATTGTGTTTAGTTTCTAATGATGTGAAAATGTGATCCAAAACAGACAGATATTCCTATTTAATATCTTCTCAAAACAATCTATTAACATTAATGCTGTTATAATTGATAGTTTTCAATAGTCACCTGTATTTATAAGTAATTATATTTGTATGCAGTGTTTGGGTAGAAACTGACAAACAATATTAATTTTATGACAGCTGGTATATATTCTTTTAAAACATGCCTTGGATAAAAAAAAGTTGTGGAATGCAGAAAACAATGAAAATAGATCATTTATAAAGCTTCATTTATGCCTAAAACATAATTTTCTTATGAGCACATTTCTAAGACTGACATCTACAATATGTAGAAATCTTAATACCCAAGAGGTCTTCCAGTTAGCGAGACACGTGTTGAACGCAAAGAACGAAGAAGATGTTCAGATGAGATATCAGTTCTTCGTAGTTCTTCTATATAATCTGTAGGTGTTTCCAGTCCTTGTGAGGGGACCTAGGGTGCAACATAAGAGTACAATTATAACATGCTAATAACAAAGTAATATGTTAACAATGTTAGTTTTTTCTGTAAGTAAGTAAACAGCTCTTACACTCTGTTTTGACATAAATTGAACCAACATATCCATTTTGATAGCTTTATCTCTGTTTCGTATTGGAATTCTCAAGTTCTCTGACAGATTCATCTCATCCTGTAAACAGTGGATAAAACCTTCGTGTACTATAATTTTGACAAAAAACGATTTTGACAATTCTACAGTAAGAAGTATTATATTTTTTTAAGAAAAGATAAGAAATACAGCATAGTCAATAACATGGGATCACTTGTCACTTGCTGAATTAGTTAAACAATCAAATTTAACCTCATTACCATAAACAGGTTATGATGCAGAAATATTTTATTGCCTTCTAACTTTCTAGCAATACTAGGGATATGTAAAAATGTTTTTAGGGTATTTTTCTGTTATTATCATATAATCTATCCTACAAAATTATGTTGTCTTTCCTTTCCATCAACAAGGCTAATCAAATATTAGCTAACAGGATGACATCAATATATTGGAATGTAATGTAATTTGCATCATGCTGTTTGAGGAACTTCCTTTATTATTGCCAAATGTTTCAAACAATCTATGTTTGAAACAACAATAGACAATACAAATCTATTCACACTTTCTGTACATTAGTACAGCAGCAATATCATGAACAATTTATATGCCAAATTTGGTTTATACATGTAAGACAATAACATTATTTTATAAAAAAACAAACAAAGATCTTAAAGAGGTATTGATGCAGCACGAGTGCAGGCAGTGAAATTTTTACAGCATATTTGAAAATGATATTGTACTTTTATTACAACTTTGGGAACAATACGTAATAAACACATAGTTGCTACTATTAAAAACTATGACACACCGCGGTAACAATATAGCCAGGGAATATACTAATACTGTTAATTGTATTGGGTTACGGAAACAAGAAACTTGAATTTACTATAGAAATATATCCAAGAATAGCGTGATATAAAACACATGTGGGGTAACTATCTTTCACTTTTAGGAATGTGCCTGTTATACGAGTTCGAACAAGTAAGTAAATTTAATAGTTTATGCACACAATCTCAACGGAAGGAAGAGACTAAAGAGTGTGTACGAAATATATATATGAAATATAAATATATACTACAAATACGAATATAAACATACCAACATCATTTCAAACTTTACATCAAATTGATCACCACCGAGTCCGAGTCCATTATCATCCTTGACTTCTTCATTTCCAGCAGGATCCTCTTCCTTAGACGATGCTAAACGAGGCTTGTAGTTGCTGCTCGATTTATCGGGTTTGGTTTTCCCTTTAGGTTTCTTCGTGGATTTCAGTCGATCCAGCTGTCAAAATACAATAACATTAGACACAGTTCAATTTATCATACCCAAGTTAAACACTTCCCCTAAAGTTTCATTTCATCTTCATAATCATTTGACTGAAATAAACAAGACTTACGAATCCTCCTCCACTGTGTTTGTCGCTCATGTTGTCGCTATCTGTAGTTGAGCAAAGTTATCGTAGCACTTTCATCATATAGCATGGAAATTCCAAAAATAATAACGCAAATGAACATTCATCAAGTTCATTTACTAAACGGAACAAAACAAATTCAATACATTCGTTACAATACTTAAGTTCTCCTGATGTATGGACTCCAGTCAGTCTATTTTCCAGCCTATAGCATTCGATCCGAATTCCAAACACAACCCTCGTAATTTGAGCCCGCAGCTGTCTTTGTATGGATACTTCCTGTTGTAACTATTGTTGTAACTTCAACTTTACGGAACAAAAATATGATAATTATCAGAATCTGTAAAGGCTTCCTGCCAGGTATGGCAGTCTGGGTATTGCATATTCAGCATGCTTGACAAATTTAGTTCGTGCGTTATTATCTTTGCCCCCCTCTTGTCTACGCCCGTATAAAAAGTACAGTGAAAATCCGCTTGAATAAACTGTTAAGACAATTGCTGGACCTAATTATGATCATGGTGTTACTTATATAATAGGAAGGAGGGTTTAAAATGACATCATAAACTGTCATCACATTGCGCAACTATACACTACACAATATCTCTTTTTATAATATTACACTGAATATACTTACCCCATAAATAAAGGAATGTCAATACGAATATCGCAAAACCCTCACTTAATAAATTGCTGTAGCATCGAATAACCGCTAAATTATAAATATCTCATTGGTGGAACAATAGACGCAGTCGGTTACCCAGAGTGACGTAATGCTGCCCAAGACACTCATGCAAGACCACACTTGCTGATTAAATGGCAAACGCTATGCAACCAAAAATTGAATGACGGTGATAATATATCATATGTTTTCAACTTAAACGAGGATTGTGTGAAGAAAAGAATAGTTGGGTGGGGCACTTTCTTTCAGCACGGAGTCAATCAATCAAAAGACTATTAACGAAATATAGGCAATCAACATTTTTTGTATTAAAAGATTTATTCCACATAAAATGTATAACTTAAAATTAAGATGCAAAACCAAATTAAACATATTCGAGACATTAATATTTGCTAAAATAATGCGTTATTTATTATCTACTTCGTAGAAGAGGGAAGAATGCAGATAACATAAATAATTAGTTTTTCATTCTTAAATCACGCCTTTTTTTGCATAATTCCCTGAACATCAGCAAGCTCAATCGTAGAGGTGGATGGGAGAAGAATGTCAACGAGATAATCTCATGTCGTTCATGGAAATGTTGCACACTTTGGTAAATATATTTCACATGAAAAAGTTGATCGCGCGACATCCTCCGAATCCTGGCTTGTTCGCCACAGCTCTGCATCATTTCTGACGGGGTAACATATATTTATATACATATAAAACAGTGGAACGACTACGAAATTTAAATCTCTGAGTAAGATTAGACTATCAGATATGCTTTAGCTACACAAACTAAAGGCCCATTCAGTTTCACTTGTGATTTTTGCTGCGATTTTATGTGCGAATTTCTTCTTTTGATAGATGTGAACGAGTAATTAGTTAAGAATGCTCTGATGTATAAGAACTCATATTTGAACATCAATAACTTAATCACTCGTTCACATCTCTCAAAAGAAGAAAATCGCACATAAAATCGCAACCAAAATTGCAAGTGTAAATTGGCCATAAGTAATCACACCTAATTAACAATTAGACAACGAGTCCGAGTTGTCTATGAGCGAATAGTCAACGAAGGGTTGTCTGGAACGAGTTGTCTAATTGTTTTAGTATACACCCTGTACGTAGATATATTAATTTCGAAAAAATAATCGATACACCGCAATTACACCGAAAAATAATTCAATTTTATACAGTCGCGCGAGCGAAATTTTCCCAACCGTGCATCATCACTAATAGACAATGGTTGAGTAGCCAATCAGAATGTAGGATTTGTAATAGACAATAGTTGGGTGTATACTAATATTAAATAGACGCGACCTAAACTAACGATGAATGTTATTTACTCCAAAATAATCATTTCGCCATCTGTAATTACAATATGCATCGTAAAAAGGCGAAACCAGACGCCTAATTAGGGCTGAGGAAAATATTCATATATTCATTTCTTGCTTTCATGATATCTTTTGAAATGTTCATGCGGTAAATAAACATTAGATATGAAAGTTCACCCACTCCCCAATTACGCCTCTAGTTACGCCGCTTAAAAAACGACATCTGAGTAGATCCAGCAACAGATGGTTTTCATTCCTTCTCTGCACATTCACTGCCCCTTTCCTGCATCTTCACACGTTTTACGAAATCCTTTAGTTTTCTGGAGGTCAATAGTTGTGTACTGAGTTCGAACCCTCTGTGGCACAGAAGGGACATCACGTGAACAAACCACAGAGATATCTTGGTAATGCCCTCTCAACTAATAAGACAATTTATAACTTACAATCAATTAATGAGACACAAACCTCATGCTCATACGCCCTTGCGATAATTCCTTTTCTCACGTAAAAGATTGCCTCGTTCTCTTTCTTTTACAGAGAATAGGAAATGCCAATCTCAAGATAAGAAACACTCAAAATTTTCACTTTCAAAACTTGTGCTAGACACGGCTATCTTATTAAATCGTCACTGGGACTTACGAGACTTGGTATGGCAAGAGGTATTCACGTAACCGAAAGATTGTACTGCATAATATATATAGACGGAGAGGGGAAAGAATATTCGTAATATTCGTAATAGTATTCAATGAATTTAACGGTTGTACAAAAAAATTAATCCATATTCCACGAAGCTACATGATTATGGAACAAGTGACTCTATTAAACTTACGGGTGGGGTTCTCTCTGGTTCTTTCTTTGTCGTCTGCGGCGAAGAAGGCGTGTCGCAATTCTGATAAACATTTGTGTCAGTTTTTAAAGACATGTATTCATACTCTACTTCTTCCTCCGGCAACGAAGCTTCCTTCTTACTATATCTTAATGATGATTCAGTTCTCTGAGGACTGTCCATATACAAGTACCCTTCACTTTCATAATCTGCAACCGAACTTTTACTTCGCTGAACATTCCCACCTCTTCGTGCTTGTTGATATGAACTGTCTTTAACTGTGGCGCTTCTCATCGGTATATTGACGTATTCACGTCCTTTGCCTGGTTTACAACTACGATTCACCAGCGGCGGTGTCGTGCCTGGTTTGCTTCTTCTGTCCACACTTGGGGCAGAGTTTCCTTGATAAAAACAAATTACATACGTAAATTATAGCTACATTGCAGCTTGAACTGTGAACGCAAGGAATGAAGGTTTGGGGAATGAAAATTTACCAATTTTGGTATGTGTTTATATAACAGACTAAATACTTTCAGAATTGGCAAATAAGGTTTGAAAATAGTTTTAACTCTTGAAACAAACGAAAGAAACTAAATTTTCATTGTCAACACTCTAGCTACAATCCTGGTCAAAATATTGACGACACTCAGTGTTAATTGACACTACAGTCAGTAGCCGCGGATTATATTTCAAAATTCTCCCCCTTTTCCCCACAAATCAATGTTGAGTGATGTGTCATAATTCATTCAGGCATTTAGCACGGACTCAACATTGATTAGGGGGCGAGGGGGAAAAGCGACACGGAAATGTTGATGTTTTGCGTAAAAAAACCACAAATCATTTAGAGTATATAGTCAACGGTTTTGGCCAGGATTGTAGCTCGTACACTAGCAGGAGACTCTCCAGGAGACAAAATATAGGAGACTCCCCAAAAAATTCTAAGCACCTATAATAGGTAACAACCTATCATCCTTTCCGAGCTCAAAGTTAAAAGTGTTGAACAAACCTATTTGAATCTACATTATATATATATTTACAACTATATGTGACGCTAAAGGCCCACACACAACGGACGCGATTTGCTAACGCGAGGCGAACTTTTCATTTTAAGAAGCAAATAGACTCAATTCTGAAAGAATATTGTGAGAGATATGGGTACCAGGCTAGTCAAAATGTACTATCATTCAGTAATTACCAAGAATATCACAGAATTGTCAAAATGAGCAAATTTTGAAAAATGAAAAATTCGTGATATTCTCGTCGCGTTGGCAAATCGCGTCCAGTGTGTGATTGATTCAGTGAAATCACACAAAGTTTTAACAGCTGATCCCGCTTGTGCCTGATGCTTACCTGGGGGTTGAGGAACGGGAGGAACATCGTAAATACCCCCCTCATCATCAAATCCTGTTCCAGAATCTCGCTGAGCTGGTGCCTTTGGTAACGGCTTCTTGTATGCATCTAAACCCTGATCCATTGGAGTTTGTAGGTTTACATAAGGCTTCAGTGTCTGAGGTTTCCCCACTCTACTTATCGGAGGAGCCTCCTCTTGATCATAGTCCTGGTGTAATGGTTTAGGTGGTGGTACAAAGTCATATTCAGAACGCGGTCCTATGTCATAACTAGGTTGTGGTGGTGGTACATAATCATATTCAGAACGCGGTACTATGTCATAATTAGGTTGTGGTGCTGGTACATGATCATAGATATCTTCAGGTGTCCCATTACTTGACGGTCGTACATTAGATCTGTTATGAATTTCTATGTTATTGTACACAGGCCTGGTCATGTCTGACATTGGGTGACGTGGTGGAGTATCGTAGTTTGAGTGTTGAGGTGGTATGTCATAAATATCTCCGCCATCTTCATTACCCGAACCACCCGACAAACGTTTTGGTACGTCATAGTTCGATTGAGGTGAATGGTGGCCAAAACCTCCTGAGGTGAGTGGGTAGCTTTGTTTCGTGGGTGGTGGTGGGACATCATATTCTGACTCATGCTCATTTCGGTAGATATCACTGTCTCGTCGATCACTTATACTGAGAGAACACCCCGAAGATGACGACCAATCTACTGGACATTTTTCAGAAGGGTGGTGAGGGGGAACATTATATAGATTATCAGCATCCTCGTTTGTTGTGTTTACAGGTACTGGCGGTGGAACATCATCATAATCTGGTATCTCAGGTTCCATGGGAGGAACAACTTTAACTCGACCAAAATCACTTGTATCATTTGAGTCACCAGTCCCACTTTCTGGAAGTAGTATCCCACTATCCCTAGATTCAGCTTTAATTTCCTTCTCTAGTTGAGCCCGATGACGTACGAGTGTTGTGGAATCTAAAAAAATCACAGAGAATTAGGCAACAACAGCCCTGGTGAGTTTGATATTAATAAGATGCAATAAATAACACGTCATTGCGATGATGGTTATATACGGTGTAAGAATGGAAAACCAGCGTGGTTATTCCAGGGGACAGCGTTATTTCGTAGAAATATAGCGCATTTTCATTGTTTAAGGGCATTATGCATTATATGTAAGGGCTTTTTTCATGTGCCGAACCTAATGTCAATGAGCTAACGTCTTTGTTTATATTATATTTGCATTCAATTCGGAAAAGTTCGAAGTTTGAAACGGTCTAAGTTAGCGTCTTTATACGTTCTACCGTACATATGGTGCATGGACGTATGACGTATTACGCAATAACCATATAAAGCAAGAATGTCTATCAAAATTTAGGCTCCGTTGACACGGGGCCGGACAAATTAGAAATTCAGGTGTTAACACGATCAAAACGAATGAAAATGTGACCGGTCTACGTGTTCACACGAGGAAACCGGACGAATTCGAGAACGATCCTAAATTCCTCCGGTCCCGTGCAAACGCAGCCTTATTAGTCTCTATTTGTAAAACAGGAAACAAATTTACCGTTATTATTGTTTTCCGTTGGTTTAAAATCACACAACTGGCAAATCGTATCAATCCAAGTCCTCATTTCATAAGGACTGTCTGCGGCGAGATAGTATGTCCTGCCATCTCTTTCGCCTCCTACTCTGATACTAAATATGTTTTCGAACTTCCTGTCCGATAAATTTGTATCAAGAAATTCACAACGACTTAAATCAATTATCTTTTTAGGGCGAGCATCTCCTCTTTCTTTGTAATACTCTAATGTTTTATCCTCCCATAGAACAAACCATCTTCTCATCCACTACAAAAAATAAACAAAATACTATTGTCATTGATGCAACCATGGCCAGGGAGCAGCGTCTTTAAACATTTCATGCATCATATGTGGTTGAACAATTGCCAGAAATCGACAAAAACTTCTCGACGTTTAGACCTAAGGCTAAAAAGGGCCTTCGTCACAGCAGAGTCATACTAACTCTCTTGACGAAAGCCCGAGAAGTGTTTTGTCTATTTCAGGCAGTTGTTATACAACATTGATGCGAAATACTATCAAGATATTTTCTCAATTGAACTGGGTTGGGTTAGTTATCATTCCAAAGGTGTGTTTATAATTAATTACAGAATATTGGCATCCTTGTTTATTATATTACAGGTCTCATCCGTTTGTTATAATAGGCGGACAATATTGCCATAACACTGGCACTGACACCGTTACAAACGTAGTCAGTGTAGAGTTTTTCGTGACATTATAAGCGCTGTACTGCAGTATTATACTAACTCTCCTGACGAAGGCCCTCAGGTCGAAACGTCGAGAAGTGTTTTGTCTATTTAGACAGTTGTTATACCACATTTGATGCTAAGTTGTTCGAAGACGCTGCCACACTGCTACTTGGTTATATTGGAACTTATCTGCAGTATTATAGTTTGAGGTATTCTGGACCTTGAGCCACAAAACGTTGTAGAAACGTAAACCATCAGCGAGTTATTTGATCAGCAAGTTAGTTAAATACAATTTCAAAGAAAGTGACAGGTTAAACCGTGAAAGAATCTAATGTGTTATACACACCTGTAGGAATTCACACATGCATAAAAGACAGGGCAAGCATATGACAGTTATTTCTCACTTAATATTGTAACACCTCAAATGATGGTAAATGTTTTAATTCTTGCCCCTCTGGTGCACCATGAAATGATGTAAATGTCACCTAGTATACTGGCAATGGCAATGTCCTAGAATATTCATGATGATTATGCCATTTACTTAGTAGCAATAGAGAAATAATTCTGTAATTGTGGCTACACAAATCTTTAACGTTGACACTCTCAATTTGAAAAGGAAGTGTGGTGGGATGTTTTTAAGATGTTTTAGCCAAATTGGCACTGATGAAGTAGGATAAAAACAAGATTGGAATACTAGAAAAATCACAAGGTTAACCAGAGCTTAACACACTAGAAGAAGGTTGGTTGTGTGTGAAGGTCAGTCAATCAGTTCCTATTTCAGAAATAGCCAATCAAGTCAATTAAGAATCAAGTAAATTCATATAGAACAATTTCCCTGCTAAACAACATAACATATAAAATAAAATATTACAATTATACAAGAATTATACAAGTGAGTGAGAATATACTCCATTTCTTCAGTCATAGCAACATATTGAACCAAAAAACTGTCATTTTTTATAAGCTAGAGAGTAGAGACATGTAAAATCAACAAATTTCTATTCAGTCTGGTTGATATGCACTCTGTACTACAGCATTGACCCAAAGATTCCATTTCCCTTTTATATGTCATTATGGATTGGTCCTGGAATTTTAAATCCCTCCAAACTATTTTGTTAGGAATTAAGTGTCTTTACAAACCAGCTGAAAATTAGACATAGAGATCACACTGTATTGCTTATCCTTACAACTACAATAAAGCAGTTGGTTGTGTTAAAAATTAACAACCTTGTGTTCCCCGGACTTAAATAGTGAAATTGATAAAAATACTATATGGAGGAGGGAGGATAAAGAAAGAAATGTTACAGGGTATTTCTACATTACTTTTGCTAAATTGTCATCAATATTACCAAATAAGCAACAAAAAAACTTGACATAGAAAAGTTTTATACTTGATCAGTTTAGTATTTGATTGCAATAATTTGATCGCAAATAATTTGCGGTTATCAACGCCACCTTGTGATATATTTTGCAATTTGATCGGGTTAATTTACATGTCATAATTAATATATGTCCAAGTTGTGTCAAATTTACCCGTATATATTGAGAAATATATCATGCTTCTTGTTTTTGTCCTACTCGTTAAGCTGTTCAAATTTTGACATTTGACAATGAAATATAAGCTATTAAATAAAAACCTATGTCAATGTTGTTGCAAAAATGAAAACTATTATATTGTATCTGTTTATGCAAAATCATAAATGTCATTCTATATATACATACACATATCACATGAAGCACTATATTAAACAATGATCTTTGATTCAGTTCTGAAAGCCATGACATTTCCTCAATTTAATGATAGAAGGGCAATCAAAATTACAAATGAAGATCATTTATAACAAAAATAAATCATGAACGCAATGTGGCAATATACGTATACACAATCACAGTTCCACAATCTACATACCCGCTTAAAGTTTCCAGTCACTCTGTTATCTGGTGGCGATTTAATCAAAAAACCAGTGTGAAGTGGTAACATAGTATCATGTGTGCCCATTTTTAGCTAATGGTAGAAAAGCTTTAAAACGATATAAACAGCGAACACAATAGTTTAATAACCTTCAAATAGAAAGAAGGAAGTAAGGTAGGTCAAATTTTCACCGGATGCGAAATCAGAAATCACGCCTAACCCAATAGGAGCAATACCGAAGCACGGCTGTGATTGGTTGAAAATTTGGCATATGAGCTTCCCACGCAGTGACTATTCAGCTAAAACATAGCTCAAACGACGCTACAACGCGCGTCTTCATGGTTCATGATTTGCTGGTGTTCACGTACAGCTCAGTCATCTGAGTCCTAATGACTTCCTGAAGGGCTATCTTTAAAACAGGGAACGGGGAATAGGGGAATGGAACGGGGAATGGAAGGGAATGGAATGGCTTCGGGGAATGAGCCGGGGAATGAGCCGGGGAATGGAATGGCTTCGGGGAATGGCCGGGGAATGGAATGGCTTCGGGGAATGTGCAGCTTGTGCGTCAGTGCGAGTTTGTTTGGCCCATTTGGCGTGATTAAAACCTGTAAACGCTTCCATGTCACGAATCATGAGACAGCTACTCACAGTTTGAATTCCTTGAGGTAAAAGACAAAGCGATTACAAGCTCATAGTATAAATGCGATGTTTGCATTGTCATTGTGATGTACATTGATGTACATTAGATAGATAGAATTTGGGTAGGTGGTTCAATGTAAATCTCCAAAATCTGAAGGCAATTAGTATAATATACTGTAATAGTATTTTTTGCAGAAATCTTTAGTTCTTAATATGCCTTATAAAGCTCAATGTGTGTGATTAAAAGGTGAATAAAGATACTGACACAGTGTCACTTGTTTGTTTTTATTTCAGGCTATGTGAACAAGACCTCTGGACAGTTTTGTTTAAGCAGAAATAATGGTTGTGGTGGAAATGTGGTGAATGCATTCTTGACAAGTTAATGGGTTTGCTTCCAAGAATACACTGAAACTTGGAGCAACAATGACTTTGAATATAATTATGTAATTAATATATTATTTATTAATCTTAATTTATATGACTTTTACCTCACATAATTCAAATAATGTTCAGATAAAGAGGTAAATATTTCACTGTTAATGGTGTAATAAATATTTTATATGTTGATTATATTCATAATGAATTATTTGTCCTGCTCCATACTTTGGCAATTCTGTTTAGGAAATCCCACCATAGTAGATCTTTTTTGAAATAGTTACAGTCAAGTTGTTGTCTAGTTTAGTACAAAATAAACAAGTGCTACAATTAAACAAGAGAAAATAATAAAAATTAATTACATAAGCAAGCACATTTTCTATTTTAAAAAGGTCTATGAATTGAGATGACATGTACTAACAATTTTGTGCATTAATTAAAGACAATTGTATTATTACTGTGGGTTCTTTAATATTGTCCAATACTCCCAGTGACATCCCACTGAAATTCCTGCAGGTGTCTCAATCCATCAAACCAGTTTATCTTTTATTTCTTATATTTAAGTCAGAATCAATGTATTCAATATCAATGTTATCTTTTTGGAGACCCCCCAAGAAGAAATCCAGAAATTTTTCAACACCCCCCTTCTCATTTTGTACCATAATCATCCTGCCAAGGAGGGGGGTTGGCTTCAAGAACATGGTTCTCAATTCTGATGAAGAGAAAAAATTGCTTTTCTCCTTTAACAGACTTGTCAAAATAATGTTGTAGAACTTAGATATTATTTTTACATATTGATATTGAATACATTGATTCTGACTTAAATATAAGAAATAAAAGATAAACTGGTTTGATGGATTGAGACACCTGCAGGAATTTCAGTGGGATGTCACTGGGAGTATTGGACAATATTAAAGAACCCACAGTAATAATACAATTGTCTTTAATTAATGCACAAAATTGTTAGTACATGTCATCTCAATTCATAGACCTTTTTAAAATAGAAAATGTGCTTGCTTATGTAATTAATTTTTATTATTTTCTCTTGTTTAATTGTAGCACTTGTATTATTTTGTACTAAAACTAGACAACAACTCGACTGTAACTATTTCAAAAAAGATCTACTATGGTGGGATTTCCTAAACAGAATTGCCAAAGTATGGAGCAGGACAAATAATTCATTATGAATATAATCAACATATAAAATATTTATTACACCATTAACAGTGAAATATTTACCTCTTTATCTGAACATTATTTGAATTATGTGAGGTAAAAAGTCATATAAATTAAGATTAATAATAATATATTAATTACATAATTCAAAAGTCATTGTTGCTCCAAGTTTCAGTGTATTCTTGGAAGCAAACCCATTAACTTGTCAAGAATGCATTCACCACATTTCCACCACAACCATTATTTCTGCTTAAACAAAACTGTCCAGAGGTCTTGTTCACATAGCCTGAAATAAAAAACAAACAAGTGACACTGTGTCAGTATCTTTATTCACCTTTTAATCACACACATTGAGCTTTATAAGGCATATTAAGAACTAAAAAGATTTCTGCAAAAAATACTATTACAGTATTATACTAATTGCCTTCAGATTTTGGAGGATTTACATTGAACCACCTACCCAAATTCTATCTATATAATGTACATCAATGTACATCACAATGACAATGCAAACATCGCATTTATACTATGAGCTTGTAATCGCTTTGTCTTTTACCTCAAGGAATTCAAACTGTGAGTAGCTGTCTCATGATTTGTGACATGGAAGCGTTTACAGGTTTTAATCACGCCAAATGGGCCAAACAAACTCGCACTGACGCACAAGCTGCACATTCCCCGAAGCCATTCCATTCCCCGGCTCATTCCCCGGCTCATTCCCCGAAGCCATTCCATTCCCCGGCTCATTCCCCGGCTCATTCCCCGAAGCCATTCCATTCCCCGGCTCATTCCCCGAAGCCATTCCATTCCCTTCCATTCCCCGTTCCATTCCCCCATTCCCCGTTCCCTGTTTTAAAGATAGCCCTTCCTGAAGACTTTCAACTTGTTCTCAAATCTCAACAACTACGTAATGTGAGACACTTTCAAAATATGTTAATTGCAGTAGCTGATTGGACTCTGATTCAAAACATAGTTCAAATAATTTGGTATGATATTTTGTAGCTGTGTTGTTAACCGATTGTTTTGCTTCACTTTGGATCCGAGTTTTGGATATTCGCCATTGAATGTTCCCGGGGAGGTTGGTCTTGTAAGAGATCAATTAATCAAGATACACACAACAGTTCTTTACTATAATTATAAGTAATACACATTTTGACTCACAGAACCTCAAAAGAGGGAATGTCGCATTTTCAGGTATAGCAACGTCAAATACATGACGCCTCGCGTTCACTGGTAAACTTCCTGGTAAACTGGCACGCAAACACCTTGCACTCGTGACAATTTTCACCGACCGGCACATATTCCTAGTCTGCGGGGACCAATATGAGATATTTTGTCATTCGTGCTTAATTTTACGAATTTCACGAATGAAAGAATGGCCGGACAGCTAATCAGACAAATAAGTCAATGGAAACACGCGCGAATATATTACATTAGAATTTCTTTCCAGAATTATTCGTCTATGTGCCGTCTTCACACGGGCAGACGCATTATCCGTCTAGACGAACTATCGTTGGTTATGCGTCTGTTGTTCGTCTTTATACTGAAGACGAATAACCAGAGAAGACGCATTATGCTTCTCTAGCGTGAAAACGGCCAATATCTCCATTTTTTCCTCGCAGACTTAGGAATAGTACGTGATAGTTTAACCAGTGTGTTCCAGCCTTTAGGGGACATTGTCACACCCTCTAAAATGATTTTGGCAAATTGCTCAAGTTGACCTGTTCACTAGTTGGCCCCAATTCCCCAAATGAGCCATAATATGTTTCTCAAGTCAAGTTTTCATGGTCAGCGTTGATTTGATAATCAGTGATACTTTTCGGGTCAAAATAAACTTCGCCCAGACACCAAGGACATGGTGTTCAATACTATACCGAAAATGCAGTCAGGATTGGGTTGCTAGAAAAACGGAGAATTTACGTTTTAAAGCCACAATAAAGATATAAAACTAGCATTTCATTTTCTTTTAAACTTGCAGCAAGCATTAATCCGCAGCATAATGAGATGAAGATTCATTTTCATAGGACAATAATTGAATGTTCTGGACGACCCCATCAGCTGTAGCTGCGTGTAAACTTACTTATCGTGGGTAAATAAATGCTATAATAATAATAGTAACTGTGCTATGCTATTCTATACGTGTTGTATTCGAAAGGATCGATTGATTGCACAGCTATCTTTTATAAAAGAACCTCGTCATGAGAAGAAGTTCTGATCTTCTTTTGAAGATCTGAGTCTATTAATAGCACTGAAAGTTACAACTAAGATTCATAGATCATGTACTCTACCTTTACTTTCTCTTTCTTTAAGCTGTTGTTCGAGTTTTTCAAGCGTACTTTGAAATCGTTGCTGAGAGTTAAATAAATATAAAGTTATTTCAATATATATTCGTCAGAGGAAGGTAATAAATCATCTGAACAATAATAAGGCAAACAAAAATTGTTTTTGTTGTTCGAAGTCCGTTTTAACTTCATATTAATTAGACGCGTGTTAACGTGCAATTTATGAACACTCTAAACATAGGAATTCGCAATTTCAAGTCGTGCATCACGATATTGATATGATGATGTTTGCATATGAATATTGCGTACATAATTACGCCACACCTATAACAGAACACAGGCTAATTCTTCATGGTATATCAACATTTATCAACAAGGATTTGGAGAATGACTTTTTTTCTTTTTACCTTAAGAAAGGGATTTTCTGCGTTTTCTATTCGAGCCTTTTGTGCTTCGATCTTTTTTCTGAGCTCTTCACAATCATCAATAGCGTCATAACTGACAGGCTGAGATGTTTTATCTGTTAATATATAAAACCATTCAAATTATTATTTCCTATCTTTACCTAAATTACCATTATCCATACCCGACACCCGAGGGTTCTGTTTCAAGTCTAAGGAGAGACTAAGAAGACGTGATTTTTTTCTAATTCATTTGAATTTCAGTTTGAAAAGCATCTCTGGATTATAAAAGCAAGTAAGTTAAACAAATGCACACCAAAGATTCCTACCAACCTGCAAATGCTTGAGAAAGTTGTTTTTCTTTAAAATTTAGGGAGGTGTCGCGAGTTTCATCAACAACTGAAGCAGTAGACAGTTGACTTGATGACGGAGTTTCTTTCTGAATATTTTCAATATCCAGCTCATCTTCCTCGTCGCTCATTGGTTCTTGTAGGAATGCCAGGTGATCTATCTCATCACCATGGTGACCAAGCGGTGATGATATTAAACTGCATAGTATAAATGACTATTATATTAGGGTATTTTACATACCGAAAAACAACATCATGTAGACACAAGGAAATTGTTCTTTAGAGTACTTTTTTTTCTTTTTTACGAGTAATTTAAAGAAAAAGTTATGTCTCATAAAAATACTTTACCTAGGATTCTCTTCGTTCTTTTCTTCATCCGCTAAAACTTCGAATGCTTTACAGAGTTAAGGCAATACATAACAACATTTATAATATACGCGTGTTTTTGTTTTTGATGTAGTATTCCAAGCCGGGTGAGAATATTTGGAATGAGGAAATATCAAATAATTCATATCTCATCGAATGAAAAAACACTGTCACTATGGTGGCCCAGCATTGCAAAAAAGCTACATCATTTTTCCAAATTGAAAAGAATTGTATAATGCATTTTTGCGTTCATACCCTGAATATTTGTAGATATACATGTTATGTCACAACAAAGTCCACGCAATATTTCTGTATGGCCATTATAGCCATTTCACACGCAGAACTATAGAAGGTATATACCTGTACCGAGTATCAATTAAGATCACTAAAAACCTACTTTAGCTTATCAACATTTGTTTAGCAACGACTTTTCGTATACGATGAAAATCTATATTGCTACTTTCCTGCAAGATTGATGTCGCGGTATTCAAGCACCCCCAGGTCATTTGTGCATCATGCAAGCACTTTTTTCTGTGGTATTCGACGTTTATTCTCAAAGCACACCTCGATTGAACTCTCCTAAAAGCTTTGATTCCACTAAACTTATCAGAAACGCTAGCATACATTGATTTAAAAGGATACTGACACTCTCTGCTTGAACATCTGCTCTCAACAACCTCTTTAACTCCTTTTCAACTTCTGGACATTCTTGATGCTACAAATCACAAAAAAAAGTTGTGAAGAATCCTCCGACATTGCCACAAGATTTCATTACAATTCAAAAACCGAAATACCTTTTTTCTCGCTGTCTTTCGAAATCTTCGTTTTCGTACATTTTTTAGTGGCGGAGTTACTAAAATTAATTGATATTTTAGCAGTGAGGCGCTGGCAGTGAGAGGGATGTTCTCAAAACCACAAGATTCAGGATTGATTTTTGCTGGACCCGACACCGCGAAAATTGGCTTAGCCGCAATACTGAATACTTAGGCTTCAAACTTGGTGAGAAAAAAATACGTTCAAATATAACAGGGAGCAGCGTGGCAGCGTCTTCAAATAACTTAGCATCAAATGGTTAGATTTTAAGGGTTGAATTAACTTCATAAAGTGTGTTGCTGGCCCAAGAGATAGTTTCAAACAACGTTTCTGGTTTTGTCTTAAAAATTGTAATATTACATAAAAACTATTCATAGGTATAATTCAGCTCAAATGAATTAAAAAACTACTTAATTAAAACAAAAAACTTATTTCTGTCCATTATCTTCAAAGCACTATTAAAGCATTATCAAGGATGTTATCAGTTGCCTAGTTCATCTTTGACCCAAACACAAACTTTTGCATATTCAATATTAGAGATATCATTACTTTAGATGGCATACAATAAAAACACTTTTTCTTCCTGTGTTTTGTCACAAAAGTAGTAAAGAGTCCATCACTTACCACCGTGGTTGAACACAAATTTCTTATCTTTTTTATGAGATGTTTGTTCTGATGTTTCTTCCACATCTACATTTGGCTCATCACTCTCGTCAGTACACACCAACATCTGAAGTAATAACATTCTGTTCATATACACGGGTCAGTAATCTGCTCAAAATCACAGTTTTAGCATATCAGATTTCACCAAAATTACTTCTGACAAAACACAAATGCTTAAGAATATAACTGCACTTAAAATTTTTAGGTATTACTTTTTTGTCACCAAGATATTATTACTCTTTCCCACAATAATTTCACCTGATTCTATTATATTTTGGGATAAAAGACAGGCAATTACGTATCATTCAGTATTTACCTGACATATATCTGCTGTTTTATAAAAACTTTTCTTATCTACTGTTTTCAGGGATTCAACAATACTGGGTAAATCCATCAACTATGAAACAAAATAGAATTGGTACATAATATACACTTCATTACTTCTTGTCAAAAAAATCCACATCCAAAGATCTTGTTTAGGTATGTTTACCTTTCCTGTAAGGCATGACTTTCCCACTCTGACCGTTGAGTGACGATTATCAGCTGATAAACCAAAAAACAAACATTGAGTTTTCAGCCAAAGTTTAATTCTGTCATTTCATTATGGTTTCTTAAAATTTCATGTCCTAGTTACCTTGGAACTCAATACTAAGATAATCTTTAACAAATCCAGCATGAAGAGTTTTCCTCACCATCTCTGCCTGTGGCTATCAATATTCAAAATGAAACATGAGATTCAGTGCATGACTGAATTTGTGCTTTACACAGTTTTAATCACCCTGAAGCACAAAATCCAATTCTCTAAATATTCATATCATTATATAGTTTCTCAATATGAGAATATTACTAAGCATATATAATATTCCTTCTGATCTTCTTTTTACTCTAAAGCACACAAAGGTTGTTTTCAACCCTTTGTTATTGCAATAGGTTGGTAAACAAAACAAAACAAAACTAATCTACATCTTACGAATTAGTTGAAAATTGAAAATGATTTTTGCATAATTCTTTAAATATTTTTGCTTGCATTGATGAGATTTTGGTAAGAGCTGCAACCTTTGTACGTAACTGCTGTTGCTCCTTGATAATATTGTTATCGCTTAAGAATCTTCAAACTCCAATTCCATCACCATCTAGTATCTACCATATACATGGCTATCCCTTGGTATATAAGAACTATGCCTTTACCAGACCATTGCAGTGCTATTCAAACATCAATAAGCCATTCCTGCTATTAATTCCCTGCCTTCATAAGATGTTAATGAATGTAAATACCTCAGGTAATCGTAGAAGAAATGAACGTTCTAGTTGTATTCCATCTTTCTGTTTAGTACCCATCGCTACTAAAGGCTGGTGAAAAGCGCATTCCCAGGGAAGTCAATCAATTGAAAGTGTTTTCTAACAAGTATTAAACACAATACCGCTACTCTTGTCTACTTAGAGTTCGCTGACACCAAGAATTAGTATAATTCTTCTGGTGTTTTCTTTCCACTTCGTTCATCCTCCATATTGTTTTATTCTAATTTCTACCCTGTTTTATCCCTTTTTATCCCACGCTCCCAGAATTCTCAGCTATATCATATATAGCTCAGTGGGTACTTACAGTTGTTTTTTTCGCTGCTTCTTTTATTCTCGTTAGAAAATCATTTTAATTCCTTTATAAATATATTTGCAGGTAGGTTTTTAACTAGTAGAATATTAACATGTTTTGAATAAATTGTGCAAATGTATGCCGACACAGGTTCATGTATTTTTGCATAAATCAGACTAGTGGAAATACAGAAAAACTACCTCAATTCACAAAACGAGAAAGTTGACGTCTTTGTATCAGGCTTCTTCGTCTGTTGCCAGTGTTGGTTATCTACACAGTTACCTGCACAGTTCAAGATAAAGTAGTGGTTTAATATGTCATATTTTCCACTCGTAGTTGATTTTCATCTAAGTTCAATATCCCCTGTTTACCAAGTATATAAATAATAAATTGGATTGATAATTGGTTTCTTTGCTTGTAGTTATTGTCAGAGGACAGGTGTTGCGTATTGGTGCAAACAACTTGAAAATGAGCAAATTTAAAGCGGTAACTATCTTTTGCCATTTGCCTACTACATGTGGCATGTTGCCAGCGATATTAATGTAAGGACACGATATTGCTTCGTGTTAAATTTCTCAGTTTAATAATAATGAATCACATAATTTCTTGACTTAAAATATCTGTGAAGCAGCGTAGTAAATGTATTGAAATGAATATTATTAGAGGAATTTTGCAGAACTTCTTCCTCCAAAAAGAAAATTGGGGTTTTTTGGGCAAGATTTTGCGTGCCAGAATTCTTCTACGTCTACATTGACATTGTTAATGAGAATGATAGTTATGATACACACAGACCGACTTACGAGTCACAAAAGGCATTGATTAGCATTAGAATAAGGATGGATTATACGTATTCTGTATATTAGCTGATTCAGTGATTATCTTCACTTCCGAACAATAAGCCGTGGGTTATTCTGGGACCTAGGTTGAACACGACGTTTCCAAAAATTGGGCACACCCCCCGCACAGTACCCAGACAACAAGAACACGAGCCAGAGTTGACTTTGGGCACCAGTGCCGGACAATCATTATCAGTCTGAACGCCCTCTACTGACTTTGTAGTTTTAGAGCTTTCTTTTATTGCAAATTCGTATTTATATTAAATTTCCCATGCAATCATATTGTCAATACTGAGGTATGTCATGTAACATGATGGTGCATTATTAACTTTTAACAGGCTGCAATTCAGGCTGCTGCGGCTGAGAATCCCTCCTCCGATAAACTAACATCAAATGAACAAGAACCAAAAAACGCCTTCTCCAATGTATGTATTTGTTACTACTACGATTGATTCATCTTGAAGCACGATTGACTGAGAAAAAACATTAACACCATATTAAAATCTCAGCCTGCATGAAAACAATACAGTTTCTCATAAACTAGAAAAATAGTCGACATAGAAGATACATGGGTATCTTTATCACAAAACGTCGACGTTTAAGACTCGGCTACAAGGTTGATTTTTGATGGCGATTTTCTTCCCATGGTATACTTTTAAGTACATCGAACAGAATAGATTAATTTATACCTCGTCAAGCTTATACAACTGTATTCATAATGCACTCAATACCATGCGCTAAAAAGAGAAAATGACATCAGATATTATCATACATTGCGCCAGGGTTGCGTGCGTTAGATAATATTATATTATAAGTTGTAACCTGACGGAGGGTTTGTGTATATTCCTTCATATAGATTGTGACGAAAGCGATGGAGGCGAAAACTTGGCGAAGTCGACTATCCAGTCTGTTAAGAGATAAAACAAAATTTGGTGATGATGATTCAGGAGAGATGTATGTAGTCGTGACTAATATTGATTCAGGAGAGATGTATGTAGTCGAGAGATATATGTAGGGGTGATGATGATTCAGGAGAGATGTATGTAGTCGTGACTAATATTCAGGAGAGATGTATGTAGGCGAGATACTGGTTCAGGAGAGATGTATGTAGGGGTGATGATGATTCAGGAGAGATGTATGTAGTCGTGACTAATGTTGATTCAGGAGAGTTGTATGTAGGCGAGAGATATATGTAGGGGTGATGATGGTTCAGGAGAGTTGTATGTAGGCGAGAGATATATGTAGGGGTGATGATGGTTCAGGAGAGTTGTATGTAGGCGAGAGATATATGTAGGGGTGATGATGGTTCAGGAGAGTTGTATGTAGGCGAGAGATATATGTAGGGGTGATGATGGTTCAGGAGAGTTGTATGTAGGCGAGAGATATATGTAGGGGTGATGATGGTTCAGGAGAGTTGTATGTAGGCGAGAGATATATGTAGGGGTGATGATGGTTCAGGAGAGATGTATGTAGGCGGGTGATGATGGTTCACGAGTGATGTATGTGGGGGTGATGATGAATCTTGTTAACTAGTTATCTTCAAACTGATCCCAGCTATAATTCGTTTTCGCAACCTCATGGGGAGGCGGTGGAAAAAGCGAGTCTTTAGAAATTTCATGATGGCGGTGCCACTCCCTAATCCTATGGCGCCATATTAGTTGGAAAAAGGTCATTTCTTTCATGTTTTGCAGGCAATTTCAAGCCATATTTCACACTGAGAAAAACGAAGTATGTATTTTACAGACTATAAAATATTATTGGCACACTTCGTTAGAGAGCCTGTAAATCTTGATTTAGAAGAGAAAACACTCTAGTTTATAAAATACAACTTCAGTGTACGCTATATAACGCGGGGGAAGAACAACCATTGTTTGCCAACCCTATAAGACTATTCACACTGACGCTATTTGATTATTTCCAGCCAAGTGATCAGGTTTTGCGTGATCTTGAAACTCAAGAAGAAAATCTTTGGGATGTTGTTGATCAAGACGACGAGGCTATAGAGGAATATGCATCCAATGAACTCATGGGAAATCTCTTATCTAATAAATATTTTCGTTCAGCGATATTGGCAGCTATTCTTGCCAATAGTCTATTGATTGTTGTTGAAACGGATCAAGAACTGGTTAGTTGAATCATGTCTCACAATAAGGTTTCAGTGTAACTGAACTGTTTGCTCAAACAAAACGTTGGATTATTTAATACCAGAACGTTATTAAAAATTACAAATGTTGTAGACCTACAACCTTATAGGCCTGGTTCTCATATCACCCACAATCGGACGAAAAAAATAACAAAAAAACCCTTATTTTTAAGTGATGAGAATCAGGCTTTAAAAGGGACAAAGCTCTTTGCCGTTTACGTACCATTTAAAAAGGCAAACATCTATACCACATACTGTAAAGTTGCTGCCATTTAAAATTACGCCCTATTTTTCTTACTATATTGTTTGTATTATTTTTTAAACTAAGAGCCAATTTGATTGTTTCTGTTAATAGGACCGGGAAAACGGTAGTCGTGCATCAGTCAGTTTAGTGCACTTGCCAGTTAATGCGCGTTTATCAATTTTGGCTTTTCCCTTTATACTTAAAATCCATTATACTCAACATTTTAACCATTCGTCGTCCCTATCAATTTTTAGGAAAGAAGATACAAGCATTTATTTTCAGTGCTGGATCAATGTTTGATGACTGTGTTTGTTTGTGAAATATTGTTTAAATGGTATCATGGTTTCTTCATGTTCTGGAAAATGGGATGGAATATCTTGGATTTCTTTATCGTTGTTGCGCTGCTTCTTGGACCACGTAAATATAACTTCTTAGTTTTCAACCATTTTCAAATACGCATTCCCTTTTCCCGATCCCTTACTTCTTTATATACATGTAGTTTTAAGTATTTAGCGAGAAAACCTGGGCCTATTTATTAATAATATACGTCGCATTTTCATCTCATCAAATGCAATTCAAACACTAGGAATTGAGATGATGATCTGATGTCGTTCAGTAACTATTGTTTAAATTTCATTCGAATCGACCAAAATGCGCGTATAAACTAGGCCTTAGGGTAAGAATCATTCATATAGACCTACGTCAAATATATTTCATTCTGTTATAATCGAAATATATTTTTTCTGATCAGTCCGCACGAGGCAACGCAGAAGCCTTCAATGCACCACACTTCTACCTATTACCTTCTCTGCGTCACGACCCTGTTTCATGTTTGGGTGTTTTCCTAATCAAACTGCCTGATTTACTCAATCAGCGACTAACTGTCTAAGGCCTCAGAACGTCCAGGATTAATAATCACCGCCATATTTTCATGAGTAGTTTTATTAACCGCTCTACTTCATAACAGCGAGTTAATCTATGGTGTTTGTAGACATGTATTCACGATGGAACATTAACGGCTTCAGAATATAGCCGAAGAGTCCTTACTCTTTGTTTTAATTTTGCCAGTTCTGACTGGATCAGGATCTGGAAGCAGAGGCGTTTTGAGAATACTCCGAGTATTGAGAGCTTTTAGAAGTCTAAGAAGGTAGGCAAATCTTGTTTGGTGAATGGTCAATTGTGATTTTGAATGTAAATTTTTAATCAACTGTATCAAATACAATGTCAACGAGCTCGCCCACACATCTCCTTCAGCATAAATACCGCTACACTTTTCTAACGGCACAAAAATACTTCTAGATAAAACAGTTTCTACTTCATATTATCCTGAAAATAAGTGATCTGTTGAAATAGTGCGTGAAACCTTATGTACTACATCAATTAATATGATCTGGATCGCAACTTTGTTCAAATAAAAACATATGAGACCTCCAAGACAACTGAGCATATTAACATATTAAATATCTTTAAACAGGTAGTCTTTGTCATGCAGTATTAAGGAATTTCATGTTATTTTCTCCGTCTTTTTATCGCTGGACACAGATGCATCATCGCATCTCTTTTTGTCATAAATTCTCCATGACATTCTGCACAAATGAAAGGTTTTTCCTTGATATGACTCCAATGATGCCGCTTAAGATTTGCTGGGTCATTAAACGGCTTACTACACACACTGCATGAATACGGTTTCTCTCCGGAATGAATTAAAAAATGACGGCGTAGTTTTGATGGTGTAGGAAATGGTTTGGCACAAACAGAGCAATTGTAAGATTTAACCGTTTTGTTTGGTGTTCTTGGTAAACTTCCTTCAGAATCAGAGCTGTGACTCCAGCTTGGCGAAGGTAAACCTGATGATGTTGTTGACGTGTTGTTAACGGCCAGCGATGTTTGGCTGCATTCCTGCGCATCGCCTGTTGTCTGTGTAGACTGATCCTTCTTCACAACAAAACATGAACATTTCGTCGCATGAAGAACGGTTGCTGGTAACAGTTTAAAAGTGAAAACTTGAGTATTTTCTACATCATTCTGCGCGACCTTCCTTACGTCTGGTGAACCGTTGAAATGTATATTGTTATTCATCTCAGATTTCACGAGACCTTCACTTTGCCTAGGACAGTTCTGATCTTTGGATAATGGCATCGCAACTTCATTCTTATCATCTGTAGTTTCATCCTTCTTTTCTGAGACATTGAAGTACGCTCTCTTTGGGTTCACTGATTTTGTCCGCATAATGTTTGGCGTCACTGCAACCACTGCTAAACAAAAAACGTTATCATGCAATATATTAAATATCTGTCTGTTTCGTCAAACGATCAACGGTCATAGAATACTATATTACCAGAAATACTTTACTAATATATTTACCTTTAGCTTCGTTGTGCGTCTTCACGATAATCTTGTACTATCTTAGTGTTTGATCTGCCTGTCTTGCTGAAGCTTGGGTATTTAACTATTTCTTTAGGTGGTAGTTACGTATCAGTGATTTCAAACAACACCTTCCGATACAACCTTCATCTCAAATGCGATACTTGCTGCATACTTGCTTATTTTAAGGAAAGCTACTTCCGGCGGAAGCCAACTCTATCAGTCTATCCTTGCAATTTGACCGTTGCTCTTTTTTATCGATTTGTAGTTTTTATTTCAATCAGTATAAACAACATGCTATGCTGGTATTTCTCTAGCAAAACTGATCACTATCATAACAAATTATTTCAAAAGCTATATTGATATATTATTCATGTCGGGCAAAAATATTGACCGATAACTACATTATTTATTGAAGTTTATATATTAGATGATACTAACTATATAGTCAGCACAGTTTATTATGGTCTTCCTTGACATCTTTTTAGTTTAAAACTTTAGTGATTTAAAGTGCACTGAAATTTGTGTTTGCTGTGTAAGACTGAGTGGTCCCCTTATATGATTAAGGCACATTTACTTAATCTTCTGCGGAATATGGTCTTTATCATGTAGGACCTATTGGCTTACCTATTGCACTGGGTTTCTCAAGAAATAAACGTAACGGAATTTTAAAAATTATGATACAGCCCTACATCTTTTATTTAACTTTTATGTTTAATGTTTTACTTTAAAGGAGCAGTTATTACACTATTCATCGATGCCTTTCGTACATTAAAAGAAAATGAAATTATTCTTTGTACGAGTATTCTTTGTAAATGAAAATTGAGGGAATGCACGCACATGCAAACTCTTTGCAATTCATTGATAAAATTTGCGTCATTCATTTTCCAACGTTGGACTGGACGAATGGAATTAAAACGGATAATTTTTTGCTTTATCTGTCCATTTCCACTTGTTAAGATTTGAAAATATAGTTGCTTTCTATATTTTCTGTGTAAAAACTAGATCATTTAACTTTATATTTTTTGAGACACCCTGTCGGCATACTATACAGTGAACTCATGCAATAATAACTGTATTTTTTCTCTTCCATCCAGTATCACTTCGTTGCCAGGTCTACAAATTGTGGTACAAACAATCTTACAATCCATCCCAGGTAAAGTACTATATATTATTACTGTGTAATTTTTACACAATTATATAAACAGTAATAATTTAAATTTTGTTCCTCATGCACTTTTTATTTATTGCCAAAAAAAACAGCAACGCTAAGCATAGTAGCATACGAACAATAAGCTGGTGTGCCTGAGTGAACACGTTTATCCATTAGTCGATTAGATGAAGAAAATGACACGGCATTCACTGAAAATCTTTTTCTTTAGATGGTTTAGCCCCTCAATAACGGATTCATTATCCAAAACATATCAGACTCACCTTTTCAAGAATATTTTAGATTTGCATGCTTTCAGATTTACAAAAACGATTAAATATAAGCTACTCTATTTGTATACATGCAATGAACTCCAGGGTTTTAAAGACTCAAAATTAAGAGTTTTTAAAATGTTTTTTATAGATATGGCGAATATTGTCCTGTTGCTGGTAATAATAATGCTGGTATTCTCAGTCATTGGAATTACTTTATTCAGAGATTCAATACCAGAGCATTTCAGCAACTTGTCAACTGGTATCCTTCAATACATATATCAAGCAAGCTGTTCCGGATAAAAATAGAATAATAATGTCACCCGTTAGAGCATTTCCGGCTGAACACAAGATATTTAACCACAGCCGCAAATGTTGGTTGAATCTTGATCTTCGGTTCTTGAATTTGAACATGGTCATGGACATGGTCATAAAGTTTTTTCTTTTAGAATAGCTTTAGAAAACATTTCAGTGACTATACACGTCTACAGATTTACAAAGTGCACTTTGTTTGCATCTGACATTACTCTTCAAGTTTTATATAGGCTTTCGACATTACTAACTGAACATCCGCTTCTTTCAGACAAGTCGTGTCTTCATATTTCTTCCCACGTTTTTTCCTTGCATGTCAAGACAATCTTTATTGTGCAATAATTCAACATGCAGTTTGAAGGATCATTAAAACGCAATTATTAAACTTTAACATATCGCTTGCATGGAAATTTCTTTTAAAAGGTTTAAAACTGGTCCTGTCATGTATGTCATCCATATAGTTACCGCGCGCTCAATCATTCACAATCAGTGATGTCAATCAGTCAATGATGGAGTTATGATGAAAAAAATTGTGTTTATATAATGACAGAATGATCCTTAACTATAGACTATCAGCCATGTTTTCACTTTTCATATGTTTGACAATGGATGGTTGGATTAAGTTAAACGAAACCTTTCTTGTAGGTTCACTCAGAGTGTTGTTGTATTTCTGTCTTTAAATTTTTATCATGCACGAAGCTATGTCCGGCTTCACGAGCACGTATATTTGTAGGCAAGTGGAGGGATGACGTATGTTGGTGGAACTTTATATCTGAATACTTTCATTGCAATTGGAGCTTTCGTTTTTGCAAACTTGGTGGTCGCTGTTGTTGTTACGAACCTCGTAAGTCCAGAAATATAAACAAGACTGGTTTTGTCCACTGCATGTGGGACAAGCATCGGAACGTCTCCCTCAATGACTAAATACTGATGAAATCTATGTTCTCTGCCGTGGTTTAGGAATTTGCAATGGTGGATGTGAAGACTGAAGAACGACACGGACATGAACACGAAATTTTATTGGGAAAATATGAAAACGGTGCTTATATTAATTAATATCATTAAAATTCGAAGCAACGAACGTAAAAACGGAATAGTTGCTTTAGCGACAACATAAATGTGATGCCTGGTATATAAATCCAGGTTTTGAACTATTTATCATATTGTTAAATTATGTTTCCTTCTGCAGATAAGGACATCACCACACCTATTACAAAGGCTGACAATGTTTCTCCGCATGTTCTCTTCAACCAAAAGCCTTACCAATTACCAGTAAGTACTAGATCTTATAACCTTTCTACAACCTTTTTTCTAGACTAAACACTTTTACTGAGCTGTGCTTCTATTCTTTTTTTTAATGATATGCATGTACAGTTCTCTCTATTTAACAATTAGACAACGAGTCCGAGTTGTCTATGAGCGAATAGTCAACGAAGGCGAGTTGTCTAATTGTTTTAGTATACACCCTGTACCTAAATATATTAATTTCGAGAAAATAATCGATACACGGCTGACGGCAAATACACCAAAAAATAATCCAATTTTATACGGTCGCGCGAGCGAAATTTTCCCAGCCGTGCACCATCACGAATAGACAATGGTTGAGTAGCCAATCAGAATGTAGGATTTATAATAGACAATAGTCGGGTGTATACTAAATATATATATGATCTCAATCCATGCAGTCAGGGGAAAAATTGCATGTGATTGATCAGGAGCCGAACGCATTTGAGGGTGGCCTGTCGGAAGGAACTTCTTTCTAAAGTCCCGGCTAAAATTAAATTTATATAAAAAATAATTATATATAAAATTGCTATAAAAAAATCTTTATTAATAAATCTCTTAGATATATATAGCTACGATCTCGAAAAAAGCACCTATGAATAGAATCCATTCCATTGATAGTTCGCCTTAAGTGCTGTCCAGAACTTGAATATTATATTGGTCACTATCGTCTGGTAGAAAACATATATTTTTGACTATATCATCTCAGTTACCCCCTCGATGGTCTATATAAGCAAACTATTCGCTGGATGTGTTTATCAATGGTATCCACACCGACAAGAGAATATTTTATTTTTCTCTGTAGGAAATGAATGATATCAACACTCGAACGGAAGAATTGGAGAATTTTTTTCTTATTCTCGCAGCATTTGAAGACAATCTTGCTCAATATATGAACATCAAAAATCAAATCATAGAGGTAACCAAACATATCCATATTGGTACCAAGATATCCTACCACATGTTCACGTATTTCTATTGGTTGAATTTCGTTTCAGCTAAACTCTAACATCTCTTAGTCGTCTGAGCTTGTATAGATACTAACTGATATAGACTAAATTGCAAAACTATTAATTTGCGAGCTGATTAACCGTGACCTTTACTGTGCAGATATTTGGGTGTATTTGTGATCTGCATAAAAGAGCAAGACTGGAAGGAATGTTACGTGAAGCTGATGAAGCACGTGCTGCGGGGGAGAATGCACGTGATAAAGTACTCAATGTAGGTATTCAATCATGTATTAATTAGTGAGAGGTAGATTATCCTGCAAGGGAAAGTGAGTGTAGGTATTCAATCATGTATAAATGAGAGGTAGAATCAATTACATAGAATTAATTGTTTTCTAGCTCGAAGGTGATATCTTGTCCAATCTGATAGAACTAGAAGAAAATAAAATGATCAGTTCAAAACGTCGCAGTTTGGACAACTTGATTCGAGGTGGTGCAACAGCATTATCAAGCACGACATCTCATAATAACATACCTGCAAGTATCATTCTGCCTGCTAAACCTTCGCCACACTCGCAAAATAAATGACTGCAGTGGATGATGAACATAAACAGAACATTGGCATTCATTGTGCTTATTTGTTATATTGGCCTAGTTTTATTATGTTTATCACTTTTCTCTTCATTGATAAAAAATTTATTAATCTTATTTATGGTATTTTATATTATATCATTAAAGTGTTCTTAGATCTTTTATTACGTTTATTAATACTTTTGTGATGGACAGAATATTTCTGACGAGTTTTTTACAGAACTGTTTCACCAGTGAGATTTTCAAAGTGTGACCCAGTTTTACATAAATGCAGTATGTTGTTTCTGTCGTTGTTCAATGTTCTGTGTTTCGCTTTTTACGTTGATGATAAATAACATTTTTCCTTTTCTCGGGTTCATTAATTACATTTTATCAGGTTATATATATTAAAAAACACTATATTTTTTGTTAGATATACTTACTACCCACGGTACGTACTGACTGTATACAAGATTATCGTATTACACGACCTGATCAGTTGCATGACTGAGCAACTCACGGTATTTCAGCTCGTATACGATAAGTAGTGACAACAGCCAGTAGCTAATACAGCTAGTGAGAGTTTGCAATCAGAATTAAATAAAAAATTACACAATATTACGATTGCTGATTACTCGACTATCAGCTCATATATGTAGCTACGATTTAAGCTCATGGTATAATATTGATCATATATCTTTTACCCAATGGAAGCGTTTATCAAAATATTTCCCATGTCATTCTCATCTTTGCCATCTTCCTCAAACTCTTCAAAAGATGTTGTTGAATACATATCATCAGTAGCTGCATGATGCAGTTCCGTAGATCTATAACCACCTGGTTCATCTTCACTCAATGTCTCAATATCATCGCTAATTACGAACATTTGCCTCGTACAATGACGGAAATAATACTTTCGAAGTGTTGAATAAAAATCAAGAAAGAAACGAATGGTATAATGAATAAGGATTTGCGAAAATGTCGCAAGAAATATGCACAGTCCACCAACGTAAGCAAATACTAGAAAAGGAATATTACAGTAACAGTAAGGATTAAAAGTAGAACAAAAAAAACAGGGTATTTACGAACACTTGAAATGCATAATTGTCTTCACTAAAGGCATGGACTATATATATATATATATTACATGCTCTTGCATCTTAAATGCTTGATGCGAGAACTTTTACAGTTTTCGTTATATTTCTTCAACAAGTGTGGCGAACACACTAAATTACACAGCATCAACCCAACGCTTGAATCACATGATAATACTAATATTCACCATATTTTGATCCATACATACCGGTTAAAAACGTGTAAGTTCCAACGTTGTAGTTAAAAATGCAAAATGCTTTCTAAAAAATGTTTATATAGAATTATTTTAGAATGATTTCTTAGGAAAGGATTGAACAATAGAACCAAAATCTTTTGAAACAAGGATCTCATTTTTCTTATTCACTTTGTGCACACAGCAGTGTGTCAATCAATGTCCATACTGAATGAAATACAAACAGGCTATTGACAGGTGTAAATACATGCAAGCACATTTTTCATTTCCTTCAAACTGTGAATTTAATTTTTCGACGACTCAATATTCCCCACTTCCGGGCAAGTTTTCAACAAAACAGGTAAAGACGTAAAGTATCATTTGTTACCTGTCTTGACGAATTTCTTGGTGACTCACAATGAAATGATCTATAACTATCCTTTGCAGCACACTCTGTAAATGTGTGAAAATTACATTCTTCGCAGAAATAACATTGAACCTATGGGAAAATAACGTTCAAAATTAAATGTGATTAGAAATAAAAGAAAATATTTTGAAATCGCTATGCAAGTGTGAATGTAACGCTTTTATTCTGGTGTTTATTTACTCCCAGATACAAAATGAGGAGCTTTAAAACAGGAAAACTGCGATATAGACCGATCAATATTCGGTCTACGTGAAATAAATATCAATACGAATTAACGTTATGTAAAACTTACCATATTTGTTTTCTCGCAAAGTTTCATAATTTCGCGTTGTGTTTTAAAGCAAGCCCAGGAAATATACAACTTTGAAAACCACAGCAATAAACACGTAAAACAAACTAAGAAAATAACGCCAAAATTCCAGGCCAAGTGAACTTTACCAAATTGTTGGACTGTTAAAGATGACTGAAAAATAACAGAATTTAATGACGTCTTAGTTTCGTTTCCAAAGATTCGACTCTTCCATTAACCAGTCAACCAGAAAAGAGACAATAAGAAAAAAGTTAAAACATAGGGTACCTTTAATTTGAATGGCATTTTTCTTCTAGTGTAAAATATGACCATAAAAATTGCTGACACAGAGATTGTTAACGAGAGCACCTGAAGTTCCAAACCACTATTACGAGAGCTGTAATACCTGCAGGAGAAATTCATGCTTTTATTCCACACATATATGACTTGAGAGTCTACAAGATTGCTCTCTGAGCAATACCTTATTTTGTGCATGACTTAATAGATGGTATTCTAGGTACACTAAAAACTGAATGGATGGTATATTCTAGGTAGTAGGTACACTAAAAACTCTCGGTACAAACTCTCTACAGTGTACTCACTTCCATGAAAACATATCTTCTGCCCAAAAATTCACAACAAAAAAGCAAAGAAGATTCAATAACATGCTTGCGGTGAGTAGCCAAGATAGACCACGGAATCGTAACCAACAACAACATGCAAAATATGCCTAAAGTGCACAGAAAATTTTTTCAATATCTTGGTCTGACAACTGTATTGCTATATGAAAATCTAAGGAGGTCTATTGAGAGCTGAGGAGGACAAGGCAGGTCTAAGGAGGAATAAGAAGTGCTAAGGGGAACTACTTAAGGAGGCATGGCAAAGGCTAAAGAGGTCCAGGGAAAGCTAAGAAAACCTAAGGAGAGGTAAGGAGAGTCAATGAACTCTTATTTGAGTTCAATAAAGCTCAGAAGTTCTACTGAGGCTGAAGATGGCTAAGCAGGTCTAAGGAGGCCTGAGGAAGCCTAGGGTCTAAAGATGTCTCCCGAGGGCTACAGATATCTAAGAATGTCTAAGGAGGTTGAAGGAGGGCTAAGGAAGCTAAGTATATCTAACTAAGACAGATCATGTGATAATCTAGCTAAGACAGATCATGTGATACATTTAACGTAGTATGTTATACACTATAATCAGGGTCACATAAAGTAACTACCAATTTTTGCAGGTGTGAATGCAAAAAAATTGTCATTGGTGAGAGTTGATTGTCATTGATTGCCATAGCCATGTAATAAATGACATGACATGTGAAAGTATGATTTACATACAAAAAAGTTTTAACTCACCAGAATCATCAAAAATATTGGGAGATCCATTAATCGAAGGACATTCTGAAATGTAATGATGCCAGAAATTGCATTACTCAACTTAATTGACAAGTTAACAAATGAATGATGGAAATGGTATAAAAAATCAACTTACAGATTCATTGGTAACTCTTGGATCATTCTGTTAATGGAAATTGATTTATATTTAGGTGTCAGGCATTTTGTCATTTTTACCTTACCCTCTTTTACTTTTACCCTCACTTTTACTTTACTTAAATATAAGCAGTGGACTACATTTCAGTCACTAGTTTTCTACCATTTTTCTACCATAAAGTTTTTCATTATTAACCTGGGTTTGTCTACCAGGAGTTAGGCCATTTCATTGGTACATAATCCATCTGTTTCTAACCTGGTTGATTTTACATTCACATATTTATTTTACTTTTGTTCTTGCAATTTGCTTGAAGCAATATGATTAAAATTCCCTAAAATCACCTATTATATTGTATATTTCTTATGTTTTTGGTTGTGGGATAAAAAAGTAACCCCATATCATTACCCCCACAATAACATATTTGTTCTTTACAGCCAAATTGATCTATTTCAAAAAAGGTTATGGAATTTGTAACTAAGCAATTTGGTACTTGTGATATCATAAATTATCAGGGACTTACTAAATATTCACTTAAACAATGCACTTTACCTGGAATAAATTCTCTGGTAATTGTTTCTGTGATGCCCTAGCATCACCATACCCATCAAAATAAGGAGGGTTGCTCACAAATTCTACCAAACCAAATATTAAAAATCCTAGTGCAATAAGACAATGAAATACTTGAATAGCTATATTCAACAGCTGCCGTCTGTCCGATAAATCTATTTCCATCTTTGAATGCAATACACGACATTAGTTTCAACCAGAGCTGACCTGCCTGGCCGTGGTTTGCTATTAAAATAACAATCAGCAAATTATCTGATTAATTAACTGATTTCATATAAAAATTGAAATATCAAGCAATTTCCAGACGACTTTAACAAAAACACCAATGATGACACATCTTCTTTCTTTCAGCACTGCAAATTTTATACATTCAAATTCTCTGAACAGAATAAAAGTATTTCTATTCTGCAATTTTTTGTATGATTGCGATGTTGAAATTCTTTCATGTTCTGGAAATAAATTAAATTAACATAAATTAACATACATCATCCAGATAATGCCAGATTCCCGTCTTTTGCCAATCCAAACGATGCCAGCAAGGCAGCAACCTGTCATTATGTTTATAAAACAATACATTTACCTCTCTCCAGTAAAACATTACATTTATTTATTATCTTCATCTAATTTATCCAAAACCTTTAAAAACCCACAAACTAGCAAGCTCTTGCAGTCGCTTCTGGCTCGAAACGCCCAATGACCATGTACAGCTTCTGATAACGACAAACGAACACATGAAGGTGATGAAAGAAAACCAGGAAAACTGAAGAAAAACTTTCCAAGTCAAATAAAGTCAGTACATCCTCGTCCCCAGGTTTTTCGCGTGAAGCAAGTATTGCTAAACCTCGTACCCAGGGTTTTCCTTTGCAGGGTACGAAGAGTTTGGAGTATTGCCATCTTACCCAGTCGAATCAGTCAAATATACCATATACCGGTAGCTTAGCATCAAATGTGGTATAACAACTGCCTAAAATAATGAGACAAAAGATCAGGCCCTCAGATCGAAACGTCGAGAAGTATTTTTGTCTATTTTAGGCAGTTGTCATACCACATTTGATGCTACGTTATTTGAAGACGCAGCCACGCTGTTTCCTGGTTATATGGGAACATATACTGATATAATGGTAGGTATACTGTGGCAAGGAGACCCAAGGCAAAGTGAGGCAGGTCACGTTTACGTTTATACAAAAAACAAAGATTAAGAGTTTCAATTTTAGATTACCATTAACAACATATCATTATAAATAGTAGAGAATAGAGTTATTCACAATGCCTGATATTGATTAAATAATGCCTGATATTGATTAAATAATTACAAGTAACATCAGCACCGGCAGTGCAGCTAACATAGTAAATTCACCATTTTTGTGTTCATAGATATTTCTATTCATTCCAGAAATATGTCTTAAAAATTCCTAACTGTTTTCCAACAGGAAGATTATATGGGATGAGCGAGAGCCTGAGGAAATTTATTGATTAATTGTTTTAAGTTAATATGCGAATTAGCTACAGTGTTTATCTCTTGATGGTTTCACTCAGGTGTTGAAAAATAAAATCCTTGCGTGTTCATGGCTCGTAAACATGTTATGAACATTGACGCTCGTTTCATTCATGCATGTACATGTAGAGTACCTGGTAAAACGATTTTCATTCCAGCAAAGTGGATTTAACGGCGTGCATGGTTATTATCCAAAAATATCTAACAAATCCGTATTGTTTTGTTGCCTTTGTTCCGGTGTGGAATTTTGATTAGACAAAGCCAGTGTTGGGGTCAAGTTAAAATTTTGGTTTCCTGGAAATTGTGGAGCCTGATTCCCTGGTCTTGAAAGATTTGTGGAAACTGTTTGACCGTGATACGAGCCTAGTGAGAAGTTTTAAGGAGACTTAATAAATGTGAAGACTATGGGATATCAGGTGATATATCAGGAGGGATGGGAAGGGGTATTCTTACGCCTGTATTCAAAAAGCTCCCTCACACTCATACTCATCGAGTGTGACATATAAATTTCGTTAATGCTGATCAGTGAGAAAGTTTTTTTCTGAAGTGAATGAAAGATATAAGGTGAATCACTGAAAATCAAGCCCCTGTTCGGCTCGAAATGCCGCCATTCAAACGTTATGAGAAGATTAAGATCTCCCACTCAATGAGTTTGAGTGTGAGTGAGCTTTTAGAATACAGGCGCTAGTTTATTTCATACCTAGTTTAGATGGAGCAGTTGATCCCATTGTCTTCATCTGGTTTAGAGTTCTTGATTGTGATTGGTTGCTTTGAAACCCTGGAAATTCTAGAGAATGAAGCGACGATGATGCATTTGCTGGTGCACTTGATCTCATCGATGCTGCATTAGAAAATATATTCGGATTTCCAGGGAACATTCCTGTTAAGAGTGCAAAGTATGATTAACGTGGAGTTTTCAGGTAAATAACTAAAAACATCGCAAAGCGAAACAGTTGATAAACCAAGAAATACCTCCATTCCTTGTGTTAGATATTCCCGTACTTCCCATTGGGTGAAAATTAGCCTGGTAGTTAACATTGAGTGAATTCATGTGACCAATCGGTGGTGACATCAATGTCTGACCAGATGAAAATCCAGTAAGTCCAGTTTGATTGCGTGGTTGAGTAGAAGTACCAACCATGTTAATATTTTGGCTCAATGTTGAGTTGAGAAGAAGTGTGTTTGTAGAAGCGTTAGGTTGAGAGCCTCCTGCATTTGGCTTTAAGATCATGTTAGGTCTTGGGGCGGATTGATTTGTATTCGAGTCAATTAGAGATGTTTGTTTTGTACTTTGAGAATTCTGAGTCTGAGTGTCTTTGAGACTGGCTTGAAGTTCTTTTGTGTTCTGTGATTGCTGTGATTCATCAGCGAAGCCGAAGAACTTATTAAACTAGAAGAAAAGTAAATTCTATTTTATTTCTATGATACTTGATTAGCGAGTTAACGAGGTAAACATTATATATCGCTACGCCTTGACCTGATATATTGAACGGGCGAAGCCACTTTAAATATAACCTATAAATAGGGTTGGTATCACAGTCTATATTACACATCGTTGAACCCGAGTAGCCATCATAACTACAGATATGATATGCGTATTAAAGATTATACACCACGTATTTCACTTTTACCATACATACCGCTGCACTGCCATTGCCTATATTTTTTTCCTCCACATTTTCTATTTCTGAAATATAACAGTAATAAATTAAACAGGCGTTATGCTATTCTACATGTAGATGTAGATGTATACTAAGTCCCTTCGTTTCTTCCTGCGTGTATATATGTTTATATACATACTACCTATGTTTACTAAAAATCTAGTACTCGTAAAAACATGCATTGTTGCACCAGGCATATACTTGAAAAAACGAGTCAATTCGAGTTACCTTTGGGTCCAGTTTTTGGCGGGGTATTTGCGGAGAACAAATGTGTAACTTTCCCCATGAGGTCATCCATTTGTTTACTGTCTTGAACTTCTTGTGCGAAAGCAAGGGAAGATCTACGAAATAAATCAATCATAAATGCAAAGTACAATGACAAACGCGTTGAACGACGTTTTTTATGCGTATTTTAGTAAATCTAGGTAATGAGATTTTGTATATATTTATGTTGAAGATCGCTGGAGGTGAAAAATATGTATTATAAGTGATACATTGTAATTTTAAAATATTAAAAATTATTAAATACTTAGTCTCCTCCTGCATCTGCTTCAATTGTTGTAGTTTTCCTTTTTGTTCTGTCTCTACACGACTGACCATTTCTCGAATCACTGACATGAACTGAGTGAACTAAATTGTGATGAAAAAATCAAACAAGGTAAATTGCATTTGTGAAAATTATCTTCCTTTCCCGCACTTCATACAACAATCCTAGCGTAAATGTTATGTCAGTAGTAGCATTCACATTGATTTAACGTGATACCGTTATAACATTTACTACAAAATACTTTGCGAACAAAATGTTGAAAAATTAATTATCATGTTTCCCAATATACCTGAGAGATATTTAGACCCGGTTCCACAGCAAGAGGTAACAAAAATGGAAGTGCTGACTTAGCAATGTAATCTTTGTCCAAACTCAGCTTTTTGTGCAACATTGTTTGTTTATAAATACCTGAATGTAGAAATAGTCGATTAAAATTCAAGTTATACAAACTTCTAAACAATCCACCCTTTCAATCTTCATTTTAATTAATGGTTATTAAAATGCAACGATCATGGAAAATCATCTTTTCTCGCTCAGTGACATATGGCTTAGATTCATTAATAGATGCAGGCATGCAGGCTCTAAATAAAACGTAGTTTTACCTAAAATAGCCATACAGATCGCAGGTTCACGAGTGGGAATGTCGAGTAATAGTGGGAATATTTCGTCAATTATAAGAAATTTATCCAAGAATTCCATAATCTTTCCAAGACACACGAGACAATTTACACGAACCTAAATAAGACATCGATAGCAAATATTTAAAAATATCGGAATGCGTCTAAGAAAGTCTTAGTAATGCATGTACAAATCATGTACAAATCAAATTATAATATTTGCAAGACTGAAGAAAATCACTCTTCATGGAGGTACATAGACAACCGTTAGACAACTGTTTCTGTTAATACGATTGTGAATAACAGATGTGCAAACTTCACCGTTGATAATGACAATTAAACAAATAAAACTTACAGAAAATGTTTCAGTTTTAAGGCAGAGTGTCTTGATTCTTGGAATTATGGAATGTTTCATTGCGGAGTACTCAATCATTTTTGCGAAACTTGGAATAATAGTCAACGCCAATTCCTGAAATATGAAACGAATTAGAAATGCTGTTTGCTTTCAGAGGTGTTGCTATTCTGGGGTAATACACCTCCTCACTATGTCCCACATTAGAATATTACAACACTTATTGGTGAGTTGTTCAAAATTATTCCCTGGTTCTAAAGCGAACTTGCAGCGCCAAAATAACTCAGTGTTAGAAGTGAGAGACAGCTTTCTCAGGATTTTGCAGAACACAAAGTTTGATTCTCACCTGGACTTGATCAGACGGTGCTTCTAAAGCCTGGAACACCATGGGCAAAACATGAAATTGAACAGCTTCTTTAGGAGTTTTGGTCAATAACAAGTCCATTTTTTTCAGCAAAATTAATACAACCTACATTTAAAAGGAAAATATTTGATGCATGGAATAAAATAAAAAGTACGAGCATAGTTGAAACGTGAAGAAAATAAAAAAATAACAGCATTAAGAGGTTTAAACATCTACACTACACTTGCAGTGAAAATGTCTCAAAGACACAGCTCATGATATTCGAGTATTTTATGGGTTGTTGAGTTTTTCAATGGTTTTCTACGTCTACCATAGCTATACCTGTATAGGATCTTGAATCTTTAAAACAAGTTTAAGTTTAGGAAATATCAACTCATTATATTCTTCATCACTGCAACTCTCAGCAATCAACAAGACGTTTGGTAATACAAAAGGTATCATTGCGTGGTTACTAAACTCCAGGCAGAGATGTGGCAGTATTCGTTGAATAACCACACGCTAAAACATAAGAAATTGTTAATAATAATAATATAAATAAACTATTTATACATATTAACTAAATATTTATACTGAATAGCTGTCATCTGCTATCACGTTTAAGCCTGCGACAAAACATCGAGTATATACTGTAGTAGAACTGGAAACAACGCGTGGTTATCGCGCGTATCAAAGAGCTTCGAAAGCTCCCGGAAAATGTCTGCTACGCAATGAATAATGAAAATAGTATTCTGGCATTAAATATGTGAGACAGTATATGTAAATATATACGGTTGTCACTCACCTTGGGAAGCATTGATATAATCTTGTACAAACTTTTGAAGAATTGAGATTTGGTCATGTTGTCTCTTTGCATCAATGTATCCAGGTAATGAAGAGTTTGTGCTGCTACGTTGTCAAAATATCTCACCTAAAACAAAAAACGAGGCACTTTGATGGCCTAGCCGACTGCTTGGATGGTAATTTAAGACCAGCTTATTAACTCTAGGATCATTCCCCAATTGATAAAACAACAGAAAAGATGTTGATCAGTACAAACCTTGGATATTTGGTGAGCATCAGGTCTTATTTCTGGTGAGACAGAAAGCAAACATTTAACTTGATCGCTAACTTCTGCTGGAACATCGCCAAGTGCTGGAGGATTTCGACTGATCTAAAACACGAGTTAATAATGAAATATAATAATGTTAAAGCTATATACACTATATGTGTAAATATTTGCATGGTAGTTAAAGTTAGCTACATATCATAAAGCAGGTTAAAAAAACACGAAATAAAACCAAATGTGCAGAATAATTGCCGAGATGCCAGGGTGCATAAATATTAGATAATTACCTTTTCAACATGTCTCTTATAAGTAACAATATCACCCTGACAATCAAACAATGGTTTGCCGCCATTATACACAGCGCAAATTAACATTCCCAAAGAGAAAAGATCTGCAGAAGATGTGCAAGTCCTTGACAGGATATGTTCTGGTGCAGTGTAATTTAATTCTGGTTGACACAACGGATTCAGTTGTGATTCCCATCCTTGGCAGTTGAAAGATACCTGAAACTTCAAACAAATAAATATTAAGTTGAGTAAAGTACACGCGGGACACCTATAGATGTGCAGAGTCAAAGTATAATTAGCAATTTAATGTTTTTTTAAAATCACCATACATTTTTTAAACGTATTGGTGAGGTTGGGATTTTCATGGATCTATTTTTTTATTCTACCAATCTTTCTTCATTCTGGAGGATTGATATACTTCGACACTCTATAGCTCACCTCCTTATCGGCCGTTGTGGCGAGTTTGCTAAAGTGTAAACCCGCAATTTTCCATTGTCCATTCTTCGTTATAACAATAGACTCTGGGGTTAAATTACCGTGAAGTCGTCTCGCGTCATTGTGAAGAAATATCACACCTTCAACAATCTAAAACAGAACAGTTCAGAAATCTAGTTTGTTCAACGCATATTTAAAAATATTACAGAGTTTTCGCCTGCTTTTCTTTACTTTTTAAAAGAAACCTTCGTCAAAACGTCTGTTTCACTGATATAAAGACGACCCTTTACGAGAATACCTAATGACATGAAAAAAGGGAAAGAGAAAGAAACGTCTGTCCTACAAAAAACACTGATTTACTTTCACACGCAATTCCGTATATTATGAAGTGAATTTTATAATATTGATCAGTCTAATCTCGTTTATACCACAAGACTCTTGAGGTTTGTTCATTCTTTTTTAACAGTGAAAATGATCCTGCATTATGTGAAGACAAAGCAAAAGGAAATAGTGTTAATTACTAACAAAGTACCTGATATAATCCATAAACTTTTTCAACATCATACAGCTCATATTCCTGAATTGGATTTTACAAATTGGATTTTACAATATGAAATAAAAGGAGCAAACAATGCAGGATTATATGTGTGGTAATTTAACTGCATTCATGTGTGTTTGTGCTCAACATGATAAGTAAGTACTGCATGTGAACAGTATAGTATTTAATAACACAATTTTAGAGTACCTTTAGTTCTTTAGGTACAGCTGGTGAAAAATTTTCATGATTTCCAAGAATATTTGACAAAGATGAAAATACAGGCTCTGTAGCAAAAGCTAGACTGTCTCTGATAAAATTAAATCAAAGATGTTAATAGACCTTAGGCATAATGATGTAAAAAGTTGTGACACCTGCAGGGAATTCTGGTTATAGTAGTCACAACGGGAAATTTTGAAGTTTGAAAATATTGCAATTCCCAATACCGGTATACATTAACTAGGCCAGCAATAGTCAGAATACTACCAATATCTACGACAGGGAACCCACTATGGGAAACTGTTCGTATGTCACTTATTCAAACAGCATGGACATTATCGAAGATTTTATCAAGTACATGGACCTACGATCAAGCTTCCTAGTTAGTAGGCAAGTTAGTATTTTTTTTTGTCAAGGTTAGCGTTTGATTTAGTGTATCTTCGACATACAGTATGAGACAAAAAAATGAGAATAGTGAGCTTGTACTGTAGGACTGGTTCTAATGAGCCTGAATCATGGCAATGTTTTGAAAACATCACAAAAAATATTTTAGACAATTAATCATTGTTAACTACACATCTACACCCAGTTCTCTGTTGCAAATATATAATGAAAAATTTTGGTAGGTACCTCATTAACAAATGTTCTTAGTTAATATTCATTCATTCATACCGTGATTCCTCCATAGGATGTTGTACGACTAATACTCGTGGATGACGTAATCTTGCAAGATGTGTAGGTCCAGATCTCATTGTTTCCAAGATCAGTTCAGCAGATTTCTTCTCCATCTTTTCTAACATTTTCTTTTCAAAAATAAACACAGAAACTTCCTGAAAAAAAAAAGAAACACAATACTGCAGATTATAATTGAGTGACTGGGCATCACCAAACTGCGAGCTTTGAAGGATTAGATTACAGATTGTTGTTATTATAAATTAGTTTGCAAACTTTATCAGATTTTATCATTTACAGTATAAGTACTGTACACTTTGTGAACACAGCATGTGTCATAGACCGCAGTAAAAAACTGGATAAATATTTTTTAGGGCTAACTAGGATAACTAGAATTCACCAGAATGTAGATCATAATGAGGAATATAGGAATAGTGACTAGTTGATGTTTGCTTACGTCATTCCTTCTTTTATACTTTCTCCTCATAAATAGGATTGCATCCATCCGTTAGCATTAACATGTTTATAATGTTTATTTAAATCTAGTTCGTCACAGAATGACAAGTATAAAAGAAGGAATGATGTAAGCAAACATCACCTAGTCACTAGTCCTATACTCTACATTATGATCTAGAATGAAATGCAAGAATCAAACATAAACACCACTGTAGCTGACAAAATTAAATTACAAAAATCACAATAACTAATTAAGTCCTAACTAATCAAACAAAAAAAATTCCAGTACTAGACAGGCAAAATTAAACATTTTTTTGCATTGGTGAGTTATACCTGTCCTGTTGATTTCTTTCGTCCATCGTAAATTTTCCACGAACTTCCTGGACCACAAGTTCCTCTTTGAACAGTAGTTTCATATTCACGAGTCACTGGGTTGCCAATGACTGATGTCACTGATTTCTTCAGTCGATCAAGCATTTGTATGCTGTATTACTCATAGATATCTATGATATTATTTCCCTCTATGTTATATTGTATATTATATACCAACTCCAAAAAATAATAACGTTTTTATATCAACTTTACGTTTGACATTTCTGCCCAATTTATATATTTTGTACTTTTATGAAAGGCTGAAAGCACCAGATGATTTTTATACCAAAGTCGAAATCCACATGACTATCATTCCAACATAATAATCTTAAACAAAAACCTCATCTTAGTTCATATCTGTGAATTTAACAAAAAACAAAATTTCTAAAAAAACTTTCATTTGCTTGAGATAGTGCATGGAGATATTTATTACGTGCCAATGATCAATGATCAAAGGCTGCCACTGAATATCCCAAATTCACCTGGAGAGAGCCCTCAATTCCCCTATGTTCCCCTACGTCTTACATACTTGGCAAACTCACTGATCAGATCAGTGGGCCAACTCCATTGAGTTATACTATAATTCCATTTATTATAGTATTACTATGGCTCAGCGGCTAACTCGGAGTGGCTAAGTAAGTTCTCCATGAATTATTTTAAAATGACAAAAACCCTCGAAAAAGTCGGCACTAAATTTGCGGATTTGTGTAATGCAAAAAGTTCATGGTGCTGGACTCAGTGGACTGCCTTGAAGTGCCTTTACTCTCTCAGGTCAAATATACCGGATTATGGTATATTCAAACTTGGTAAAGTCCAGTATACCGGTATATGGTACGTATATTCAATCTTTCCCTGTAGGTATCCCCTAAAAGAAACAATAATCCCCAACACGCATAGACTACCAACACAAGTCTTACATAGAGTATTTCAGAAAATAAACAAAACGAAGGCTCAATAAACAAAATGTCGCACAAACACATGGTTGTTTCTGATGTATTTTTATGGTCTTTGGCCGCTATATATCTCTTCGCGTTTTCATCTCTATATGTTCAAATACCTGGTAAATATCGCGCAATTCTTTATTGTTTCCTAGTGATTGAAATTTAGTGCGATTTCAAATAAAACAGAGCAAATACAACGGAGTAAACGACTTTAAAGACGCACGGTTACCGTGCTTGGAAGACATATATAAATTTGCACATGCGAAATTGCATGTTTTTAAATTTTTCGCTATAATATTGAAATAACCCTAAATATTTCAGGACTTTATGGAAAGGATGGAATTTTACCAGCACGGAATGTGATTCATGATTGTAAGTGAATATTTCTTTATACTTATATATTCGAAGTACCTGCTGATGAATATCAAAGAACAATAGACCGTTCATTCTCTCATCTGTGCGAAGTCGCGATGCTGCTTTTTTAAATAGTGTAGATAATCTTATTAAATCATTATTATTACATCATATATACGATAACTTTTTGTTCCCTTTATACCATGCAGTACCTAATTAGCCACGATGACGTTTTTCAACTTTTCGTGGTACTTTCAATTTTCTCAAACGGGTTTAAAAAGTTAAAAATTAATTAGAACATGAACAGCAATTTTTTAGAATCAGCAGACCATTTGAAGAATAACTCCAGCCTAAAATTAAGACTGTGGCCATTATGAGGTCTCACGCTTGCGGTTTTGAAAAAATGTACCCCAAAAATGGCTGCATACTCATGAGCATCATGAGATGTGAAAAATGCTAATTCATCACTCATAGCATGATTTAAAATCATGCCAGTACCTTATCAACCCATAACAGTAAAAGTTCAAGTGTTTTTGCAAAGTCACTAGCATGTCCTTTGTTTTATAGTGACATCATGTATAGACCGTGACACAAGATGTCCAATGTGGCAATCATGGGGGGAATGTCAAAGGAATAAAATTTGGATGTCAAAACATTGCAGAAAGAGTTGTAGTAATTGTCAAGGTATATATTATTAGAGAACATAAAAATGCCACATATTACTTATCATCCAATTTCATCAAAACCAAAATATTACTTTACTGATTTCTTGTGATATATTTGTTTTTAGATTCTGATATTAAACTTTTCTTGCAAGAGTTAAACCTTCTCTTACTCACTCGCAATTTGGGTTTTGATACTGAAACTGGAATGGAGTTTCTTTGCCTTGTTGGGATGCTCTTATCTGTTTTTTTGTTGCTATCAACATGGATGAGAAACTGCTGGAGCTTTGGATTTTTATTTTTGCTCTATTATTCTCAGCACAAGGTAACTGTGATTCAGATCCATGGCCCCTGATTCAGATCCATGGCCCCTGATTCAGAGCCAGCCCTTGATGAAGGATTGTTAGGAAGAGCCACCCCTAATGGATTGATGGTGTGTGTCAGAAGAACCACCCCTAATGATTGATGGTGGGTTGTTAGGAATTATAGAGACTCTGAATGGATGATGAGGTTGTTAGGAATTAGAGATATTCTAAATGGATTGATGGTGGGTATCAGAAAGAACCACCCCAAATGGATTAGAGTCTTTAGAGATACTCTAAATGGATTGATGGAGGGTGTCATGAAGAGCCGCCCCTGATTATGGATTGATTGTGGGTTGTAGGAATTAGAGATACTCTAAATGGATTGATAGTGAGTTGTTAGGAATTAGAGATACTCTGAATGGATTGATGGTGGGTTGTTAGGAATTAGAGATACTCTGAATGGATTGATGGTGGATTGTTAGGAATTAGAGATACTCTGAATGGATTGATAGTGGGTTGTTAGGAATTAGAGATACTCTGAATGGATTGATGGTGGGTTGTTAGGAATTAGAGATACAGTATTCTGAATGAATTGATGGTGGGTGTCAGAAAGAACCACCCCCAATGGATTGATGTGGGTTGTCACTCACATTAGAGCTACTCTGAATGGATTGATGGGGATTGATACTGGGTTAAGTCAGGAAGAGCCACCCATTGATCTATCCATGACCATTGAGTGTCTCATTTAAATAAATATTCATACATTTCAAATTAAATCAAGCTAGTGCAATATTTGCACAGTCAACATTGTAATTCAACAATGTTTCTTTTATCACCATTTTAGTAACTGTACATATTTTAAACATTTCAGGTCGGACAAATTTTTCTTTGGTATCAATGGTGAGTTATATTGTGATTTTTTTTAATAGATTTAGAATATTTATTAGAGATATGTAACTCAAAGTAAGAGTAATTTTTTTTCTTCTTGCGAATGTTTCTTCGTATTGTTCATGAGACTATCTGTTTCAAAATACACGCAGGGATGCATTGCTGTTAGAAACTGGATTCCTGGCCATTATTATTGCTCCATTCAATATATCGTTAGATAGAAAAAACAAATGCTTTATCAAATTTAGAAGGTAGGTATCGTAGATTTGTGCTTTCTTGTAATTTCACAAAATTCCTTGTGGTCCGCTGATTCATCATACTACCTGGTGCTACCTGGATGCCAAATGTCTTTACTTACATATTTCATTTACAGATCAAAAGTATCTCCTGCTGGCAGTGTCAGTTTTTGGTTGTTAAAATGGTTGTTATTTCGTCTCATGTTCAGTTCTGGCGTCGTAAAAATGACATATAGCGACAAAACGTGGTGGAATTTAACAGCTCTTAACTGGCATTATGAATCACAGGTAAAAAAATTGGGTACTCAACGAATTCCGACGAAAGAAAAGTAAATTTTCCGTGCTTAAAGTACAGCTCCAGGAACTCATCAATTTTGGAAATTGAACTTTTCTCTAATAATAAAAAAAAAATATTTTACGGATCTAACTTTTTTTCTGTAAAACATTTCTATGGATTTTGATATGGTTCTGATTTTGAATCCTAATAAACACATGCAAAATGCAAAGTGCATGAAGAATTCTTGTTTTTTTGTTAGTGTATTCCAACACCTCTTGCATGGCATTTTCATCATCTGCCTGAATGGTTTCAGAAATTAAGTGTTGTTATGACGTAAGTTTCCTCAGACTCCTTGGAACTCGACTGTCAACAGGTATTATAGCAACATTTATAATTTTAACGAAATATTTTTCTGTCATCCCACATTTTTAGGTATGTTATTGAAATAGGAATCCCGTTCCTTTTCTTCATTCCTGTTCGATTTCTTCGTATTTTTGCAGCGTTTGCTCAGGTCAGTTGACTTGTACTATGCAACAGGCATGCAAAATAAGCCGTTTGTGTGATTTGGTTGGACCTTTACCCTAGGTTTTTTTATAACATGTGTAAATTCCTAAACGCACCTTCGTTCTGTTTTAACTGTCAATTCTCTTCTTATAGGTTTTTCTTCAGTTGTTAATAATCCTTACTGGAAACTATAACTTTTTCAATATACTTACGATCATTTTGTGTTTGTCCTTGGTCGATGATAAGTTTTTTGGGATAGAATCAACTCCTGAGGATCATGAACAGTCTGAAGCGTTGGGTGTGTATATATATTGAATCTGAACATTAATTATTCCATATAGACTAAGTTACGAATTCTATAATCCTGATATAATATACCCTCAAATATCGTGTTTGTCGCGAGGGTAATATTGACAGGTGACAATGAGATTGCTTTATGAAATTGTTTAGAGAAAAAAGACGTCGCAACGCGTAGGGGTGAAATCACAAATAGTGCGAATGAGGCAGAATTAAAGCCACTTTTAAAAAATAAAAAGCAAGGTGTGTACGTATAACCAATTTTTATATATCAACAAAAGACCATATCAAAAACATTCTTGTATTTTTTCCAGAAAGCACGACTTGGAGAAAAGAAATAAGAAGGAAAACCGAAATTTTCAGAGTTTCTTTTATCAGTTGAGAGAATTTTATGAAAGCAAGACTTGTTTTAAAATACAAACGATTGTGAAAGTTTTGACAATTATTATTGTCTTTATGTTGTTTACCATCTTAACTGTGCGATGGTTCTCACTGAGGATATCTTCAAGTGAACCTGTTCACACAAAAATAGGTAAAGTGTACTTTCATTCAAATAATAATATCCATTATTATTAAATGATATATTTCCTACGTTCATATAGCTTTTTCCTCTGATGCGTTTTTTTCTGCTGTGCGAAGTGCTACATACATCTCCATCTTCTTGGGTCTCTGGTCTTTATCTGTTGAAATAATAGAAGCATTTATAAGGTTGGTATTTACGCCGCATATTTTGACTATTACCTCACGGGCGCGGGGTGTCCTGGGATAAAAACTTTAGCGACATCCATATAAAGACCTTGCATTGAGGAAATGTGTTCTATGCATGAGCGTATATAGAGTGACTTTTTCTTGAAGTAAGTCTACTGAAGGTAAGTTTCCTAATATGGTCAGGATCATAAGGATATTTCTATTGATTTTTAGATGTTTGAAACTGGAAATTAAACGGGATAAAATAATTCAAATATTCAAACTTTTGCAAGTGTCTATTATCTCCCTTTTTATGTTTGGATTAAGTTTGGTAAGTATATAGACGCCAGTCGCTAAAATTAAATCCTTTCTGAAATAAAATCCTAACTTGGAATAAAGATTTTAATTCAACCTTTACTATGATAACAGGTTCTTTATACTGGTGAAATTGACAAAGGCGTTCAGGCGAATATTCCACGATTCTTGGTTACCTTACATGACAATACTTATCATTTAGAAATGGTTCATTCTTATGGATTGTTCAGAAGGTAAGGAGCAATTTAATCAACGAGCTCTTTAGTACAGATTCAGTGAACCACAACCTTTATAGATCAGTTGCCTTTTCAGCCGGCTTGTAATTTTATTAATGTGCAAGAAATTTTAAAGTAGAAAAACGAGAGCTCCGTGAAAAAATACTTCTCGAGCTCGTAAATGCAAACAGTTGTTTCATATATGTTCAAATGTTACTGTTTACAATGTTGAGAATCTAAGTCATGTTCTTTCTTTTAATATCTTAGTATGACTGGTGTTGGTGGTCGACCTGAAGTGATTATCAAAGGAGGTGAAACACCAACTGGACCTTGGAAGGTCAAAAAGCTTGTTTGTAACTATAGTAAACTGTATTTAGTGCTGTCGATATTCAGACTGTACTTGCCGGCATATGTTTGAAGCCCATTTTTAAAAACGGAGAATTTTAAAGGAGAATTTTACTGAAAAAATTTGGTGATATGCCGTACGTATATTATCATCAATGCACTATTTGTATTTTTAATTATTTTACTTTATGTAAATGAATGAATCAATTCTTCTATCCTAGGAATTTGATTTTCTGTATAAACCAGGAAATGTGAACACAAGGCCTCCATTTGTTGGTTGGTAATCACCTTTTGTTGTATTCATGCATTGTATTACATTTTTATAATTCCCTATAGAGTAGGTATTTATAGATATTATGTTGTCGTTGCTATAAATTTTAATCGTGCTTCAAATAAACAGTTTCAACGGAAATGAAATCAACCATATTTTTGTTTAGCTCCTCACCAACCTCGACTGGACTGGCAAATGTGGTTTGCCTCATTAGGGAGTTATGATCACAATCCTTGGTTTTTAAGTTTAATTCATAAACTGCTGCTTGGAGAAACGCAAGTTCTTGGTTTGTTGGACAGGGGCCATTTTGAAAACCAGCCACCTCAGTACATTAAAGTTGATTTATATCGATATCATTTCACAGAAAATTCAACTCGTTTTTGGAAAATTTTGTCACAAACCAGGTAGGCATTCCAAGATTTTAAATACCTTAATTTTTTTCGCTCGGCTTCAGACAGGCGTATAACGTCAATAACGCTTGTGAACAAAAGGCAGTAAAATATTTAACCATTAAAAAAAGGACGACGCCAGAACTTGAACTACCATGTTCCAAAGCGAATCAGGAAATAATATCTTTGGCAGGCGAGAACTTCACAGCTAAGCAAATCTGCTATAGTCCGATGTGATTATTTTTATTATAGTGTTAAATCATGGTGGTCGAGAGAATATGTCAACGACTATACTCCTTTTATAATAAACAGAAATGATACTGAATCATTTGAAGTTCTTCTCAAGAATCGTTTCAAATTACTCAGGGTAAGTTAAATCGAGAGTCTATATACATACCAAAAAATCAATTCATATTTATTATATGGCTTTTCAAAATTCTGTATTCTCATTGGTTGACGAGCGGTCCGTAAAACCCATACCTGGACCAGTATCCCGGATGTCTCATGCAGTTCAGCCATGTAATAAAAAGAATTTTGACCTCGCTTGTTCGATCTGTACTGTGAAATATCTGACTGAGGTTTTTGCATCAACCTCGCTCCTTCCTCGCTCGGTCCGTACTAAAAAGTCTCGGTCTGATATTTCACAGTGCAAACTTTACGTTCGGTCAATAATCAGTGAATATATTCATATATCTTTAATAGACTGACGTGCCCGATGAGGCTACATTTGGCTTTCTATATTCTTTGGTGAATAATCTTCGCAGCCCTCGTCAAGGAAGACTAGGCCCTAGTCTTATACTTACACTGTTTCTTTCCTCACTGGTTTCATTAATTACCAAAATATGGTGGAGGCGAACTGGACACAAGAACCTGTGAGTAGAATGTGTTGTTAAATCTATAATAATGCTTGCAAAAGTAAAGGTTGTCTTCCCGGTATTTTACCCCGATAGAATAAAAATAATTTGTGTCGTTATATTCTAACAAATTGAAACTTCAACGCGGGACTAATCTACAATAATATATTTAAACTAATATGATTAAATTATCTCTTATAATGACGCATTCCGAGCAAAAAGAGCTCGTAAAATATTATTATCAACTTTAAAAGCTACAAATGGGTAAATAGAAAATTTGAGTGATTTTATTTAAATTAACGAAACCTTTTAATAAAAATTAACATTTCGATAGTTCTCCTGCGATAACTTGGTTAAAATCATCCATTATGAAGATTGTTCCTAACAAGATTACTAACATTCGTCCATACTTGTCGTCTTATCGTAAACGCATACGTCACTGCTGTATTTTATGCAAGAGAAGAACTCTTTCAAAATTAAACAAAACGGTTTTTAAATGGGCAGACTGGTCGAGGGGTAAAGAATACGCATCTCATGTTAAAAGTTGGTCTAGAGTTGAATGTTTGAAGGTAAAGGAGAGTGTGATAAAGCTTGCGAGTTTTGACATGGGACTGATGGGAGGCGAACATATTTTGTTTTCTAAGGGATAGCACCCAGCCCCAAGCACCCAGGCCCTAGCCCCTCTCGGTTCTGCTGCCACTGCCCCACTATTTTGAGACACGTTCGTCTCATGCTATTTCAGGTTTTTCGTTGTAAGATGATCCAAAGTCGGTTATGTGCTGTAGAGCACAAAGTTTTATTTAAAAATAACACAATTATATCATAAAATTCTCGAAATGAAGTGTATCTACGTTTTTGTATGTATTTTATAGAAAACAACATGACAGATGAGAGATAATCGATATTAATGCAAATAATGGATATTTAATATAGCTAACTGCTATTTGAAGTCGTTATCAATTTAGAAGAAAATTTTTCTCAAGAATTTTAAAATAAATAAATTTTACTGATAATTTTGAAATAAATAAATTTTACTTATTTAATGTGGAGACAAAGTTTAGCCCATCTTCAAATTTGGGTATTGTTTGTAGGGTATATTCTATTTTTAACTTTTATCGCTTCCGCGCACAGCTATATACAGCTTGCCTGCATGATTTTCATTAATTACCGGTGATAGTCAGCGATCTTTTATATTGATTGCCGCCAGTGGCGAAGAAAATTTACTCTAGATAGCAAAGCTCTTCATTTGTTATATTCATCTCTACCTGAAGCCTATATTTCTACACAATTCAGCGATAGCCGGCGATGGATATGGTCGGTGATCGCTGGAGAATTAATTAACATCGCCAAGTGGCCGTAATTAGTTAAAACCAGACTTAAATGATGGAACTTTCAGTAAAATATCGTGTATTCTGATTAATAATGCATGCAATTTTGTAATCAGTAATTTAGAATGTAAAGTCTTGACTATAATAGTCTATAGCTCAATCTATATTATAGAGCAGTCTTTTCAGAAGTGCATCCCCAAGTGCGGCAACCACGTTTTACTAAAAATTAAAATGAAAAAATATATTATCATTATATAAATTGCATGTATATCATGCAGCATCTTCGTAAGCGCTACAGTGCCATGCATGCGGTCTTCATTCAGTTGATCACATGCATGCAGATAATATATTTTCATCGGCAGTCGATGCGAAGCGTAAATGCAAAGCGAAAGTTTGATTCACAATTACTCAATTAAAACACTGGGGTCTGAAAAGAGGTATATAGTGGTGCATATATAAAATGTCCGATTTAGTTTATACTGCTGGGTATTTGTGTATATATGATTTTAGTTTTGTCACACAAGCCATGCAGGATGAGAAGATAAGTTTCTTCCTGACTTTTTTAGTGTTTTGGCCAAACTGTGTTGCTTGCGGGGAATAAATGTATAGCAGCTACTGAACGATGTTTTGTCCTCCAGGCTCCAACACGTCGCAACGCAAATGATACTGTGTAATATATTGTACTGCATGTGCAGGTTTTATTCCTGCATGAGTCTTTCAAATGTTGCTTCATATTTAGGCTATTCTAGGGTCCATATATATGTGTAGTTTTGTTGGATTCTTCACTTAGTTCATGCACTATGTTTGTCCGATACTTCATGTAAGCCATTTATGCATGTAAACGGTGCTTTTTAGTAATATTTTCCTGTCATGCATGTTCTTGTCATAAAAATGACAATTAGGACTTAATGGAAACCAGGGTGAAGATAACTATTTACAAATACTGTTTTTTCTTCCAATATATAACCAAGGAGCAGCGTGGCAGCGTCTCCTAAAACTTCGAATCATGTCTGAATATGAATCGTCGCAATGTATTCTAACGGCAGCAGTTTTGTTTGTTCAGCTAATCATACATACAGCCGTAAAATATTAATAATCCTAAAGTAAAATTAACTCTTTCAGACAAGATATATACAGCAAAAACTTGATTTCAGAACTTAAGGATTTTCAAATTCAGAACTTGAGTTTATTTAGCCTTAGGCTTAGCATAAAAATATTTTGTTCTGGAGGGCCTCCGTGCATGCATTCATAGTTTTCAATCTCGTGACAATGTATGTATATATGATTACTATAATACTCGACGGTCAGGAAGTCAGGGTTAACCTAGTGACAATATGGCGGTACCTTGACGTAAAAATTGGCTTTTTTGTGGAAACATACAATCATAAACGTTTACCACATTCAACAGTGTACATATCTATAGCTATCAAAGCTCTATAGCGCTTACATCTCGTTTTTCACATGTTTGTTAAAATCCCTTGGCTTGGGGCAAGTTTAATAATTGGCTTTCAGAGGCGCTCTTTGCAATTTTTATCATCAATCACTGTTGTTTTTCTAGCATAATGAGAAGGGAACAATTAAATAACTTAATATGCCTGCATGCCTTTAATATATGCCTATATATATATATATATATTATACAAGAAAAATTTCCGGTTCTTTTATTATACATGATCATTGGTATGATCGTGAGCGATAACTTGTGGGCTGCTGTCATCTTGGCCAACGTAATTGCATGTGATTGTTTTTCAATTCATCTTTCTCTCTGTCAGTGGAGCCTGTGGAGGGTATAAATGATGTATAATATAAAAGAACCGGAAATTTCTCTTGTCTTGGCTTCACAGTAAATAGAATATACATGGTTTGGCAACCACATAAAACTACAATACAACTCATTAACTATGTTGAGGTAGATTTTGCAAAAAAATGTTCCTTTCTCATCACATGTCTATTGTATATTGCACAGATAAGCAATCTTTTCATTAGCATATTTTTCAAGTCAAGGTTGAGGAGCTTTTAGCAGCAAGACGACCATTTTTTGCATATAAGCCTGGACAATAACATAGTTAATAAATTGTACTTTTATTTACTCTCTAAACGATGTATATTCTAAATGTGATTAGGTCGATGTCTCTAACAAGAAAAAATAAAGTTAGACGTCTTTGACTTATTTTTCCTTCAAGAATTTCTTAAAATAGGCAAAGAAACTTCTGGATCTGAGCCTGGGGAATGTAACATTCTTGACAAACGCACTCATGCTGAGTTTATCACGAGAAGTCCTTTCTACAACATGAGACGAGATTATGTTGCTATGCACGTTGCTTTCTTGGCTTTTTTATATTGTCATAAAAGAATTTGCTAGCTTGTTGGTATGGTAATAACTAAAAAAATTTTTAAATATGTTATTTTGCATGCATGTGAACGTGACCTGTATAATGCTAATTATCCAAAATACTGTATCTCTTACGCAAGATAAGAGATCACTGATGTGTCTCCCACGTATTAAAAGTGATCTTCACATATAAAGCTGGACAAATAATTAAGTTGTTTGTCTAAGTATATTGAAGAGGTCTGGCTTGACTTTGAGTTAGGTCATCAGGTCATGTCTATTGAAGATTTATTATCAGTTCAGTAATACTATAAAACTCTCTCGAAAGGTAGGTCGTAGGAGTATATCAGATGTATATAGAAGCTATAGTTCTACTGAATATTTTAAATATATAATTGAACGTGCTATGAAATAGTAGCTTAATTGAAACTGAAATTCAGCGTGTAAGAGCAGCATTAAATATCGACGATGACTAATATTTTTATCGCATTGTATATGACAATATTAATTGAAATCATAAGGGGAATATAGTCGGATATATTTATGATAGCATGAATGAGTCCCTGAAACAAGACCTAACACGTTTAGTTTCTCACATTCTTGACGGCAAGGTTATTTATTAGTTGATGTTTGGAAATTGGAATGCACGAATATATTGTGTATTCATGCATACATAAATTATTCAAATCTTTAAATTATTAATCTTCTGTCGCAGCATATACTGTGCTTAAAAGCTAAACATGTCTTTATGAAGAGGAATTGCTGTGCGATTCTAAGACCTTTTCGCCAAATTAACAGATACCGGATAGATGTTTTAATATATATACTACATAGGCCACACACAACTACGTGGTCGTAGATAATGGTATGTATGTAATATGTATGTAGTAATGTACTCTTTAAATTTACAGATTTAAAAAATGTGTGATTTGCATTAGACTTCGGCATTCTGTCATATATTGTCGTTGAGATCTGAAGGAATCCTTTTTCAATAAACTGTTTTCGCGCTATGGTTAACTGACAACAAGGATCGAGTAACGATCCTAAGCTAGCTCAGATCAGTAAAGGTTTAAGATCACATGTCAATCTAAATAGCAAAATTAATTTGGGTGTATAATTGTAATGTCAACTCAAGAATCATTCTAAATCTAGAAAATGAAATAAAAGCGGCGTACGTAAAATTGAACAAGATGAATTGATTAGCTCGTACAAAACCGTGTTAATGCCCCAGATAAAATTACATGCAGGAGTTATAAAATTGATGTCGTGCTGCATGTATGCATTTTATATTTTCTATACATTTTTATAGTATTTTTACGATATAATCTTTTATTTTAAAATTTCATTGTAAATTGTGAATGCTGATTGGCTGAAGGCCATAACTCAATATACTAAGGCTGCATGAATATTTTCCGCAGTTATTTAAGTCGCGTTTAGTTTTTATTTTTTAGCGCCGGTATATTTTTTGAAAATATATGGAGAATGCCGTGTGTGTATATATACTTCTGCATGACTGCATGGCGAATGTCAAATCATCAAGATATTGATTTTATCATTTTAAATATTAATATAGTTGTTCTATGAAGCAATTTCATCGCATTTGAAGAATTTTATGTACTCGCCGTACCGTATAGTAAAACTATATCGTGCACATACATGCATGCATGTATCATACAGCTATTGCAGGAACTATAGGTTGTTTATATTATCTGCAGCACAGAACTTGCATTCATATTGTACAGAACGTAAATTGAACCAACACATTTAGAATTTGTTTCAAGAATGAATAAAATCTATATATATTGAAATATATCGTTTATAACGATCAAGATTCGCTCCACTACACCCTGGGTCGATGTATGTGGGGTCTGGGAGCAGCGTGGCAGCGTCGATCATCTTACATGCAATTTAGCAACAAATGTTGTATAATAAATGCCTATAATAGACAAAACTCTACGTTTCAACTTAGTCATACAAGCCCTTATGTGTTATTGTATTTAGTTTATATTAAGTTATATATATATATAGCTATAATATATATAATTATATATATATATATATATATATATATATATATATATATATATACACCCATTTGCAAAAACGTTGTCCGCAGATAGATATATAGATAGATACTCGAAATCTAATTAGAATTGCATATGTTGTGTAATATGATTGAAATCCCATGCAAATGTAATCATATGCATTTCTAATTAGACTTCAAGTATCTATCTATCTATCTATCTGCGGCCAACGTTTTTGCAAATGGGTGTATATATATATATATATATATATATATATATATATATATATATATATATATATATATATATATATATATATATATTATAGCTATATATACTAGCTATATAACTAGATATACTATATAGCTATATAACTATATATACTAGCTAGAAATAAGGGTATATATGTAGACCTATATATATAGTCTATATATAAACCGCGACTTCTATATTACACCACGAGACTAAATTAATTCAAAAGTCCGTAATTGGATGAACATTTTGGTAAATTTATAATACGATCCAGTAACTTTGTCTCTAGTTAGGCCGTTAGGCCAAATTCAGTTTCCTGAATGTGACTGAATCATGAATAGCCTACAAGCTGACAAACATTAGCTTTATCATCATTTACAGGTAGTTTGTTACGTTAATTTTGAAAAATATATAATTATTTTTCGTCACTCATGTTTAAGGACTCACGGCAATCGTATATAAGATATATATAGCTATATTTATATGATATAGCTTTATATACTAAAGTTCGAATATATTGTTACCATGCATATATTGTGGTAAGTAATATTGTGTAATGCAGTTTTATCTCGTAAGTTACATGTTCACGTAAACATGAAATCCAAATGTTGTTCACCTAAATTATTATCTGAATCGTCATATATTAATGCCCGCGCAATATATCACGCTCTCTATGTTCACTATACTTAACTTTGTCTTTGGGTGTCATCCATCGTCGTATTCATCAGTAAATATTTATGTATATCCTTAAAACGTCTTCGAACTCATTCATAAAAACCTTTGACTTTGTGTGGGAGATCAAATGAATTCACGGCATTTTATTTAAATAATTTTATTGGATATCATGTCAACTCCAATTTCAATCATTTTCAATTCTGCCTTAGTTTATCAAATTTTACTGAAATGATGCTTGTTGCCATTTCTTACTGATTTCTAGACTATTCATGACAAGTTTTTCTTTAAACAGGGCATTTTTACCGATGCGAAATAGTTTGGATGTAACTGATTAGCCTTTATTACTGTATTCAAACCACTGCATTGTCGACTGCACATGCATACATATACTGAGAAATATTCAATCACATCAGCCATGCATGTTGAATGATTCCGGATAATTTTTACACGCGGAGGCGGAGCCTCGTGTTTCGTGTTTTGTAAACTTCATATGATAAGTTAAGTATATATAATAAGTGAGTTTCAATAATACGGTTATTATGTCGTAGACGTAGTCAAGATCGCTGGTGTAAAATATACCATTAGAAATATGCAAATTTTCTTCGCGTTATTGTTTACCTTAGTTTAAGCCCTTTAAAAACAAAGCATTAGCCGTACTCCGTATACCCGTTGTTCGTTGTGTTATCTCCATGCAATATGTCGTAATGAAAACTATGAGACTGATACGGTAACCATGGCCATGGGAGGTTGTTTGGTCTCTGTGCAGCATTTGTTTAAATAAATAGATCTTGGCTTGCAGGCATTGTCATTAAAGACTTTAAATTGCACTTTGTTGTGGCTTCGGGGCTGGCATGAAAAGAAACTAAAACAAAAAAGAGCCACTTGAGCTTTTAAAGCAGTCTGCTGTTACACGATTCTATAGCTTAGTTTCGTTTTATGTCTGGAAGAAATACTCCCCTGCTCATAGCCATGGGTCATTTGATCGCAATTATATATATACATTGCTATAAGTGATAAAATTAATAATCTCTGGCTCTGCAGAGGTTCGAGTCAGGAAACAATTTTAAAATTGAAAGTATATTCTATCTTCCTCGTGGATGTATATATGGACCGGTCATAAAGTATCTGCTTGGCTAGGGTGGGCTGGAGGTAAATAACAAATTTTGCCAATAAGTTTGGTGACCCATCTTAGGATGTAGATAAAAATTTCAAAGTCCATCTAATCTTACCAACTTTATTTCATGACCCAACCCCTCAATCTAAGCTGGGAAAATACACTTACATTATAATTATATTAAATACACCCATATTTAAGACGATATCGAAAAGAAAAAGACTTTTTTGACATTGTTGACTGCAAACACATCAGCCATCTTGACTTTACGATGAAAACCAGGCATAAACGCCAGATATTTACTCCAAAGCGCGTCTTATTAATGCTATAAGTCGATACAACAATCACTATAAATATTTATAAACACTTATGTACCACAACCATTATGTAGTTCTCTATTAATTTTTCAATGTCATTTTTCTACTAATAATACCACGCAAAGCTCAGAAAGCCATGATATCATGTATACTGATTTTAATCAGCTTTATTTCAACCGTACAGATGGATAGACTGAAGATTTATATTATTCTAAAGTACGGCACACAATAGTACATAAAAATTTGTCATTCGTAGCAAATTAGCTGCACAAAATTTTCGTGTGCGGGGAATAATTGCGGTATTTTAATCATTCTTGTCCTGATATGAAACATGTTTGATATTTCTGCCACAAGTAACGACAACGACAAAGTTACCACAGGATAAATTTACGTTAAAAGTTACCACAGGATAAATTTAGGTAATTAGATTGCACACCACGTAAGTATAATGTAAGTACGTGGTGTAGCTACAAGCTAAGCTACTTTATATTGATGTCACCATGCAAACATACAAGAATATTAATTAGATTATGCATGGTAAGGCATGTAAAACTGGAGTGATATAGTTGAGGTACTGACACGGTGAAGAGCTAAAGATCTACGAGCGAAGAATAAAGTATAAAGTAAAGTTCAGACCATGTAGTCCAACCATGTTTCACGTGTCGCGTTCATATGTCTTCAATTTCGGGTTATTAAATATCTACGGATTATAAAAGTTTATGATCTATATCATTCTTGTTACCGTTGGCAAAGGCGTATCCACTTGCGTTCTACGTCCGTTTAAACAGTTTCCTCACCTCAATTGCGCCCACATGCATGCACGTAAGCATTCGCCAACGCATGATGTCATCTGCACAATTTATAAGTCTAAAAATAACCGGTAATATCTTATAAATTCCAATCTGCGTTTTGTGTCCATGGTTCACAAATGAGTCATCCCATCCGGCTGGCTATTTCCCATATTTATTGAAGCCGAATTCTTTGAGTAATAAAAATTATCACGCGATCATGGAAACACGAAGACACGTTACATAAGTAGAAAAAATGTCGCAAAATGCTAGTTTTTAGTTTTCACTGGAGTTTATAAATATGGCTTCAGGTAAGCCTTGGTGCACTCACTCACGAGTATCCATCTATTTAGTTCCATAGTTTTCTAACAGGCAAATTAACAATATTTTTCATATATGCTTTGCTGTTAGCTAACCAAACCCTCTTCTTTAAATGGACTATTCATTTCAAATGTAAATGCGTTTTATTACTTCTTTTAGATTATAAGCAATCAAAGATTTTAGCAATGAACAACACCACAGTTCAATCTAATCCATTTGAATTCCCATCGCAAATCTCCATTTTGGTCATTGCTTTCCTTGGTGTTATTGCAAACGGGATTTTATTAGTTGTTTTGCTTTGGGATCCTTTGAAATGCTTCCGAAGACCGAGCATGTACTTTGTCATAAGTTTAGCATTTTCAGATTTCTTTACTGGTATTGCATCTTGTCTGTTTGCCGTGAAGGATCATGTTACCTCAGAGTACTTTGGCCTTATTCTCCAGTCAGCGATTTTTTGCAGCATTGAAAATTCTTTCATCACAATATTACTGATGTCGATTGAGCGTTTAATTGTGATTATGTTTCCAATGAAAGCAATAAGCATTATAACTTCAAGACGAATATTTATATCTATAGGAGTCACGTGGTTTTTTTCAATATTACTTGGTGCCGCAGTGAGTTTTCCTCCTGGTGCAATTTTCAACGACTACGTCAAGTTTGGAATTCTTATTGAATGTTTCCTTATTATTCTTATTATGCTGGGAATATATATCCGAATGATCTTTCTGTTAAAGAACTCGTCAAATGTATTCCGTGAAAATGGGTTTATTCGTCATAGCTCTTGCGACGCGAGATCAAGAAGATCAATTGACAGATATCACAGAAGTCTTAATACCGTTGTCTTCTATCTTGCATTGGTTCTTATCATAACCGTTTTACCTCATTTAATTCTCGGACAAGTGTACTTGGGTTATAAATTCTTTCACCCGAACCATCCTATGCCACTTTCCCTTCAGTATGCCCCGTATGTAACATTTCCAATCGAGTTGCTGAATTTTGTCCTAAATTCAGTCATCTATGCCTACAGATTACCTCAATTCCGAGCCTCGTTGTTTCATTGTTGCAAAAAGAAATCTGGAAATCAGCGTCAGGAAACAGCTTTAAGGCGCATCCTATTTCACAACAATGTACCAAATGGTAACCACACTGTCGATGACGACGTATAATTGTAGTTGAACATTGGCCCAAAAACAGCAACTTTTTCATCCTATTCAGCAAACTATTAGTTTCTTTCTCCTCTCCAATACCCTTAGTTCATTAGAGTTCGTCAAGATATTCGTTAATTTGTTGTTTTTATTTATAAAATACCATTCCTAACAAATGATGATCAATTAAAAAAAGTCTAAACATTTGTAATACACTGCCAACACTGGTTTTGGGAGTTATTTATTTTAAAATGACAAGGTTAGATCCTTTACAGCAATTAGCAATACATCGAGCTCTAAATTTATTAAAATTATAATATTATTGGAACGAGTATATCTTACTGAAATGGAATGGAATTGAAAACGGGTTTGAATTTGTCTTTTGCGATTTTGTCTTCAATATTTGCATGATATGGTGTAACAACTTTCTTCATTCGTTCAAATGGGAAACCATGCGACGTATTTCTAAAACTTGCTATTACACCATTACTCGACAAAATGCCACATGTATCAAAGTCATTTGATATTCGCATATATCCCTTTTGACCCCAAAATGGACCCCACGAGTTCTTAATTATCCAGTAATTTGGACCGTAGGCTTGCTTTCCATAACCAACTAGTATTAAAGAATGTTGTGTAGCATCATCTGTGCAGGAAAGAGAAAATAACATTTGCAAAAACAATGATACCATATTGAAACGAATGATGAAATTAAAAGAGAAATACTTTTATATTAAATTAAATTTACCAAAATATAAAATAGAGTTTTAGAAATGGTATATTACATCTAACTGATCTAGTTCATATTTACCACAGTCAAAATCGTCGTATACTCCATCTCTATAAAACTTGAATGATTTTGGGGCTGAATTTATTCCAACTGATACGGGACCATACGTTGCTAAATTCACCTTCATTGCCGTTCGGTTTGCCTTCAATACGTCGCCAAAACTGGTAGGATGGTGAACTGTGCAATTGTCCGCGGTCCCACAGTGACATAACCCTTCCTGCGTCAAAAATGTGTTTGTAAATGGCAGTTCAACGAGACTTTAGTGGTTTACAATTTCTGTCTTACTTGTGCTAAATATCGTCCATAACTTTCATGGGTTGCAATACCATTTCTTATAACCCATTGCATTGCTTTCCAAGGCCATCCACCACGACAACCATAATTATTAAAACCATATGTACAGTCTACCAACATTTGAGCTGAAAATTCGATGTCTTTTCCTGTCTACGGTACAAAATGTCGGTGTTTTTGTAAGTACTTTGCAAAGGCTTTCCGTTCACCTCATGCAAGGGTAAAAGTAAAAAACCGTGAAGACTTTGTCAAGATTTTCCTGTATGTGGTATGAGTTTAGTTGAAAATATTTGAGCCACTCACAGCTATTTTATAAGCTCCTTCAAGAATCCCTGCTGTGGAGAATGCCCAACATGATCCACACATTGACTGTCCTCTTGTTGGCGAGATAACACCTTTTCATAAAGAAAGAATCCAGTTTTTCTACTCCACCTTTAATGCAATATCTAGTTGATATAGATAGATGTCATCGTGTATTTACACTGCATTTTTACTGTGCATTTCAGTCTTAAAGGCAGAGCTCAAATAGCGCTCTCAGTGATACAAATAAACGCAACTGAAAATGGCGAATTTCGAATTTCAAATAGAGGGATCATTAAGCTTCTTTAATTTAATTGCATGAATTTCTATTATTACCGTACTCTCTCCAGTCCAAGTTTTCTGGCAAAGGTTCACTCGGTTCAGTATAGTTTACGACAGGTACGTCATCATGACTTGGGAATTGATCTTTCATAAACTCAGGCACTCTATTATCTTCGTCATATAGTAAATCATTCATTGCTCGGAACTCCTCGGGTGTTAAATCTGCTAGATTATTCACAGCTAATGTATAGTTTAACCGTGCTCGGTTTTTGGAACGAATAAACCTATATGCAATGTATTATAAAATGAACAATTACAACTGTTTAAAGCAGGAATGTTATAAGTTATCGTGTCACTTACCTTGCATTATGGCGGAAAATGTTCCTTCTTCGCGAGTGTTCTATTGCATCTTTATAAGACTTGCCATGTCTACGTTTAAACTTCTTGAACTCTTTATTAATGGTTTTATGATGCTTACTGATCTCGTGAGGTTTATGAACAAACTCTGACATAGGATTAACAAAATATCTGGACCTTGCTTGTTTTGCTGCTTCATGACACCAAGAACCTGTTAGTAGTAACATTATACATACATTATTGCATAGATTGAATGTTCTGCTAATGCTAGAATCCTGAGATAGTCATTAACTTACTGTACATATGGATACACGTCTGTGCTATCGATTGCATGCTGAATACGAGGTCCAAAGTTCGCCAAAACAACTGGTTAATTGACTGAATATGTACCCTCTGTACTTAATCGATGAATATAAATACGAGTTGTAAAACAGCATACCTTCCGGAATCTCCATGATCATATAATCAAAATACCAATCATTGAAAGTGATATAATCTAAGTAATAATGGTCATAATATCCTCGAAGTAGTAAATCAAAGCCCTCAGTCTCGTATCTGATTGGTCGGTGTGGCTTTTCCTTTGACACCCACAATGTGTACGTATTCTTCAAATTACCAGTTTTTACGTGACGTTTCAGTTTTATTGTTAAAGTACCTGACCTATATTCTTCTTTTACAAACTATAGAAAAGAAAGAGAGGTGCAGATTTAACGATCCCGAACCTTTATTTAAAAAAAAGTGAGAACTTGTCGTTTTATCACGTAAAGCGTATTTTTTTAGCAAGTCAGCGAAATATGTTGGGGAAACATGAAAAACCATAGGCGGCCCAGAACTGATCTCGCTGACCTCGTGCGACGCTCATGTTGTCTGAACAATATATGACTGTTCAGACAACATGAGCGTCGTGCGAGGTCAGCGAGATCAGTTCTGAGCCGCCTATGGAAAAACTTGTGCATCTATAATGAATTTACACAAAAAGTAGGTTTAGAGTAAACTACCGTAAATATATCAGGTCGTACTAAGAAGCGATAATTTTTCACGAGGGATTGACTGCTTTAAAATAATATTATTTACCTGCTTCACCCTGTATTTTACTATTAACATTATATTTGCTTAGTATGTATGAAATTATGAAACCGACTATAACAATTCAGTATAACTACCGACACCGATTGTTCGGAAGTCATGCATAGGTTCCTTCACTCCTCATTTGCACATCTAGGCTATTATAGTTTTTCCAGTTTGTCAGAAAAGAAAATACATATTTTGCAAGATGATGACTCCTATATTACTTGTGGAAATTATATTATGGTAAATCTATTATAGTAATTAGTAGATTATAGAAAATATTCAAGATGATGATTCCTATAATTATTACCATTACCTACCTTAAAATGGCTGAGATCCATAGGAACAATACTCTGGGGTCTAACAACATCATATTCATCCCCCGATTCATACCAGCATGACTTCGTATTATTTTTATTATGACCAACTTTTGTTTTATGCATTGGTATTTCTTTAATGTATATTCCATATTCTTCCATATCTCCTCTCTGAAAGGTTTTATCGACTCCTACATTTCAAAAAATATAATAAAACATGTTCTATGGCAAATATTGACTCGCTTGCTTACAGATGTAACTGAGATGTATAATGCCTCCTGTTGAAAAATTTAGCGTAGTTTTGAATGTCAGAATTCTGACAAGTTTGCAACTGAAAGAGACCATCAATACTAAATACGATGGAATAAAGTGCAGTAAATTAAATTACCATGATATCTATCCTGCTCATGTTTAATTCCCCAGCGTACCAAATCTCAAAGGGTTCCATAATACCATCATAAGGTAACGTCAACAATCCTGTAGCATGATAAGTATCTGGAAATTTAATATTTATCTTTTCATGTTTTGTCTCATTCACTTCGTTTTCCATTTCTTCATCTGTGTTGTTTGAGAGTTTCGTGTGATGCGAGTTATTCTTTAGACGTTTTTGCTGAATACCTTTTGTATGTTTTGATCTGTGAAAGTTGTTCTTTGTGTGTTTCAATTGATGATATTTATTTGAATGCTTTAATTTATGATAATTGTCCTTGATATTTTTTAATTCGTGATAATTATTCGCTGAATGTTCCTCTAGATCATAAGATGGCTTCTCAATATGATTCCTTGTCTGAGATTTCATCACATTTTCTCCATCATTACTGGAGCGGCTATGACTGTGCGTACATGCTGTACCAGTTGCAATTGTAATCGCGAATATAATATTAACATACCCCAGCATTTTAACTGCATGGGCATTCAAATAAGTTGCAGATAAATCTAACCTATTTAAGGTATTTAATAAAGTTTTATTATTGTTGTTTTTAAACACATATAAACAATTTCTACGCTGGTACCTGCAAAACTTTACTACAACTTACATTCGCCAATTGCAGGAACTTATAGTGACACCATGGACTGAAAAATTAGTCACATCAAGAAAAACAATTCAAAAAGTTTGAACTTGCAATATTTGAATTAATACCGATCTCGAACATTGTTTTTTCTTTTATTGAATTCCAAACAAAGTGTCATGGATTAAAAATTGAACTTCTCTTTCATTTTTCAATTACTCTCAACAACCTCTGAGACAGGGGGATTTTATAGCGTTAAGGATTTACAGAAAATCAATGATTAAACCCTCGGTAATTGGTTAGCCGCCAAACCCTTGGTAATAGCCAAATATTTGGTCTAATAAATGAATCGATCCACTGTACAGAGGTTTACCACAATACTGAAGTAAAATGCAGCAGAGGTCCACTGAAATCAGAAGTACAGAGACCCACTCATCAAATATACAGAAACCTTTTGAGTTTGAATTTACTCTCATGCACTGATCACGTTACATACGCATCATTGTCTGTCATTGCTCAGGCCTGTCATGTTAATAAACCTAGCTTCTAGGGCAGGTTGTATGAAATGTAGTCTTTTACCTTTAGTTATGACGGAACTGGCCAAACAGAATAATTTATTGTGGAGACGACTACGAATGCACACATTAGACTGGCTTGCCTGCTACTATACTGCGGGAGACCTGAAGATTGCGGCCTGAACGACCCTTACATTTATTTCCCATACTGTGAATTAAGGTTTATTTAAGGCCAATAAATGAACAAGTATACCAGTTGTACGGATGAGCAATCATAGTTCACAAATACATAATTTGTGTATTCACTTCAATGGCCACGAAATAAACATTGCTGTCGTTTCTACCTTTTTTGATATGGCATTTCATCCACCAAATTTTGTATAGATTTAATAAAAGTATCAAAACAATTTTGCTTCATCGTCCCAAATCACTATCCCCAGGAGTGGACGATCAATGATCTTATTTCATTTGAGCAGGTAATCCAAAACTCTACGTTTCAACTTAGTCATACAAGCCCTTATGTGTTATTGTATTTAGTTTATATTAAGTTATATATATATATAGCTATAAAATATATATATATATATATATATATATATATATATATATATATATACACCCATTTGCAAAAACGTTGTCCGCAGATAGATATATAGATAGATACTCGAAATCTAATTAGAATTGCATATGTTGTGTAATATGATTGAAATCCCATGCAAATGTAATCATATGCATTTCTAATTAGACTTCAAGTATCTATCTATCTATCTATCTGCGGCCAACGTTTTTGCAAATGGGTGTATATATATATATATATATATATATATATATATATATATATATATATATATATATATATATATATATATTATAGCTATATATACTAGCTATATAACTAGATATACTATATAGCTATATAACTATATATACTAGCTAGAAATAAGGGTATATATGTAGACCTATATATATAGTCTATATATAAACCGCGACTTCTATATTACACCACGAGACTAAATTAATTCAAAAGTCCGTAATTGGATGAACATTTTGGTAAATTTATAATACGATCCAGTAACTTTGTCTCTAGTTAGGCCGTTAGGCCAAATTCAGTTTCCTGAATGTGACTGAATCATGAATAGCCTACAAGCTGACAAACATTAGCTTTATCATCATTTACAGGTAGTTTGTTACGTTAATTTTGAAAAATATATAATTATTTTTCGTCACTCATGTTTAAGGACTCACGGCAATCGTATAAGATATATATAGCTATATTTATATGATATAGCTTTATATACTAAAGTTCGAATATATTGTTACCATGCATATATTGTGGTAAGTAATATTGTGTAATGCAGTTTTATCTCGTAAGTTACATGTTCCCGTAAACATGAAATCCAAATGTTGTTCACCTAAATTATTATCTGAGTCGTCATATTAATGCCCGCGCAATATATCACGCTCTCTATGTTCACCATACTTAACTTTGTCTTGGGTGTCATCCATCGTCGTATTCATCAGTAAATATGTATATCCTTAAAACGTCTTCGAACTCATTCATAAAAACCTTTGACTTTGTGTGCGAGATGAATCACGGCATTTTTTAAATAATTTTATTGGATATCATGTCAACTCCAATTTCAATCATTTTCAATTCTGCTTAGTTTATCAAATTTTACTGAAATGATGCTTGTTGCCATCTCTTAGTGATTTCCAGACTATTCATGACAAGTTTTTTTTTAAACAAGGCATTTTTACCGATGCGAAATAGTTTGGATGTAACTGATTAGCCTTTATTTCTGTATTCAAACCACTGCATTGTCGACTGCACATGCATACATATACTGAGAAATATTCAATCACATCAGCCATGAATGTTGAATGATTCCGGTAATTTTTACACGCGGAGGCGGAGCCTCGTGTTTCGTGTTTTGTAAACTTCATATAATAAGTTAAGTATATTATATAATGAGTGAGTTTCAATAATACGGTTATTATGTCGTAGTCAAGATCGCTGGTGTAAAATATACCTTTAGAAATATGCAAATTTTCTTGGCGTTATTGTTTATCTTAGTTTAAACCATTTAAAAACAAAGGATTAGCCGTACTCTGTATACCCGTTGTTCGTTGTGTTATATCTCCATGCAATGTCGTAATGAAAACTATGAGACTGATACGGTAACCATGGCCATGGGAGGTTGTTTGGTCTCTGTGCAGCATTTGTTTAAATAAATAGATCTTGGCTTGGAGGCATTGCCATTAAAGACTTTAAATTGCACTTTGTTGTGGCTTCGGGGCTGGCATGAAAAGAAACTAAAACAAAAAAGAGCCACTTGAGCTTTTAAAGCAGTCTGCTGTTACACGATTCTATAGCTTAGTTTCGTTTCATGTCTGGAAGAAATACTTCCCTGCTCATAGCCATGGGTCATTATATATTAACATTGCTATAAGTGATAAAATTAATAATCTCTGGCTCTGCAGAGGTTCGAGTCAGGAAACAATTTTAAAATTGAAAGTATATTCTATCTTCCTCGTGGATGTATATATGGACCGGTCATAAAGTATCTGCTTGGCTAGGGTGGGCTGGAGGTAAATAACAAATTTTGCCAATAAGTTTGGTGACCCATCTTAGGATGTAGATAAAAATTTCAAAGTCCATCTAATCTTACCAACTTTATTTCATGACCCAACCCCTCAATCTAAGCTGGGAAAATACACTTACATTATAATTATATTAAATACACCCATATTTAAGACGATATCGAAAAGAAAAAGACTTTTTTGACATTGTTGACTGCAAACACATCAGCCATCTTGACTTTACGATGAAAACCAGGCATAAACGCCAGATATTTACTCCAAAGCGCGTCTTATTAATGCTATAAGTCGATAACAACAATCACTATAAATATTTATAAACACTTATGTACCACAACCATTATGTAGTTCTCTATGAATTTTTCAATGTCATTTTTCTACTAATAATACGACGCAAAGCTCAGAAAGCCACGATATCATGTATACTGATTTTAATCAGCTTTATTTCAACCGTACAGATGGATAGACTGAAGATTTTATATTATTCTAAAGTACGGCACACAATAGTACATAAAAATTTGTCATTCGTAGCAAATTAGCTGCCACAAAAATTTTCGTGTGCGGGGAATAATTGCGGTATTTTAATCATTCTTGTCCTGATATGAAACATGTTTGATATTTTCTGCCACAAGTAACGACAACGACAAAGTTACCACAGGATAAATTTACGTTAAAAGTTACCACAGGATAAATTTAGGTAATTAGATTGCACACTACGTAAGTATAATGTAAGTACGTGGTGTAGCTACAAGCTAAGCTACTTTATATTGATGTCACCATGCAAACATATACAAGAATATTAATTAGATTATGCATGGTAAGGCATGTAAAACTGGAGTGATATAGTTGAGGTTCTGACACGGTGAAGAGCTAAAGATCTACGAGCGAAGAATAAAGTATAAAGTAAAGTTCAGACCATGTAGTCCAACCATGTTTCACGTGTCGCGTTCATATGTCTTCAATTTCAGGTTATTAAATATCTACGGATTATAAAAGTTTATGATCTATATCATTCTCGTTACCGTTGGCAAAGGCGTATCCACTTGCGTTCTACGTCCGTTTAAACAGTTTCCTCACCTCAATTGCGCCCACATGCATGCATGCACGTAAGCATTCGCCAACGCATGATGTCATCTGCACAATTTATAAGTCTAAAAATAACCGGTAATATCTTATAAATTCCAATCTGCGTTTTGTGTCCATGGTTCACAAATGAATCATCCCATCCGGCTGGCTATTTCCCATATTTATTGAAGCCGAATTCTTTGAGTAATAAAAATTATCACGCGATCATGGAAACACGAAGACACGTTACATAAGTAGAAAAAATGTCGCAAAATGCTAGTTTTTAGTTTTCACTGGAGTTTATAAATATGGCTTCAGGTAAGCCTTGGCGCACTCACTCACGAGTATCCATCTATTTAGTTCCATATAGTTTTCTAACAGGCAAATTAACAATATTTTTCATATGCTTTGCTGTTAGCTAACCAACCACTCTTCTTTAAATGGACTATTCATTTCTAATGTAATGCGTTTTATTACTTCTTTTAGATTATAAGCAATCAAAGATTTTAGCAATGAACAACACCACAGTTCAATCTAATCCATTTGAATTCCCATCGCAAATCTCCATTTTGGTCATTGCTTTCCTTGGTGTTATTGCAAACGGGATTTTATTAGTTGTTTTGCTTTGGGATCCTTTGAAATGCTTCCGAAGACCGAGCATGTACTTTGTCATAAGTTTAGCATTTTCAGATTTCTTTACTGGTATTGCATCTTGTCTGTTTGCCGTGCAGGATCATGTTACCTCAGAGTACTTTGGCCTTATTCTCCAGTCAGCGATTTTTTGCAGCATTGAAAACTCTTTCATCACAATATTACTGATGTCGATTGAGCGTTTAATTGTGATTGTGTATCCAATGAAAGCAATAAGCATTATAACTTCAAGACGAATATTCATATCTATAGGAGTCACGTGGTTTTTTTCAATATTACTTGGTGCCGCAGTGAGCTTTCCTCCTGGTGCAATTTTCAACGACTACGTCAAGTTTGGAATTCTTATTGAATGTTTCCTTATTATTCTTATTATGCTGGGAATATATATCCGAATGATTTTCCTGTTAAAGAACTCGTCAAATGTATTCCGTGAAAATGGGTTTATTCGTCATAGCTCTTGCGACGCGAGATCAAGAAGATCAATTGACAGATATCACAGAAGTCTTAATACCGTTGTCTTCTATCTTGCATTGGTTCTTATCATAACCGTTTTACCTCATTTAATTCTCGGACAAGTGTACTTGGGTTATAAATTCTTTCACCCGAACCATCCTATGCCACTTTCCCTTCAGTATGCCCCGTATGTAACATTTCCAATCGAGTTGCTGAATTTTGTCCTAAATTCAGTCATCTATGCCTACAGATTACCTCAATTCCGAGCCTCGTTGTTTCATTGTTGCAAAAAGAAATCTGGAAATCAGCGTCAGGAAACAGCTTTAAGGCGCATCCTATTTCACAACAATGTACCAAATGGTAACCACACTGTCGATGACGACGTATAATTGTAGTTGAACATTGGCCCAAAAACAGCAACTTTTTCATCCTATTCAGCAAACTATTAGTTTCTTTCTCCTCTCCAATACCCTTAGTTCATTAGAGTTCGTCAAGATATTCGTTAATTTGTTGTTTTATTTATAAAATACCATTCCTAACAAATGATGATCAATTAAAAAAAGTCTAAACATTTGTAATACACTGCCAACACTGGTTTTGGGAGTTATTTATTTTAAAATGACAAGGTTAGATCCTTTACAGCAATTAGCAATACAACGAGCTCTACATTTATTAAAATTATAATAATATTGGAACGAGTATATCTTACTGAAATGGAATGGAATTGAAAACGGGTTTGAATTTGTCTTTTGCGATTTTGTCTTCAATATTTGCATGATATGGTGTAACAACTTTCTTCATTCGTTCAAATGGGAAACCATGCGACGTATTTCTAAAACTTGCTATTACACCATTACTCGACAAAATGCCACATGTATCAAAGTCATTTGATATTCGCATATATCCCTTTTGACCCCAAAATGGACCCCACGAGTTCTTAATTATCCAGTAATTTGGACCGTAGGCTTGCTTTCCATAACCAACTAGTATTAAAGAATGTTGTGTAGCGTCATCTGTGCAGGAAAAAGAAAAAATTAACATTTGCAAAAACAATGATATCATATTGAAACGAATGATGAAATTAACTAAAAAAAAAAGAGGAATACTTTTATATTAAATTAAATTTACCAAAATATAAAATAGATTTAGAAATGGTATATTACATCTAACTGATCTAGTTCATATTTACCACAGTCAAAATCGTCGTATACTCCATCTCTATAAAACTTGAATGATTTTGGGGCTGAATTTATTCCAACTGATACGGGACCATACGTTGCTAAATTCACCTTCATTGCCGTTCGGTTTGCCTTCAATACGTCGCCAAAACTGGTAGGATGGTGAACTGTGCAATTGTCCGCGGTCCCACAGTGACATAACCCTTCCTGCGTCAAAAATGTGTTTGTAAATGGCAGTTCAACGAGACTTTAGTGGTTTACAATTTCTGTCTTACTTGTGCTAAATATCGTCCATAACTTTCATGGGTTGCAATACCATTTCTTATAACCCATTGCATTGCTTTCCAAGGCCATCCACCACGACAACCATAATTATTAAAACCATATGTACAGTCTACCAACATTTGAGCTGAAAATTCGATGTCTTTTCCTGTCTACGGTACAAAATGTCAGTGTTTTGTAAGTACTTTGCAAAGGCTTTCCGTTCACCTCATGCAAGGGTAAAAGTAAAAAACCGTCAAGACTTTGTCAAGATTTTCCTGTATGTGGTATGAGTTTAGTTGAAAATATTTGAGCCACTCACAGCTATTTTATAAGCTCCTTCAAGAATTCCTGCTGTGGAGAATGCCCAACATGATCCACACATTGACTGTCCTCTTGTTGGCGAGATAACACCTTTTCGTAAAGAAAGAATCCAGTTTTTCTACTCCACCTTTAATGCAATATCTAGTTGATATAGATAGATGTAATCGTGTATTTACACTGCATTTTTACTGTGCATTTCAGTCTTAAAGGCAGAGCTCAAATAGCGCTCTCAGTGATACAAATAAACGCAACTGAAAATGGCGAATTTCGAATTTCAAATAGAGGGATCATTAAGCTTCTTTAATTTAATTGCATGAATTTCTATTATTACCGTACTCTCTCCAGTCCAAGTTTTCTGGCAAAGGTTCACTCGGTTCAGTATAGTTTACGACAGGTACGTCATCATGACTTGGGAATTGATCTTTCATAAACTCAGGCACTCTATTATCTTCGTCATATAGTAAATCATTCATTGCTCGAAACTCCTCGGGTGTTAAATCTGCTAGATTATTCACAGCTAATGTATAGTTTAACCGTGCTCGGTTTTTGGAACGAATAAAACCTATATGCAATGTATTATAAAATGAACAATTACAACTGTTTAAAGCAGGAATGTTATAAGTTATCGTGTCACTTACCTTGCATTATGGCGGAAAATGTTCCTTCTTCGCGAGTGTTCTATTGCATCTTTATAAGACTTGCCATGTCTACGTTTAAACTTCTTGAACTCTTTATTAATGGTTTTATGATGCTTACTGATCTCGTGAGGTTTATGAACAAACTCTGACATAGGATTACAAAATACTGGACCTTGCTTGTTTTGCTGCTTCATGACACCAAGAACCTGTTAGTAGTAACATTATACATACATTATTGCATAGATTGAATGTTCTGCTAATGCTAGAATCCTGAGATAGTCATTAACTTACTGTACATATGGATACACGTCTGTGCTATCGATTGCATGCTGAATACGAGGTCCAAAGTTCGCCAAAACAACTGGTTAATTGACTGAATATGTACCATCTGTACTTAATCGATGATTATAAATACGAGTTGTAAAACAGCATACCTTCCGGAATCTCCATGATCATATAATCAAAATACCAATCATTGAAAGTGATATAATCTAAGTAATAATGGTCATAATATCCTCGAAGTAGTAAATCAAAGCCCTCAGTCTCGTATCTGATTGGTCGGTGTGGCTTTTCCTTTGACACCCACAATGTGTACGTATTCTTCAAATTACCAGTTTTTACGTGACGTTTCAGTTTTATTGTTAAAGTACCAGACCTATACTCTTCTTTTACAAACTATAGAAAAGAAAGAGAGGTGCAGATTTAACGATCCCGAACCTTTATTTAAAAAAAAGCGAGAACTTGTTGTTTTATCACGTAAAGCGTATTTTTTTAGCAAGTCAGCGAAATATGTTGGGGAAACATGAAAAACCATAGGCGGCCCAGAACTGATCTCGCTGACCTCGTGCGACGCTCATGTTGTCTGAACAATATATATGACTGTTCAGACAACATGAGCGTCGTGCGAGGTCAGCGAGATCAGTTCTGAGCCGCCTATGGAAAAACTTGTGCATCTATAATGAATTTACACAAAAAGTAGGTTTAGAGTAAACTACCGTAAATATATCAGGTCGTACTAAGAAGCGATAATTTTTCACGAGGGATTGACTGCTTTAAAATAATATTATTTACCTGCTTCACCCTGTATTTTACTATTAACATTATATTTGCTTAGTATGTATGAAATTATATGAAACCGACTATAACAATTCAGTATAACTACCGACACCGATTGTTCGGAAGTCATGCATAGGTTCCTTCACTCCTCATTTGCACATCTAGGCTATTATAGTTTTTCCAGTTTGTCAGAAAAGAAAATACATATTTTGCAAGATGATGACTCCTATATTATCTTGTGGAAATTATATTATGGTAAATCTATTATAGTAATTAGTAGATTATAGAAAATATTCAAGATGATGATTCCTATAATTATTACCATTACCTACCTTAAAATGGCTGAGATCCATAGGAACAATACTCTGGGGTCTAACAACATCATATTCATCCCCCGATTCATACCAGCATGACTTCGTATTATTTTTATTATGACCAACTTTTGTTTTATGCATTGGTATTTCTTTAATGTATATTCCATATTCTTCCATATCTCCTCTCTGAAAGGTTTTATCGACTCCTACATTTCAAAAAATATAATAAAACATGTTCTATGGCAAATATTGACTCGCTTGCTTACAGATGTAACTGAGATGTATAATGCCTCCTGTTGAAAAATTTAGCGTAGTTTTGAATGTCAGAATTCTGACAAGTTTGCAACTGAAAGAGACCATCAATACTAAATACGATGGAATAAAGTGCAGTAAATTAAATTACCATGATAATAGTCTATCCTGCTCATGTTTAATTCCCCAGCGTACCAAATCTCAAAGGGTTCCATAATACCATCATAAGGTAACGTCAACAATCCTGTAGCATGATAAGTATCTGGAAATTTAATATTTATCTTTTCATGTTTTGTCTCATTCACTTCGTTTTCCATTTCTTCATCTGTGTTGTTTGAGAGTTTCGTGTGATGCGAGTTATTCTTTAGACGTTTTTGCTGAATACCTTTTGTATGTTTTGATCTGTGAAAGTTGTTCTTTGTGTGTTTCAATTGATGATATTTATTTGAATGCTTTAATTTATGATAATTGTCCTTGATATTTTTTAATTCGTGATAATTATTCGCTGAATGTTCCTCTAGATCATAAGATGGCTTCTCAATATGATTCCTTGTCTGAGATTTCATCACATTTTCTCCATCATTACTGGAGCGGCTATGACTGTGCGTACATGCTGTACCAGTTGCAATTGTAATCGCGAATATAATATTAACATACCCCAGCATTTTAACTGCATGGGCATTCAAATAAGTTGCAGATAAATCTAACCTATTTAAGGTATTTAATAAAGTTTTATTATTGTTGTTTTTAAACACATATAAACAATTTCTACGCTGGTACCTGCAAAACTTTACTACAACTTACATTCGCCAATTGCAGGAACTTATAGTGACACCATGGACTGAAAAATTAGTCACATCAAGAAAAACAATTCAAAAAGTTTGAACTTGCAATATTTGAATTAATACCGATCTCGAACATTGTTTTTTCTTTTATTGAATTCCAAACAAAGTGTCATGGATTAAAAATTGAACTTCTCTTTCATTTTTCAATTACTCTCAACAACCTCTGAGACAGGGGGATTTTATAGCGTTAAGGATTTACAGAAAATCAATGATTAAACCCTCGGTAATTGGTTAGCCGCCAAACCCTTGGTAATAGCCAAATATTTGGTCTAATAAATGAATCGATCCACTGTACAGAGGTTTACCACAATACTGAAGTAAAATGCAGCAGAGGTCCACTGAAATCAGAAGTACAGAGACCCACTCATCAAATATACAGAAACCTTTTGAGTTTGAATTTACTCTCATGCACTGATCACGTTACATACGCATCATTGTCTGTCATTGCTCAGGCCTGTCATGTTAATAAACCTAGCTTCTAGGGCAGGTTGTATGAAATGTAGTCTTTTACCTTTAGTTATGACGGAACTGGCCAAACAGAATAATTTATTGTGGAGACGACTACGAATGCACACATTAGACTGGCTTGCCTGCTACTATACTGCGGGAGACCTGAAGATTGCGGCCTGAACGACCCTTACATTTATTTCCCATACTGTGAATTAAGGTTTATTTAAGGCCAATAAATGAACAAGTATACCAGTTGTACGGATGAGCAATCATAGTTCACAAATACATAATTTGTGTATTCACTTCAATGGCCACGAAATAAACATTGCTGTCGTTTCTACCTTTTTTGATATGGCATTTCATCCACCAAATTTTGTATAGATTTAATAAAAGTATCAAAACAATTTTGCTTCATCGTCCCAAATCACTATCCCCAGGAGTGGACGATCAATGATCTTATTTCATTTGAGCAGGTAATCTATTCATACTCTGGTTTCGTAAGGCTTGAAAATGTTATTTTGATTTTACATTGTAATGGAGAGGTTTGGCCAAATAATATCGCATCAACGTAGCTACAAGTGAATGACTATTCTGCCCAGGTGATGCCTAATATGAACTTTTATATTTATGTACTTAAATACGTTTGGGAATATGAAGATGGAAGCGATGAACTAAATTTCAAACATAATTCAACCAAACGATGCTTCAGAAGAGAACAGACGGAAGATCTAAGAGATTCAAGTTAGCCTGGGTCGCATTATTATCCGTTGTTGTTGTCATTGGATTCTGTCTTGAAATAAAGAAGTATATACTAGGAACTACCCGTGTTGAATTGAAGAGATATGCAATTGTTGGTGAATTTGATCCAAGTTATGACAAGTTATTCCCGCGAAATTATCACGCAACAGGCTTGTTGACATTGCCTTATGACAATATAGTAGAACCGTTTGAAGCCTGGTATGCTGGGGAAAGAAATATGAGCAGGATTGATTATTACTATGGTATGTTGTTAAAATGATACAGCTTTAGGGAAGCTAATTCATAATACATACGTCTCAAACTGAAATGCAGAGAGTTACACAGCAGCGGCTTCGAATAATATCTTGTATCAAAACGACCACGCAAATGATGGTAAAAAACATCTTCATTTTTCGAACTTCATTTTGCGATTGCTTTCTCCTCTAGAATGCGTTCAGTCAAGTGAAGTCAAGTCATATTTTATTCTCTTTATGAAAAGTCGAAAATCTTCAGTCGCCATATACACTCGTCTTGTTTCAAATGATCTTTTTTTTCGAAATTTGCTCCGTTTTATATTTTTCTAAATTATCGGCTGGTAGTTCTTCTATAATGAGATGGTTATCACGATTTTTTATCCAATATAGGAATGGACAAAACAATCCAAAGAGGAGATATGGACGACCATGGATTATTGTTTAAAATTATTCCAAAACATAAAGATCCCGCACCTTCTAAGACGTTTTTCAGAAGTTGTTGGATAAGACGAGTTCCATCATGGGATCCTATACAAGGGCAAAGTGTTATTCCGACAAATTTATCAGAATTTAAGGTTTGTAACTTATGACTAAGCAGCGCGTGTTTAATTGATCATTATTACGTGAAAATTATTATTAACTCGGCTCAACCCAATGGTTCAACCCCGTTCATGCATATTACATGTTTCTCTGCTGAGGAAGGATGCTTAGATTTTTGATGTAGGACGAATGAATTTTTATTTCACCGTTTCGTGTTTTCTGATATTTTGTTTCTTTTTTGTTTTGAGCCAAAGAAAGATCACAAGGGCAAAAGGCACGAAGTCAAACAATAAATTCCAGGTTTTTTAAGACTATCCAACAAACAAACAAACAAACGAACAAACAAACAAAAATTTACGAGAAACAAAACGAAACAAAAAACACAAAACAAGGAAAAAAATCATGCAAATAACGACAAATAAACTAGTATACAAAAGAAATAAATTAAGACATTAGAATTATAATTGATCTACCAGCCGTACCAAGACCGCAACCATAGACGGCTAGACTATAGCTGTCCAGGGGCTGGTTGTATCAAACCCGTTTACCTTAAACGGTGGTTAAGTTCAAAATAGAAAGCGAAGTCTATCGTTCTATTCAACCAGCAAACTAAATGTTTTTAACCTCAATACAACAATACTGTTTACAACTACATATTCAGTGCATAATATTCAAGTTGACTCATTCAAGAGAGATGTAAGAGTGTTATTTAATTTTGACTTATCCACCGTTTAAGGTAAACGGGCTTGATACAACCGGTCCCAGCTGAATATCATATATTCATCTTGTGTCTGGCTTGAAATCTAGAATGTAATGGTTTTCACGGTATGTGAACGTGAATATATGAATAACCAGTCCCGGGTTAAGATAAGTTTTGTACTTCTAATGTTGTCGACCTGAACTGACTTCTGACTACAACCTCTACTAACTATACTAAAACTAAAACTATACTAACTATATCACGCAAATAAGTGAAATCCGTAACAAATATCACTAAACCTTCTCCAACATACAGTACGCCGACATGTTGGGAAATGAACGGTAAGAATAATACTTAATATGAATGAAAAGTAATGCTGATCAATGGTCGACTCCCATGCAGTGCATGAAGATGAGTATATATAAAAATATATATTAGCCTCTTCGAGCATCCATCAATCATGCAACCACAAGAATATCATATGATTTTTAGTTTGTGATCAAACGACACAACTTTTACAGAGTATCTGTTTCTTTTTCAGCTACAAGGAGTGGAGATTTACAAAGGACAGCCATGTCGGAAATACGTGCGAAAGATTGTTGAATATAATAAGACAAATACATATACATTATTCGTCACCGATAATGAACCACACATTCCTGTCAAGTATGAAATGTTCGGATATGATGATCTTCTGACATCCCACTATGATCATTACATATTGGATTATATCACTTTTTCTCCATGGGCATTTAACTTCTCCATTTTCAAGATTCCAGCTGGTATGTAGCGCTGACTGAATAAAACTTTTCCTTTTTATAAGATAACCAGGGAACAGCGCGGTGCCTGTTGGCTTACCAAAATCCCTACTTGAAAAAATTGCGAAATGAAATAGGCGGACTTAAGTCAGTTATATGACAAATTTCACATGTCATATACCAGTTAATATGATCGGCTAAAATCAGAGTTTCCTCTGTCGCTGTGGTTGCACATTATTTTGTAAATATTTTCCTCTTAGACACCTGGTGCGGAAAGAAAGCAAGAAAGATTAAATCACGTTATTTTGTTAACCCAATGGCAGAATTTGTTCATTTCCATCATTCACAAGATCAAGAGACAGAGAAACATTTTAAAAAATTTAAGAAACTCCATTTAAAAGATTATAAGCATCATCATGAAAATGAAAGAAGAAAACATATTTTTAAACACAACCTAAGGTATTCTAAATATGATAGACATTCATAAACATCTACTAAGTTACCACACAGCTTTTCCTCAAATAGCTCTGCCGTTTTTCTGTGATAACTACGATACAACGATATTTTCCAGGTTTATTAATTCACGTAATCGCCGCAACACGGCTTACACTCTCTCTGTGAATCACTTAAGTGATTTAACCGAAGAAGAGATGGAATCACATCGTGGAATGTTGTCTGATGATGAAAATGACGAGGAAGAGGGAAGTCTCAATGAAAAAGAAAAGAAAAGGATTCTAAACTTGATGCATGATAAACACTTTGATAAACTACCAAAAACACTGGACTGGCGAGATTACGGTCAGTATCGAGTTTTAGTCATAGACATAGGATAACTGCATGCGTTTGGTTACGAAATAAATTTACTCCTGGGTTTGGGCAGAATAGTGATATAACTTTCTTCTACCTCTTATATTATGCGTGCTTGGTATCACAGGTGCTGTAACGCCTGTCAGTAGCCAGGGATTGTGTGGATCATGCTGGACTTTTTCAATTGCTGCCCCAATTGAGGCACACTATTTCTTTCAGGTATGAGACTATCAGGTATCTATCTGTACAAACGACTGTTCCTCCCAAACTACTGTGTCTAGAAACTGCACAAGAATGCAATATACTCAATGTTTCTTAGACTGATTTTCTTATTCACGTTCACCCATCAATAAATCCGTCCGTTTATTTTTCGTAGACGGGCAAAATGACAGAGATATCAAAACAACAAATAATGGACTGCTCTTGGGGGAGTGGTAACCACGGGTGTCGTGGAGGACTTCCTGCAAAAGCTCTGGCATGGGCTGTTCGCAATGGAGTAGCGACAAAGAAAAGTTATGGCCCATATTTGGGACAGGTAGGCCGTATAGCTATGTGTATAATACGCATAAACTTGTCTGATACATTTTTCTTTCTTCAAAAAAATTACCGTAAATGTGTTCGTAAAAATGTAATGCCTAATTTATTGATCGTTCACAATCATAGAGATATGATTATTCTGAATCAGCGAAAAACATTTAATTCCATCAAGATATGTCTAAACTCGCAAGTCTAAGGATAGTTATGTCTAAACTCGCAAGTCTAAGGATAGTTCTTATATTTGAATATCGTTCTGCATTGAAATTAAACAACGTACGTCCTCCATGACAGCAGTTAAAAAACTTTTACCAGCGGATAATTTTACAGCGAAATATAACTAGAGTACGTTTACTGAGTACTGAGTACGTTTTCCCTTGTCGGGCATATAATCAAGACTAGGGAAAGAAGAACTTCTGTGCACTTTTACAATAGATAATAAATGTTTGTGTTCTTTACCTCAGGAGGCTTATTGCCATTGCGGTCAGGATGAAAACTGCACAGTGATTGACAATGCTAAAGATTTTTATCGCGTCAGACCCAATACAGTAAAGACACTAAAACTTGCTCTTGCCAAATATGGGCCAATATCATGTAGTATTAATGCCGATGCTAAGACATTGCGATTTTACAGTAAAGGTGTCTATAACGACCCGGAGAATTCAAGTAAGGAACTATATTTTGATGTTTTTCTTCTGTCATAATAGAATACTAAATATAAAATGTAATTTGTGATCATAATTTACCGAAATGAGTTCATTAACTGAGACAGTTCTAATGACTGGGTTTCAAGTTTAACATTTATTAGCAGTATGAGCTCAACTATGGCGGCTCAACGGGTGTTTCATCTTTATCAGTGTTGTGTTAACTGGGGCATTTTGTTTGGGTTGAAATTATTCAAATATTTACCAAATATCTTTTAAATTTTTTTTAGAGAAGCGAAACAATCATGCTGTAGTTTGCATTGGCTATGGTATAGAGGATAATAAGGAACCGTACTGGATACTAAAGAACACATGGGGTCCACTTTGGGGAGATAATGGTTATATAAAAATTTCTCAAAAAGGAAACATTGCAAATATCCATGGTGGTCAATTATTAACCATCAAAAAAGATAATAAAATTCCTGATTTTCCGTATCAATCTTTGAAAAAAGTTAAAAGAAGAGAAAAGCTTTATAACAATTTAGCATCAATTTCAGTATGATCCTTTTATATATTTTGTATTAAAATTAAAACTTTTTAAACGTTTTCAGTTTTGATAAGATAGGGTTAGATTATAATTAAACGTCACTGTTAAAATTACACTAGAGTTGTCAAATAGCCGAGGGTCTGCGACACCACCCGTCTAGGGGCCAGTGAGGAAGTTTTGTCCGCATATTTTTAGTGAATGAATTTGCTTAACCCTTAACCATGCCCGTGTTTAATAAAAATATTTCGAAGCATTTAAAATGTGTTGTAAAAGAAACGGGTGAAGGCTGCTTTCCACTTACGCGTTTTTCATGCGCATGTACACGCACGCCAGTTAAAGTCTAAATCCTTATATATGTTATATATGCATTTATAGATCAGCGGCTAAGAAAAGTCTCTATAAAGGCGGATTTCCACTTACAGCGAAATCGTTCGCTAGCGAAATATTTGCATATTTTCTTTTGAATTTTAACAGCATAAATAAATTAGTTCGACTTGACTGTTTCGAATTCAAAAGAAAATATGCAAATATTTCGCTTGCGAACGATTTCGCTGTAAGCGGAAATGGGCTTTTACACTTGCAGCGATTTTGCTGCGATTTTGCTGCGATTTTATGTGTTTAAATATAGTTATGGATGTTCAAATAAGGAGACTTATACACAATAGAGCATTCGTAACTTTTTGCTCGTTTCCATCTGTCAAAAGAACAAAATCGCACATAAAATTGCAGCAAAAATTGCAAATGTGAAAGGGCCTTAATATTGCATCTTATAAAAGGAATACGTTTTCAGCAGCCTTAAGGGTGGTTTTCATATGACATAATTCTTCATATTTCGTCGTAATTCACATGTCGTAGTTGTTGTAATCGGTTTTCATATGTCGCCTTTTCCGATAGCAACGAATTATCTCACGGTAATTTCGACGAATTATGACATATGTACAAATAGTCTTTGTTTTATTCACTTTAGTTAATTTATTATGCAGAGACAGTGCTATTAATATGCGAAACAGCATGTTATTGAAAATAAACCATAGTTTACGTCACGGTAATTATGCGCTCACTCAACATTATCATTAGCCTTAAATATTACATCCTGTTTCAAACTCAACTCATTTGCTATCTCGTAAATGATACGAGAACAGTTTCTTGCGTATGAGCAGTATTTTATAAAATGGTTTAAGTAACTGAAAGATAACGATGACTAAATCAAGCAATATGCTTGCTGGTGATAAAAAGCTTTTAAAAATGTGCATTTTGATGGTATTTCTTATGTTAGTTATTTGCAAAGCTAATGAAGCTAGTTTATCATTGTGCACAACTGGTCTGAATGTTGTTATTTTATCACCGTGTCGTTTCATTCCTGGCCAGCACAACTACGCAACTTTGGATATCCAGAGCGATGTATTTCTTGAAACCTCATCAAGCAATGCCAAACATACATTTCTAATCTCAGAAAATTTCACCATCCGCTCTGGAGCTGTTTTAACAGTTGGTTATAATCAAGAGTTGAATACTGGTGTTGCTCCAGGAAATTCTGGTGGTAGTCATGGCGGACGAGGAGGAGCTGAGAGTGGAACAACTCTAAAAACAAACGAGAGTGTTCCCTATGGTTCGATGATGTCTGTAAATACTCTTGGAAGCAAAGGCGGGAACGGAGGATACGGTGGAGGACTCTTAGAGATCCAGGCATATCGATTGATTGTTGACGGTTCAATCTATGCAAATGGTGAACATGGCCACAGAAGTCGTAAATCGGGCGGAGGCAGCGGAGGTGGAATCGCGATCCTTTGTACCTATTTAGCAGGATTTGGAAAGTTTGGGGTGCGTGGTGGTCTAGGACGAAATTATGGTGGGGGCGGAAGCGGTGGAAGAATCAGTATCAACTGCACAAATGATGCATTTCTAGGATCGTTTTATGGCTATGGTGGAAAAACAGGTTTGTTAAAGTTTTATTGTCACAATTGTTATTTAACTGTTAGGGCAAAACCAACACGGTTAATAAAAACGTCATTCAGCAAACTAAATCAGCCTATAATTTCCACACAAGTCATGGTTGGCAACATGTTAATTATTCATGCTGCTTGTGGTATTCTCAAAAAAGATTTGCGTCACGTTGTTCAGTATTTCCATTGAGACTATCTGCTGTGCACGACATGTTTTAATTTCTTTACCAAAGACTCGATTATCTACATCCGATATCTTAGTAAAATGTTTATAATATAATCAAAATTGACACAATATCACGCTATTTCCGCATATTGACAGGCGAGTTGAAGGAAGTTCAATTTGCAATGAATATTTAAATAGTTTGCATTTGGTAAATTGACAACAAATAATGAATTTTTTACAATATTTTTTGAATTGTTTACACATTATAGGAATAAAATTCTTATATACTTGGACTTTGTAAATGTCTAGGTTTCAATCACCAGTTTTCGTATTAAAATATATGTGTTAAGTGACATTCACAAAATCCTTTATAAAGCGGAATCACGGGTTTTTAAGCATTGTCATCCCCTTGGCTTGTTTACGTTCAACGACACTCATTTCACCACTTAGACTTAGAAAACCTTCACTCAAAACAACTTTGCATCGAAATCATGGAATGTGTGATTTTTTGCACGATATTTAAGAAAGAAATTCTAATCCTACCAAAAGATTAATTAATTTAATTTCATATTCAATTATTGTCTGATCTGAAAAGACCTTTATTGGCTTTAGTCCTGAACGCACATGCATTTCGACAAACATTTATATTATGTTAGACATTATTAGTGAACGTTCGGTAGAGAAATTTAAGCAAATTAAGCTAAAGAGAGAATTTTAGTTTTTGAGCGAAACTATAGCTACTTTTCAAACTATACCCTAAGGGTAGAGTAGATTAACTCTTTTAGCAATGGATAGAGATTAGAGTGTTCCAAAAAAACTCAAAACCATCGAAATAAGCCATAGCAATGCTATTAGCTAAAGTTTGAATGCCTAAGCCACCTGTTAGGACCCACAAGTGTATAGCTAAATGTTTGACAAAAGCATTTTTATGCATGATGATAGTAAAATTTGTTTGTATCCACAATTGATTTTTATTAACAATATTCACACTTTACAAATAATATTTAAATTTACAACTCAAGCACCATGATCTTCGACATGTCCTTCCTCAAACAAATTTTAATCTTTTGTAGGCCTATTTAGTAGCATTTTACAAGTTGCGTTAACCTCACGAGCAGAAATTCGTGAACAAGTCATTCAAATTTTAACAATAGATGATTTCAATAGTTTCGAGTTTTGAGATGTGCTACCTCTAGGAATTTCAGTTATTTCAAATGCTTCATAATAAAAACCTATTAACGTCAAAACAGTTTAATGTTTCCTGGTCAGGTTTGAACATGTTTGAAGATCTATTGTGTTTGTCGCAGCTGGAGTGCGAATTGCTTCGTCACTGCAGTCACAAGGTTATACATATTGCAATGATATCTGGTAAAAATGTGGAATATTATATTTTGAGATAAAAATCATGCTGTTCTGTAGACCATCCACTTCCTATAGATTCAGAATTTTCTGCTTACTAATGATCCCCCTATCATTGGGTCACAATGGTCCATGCATGTCACAATGAGAAAACATGCGCCTTTGCATTTGCTGACACGAATATGTTTCCTCAAGAGGTTTTGACAACATTCCAAAAATTATTATTTCCAGTTGAAAACCGGGAACCCTTGCCAATTTTGTAGTGGTTATTCTATAATTATTTTCAAAGAGATTCGCTTGAGACTGATATTTATTGTCGATTCTTTACTGAAATTTAAACCAATTCAGCAAAGCTTTTCGTTAAATGATTGCTCTATTATTGTAAAAAGGCACACGTACTCGTTTTTGATTTGCGCTCGAATCTGCAGTGCGGCTAGACTAAGTGGCGTCGTGGGATGAAAACACACAAGTTATTCGGCGTATTTCGGCCATTAGAAGAAACTGTTTTGAATAAAATGCCAAAATGTGCCAAAAACGGCATCCAACCCTGCTATCATCAGCGTGACTTGCGTCAAAATATATATGCATATTTATATTATCTTAGCTTAATTCATGAAAGATGCCGCGATATATTGCATTGCAAAAAAAATAATGGATATAAATATAAAGATGGCATTGAACTGCCATAGGAGAAAAACATTCTTCGTAACCCTGGGGGTAAAACTAGCTAATGCGATTTTTGGATAAGTAGGGCGCGCAGTTGACAATCAAATGCCTGCAGATATTAATCATTGCATCTCGGTTGATATGCCTATTTGGCTAGTGTTTGGTGTCCATCACGTGAATGGGTTTGCGGAAAACATTGCGCAACTAGCGGGTAACGATAATAAAACGATAATAAAAGTACGGATTTGTAATGAGTTTGTACTAGAGTTACTAGAGTTTATGCCCAGAAAGATCCGAATTCAAATCAACGGTCCGGCCTGCATTATTTTTAGCAAAACCAATGCGCATATATCCGACTGGACTAAAAATGAGGCATAGCCATCGGCCCATCGCAACCTTCAGAAAAAAATATTCTATGATAATATTCTCAATATTTTGCATGGTGAATTAATAATGAAATAGCCAATTCTAAAAATCATTCACGTAATGTTTTCTACAAATTTATCATTCAATTTAATTTTAGCTTATTTGAAGTAGCTACCGCACACTAGGTTAAAGGGTTAAGGTTAAAACTTCGAAATGACGAAATCTCTCTTTGGTTGTTCCAAATAAGGTGTTTTATCGTTAAACAGTTAAACTATGCTCGAGTTTTGTTTTCATTTATGATCAGCCTTCTGAAAACAAAATTGTTGAGCTTTTGTCTGATATGATTTTTGTCAAGCTAGTCCAAATATTTTCATATCAGTAATAAGTTTTTCGAATTTATACAAATCGAGTGCAATACAATAGTTGTCAAATGTCTGATTTTCAACATGATTTTAAATCAAGAAAATGAAACCTGTTTTTATTTATCACTTGACGACCGGCGTTAAAAATTAGCAATTATTAAATGAAGTTGAACATGATATGACGAATTATCAAGCCGAAGTTTGTGGTTAGGTGGGTAAATTAGGCAGGCACGTTTTTTTAACAACATGATGGTCAATGTCATTTCTGGATATGAAGAAAACACTTTATTAAAATCAATTATAAAACATAAAAAAATTAAAGCAATAAAACATTAAAAGGCGTTTACAATGACTTCAATATGTGCAATGCTGGCAATCTCAAAAGAAGATCCAACAGTTCAAACAACTTGTTTGGCTTCCAAATTTATTTTTCTACGTGACTACGTCTATACCTCACCCTTTGCATTGTAGAAGAAGACATGGCGTCGCTTGGCATACAAACTGGTTCATACTCACTCTCTGCATCAAGTACAAAATCTATTAGATAC